TGGTTTTTCTCGAGTTGCGGCGGGGACCTGGGGGATGTTCTCGACTTACGGCGGGGATGGCCCTTCAAAACACGAGTTTCTTCAGTGACGTCAGGACTCCTGTCTAGTAACGAGGGACACCTCAGGAATCTCTTCGAGGCTTGGCAGGGCCAAAGGGACGCTTCTCGAGGTGAGGCAGGGCACCCAAGGACCCTTTCCAGTAGCCACAGGGATTTTGGGATTCCTATCAGTATTCAAGAGGAGTCAGGCATCGTCACCTTTTGAAGCAATGAACTCCGCGTGCCTCTCGAGGTGTCAGCGGGATGTGAGGCATTCCGTCAAAATGAGGCAGGGACCTAGGGCTTTCTCTAAGGTCTCCACAGGGGATTCAGACATCCCTTCATGTTGTGAGATGAAAGACGAGCCTGTATTCAAGCCACTGCAAGGAAATCCGGCCTCCTTTCAAGTGAGGGCTTCTCGCTGTATATTCCCCTTGAGGCAGCAAACTCGGGGTCCCTCCCACATACCTATTGCTGAGAGAAGCCTCCTCCTGAGGTGCTTCTGGGAAGTTGGCATACGTCTTGAGCCTAAGCCAGGGAATCAGCTCGCATCTCGAGACGATTTGGGGTACACGGAGCATTCCTCGAGTTGCTGTGCTGAAGTTGGTGTTCCTCTAGACTTGGGACAGTGTTCTCGGGGCATCTCTGGAGTTGCCTGAAGGACGTCGAGCCACCGGTCGTGTTGAATGGGGAACGGGGAATGGCTCTGGAGTCAATGCAGGGGAATCGGGCCTCATCTCGAGTTGATTTGGGGCACATGGAGCTGCTTTGCGTTGCTGGGGTGACCTCAGGGTCCGTCTAGACTGGTGACAGTGTTCTTGGGGACTGTCTCGAGATCCATTAAGCAAGTCGAAGCTCCTGACTTGTTTGAATGGGATCACGGAATAGCTCTGCATGCACTGCAGGGGAATGGGGCCTCATCTCGCCTCTAGGGGGAAGTCTCATGGTTTTTCTCGAGTTGCGGCGGGGACCTGGGGGATGTTCTCGACTTACGGCGGGGATGGCCCTTCAAAACACGAGTTTCTTCAGTGACGTCAGGACTCCTGTCTAGTAACGAGGGACACCTCAGGAATCTCTTCGAGGCTTGGCAGGGCCAAAGGGACGCTTCCCGAGGTGAGGCAGGGCACCCAAGGACCCTTTCCAGTAGCCACAGGGATTTTGGGATTCCTATCAGTATTCAAGAGGAGTCAGGCATCGTCACCTTTTGAAGCAATGAACTCCGCGTGCCTCTCGAGGTGTCAGCGGGATGTGAGGCATTCCGTCAAAATGAGGCAGGGACCTAGGGCTTTCTCTAAGGTCTCCACAGGGGATTCAGACATCCCTTCATGTTGTGAGATGAAAGACGAGCCTGTATTCAAGCCACTGCAAGGAAATCCGGCCTCCTTTCAAGTGAGGGCTTCTCGCTGTATATTCCCCTTGAGGCAGCAAACTCGGGGTCCCTCCCACATACCTATTGCTGAGAGAAGCCTCCTCCTGAGGTGCTTCTGGGAAGTTGGCATACGTCTTGAGCCTAAGCCAGGGAATCAGCTCGCATCTCGAGACGATTTGGGGTACACGGAGCATTCCTCGAGTTGCTGTGCTGAAGTTGGTGTTCCTCTAGACTTGGGACAGTGTTCTCGGGGCATCTCTGGAGTTGCCTGAAGGACGTCGAGCCACCGGTCGTGTTGAATGGGGAACGGGGAATGGCTCTGGAGTCAATGCAGGGGAATCGGGCCTCATCTCGAGTTGATTTGGGGCACATGGAGCTGCTTTGCGTTGCTGGGGTGACCTCAGGGTCCGTCTAGACTGGTGACAGTGTTCTTGGGGACTGTCTCGAGATCCATTAAGCAAGTCGAAGCTCCTGACTTGTTTGAATGGGATCACGGAATAGCTCTGCATGCACTGCAGGGGAATGGGGCCTCATCTCGCCTCTAGGGGGAAGTCTCATGGTTTTTCTCGAGTTGCGGCGGGGACCTGGGGGATGTTCTCGACTTACGGCGGGGATGGCCCTTCAAAACACGAGTTTCTTCAGTGACGTCAGGACTCCTGTCTAGTAACGAGGGACACCTCAGGAATCTCTTCGAGGCTTGGCAGGGCCAAAGGGACGCTTCTCGAGGTGAGGCAGGGCACCCAAGCGCCCTTTCCAGTAGCCACAGGGATTTTGGGATTCCTATCAGTATTCAAGAGGAGTCAGGCATCATCACCTTTTGAAGCAATGAACTCCGCGTGCCTCTCGAGGTGTCAGCGGGATGTGAGGCATTCCGTCAAAATGAGGCAGGGACCTAGGGCTTTCTCTAAGTTCTCCACAGGGGATTCAGACATCCCTTCATGTTGTGAGATGAAAGACGAGCCTGTATTCAAGCCACTGCAAGGAAATCCGGCCTCCTTTCAAGTTAGGGCTTCTCGCTGTATATTCCCCTTGAGGAAGCAAACTCGGGGTCCCTCCCACATACCTATTGCTGAGAGAAGCCTCCTCCTGAGGTGCTTCTGGGAAGTTGGCATACGTCTTGAGCCTAAGCCAGGGAATCAGCTCGCATCTCGAGACGATTTGGGGTACACGGAGCATTCCTCGAGTTGCTGTGCTGAAGTTGGTGTTCCTCTAGACTTGGGACAGTGTTCTCGGGGCATCTCTGGAGTTGCCTGAAGGAAGTCGAGCCACCGGTCGTGTTGAATGGGGAACGGGGAATGGCTCTGGAGTCAATGCAGGGGAATCGGGCCTCATCTCGAGTTGATTTGGGGCACATGGAGCTGCTTTGCGTTGCTGGGGTGACCTCAGGGTCCGTCTAGACTGGTGACAGTGTTCTTGGGGACTGTCTCGAGATCCATTAAGCAAGTCGAAGCTCCTGACTTGTTTGAATGGGATCACGGAATAGCTCTGCATGCACTGCAGGGGAATGGGGCCTCATCTCGCCTCTAGGGGGAAGTCTCATGGTTTTTCTCGAGTTGCGGCGGGGACCTGGGGGATGTTCTCGACTTACGGCGGGGATGGCCCTTCAAAACACGAGTTTCTTCAGTGACGTCAGGACTCCTGTCTAGTAACGAGGGACACCTCAGGAATCTCTTCGAGGCTTGGCAGGGCCAAAGGGACGCTTCTCGAGGTGAGGCAGGGCACCCAAGGACCCTTTCCAGTAGCCACAGGGATTTTGGGATTCCTATCAGTATTCAAGAGGAGTCAGGCATCGTCACCTTTTGAACCAATGAACTCCGCGTGCCTCTCGAGGTGTCAGCGGGATGTGAGGCATTCCGTCAAAATGAGGCAGGGACCTAGGGCTTTCTCTAAGGTCTCCACAGGGGATTCAGACATCCCTTCATGTTGTGAGATGAAAGACGAGCCTGTATTCAAGCCACTGCAAGGAAATCCGGCCTCCTTTCAAGTGAGGGCTTCTCGCTGTATATTCCCCTTGAGGCAGCAAATTCGGGGTCCCTCCCACATACCTATTGCTGAGAGAAGCCTCCTCCTGAGGTGCTTCTGGGAAGTTGGCATACGTCTTGAGCCTAAGCCAGGGAATCAGCTCGCATCTCGAGACGATTTGGGGTACACGGAGCATTCCTCTAGTTGCTGTGCTGAAGTAGGTGTTCCTCTATACTTGGGACAGTGTTCTCGGGGCGTCTCTGGAGTTGCCTGAAGGAAGTCGAGCCACCGGTCGTGTTGAATGGGGAACGGGGAATGGCTCTGGAGTCAATGCAGGGGAATCGGGCCTCATCTCGAGTTGATTTGGGGCACATGGAGCTGCTTTGCGTTGCTGGGGTGACCTCAGGGTCCGTCTAGACTGGTGACAGTGTTCTTGGGGACTGTCTCGAGATCCATTAAGCAAGTCGAAGCTCCTGACTTGTTTGAATGGGATCACGGAATAGCTCTGCATGCACTGCAGGGGAATGGGGCCTCATCTCGCCTCTAGGGGGAAGTCTCATGGTTTTTCTCGAGTTGCGGCGGGGACCTGGGGTATGTTCTCGACTTACGGCGGGGATGGCCCTTCAAAACACGAGTTTCTTCAGTGACGTCAGGACTCCTGTCTAGTAACGAGGGACACCTCAGGAATCTCTTCGAGGCTTGGCAGGGCCAAAGGGACGCTTCTCGAGGTGAGGCAGGGCACCCAAGGACCCTTTCCAGTAGCCACAGGGATTTTGGGATTCCTATCAGTATTCAAGAGGAGTCAGGCATCGTCACCTTTTGAACCAATGAACTCCGCGTGCCTCTCGAGGTGTCAGCGGGATGTGAGGCATTCCGTCAAAATGAGGCAGGGACCTAGGGCTTTCTCTAAGGTCTCCACAGGGGATTCAGACATCCCTTCATGTTGTGAGATGAAAGACGAGCCTGTATTCAAGCCACTGCAAGGAAATCCGGCCTCCTTTCAAGTGAGGGCTTCTCGCTGTATATTCCCCTTGAGGCAGCAAACTCGGGGTCCCTCCCACATACCTATTGCTGAGAGAAGCCTCCTCCTGAGGTGCTTCTGGGAAGTTGGCATACGTCTTGAGCCTAAGCCAGGGAATCAGCTCGCATCTCGAGACGATTTGGGGTACACGGAGCATTCCTCGAGTTGCTGTGCTGAAGTTGGTGTTCCTCTAGACTTGGGACAGTGTTCTCGGGGCATCTCTGGAGTTGCCTGAAGGAAGTCGAGCCACCGGTCGTGTTGAATGGGGAACGGGGAATGGCTCTGGAGTCAATGCAGGGGAATCGGGCCTCATCTCGAGTTGATTTGGGGCACATGGAGCTGCTTTGCGTTGCTGGGGTGACCTCAGGGTCCGTCTAGACTGGTGACAGTGTTCTTGGGGACTGTCTCGAGATCCATTAAGCAAGTCGAAGCTCCTGACTTGTTTGAATGGGATCACGGAATAGCTCTGCATGCACTGCAGGGGAATGGGGCCTCATCTCGCCTCTAGGGGGAAGTCTCATGGTTTTTCTCGAGTTGCGGCGGGGACCTGGGGTATGTTCTCGACTTACGGCGGGGATGGCCCTTCAAAACACGAGTTTCTTCAGTGACGTCAGGACTCCTGTCTAGTAACGAGGGACACCTCAGGAATCTCTTCGAGGCTTGGCAGGGCCAAAGGGACGCTTCTCGAGGTGAGGCAGGGCACCCAAGGACCCTTTCCAGTAGCCACAGGGATTTTGGGATTCCTATCAGTATTCAAGAGGAGTCAGGCATCGTCACCTTTTGAACCAATGAACTCCGCGTGCCTCTCGAGGTGTCAGCGGGATGTGAGGCATTCCGTCAAAATGAGGCAGGGACCTAGGGCTTTCTCTAAGGTCTCCACAGGGGATTCAGACATCCCTTCATGTTGTGAGATGAAAGACGAGCCTGTATGCAAGCCACTGCAAGGAAATCCGGCCTCCTTTCAAGTTAGGGCTTCTCGCTGTATATTCCCCTTGAGGCAGCAAACTCGGGGTCCCTCCCACATACCTATTGCTGAGAGAAGCCTCCTCCTGAGGTGCTTCTGGGAAGTTGGCATACGTCTTGAGCCTAAGCCAGGGAATCAGCTCGCATCTCGAGACGATTTGGGGTACACGGAGCATTCCTCGAGTTGCTGTGCTGAAGTTGGTGTTCCTCTAGACTTGGGACAGTGTTCTCGGGGCATCTCTGGAGTTGCCTGAAGGAAGTCGAGCCACCGGTCGTGTTGAATGGGGAACGGGGAATGGCTCTGGAGTCAATGCAGGGGAATCGGGCCTCATCTCGAGTTGATTTGGGGCACATGGAGCTGCTTTGCGTTGCTGGGGTGACCTCAGGGTCCGTCTAGACTGGTGACAGTGTTCTTGGGGACTGTCTCGAGATCCATTAAGCAAGTCGAAGCTCCTGACTTGTTTGAATGGGATCACGGAATAGCTCTGCATGCACTGCAGGGGAATGGGGCCTCATCTCGCCTCTAGGGGGAAGTCTCATGGTTTTTCTCGAGTTGCGGCGGGGACCTGGGGTATGTTCTCGACTTACGGCGGGGATGGCCCTTCAAAACACGAGTTTCTTCAGTGACGTCAGGACTCCTGTCTAGTAACGAGGGACACCTCAGGAATCTCTTCGAGGCTTGGCAGGGCCAAAGGGACGCTTCTCGAGGTGAGGCAGGGCACCCAAGGACCCTTTCCAGTAGCCACAGGGATTTTGGGATTCCTATCAGTATTCAAGAGGAGTCAGGCATCGTCACCTTTTGAACCAATGAACTCCGCGTGCCTCTCGAGGTGTCAGCGGGATGTGAGGCATTCCGTCAAAATGAGGCAGGGACCTAGGGCTTTCTCTAAGGTCTCCACAGGGGATTCAGACATCCCTTCATGTTGTGAGATGAAAGACGAGCCTGTATGCAAGCCACTGCAAGGAAATCCGGCCTCCTTTCAAGTTAGGGCTTCTCGCTGTATATTCCCCTTGAGGCAGCAAACTCGGGGTCCCTCCCACATACCTATTGCTGAGAGAAGCCTCCTCCTGAGGTGCTTCTGGGAAGTTGGCATACGTCTTGAGCCTAAGCCAGGGAATCAGCTCGCATCTCGAGACGATTTGGGGTACACGGAGCATTCCTCGAGTTGCTGTGCTGAAGTTGGTGTTCCTCTAGACTTGGGACAGTGTTCTCGGGGCATCTCTGGAGTTGCCTGAAGGAAGTCGAGCCACCGGTCGTGTTGAATGGGGAACGGGGAATGGCTCTGGAGTCAATGCAGGGGAATCGGGCCTCATCTCGAGTTGATTTGGGGCACATGGAGCTGCTTTGCGTTGCTGGGGTGACCTCAGGGTCCGTCTAGACTGGTGACAGTGTTCTTGGGGACTGTCTCGAGATCCATTAAGCAAGTCGAAGCTCCTGACTTGTTTGAATGGGATCACGGAATAGCTCTGCATGCACTGCAGGGGAATGGGGCCTCATCTCGCCTCTAGGGGGAAGTCTCATGGTTTTTCTCGAGTTGCGGCGGGGACCTGGGGTATGTTCTCGACTTACGGCGGGGATGGCCCTTCAAAACACGAGTTTCTTCAGTGACGTCAGGACTCCTGTCTAGTAACGAGGGACACCTCAGGAATCTCTTCGAGGCTTGGCAGGGCCAAAGGGACGCTTCTCGAGGTGAGGCAGGGCACCCAAGGACCCTTTCCAGTAGCCACAGGGATTTTGGGATTCCTATCAGTATTCAAGAGGAGTCAGGCATCGTCACCTTTTGAAGCAATGAACTCCGCGTGCCTCTCGAGGTGTCAGCGGGATGTGAGGCATTCCGTCAAAATGAGGCAGGGACCTAGGGCTTTCTCTAAGGTCTCCACAGGGGATTCAGACATCCCTTCATGTTGTGAGATGAAAGACGAGCCTGTATTCAAGCCACTGCAAGGAAATCCGGCCTCCTTTCAAGTGAGGGCTTCTCGCTGTATATTCCCCTTGAGGCAGCAAACTCGGGGTCCCTCCCACATACCTATTGCTGAGAGAAGCCTCCTCCTGAGGTGCTTCTGGGAAGTTGGCATACGTCTTGAGCCTAAGCCAGGGAATCAGCTCGCATCTCGAGACGATTTGGGGTACACGGAGCATTCCTCGAGTTGCTGTGCTGAAGTTGGTGTTCCTCTAGACTTGGGACAGTGTTCTCGGGGCATCTCTGGAGTTGCCTGAAGGAAGTCGAGCCACCGGTCGTGTTGAATGGGGAACGGGGAATGGCTCTGGAGTCAATGCAGGGGAATCGGGCCTCATCTCGAGTTGATTTGCGGCACATGGAGCTGCTTTGCGTTGCTGGGGTGACCTCAGGGTCCGTCTAGACTGGTGACAGTGTTCTTGGGGACTCTCTCGAGATCCATTAAGCAAGTCGAAGCTCCTGACTTGTTTGAATGGGATCACGGAATAGCTCTGCATGCACTGCAGGGGAATGGGGCCTCATCTCGCCTCTAGGGGGAAGTCTCATGGTTTTTCTCGAGTTGCGGCGGGGACCTGGGGTATGTTCTCGACTTACGGCGGGGATGGCCCTTCAAAACACGAGTTTCTTCAGTGACGTCAGGACTCCTGTCTAGTAACGAGGGACACCTCAGGAATCTCTTCGAGGCTTGGCAGGGCCAAAGGGACGCTTCTCGAGGTGAGGCAGGGCACCCAAGGACCCTTTCCAGTAGCCACAGGGATTTTGGGATTCCTATCAGTATTCAAGAGGAGTCAGGCATCGTCACCTTTTGAAGCAATGAACTCCGCGTGCCTCTCGAGGTGTCAGCGGGATGTGAGGCATTCCGTCAAAATGAGGCAGGGACCTAGGGCTTTCTCTAAGGTCTCCACAGGGGATTCAGACATCCCTTCATGTTGTGAGATGAAAGACGAGCCTGTATTCAAGCCACTGCAAGGAAATCCGGCCTCCTTTCAAGTGAGGGCTTCTCGCTGTATATTCCCCTTGAGGCAGCAAACTCGGGGTCCCTCCCACATACCTATTGCTGAGAGAAGCCTCCTCCTGAGGTGCTTCTGGGAAGTTGGCATACGTCTTGAGCCTAAGCCAGGGAATCAGCTCGCATCTCGAGACGATTTGGGGTACACGGAGCATTCCTCGAGTTGCTGTGCTGAAGTTGGTGTTCCTCTAGACTTGGGACAGTGTTCTCGGGGCATCTCTGGAGTTGCCTGAAGGACGTCGAGCCACCGGTCGTGTTGAATGGGGAACGGGGAATGGCTCTGGAGTCAATGCAGGGGAATTGGGCCTCATCTCGAGTTGATTTGGGGCACATGGAGCTGCTTTGCGTTGCTGGGGTGACCTCAGGGTCCGTCTAGACTGGTGACAGTGTTCTTGGGGACTGTCTCGAGATCCATTAAGCAAGTCGAAGCTCCTGACTTGTTTGAATGGGATCACGGAATAGCTCTGCATGCACTGCAGGGGAATGGGGCCTCATCTCGCCTCTAGGGGGAAGTCTCATGGTTTTTCTCGAGTTGCGGCGGGGACCTGGGGTATGTTCTCGACTTACGGCGGGGATGGCCCTTCAAAACACGAGTTTCTTCAGTGACGTCAGGACTCCTGTCTAGTAACGAGGGACACCTCAGGAATCTCTTCGAGGCTTGGCAGGGCCAAAGGGACGCTTCTCGAGGTGAGGCAGGGCACCCAAGGACCCTTTCCAGTAGCCACAGGGATTTTGGGATTCCTATCAGTATTCAAGAGGAGTCAGGCATCGTCACCTTTTGAAGCAATGAACTCCGCGTGCCTCTCGAGGTGTCAGCGGGATGTGAGGCATTCCGTCAAAATGAGGCAGGGACCTAGGGCTTTCTCTAAGGTCTCCACAGGGGATTCAGACATCCCTTCATGTTGTGAGATGAAAGACGAGCCTGTATTCAAGCCACTGCAAGGAAATCCGGCCTCCTTTCAAGTTAGGGCTTCTCGCTGTATATTCCCCTTGAGGCAGCAAACTCGGGGTCCCTCCCACATACCTATTGCTGAGAGAAGCCTCCTCCTGAGGTGCTTCTGGGAAGTTGGCATACGTCTTGAGCCTAAGCCAGGGAATCAGCTCGCATCTCGAGACGATTTGGGGTACACGGAGCATTCCTCGAGTTGCTGTGCTGAAGTTGGTGTTCCTCTAGACTTGGGACAGTGTTCTCGGGGCGTCTCTGGAGTTGCCTGAAGGAAGTCGAGCCACCGGTCGTGTTGAATGGGGAACGGGGAATGGCTCTGGAGTCAATGCAGGGGAATCGGGCCTCATCTCGAGTTGATTTGGGGCACATGGAGCTGCTTTGCGTTGCTGGGGTGACCTCAGGGTCCGTCTAGACTGGTGACAGTGTTCTTGGGGACTGTCTCGAGATCCATTAAGCAAGTCGAAGCTCCTGACTTGTTTGAATGGGATCACGGAATAGCTCTGCATGCACTGCAGGGGAATGGGGCCTCATCTCGCCTCTAGGGGGAAGTCTCATGGTTTTTCTCGAGTTGCGGCGGGGACCTGGGGTATGTTCTCGACTTACGGCGGGGATGGCCCTTCAAAACACGAGTTTCTTCAGTGACGTCAGGACTCCTGTCTAGTAACGAGGGACACCTCAGGAATCTCTTCGAGGCTTGGCAGGGCCAAAGGGACGCTTCTCGAGGTGAGGCAGGGCACCCAAGGACCCTTTCCAGTAGCCACAGGGATTTTGGGATTCCTATCAGTATTCAAGAGGAGTCAGGCATCGTCACCTTTTGAAGCAATGAACTCCGCGTGCCTCTCGAGGTGTCAGCGGGATGTGAGGCATTCCGTCAAAATGAGGCAGGGACCTAGGGCTTTCTCTAAGGTCTCCACAGGGGATTCAGACATCCCTTCATGTTGTGAGATGAAAGACGAGCCTGTATTCAAGCCACTGCAAGGAAATCCGGCCTCCTTTCAAGTGAGGGCTTCTCGCTGTATATTCCCCTTGAGGCAGCAAACTCGGGGTCCCTCCCACATACCTATTGCTGAGAGAAGCCTCCTCCTGAGGTGCTTCTGGGAAGTTGGCATACGTCTTGAGCCTAAGCCAGGGAATCAGCTCGCATCTCGAGACGATTTGGGGTACACGGAGCATTCCTCGAGTTGCTGTGCTGAAGTTGGTGTTCCTCTAGACTTGGGACAGTGTTCTCGGGGCATCTCTGGAGTTGCCTGAAGGAAGTCGAGCCACCGGTCGTGTTGAATGGGGAACGGGGAATGGCTCTGGAGTCAATGCAGGGGAATCGGGCCTCATCTCGAGTTGATTTGCGGCACATGGAGCCGCTTTGCGTTGCTGGGGTGACCTCAGGGTCCGTCTAGACTGGTGACAGTGTTCTTGGGGACTGTCTCGAGATCCATTAAGCAAGTCGAAGCTCCTGACTTGTTTGAATGGGATCACGGAATAGCTCTGCATGCACTGCAGGGGAATGGGGCCTCATCTCGCCTCTAGGGGGAAGTCTCATGGTTTTTCTCGAGTTGCGGCGGGGACCTGGGGTATGTTCTCGACTTACGGCGGGGATGGCCCTTCAAAACACGAGTTTCTTCAGTGACGTCAGGACTCCTGTCTAGTAACGAGGGACACCTCAGGAATCTCTTCGAGGCTTGGCAGGGCCAAAGGGACGCTTCTCGAGGTGAGGCAGGGCACCCAAGGACCCTTTCCAGTAGCCACAGGGATTTTGGGATTCCTATCAGTATTCAAGAGGAGTCAGGCATCGTCACCTTTTGAAGCAATGAACTCCGCGTGCCTCTCGAGGTGTCAGCGGGATGTGAGGCATTCCGTCAAAATGAGGCAGGGACCTAGGGCTTTCTCTAAGGTCTCCACAGGGGATTCAGACATCCCTTCATGTTGTGAGATGAAAGACGAGCCTGTATTCAAGCCACTGCAAGGAAATCCGGCCTCCTTTCAAGTGAGGGCTTCTCGCTGTATATTCCCCTTGAGGCAGCAAACTCGGGGTCCCTCCCACATACCTATTGCTGAGAGAAGCCTCCTCCTGAGGTGCTTCTGGGAAGTTGGCATACGTCTTGAGCCTAAGCCAGGGAATCAGCTCGCATCTCGAGACGATTTGGGGTACACGGAGCATTCCTCGAGTTGCTGTGCTGAAGTTGGTGTTCCTCTAGACTTGGGACAGTGTTCTCGGGGCATCTCTGGAGTTGCCTGAAGGACGTCGAGCCACCGGTCGTGTTGAATGGGGAACGGGGAATGGCTCTGGAGTCAATGCAGGGGAATCGGGCCTCATCTCGAGTTGATTTGGGGCACATGGAGCTGCTTTGCGTTGCTGGGGTGACCTCAGGGTCCGTCTAGACTGGTGACAGTGTTCTTGGGGACTGTCTCGAGATCCATTAAGCAAGTCGAAGCTCCTGACTTGTTTGAATGGGATCACGGAATAGCTCTGCATGCACTGCAGGGGAATGGGGCCTCATCTCGCCTCTAGGGGGAAGTCTCATGGTTTTTCTCGAGTTGCGGCGGGGACCTGGGGGATGTTCTCGACTTACGGCGGGGATGGCCCTTCAAAACACGAGTTTCTTCAGTGACGTCAGGACTCCTGTCTAGTAACGAGGGACACCTCAGGAATCTCTTCGAGGCTTGGCAGGGCCAAAGGGACGCTTCTCGAGGTGAGGCAGGGCACCCAAGGACCCTTTCCAGTAGCCACAGGGATTTTGGGATTCCTATCAGTATTCAAGAGGAGTCAGGCATCGTCACCTTTTGAAGCAATGAACTCCGCGTGCCTCTCGAGGTGTCAGCGGGATGTGAGGCATTCCGTCAAAATGAGGCAGGGACCTAGGGCTTTCTCTAAGGTCTCCACAGGGGATTCAGACATCCCTTCATGTTGTGAGATGAAAGACGAGCCTGTATTCAAGCCACTGCAAGGAAATCCGGCCTCCTTTCAAGTGAGGGCTTCTCGCTGTATATTCCCCTTGAGGCAGCAAACTCGGGGTCCCTCCCACATACCTATTGCTGAGAGAAGCCTCCTCCTGAGGTGCTTCTGGGAAGTTGGCATACGTCTTGAGCCTAAGCCAGGGAATCAGCTCGCATCTCGAGACGATTTGGGGTACACGGAGCATTCCTCGAGTTGCTGTGCTGAAGTTGGTGTTCCTCTAGACTTGGGACAGTGTTCTCGGGGCATCTCTGGAGTTGCCTGAAGGAAGTCGAGCCACCGGTCGTGTTGAATGGGGAACGGGGAATGGCTCTGGAGTCAATGCAGGGGAATCGGGCCTCATCTCGAGTTGATTTGCGGCACATGGAGCCGCTTTGCGTTGCTGGGGTGACCTCAGGGTCCGTCTAGACTGGTGACAGTGTTCTTGGGGACTCTCTCGAGATCCATTAAGCAAGTCGAAGCTCCTGACTTGTTTGAATGGGATCACGGAATAGCTCTGCATGCACTGCAGGGGAATGGGGCCTCATCTCGCCTCTAGGGGGAAGTCTCATGGTTTTTCTCGAGTTGCGGCGGGGACCTGGGGTATGTTCTCGACTTACGGCGGGGATGGCCCTTCAAAACACGAGTTTCTTCAGTGACGTCAGGACTCCTGTCTAGTAACGAGGGACACCTCAGGAATCTCTTCGAGGCTTGGCAGGGCCAAAGGGACGCTTCTCGAGGTGAGGCAGGGCACCCAAGGACCCTTTCCAGTAGCCACAGGGATTTTGGGATTCCTATCAGTATTCAAGAGGAGTCAGGCATCGTCACCTTTTGAAGCAATGAACTCCGCGTGCCTCTCGAGGTGTCAGCGGGATGTGAGGCATTCCGTCAAAATGAGGCAGGGACCTAGGGCTTTCTCTAAGGTCTCCACAGGGGATTCAGACATCCCTTCATGTTGTGAGATGAAAGACGAGCCTGTATTCAAGCCACTGCAAGGAAATCCGGCCTCCTTTCAAGTGAGGGCTTCTCGCTGTATATTCCCCTTGAGGCAGCAAACTCGGGGTCCCTCCCACATACCTATTGCTGAGAGAAGCCTCCTCCTGAGGTGCTTCTGGGAAGTTGGCATACGTCTTGAGCCTAAGCCAGGGAATCAGCTCGCATCTCGAGACGATTTGGGGTACACGGAGCATTCCTCGAGTTGCTGTGCTGAAGTTGGTGTTCCTCTAGACTTGGGACAGTGTTCTCGGGGCATCTCTGGAGTTGCCTGAAGGACGTCGAGCCACCGGTCGTGTTGAATGGGGAACGGGGAATGGCTCTGGAGTCAATGCAGGGGAATCGGGCCTCATCTCGAGTTGATTTGGGGCACATGGAGCTGCTTTGCGTTGCTGGGGTGACCTCAGGGTCCGTCTAGACTGGTGACAGTGTTCTTGGGGACTGTCTCGAGATCCATTAAGCAAGTCGAAGCTCCTGACTTGTTTGAATGGGATCACGGAATAGCTCTGCATGCACTGCAGGGGAATGGGGCCTCATCTCGCCTCTAGGGGGAAGTCTCATGGTTTTTCTCGAGTTGCGGCGGGGACCTGGGGGATGTTCTCGACTTACGGCGGGGATGGCCCTTCAAAACACGAGTTTCTTCAGTGACGTCAGGACTCCTGTCTAGTAACGAGGGACACCTCAGGAATCTCTTCGAGGCTTGGCAGGGCCAAAGGGACGCTTCTCGAGGTGAGGCAGGGCACCCAAGGACCCTTTCCAGTAGCCACAGGGATTTTGGGATTCCTATCAGTATTCAAGAGGAGTCAGGCATCGTCACCTTTTGAAGCAATGAACTCCGCGTGCCTCTCGAGGTGTCAGCGGGATGTGAGGCATTCCGTCAAAATGAGGCAGGGACCTAGGGCTTTCTCTAAGGTCTCCACAGGGGATTCAGACATCCCTTCATGTTGTGAGATGAAAGACGAGCCTGTATTCAAGCCACTGCAAGGAAATCCGGCCTCCTTTCAAGTGAGGGCTTCTCGCTGTATATTCCCCTTGAGGCAGCAAACTCGGGGTCCCTCCCACATACCTATTGCTGAGAGAAGCCTCCTCCTGAGGTGCTTCTGGGAAGTTGGCATACGTCTTGAGCCTAAGCCAGGGAATCAGCTCGCATCTCGAGACGATTTGGGGTACACGGAGCATTCCTCGAGTTGCTGTGCTGAAGTTGGTGTTCCTCTAGACTTGGGACAGTGTTCTCGGGGCATCTCTGGAGTTGCCTGAAGGACGTCGAGCCACCGGTCGTGTTGAATGGGGAACGGGGAATGGCTCTGGAGTCAATGCAGGGGAATCGGGCCTCATCTCGAGTTGATTTGGGGCACATGGAGCTGCTTTGCGTTGCTGGGGTGACCTCAGGGTCCGTCTAGACTGGTGACAGTGTTCTTGGGGACTGTCTCGAGATCCATTAAGCAAGTCGAAGCTCCTGACTTGTTTGAATGGGATCACGGAATAGCTCTGCATGCACTGCAGGGGAATGGGGCCTCATCTCGCCTCTAGGGGGAAGTCTCATGGTTTTTCTCGAGTTGCGGCGGGGACCTGGGGGATGTTCTCGACTTACGGCGGGGATGGCCCTTCAAAACACGAGTTTCTTCAGTGACGTCAGGACTCCTGTCTAGTAACGAGGGACACCTCAGGAATCTCTTCGAGGCTTGGCAGGGCCAAAGGGACGCTTCCCGAGGTGAGGCAGGGCACCCAAGGACCCTTTCCAGTAGCCACAGGGATTTTGGGATTCCTATCAGTATTCAAGAGGAGTCAGGCATCGTCACCTTTTGAAGCAATGAACTCCGCGTGCCTCTCGAGGTGTCAGCGGGATGTGAGGCATTCCGTCAAAATGAGGCAGGGACCTAGGGCTTTCTCTAAGGTCTCCACAGGGGATTCAGACATCCCTTCATGTTGTGAGATGAAAGACGAGCCTGTATTCAAGCCACTGCAAGGAAATCCGGCCTCCTTTCAAGTGAGGGCTTCTCGCTGTATATTCCCCTTGAGGCAGCAAACTCGGGGTCCCTCCCACATACCTATTGCTGAGAGAAGCCTCCTCCTGAGGTGCTTCTGGGAAGTTGGCATACGTCTTGAGCCTAAGCCAGGGAATCAGCTCGCATCTCGAGACGATTTGGGGTACACGGAGCATTCCTCGAGTTGCTGTGCTGAAGTTGGTGTTCCTCTAGACTTGGGACAGTGTTCTCGGGGCATCTCTGGAGTTGCCTGAAGGACGTCGAGCCACCGGTCGTGTTGAATGGGGAACGGGGAATGGCTCTGGAGTCAATGCAGGGGAATCGGGCCTCATCTCGAGTTGATTTGGGGCACATGGAGCTGCTTTGCGTTGCTGGGGTGACCTCAGGGTCCGTCTAGACTGGTGACAGTGTTCTTGGGGACTGTCTCGAGATCCATTAAGCAAGTCGAAGCTCCTGACTTGTTTGAATGGGATCACGGAATAGCTCTGCATGCACTGCAGGGGAATGGGGCCTCATCTCGCCTCTAGGGGGAAGTCTCATGGTTTTTCTCGAGTTGCGGCGGGGACCTGGGGGATGTTCTCGACTTACGGCGGGGATGGCCCTTCAAAACACGAGTTTCTTCAGTGACGTCAGGACTCCTGTCTAGTAACGAGGGACACCTCAGGAATCTCTTCGAGGCTTGGCAGGGCCAAAGGGACGCTTCTCGAGGTGAGGCAGGGCACCCAAGCGCCCTTTCCAGTAGCCACAGGGATTTTGGGATTCCTATCAGTATTCAAGAGGAGTCAGGCATCGTCACCTTTTGAAGCAATGAACTCCGCGTGCCTCTCGAGGTGTCAGCGGGATGTGAGGCATTCCGTCAAAATGAGGCAGGGACCTAGGGCTTTCTCTAAGTTCTCCACAGGGGATTCAGACATCCCTTCATGTTGTGAGATGAAAGACGAGCCTGTATTCAAGCCACTGCAAGGAAATCCGGCCTCCTTTCAAGTTAGGGCTTCTCGCTGTATATTCCCCTTGAGGCAGCAAACTCGGGGTCCCTCCCACATACCTATTGCTGAGAGAAGCCTCCTCCTGAGGTGCTTCTGGGAAGTTGGCATACGTCTTGAGCCTAAGCCAGGGAATCAGCTCGCATCTCGAGACGATTTGGGGTACACGGAGCATTCCTCGAGTTGCTGTGCTGAAGTTGGTGTTCCTCTAGACTTGGGACAGTGTTCTCGGGGCATCTCTGGAGTTGCCTGAAGGAAGTCGAGCCACCGGTCGTGTTGAATGGGGAACGGGGAATGGCTCTGGAGTCAATGCAGGGGAATCGGGCCTCATCTCGAGTTGATTTGGGGCACATGGAGCTGCTTTGCGTTGCTGGGGTGACCTCAGGGTCCGTCTAGACTGGTGACAGTGTTCTTGGGGACTGTCTCGAGATCCATTAAGCAAGTCGAAGCTCCTGACTTGTTTGAATGGGATCACGGAATAGCTCTGCATGCACTGCAGGGGAATGGGGCCTCATCTCGCCTCTAGGGGGAAGTCTCATGGTTTTTCTCGAGTTGCGGCGGGGACCTGGGGGATGTTCTCGACTTACGGCGGGGATGGCCCTTCAAAACACGAGTTTCTTCAGTGACGTCAGGACTCCTGTCTAGTAACGAGGGACACCTCAGGAATCTCTTCGAGGCTTGGCAGGGCCAAAGGGACGCTTCTCGAGGTGAGGCAGGGCACCCAAGGACCCTTTCCAGTAGCCACAGGGATTTTGGGATTCCTATCAGTATTCAAGAGGAGTCAGGCATCGTCACCTTTTGAACCAATGAACTCCGCGTGCCTCTCGAGGTGTCAGCGGGATGTGAGGCATTCCGTCAAAATGAGGCAGGGACCTAGGGCTTTCTCTAAGGTCTCCACAGGGGATTCAGACATCCCTTCATGTTGTGAGATGAAAGACGAGCCTGTATTCAAGCCACTGCAAGGAAATCCGGCCTCCTTTCAAGTGAGGGCTTCTCGCTGTATATTCCCCTTGAGGCAGCAAATTCGGGGTCCCTCCCACATACCTATTGCTGAGAGAAGCCTCCTCCTGAGGTGCTTCTGGGAAGTTGGCATACGTCTTGAGCCTAAGCCAGGGAATCAGCTCGCATCTCGAGACGATTTGGGGTACACGGAGCATTCCTCTAGTTGCTGTGCTGAAGTAGGTGTTCCTCTATACTTGGGACAGTGTTCTCGGGGCGTCTCTGGAGTTGCCTGAAGGAAGTCGAGCCACCGGTCGTGTTGAATGGGGAACGGGGAATGGCTCTGGAGTCAATGCAGGGGAATCGGGCCTCATCTCGAGTTGATTTGGGGCACATGGAGCTGCTTTGCGTTGCTGGGGTGACCTCAGGGTCCGTCTAGACTGGTGACAGTGTTCTTGGGGACTGTCTCGAGATCCATTAAGCAAGTCGAAGCTCCTGACTTGTTTGAATGGGATCACGGAATAGCTCTGCATGCACTGCAGGGGAATGGGGCCTCATCTCGCCTCTAGGGGGAAGTCTCATGGTTTTTCTCGAGTTGCGGCGGGGACCTGGGGTATGTTCTCGACTTACGGCGGGGATGGCCCTTCAAAACACGAGTTTCTTCAGTGACGTCAGGACTCCTGTCTAGTAACGAGGGACACCTCAGGAATCTCTTCGAGGCTTGGCAGGGCCAAAGGGACGCTTCTCGAGGTGAGGCAGGGCACCCAAGGACCCTTTCCAGTAGCCACAGGGATTTTGGGATTCCTATCAGTATTCAAGAGGAGTCAGGCATCGTCACCTTTTGAACCAATGAACTCCGCGTGCCTCTCGAGGTGTCAGCGGGATGTGAGGCATTCCGTCAAAATGAGGCAGGGACCTAGGGCTTTCTCTAAGGTCTCCACAGGGGATTCAGACATCCCTTCATGTTGTGAGATGAAAGACGAGCCTGTATTCAAGCCACTGCAAGGAAATCCGGCCTCCTTTCAAGTGAGGGCTTCTCGCTGTATATTCCCCTTGAGGCAGCAAACTCGGGGTCCCTCCCACATACCTATTGCTGAGAGAAGCCTCCTCCTGAGGTGCTTCTGGGAAGTTGGCATACGTCTTGAGCCTAAGCCAGGGAATCAGCTCGCATCTCGAGACGATTTGGGGTACACGGAGCATTCCTCGAGTTGCTGTGCTGAAGTTGGTGTTCCTCTAGACTTGGGACAGTGTTCTCGGGGCATCTCTGGAGTTGCCTGAAGGAAGTCGAGCCACCGGTCGTGTTGAATGGGGAACGGGGAATGGCTCTGGAGTCAATGCAGGGGAATCGGGCCTCATCTCGAGTTGATTTGGGGCACATGGAGCTGCTTTGCGTTGCTGGGGTGACCTCAGGGTCCGTCTAGACTGGTGACAGTGTTCTTGGGGACTGTCTCGAGATCCATTAAGCAAGTCGAAGCTCCTGACTTGTTTGAATGGGATCACGGAATAGCTCTGCATGCACTGCAGGGGAATGGGGCCTCATCTCGCCTCTAGGGGGAAGTCTCATGGTTTTTCTCGAGTTGCGGCGGGGACCTGGGGTATGTTCTCGACTTACGGCGGGGATGGCCCTTCAAAACACGAGTTTCTTCAGTGACGTCAGGACTCCTGTCTAGTAACGAGGGACACCTCAGGAATCTCTTCGAGGCTTGGCAGGGCCAAAGGGACGCTTCTCGAGGTGAGGCAGGGCACCCAAGGACCCTTTCCAGTAGCCACAGGGATTTTGGGATTCCTATCAGTATTCAAGAGGAGTCAGGCATCGTCACCTTTTGAACCAATGAACTCCGCGTGCCTCTCGAGGTGTCAGCGGGATGTGAGGCATTCCGTCAAAATGAGGCAGGGACCTAGGGCTTTCTCTAAGGTCTCCACAGGGGATTCAGACATCCCTTCATGTTGTGAGATGAAAGACGAGCCTGTATGCAAGCCACTGCAAGGAAATCCGGCCTCCTTTCAAGTTAGGGCTTCTCGCTGTATATTCCCCTTGAGGCAGCAAACTCGGGGTCCCTCCCACATACCTATTGCTGAGAGAAGCCTCCTCCTGAGGTGCTTCTGGGAAGTTGGCATACGTCTTGAGCCTAAGCCAGGGAATCAGCTCGCATCTCGAGACGATTTGGGGTACACGGAGCATTCCTCGAGTTGCTGTGCTGAAGTTGGTGTTCCTCTAGACTTGGGACAGTGTTCTCGGGGCATCTCTGGAGTTGCCTGAAGGAAGTCGAGCCACCGGTCGTGTTGAATGGGGAACGGGGAATGGCTCTGGAGTCAATGCAGGGGAATCGGGCCTCATCTCGAGTTGATTTGGGGCACATGGAGCTGCTTTGCGTTGCTGGGGTGACCTCAGGGTCCGTCTAGACTGGTGACAGTGTTCTTGGGGACTGTCTCGAGATCCATTAAGCAAGTCGAAGCTCCTGACTTGTTTGAATGGGATCACGGAATAGCTCTGCATGCACTGCAGGGGAATGGGGCCTCATCTCGCCTCTAGGGGGAAGTCTCATGGTTTTTCTCGAGTTGCGGCGGGGACCTGGGGTATGTTCTCGACTTACGGCGGGGATGGCCCTTCAAAACACGAGTTTCTTCAGTGACGTCAGGACTCCTGTCTAGTAACGAGGGACACCTCAGGAATCTCTTCGAGGCTTGGCAGGGCCAAAGGGACGCTTCTCGAGGTGAGGCAGGGCACCCAAGGACCCTTTCCAGTAGCCACAGGGATTTTGGGATTCCTATCAGTATTCAAGAGGAGTCAGGCATCGTCACCTTTTGAACCAATGAACTCCGCGTGCCTCTCGAGGTGTCAGCGGGATGTGAGGCATTCCGTCAAAATGAGGCAGGGACCTAGGGCTTTCTCTAAGGTCTCCACAGGGGATTCAGACATCCCTTCATGTTGTGAGATGAAAGACGAGCCTGTATGCAAGCCACTGCAAGGAAATCCGGCCTCCTTTCAAGTTAGGGCTTCTCGCTGTATATTCCCCTTGAGGCAGCAAACTCGGGGTCCCTCCCACATACCTATTGCTGAGAGAAGCCTCCTCCTGAGGTGCTTCTGGGAAGTTGGCATACGTCTTGAGCCTAAGCCAGGGAATCAGCTCGCATCTCGAGACGATTTGGGGTACACGGAGCATTCCTCGAGTTGCTGTGCTGAAGTTGGTGTTCCTCTAGACTTGGGACAGTGTTCTCGGGGCATCTCTGGAGTTGCCTGAAGGACGTCGAGCCACCGGTCGTGTTGAATGGGGAACGGGGAATGGCTCTGGAGTCAATGCAGGGGAATCGGGCCTCATCTCGAGTTGATTTGGGGCTCATGGAGCTGCTTTGCGTTGCTGGGGTGACCTCAGGGTCCGTCTAGACTGGTGACAGTGTTCTTGGGGACTGTCTCGAGATCCATTAAGCAAGTCGAAGCTCCTGACTTGTTTGAATGGGATCACGGAATAGCTCTGCATGCACTGCAGGGGAATGGGGCCTCATCTCGCCTCTAGGGGGAAGTCTCATGGTTTTTCTCGAGTTGCGGCGGGGACCTGGGGTATGTTCTCGACTTACGGCGGGGATGGCCCTTCAAAACACGAGTTTCTTCAGTGACGTCAGGACTCCTGTCTAGTAACGAGGGACACCTCAGGAATCTCTTCGAGGCTTGGCAGGGCCAAAGGGACGCTTCTCGAGGTGAGGCAGGGCACCCAAGGACCCTTTCCAGTAGCCACAGGGATTTTGGGATTCCTATCAGTATTCAAGAGGAGTCAGGCATCGTCACCTTTTGAAGCAATGAACTCCGCGTGCCTCTCGAGGTGTCAGCGGGATGTGAGGCATTCCGTCAAAATGAGGCAGGGACCTAGGGCTTTCTCTAAGGTCTCCACAGGGGATTCAGACATCCCTTCATGTTGTGAGATGAAAGACGAGCCTGTATTCAAGCCACTGCAAGGAAATCCGGCCTCCTTTCAAGTGAGGGCTTCTCGCTGTATATTCCCCTTGAGGCAGCAAACTCGGGGTCCCTCCCACATACCTATTGCTGAGAGAAGCCTCCTCCTGAGGTGCTTCTGGGAAGTTGGCATACGTCTTGAGCCTAAGCCAGGGAATCAGCTCGCATCTCGAGACGATTTGGGGTACACGGAGCATTCCTCGAGTTGCTGTGCTGAAGTTGGTGTTCCTCTAGACTTGGGACAGTGTTCTCGGGGCATCTCTGGAGTTGCCTGAAGGACGTCGAGCCACCGGTCGTGTTGAATGGGGAACGGGGAATGGCTCTGGAGTCAATGCAGGGGAATCGGGCCTCATCTCGAGTTGATTTGGGGCACATGGAGCTGCTTTGCGTTGCTGGGGTGACCTCAGGGTCCGTCTAGACTGGTGACAGTGTTCTTGGGGACTGTCTCGAGATCCATTAAGCAAGTCGAAGCTCCTGACTTGTTTGAATGGGATCACGGAATAGCTCTGCATGCACTGCAGGGGAATGGGGCCTCATCTCGCCTCTAGGGGGAAGTCTCATGGTTTTTCTCGAGTTGCGGCGGGGACCTGGGGTATGTTCTCGACTTACGGCGGGGATGGCCCTTCAAAACACGAGTTTCTTCAGTGACGTCAGGACTCCTGTCTAGTAACGAGGGACACCTCAGGAATCTCTTCGAGGCTTGGCAGGGCCAAAGGGACGCTTCTCGAGGTGAGGCAGGGCACCCAAGGACCCTTTCCAGTAGCCACAGGGATTTTGGGATTCCTATCAGTATTCAAGAGGAGTCAGGCATCGTCACCTTTTGAACCAATGAACTCCGCGTGCCTCTCGAGGTGTCAGCGGGATGTGAGGCATTCCGTCAAAATGAGGCAGGGACCTAGGGCTTTCTCTAAGGTCTCCACAGGGGATTCAGACATCCCTTCATGTTGTGAGATGAAAGACGAGCCTGTATGCAAGCCACTGCAAGGAAATCCGGCCTCCTTTCAAGTTAGGGCTTCTCGCTGTATATTCCCCTTGAGGCAGCAAACTCCTGGTCCCTCCCACATACCTATTGCTGAGAGAAGCCTCCTCCTGAGGTGCTTCTGGGAAGTTGGCATACGTCTTGAGCCTAAGCCAGGGAATCAGCTCGCATCTCGAGACGATTTGGGGTACACGGAGCATTCCTCGAGTTGCTGTGCTGAAGTTGGTGTTCCTCTAGACTTGGGACAGTGTTCTCGGGGCATCTCTGGAGTTGCCTGAAGGAAGTCGAGCCACCGGTCGTGTTGAATGGGGAACGGGGAATGGCTCTGGAGTCAATGCAGGGGAATCGGGCCTCATCTCGAGTTGATTTGGGGCTCATGGAGCTGCTTTGCGTTGCTGGGGTGACCTCAGGGTCCGTCTAGACTGGTGACAGTGTTCTTGGGGACTGTCTCGAGATCCATTAAGCAAGTCGAAGCTCCTGACTTGTTTGAATGGGATCACGGAATAGCTCTGCATGCACTGCAGGGGAATGGGGCCTCATCTCGCCTCTAGGGGGAAGTCTCATGGTTTTTCTCGAGTTGCGGCGGGGACCTGGGGTATGTTCTCGACTTACGGCGGGGATGGCCCTTCAAAACACGAGTTTCTTCAGTGACGTCAGGACTCCTGTCTAGTAACGAGGGACACCTCAGGAATCTCTTCGAGGCTTGGCAGGGCCAAAGGGACGCTTCTCGAGGTGAGGCAGGGCACCCAAGGACCCTTTCCAGTAGCCACAGGGATTTTGGGATTCCTATCAGTATTCAAGAGGAGTCAGGCATCGTCACCTTTTGAAGCAATGAACTCCGAGTGCCTCTCGAGGTGTCAGCGGGATGTGAGGCATTCCGTCAAAATGAGGCAGGGACCTAGGGCTTTCTCTAAGGTCTCCACAGGGGATTCAGACATCCCTTCATGTTGTGAGATGAAAGACGAGCCTGTATTCAAGCCACTGCAAGGAAATCCGGCCTCCTTTCAAGTGAGGGCTTCTCGCTGTATATTCCCCTTGAGGCAGCAAACTCGGGGTCCCTCCCACATACCTATTGCTGAGAGAAGCCTCCTCCTGAGGTGCTTCTGGGAAGTTGGCATACGTCTTGAGCCTAAACCAGGGAATCAGCTCGCATCTCGAGACGATTTGGGGTACACGGAGCATTCCTCGAGTTGCTGTGCTGAAGTTGGTGTTCCTCTAGACTTGGGACAGTGTTCTCGGGGCATCTCTGGAGTTGCCTGAAGGACGTCGAGCCACCGGTCGTGTTGAATGGGGAATGGGGAATGGCTCTGGAGTCAATGCAGGGGAATCGGGCCTCATCTCGAGTTGATTTGGGGCACATGGAGCTGCTTTGCGTTGCTGGGGTGACCTCAGGGTCCGTCTAGACTGGTGACAGTGTTCTTGGGGACTGTCTCGAGATCCATTAAGCAAGTCGAAGCTCCTGACTTGTTTGAATGGGATCACGGAATAGCTCTGCATGCACTGCAGGGGAATGGGGCCTCATCTCGCCTCTAGGGGGAAGTCTCATGGTTTTTCTCGAGTTGCGGCGGGGACCTGGGGTATGTTCTCGACTTACGGCGGGGATGGCCCTTCAAAACACGAGTTTCTTCAGTGACGTCAGGACTCCTGTCTAGTAACGAGGGACACCTCAGGAATCTCTTCGAGGCTTGGCAGGGCCAAAGGGACGCTTCTCGAGGTGAGGCAGGGCACCCAAGGACCCTTTCCAGTAGCCACAGGGATTTTGGGATTCCTATCAGTATTCAAGAGGAGTCAGGCATCGTCACCTTTTGAAGCAATGAACTCCGCGTGCCTCTCGAGGTGTCAGCGGGATGTGAGGCATTCCGTCAAAATGAGGCAGGGACCTAGGGCTTTCTCTAAGGTCTCCACAGGGGATTCAGACATCCCTTCATGTTGTGAGATGAAAGACGAGCCTGTATTCAAGCCACTGCAAGGAAATCCGGCCTCCTTTCAAGTGAGGGCTTCTCGCTGTATATTCCCCTTGAGGCAGCAAACTCGGGGTCCCTCCCACATACCTATTGCTGAGAGAAGCCTCCTCCTGAGGTGCTTCTGGGAAGTTGGCATACGTCTTGAGCCTAAGCCAGGGAATCAGCTCGCATCTCGAGACGATTTGGGGTACACGGAGCATTCCTCGAGTTGCTGTGCTGAAGTTGGTGTTCCTCTAGACTTGGGACAGTGTTCTCGGGGCATCTCTGGAGTTGCCTGAAGGACGTCGAGCCACCGGTGGTGTTGAATGGGGAACGGGGAATGGCTCTGGAGTCAATGCAGGGGAATCGGGCCTCATCTCGAGTTGATTTGGGGCACATGGAGCTGCTTTGCGTTGCTGGGGTGACCTCAGGGTCCGTCTAGACTGGTGACAGTGTTCTTGGGGACTGTCTCGAGATCCATGAAGCAAGTCGAAGCTCCTGACTTGTTTGAATGGGATCACGGAATAGCTCTGCATGCACTGCAGGGGAATGGGGCCTCATCTCGCCTCTAGGGGGAAGTCTCATGGTTTTTCTCGAGTTGCGGCGGGGACCAGGGGTATGTTCTCGACTTACGGCGGGGATGGCCCTTCAAAACACGAGTTTCTTCAGTGACGTCAGGACTCCTGTCTAGTAACGAGGGACACCTCAGGAATCTCTTCGAGGCTTGGCAGGGCCAAAGGGACGCTTCTCGAGGTGAGGCAGGGCACCCAAGGACCCTTTCCAGTAGCCACAGGGATTTTGGGATTCCTATCAGTATTCAAGAGGAGTCAGGCATCGTCACCTTTTGAAGCAATGAACTCCGCGTGCCTCTCGAGGTGTCAGCGGGATGTGAGGCATTCCGTCAAAATGAGGCAGGGACCTAGGGCTTTCTCTAAGGTCTCCACAGGGGATTCAGACATCCCTTCATGTTGTGAGATGAAAGACGAGCCTGTATTCAAGCCACTGCAAGGAAATCCGGCCTCCTTTCAAGTGAGGGCTTCTCGCTGTATATTCCCCTTGAGGCAGCAAACTCGGGGTCCCTCCCACATACCTATTGCTGAGAGAAGCCTCCTCCTGAGGTGCTTCTGGGAAGTTGGCATACGTCTTGAGCCTAAGCCAGGGAATCAGCTCGCATCTCGAGACGATTTGGGGTACACGGAGCATTCCTCGAGTTGCTGTGCTGAAGTTGGTGTTCCTCTAGACTTGGGACAGTGTTCTCGGGGCATCTCTGGAGTTGCCTGAAGGAAGTCGAGCCCCCGGTCGTGTTGAATGGGGAACGGGGAATGGCTCTGGAGTCAATGCAGGGGAATCGGGCCTCATCTCGAGTTGATTTGGGGCACATGGAGCTGCTTTGCGTTGCTGGGGTGACCTCAGGGTCCGTCTAGACTGGTGACAGTGTTCTTGGGGACTGTCTCGAGATCCATTAAGCAAGTCGAAGCTCCTGACTTGTTTGAATGGGATCACGGAATAGCTCTGCATGCACTGCAGGGGAATGGGGCCTCATCTCGCCTCTAGGGGGAAGTCTCATGGTTTTTCTCGAGTTGCGGCGGGGACCTGGGGTATGTTCTCGACTTACGGCGGGGATGGCCCTTCAAAACACGAGTTTCTTCAGTGACGTCAGGACTCCTGTCTAGTAACGAGGGACACCTCAGGAATCTCTTCGAGGCTTGGCAGGGCCAAAGGGACGCTTCTCGAGGTGAGGCAGGGCACCCAAGGACCCTTTCCAGTAGCCACAGGGATTTTGGGATTCCTATCAGTATTCAAGAGGAGTCAGGCATCGTCACCTTTTGAAGCAATGAACTCCGCGTGCCTCTCGAGGTGTCAGCGGGATGTGAGGCATTCCGTCAAAATGAGGCAGGGACCTAGGGCTTTCTCTAAGGTCTCCACAGGGGATTCAGACATCCCTTCATGTTGTGAGGTGAAAGACGAGCCTGTATTCAAGCCACTGCAAGGAAATCCGGCCTCCTTTCAAGTGAGGGCTTCTCGCTGTATATTCCCCTTGAGGCAGCAAACTCGGGGTCCCTCCCACATACCTATTGCTGAGAGAAGCCTCCTCCTGAGGTGCTTCTGGGAAGTTGGCATACGTCTTGAGCCTAAGCCAGGGAATCAGCTCGCATCTCGAGACGATTTGGGGTACACGGAGCATTCCTCGAGTTGCTGTGCTGAAGTTGGTGTTCCTCTAGACTTGGGACAGTGTTCTCGGGGCATCTCTGGAGTTGCCTGAAGGAAGTCGAGCCACCGGTCGTGTTGAATGGGGAACGGGGAATGGCTCTGGAGTCAATGCAGGGGAATCGGGCCTCATCTCGAGTTGATTTGGGGCACATGGAGCTGCTTTGCGTTGCTGGGGTGACCTCAGGGTCCGTCTAGACTGGTGACAGTGTTCTTGGGGACTGTCTCGAGATCCATGAAGCAAGTCGAAGCTCCTGACTTGTTTGAATGGGATCACGGAATAGCTCTGCATGCACTGCAGGGGAATGGGGCCTCATCTCGCCTCTAGGGGGAAGTCTCATGGTTTTTCTCGAGTTGCGGCGGGGACCAGGGGTATGTTCTCGACTTACGGCGGGGATGGCCCTTCAAAACACGAGTTTCTTCAGTGACGTCAGGACTCCTGTCTAGTAACGAGGGACACCTCAGGAATCTCTTCGAGGCTTGGCAGGGCCAAAGGGACGCTTCTCGAGGTGAGGCAGGGCACCCAAGGACCCTTTCCAGTAGCCACAGGGATTTTGGGATTCCTATCAGTATTCAAGAGGAGTCAGGCATCGTCACCTTTTGAAGCAATGAACTCCGCGTGCCTCTCGAGGTGTCAGCGGGATGTGAGGCATTCCGTCAAAATGAGGCAGGGACCTAGGGCTTTCTCTAAGGTCTCCACAGGGGATTCAGACATCCCTTCATGTTGTGAGATGAAAGACGAGCCTGTATTCAAGCCACTGCAAGGAAATCCGGCCTCCTTTCAAGTGAGGGCTTCTCGCTGTATATTCCCCTTGAGGCAGCAAACTCGGGGTCCCTCCCACATACCTATTGCTGAGAGAAGCCTCCTCCTGAGGTGCTTCTGGGAAGTTGGCATACGTCTTGAGCCTAAGCCAGGGAATCAGCTCGCATCTCGAGACGATTTGGGGTACACGGAGCATTCCTCGAGTTGCTGTGCTGAAGTTGGTGTTCCTCTAGACTTGGGACAGTGTTCTCGGGGCATCTCTGGAGTTGCCTGAAGGAAGTCGAGCCCCCGGTCGTGTTGAATGGGGAACGGGGAATGGCTCTGGAGTCAATGCAGGGGAATCGGGCCTCATCTCGAGTTGATTTGGGGCACATGGAGCTGCTTTGCGTTGCTGGGGTGACCTCAGGGTCCGTCTAGACTGGTGACAGTGTTCTTGGGGACTGTCTCGAGATCCATTAAGCAAGTCGAAGCTCCTGACTTGTTTGAATGGGATCACGGAATAGCTCTGCATGCACTGCAGGGGAATGGGGCCTCATCTCGCCTCTAGGGGGAAGTCTCATGGTTTTTCTCGAGTTGCGGCGGGGACCTGGGGTATGTTCTCGACTTACGGCGGGGATGGCCCTTCAAAACACGAGTTTCTTCAGTGACGTCAGGACTCCTGTCTAGTAACGAGGGACACCTCAGGAATCTCTTCGAGGCTTGGCAGGGCCAAAGGGACGCTTCTCGAGGTGAGGCAGGGCACCCAAGGACCCTTTCCAGTAGCCACAGGGATTTTGGGATTCCTATCAGTATTCAAGAGGAGTCAGGCATCGTCACCTTTTGAAGCAATGAACTCCGCGTGCCTCTCGAGGTGTCAGCGGGATGTGAGGCATTCCGTCAAAATGAGGCAGGGACCTAGGGCTTTCTCTAAGGTCTCCACAGGGGATTCAGACATCCCTTCATGTTGTGAGGTGAAAGACGAGCCTGTATTCAAGCCACTGCAAGGAAATCCGGCCTCCTTTCAAGTGAGGGCTTCTCGCTGTATATTCCCCTTGAGGCAGCAAACTCGGGGTCCCTCCCACATACCTATTGCTGAGAGAAGCCTCCTCCTGAGGTGCTTCTGGGAAGTTGGCATACGTCTTGAGCCTAAGCCAGGGAATCAGCTCGCATCTCGAGACGATTTGGGGTACACGGAGCATTCCTCGAGTTGCTGTGCTGAAGTTGGTGTTCCTCTAGACTTGGGACAGTGTTCTCGGGGCATCTCTGGAGTTGCCTGAAGGAAGTCGAGCCACCGGTCGTGTTGAATGGGGAAAGGGGAATGGCTCTGGAGTCAATGCAGGGGAATCGGGCCTCATCTCGAGTTGATTTGGGGCACATGGAGCTGCTTTGCGTTGCTGGGGTGACCTCAGGGTCCGTCTAGACTGGTGACAGTGTTCTTGGGGACTGTCTCGAGATCCATTAAGCAAGTCGAAGCTCCTGACTTGTTTGAATGGGATCACGGAATAGCTCTGCATGCACTGCAGGGGAATGGGGCCTCATCTCGCCTCTAGGGGGAAGTCTCATGGTTTTTCTCGAGTTGCGGCGGGGACCTGGGGTATGTTCTCGACTTACGGCGGGGATGGCCCTTCAAAACACGAGTTTCTTCAGTGACGTCAGGACTCCTGTCTAGTAACGAGGGACACCTCAGGAATCTCTTCGAGGCTTGGCAGGGCCAAAGGGACGCTTCCCGAGGTGAGGCAGGGCACCCAAGGACCCTTTCCAGTAGCCACAGGGATTTTGGGATTCCTATCAGTATTCAAGAGGAGTCAGGCATCGTCACCTTTTGAAGCAATGAACTCCGCGTGCCTCTCGAGGTGTCAGCGGGATGTGAGGCATTCCGTCAAAATGAGGCAGGGACCTAGGGCTTTCTCTAAGGTCTCCACAGGGGATTCAGACATCCCTTCATGTTGTGAGATGAAAGACGAGCCTGTATTCAAGCCACTGCAAGGAAATCCAGCCTCCTTTCAAGTGAGGGCTTCTCGCTGTATATTCCCCTTGAGGCAGCAAACTCGGGGTCCCTCCCACATACCTATTGCTGAGAGAAGCCTCCTCCTGAGGTGCTTCTGGGAAGTTGGCATACGTCTTGAGCCTAAGCCAGGGAATCAGCTCGCATCTCGAGACGATTTGGGGTACACGGAGCATTCCTCGAGTTGCTGTGCTGAAGTTGGTGTTCCTCTAGACTTGGGACAGTGTTCTCGGGGCATCTCTGGAGTTGCCTGAAGAAGTCGAGCCACCGGTCGTGTTGAATGGGAACGGGGAATGGCTCTGGAGTCAATGCAGGGGAATCGGGCCTCATCTCGAGTTGATTTGGGGCACATGGAGCTGCTTTGCGTTGCTGGGGTGACCTCAGGGTCCGTCTAGACTGGTGAGAGTGTTCTTGGGGACTGTCTCGAGATCCATTAAGCAAGTCGAAGCTCCTGACTTGTTTGAATGGGATCACGGAATAGCTCTGCATGCACTGCAGGGGAATGGGGCCTCATCTCGCCTCTAGGGGGAAGTCTCATGGTTTTTCTCGAGTTGCGGCGGGGACCTGGGGTATGTTCTCGACTTACGGCGGGGATGGCCCTTCAAAACACGAGTTTCTTCAGTGACGTCAGGACTCCTGTCTAGTAACGAGGGACACCTCAGGAATCTCTTCGAGGCTTGGCAGGGCCAAAGGGACGCTTCCCGAGGTGAGGCAGGGCACCCAAGGACCCTTTCCAGTAGCCACAGGGATTTTGGGATTCCTATCATTATTCAAGAGGAGTCAGGCATCGTCACCTTTTGAAGCAATGAACTCCGCGTGCCTCTCGAGGTGTCAGCGGGATGTGAGGCATTCCGTCAAAATGAGGCAGGGACCTAGGGCTTTCTCTAAGGTCTCCACAGGGGATTCAGACATCCCTTCATGTTGTGAGATGAAAGACGAGCCTGTATTCAAGCCACTGCAAGGAAATCCGGCCTCCTTTCAAGTGAGGGCTTCTCGCTGTATATTCCCCTTGAGGCAGCAAACTCGGGGTCCCTCCCACATACCTATTGCTGAGAGAAGCCTCCTCCTGAGGTGCTTCTGGGAAGTTGGCATACGTCTTGAGCCTAAGCCATGGAATCAGCTCGCATCTCGAGACGATTTGGGGTACACGGAGCATTCCTCGAGTTGCTGTGCTGAAGTTGGTGTTCCTCTAGACTTGGGACAGTGTTCTCGGGGCATCTCTGGAGTTGCCTGAAGGAAGTCGAGCCACCGGTCGTGTTGAATGGGGAACGGGGAATGGCTCTGGAGTCAATGCAGAGGAATCGGGCCTCATCTCGAGTTAATTTGGGGCACATGGACCTGCTTTGCGTTGCTGGGGTGACCTCAGGGTCCGTCTAGACTGGTGACAGTGTTCTTGGGGAATGTCTCAAGATCCATTAAGCAAATCGAAGCTCCTGACTTGTTTGAATGGTATCACGGAATAGCTCTGCATGCACTGCAGGGGAATGGGGCCTCATCTCGCCTCTAGGGGGAAGTCTCATGGTTTTTCTCGAGTTGCGGCGGGGACCTGGGGTATGTTCTCGACTTACGGCGGGGATGGCCCTTCAAAACACGAGTTTCTTCAGTGACGTCAGGACTCCTGTCTAGTAACGAGGGACACCTCAGGAATCTCTTCGAGGCTTGGCAGGGCCAAAGGGACGCTTCCCGAGGTGAGGCAGGGCACCCAAGGACCCTTTCCAGTAGCCACAGGGATTTTGGGATTCCTATCAGTATTCAAGAGGAGTCAGGCATCGTCACCTTTTGAAGCAATGAACTCCGTGTGCCTCTCGAGGTGTCAGCGGGATGTGAGGCATTCCGTCAAAATGAGGCAGGGACCTAGGGCTTTCTCTAAGGTCTCCACAGGGGATTCAGACATCCCTTCATGTTGTGAGATGAAAGACGAGCCTGTATTCAAGCCACTGCAAGGAAATCCGGCCTCCTTTCAAGTGAGGGCTTCTCGCTGTATATTCCCCTTGAGGCAGCAAACTCGGGGTCCCTCCCACATACCTATTGCTGAGAGAAGCCTCCTCCTGAGGTGCTTCTGGGAAGTTGGCATACGTCTTGAGCCTAAGCCAGGGAATCAGCTCGCATCTCGAGACGATTTGGGGTACACGGAGCATTCCTCGAGTTGCTGTGCTGAAGTTGGTGTTCCTCTAGACTTGGGACAGTGTTCTCGGGGCATCCCTGGAGTTGCCTGAAGGAAGTCGAGCCACCGGTCGTGTTGAATGGGGAACGGGGAATGGCTCTGGAGTCAATGCAGGGGAATCGGGCCTCATCTCGAGTTGATTTGGGGCACATGGAGCTGCTTTGCGTTGCTGGGGTGACCTCAGGGTCCGTCTAGACTGGTGACAGTGTTCTTGGGGACTGTCTCGAGATCCATTAAGCAAGTCGAAGCTCCTGACTTGTTTGAATGGGATCACGGAATAGCTCTGCATGCACTGCAGGGGAATGGGGCCTCATCTCGCCTCTAGGGGGAAGTCTCATGGTTTTTCTCGAGTTGCGGCGGGGACCTGGGGTATGTTCTCGACTTACGGCGGGGATGGCCCTTCAAAACACGAGTTTCTTCAGTGACGTCAGGACTCCTGTCTAGTAACGAGGGACACCTCAGGAATCTCTTCGAGGCTTGGCAGGGCCAAAGGGACGCTTCTCGAGGTGAGGCAGGGCACCCAAGGACCCTTTCCAGTAGCCACAGGGATTTTGGGATTCCTATCAGTATTCAAGAGGAGTCAGGCATCGTCACCTTTTGAAGCAATGAACTCCGCGTGCCTCTCGAGGTGTCAGCGGGATGTGAGGCATTCCGTCAAAATGAGGCAGGGACCTAGGGCTTTCTCTAAGGTCTCCACAGGGGATTCAGACATCCCTTCATGTTGTGAGATGAAAGACGAGCCTGTATTCAAGCCACTGCAAGGAAATCCGGCCTCCTTTCAAGTGAGGGCTTCTCGCTGTATATTCCCCTTGAGGCAGCAAACTCGGGGTCCCTCCCACATACCTATTGCTGAGAGAAGCCTCCTCCTGAGGTGCTTCTGGGAAGTTGGCATACGTCTTGAGCCTAAGCCAGGGAATCAGCTCGCATCTCGAGACGATTTGGGGTACACGGAGCATTCCTCGAGTTGCTGTGCTGAAGTTGGTGTTCCTCTAGACTTGGGACAGTGTTCTCGGGGCATCTCTGGAGTTGCCTGAAGGAAGTCGAGCCACCGGTCGTGTTGAATGGGGAACGGGGAATGGCTCTGGAGTCAATGCAGGGGAATCGGGCCTCATCTCGAGTTGATTTGGGGCACATGGAGCTGCTTTGCGTTGCTGGGGTGACCTCAGGGTCCGTCTAGACTGGTGACAGTGTTCTTGGGGACTGTCTCGAGATCCATTAAGCAAGTCGAAGCTCCTGACTTGTTTGAATGGGATCACGGAATAGCTCTGCATGCACTGCAGGGGAATGGGGCCTCATCTCGCCTCTAGGGGGAAGTCTCATGGTTTTTCTCGAGTTGCGGCGGGGACCTGGGGTATGTTCTCGACTTACGGCGGGGATGGCCCTTCAAAACACGAGTTTCTTCAGTGACGTCAGGACTCCTGTCTAGTAACGAGGGACACCTCAGGAATCTCTTCGAGGCTTGGCAGGGCCAAAGGGACGCTTCTCGAGGTGAGGCAGGGCACCCAAGGACCCTTTCCAGTAGCCACAGGGATTTTGGGATTCCTATCAGTATTCAAGAGGAGTCAGGCATCGTCACCTTTTGAAGCAATGAACTCCGCGTGCCTCTCGAGGTGTCAGCGGGATGTGAGGCATTCCGTCAAAATGAGGCAGGGACCTAGGGCTTTCTCTAAGGTCTCCACAGGGGATTCAGACATCCCTTCATGTTGTGAGATGAAAGACGAGCCTGTATTCAAGCCACTGCAAGGAAATCCGGCCTCCTTTCAAGTGAGGGCTTCTCGCTGTATATTCCCCTTGAGGCAGCAAACTCGGGGTCCCTCCCACATACCTATTGCTGAGAGAAGCCTCCTCCTGAGGTGCTTCTGGGAAGTTGGCATACGTCTTGAGCCTAAGCCAGGGAATCAGCTCGCATCTCGAGACGATTTGGGGTACACGGAGCATTCCTCGAGTTGCTGTGCTGAAGTTGGTGTTCCTCTAGACTTGGGACAGTGTTCTCGGGGCATCTCTGGAGTTGCCTGAAGGAAGTCGAGCCACCGGTCGTGTTGAATGGGGAACGGGGAATGGCTCTGGAGTCAATGCAGGGGAATCGGGCCTCATCTCGAGTTGATTTGGGGCACATGGAGCTGCTTTGCGTTGCTGGGGTGACCTCAGGGTCCGTCTAGACTGGTGACAGTGTTCTTGGGGACTCTCTCGAGATCCATTAAGCAAGTCGAAGCTCCTGACTTGTTTGAATGGGATCACGGAATAGCTCTGCATGCACTGCAGGGGAATGGGGCCTCATCTCGCCTCTAGGGGGAAGTCTCATGGTTTTTCTCGAGTTGCGGCGGGGACCTGGGGTATGTTCTCGACTTAGGCGGGGATGGCCCTTCAAAACACGAGTTTCTTCAGTGAGGTCAGGACTCCTGTCTAGTAACGAGGGACACCTCAGGAATCTCTTCGAGGCTTGGCAGGGCCAAAGGGACGCTTCTCGAGGTGAGGCAGGGCACCCAAGGACCCTTTCCAGTAGCCACAGGGATTTTGGGATTCCTATCAGTATTCAAGAGGAGTCAGGCATCGTCACCTTTTGAAGCAATGAACTCCGCGTGCCTCTCGAGGTGTCAGCGGGATGTGAGGCATTCCGTCAAAATTAGGCAGGGACCTAGGGCTTTCTCTAAGGTCTCCACAGGGGATTCAGACATCCCTTCATGTTGTGAGATGAAAGACGAGCCTGTATTCAAGCCACTGCAAGGAAATCCGGCCTCCTTTCAAGTGAGGGCTTCTCGCTGTATATTCCCCTTGAGGCAGCAAACTCGGGGTCCCTCCCACATACCTATTGCTGAGAGAAGCCTCCTCCTGAGGTGCTTCTGGGAAGTTGGCATACGTCTTGAGCCTAAGCCAGGGAATCAGCTCGCATCTCGAGACGATTTGGGGTACACGGAGCATTCCTCGAGTTGCTGTGCTGAAGTTGGTGTTCCTCTAGACTTGGGACAGTGTTCTCGGGGCATCTCTGGAGTTGCCTGAAGGAAGTCGAGCCACCGGTCGTGTTGAATGGGGAACGGGGAATGGCTCTGGAGTCAATGCAGGGGAATCGGGCCTCATCTCGAGTTGATTTGGGGCACATGGAGCTGCTTTGCGTTGCTGGGGTGACCTCAGGGTCCGTCTAGACTGGTGACAGTGTTCTTGGGGACTGTCTCGAGATCCATTAAGCAAGTCGAAGCTCCTGACTTGTTTGAATGGGATCACGGAATAGCTCTGCATGCACTGCAGGGGAATGGGGCCTCATCTCGCCTCTAGGGGGAAGTCTCATGGTTTTTCTCGAGTTGCGGCGGGGACCTGGGGTATGTTCTCGACTTACGGCGGGGATGGCCCTTCAAAACACGAGTTTCTTCAGTGACGTCAGGACTCCTGTCTAGTAACGAGGGACACCTCAGGAATCTCTTCGAGGCTTGGCAGGGCCAAAGGGACGCTTCTCGAGGTGAGGCAGGGCACCCAAGGACCCTTTCCAGTAGCCACAGGGATTTTGGGATTCCTATCAGTATTCAAGAGGAGTCAGGCATCGTCACCTTTTGAAGCAATGAACTCCGCGTGCCTCTCGAGGTGTCAGCGGGATGTGAGGCATTCCGTCAAAATGAGGCAGGGACCTAGGGCTTTCTCTAAGGTCTCCACAGGGGATTCAGACATCCCTTCATGTTGTGAGATGAAAGACGAGCCTGTATTCAAGCCACTGCAAGGAAATCCGGCCTCCTTTCAAGTGAGGGCTTCTCGCTGTATATTCCCCTTGAGGCAGCAAACTCGGGGTCCCTCCCACATACCTATTGCTGAGAGAAGCCTCCTCCTGAGGTGCTTCTGGGAAGTTGGCATACGTCTTGAGCCTAAGCCAGGGAATCAGCTCGCATCTCGAGACGATTTGGGGTGCACGGAGCATTCCTCGAGTTGCTGTGCTGAAGTTGGTGTTCCTCTAGACTTGGGACAGTGTTCTCGGGGCATCTCTGGAGTTGCCTGAAGGAAGTCGAGCCACCGGTCGTGTTGAATGGGGAACGGGGAATGGCTCTGGAGTCAATGCAGGGGAATCGGGCCTCATCTCGAGTTGATTTGGGGCACATGGAGCTGCTTTGCGTTGCTGGGGTGACCTCAGGGTCCGTCTAGACTGGTGACAGTGTTCTTGGGGACTGTCTCGAGATCCATTAAGCAAGTCGAAGCTCCTGACTTGTTTGAATGGGATCACGGAATAGCTCTGCATGCACTGCAGGGGAATGGGGCCTCATCTCGCCTCTAGGGGGAAGTCTCATGGTTTTTCTCGAGTTGCGGCGGGGACCTGGGGTATGTTCTCGACTTACGGCGGGGATGGCCCTTCAAAACACGAGTTTCTTCAGTGACGTCAGGACTCCTGTCTAGTAACGAGGGACACCTCAGGAATCTCTTCGAGGCTTGGCAGGGCCAAAGGGACGCTTCCCGAGGTGAGGCAGGGCACCCAAGGACCCTTTCCAGTAGCCACAGGGATTTTGGGATTCCTATCAGTATTCAAGAGGAGTCAGGCATCGTCACCTTTTGAAGCAATGAACTCCGCGTGCCTCTCGAGGTGTCAGCGGGATGTGAGGCATTCCGTCAAAATTAGGCAGGGACCTAGGGCTTTCTCTAAGGTCTCCACAGGGGATTCAGACATCCCTTCATGTTGTGAGATGAAAGACGAGCCTGTATTCAAGCCACTGCAAGGAAATCCGGCCTCCTTTCAAGTGAGGGCTTCTCGCTGTATATTCCCCTTGAGGCAGCAAACTCGGGGTCCCTCCCCCATACCTATTGCTGAGAGAAGCCTCCTCCTGAGGTGCTTCTGGGAAGTTGGCATACGTCTTGAGCCTAAGCCAGGGAATCAGCTCGCATCTCGAGACGATTTGGGGTACACGGAGCATTCCTCGAGTTGCTGTGCTGAAGTTGGTGTTCCTCTAGACTTGGGACAGTGTTCTCGGGGCATCTCTGGAGTTGCCTGAAGGAAGTCGAGCCACCGGTCGTGTTGAATGGGGAACGGGGAATGGCTCTGGAGTCAATGCAGGGGAATCGGGCCTCATCTCGAGTTGATTTGGGGCACATGGAGCTGCTTTGCGTTGCTGGGGTGACCTCAGGGTCCGTCTAGACTGGTGACAGTGTTCTTGGGGACTGTCTCGAGATCCATTAAGCAAGTCGAAGCTCCTGACTTGTTTGAATGGGATCACGGAATAGCTCTGCATGCACTGCAGGGGAATGGGGCCTCATCTCGCCTCTAGGGGGAAGTCTCATGGTTTTTCTCGAGTTGCGGCGGGGACCTGGGGTATGTTCTCGACTTACGGCGGGGATGGCCCTTCAAAACACGAGTTTCTTCAGTGACGTCAGGACTCCTGTCTAGTAACGAGGGACACCTCAGGAATCTCTTCGAGGCTTGGCAGGGCCAAAGGGACGCTTCCCGAGGTGAGGCAGGGCACCCAAGGACCCTTTCCAGTAGCCACAGGGATTTTGGGATTCCTATCAGTATTCAAGAGGAGTCAGGCATCGTCACCTTTTGAAGCAATGAACTCAGCGTGCCTCTCGAGGTGTCAGCGGGATGTGAGGCATTCCGTCAAAATGAGGCAGGGACCTAGGGCTTTCTCTAAGGTCTCCACAGGGGATTCAGACATCCCTTCATGTTGTGAGATGAAAGACGAGCCTGTATTCAAGCCACTGCAAGGAAATCCGGCCTCCTTTCAAGTGAGGGCTTCTCGCTGTATATTCCCCTTGAGGCAGCAAACTCGGGGTCCCTCCCACATACCTATTGCTGAGAGAAGCCTCCTCCTGAGGTGCTTCTGGGAAGTTGGCATACGTCTTGAGCCTAAGCCAGGGAATCAGCTCGCATCTCGAGACGATTTGGGGTACACGGAGCATTCCTCGAGTTGCTGTGCTGAAGTTGGTGTTCCTCTAGACTTGGGACAGTGTTCTCGGGGCATCTCTGGAGTTGCCTGAAGGAAGTCGAGCCACCGGTCGTGTTGAATGGGGAACGGGGAATGGCTCTGGAGTCAATGCAGGGGAATCGGGCCTCATCTCGAGTTGATTTGGGGCACATGGAGCTGCTTTGCGTTGCTGGGGTGACCTCAGGGTCCGTCTAGACTGGTGACAGTGTTCTTGGGGACTGTCTCGAGATCCATTAAGCAAGTCGAAGCTCCTGACTTGTTTGAATGGGATCACGGAATAGCTCTGCATGCACTGCAGGGGAATGGGGCCTCATCTCGCCTCTAGGGGGAAGTCTCATGGTTTTTCTCGAGTTGCGGCGGGGACCTGGGGTATGTTCTCGACTTAAGGCGGGGATGGCCCTTCAAAACACGAGTTTCTTCAGTGACGTCAGGACTCCTGTCTAGTAACGAGGGACACCTCAGGAATCTCTTCGAGGCTTGGCAGGGCCAAAGGGACGCTTCTCGAGGTGAGGCAGGGCACCCAAGGACCCTTTCCAGTAGCCACAGGGATTTTGGGATTCCTATCAGTATTCAAGAGGAGTCAGGCATCGTCACCTTTTGAAGCAATGAACTCCGCGTGCCTCTCGAGGTGTCAGCGGGATGTGAGGCATTCCGTCAAAATGAGGCAGGGACCTAGGGCTTTCTCTAAGGTCTCCACAGGGGATTCAGACATCCCTTCATGTTGTGAGATGAAAGACGAGCCTGTATTCAAGCCACTGCAAGGAAATCCGGCCTCCTTTCAAGTGAGGGCTTCTCGCTGTATATTCCCCTTGTGGCAGCAAACTCGGGGTCCCTCCCACATACCTATTGCTGAGAGAAGCCTCCTCCTGAGGTGCTTCTGGGAAGTTGGCATACGTCTTGAGCCTAAGCCAGGGAATCAGCTCGCATCTCGAGACGATTTGGGGTACACGGAGCATTCCTCGAGTTGCTGTGCTGAAGTTGGTGTTCCTCTAGACTTGGGACAGTGTTCTCGGGGCATCTCTGGAGTTGCCTGAAGGAAGTCGAGCCACCGGTCGTGTTGAATGGGGAACGGGGAATGGCTCTGGAGTCAATGCAGGGGAATCGGGCCTCATCTCGAGTTGATTTGGGGCACATGGAGCTGCTTTGCGTTGCTGGGGTGACCTCAGGGTCCGTCTAGACTGGTGACAGTGTTCTTGGGGACTGTCTCGAGATCCATTAAGCAAGTCGAAGCTCCTGACTTGTTTGAATGGGATCACGGAATAGCTCTGCATGCACTGCAGGGGAATGGGGCCTCATCTCGCCTCTAGGGGGAAGTCTCATGGTTTTTCTCGAGTTGCGGCGGGGACCTGGGGTATGTTCTCGACTTACGGCGGGGATGGCCCTTCAAAACACGAGTTTCTTCAGTGACGTCAGGACTCCTGTCTAGTAACGAGGGACACCTCAGGAATCTCTTCGAGGCTTGGCAGGGCCAAAGGGACGCTTCTCGAGGTGAGGCAGGGCACCCAAGGACCCTTTCCAGTAGCCACAGGGATTTTGGGATTCCTATCAGTATTCAAGAGGAGTCAGGCATCGTCACCTTTTGAAGCAATGAACTCCGCGTGCCTCTCGAGGTGTCAGCGGGATGTGAGGCATTCCGTCAAAATGAGGCAGGGACCTAGGGCTTTCTCTAAGGTCTCCACAGGGGATTCAGACATCCCTTCATGTTGTGAGATGAAAGACGAGCCTGTATTCAAGCCACTGCAAGGAAATCCGGCCTCCTTTCAAGTTAGGGCTTCTCGCTGTATATTCCCCTTGAGGCAGCAAACTCGGGGTCCCTCCCACATACCTATTGCTGAGAGAAGCCTCCTCCTGAGGTGCTTCTGGGAAGTTGGCATACGTCTTGAGCCTAAGCCAGGGAATCAGCTCGCATCTCGAGACGATTTGGGGTACACGGAGCATTCCTCGAGTTGCTGTGCTGAAGTTGGTGTTCCTCTAGACTTGGGACAGTGTTCTCGGGGCATCTCTGGAGTTGCCTGAAGGAAGTCGAGCCACCGGTCGTGTTGAATGGGGAACGGGGAATGGCTCTGGAGTCAATGCAGGGGAATCGGGCCTCATCTCGAGTTGATTTGGGGCACATGGAGCTGCTTTGCGTTGCTGGGGTGACCTCAGGGTCCGTCTAGACTGGTGACAGTGTTCTTGGGGACTGTCTCGAGATCCATTAAGCAAGTCGAAGCTCCTGACTTGTTTGAATGGGATCACGGAATAGCTCTGCATGCACTGCAGGGGAATGGGGCCTCATCTCGCCTCTAGGGGGAAGTCTCATGGTTTTTCTCGAGTTGCGGCGGGGACCTGGGGGATGTTCTCGACTTACGGCGGGGATGGCCCTTCAAAACACGAGTTTCTTCAGTGACGTCAGGACTCCTGTCTAGTAACGAGGGACACCTCAGGAATCTCTTCGAGGCTTGGCAGGGCCAAAGGGACGCTTCTCGAGGTGAGGCAGGGCACCCAAGGACCCTTTCCAGTAGCCACAGGGATTTTGGGATTCCTATCAGTATTCAAGAGGAGTCAGGCATCGTCACCTTTTGAAGCAATGAACTCCGCGTGCCTCTCGAGGTGTCAGCGGGATGTGAGGCATTCCGTCAAAATGAGGCAGGGACCTAGGGCTTTCTCTAAGGTCTCCACAGGGGATTCAGACATCCCTTCATGTTGTGAGATGAAAGACGAGCCTGTATTCAAGCCACTGCAAGGAAATCCGCCCTCCTTTCAAGTGAGGGCTTCTCGCTGTATATTCCCCTTGAGGCAGCAAACTCGGGGTCCCTCCCACATACCTATTGCTGAGAGAAGCCTCCTCCTGAGGTGCTTCTGGGAAGTTGGCATACGTCTTGAGCCTAAGCCAGGGAATCAGCTCGCATCTCGAGACGATTTGGGGTACACGGAGCATTCCTCGAGTTGCTGTGCTGAAGTTGGTGTTCCTCTAGACTTGGGACAGTGTTCTCGGGGCATCTCTGGAGTTGCCTGAAGGAAGTCGAGCCACCGGTCGTGTTGAAGGGGGAACAGGGAATGGCTCTGGAGTCAATGCAGGGGAATCGGGCCTCATCTCGAGTTGATTTGGGGCACATGGAGCTGCTTTGCGTTGCTGGGGTGACCTCAGGGTCCGTCTAGACTGGTGACAGTGTTCTTGGGGACTGTCTCGAGATCCATTAAGCAAGTCGAAGCTCCTGACTTGTTTGAATGGGATCACGGAATAGCTCTGCATGCACTGCAGGGGAATGGGGCCTCATCTCGCCTCTAGGGGGAAGTCTCATGGTTTTTCTCGAGTTGCGGCGGGGACCTGGGGTATGTTCTCGACTTACGGCGGGGATGGCCCTTCAAAACACGAGTTTCTTCAGTGACGTCAGGACTCCTGTCTAGTAACGAGGGACACCTCAGGAATCTCTTCGAGGCTTGGCAGGGCCAAAGGGACGCTTCTCGAGGTGAGGCAGGGCACCCAAGGACCCTTTCCAGTAGCCACAGGGATTTTGGGATTCCTATCAGTATTCAAGAGGAGTCAGGCATCGTCACCTTTTGAAGCAATGAACTCCGCGTGCCTCTCGAGGTGTCAGCGGGATGTGAGGCATTCCGTCAAAATGAGGCAGGGACCTAGGGCTTTCTCTAAGGTCTCCACAGGGGATTCAGACATCCCTTCATGTTGTGAGATGAAAGACGAGCCTGTATTCAAGCCACTGCAAGGAAATCCGGCCTCCTTTCAAGTGAGGGCTTCTCGCTGTATATTCCCCTTGAGGCAGCAAACTCGGGGTCCCTCCCACATACCTATTGCTGAGAGAAGCCTCCTCCTGAGGTGCTTCTGGGAAGTTGGCATACGTCTTGAGCCTAAGCCAGGGAATCAGCTCGCATCTCGAGACGATTTGGGGTGCACGGAGCATTCCTCGAGTTGCTGTGCTGAAGTTGGTGTTCCTCTAGACTTGGGACAGTGTTCTCGGGGCATCTCTGGAGTTGCCTGAAGGAAGTCGAGCCACCGGTCGTGTTGAATGGGGAACGGGGAATGGCTCTGGAGTCAATGCAGGGGAATCGGGCCTCATCTCGAGTTGATTTGGGGCACATGGAGCTGCTTTGCGTTGCTGGGGTGATCTCAGGGTCCGTCTAGACTGGTGACAGTGTTCTCGGGGACTGTCTCGAGATCCATTAAGCAAGTCGAAGCTCCTGACTTGTTTGAATGGGATCACGGAATAGCTCTGCATGCACTGCAGGGGAATGGGGCCTCATCTCGCCTCTAGGGGGAAGTCTCATGGTTTTTCTCGAGTTGCGGCGGGGACCTGGGGTATGTTCTCGACTTACGGCGGGGATGGCCCTTCAAAACACGAGTTTCTTCAGTGACGTCAGGACTCCTGTCTAGTAACGAGGGACACCTCAGGAATCTCTTCGAGGCTTGGCAGGGCCAAAGGGACGCTTCCCGAGGTGAGGCAGGGCACCCAAGGACCCTTTCCAGTAGCCACAGGGATTTTGGGATTCCTATCAGTATTCAAGAGGAGTCAGGCATCGTCACCTTTTGAAGCAATGAACTCCGCGTGCCTCTCGAGGTGTCAGCGGGATGTGAGGCATTCCGTCAAAATTAGGCAGGGACCTAGGGCTTTCTCTAAGGTCTCCACAGGGGATTCAGACATCCCTTCATGTTGTGAGATGAAAGACGAGCCTGTATTCAAGCCACTGCAAGGAAATCCGGCCTCCTTTCAAGTGAGGGCTTCTCGCTGTATATTCCCCTTGAGGCAGCAAACTCGGGGTCCCTCCCCCATACCTATTGCTGAGAGAAGCCTCCTCCTGAGGTGCTTCTGGGAAGTTGGCATACGTCTTGAGCCTAAGCCAGGGAATCAGCTCGCATCTCGAGACGATTTGGGGTACACGGAGCATTCCTCGAGTTGCTGTGCTGAAGTTGGTGTTCCTCTAGACTTGGGACAGTGTTCTCGGGGCATCTCTGGAGTTGCCTGAAGGAAGTCGAGCCACCGGTCGTGTTGAATGGGGAACGGGGAATGGCTCTGGAGTCAATGCAGGGGAATCGGGCCTCATCTCGAGTTGATTTGGGGCACATGGAGCTGCTTTGCGTTGCTGGGGTGACCTCAGGGTCCGTCTAGACTGGTGACAGTGTTCTTGGGGACTGTCTCGAGATCCATTAAGCAAGTCGAAGCTCCTGACTTGTTTGAATGGGATCACGGAATAGCTCTGCATGCACTGCAGGGGAATGGGGCCTCATCTCGCCTCTAGGGGGAAGTCTCATGGTTTTTCTCGAGTTGCGGCGGGGACCTGGGGTATGTTCTCGACTTACGGCGGGGATGGCCCTTCAAAACACGAGTTTCTTCAGTGACGTCAGGACTCCTGTCTAGTAACGAGGGACACCTCAGGAATCTCTTCGAGGCTTGGCAGGGCCAAAGGGACGCTTCCCGAGGTGAGGCAGGGCACCCAAGGACCCTTTCCAGTAGCCACAGGGATTTTGGGATTCCTATCAGTATTCAAGAGGAGTCAGGCATCGTCACCTTTTGAAGCAATGAACTCAGCGTGCCTCTCGAGGTGTCAGCGGGATGTGAGGCATTCCGTCAAAATGAGGCAGGGACCTAGGGCTTTCTCTAAGGTCTCCACAGGGGATTCAGGCATCCCTTCATGTTGTGAGATGAAAGACGAGCCTGTATTCAAGCCACTGCAAGGAAATCCGGCCTCCTTTCAAGTGAGGGCTTCTCGCTGTATATTCCCCTTGAGGCAGCAAACTCGGGGTCCCTCCCACATACCTATTGCTGAGAGAAGCCTCCTCCTGAGGTGCTTCTGGGAAGTTGGCATACGTCTTGAGCCTAAGCCAGGGAATCAGCTCGCATCTCGAGACGATTTGGGGTACACGGAGCATTCCTCGAGTTGCTGTGCTGAAGTTGGTGTTCCTCTAGACTTGGGACAGTGTTCTCGGGGCATCTCTGGAGTTGCCTGAAGGAAGTCGAGCCACCGGTCGTGTTGAATGGGGAACGGGGAATGGCTCTGGAGTCAATGCAGGGGAATCGGGCCTCATCTCGAGTTGATTTGGGGCACATGGAGCTGCTTTGCGTTGCTGGGGTGACCTCAGGGTCCGTCTAGACTGGTGACAGTGTTCTTGGGGACTGTCTCGAGATCCATTAAGCAAGTCGAAGCTCCTGACTTGTTTGAATGGGATCACGGAATAGCTCTGCATGCACTGCAGGGGAATGGGGCCTCATCTCGCCTCTAGGGGGAAGTCTCATGGTTTTTCTCGAGTTGCGGCGGGGACCTGGGGTATGTTCTCGACTTAAGGCGGGGATGGCCCTTCAAAACACGAGTTTCTTCAGTGACGTCAGGACTCCTGTCTAGTAACGAGGGACACCTCAGGAATCTCTTCGAGGCTTGGCAGGGCCAAAGGGACGCTTCTCGAGGTGAGGCAGGGCACCCAAGGACCCTTTCCAGTAGCCACAGGGATTTTGGGATTCCTATCAGTATTCAAGAGGAGTCAGGCATCGTCACCTTTTGAAGCAATGAACTCCGCGTGCCTCTCGAGGTGTCAGCGGGATGTGAGGCATTCCGTCAAAATGAGGCAGGGACCTAGGGCTTTCTCTAAGGTCTCCACAGGGGATTCAGACATCCCTTCATGTTGTGAGATGAAAGACGAGCCTGTATTCAAGCCAGTGCAAGGAAATCCGGCCTCCTTTCAAGTGAGGGCTTCTCGCTGTATATTCCCCTTGAGGCAGCAAACTCGGGGTCCCTCCCACATACCTATTGCTGAGAGAAGCCTCCTCCTGAGGTGCTTCTGGGAAGTTGGCATACGTCTTGAGCCTAAGCCAGGGAATCAGCTCGCATCTCGAGACGATTTGGGGTACACGGAGCATTCCTCGAGTTGCTGTGCTGAAGTTGGTGTTCCTCTAGACTTGGGACAGTGTTCTCGGGGCATCTCTGGAGTTGCCTGAAGGAAGTCGAGCCACCGGTCGTGTTGAATGGGGAACGGGGAATGGCTCTGGAGTCAATGCAGGGGAATCGGGCCTCATCTCGAGTTGATTTGGGGCACATGGAGCTGCTTTGCGTTGCTGGGGTGACCTCAGGGTCCGTCTAGACTGGTGACAGTGTTCTTGGGGACTGTCTCGAGATCCATTAAGCAAGTCGAAGCTCCTGACTTGTTTGAATGGGATCACGGAATAGCTCTGCATGCACTGCAGGGGAATGGGGCCTCATCTCGCCTCTAGGGGGAAGTCTCATGGTTTTTCTCGAGTTGCGGCGGGGACCTGGGGTATGTTCTCGACTTACGGCGGGGATGGCCCTTCAAAACACGAGTTTCTTCAGTGACGTCAGGACTCCTGTCTAGTAACGAGGGACACCTCAGGAATCTCTTCGAGGCTTGGCAGGGCCAAAGGGACGCTTCTCGAGGTGAGGCAGGGCACCCAAGGACCCTTTCCAGTAGCCACAGGGATTTTGGGATTCCTATCAGTATTCAAGAGGAGTCAGGCATCGTCACCTTTTGAAGCAATGAACTCCGCGTGCCTCTCGAGGTGTCAGCGGGATGTGAGGCATTCCGTCAAAATGAGGCAGGGACCTAGGGCTTTCTCTAAGGTCTCCACAGGGGATTCAGACATCCCTTCATGTTGTGAGATGAAAGACGAGCCTGTATTCAAGCCACTGCAAGGAAATCCGGCCTCCTTTCAAGTTAGGGCTTCTCGCTGTATATTCCCCTTGAGGCAGCAAACTCGGGGTCCCTCCCACATACCTATTGCTGAGAGAAGCCTCCTCCTGAGGTGCTTCTGGGAAGTTGGCATACGTCTTGAGCCTAAGCCAGGGAATCAGCTCGCATCTCGAGACGATTTGGGGTACACGGAGCATTCCTCGAGTTGCTGTGCTGAAGTTGGTGTTCCTCTAGACTTGGGACAGTGTTCTCGGGGCATCTCTGGAGTTGCCTGAAGGAAGTCGAGCCACCGGTCGTGTTGAATGGGGAACGGGGAATGGCTCTGGAGTCAATGCAGGGGAATCGGGCCTCATCTCGAGTTGATTTGGGGCACATGGAGCTGCTTTGCGTTGCTGGGGTGACCTCAGGGTCCGTCTAGACTGGTGACAGTGTTCTTGGGGACTGTCTCGAGATCCATTAAGCAAGTCGAAGCTCCTGACTTGTTTGAATGGGATCACGGAATAGCTCTGCATGCACTGCAGGGGAATGGGGCCTCATCTCGCCTCTAGGGGGAAGTCTCATGGTTTTTCTCGAGTTGCGGCGGGGACCTGGGGTATGTTCTCGACTTACGGCGGGGATGGCCCTTCAAAACACGAGTTTCTTCAGTGACGTCAGGACTCCTGTCTAGTAACGAGGGACACCTCAGGAATCTCTTCGAGGCTTGGCAGGGCCAAAGGGACGCTTCTCGAGGTGAGGCAGGGCACCCAAGGACCCTTTCCAGTAGCCACAGGGATTTTGGGATTCCTATCAGTATTCAAGAGGAGTCAGGCATCGTCACCTTTTGAAGCAATGAACTCCGCGTGCCTCTCGAGGTGTCAGCGGGATGTGAGGCATTCCGTCAAAATGAGGCAGGGACCTAGGGCTTTCTCTAAGGTCTCCACAGGGGATTCAGACATCCCTTCATGTTGTGAGATGAAAGACGAGCCTGTATTCAAGCCACTGCAAGGAAATCCGCCCTCCTTTCAAGTGAGGGCTTCTCGCTGTATATTCCCCTTGAGGCAGCAAACTCGGGGTCCCTCCCACATACCTATTGCTGAGAGAAGCCTCCTCCTGAGGTGCTTCTGGGAAGTTGGCATACGTCTTGAGCCTAAGCCAGGGAATCAGCTCGCATCTCGAGACGATTTGGGGTACACGGAGCATTCCTCGAGTTGCTGTGCTGAAGTTGGTGTTCCTCTAGACTTGGGACAGTGTTCTCGGGGCATCTCTGGAGTTGCCTGAAGGAAGTCGAGCCACCGGTCGTGTTGAATGGGGAACAGGGAATGGCTCTGGAGTCAATGCAGGGGAATCGGGCCTCATCTCGAGTTGATTTGGGGCACATGGAGCTGCTTTGCGTTGCTGGGGTGACCTCAGGGTCCGTCTAGACTGGTGACAGTGTTCTTGGGGACTGTCTCGAGATCCATTAAGCAAGTCGAAGCTCCTGACTTGTTTGAATGGGATCACGGAATAGCTCTGCATGCACTGCAGGGGAATGGGGCCTCATCTCGCCTCTAGGGGGAAGTCTCATGGTTTTTCTCGAGTTGCGGCGGGGACCTGGGGTATGTTCTCGACTTACGGCGGGGATGGCCCTTCAAAACACGAGTTTCTTCAGTGACGTCAGGACTCCTGTCTAGTAACGAGGGACACCTCAGGAATCTCTTCGAGGCTTGGCAGGGCCAAAGGGACGCTTCTCGAGGTGAGGCAGGGCACCCAAGGACCCTTTCCAGTAGCCACAGGGATTTTGGGATTCCTATCAGTATTCAAGAGGAGTCAGGCATCGTCACCTTTTGAAGCAATGAACTCCGCGTGCCTCTCGAGGTGTCAGCGGGATGTGAGGCATTCCGTCAAAATGAGGCAGGGACCTAGGGCTTTCTCTAAGGTCTCCACAGGGGATTCAGACATCCCTTCATGTTGTGAGATGAAAGACGAGCCTGTATTCAAGCCACTGCAAGGAAATCCGGCCTCCTTTCAAGTGAGGGCTTCTCGCTGTATATTCCCCTTGAGGCAGCAAACTCGGGGTCCCTCCCACATACCTATTGCTGAGAGAAGCCTCCTCCTGAGGTGCTTCTGGGAAGTTGGCATACGTCTTGAGCCTAAGCCAGGGAATCAGCTCGCATCTCGAGACGATTTGGGGTGCACGGAGCATTCCTCGAGTTGCTGTGCTGAAGTTGGTGTTCCTCTAGACTTGGGACAGTGTTCTCGGGGCATCTCTGGAGTTGCCTGAAGGAAGTCGAGCCACCGGTCGTGTTGAATGGGGAACGGGGAATGGCTCTGGAGTCAATGCAGGGGAATCGGGCCTCATCTCGAGTTGATTTGGGGCACATGGAGCTGCTTTGCGTTGCTGGGGTGACCTCAGGGTCCGTCTAGACTGGTGACAGTGTTCTCGGGGACTGTCTCGAGATCCATTAAGCAAGTCGAAGCTCCTGACTTGTTTGAATGGGATCACGGAATAGCTCTGCATGCACTGCAGGGGAATGGGGCCTCATCTCGCCTCTAGGGGGAAGTCTCATGGTTTTTCTCGAGTTGCGGCGGGGACCTGGGGTATGTTCTCGACTTACGGCGGGGATGGCCCTTCAAAACACGAGTTTCTTCAGTGACGTCAGGACTCCTGTCTAGTAACGAGGGACACCTCAGGAATCTCTTCGAGGCTTGGCAGGGCCAAAGGGACGCTTCTCGAGGTGAGGCAGGGCACCCAAGGACCCTTTCCAGTAGCCACAGGGATTTTGGGATTCCTATCAGTATTCAAGAGGAGTCAGGCATCGTCACCTTTTGAAGCAATGAACTCCGCGTGCCTCTCGAGGTGTCAGCGGGATGTGAGGCATTCCGTCAAAATGAGGCAGGGACCTAGGGCTTTCTCTAAGGTCTCCACAGGGGATTCAGACATCCCTTCATGTTGTGAGATGAAAGACGAGCCTGTATTCAAGCCACTGCAAGGAAATCCGGCCTCCTTTCAAGTGAGGGCTTCTCGCTGTATATTTCCCGTGAGGCAGCAAACTCGGGGTCCCTCCCACATACCTATTGCTGAGAGAAGCCTCCTCCTGAGGTGCTTCTGGGAAGTTGGCATACGTCTTGAGCCTAAGCCAGGGAATCAGCTCGCATCTCGAGACGATTTGGGGTACACGGAGCATTCCTCGAGTTGCTGTGCTGAAGTTGGTGTTCCTCTAGACTTGGGACAGTGTTCTCGGGGCATCTCTGGAGTTGCCTGAAGGAAGTCGAGCCACCGGTCGTGTTGAATGGGGAACGGGGAATGGCTCTGGAGTCAATGCAGGGGAATCGGGCCTCATCTCGAGTTGATTTGGGGCACATGGAGCTGCTTTGCGTTGCTGGGGTGACCTCAGGGTCCGTCTAGACTGGTGACAGTGTTCTTAGGGACTGTCTCGAGATCCATTAAGCAAGTCGAAGCTCCTGACTTGTTTGAATGGGATCACGGAATAGCTCTGCATGCACTGCAGGGGAATGGGGCCTCATCTCGCCTCTAGGGGGAAGTCTCATGGTTTTTCTCGAGTTGCGGCGGGGACCTGGGGTATGTTCTCGACTTACGGCGGGGATGGCCCTTCAAAACACGAGTTTCTTCAGTGACGTCAGGACTCCTGTCTAGTAACGAGGGACACCTCAGGAATCTCTTCGAGGCTTGGCAGGGCCAAAGGGACGCTTCTCGAGGTGAGGCAGGGCACCCAAGGACCCTTTCCAGTAGCCACAGGGATTTTGGGATTCCTATCAGTATTCAAGAGGAGTCAGGCATAGTCACCTTTTGAAGCAATGAACTCCGCGTGCCTCTCGAGGTGTCAGCGGGATGTGAGGCATTCCGTCAAAATGAGGCAGGGACCTAGGGCTTTCTCTAAGGTCTCCACAGGGGATTCAGACATCCCTTCATGTTGTGAGATGAAAGACGAGCCTGTATTCAAGCCACTGCAAGGAAATCCGGCCTCCTTTCAAGTGAGGGCTTCTCGCTGTATATTCCCCTTGAGGCAGCAAACTCGGGGTCCCTCCCACATACCTATTGCTGAGAGAAGCCTCCTCCTGAGGTGCTTCTGGGAAGTTGGCATACGTCTTGAGCCTAAGCCAGGGAATCAGCTCGCATCTCGAGACGATTTGGGGTACACGGAGCATTCCTCGAGTTGCTGTGCTGAAGTTGGTGTTCCTCTAGACTTGGGACAGTGTTCTCGGGGCATCTCTGGAGTTGCCTGAAGGAAGTCGAGCCACCGGTCGTGTTGAATGGGGAACGGGGAATGGCTCTGGAGTCAATGCAGGGGAATCGGGCCTCATCTCGAGTTGATTTGGGGCACATGGAGCTGCTTTGCGTTGCTGGGGTGACCTCAGGGTCCGTCTAGACTGGTGACAGTGTTCTTGGGGACTGTCTCGAGATCCATTAAGCAAGTCGAAGCTCCTGACTTGTTTGAATGGGATCACGGAATAGCTCTGCATGCACTGCAGGGGAATGGGGCCTCATCTCGCCTCTAGGGGGAAGTCTCATGGTTTTTCTCGAGTTGCGGCGGGGACCTGGGGTATGTTCTCGACTTACGGCGGGGATGGCCCTTCAAAACACGAGTTTCTTCAGTGACGTCAGGACTCCTGTCTAGTAACGAGGGACACCTCAGGAATCTCTTCGAGGCTTGGCAGGGCCAAAGGGACGCTTCTCGAGGTGAGGCAGGGCACCCAAGGACCCTTTCCAGTAGCCACAGGGATTTTGGGATTCCTATCAGTATTCAAGAGGAGTCAGGCATCGTCACCTTTTGAAGCAATGAACTCCGCGTGCCTCTCGAGGTGTCAGCGGGATGTGAGGCATTCCGTCAAAATGAGGCAGGGACCTAGGGCTTTCTCTAAGGTCTCCACAGGGGATTCAGACATCCCTTCATGTTGTGAGGTGAAAGACGAGCCTGTATTCAAGCCACTGCAAGGAAATCCGGCCTCCTTTCAAGTGAGGGCTTCTCGCTGTATATTCCCCTTGAGGCAGCAAACTCGGGGTCCCTCCCACATACCTATTGCTGAGAGAAGCCTCCTCCTGAGGTGCTTCTGGGAAGTTGGCATACGTCTTGAGCCTAAGCCAGGGAATCAGCTCGCATCTCGAGACGATTTGGGGTACACGGAGCATTCCTCGAGTTGCTGTGCTGAAGTTGGTGTTCCTCTAGACTTGGGACAGTGTTCTCGGGGCATCTCTGGAGTTGCCTGAAGGAAGTCGAGCCACTGGTCGTGTTGAATGGGGAACGGGGAATGGCTCTGGAGTCAATGCAGGGGAATCGGGCCTCATCTCGAGTTGATTTGGGGCACATGGAGCTGCTTTGCGTTGCTGGGGTGACCTCAGGGTCCGTCTAGACTGGTGACAGTGTTCTTGGGGACTGTCTCGAGATCCATTAAGCAAGTCGAAGCTCCTGACTTGTTTGAAAGGGATCACGGAATAGCTCTGCATGCACTGCAGGGGAATGGGGCCTCATCTCGCCTCTGGGGGAAGTCTCATGGTTTTTCTCGAGTTGCGGCGGGGACCTGGGGTATGTTCTCGACTTACGGCGGGGATGGCCCTTCAAAACACGAGTTTCTTCAGTGAGGTCAGGACTCCTGTCTAGTAACGAGGGACACCTCAGGAATCTCTTCGAGGCTTGGCAGGGCAAAAGGGACGCTTCTCGAGGTGAGGCAGGGCACCCAAGGACCCTTTCCAGTAGCCACAGGGATTTTGGGATTCCTATCAGTATTCAAGAGGAGTCAGGCATCGTCACCTTTTGAACCAATGAACTCCGCGTGCCTCTCGAGGTGTCAGCGGGATGTGAGGCATTCCGTCAAAATGAGGCAGGGACCTAGGGCTTTCTCTAAGGTCTCCACAGGGGATTCAGACATCCCTTCATGTTGTGAGATGAAAGACGAGCCTGTATTCAAGCCACTGCAAGGAAATCCGGCCTCCTTTCAAGTGAGGGCTTCTCGCTGTATATTCCCCTTGAGGCAGCAAACTCGGGGTCCCTCCCACATACCTATTGCTGAGAGAAGCCTCCTCCTGAGGTGCTTCTGGGAAGTTGGCATACGTCTTGAGCCTAAGCCAGGGAATCAGCTCGCATCTCGAGACGATTTGGGGTACACGGAGCATTCCTCGAGTTGCTGTGCTGAAGTTGGTGTTCCTCTAGACTTGGGACAGTGTTCTCGGGGCATCTCTGGAGTTGCCTGAAGGAAGTCGAGCCACCGGTCGTGTTGAATGGGGAACGGGGAATGGCTCTGGAGTCAATGCAGGGGAATCGGGCCTCATCTCGAGTTGATTTGGGGCACATGGAGCTGCTTTGCGTTGCTGGGGTGACCTCAGGGTCCGTCTAGACTGGTGACAGTGTTCTTGGGGACTGTCTCGAGATCCATTAAGCAAGTCGAAGCTCCTGACTTGTTTGAATGGGATCACGGAATAGCTCTGCATGCACTGCAGGGGAATGGGGCCTCATCTCGCCTCTAGGGGGAAGTCTCATGGTTTTTCTCGAGTTGCGGCGGGGACCTGGGGTATGTTCTCGACTTACGGCGGGGATGGCCCTTCAAAACACGAGTTTCTTCAGTGACGTCAGGACTCCTGTCTAGTAACGAGGGACACCTCAGGAATCTCTTCGAGGCTTGGCAGGGCCAAAGGGACGCTTCCCGAGGTGAGGCAGGGCACCCAAGGACCCTTTCCAGTAGCCACAGGGATTTTGGGATTCCTATCAGTATTCAAGAGGAGTCAGGCATCGTCACCTTTTGAAGCAATGAACTCCGCGTGCCTCTCGAGGTGTCAGCGGGATGTGAGGCATTCCGTCAAAATGAGGCAGGGACCTAGGGCTTTCTCTAAGGTCTCCACAGGGGATTCAGACATCCCTTCATGTTGTGAGATGAAAGACGAGCCTGTATTCAAGCCACTGCAAGGAAATCCGGCCTCCTTTCAAGTGACGGCTTCTCGCTGTATATTCCCCTTGAGGCAGCAAACTCGGGGTCCCTCCCACATACCTATTGCTGAGAGAAGCCTCCTCCTGAGGTGCTTCTGGGAAGTTGGCATACGTCTTGAGCCTAAGCCAGGGAATCAGCTCGCATCTCGAGACGATTTGGGGTAGACGGAGCATTCCTCGAGTTGCTGTGCTGAAGTTGGTGTTCCTCTAGACTTGGGACAGTGTTCTCGGGGCATCTCTGGAGTTGCCTGAAGGAAGTCGAGCCACCGGTCGTGTTGAATGGGGAACGGGGAATGGCTCTGGAGTCAATGCAGGGGAATCGGGCCTCATCTCGAGTTGATTTGGGGCACATGGAGCTGCTTTGCATTGCTGGGGTGACCTCAGGGTCCGTCTAGACTGGTGACAGTGTTCTTGGGGACTCTCTCGAGATCCATTAAGCAAGTCGAAGCTCCTGACTTGTTTGAATGGGATCACGGAATAGCTCTGCATGCACTGCAGGGGAATGGGGCCTCATCTCGCCTCTAGGGGGAAGTCTCATGGTTTTTCTCGAGTTGCGGCGGGGACCTGGGGTATGTTCTCGACTTACGGCGGGGATGGCCCTTCAAAACACGAGTTTCTTCAGTGACGTCAGGACTCCTGTCTAGTAACGAGGGACACCTCAGGAATCTCTTCGAGGCTTGGCAGGGCCAAAGGGACGCTTCTCGAGGTGAGGCAGGGCACCCAAGGACCCTTTCCAGTAGCCACAGGGATTTTGGGATTCCTATCAGTATTCAAGAGGAGTCAGGCATCGTCACCTTTTGAAGCAATGAACTCCGCGTGCCTCTCGAGGTGTCAGCGGGATGTGAGGCATTCCGTCAAAATGAGGCAGGGACCTAGGGCTTTCTCTAAGGTCTCCACAGGGGATTCAGACAACCCTTCATGTTGTGAGATGAAAGACGAGCCTGTATTCAAGCCACTGCAAGGAAATCCGGCCTCCTTTCAAGTGAGGGCTTCTCGCTGTATATTCCCCTTGAGGCAGCAAACTCGGGGTCCCTCCCACATACCTATTGCTGAGAGAAGCCTCCTCCTGAGGTGCTTCTGGGAAGTTGGCATACGTCTTGAGCCTAAGCCAGGGAATCAGCTCGCATCTCGAGACGATTTGGGGTAGACGGAGCATTCCTCGAGTTGCTGTGCTGAAGTTGGTGTTCCTCTAGACTTGGGACAGTGTTCTCGGGGCATCTCTGGAGTTGCCTGAAGGAAGTCGAGCCACCGGTCGTGTTGAATGGGGAACGGGGAATGGCTCTGGAGTCAATGCAGGGGAATCGGGCCTCATCTCGAGTTGATTTGGGGCACATGGAGCTGCTTTGCATTGCTGGGGTGACCTCAGGGTCCGTCTAGACTGGTGACAGTGTTCTTGGGGACTCTCTCGAGATCCATTAAGCAAGTCGAAGCTCCTGACTTGTTTGAATGGGATCACGGAATAGCTCTGCATGCACTGCAGGGGAATGGGGCCTCATCTCGCCTCTAGGGGGAAGTCTCATGGTTTTTCTCGAGTTGCAGCGGGGACCTGGGGTATGTTCTCGACTTACGGCGGGGATGGCCCTTCAAAACACGAGTTTCTTCAGTGACGTCAGGACTCCTGTCTAGTAACGAGGGACACCTCAGGAATCTCTTCGAGGCTTGGCAGGGCCAAAGGGACGCTTCTCGAGGTGAGGCAGGGCACCCAAGGACCCTTTCCAGTAGCCACAGGGATTTTGGGATTCCTATCAGTATTCAAGAGGAGTCAGGCATCGTCACCTTTTGAAGCAATGAACTCCGCGTGCCTCTCGAGGTGTCAGCGGGATGTGAGGCATTCCGTCAAAATGAGGCAGGGACCTAGGGCTTTGTCTAAGGTCTCCACAGGGGATTCAGACATCCCTTCATGTTGTGAGGTGAAAGACGAGCCTGTATTCAAGCCACTGCAAGGAAATCCGGCCTCCTTTCAAGTGAGGGCTTCTCGCTGTATATTCCCCTTGAGGCAGCAAACTCGGGGTCCCTCCCACATACCTATTGCTGAGAGAAGCCTCCTCCTGAGGTGCTTCTGGGAAGTTGGCATACGTCTTGAGCCTAAGCCAGGGAATCAGCTCGCATCTCGAGACGATTTGGGGTGCACGGAGCATTCCTCGACTTGCTGTGCTGAAGTTGGTGTTCCTCTAGACTTGGGACAGTGTTCTCGGGGCATCTCTGGAGTTGCCTGAAGGAAGTCGAGCCACCGGTCGTGTTGAATGGGGAACGGGGAATGGCTCTGGAGTCAATGCAGGGGAATCGGGCCTCATCTCGAGTTGATTTGGGGCACATGGAGCTGCTTTGCGTTGCTGGGGTGACCTCAGGGTCCGTCTAGACTGGTGACAGTGTTCTTGGGGACTGTCTCGAGATCCATTAAGCAAGTCGAAGCTCCTGACTTGTTTGAATGGGATCACGGAATAGCTCTGCATGCACTGCAGGGGAATGGGGCCTCATCTCGCCTCTAGGGGGAAGTCTCATGGTTTTTCTCGAGTTGCGGCGGGGACCTGGGGTATGTTCTCGACTTACGGCGGGGATGGCCCTTCAAAACACGAGTTTCTTCAGTGACGTCAGGACTCCTGTCTAGTAACGAGGGACACCTCAGGAATCTCTTCGAGGCTTGGCAGGGCCAAAGGGACGCTTCCCGAGGTGAGGCAGGGCACCCAAGGACCCTTTCCAGTAGCCACAGGGATTTTGGGATTCCTATCAGTATTCAAGAGGAGTCAGGCATCGTCACCTTTTGAAGCAATGAACTCCGCGTGCCTCTCGAGGTGTCAGCGGGATGTGAGGCATTCCGTCAAAATGAGGCAGGGACCTAGGGCTTTCTCTAAGGTCTCCACAGGGGATTCAGACATCCCTTCATGTTGTGAGATGAAAGACGAGCCTGTATTCAAGCCACTGCAAGGAAATCCGGCCTCCTTTCAAGTGAGGGCTTCTCGCTGTATATTCCCCTTGAGGCAGCAAACTCGGGGTCCCTCCCACATACCTATTGCTGAGAGAAGCCTCCTCCTGAGGTGCTTCTGGGAAGTTGGCATACGTCTTGAGCCTAAGCCAGGGAATCAGCTCGCATCTCGAGACGATTTGGGGTACACGGAGCATTCCTCGAGTTGCTGTGCTGAAGTTGGTGTTCCTCTAGACTTGGGACAGTGTTCTCGGGGCATCTCTGGAGTTGCCTGAAGGAAGTCGAGCCACCGGTCGTGTTGAATGGGGAACGGGGAATGGCTCTGGAGTTAATGCAGGGGAATTGGGCCTCATCTCGAGTTGATTTGGGGCACATGGAGCTGCTTTGCGTTGCTGGGGTGACCTCAGGGTCCGTCTAGACTGGTGACAGTGTTCTTGGGGAATGTCTCGAGATCCATTAAGCAAGTCGAAGCTCCTGACTTGTTTGAATGGGATCACGGAATAGCTCTGCATGCACTGCAGGGGAATGGGGCCTCATCTCGCCTCTAGGGGGAAGTCTCATGGTTTTTCTCGAGTTGAGGCGGGGACCTGGGGTATGTTCTCGACTTACGGCGGGGATGGCCCTTCAAAACACGAGTTTCTTCAGTGACGTCAGGACTCCTGTCTAGTAACGAGGGACACCTCAGGAATCTCTTCGAGGCTTGGCAGGGCCAAAGGGACGCTTCCCGAGGTGAGGCAGGGCACCCAAGGACCCTTTCCAGTAGCCACAGGGATTTTGGGATTCCTATCAGTATTCAAGAGGAGTCAGGCATCGTCACCTTTTGAAGCAATGAACTCCGCGTGCCTCTCGAGGTGTCAGCTGGATGTGAGGCATTCCGTCAAAATGAGGCAGGGACCTAGGGCTTTCTCTAAGGTCTCCACAGGGGATTCAGACATCCCTTCATGTTGTGAGATGAAAGACGAGCCTGTATTCAAGCCACTGCAAGGAAATCCGGCCTCCTTTCAAGTGAGGGCTTCTCGCTGTATATTCCCCTTGAGGCAGCAAACTCGGGGTCCCTCCCACATACCTATTGCTGAGAGAAGCCTCCTCCTGAGGTGCTTCTGGGAAGTTGGCATACGTCTTGAGCCTAAGCCAGGGAATCAGCTCGCATCTCGAGACGATTTGGGGTACACGGAGCATTCCTCGAGTTGCTGTGCTGAAGTTGGTGTTCCTCTAGACTTGGGACAGTGTTCTCGGGGCATCTCTGGAGTTGCCTGAAGGAAGTCGAGCCACCGGTCGTGTTGAATGGGGAACGGGGAATGGCTCTGGAGTCAATGCAGGGGAATCGGGCCTCATCTCGAGTTGATTTGGGGCACATGGAGCTGCTTTGCGTTGCTGGGGTGACCTCAGGGTCCGTCTAGACTGGTGACAGTGTTCTTGGGGACTGTCTCGAGATCCATTAAGCAAGTCGAAGCTCCTGACTTGTTTGAATGGGATCACGGAATAGCTCTGCATGCACTGCAGGGGAATAGGGCCTCATCTCGCCTCTAGGGGGAAGTCTCATGGTTTTTCTCGAGTTGCGGCGGGGACCTGGGGTATGTTCTCGACTTACGGCGGGGATGGCCCTTCAAAACACGAGTTTCTTCAGTGACGTCAGGACTCCTGTCTAGTAACGAGGGACACCTCAGGAATCTCTTCGAGGCTTGGCAGGGCCAAAGGGACGCTTCCCGAGGTGAGGCAGGGCACCCAAGGACCCTTTCCAGTAGCCACAGGGATTTTGGGATTCCTATCAGTATTCAAGAGGAGTCAGGCATCGTCACCTTTTGAAGCAATGAACTCCGCGTGCCTCTCGAGGTGTCAGCGGGATGTGAGGCATTCCGTCAAAATGAGGCAGGGACCTAGGGCTTTCTCTAAGGTCTCCACAGGGGATTCAGACATCCCTTCATGTTGTGAGATGAAAGACGAGCCTGTATTCAAGCCACTGCAAGGAAATCCGGCCTCCTTTCAAGTGAGGGCTTCTCGCTGTATATTCCCCTTGAGGCAGCAAACTCGGGGTCCCTCCCACATACCTATTGCTGAGAGAAGCCTCCTCCTGAGGTGCTTCTGGGAAGTTGGCATACGTCTTGAGCCTAAGCCAGGGAATCAGCTCGCATCTCGAGACGATTTGGGGTACACGGAGCATTCCTCGAGTTGCTGTGCTGAAGTTGGTGTTCCTCTAGATTTGGGACAGTGTTCTCGGGGCATCTCTGGAGTTGCCTGAAGGAAGTCGAGCCACCGGTCGTGTTGAATGGGGAACGGGGAATGGCTCTGGAGTCAATGCAGGGGAATCGGGCCTCATCTCGAGTTGATTTGGGGCACATGGAGCTGCTTTGCGTTGCTGGGGTGACCTCAGGGTCCGTCTAGACTGGTGACAGTGTTCTTGGGGACTGTCTCGAGATCCATTAAGCAAGTCGAAGCTCCTGACTTGTTTGAATGGGATCACGGAATAGCTCTGCATGCACTGCAGGGGAATGGGGCCTCATCTCGCCTCTAGGGGGAAGTCTCATGGTTTTTCTCGAGTTGCGGCGGGGACCTGGGGTATGTTCTCGACTTACGGCGGGGATGGCCCTTCAAAACACGAGTTTCTTCAGTGACGTCAGGACTCCTGTCTAGTAACGAGGGACACCTCAGGAATCTCTTCGAGGCTTGGCAGGGCCAAAGGGACGCTTCTCGAGGTGAGGCAGGGCACCCAAGGACCCTTTCCAGTAGCCACAGGGATTTTGGGATTCCTATCAGTATTCAAGAGAAGTCAGGCATCGTCACCTTTTGAAGCAATGAACTCCGCGTGCCTCTCGAGGTGTCAGCGGGATGTGAGGCATTCCGTCAAAATGAGGCAGGGACCTAGGGCTTTCTCTAAGGTCACCACAGGGGATTCAGACATCCCTTCATGTTGTGAGGTGAAAGACGAGCCTGTATTCAAGCCACTGCAATGAAATCCGGCCTCCTTTCAAGTGAGGGCTTCTCGCTGTATATTCCCCTTGAGGCAGCAAACTCGGGGTCCCTCCCACATACCTATTGCTGAGAGAAGCCTCCTCCTGAGGTGCTTCTGGGAAGTTGGCATACGTCTTGAGCCTAAGCCAGGGAATCAGCTCGCATCTCGAGACGATTTGGGGTACACGGAGCATTCCTCGAGTTGCTGTGCTGAAGTTGGTGTTCCTCTAGACTTGGGACAGTGTTCTCGGGGCATCTCTGGAGTTGCCTGAAGGAAGTTGAGCCACCGGTCGTGTTGAATGGGGAACGGGGAATGGCTCTGGAGTCAATGCAGGGGAATCGGGCCTCATCTCGAGTTGATTTGGGGCACATGGAGCTGCTTTGCGTTGCTGGGGTGACCTCAGGGTCCGTCTAGACTGGTGACAGTGTTCTTGGGGACTCTCTCGAGATCCATTAAGCAAGTCGAAGCTCCTGACTTGTTTGAATGGGATCACGGAATAGCTCTGCATGCACTGCAGGGGAATGGGGCCTCATCTCGCCTCTAGGGGGAAGTCTCATGGTTTTTCTCGAGTTGCGGCGGGGACCTGGGGTATGTTCTCGACTTACGGCGGGGATGGCCCTTCAAAACACGAGTTTCTTCAGTGACGTCAGGACTCCTGTCTAGTAACGAGGGACACCTCAGGAATCTCTTCGAGGCTTGGCAGGGCCAAAGGGACGCTTCCCGAGGTGAGGCAGGGCACCCAAGGACCCTTTCCAGTAGCCACAGGGATTTTGGGATTCCTATCAGTATTCAAGAGGAGTCAGGCATCGTCACCTTTTGAAGCAATGAACTCCGCGTGCCTCTCGAGGTGTCAGCGGGATGTGAGGCATTCCGTCAAAATGAGGCAGGGACCTAGGGCTTTCTCTAAGGTCTCCACAGGGGATTCAGACATCCCTTCATGTTGTGAGATGAAAGACGAGCCTGTATTCAAGCCACTGCAAGGAAATCCGGCCTCCTTTCAAGTGAGGGCTTCTCGCTGTATATTCCCCTTGAGGCAGCAAACTCGGGGTCCCTCCCACATACCTATTGCTGAGAGAAGCCTCCTCCTGAGGTGCTTCTGGGAAGTTGGCATACGTCTTGAGCCTAAGCCAGGGAATCAGCTCGCATCTCGAGACGATTTGGGGTACACGGAGCATTCCTCGAGTTGCTGTGCTGAAGTTGGTGTTCCTCTAGACTTGGGACAGTGTTCTCGGGGCATCTCTGGAGTTGCCTGAAGGAAGTCGAGCCACCGGTCGTGTTGAATGGGGAACGGGGAATGGCTCTGGAGTCAATGCAGGGGAATCGGGCCTCATCTCGAGTTGATTTGGGGCACATGGAGCTGCTTTGCGTTGCTGGGGTGACCTCAGGGTCCGTCTAGACTGGTGACAGTGTTCTTGGGGACTGTCTCGAGATCCATTAAGCAAGTCGAAGCTCCTGACTTGTTTGAATGGGATCACGGAATAGCTCTGCATGCACTGCAGGGGAATGGGGCCTCATCTCGCCTCTAGGGGGAAGTCTCATGGTTTTTCTCGAGTTGCGGCGGGGACCTGGGGTATGTTCTCGACTTACGGCGGGGATGGCCCTTCAAAACACGAGTTTCTTCAGTGACGTCAGGACTCCTGTCTAGTAACGAGGGACACCTCAGGAATCTCTTCGAGGCTTGGCAGGGCCAAAGGGACGCTTCTCGAGGTGAGGCAGGGCACCCAAGGACCCTTTCCAGTAGCCACAGGGATTTTGGGATTCCTATCAGTATTCAAGAGGAGTCAGGCATCGTCACCTTTTGAAGCAATGAACTCCGCGTGCCTCTCGAGGTGTCAGCGGGATGTGAGGCATTCCGTCAAAATGAGGCAGGGACCTAGGGCTTTCTCTAAGGTCTCCACAGGGGATTCAGTCATCCCTTCATGTTGTGAGATGAAAGACGAGCCTGTATTCAAGCCACTGCAAGGATATCCGGCCTCCTTTCAAGTGAGGGCTTCTCGCTGTATATTCCCCTTGAGGCAGCAAACTCGGGGTCCCTCCCACATACCTATTGCTGAGAGAAGCCTCCTCCTGAGGTGCTTCTGGGAAGTTGGCATACGTCTTGAGCCTAAGCCAGGGAATCAGCTCGCATCTCGAGACGATTTGGGGTACACGGAGCATTCCTCGAGTTGCTGTGCTGAAGTTGGTGTTCCTCTAGACTTGGGACAGTGTTCTCGGGGCATCTCTGGAGTTGCCTGAAGGAAGTCGAGCCACCGGTCGTGTTGAATGGGGAACGGGGAATGGCTCTGGAGTCAATGCAGGGGAATCGGGCCTCATCTCGAGTTGATTTGGGGCACATGGAGCTGCTTTGCGTTGCTGGGGTGACCTCAGGGTCCGTCTAGACTGGTGACAGTGTTCTTGGGGACTGTCTCGAGATCCATTAAGCAAGTCGAAGCTCCTGACTTGTTTGAATGGGATCACGGAATAGCTCTGCATGCACTGCAGGGGAATGGGGCCTCATCTCGCCTCTAGGGGGAAGTCTCATGGTTTTTCTCGAGTTGCGGCGGGGACCTGGGGTATGTTCTCGACTTACGGCGGGGATGGCCCTTCAAAACACGAGTTTCTTCAGTGACGTCAGGACTCCTGTCTAGTAACGAGGGACACCTCAGGAATCTCTTCGAGGCTTGGCAGGGCCAAAGGGACGCTTCTCGAGGTGAGGCAGGGCACCCAAGGACCCTTTCCAGTAGCCACAGGGATTTTGGGATTCCTATCAGTATTCAAGAGGAGTCAGGCATCGTCACCTTTTGAAGCAATGAACTCCGCGTGCCTCTCGAGGTGTCAGCGGGATGTGAGGCATTCCGTCAAAATGAGGCAGGGACCTAGGGCTTTCTCTAAGGTCTCCACAGGGGATTCAGTCATCCCTTCATGTTGTGAGATGAAAGACGAGCCTGTATTCAAGCCACTGCAAGGATATCCGGCCTCCTTTCAAGTGAGGGCTTCTCGCTGTATATTCCCCTTGAGGCAGCAAACTCGGGGTCCCTCCCACATACCTATTGCTGAGAGAAGCCTCCTCCTGAGGTGCTTCTGGGAAGTTGGCATACGTCTTGAGCCTAAGCCAGGGAATCAGCTCGCATCTCGAGACGATTTGGGGTACACGGAGCATTCCTCGAGTTGCTGTGCTGAAGTTGGTGTTCCTCTAGACTTGGGACAGTGTTCTCGGGGCATCTCTGGAGTTGCCTGAAGGAAGTCGAGCCACCGGTCGTGTTGAATGGGGAACGGGGAATGGCTCTGGAGTCAATGCAGGGGAATCGGGCCTCATCTCGAGTTGATTTGGGGCACATGGAGCTGCTTTGCGTTGCTGGGGTGACCTCAGGGTCCGTCTAGACTGGTGACAGTGTTCTTGGGGACTGTCTCGAGATCCATTAAGCAAGTCGAAGCTCCTGACTTGTTTGAATGGGATCACGGAATAGCTCTGCATGCACTGCAGGGGAATGGGGCCTCATCTCGCCTCTAGGGGGAAGTCTCATGGTTTTTCTCGAGTTGCGGCGGGGACCTGGGGTATGTTCTCGACTTACGGCGGGGATGGCCCTTCAAAACACGAGTTTCTTCAGTGACGTCAGGACTCCTGTCTAGTAACGAGGGACACCTCAGGAATCTCTTCGAGGCTTGGCAGGGCCAAAGGGACGCTTCTCGAGGTGAGGCAGGGCACCCAAGGACCCTTTCCCGTAGCCACAGGGATTTTGGGATTCCTATCAGTATTCAAGAGAAGTCAGGCATCGTCACCTTTTGAAGCAATGAACTCCGCGTGCCTCTCGAGGTGTCAGCGGGATGTGAGGCATTCCGTCAAAATGAGGCAGGGACCTAGGGCTTTCTCTAAGGTCTCCACAGGGGATTCAGACATCCCTTCATGTTGTGAGGTGAAAGACGAGCCTGTATTCAAGCCACTGCAAGGAAATCCGGCCTCCTTTCAAGTGAGGGCTTCTCGCTGTATATTCCCCTTGAGGCAGCAAACTCGGGGTCCCTCCCACATACCTATTGCTGAGAGAAGCCTCCTCCTGAGGTGCTTCTGGGAAGTTGGCATACGTCTTGAGCCTAAGCCAGGGAATCAGCTCGCATCTCGAGACGATTTGGGGTAGACGGAGCATTCCTCGAGTTGCTGTGCTGAAGTTGGTGTTCCTCTAGACTTGGGACAGTGTTCTCGGGGCATCTCTGGAGTTGCCTGAAGGAAGTCGAGCCACCGGTCGTGTTGAATGGGGAACGGGGAATGGCTCTGGAGTCAATGCAGGGGAATCGGGCCTCATCTCGAGTTGATTTGGGGCACATGGAGCTGCTTTGCGTTGCTGGGGTGACCTCAGGGTCCGTCTAGACTGGTGACAGTGTTCTTGGGGACTGTCTCGAGATCCATTAAGCAAGTCGAAGCTCCTGACTTGTTTGAATGGGATCACGGAATAGCTCTGCATGCACTGCAGGGGAATGGGGCCTCATCTCGCCTCTAGGGGGAAGTCTCATGGTTTTTCTCGAGTTGCGGCGGGGACCTGGGGTATGTTCTCGACTTACGGCGGGGATGGCCCTTCAAAACACGAGTTTCTTCAGTGACGTCAGGACTCCTGTCTAGTAACGAGGGACACCTCAGGAATCTCTTCGAGGCTTGGCAGGGCCAAAGGGACGCTTCCCGAGGTGAGGCAGGGCACCCAAGGACCCTTTCCAGTAGCCACAGGGATTTTGGGATTCCTATCAGTATTCAAGAGGAGTCAGGCATCGTCACCTTTTGAAGCAATGAACTCCGCGTGCCTCTCGAGGTGTCAGCGGGATGTGAGGCATTCCGTCAAAATGAGGCAGGGACCTAGGGCTTTCTCTAAGGTCTCCACAGGGGATTCAGACATCCCTTCATGTTGTGAGATGAAAGACGAGCCTGTATTCAAGCCACTGCAAGGAAATCCGGCCTCCTTTCAAGTGAGGGCTTCTCGCTGTATATTCCCCTTGAGGCAGCAAACTCGGGGTCCCTCCCACATACCTATTGCTGAGAGAAGCCTCCTCCTGAGGTGCTTCTGGGAAGTTGGCATACGTCTTGAGCCTAAGCCAGGGAATCAGCTCGCATCTCGAGACGATTTGGGGTACACGGAGCATTCCTCGAGTTGCTGTGCTGAAGTTGGTGTTCCTCTAGACTTGGGACAGTGTTCTCGGGGCATCTCTGGAGTTGCCTGAAGGAAGTCGAGCCACCGGTCGTGTTGAATGGGGAACGGGGAATGGCTCTGGAGTCAATGCAGGGGAATCGGGCCTCATCTCGAGTTGATTTGGGGCACATGGAGCTGCTTTGCGTTGCTGGGGTGACCTCAGGGTCCGTCTAGACTGGTGACAGTGTTCTTGGGGACTGTCTCGAGATCCATTAAGCAAGTCGAAGCTCCTGACTTGTTTGAATGGGATCACGGAATAGCTCTGCATGCACTGCAGGGGAATGGGGCCTCATCTCGCCTCTAGGGGGAAGTCTCATGGTTTTTCTCGAGTTGCGGCGGGGACCTGGGGTATGTTCTCGACTTACGGCGGGGATGGCCCTTCAAAACACGAGTTTCTTCAGTGACGTCAGGACTCCTGTCTAGTAACGAGGGACACCTCAGGAATCTCTTCGAGGCTTGGCAGGGCCAAAGGGACGCTTCCCGAGGTGAGGCAGGGCACCCAAGGACCCTTTCCAGTAGCCACAGGGATTTTGGGATTCCTATCAGTATTCAAGAGGAGTCAGGCATCGTCACCTTTTGAAGCAATGAACTCCGCGTGCCTCTCGAGGTGTCAGCGGGATGTGAGGCATTCCGTCAAAATGAGGCAGGGACCTAGGGCTTTCTCTAAGGTCTCCACAGGGGATTCAGACATCCCTTCATGTTGTGAGATGAAAGACGAGCCTGTATTCAAGCCACTGCAAGGAAATCCGGCCTCCTTTCAAGTGAGGGCTTCTCGCTGTATATTCCCCTTGAGGCAGCAAACTCGGGGTCCCTCCCACATACCTATTGCTGAGAGAAGCCTCCTCCTGAGGTGCTTCTGGGAAGTTGGCATACGTCTTGAGCCTAAGCCAGGGAATCAGCTCGCATCTCGAGACGATTTGGGGTACACGGAGCATTCCTCGAGTTGCTGTGCTGAAGTTGGTGTTCCTCTAGACTTGGGACAGTGTTCTCGGGGCATCTCTGGAGTTGCCTGAAGGAAGTCGAGCCACCGCTCGTGTTGAATGGGGAACGCGGAATGGCTCTGGAGTCAATGCAGGGGAATTGGGCCTCATCTCGAGTTGATTTGGGGCACATGGAGCTGCTTTGCGTTGCTGGGGTGACCTCAGGGTCCGTCTAGACTGGTGACAGTGTTCTTGGGGAATGTCTCGAGATCCATTAAGCAAGTCGAAGCTCCTGACTTGTTTGAATGGGATCACGGAATAGCTCTGCATGCACTGCAGGGGAATGGGGCCTCATCTCGCCTCTAGGGGGAAGTCTCATGGTTTTTCTCGAGTTGAGGCGGGGACCTGGGGTATGTTCTCGACTTACGGCGGGGATGGCCCTTCAAAACACGAGTTTCTTCAGTGACGTCAGGACTCCTGTCTAGTAACGAGGGACACCTCAGGAATCTCTTCGAGGCTTGGCAGGGCCAAAGGGACGCTTCCCGAGGTGAGGCAGGGCACCCAAGGACCCTTTCCAGTAGCCACAGGGATTTTGGGATTCCTATCAGTATTCAAGAGGAGTCAGGCATCGTCACCTTTTGAAGCAATGAACTCCGCGTGCCTCTCGAGGTGTCAGCGGGATGTGAGGCATTCCGTCAAAATGAGGCAGGGACCTAGGGCTTTCTCTAAGGTCTCCACAGGGGATTCAGACATCCCTTCATGTTGTGAGATGAAAGACGAGCCTGTATTCAAGCCACTGCAAGGAAATCCGGCCTCCTTTCAAGTGAGGGCTTCTCGCTGTATATTCCCCTTGAGGCAGCAAACTCGGGGTCCCTCCCACATACCTATTGCTGAGAGAAGCCTCCTCCTGAGGTGCTTCTGGGAAGTTGGCATACGTCTTGAGCCTAAGCCAGGGAATCAGCTCGCATCTCGAGACGATTTGGGGTACACGGAGCATTCCTCGAGTTGCTGTGCTGAAGTTGGTGTTCCTCTAGACTTGGGACAGTGTTCTCGGGGCATCTCTGGAGTTGCCTGAAGGAAGTCGAGCCACCGGTCGTGTTGAATGGGGAACGGGGAATGGCTCTGGAGTCAATGCAGGGGAATCGGGCCTCATCTCGAGTTGATTTGGGGCACATGGAGCTGCTTTGCGTTGCTGGGGTGACCTCAGGGTCCGTCTAGACTGGTGACAGTGTTCTTGGGGACTGTCTCGAGATCCATTAAGCAAGTCGAAGCTCCTGACTTGTTTGAATGGGATCACGGAATAGCTCTGCATGCACTGCAGGGGAATAGGGCCTCATCTCGCCTCTAGGGGGAAGTCTCATGGTTTTTCTCGAGTTGCGGCGGGGACCTGGGGTATGTTCTCGACTTAAGGCGGGGATGGCCCTTCAAAACACGAGTTTCTTCAGTGACGTCAGGACTCCTGTCTAGTAACGAGGGACACCTCAGGAATCTCTTCGAGGCTTGGCAGGGCCAAAGGGACGCTTCCCGAGGTGAGGCAGGGCACCCAAGGACCCTTTCCAGTAGCCACAGGGATTTTGGGATTCCTATCAGTATTCAAGAGGAGTCAGGCATCGTCACCTTTTGAAGCAATGAACTCCGCGTGCCTCTCGAGGTGTCAGCGGGATGTGAGGCATTCCGTCAAAATGAGGCAGGGACCTAGGGCTTTCTCTAAGGTCTCCACAGGGGATTCAGACATCCCTTCATGTTGTGAGATGAAAGACGAGCCTGTATTCAAGCCACTGCAAGGAAATCCGGCCTCCTTTCAAGTGAGGGCTTCTCGCTGTATATTCCCCTTGAGGCAGCAAACTCGGGGTCCCTCCCACATACCTATTGCTGAGAGAAGCCTCCTCCTGAGGTGCTTCTGGGAAGTTGGCATACGTCTTGAGCCTAAGCCAGGGAATCAGCTCGCATCTCGAGACGATTTGGGGTACACGGAGCATTCCTCGAGTTGCTGTGCTGAAGTTGGTGTTCCTCTAGACTTGGGACAGTGTTCTCGGGGCATCTCTGGAGTTGCCTGAAGGAAGTCGAGCCACCGGTCGTGTTGAATGGGGAACGGGGAATGGCTCTGGAGTCAATGCAGGGGAATCGGGCCTCATCTCGAGTTGATTTGGGGCACATGGAGCTGCTTTGCGTTGCTGGGGTGACCGCAGGGTCCGTCTAGACTGGTGACAGTGTTCTTGGGGACTGTCTCGAGATCCATTAAGCAAGTCGAAGCTCCTGACTTGTTTGAATGGGATCACGGAATAGCTCTGCATGCACTGCAGGGGAATGGGGCCTCATCTCGCCTCTAGGGGGAAGTCTCATGGTTTTTCTCGAGTTGCGGCGGGGACCTGGGGTATGTTCTCGACTTAAGGCGGGGATGGCCCTTCAAAACACGAGTTTCTTCAGTGACGTCAGGACTCCTGTCTAGTAACGAGGGACACCTCAGGAATCTCTTCGAGGCTTGGCAGGGCCAAAGGGACGCTTCCCGAGGTGAGGCAGGGCACCCAAGGACCCTTTCCAGTAGCCACAGGGATTTTGGGATTCCTATCAGTATTCAAGAGGAGTCAGGCATCGTCACCTTTTGAAGCAATGAACTCCGCGTGCCTCTCGAGGTGTCAGCGGGATGTGAGGCATTCCGTCAAAATGAGGCAGGGACCTAGGGCTTTCTCTAAGGTCTCCACAGGGGATTCAGACATCCCTTCATGTTGTGAGATGAAAGACGAGCCTGTATTCAAGCCACTGCAAGGAAATCCGGCCTCCTTTCAAGTGAGGGCTTCTCGCTGTATATTCCCCTTGAGGCAGCAAACTCGGGGTCCCTCCCACATACCTATTGCTGAGAGAAGCCTCCTCCTGAGGTGCTTCTGGGAAGTTGGCATACGTCTTGAGCCTAAGCCAGGGAATCAGCTCGCATCTCGAGACGATTTGTGGTACACGGAGCATTCCTCGAGTTGCTGTGCTGAAGTTGGTGTTCCTCTAGACTTGGGACAGTGTTCTCGGGGCATCTCTGGAGTTGCCTGAAGGAAGTCGAGCCACCGGTCGTGTTGAATGGGGTACGGGGAATGGCTCTGGAGTCAATGCAGGGGAATCGGGCCTCATCTCGAGTTGATTTGGGGCACATGGAGCTGCTTTGCGTTGCTGGGGTGACCTCAGGGTCCGTCTAGACTGGTGACAGTGTTCCTGGGGACTGTCTCGAGATCCATTAAGCAAGTCGAAGCTCCTGACTTGTTTGAATGGGATCACGGAATAGCTCTGCATGCACTGCAGGGGAATGGGGCCTCATCTCGCCTCTAGGGGGAAGTCTCATGGTTTTTCTCGAGTTGCGGCGGGGACCTGGGGTATGTTCTCGACTTACGGCGGGGATGGCCCTTCAAAACACGAGTTTCTTCAGTGACGTCAGGACTCCTGTCTAGTAACGAGGGACACCTCAGGAATCTCTTCGAGGCTTGGCAGGGCCAGAGGGACGCTTCTCGAGGTGAGGCAGGGCACCCAAGGACCGTTTCCAGTAGCCACAGGGATTTTGGGATTCCTATCAGTATTCAAGAGGAGTCAGGCATCGTCACCTTTTGAAGCAATGAACTCCGCGTGCCTCTCGAGGTGTCAGCGGGATGTGAGGCATTCCGTCAAAATGAGGCAGGGACCTAGGGCTTTCTCTAAGGTCTCCACAGGGGATTCAGACATCCCTTCATGTTGTGAGGTGAAAGACGAGCCTGTATTCAAGCCACTGCAATGAAATCCGGCCTCCTTTCAAGTGAGGGGTTCTCGCTGTATATTCCCCTTGAGGCAGCAAACTCGGGGTCCCTCCCACATACCTATTGCTGAGAGAAGCCTCCTCCTGAGGTGCTTCTGGGAAGTTGGCATACGTCTTGAGCCTAAGCCAGGGAATCAGCTCGCATCTCGAGACGATTTGTGGTACACGGAGCATTCCTCGAGTTGCTGTGCTGAAGTTGGTGTTCCTCTAGACTTGGGACAGTGTTCTCGGGGCATCTCTGGAGTTGCCTGAAGGAAGTCGAGCCACCGGTCGTGTTGAATGGGGAACGGGGAATGGCTCTGGAGTCAATGCAGGGGAATCGGGCCTCATCTCGAGTTGATTTGGGGCACATGGAGCTGCTTTGCGTTGCTGGGGTAACCTCAGGGTCCGTCTAGACTGGTGACAGTGTTCTTGGGGACTCTCTCGAGATCCATTAAGCAAGTCGAAGCTCCTGACTTGTTTGAATGGGATCACGGAATAGCTCTGCATGCACTGCAGGGGAATGGGGCCTCATCTCGCCTCTAAGGGGAAGTCTCATGGTTTTTCTCGAGTTGCGGCGGGGACCTGGGGTATGTTCTCGACTTACGGCGGGGATGGCCCTTCAAAACACGAGTTTCTTCAGTGACGTCAGGACTCCTGTCTAGTAACGAGGGACACCTCAGGAATCTCTTCGAGGCTTGGCAGGGCCAAAGGGACGCTTCCCGAGGTGAGGCAGGGCACCCAAGGACCCTTTCCAGTAGCCACAGGGATTTTGGGATTCCTATCAGTATTCAAGAGGAGTCAGGCATCGTCACCTTTTGAAGCAATGAACTCCGCGTGCCTCTCGAGTTGTCAGCGGGATGTGAGGCATTCCGTCAAAATGAGGCAGGGACCTAGGGCTTTCTCTAAGGTCTCCACAGGGGATTCAGACATCCCTTCATGTTGTGAGATGAAAGACGAGCCTGTATTCAAGCCACTGCAAGGAAATCCGGCCTCCTTTCAAGTGAGGGCTTCTCGCTGTATATTCCCCTTGAGGCAGCAAAGTCGGGGTCCCTCCCACATACCTATTGCTGAGAGAAGCCTCCTCCTGAGGTGCTTCTGGGAAGTTGGCATACGTCTTGAGCCTAAGCCAGGGAATCAGCTCGCATCTCGAGACGATTTGGGGTACACGGAGCATTCCTCGAGTTGCTGTGCTGAAGTTGGTGTTCCTCTAGACTTGGGACAGTGTTCTCGGGGCATCTCTGGAGTTGCCTGAAGGAAGTCGAGCCACCGGTCGTGTTGAATGGGGAACGGGGAATGGCTCTGGAGTCAATGCAGGGGAATCGGGCCTCATCTCGAGTTGATTTGGGGCACATGGAGCTGCTTTGCGTTGCTGGGGTGACCTCAGGGTCCGTCTAGACTGGTGACAGTGTTCTTGGGGACTGTCTCGAGATCCATTAAGCAAGTCGAAGCTCCTGACTTGTTTGAATGGGATCACGGAATAGCTCTGCATGCACTGCAGGGGAATGGGGCCTCATCTCGCCTCTAGGGGGAAGTCTCATGGTTTTTCTCGAGTTGCGGCGGGGACCTGGGGTATGTTCTCGACTTACGGCGGGGATGGCCCTTCAAAACACGAGTTTCTTCAGTGACGTCAGGACTCCTGTCTAGTAACGAGGGACACCTCAGGAATCTCTTCGAGGCTTGGCAGGGCCAAAGGGACGCTTCTCGAGGTGAGGCAGGGCACCCAAGGACCCTTTCCAGTAGCCACAGGGATTTTGGGATTCCTATCAGTATTCAAGAGGAGTCAGGCATCGTCACCTTTTGAAGCAATGAACTCCGCGTGCCTCTCGAGGTGTCAGCGGGATGTGAGGCATTCCGTCAAAATGAGGCAGGGACCTAGGGCTTTCTCTAAGGTCTCCACAGGGGATTCAGACATCCCTTCATGTTGTGAGGTGAAAGACGAGCCTGTATTCAAGCCACTGCAAGGAAATCCGGCCTCCTTTCAAGTGAGGGCTTCTCGCTGTATATTCCCCTTGAGGCAGCAAACTCGGGGTCCCTCCCACATACCTATTGCTGAGAGAAGCCTCCTCCTGAGGTGCTTCTGGGAAGTTGGCATACGTCTTGAGCCTAAGCCAGGGAATCAGCTCGCATCTCGAGACGATTTGGGGTACACGGAGCATTCCTCGAGTTGCTGTGCTGAAGTTGGTGTTCCTCTAGACTTGGGACAGTGTTCTCGGGGCATCTCTGGAGTTGCCTGAAGGAAGTCGAGCCACCGGTCGTGTTGAATGGGGAACGGGGAATGGCTCTGGAGTCAATGCAGGGGAATCGGGCCTCATCTCGAGTTGATTTGGGGCACATGGAGCTGCTTTGCGTTGCTGGGGTGACCTCAGGGTCCGTCTAGACTGGTGACAGTGTTCTTGGGGACTGTCTCGAGATCCATTAAGCAAGTCGAAGCTCCTGACTTGTTTGAATGGGATCACGGAATAGCTCTGCATGCACTGCAGGGGAATGGGGCCTCATCTCGCCTCTAGGGGGAAGTCTCATGGTTTTTCTCGAGTTGCGGCGGGGACCTGGGGTATGTTCTCGACTTACGGCGGGGATGGCCCTTCAAAACACGAGTTTCTTCAGTGACGTCAGGACTCCTGTCTAGTAACGAGGGACACCTCAGGAATCTCTTCGAGGCTTGGCAGGGCCAAAGGGACGCTTCTCGAGGTGAGGCAGGGCACCCAAGGACCCTTTCCAGTAGCCACAGGGATTTTGGGATTCCTATCAGTATTCAAGAGGAGTCAGGCATCGTCACCTTTTGAAGCAATGAACTCCGCGTGCCTCTCGAGGTGTCAGCGGGATGTGAGGCATTCCGTCAAAATGAGGCAGGGACCTAGGGCTTTCTCTAAGGTCTCCACAGGGGATTCAGACATCCCTTCATGTTGTGAGGTGAAAGACGAGCCTGTATTCAAGCCACTGCAAGGAAATCCGGCCTCCTTTCAAGTGAGGGCTTCTCGCTGTATATTCCCCTTGAGGCAGCAAACTCGGGGTCCCTCCCACATACCTATTGCTGAGAGAAGCCTCCTCCTGAGGTGCTTCTGGGAAGTTGGCATACGTCTTGAGCCTAAGCCAGGGAATCAGCTCGCATCTCGAGACGATTTGGGGTACACGGAGCATTCCTCGAGTTGCTGTGCTGAAGTTGGTGTTCCTCTAGACTTGGGACAGTGTTCTCGGGGCATCTCTGGAGTTGCCTGAAGGAAGTCGAGCCACCGGTCGTGTTGAATGGGGAACGGGGAATGGCTCTGGAGTCAATGCAGGGGAATCGGGCCTCATCTCGAGTTGATTTGGGGCACATGGAGCTGCTTTGCGTTGCTGGGGTGACCTCAGGGTCCGTCTACACTGGTGACAGTGTTCTTGGGGACTGTCTCGAGATCCATTAAGCAAGTCGAAGCTCCTGACTTGTTTGAATGGGATCACGGAATAGCTCTGCATGCACTGCAGGGGAATGGGGCCTCATCTCGCCTCTAGGGGGAAGTCTCATGGTTTTTCTCGAGTTGCGGCGGGGACCTGGGGTATGTTCTCGACTTACGGCGGGGATGGCCCTTCAAAACACGAGTTTCTTCAGTGACGTCAGGACTCCTGTCTAGTAACGAGGGACACCTCAGGAATCTCTTCGAGGCTTGGCAGGGCCAAAGGGACGCTTCCCGAGGTGAGGCAGGGCACCCAAGGACCCTTTCCAGTAGCCACAGGGATTTTGGGATTCCTATCAGTATTCAAGAGGAGTCAGGCATCGTCACCTTTTGAAGCAATGAACTCCGCGTGCCTCTCGAGGTGTCAGCGGGATGTGAGGCATTCCGTCAAAATGAGGCAGGGACCTAGGGCTTTCTCTAAGGTCTCCACAGGGGATTCAGACATCCCTTCATGTTGTGAGATGAAAGACGAGCCTGTATTCAAGCCACTGCAAGGAAATCCGGCCTCCTTTCAAGTGAGGGCTTCTCGCTGTATATTCCCCTTGAGGCAGCAAACTCGGGGTCCCTCCCACATACCTATTGCTGAGAGAAGCCTCCTCCTGAGGTGCTTCTGGGAAGTTGGCATACGTCTTGAGCCTAAGCCAGGGAATCAGCTCGCATCTCGAGACGATTTGGGGTACACGGAGCATTCCTCGAGTTGCTGTGCTGAAGTTGGTGTTCCTCTAGACTTGGGACAGTGTTCTCGGGGCATCTCTGGAGTTGCCTGAAGGAAGTCGAGCCACCGGTCGTGTTGAATGGGGAACGGGGAATGGCTCTGGAGTCAATGCAGGGGAATCGGGCCTCATCTCGAGTTGATTTGGGGCACATGGAGCTGCTTTGCGTTGCTGGGGTGACCTCAGGGTCCGTCTACACTGGTGACAGTGTTCTTGGGGACTGTCTCGAGATCCATTAAGCAAGTCGAAGCTCCTGACTTGTTTGAATGGGATCACGGAATAGCTCTGCATGCACTGCAGGGGAATGGGGCCTCATCTCGCCTCTAGGGGGAAGTCTCATGGTTTTTCTCGAGTTGCGGCGGGGACCTGGGGTATGTTCTCGACTTACGGCGGGGATGGCCCTTCAAAACACGAGTTTCTTCAGTGACGTCAGGACTCCTGTCTAGTAACGAGGGACACCTCAGGAATCTCTTCGAGGCTTGGCAGGGCCAAAGGGACGCTTCTCGAGGTGAGGCAGGGCACCCAAGGACCCTTTCCAGTAGCCACAGGGATTTTGGGATTCCTATCAGTATTCAAGAGGAGTCAGGCATCGTCACCTTTTGAAGCAATGAACTCCGCGTGCCTCTCGAGGTGTCAGCGGGATGTGAGGCATTCCGTCAAAATGAGGCAGGGACCTAGGGCTTTCTCTAAGGTCTCCACAGGGGATTCAGACATCCCTTCATGTTGTGAGATGAAAGACGAGCCTGTATTCAAGCCACTGCAAGGAAATCCGGCCTCCTTTCAAGTGAGGGCTTCTCGCTGTATATTCCCCTTGAGGCAGCAAACTCGGGGTCCCTCCCACATACCTATTGCTGAGAGAAGCCTCCTCCTGAGGTGCTTCTGGGAAGTTGGCATACGTCTTGAGCCTAAGCCAGGGAATCAGCTCGCATCTCGAGACGATTTGGGGTACACGGAGCATTCCTCGAGTTGCTGTGCTGAAGTTGGTGTTCCTCTAGACTTGGGACAGTGTTCTCGGGGCATCTCTGGAGTTGCCTGAAGGAAGTCGAGCCACCGGTCGTGTTGAATGGGGAACGGGGAATGGCTCTGGAGTCAATGCAGGGGAATCGGGCCTCATCTCGAGTTGATTTGGGGCACATGGAGCTGATTTGCGTTGCTGGGGTGACCTCAGGGTCCGTCTAGACTGGTGACAGTGTTCTTGGGGACTGTCTCGAGATCCATTAAGCAAGTCGAAGCTCCTGACTTGTTTGAATGGGATCACGGAATAGCTCTGCATGCACTGCAGGGGAATGGGGCCTCATCTCGCCTCTAGGGGGAAGTCTCATGGTTTTTCTCGAGTTGCGGCGGGGACCTGGGGTATGTTCTCGACTTACGGCGGGGATGGCCCTTCAAAACACGAGTTTCTTCAGTGACGTCAGGACTCCTGTCTAGTAACGAGGGACACCTCAGGAATCTCTTCGAGGCTTGGCAGGGCCAAAGGGACGCTTCCCGAGGTGAGGCAGGGCACCCAAGGACCCTTTCCAGTAGCCACAGGGATTTTGGGATTCCTATCAGTATTCAAGAGGAGTCAGGCATCGTCACCTTTTAAAGCAATGAACTCCGCGTGCCTCTCGAGGTGTCAGCGGGATGTGAGGCATTCCGTCAAAATGAGGCAGGGACCTAGGGCTTTCTCTAAGGTCTCCACAGGGGATTCAGACATCCCTTCATGTTGTGAGGTGAAAGACGAGCCTGTATTCAAGCCACTGCAAGGAAATCCGGCCTCCTTTCAAGTGAGGGCTTCTCGCTGTATATTCCCCTTGAGGCAGCAAACTCGGGGTCCCTCCCACATACCTATTGCTGAGAGAAGCCTCCTCGTGAGGTGCTTCTGGGAAGTTGGCATACGTCTTGAGCCTAAGCCAGGGAATCAGCTCGCATCTCGAGACGATTTGGGGTACACGGAGCATTCCTCGAGTTGCTGTGCTGAAGTTGGTGTTCCTCTAGACTTGGGACAGTGTTCTCGGGGCATCTCTGGAGTTGCCTGAAGGAAGTCGAGCCACCGGTCGTGTTGAATGGGGAACGGGGAATGGCTCTGGAGTCAATGCAGGGGAATCGGGCCTCATCTCGAGTTGATTTGGGGCACATGGAGCTGCTTTGCGTTGCTGGGGTGACCTCAGGGTCCGTCTACACTGGTGACAGTGTTCTTGGGGACTGTCTCGAGATCCATTAAGCAAGTCGAAGCTCCTGACTTGTTTGAATGGGATCACGGAATAGCTCTGCATGCACTGCAGGGGAATGGGGCCTCATCTCGCCTCTAGGGGGAAGTCTCATGGTTTTTCTCGAGTTGCGGCGGGGACCTGGGGTATGTTCTCGACTTACGGCGGGGATGGCCCTTCAAAACACGAGTTTCTTCAGTGACGTCAGGACTCCTGTCTAGTAACGAGGGACACCTCAGGAATCTCTTCGAGGCTTGGCAGGGCCAAAGGGACGCTTCTCGAGGTGAGGCAGGGCACCCAAGGACCCTTTCCCGTAGCCACAGGGATTTTGGGATTCCTATCAGTATTCAAGAGAAGTCAGGCATCGTCACCTTTTGAAGCAATGAACTCCGCGTGCCTCTCGAGGTGTCAGCGGGATGTGAGGCATTCCGTCAAAATGAGGCAGGGACCTAGGGCTTTCTCTAAGGTCTCCACAGGGGATTCAGACATCCCTTCATGTTGTGAGGTGAAAGACGAGCCTGTATTCAAGCCACTGCAATGAAATCCGGCCTCCTTTCAAGTGAGGGCTTCTCGCTGTATATTCCCCTTGAGGCAGCAAACTCGGGGTCCCTCCCACATACCTATTGCTGAGAGAAGCCTCCTCCTGAGGTGCTTCTGGGAAGTTGGCATACGTCTTGAGCCTAAGCCAGGGAATCAGCTCGCATCTCGAGACGATTTGGGGTACACGGAGCATTCCTCGAGTTGCTGTGCTGAAGTTGGTGTTCCTCTAGACTTGGGACAGTGTTCTCGGGGCATCTCTGGAGTTGCCTGAAGGAAGTCGAGCCACCGGTCGTGTTGAATGGGGAACGGGGAATGGCTCTGGAGTCAATGCAGGGGAATCGGGCCTCATCTCGAGTTGATTTGGGGCACATGGAGCTGCTTTGCGTTGCTGGGGTGACCTCAGGGTCCGTCTAGACTGGTGACAGTGTTCTTGGGGACTCTCTCGAGATCCATTAAGCAAGTCGAAGCTCCTGACTTGTTTGAATGGGATCACGGAATAGCTCTGCATGCACTGCAGGGGAATGGGGCCTCATCTCGCCTCTAGGGGGAAGTCTCATGGTTTTTCTCGAGTTGCGGCGGGGACCTGGGGTATGTTCTCGACTTACGGCGGGGATGGCCCTTCAAAACACGAGTTTCTTCAGTGACGTCAGGACTCCTGTCTAGTAACGAGGGACACCTCAGGAATCTCTTCGAGGCTTGGCAGGGCCAAAGGGACGCTTCCCGAGGTGAGGCAGGGCACCCAAGGACCCTTTCCAGTAGCCACAGGGATTTTGGGATTCCTATCAGTATTCAAGAGGAGTCAGGCATCGTCACCTTTTGAAGCAATGAACTCCGCGTGCCTCTCGAGGTGTCAGCGGGATGTGAGGCATTCCGTCAAAATGAGGCAGGGACCTAGGGCTTTCTCTAAGGTCTCCACAGGGGATTCAGACATCCCTTCATGTTGTGAGATGAAAGACGAGCCTGTATTCAAGCCACTGCAAGGAAATCCGGCCTCCTTTCAAGTGAGGGCTTCTCGCTGTATATTCCCCTTGAGGCAGCAAACTCGGGGTCCCTCCCACATACCTATTGCTGAGAGAAGCCTCCTCCTGAGGTGCTTCTGGGAAGTTGGCATACGTCTTGAGCCTAAGCCAGGGAATCAGCTCGCATCTCGAGACGATTTGGGGTACACGGAGCATTCCTCGAGTTGCTGTGCTGAAGTTGGTGTTCCTCTAGACTTGGGACAGTGTTCTCGGGGCATCTCTGGAGTTGCCTGAAGGAAGTCGAGCCACCGGTCGTGTTGAATGGGGAACAGGGAATGGCTCTGGAGTCAATGCAGGGGAATCGGGCCTCATCTCGAGTTGATTTGGGGCACATGGAGCTGCTTTGCGTTGCTGGGGTGACCTCAGGGTCCGTCTAGACTGGTGACAGTGTTCCTGGGGACTGTCTCGAGATCCATTAAGCAAGTCGAAGCTCCTGACTTGTTTGAATGGGATCACGGAATAGCTCTGCATGCACTGCAGGGGAATGGGGCCTCATCTCGCCTCTAGGGGGAAGTCTCATGGTTTTTCTCGAGTTGCGGCGGGGACCTGGGGTATGTTCTCGACTTACGGCGGGGATGGCCCTTCAAAACACGAGTTTCTTCAGTGACGTCAGGACTCCTGTCTAGTAACGAGGGACACCTCAGGAATCTCTTCGAGGCTTGGCAGGGCCAAAGGGACGCTTCTCGAGGTGAGGCAGGGCACCCAAGGACCGTTTCCAGTAGCCACAGGGATTTTGGGATTCCTATCAGTATTCAAGAGGAGTCAGGCATCGTCACCTTTTGAAGCAATGAACTCCGCGTGCCTCTCGAGGTGTCAGCGGGATGTGAGGCATTCCGTCAAAATGAGGCAGGGACCTAGGGCTTTCTCTAAGGTCTCCACAGGGGATTCAGACATCCCTTCATGTTGTGAGGTGAAAGACGAGCCTGTATTCAAGCCACTGCAAGGAAATCCGGCCTCCTTTCAAGTGAGGGCTTCTCGCTGTATATTCCCCTTGAGGCAGCAAACTCGGGGTCCCTCCCACATACCTATTGCTGAGAGAAGCCTCCTCCTGAGGTGCTTCTGGGAAGTTGGCATACGTCTTGAGCCTAAGCCAGGGAATCAGCTCGCATCTCGAGACGATTTGGGGTACACGGAGCATTCCTCGAGTTGCTGTGCTGAAGTTGGTGTTCCTCTAGACTTGGGACAGTGTTCTCGGGGCATCTCTGGAGTTGCCTGAAGGAAGTCGAGCCACCGGTCGTGTTGAATGGGGAACGGGGAATGGCTCTGGAGTCAATGCAGGGGAATCGGGCCTCATCTCGAGTTGATTTGGGGCACATGGAGCTGCTTTGCGTTGCTGGGGTGACCTCAGGGTCCGTCTAGACTGGTGACAGTGTTCTTGGGGACTGTCTCGAGATCCATTAAGCAAGTCGAAGCTCCTGACTTGTTTGAATGGGATCACGGAATAGCTCTGCATGCACTGCAGGGGAATGGGGCCTCATCTCGCCTCTAGGGGGAAGTCTCATGGTTTTTCTCGAGTTGCGGCGGGGACCTGGGGTATGTTCTCGACTTACGGCGGGGATGGCCCTTCAAAACACGAGTTTCTTCAGTGACGTCAGGACTCCTGTCTAGTAACGAGGGACACCTCAGGAATCTCTTCGAGGCTTGGCAGGGCCAAAGGGACGCTTCTCGAGGTGAGGCAGGGCACCCAAGGACCCTTTCCAGTAGCCACAGGGATTTTGGGATTCCTATCAGTATTCAAGAGGAGTCAGGCATCGTCACCTTTTGAAGCAATGAACTCCGCGTGCCTCTCGAGGTGTCAGCGGGATGTGAGGCATTCCGTCAAAATGAGGCAGGGACCTAGGGCTTTCTCTAAGGTCTCCACAGGGGATTCAGACATCCCTTCATGTTGTGAGATGAAAGACGAGCCTGTATTCAAGCCACTGCAAGGAAATCCGGCCTCCTTTCAAGTGAGGGCTTCTCGCTGTATATTCCCCTTGAGGCAGCAAACTCGGGGTCCCTCCCACATACCTATTGCTGAGAGAAGCCTCCTCCTGAGGTGCTTCTGGGAAGTTGGCATACGTCTTGAGCCTAAGCCAGGGAATCAGCTCGCATCTCGAGACGATTTGGGGTACACGGAGCATTCCTCGAGTTGCTGTGCTGAAGTTGGTGTTCCTCTAGACTTGGGACAGTGTTCTCGGGGCATCTCTGGAGTTGCCTGAAGGAAGTCGAGCCACCGGTCGTGTTGAATGGGGAACGGGGAATGGCTCTGGAGTCAATGCAGGGGAATCGGGCCTCATCTCGAGTTGATTTGGGGCACATGGAGCTGATTTGCGTTGCTGGGGTGACCTCAGGGTCCGTCTAGACTGGTGACAGTGTTCTTGGGGACTGTCTCGAGATCCATTAAGCAAGTCGAAGCTCCTGACTTGTTTGAATGGGATCACGGAATAGCTCTGCATGCACTGCAGGGGAATGGGGCCTCATCTCGCCTCTAGGGGGAAGTCTCATGGTTTTTCTCGAGTTGCGGCGGGGACCTGGGGTATGTTCTCGACTTACGGCGGGGATGGCCCTTCAAAACACGAGTTTCTTCAGTGACGTCAGGACTCCTGTCTAGTAACGAGGGACACCTCAGGAATCTCTTCGAGGCTTGGCAGGGCCAAAGGGACGCTTCCCGAGGTGAGGCAGGGCACCCAAGGACCCTTTCCAGTAGCCACAGGGATTTTGGGATTCCTATCAGTATTCAAGAGGAGTCAGGCATCGTCACCTTTTAAAGCAATGAACTCCGCGTGCCTCTCGAGGTGTCAGCGGGATGTGAGGCATTCCGTCAAAATGAGGCAGGGACCTAGGGCTTTCTCTAAGGTCTCCACAGGGGATTCAGACATCCCTTCATGTTGTGAGGTGAAAGACGAGCCTGTATTCAAGCCACTGCAAGGAAATCCGGCCTCCTTTCAAGTGAGGGCTTCTCGCTGTATATTCCCCTTGAGGCAGCAAACTCGGGGTCCCTCCCACATACCTATTGCTGAGAGAAGCCTCCTCGTGAGGTGCTTCTGGGAAGTTGGCATACGTCTTGAGCCTAAGCCAGGGAATCAGCTCGCATCTCGAGACGATTTGGGGTACACGGAGCATTCCTCGAGTTGCTGTGCTGAAGTTGGTGTTCCTCTAGACTTGGGACAGTGTTCTCGGGGCATCTCTGGAGTTGCCTGAAGGAAGTCGAGCCACCGGTCGTGTTGAATGGGGAACGGGGAATGGCTCTGGAGTCAATGCAGGGGAATCGGGCCTCATCTCGAGTTGATTTGGGGCACATGGAGCTGCTTTGCGTTGCTGGGGTGACCTCAGGGTCCGTCTACACTGGTGACAGTGTTCTTGGGGACTGTCTCGAGATCCATTAAGCAAGTCGAAGCTCCTGACTTGTTTGAATGGGATCACGGAATAGCTCTGCATGCACTGCAGGGGAATGGGGCCTCATCTCGCCTCTAGGGGGAAGTCTCATGGTTTTTCTCGAGTTGCGGCGGGGACCTGGGGTATGTTCTCGACTTACGGCGGGGATGGCCCTTCAAAACACGAGTTTCTTCAGTGACGTCAGGACTCCTGTCTAGTAACGAGGGACACCTCAGGAATCTCTTCGAGGCTTGGCAGGGCCAAAGGGACGCTTCTCGAGGTGAGGCAGGGCACCCAAGGACCCTTTCCCGTAGCCACAGGGATTTTGGGATTCCTATCAGTATTCAAGAGAAGTCAGGCATCGTCACCTTTTGAAGCAATGAACTCCGCGTGCCTCTCGAGGTGTCAGCGGGATGTGAGGCATTCCGTCAAAATGAGGCAGGGACCTAGGGCTTTCTCTAAGGTCTCCACAGGGGATTCAGACATCCCTTCATGTTGTGAGATGAAAGACGAGCCTGTATTCAAGCCACTGCAATGAAATCCGGCCTCCTTTCAAGTGAGGGCTTCTCGCTGTATATTCCCCTTGAGGCAGCAAACTCGGGGTCCCTCCCACATACCTATTGCTGAGAGAAGCCTCCTCCTGAGGTGCTTCTGGGAAGTTGGCATACGTCTTGAGCCTAAGCCAGGGAATCAGCTCGCATCTCGAGACGATTTGGGGTACACGGAGCATTCCTCGAGTTGCTGTGCTGAAGTTGGTGTTCCTCTAGACTTGGGACAGTGTTCTCGGGGCATCTCTGGAGTTGCCTGAAGGAAGTCGAGCCACCGGTCGTGTTGAATGGGGAACGGGGAATGGCTCTGGAGTCAATGCAGGGGAATCGGGCCTCATCTCGAGTTGATTTGGGGCACATGGAGCTGCTTTGCGTTGCTGGGGTGACCTCAGGGTCCGTCTAGACTGGTGACAGTGTTCTTGGGGACTCTCTCGAGATCCATTAAGCAAGTCGAAGCTCCTGACTTGTTTGAATGGGATCACGGAATAGCTCTGCATGCACTGCAGGGGAATGGGGCCTCATCTCGCCTCTAGGGGGAAGTCTCATGGTTTTTCTCGAGTTGCGGCGGGGACCTGGGGTATGTTCTCGACTTACGGCGGGGATGGCCCTTCAAAACACGAGTTTCTTCAGTGACGTCAGGACTCCTGTCTAGTAACGAGGGACACCTCAGGAATCTCTTCGAGGCTTGGCAGGGCCAAAGGGACGCTTCTCGAGGTGAGGCAGGGCACCCAAGGACCGTTTCCAGTAGCCACAGGGATTTTGGGATTCCTATCAGTATTCAAGAGGAGTCAGGCATCGTCACCTTTTGAAGCAATGAACTCCGCGTGCCTCTCGAGGTGTCAGCGGGATGTGAGGCATTCCGTCAAAATGAGGCAGGGACCTAGGGCTTTCTCTAAGGTCTCCACAGGGGATTCAGACATCCCTTCATGTTGTGAGGTGAAAGACGAGCCTGTATTCAAGCCACTGCAAGGAAATCCGGCCTCCTTTCAAGTGAGGGCTTCTCGCTGTATATTCCCCTTGAGGCAGCAAACTCGGGGTCCCTCCCACATACCTATTGCTGAGAGAAGCCTCCTCCTGAGGTGCTTCTGGGAAGTTGGCATACGTCTTGAGCCTAAGCCAGGGAATCAGCTCGCATCTCGAGACGATTTGGGGTACACGGAGCATTCCTCGAGTTGCTGTGCTGAAGTTGGTGTTCCTCTAGACTTGGGACAGTGTTCTCGGGGCATCTCTGGAGTTGCCTGAAGGAAGTCGAGCCACCGGTCGTGTTGAATGGGGAACGGGGAATGGCTCTGGAGTCAATGCAGGGGAATCAGGCCTCATCTCGAGTTGATTTGGGGCACATGGAGCTGCTTTGCGTTGCTGGGGTGACCTCAGGGTCCGTCTAGACTGGTGACAGTGTTCTTGGGGACTCTCTCGAGATCCATTAAGCAAGTCGAAGCTCCTGACTTGTTTGAATGGGATCACGGAATAGCTCTGCATGCACTGCAGGGGAATGGGGCCTCATCTCGCCTCTAGGGGGAAGTCTCATGGTTTTTCTCGAGTTGCGGCGGGGACCTGGGGTATGTTCTCGACTTACGGCGGGGATGGCCCTTCAAAACACGAGTTTCTTCAGTGACGTCAGGACTCCTGTCTAGTAACGAGGGACACCTCAGGAATCTCTTCGAGGCTTGGCAGGGCCAAAGGGACGCTTCCCGAGGTGAGGCAGGGCACCCAAGGACCCTTTCCAGTAGCCACAGGGATTTTGGGATTCCTATCAGTATTCAAGAGGAGTCAGGCATCGTCACCTTTTGAAGCAATGAACTCCGCGTGCCTCTCGAGGTGTCAGCGGGATGTTGAGGCATTCCGTCAAAATGAGGCAGGGACCTAGGGCTTTCTCTAAGGTCTCCACAGGGGATTCAGACATCCCTTCATGTTGTGAGATGAAAGACGAGCCTGTATTCAAGCCACTGCAAGGAAATCCGGCCTCCTTTCAAGTGAGGGCTTCTCGCTGTATATTCCCCTTGAGGCAGCAAACTCGGGGTCCCTCCCACATACCTATTGCTGAGAGAAGCCTCCTCCTGAGGTGCTTCTGGGAAGTTGGCATACGTCTTGAGCCTAAGCCAGGGAATCAGCTCGCATCTCGAGACGATTTGGGGTACACGGAGCATTCCTCGAGTTGCTGTGCTGAAGTTGGTGTTCCTCTAGACTTGGGACAGTGTTCTCGGGGCATCTCTGGAGTTGCCTGAAGGAAGTCGAGCCACCGGTCGTGTTGAATGGGGAACGGGGAATGGCTCTGGAGTCAATGCAGGGGAATCGGGCCTCATCTCGAGTTGATTTGGGGCACATGGAGCTGCTTTGCGTTGCTGGGGTGACCTCAGGGTCCGTCTAGACTGGTGACAGTGTTCTTGGGGACTGTCTCGAGATCCATTAAGCAAGTCGAAGCTCCTGACTTGTTTGAATGGGATCACGGAATAGCTCTGCATGCACTGCAGGGGAATGGGGCCTCATCTCGCCTCTAGGGGGAAGTCTCATGGTTTTTCTCGAGTTGCGGCGGGGACCTGGGGTATGTTCTCGACTTACGGCGGGGATGGCCCTTCAAAACACGAGTTTCTTCAGTGACGTCAGGACTCCTGTCTAGTAACGAGGGACACCTCAGGAATCTCTTCGAGGCTTGGCAGGGCCAAAGGGACGCTTCTCGAGGTGAGGCAGGGCACCCAAGGACCCTTTCCAGTAGCCACAGGGATTTTGGGATTCCTATCAGTATTCAAGAGGAGTCAGGCATCGTCACCTTTTGAAGCAATGAACTCCGCGTGCCTCTCGAGGTGTCAGCGGGATGTGAGGCATTCCGTCAAAATGAGGCAGGGACCTAGGGCTTTCTCTAAGGTCTCCACAGGGGATTCAGACATCCCTTCATGTTGTGAGGTGAAAGACGAGCCTGTATTCAAGCCACTGCAAGGAAATCCGGCCTCCTTTCAAGTGAGGGCTTCTCGCTGTATATTCCCCTTGAGGCAGCAAACTCGGGGTCCCTCCCACATACCTATTGCTGAGAGAAGCCTCCTCCTGAGGTGCTTCTGGGAAGTTGGCATACGTCTTGAGCCTAAGCCAGGGAATCAGCTCGCATCTCGAGACGATTTGGGGTACACGGAGCATTCCTCGAGTTGCTGTGCTGAAGTTGGTGTTCCTCTAGACTTGGGACAGTGTTCTCGGGGCATCTCTGGAGTTGCCTGAAGGAAGTCGAGCCACCGGTCGTGTTGAATGGGGAACGGGGAATGGCTCTGGAGTCAATGCAGGGGAATCGGGCCTCATCTCGAGTTGATTTGGGGCACATGGAGCTGCTTTGCGTTGCTGGGGGGACCTCAGGGTCCGTCTAGACTGGTGACAGTGTTCTTGGGGACTGTCTCGAGATCCATTAAGCAAGTCGAAGCTCCTGACTTGTTTGAATGGGATCACGGAATAGCTCTGCATGCACTGCAGGGGAATGGGGCCTCATCTCGCCTCTAGGGGGAAGTCTCATGGTTTTTCTCGAGTTGCGGCGGGGACCTGGGGTATGTTCTCGACTTACGGCGGGGATGGCCCTTCAAAACACGAGTTTCTTCAGTGACGTCAGGACTCCTGTCTAGTAACGAGGGACACCTCAGGAATCTCTTCGAGGCTTGGCAGGGCCAAAGGGACGCTTCTCGAGGTGAGGCAGGGCACCCAAGGACCCTTTCCCGTAGCCACAGGGATTTTGGGATTCCTATCAGTATTCAAGAGAAGTCAGGCATCGTCACCTTTTGAAGCAATGAACTCCGCGTGCCTCTCGAGGTGTCAGCGGGATGTGAGGCATTCCGTCAAAATGAGGCAGGGACCTAGGGCTTTCTCTAAGGTCTCCACAGGGGATTCAGACATCCCTTCATGTTGTGAGGTGAAAGACGAGCCTGTATTCAAGCCACTGCAATGAAATCCGGCCTCCTTTCAAGTGAGGGCTTCTCGCTGTATATTCCCCTTGAGGCAGCAAACTCGGGGTCCCTCCCACATACCTATTGCTGAGAGAAGCCTCCTCCTGAGGTGCTTCTGGGAAGTTGGCATACGTCTTGAGCCTAAGCCAGGGAATCAGCTCGCATCTCGAGACGATTTGGGGTACACGGAGCATTCCTCGAGTTGCTGTGCTGAAGTTGGTGTTCCTCTAGACTTGGGACAGTGTTCTCGGGGCATCTCTGGAGTTGCCTGAAGGAAGTCGAGCCACCGGTCTTGTTGAATGGGGAACGGGGAATGGCTCTGGAGTCAATGCAGGGGAATCGGGCCTCATCTCGAGTTGATTTGGGGCACATGGAGCTGCTTTGCGTTGCTGGGGTGACCTCAGGGTCCGTCTAGACTGGTGACAGTGTTCTTGGGGACTCTCTCGAGATCCATTAAGCAAGTCGAAGCTCCTGACTTGTTTGAATGGGATCACGGAATAGCTCTGCATGCACTGCAGGGGAATGGGGCCTCATCTCGCCTCTAGGGGGAAGTCTCATGGTTTTTCTCGAGTTGCGGCGGGGACCTGGGGTATGTTCTCGACTTACGGCGGGGATGGCCCTTCAAAACACGAGTTTCTTCAGTGACGTCAGGACTCCTGTCTAGTAACGAGGGACACCTCAGGAATCTCTTCGAGGCTTGGCAGGGCCAAAGGGACGCTTCTCGAGGTGAGGCAGGGCACCCAAGGACCCTTTCCAGTAGCCACAGGGATTTTGGGATTCCTATCAGTATTCAAGAGGAGTCAGGCATCGTCACCTTTTGAAGCAATGAACTCCGCGTGCCTCTCGAGGTGTCAGCGGGATGTGAGGCATTCCGTCAAAATGAGGCAGGGACCTAGGGCTTTCTCTAAGGTCTCCACAGGGGATTCAGACATCCCTTCATGTTGTGAGGTGAAAGACGAGCCTGTATTCAAGCCACTGCAAGGAAATCCGGCCTCCTTTCAAGTGAGGGCTTCTCGCTGTATATTCCCCTTGAGGCAGCAAACTCGGGGACCCTCCCACATACCTATTGCTGAGAGAAGCCTCCTCCTGAGGTGCTTCTGGGAAGTTGGCATACGTCTTGAGCCTAAGCCAGGGAATCAGCTCGCATCTCGAGACGATTTGGGGTACACGGAGCATTCCTCGAGTTGCTGTGCTGAAGTTGGTGTTCCTCTAGACTTGGGACAGTGTTCTCGGGGCATCTCTGGAGTTGCCTGAAGGAAGTCGAGCCACCGGTCGTGTTGAATGGGGAACGGGGAATGGCTCTGGAGTCAATGCAGGGGAATCGGGCCTCATCTCGAGTTGATTTGGGGCACATGGAGCTGCTTTGCGTTGCTGGGGTGACCTCAGGGTCCGTCTAGACTGGTGACAGTGTTCTTGGGGACTGTCTCGAGATCCATTAAGCAAGTCGAAGCTCCTGACTTGTTTGAATGGGATCACGGAATAGCTCTGCATGCACTGCAGGGGAATGGGGCCTCATCTCGCCTCTAGGGGGAAGTCTCATGGTTTTTCTCGAGTTGCGGCGGGGACCTGGGGTATGTTCTCGACTTACGGCGGGGATGGCCCTTCAAAACACGAGTTTCTTCAGTGACGTCAGGACTCCTGTCTAGTAACGAGGGACACCTCAGGAATCTCTTCGAGGCTTGGCAGGGCCAAAGGGACGCTTCCCGAGGTGAGGCAGGGCACCCAAGGACCCTTTCCAGTAGCCACAGGGATTTTGGGATTCCTATCAGTATTCAAGAGGAGTCAGGCATCGTCACCTTTTGAAGCAATGAACTCCGCGTGCCTCTCGAGGTGTCAGCGGGATGTGAGGCATTCCGTCAAAATGAGGCAGGGACCTAGGGCTTTCTCTAAGGTCTCCACAGGGGATTCAGACATCCCTTCATGTTGTGAGATGAAAGACGAGCCTGTATTCAAGCCACTGCAAGGAAATCCGGCCTCCTTTCAAGTGAGGGCTTCTCGCTGTATATTCCCCTTGAGGCAGCAAACTCGGGGTCCCTCCCCCATACCTATTGCTGAGAGAAGCCTCCTCGTGAGGTGCTTCTGGGAAGTTGGCATAGGTCTTGAGCCTAAGCCAGGGAATCAGCTCGCATCTCGAGACGATTTGGGGTACACGGAGCATTCCTCGAGTTGCTGTGCTGAAGTTGGTGTTCCTCTAGACTTGGGACAGTGTTCTCGGGGCATCTCTGGAGTTGCCTGAAGGAAGTCGAGCCACCGGTCGTGTTGAATGGGGAACGGGGAATGGCTCTGGAGTCAATGCAGGGGAATCGGGCCTCATCTCGAGTTGATTTGGGGCACATGGAGCTGCTTTGCGTTGCTGGGGTGACCTCAGGGTCCGTCTAGACTGGTGACAGTGTTCTTGGGGACTGTCTCGAGATCCATTAAGCAAGTCGAAGCTCCTGACTTGTTTGAATGGGATCACGGAATAGCTCTGCATGCACTGCAGGGGAATGGGGCCTCATCTCGCCTCTAGGGGGAAGTCTCATGGTTTTTCTCGAGTTGCGGCGGGGACCTGGGGTATGTTCTCGACTTACGGCGGGGATGGCCCTTCAAAACACGAGTTTCTTCAGTGACGTCAGGACTCCTGTCTAGTAACGAGGGACACCTCAGGAATCTCTTCGAGGCTTGGCAGGGCCAAAGGGACGCTTCTCGAGGTGAGGCAGGGCACCCAAGGACCCTTTCCAGTAGCCACAGGGATTTTGGGATTCCTATCAGTATTCAAGAGGAGTCAGGCATCGTCACCTTTTGAAGCAATGAACTCCGCGTGCCTCTCGAGGTGTCAGCGGGATGTGAGGCATTCCGTCAAAATGAGGCAGGGACCTAGGGCTTTCTCTAAGGTCTCCACAGGGGATTCAGACATCCCTTCATGTTGTGAGATGAAAGACGAGCCTGTATTCAAGCCACTGCAAGGAAATCCGGCCTCCTTTCAAGTGAGGGCTTCTCGCTGTATATTCCCCTTGAGGCAGCAAACTCGGGGTCCCTCCCACATACCTATTGCTGAGAGAAGCCTCCTCCTGAGGTGCTTCTGGGAAGTTGGCATACGTCTTGAGCCTAAGCCAGGGAATCAGCTCGCATCTCGAGACGATTTGGGGTACACGGAGCATTCCTCGAGTTGCTGTGCTGAAGTTGGTGTTCCTCTAGACTTGGGACAGTGTTCTCGGGGCATCTCTGGAGTTGCCTGAAGGAAGTCGAGCCACCGGTCGTGTTGAATGGGGAACGGGGAATGGCTCTGGAGTCAATGCAGGGGAATCGGGCCTCATCTCGAGTTGATTTGGGGCACATGGAGCTGATTTGCGTTGCTGGGGTGACCTCAGGGTCCGTCTAGACTGGTGACAGTGTTCTTGGGGACTGTCTCGAGATCCATTAAGCAAGTCGAAGCTCCTGACTTGTTTGAATGGGATCACGGAATAGCTCTGCATGCACTGCAGGGGAATGGGGCCTCATCTCGCCTCTAGGGGGAAGTCTCATGGTTTTTCTCGAGTTGCGGCGGGGACCTGGGGTATGTTCTCGACTTACGGCGGGGATGGCCCTTCAAAACACGAGTTTCTTCAGTGACGTCAGGACTCCTGTCTAGTAACGAGGGACACCTCAGGAATCTCTTCGAGGCTTGGCAGGGCCAAAGGGACGCTTCCCGAGGTGAGGCAGGGCACCCAAGGACCCTTTCCAGTAGCCACAGGGATTTTGGGATTCCTATCAGTATTCAAGAGGAGTCAGGCATCGTCACCTTTTGAAGCAATGAACTCCGCGTGCCTCTCGAGGTGTCAGCGGGATGTGAGGCATTCCGTCAAAATGAGGCAGGGACCTAGGGCTTTCTCTAAGGTCTCCACAGGGGATTCAGACATCCCTTCATGTTGTGAGGTGAAAGACGAGCCTGTATTCAAGCCACTGCAAGGAAATCCGGCCTCCTTTCAAGTGAGGGCTTCTCGCTGTATATTCCCCTTGAGGCAGCAAACTCGGGGTCCCTCCCACATACCTATTGCTGAGAGAAGCCTCCTCATGAGGTGCTTCTGGGAAGTTGGCATACGTCTTGAGCCTAAGCCAGGGAATCAGCTCGCATCTCGAGACGATTTGGGGTACACGGAGCATTCCTCGAGTTGCTGTGCTGAAGTTGGTGTTCCTCTAGACTTGGGACAGTGTTCTCGGGGCATCTCTGGAGTTGCCTGAAGGAAGTCGAGCCACCGGTCGTGTTGAATGGGGAACGGGGAATGGCTCTGGAGTCAATGCAGGGGAATCGGGCCTCATCTCGAGTTGATTTGGGGCACATGGAGCTGCTTTGCGTTGCTGGGGTGACCTCAGGGTCCGTCTAGACTGGTGACAGTGTTCTTGGGGACTGTCTCGAGATCCATTAAGCAAGTCGAAGCTCCTGACTTGTTTGAATGGGATCACGGAATAGCTCTGCATGCACTGCAGGGGAATGGGGCCTCATCTCGCCTCTAGGGGGAAGTCTCATGGTTTTTCTCGAGTTGCGGCGGGGACCTGGGGTATGTTCTCGACTTACGGCGGGGATGGCCCTTCAAAACACGAGTTTCTTCAGTGACGTCAGGACTCCTGTCTAGTAACGAGGGACACCTCAGGAATCTCTTCGAGGCTTGGCAGGGCCAAAGGGACGCTTCTCGAGGTGAGGCAGGGCACCCAAGGACCCTTTCCCGTAGCCACAGGGATTTTGGGATTCCTATCAGTATTCAAGAGAAGTCAGGCATCGTCACCTTTTGAAGCAATGAACTCCGCGTGCCTCTCGAGGTGTCAGCGGGATGTGAGGCATTCCGTCAAAATGAGGCAGGGACCTAGGGCTTTCTCTAAGGTCTCCACAGGGGATTCAGACATCCCTTCATGTTGTGAGGTGAAAGACGAGCCTGTATTCAAGCCACTGCAATGAAATCCGGCCTCCTTTCAAGTGAGGGCTTCTCGCTGTATATTCCCCTTGAGGCAGCAAACTCGGGGTCCCTCCCACATACCTATTGCTGAGAGAAGCCTCCTCCTGAGGTGCTTCTGGGAAGTTGGCATACGTCTTGAGCCTAAGCCAGGGAATCAGCTCGCATCTCGAGACGATTTGGGGTACACGGAGCATTCCTCGAGTTGCTGTGCTGAAGTTGGTGTTCCTCTAGACTTGGGACAGTGTTCTCGGGGCATCTCTGGAGTTGCCTGAAGGAAGTCGAGCCACCGGTCTTGTTGAATGGGGAACGGGGAATGGCTCTGGAGTCAATGCAGGGGAATCGGGCCTCATCTCGAGTTGATTTGGGGCACATGGAGCTGCTTTGCGTTGCTGGGGTGACCTCAGGGTCCGTCTAGACTGGTGACAGTGTTCTTGGGGACTCTCTCGAGATCCATTAAGCAAGTCGAAGCTCCTGACTTGTTTGAATGGGATCACGGAATAGCTCTGCATGCACTGCAGGGGAATGGGGCCTCATCTCGCCTCTAGGGGGAAGTCTCATGGTTTTTCTCGAGTTGCGGCGGGGACCTGGGGTATGTTCTCGACTTACGGCGGGAATGGCCCTTCAAAACACGAGTTTCTTCAGTGACGTCAGGACTCCTGTCTAGTAACGAGGGACACCTCAGGAATCTCTTCGAGGCTTGGCAGGGCCAAAGGGACGCTTCTCGAGGTGAGGCAGGGCACCCAAGGACCGTTTCCAGTAGCCACAGGGATTTTGGGATTCCTATCAGTATTCAAGAGGAGTCAGGCATCGTCACCTTTTGAAGCAATGAACTCCGCGTGCCTCTCGAGGTGTCAGCGGGATGTGAGGCATTCCGTCAAAATGAGGCAGGGACCTAGGGCTTTCTCTAAGGTCTCCACAGGGGATTCAGACATCCCTTCATGTTGTGAGGTGAAAGACGAGCCTGTATTCAAGCCACTGCAAGGAAATCCGGCCTCCTTTCAAGTGAGGGCTTCTCGCTGTATATTCCCCTTGAGGCAGCAAACTCGGGGTCCCTCCCACATACCTATTGCTGAGAGAAGCCTCCTCCTGAGGTGCTTCTGGGAAGTTGGCATACGTCTTGAGCCTAAGCCAGGGAATCAGCTCGCATCTCGAGACGATTTGGGGTACACGGAGCATTCCTCGAGTTGCTGTGCTGAAGTTGGTGTTCCTCTAGACTTGGGACAGTGTTCTCGGGGCATCTCTGGAGTTGCCTGAAGGAAGTCGAGCCACCGGTCGTGTTGAATGGGGAACGGGGAATGGCTCTGGAGTCAATGCAGGGGAATCGGGCCTCATCTCGAGTTGATTTGGGGCACATGGAGCTGCTTTGCGTTGCTGGGGTGACCTCAGGGTCCGTCTAGACTGGTGACAGTGTTCTTGGGGACTCTCTCGAGATCCATTAAGCAAGTCGAAGCTCCTGACTTGTTTGAATGGGATCACGGAATAGCTCTGCATGCACTGCAGGGGAATGGGGCCTCATCTCGCCTCTAGGGGGAAGTCTCATGGTTTTTCTCGAGTTGCGGCGGGGACCTGGGGTATGTTCTCGACTTACGGCGGGGATGGCCCTTCAAAACACGAGTTTCTTCAGTGACGTCAGGACTCCTGTCTAGTAACGAGGGACACCTCAGGAATCTCTTCGAGGCTTGGCAGGGCCAAAGGGACGCTTCCCGAGGTGAGGCAGGGCACCCAAGGACCCTTTCCAGTAGCCACAGGGATTTTGGGATTCCTATCAGTATTCAAGAGGAGTCAGGCATCGTCACCTTTTGAAGCAATGAACTCCGCGTGCCTCTCGAGGTGTCTGCGGGATGTGAGGCATTCCGTCAAAATGAGGCAGGGACCTAGGGCTTTCTCTAAGGTCTCCACAGGGGATTCAGACATCCCTTCATGTTGTGAGATGAAAGACGAGCCTGTATTCAAGCCACTGCAAGGAAATCCGGCCTCCTTTCAAGTGAGGGCTTCTCGCTGTATATTCCCCTTGAGGCAGCAAACTCGGGGTCCCTCCCACATACCTATTGCTGAGAGAAGCCTCCTCCTGAGGTGCTTCTGGGAAGTTGGCATACGTCTTGAGCCTAAGCCAGGGAATCAGCTCGCATCTCGAGACGATTTGGGGTACACGGAGCATTCCTCGAGTTGCTGTGCTGAAGTTGGTGTTCCTCTAGACTTGGGACAGTGTTCTCGGGGCATCTCTGGAGTTGCCTGAAGGAAGTCGAGCCACCGGTCGTGTTGAATGGGGAACGGGGAATGGCTCTGGAGTCAATGCAGGGGAATCGGGCCTCATCTCGAGTTGATTTGGGGCACATGGAGCTGCTTTGCGTTGCTGGGGTGACCTCAGGGTCCGTCTAGACTGGTGACAGTGTTCCTGGGGACTGTCTCGAGATCCATTAAGCAAGTCGAAGCTCCTGACTTGTTTGAATGGGATCACGGAATAGCTCTGCATGCACTGCAGGGGAATGGGGCCTCATCTCGCCTCTAGGGGGAAGTCTCATGGTTTTTCTCGAGTTGCGGCGGGGACCTGGGGTATGTTCTCGACTTACGGCGGGGATGGCCCTTCAAAACACGAGTTTCTTCAGTGACGTCAGGACTCCTGTCTAGTAACGAGGGACACCTCAGGAATCTCTTCGAGGCTTGGCAGGGCCAAAGGGACGCTTCTCGAGGTGAGGCAGGGCACCCAAGGACCGTTTCCAGTAGCCACAGGGATTTTGGGATTCCTATCAGTATTCAAGAGGAGTCAGGCATCGTCACCTTTTGAAGCAATGAACTCCGCGTGCCTCTCGAGGTGTCAGCGGGATGTGAGGCATTCCGTCAAAATGAGGCAGGGACCTAGGGCTTTCTCTAAGGTCTCCACAGGGGATTCAGACATCCCTTCATGTTGTGAGGTGAAAGACGAGCCTGTATTCAAGCCACTGCAAGGAAATCCGGCCTCCTTTCAAGTGAGGGCTTCTCGCTGTATATTCCCCTTGAGGCAGCAAACTCGGGGTCCCTCCCACATACCTATTGCTGAGAGAAGCCTCCTCCTGAGGTGCTTCTGGGAAGTTGGCATACGTCTTGAGCCTAAGCCAGGGAATCAGCTCGCATCTCGAGACGATTTGGGGTACACGGAGCATTCCTCGAGTTGCTGTGCTGAAGTTGGTGTTCCTCTAGACTTGGGACAGTGTTCTCGGGGCATCTCTGGAGTTGCCTGAAGGAAGTCGAGCCACCGGTCGTGTTGAATGGGGAACGGGGAATGGCTCTGGAGTCAATGCAGGGGAATCGGGCCTCATCTCGAGTTGATTTGGGGCACATGGAGCTGCTTTGCGTTGCTGGGGTGACCTCAGGGTCCGTCTACACTGGTGACAGTGTTCTTGGGGACTGTCTCGAGATCCATTAAGCAAGTCGAAGCTCCTGACTTGTTTGAATGGGATCACGGAATAGCTCTGCATGCACTGCAGGGGAATGGGGCCTCATCTCGCCTCTAGGGGGAAGTCTCATGGTTTTTCTCGAGTTGCGGCGGGGACCTGGGGTATGTTCTCGACTTACGGCGGGGATGGCCCTTCAAAACACGAGTTTCTTCAGTGACGTCAGGACTCCTGTCTAGTAACGAGGGACACCTCAGGAATCTCTTCGAGGCTTGGCAGGGCCAAAGGGACGCTTCCCGAGGTGAGGCAGGGCACCCAAGGATCCTTTCCAGTAGCCACAGGGATTTTGGGATTCCTATCATTATTCAAGAGGAGTCAGGCATCGTCACCTTTTGAAGCAATGAACTCCGCGTGCCTCTCGAGGTGTCAGCGGGATGTGAGGCATTCCGTCAAAATGAGGCAGGGACCTAGGGCTTTCTCTAAGGTCTCCACAGGGGATTCAGACATCCCTTCATGTTGTGAGATGAAAGACGAGCCTGTATTCAAGCCACTGCAAGGAAATCCGGCCTCCTTTCAAGTGAGGGCTTCTCGCTGTATATTCCCCTTGAGGCAGCAAACTCGGGGTCCCTCCCACATACCTATTGCTGAGAGAAGCCTCCTCCTGAGGTGCTTCTGGGAAGTTGGCATACGTCTTGAGCCTAAGCCAGGGAATCAGCTCGCATCTCGAGACGATTTGGGGTACACGGAGCATTCCTCGAGTTGCTGTGCTGAAGTTGGTGTTCCTCTAGACTTGGGACAGTGTTCTCGGGGCATCTCTGGAGTTGCCTGAAGGAAGTCGAGCCACCGGTCGTGTTGAATGGGGAACGGGGAATGGCTCTGGAGTCAATGCAGGGGAATCGGGCCTCATCTCGAGTTGATTTGGGGCACATAGACCTGCTTTGCGTTGCTGGGCTGACCTCAGGGTCCGTCTAGACTGGTGACAGTGTTCTTGGGGAATGTCTCAAGATCCATTAAGCAAGTCGAAGCTCCTGACTTGTTTGAATGGGATCACGGAATAGCTCTGCATGCACTGCAGGGGAATGGGGCCTCATCTCGCCTCTAGGGGGAAGTCTCATGGTTTTTCTCGAGTTGCGGCGGGGACCTGGGGTATGTTCTCGACTTACGGCGGGGATGGCCCTTCAAAACACGAGTTTCTTCAGTGACGTCAGGACTCCTGTCTAGTAACGAGGGACACCTCAGGAATCTCTTCGAGGCTTGGCAGGGCCAAAGGGACGCTTCCCGAGGTGAGGCAGGGCACCCAAGGACCCTTTCCAGTAGCCACAGGGATTTTGGGATTCCTATCAGTATTCAAGAGGAGTCAGGCATCGTCACCTTTTGAAGCAATGAACTCCGCGTGCCTCTCGAGGTGTCTGCGGGATGTGAGGCATTCCGTCAAAATGAGGCAGGGACCTAGGGCTTTCTCTAAGGTCTCCACAGGGGATTCAGACATCCCTTCATGTTGTGAGATGAAAGACGAGCCTGTATTCAAGCCACTGCAAGGAAATCCGGCCTCCTTTCAAGTGAGGGCTTCTCGCTGTATATTCCCCTTGAGGCAGCAAACTCGGGGTCCCTCCCACATACCTATTGCTGAGAGAAGCCTCCTCCTGAGGTGCTTCTGGGAAGTTGGCATACGTCTTGAGCCTAAGCCAGGGAATCAGCTCGCATCTCGAGACGATTTGGGGTACACGGAGCATTCCTCGAGTTGCTGTGCTGAAGTTGGTGTTCCTCTAGACTTGGGACAGTGTTCTCGGGGCATCTCTGGAGTTGCCTGAAGGAAGTCGAGCCACCGGTCGTGTTGAATGGGGAACGGGGAATGGCTCTGGAGTCAATGCAGGGGAATCGGGCCTCATCTCGAGTTGATTTGGGGCACATGGAGCTGCTTTGCGTTGCTGGGGTGACCTCAGGGTCCGTCTAGACTGGTGACAGTGTTCTTGGGGACTGTCTCGAGATCCATTAAGCAAGTCGAAGCTCCTGACTTGTTTGAATGGGATCACGGAATAGCTCTGCATGCACTGCAGGGGAATGGGGCCTCATCTCGCCTCTAGGGGGAAGTCTCATGGTTTTTCTCGAGTTGCGGCGGGGACCTGGGGTATGTTCTCGACTTACGGCGGGGATGGCCCTTCAAAACACGAGTTTCTTCAGTGACGTCAGGACTCCTGTCTAGTAACGAGGGACACCTCAGGAATCTCTTCGAGGCTTGGCAGGGCCAAAGGGACGCTTCCCGAGGTGAGGCAGGGCACCCAAGGACCCTTTCCAGTAGCCACAGGGATTTTGGGATTCCTATCAGTATTCAAGAGGAGTCAGGCATCGTCACCTTTTGAAGCAATGAACTCCGCGTGCCTCTCGAGGTGTCAGCGGGATGTGAGGCATTCCGTCAAAATGAGGCAGGGACCTAGGGCTTTCTCTAAGGTCTCCACAGGGGATTCAGACATCCCTTCATGTTGTGAGATGAAAGACGAGCCTGTATTCAAGCCACTGCAAGGAAATCCGGCCTCCTTTCAAGTGAGGGCTTCTCGCTGTATATTCCCCTTGAGGCAGCAAACTCGGGGTCCCTCCCACATACCTATTGCTGAGAGAAGCCTCCTCCTGAGGTGCTTCTGGGAAGTTGGCATACGTCTTGAGCCTAAGCCAGGGAATCAGCTCGCATCTCGAGACGATTTGGGGTACACGGAGCATTCCTCGAGTTGCTGTGCTGAAGTTGGTGTTCCTCTAGACTTGGGACAGTGTTCTCGGGGCATCTCTGGAGTTGCCTGAAGGAAGTCGAGCCACCGGTCGTGTTGAATGGGGAACGGGGAATGGCTCTGGAGTCAATGCAGGGGAATCGGGCCTCATCTCGAGTTGATTTGGGGCACATGGAGCTGCTTTGCGTTGCTGGGGTGACCTCAGGGTCCGTCTAGACTGGTGACAGTGTTCTTGGGGACTGTCTCGAGATCCATTAAGCAAGTCGAAGCTCCTGACTTGTTTGAATGGGATCACGGAATAGCTCTGCATGCACTGCAGGGGAATGGGGCCTCATCTCGCCTCTAGGGGGAAGTCTCATGGTTTTTCTCGAGTTGCGGCGGGGACCTGGGGTATGTTCTCGACTTACGGCGGGGATGGCCCTTCAAAACACGAGTTTCTTCAGTGACGTCAGGACTCCTGTCTAGTAACGAGGGACACCTCAGGAATCTCTTCGAGGCTTGGCAGGGCCAAAGGGACGCTTCTCGAGGTGAGGCAGGGCACCCAAGGACCCTTTCCAGTAGCCACAGGGATTTTGGGATTCCTATCAGTATTCAAGAGGAGTCAGGCATCGTCACATTTGAAGCAATGAACTCCGCGTGCCTCTCGAGGTGTCAGCGGGATGTGAGGCATTCCGTCAAAATGAGGCAGGGACCTAGGGCTTTCTCTAAGGTCTCCACAGGGGATTCAGACATCCCTTCATGTTGTGAGATGAAAGACGAGCCTGTATTCAAGCCACTGCAAGGAAATCCGGCCTCCTTTCAAGTTAGGGCTTCTCGCTGTATATTCCCCTTGAGGCAGCAAACTCGGGGTCCCTCCCACATACCTATTGCTGAGAGAAGCCTCCTCCTGAGGTGCTTCTGGGAAGTTGTCATACGTCTTGAGCCTAATCCAGGGAATCAGCTCGCATCTCGAGACGATTTGGGGTACACGGAGCATTCCTCGAGTTGCTGTGCTGAAGTTGGTGTTCCTCTAGACTTGGGACAGTGTTCTCGGGGCATCTCTGGAGTTGCCTGAAGGAAGTCGAGCCACCGGTCGTGTTGAATGGGGAACGGGGAATGGCTCTGGAGTCAATGCAGGGGAATCGGGCCTCATCTCGAGTTGATTTGGGGCACATGGAGCTGCTTTGCGTTGATGGGGTGACCTCAGGGTCCGTCTAGACTGGTGACAGTGTTCTTGGGGACTGTCTCGAGATCCATTAAGCAAGTCGAAGCTCCTGACTTGTTTGAATGGGATCACGGAATAGCTCTGCATGCACTGCAGGGGAATGGGGCCTCATCTCGCCTCTAGGGGGAAGTCTCATGGTTTTTCTCGAGTTGCGGCGGGGACCTGGGGTATGTTCTCGACTTACGGCGGGGATGGCCCTTCAAAACACGAGTTTCTTCAGTGACGTCAGGACTCCTGTCTAGTAACGAGGGACACCTCAGGAATCTCTTCGAGGCTTGGCAGGGCCAAAGGGACGCTTCTCGAGGTGAGGCAGGGCACCCAAGGACCCTTTCCAGTAGCCACAGGGATTTTGGGATTCCTATCAGTATTCAAGAGGAGTCAGGCATCGTCACCTTTTGAAGCAATGAACTCCGCGTGCCTCTCGAGGTGTCAGCGGGATGTGAGGCATTCCGTCAAAATGAGGCAGGGACCTAGGGCTTTCTCTAAGGTCTCCACAGGGGATTCAGACATCCCTTCATGTTGTGAGATGAAAGACGAGCCTGTATTCAAGCCACTGCAAGGAAATCCGGCCTCCATTCAAGTTAGGGCTTCTCGCTGTATATTCCCCTTGAGGCAGCAAACTCGGGGTCCCTCCCACATACCTATTGCTGAGAGAAGCCTCCTCCTGAGGTGCTTCTGGGAAGTTGGCATACGTCTTGAGCCTAAGCCAGGGAATCAGCTCGCATCTCGAGACGAGTTGGGGTACACGGAGCATTCCTCGAGTTGCTGTGCTGAAGTTGGTGTTCCTCTAGACTTGGGACAGTGTTCTCGGGGCATCTCTGGAGTTGCCTGAAGGAAGTCGAGCCACCGGTCGTGTTGAATGGGGAACGGGGAATGGCTCTGGAGTCAATGCAGGGGAATCGGGCCTCATCTCGAGTTGATTTGGGGCACATGGAGCTGCTTTGCGTTGCTGGGGTGACCTCAGGGTCCGTCTAGACTGGTGACAGTGTTCTTGGGGACTGTCTCGAGATCCATTAAGCAAGTCGAAGCTCCTGACTTGTTTGAATGGGATCACGGAATAGCTCTGCATGCACTGCAGGGGAATGGGGCCTCATCTCGCCTCTAGGGGGAAGTCTCATGGTTTTTCTCGAGTTGCGGCGGGGACCTGGGGTATGTTCTCGACTTACGGCGGGGATGGCCCTTCAAAACACGAGTTTCTTCAGTGACGTCAGGACTCCTGTCTAGTAACGAGGGACACCTCAGGAATCTCTTCGAGGCTTGGCAGGGCCAAAGGGACGCTTCTCGAGGTGAGGCAGGGCACCCAAGGACCCTTTCCAGTAGCCACAGGGATTTTGGGATTCCTATCAGTATTCAAGAGGAGTCAGGCATCGTCACCTTTTGAAGCAATGAACTCCGCGTGCCTCTCGAGGTGTCAGCGGGATGTGAGGCATTCCGTCAAAATGAGGCAGGGACCTAGGGCTTTCTCTAAGGTCTCCACAGGGGATTCAGACATCCCTTCATGTTGTGAGATGAAAGACGAGCCTGTATTCAAGCCACTGCAAGGAAATCCGGCCTCCTTTCAAGTGAGGGCTTCTCGCTGTATATTCCCCTTGAGGCAGCAAACTCGGGGTCCCTCCCACATACCTATTGCTGAGAGAAGCCTCCTCCTGAGGTGCTTCTGGGAAGTTGGCATATGTCTTGATCCTAAGCCAGGGAATCAGCTCGCATCTCGAGACGATTTGGGGTACACGGAGCATTCCTCGAGTTGCTGTGCTGAAGTTGGTGTTCCTCTAGACTTGGGACAGTGTTCTCAGGGCATCTCTGGAGTTGCCTGAAGGAAGTCGAGCCACCGGTCGTGTTGAATGGGGAACGGGGAATGGCTCTGGAGTCAATGCAGGGGAATCGGGCCTCATCTCGAGTTGATTTGGGGCACATGGAGCTGCTTTGCGTTGCTGGGGTGACCTCAGGGTCCGTCTAGACTGGTGACAGTGTTCTTGGGGACTGTCTCGAGATCCATTAAGCAAGCCGAAGCTCCTGACTTGTTTGAATGGGATCACGGAATAGCTCTGCATGCACTGCAGGGGAATGGGGCCTCATCTCGCCTCTAGGGGGAAGTCTCATGGTTTTTCTCGAGTTGCGGCGGGGACCTGGGGTATGTTCTCGACTTACGGCGGGGATGGCCCTTCAAAACACGAGTTTCTTCAGTGACGTCAGGACTCCTGTCTAGTAACGAGGGACACCTCAGGAATCTCTTCGAGGCTTGGCAGGGCCAAAGGGACGCTTCCCGAGGTGAGGCAGGGCACCCAAGGACCCTTTCCAGTAGCCACAGGGATTTTGGGATTCCTATCAGTATTCAAGAGGAGTCAGGCATCGTCACCTTTTGAAGCAATGAACTCCGCGTGCCTCTCGAGGTGTCAGCGGGATGTGAGGCATTCCGTCAAAATGAGGCAGGGACCTAGGGCTTTCTCTAAGGTCTCCACAGGGGATTCAGACATCCCTTCATGTTGTGAGATGAAAGACGAGCCTGTATTCAAGCCACTGCAAGGAAATCCGGCCTCCTTTCAAGTTAGGGCTTCTCGCTGTATATTCCCCTTGAGGCAGCAAACTCGGGGTCCCTCCCACATACCTATTGCTGAGAGAAGCCTCCTTCTGAGGTGCTTCTAGGAAGTTGGCATACGTCTTGAGCCTAAGCCAGGGAATCAGCTCGCATCTCGAGACGATTTGGGGTACACGGAGCATTCCTCGAGTTGCTGTGCTGAAGTTGGTGTTCCTCTAGACTTGGGACAGTGTTCTCGGGGCATCTCTGGAGTTGCCTGAAGGAAGTCGAGCCACCGGTCGTGTTGAATGGGGAACGGGGAATGGCTCTGGAGTCAATGCAGGGGAATCGGGCCTCATCTCGAGTTGATTTGGGGCACATGGAGCTGCTTTGCGTTGCTGGGGTGACCTCAGGGTCCGTCTAGACTGGTGACAGTGTTCTTGGGGACTGTCTCGAGATCCATTAAGCAAGTCGAAGCTCCTGACTTGTTTGAATGGGATCACGGAATAGCTCTGCATGCACTGCAGGGGAATGGGGCCTCATCTCACCTCTAGGGGGAAGTCTCATGGTTTTTCTCGAGTTGTGGCGGGGACCTGGGGTATGTTCTCGACTTACAGCGGGGATGGCCCTTCAAAACACGAGTTTCTTCAGTGACGTCAGGACTCCTGTCTAGTAACGAGGGACACCTCAGGAATCTCTTCGAGGCTTGGCAGGGCCAAAGGGACCCTTCTCGAGGTGAGGCAGGGCACCCAAGGACCCTTTCCAGTAGCCACAGGGATTTTGGGATTCCTATCAGTATTCAAGAGGAGTCAGGCATCGTCACCTTTTGAAGCAATGAACTCCGCGTGCCTCTCGAGGTGTCAGCGGGATGTGAGGCATTCCGTCAAAATGAGGCAGGGACCTAGGGCTTTCTCTAAGGTCTCCACAGGGGATTCAGACATCCCTTCATGTTGTGAGATGAAAGACGAGCCTGTATTCAAGCCACTGCAAGGAAATCCGGCCTCCTTTCAAGTTAGGGCTTCTCGCTGTATATTCCCCTTGAGGCAGCAAACTCGGGGTCCCTCCCACATACCTATTGCTGAGAGAAGCCTCCTCGTGAGGTGCTTCTGGGAAGTTGGCATAGGTCTTGAGCCTAAGCCAGGGAATCAGCTCGCATCTCGAGACGATTTGGGGTACACGGAGCATTCCTCGAGTTGCTGTGCTGAAGTTGGTGTTCCTCTAGACTTGGGACAGTGTTCTCGGGGCATCTCTGGAGTTGCCTGAAGGAAGTCGAGCCACCGGTCGTGTTGAATGGGGAACGGGGAATGGCTCTGGAGTCAATGCAGGGGAATCGGGCCTCATCTCGAGTTGATTTGGGGCACATGGAGCTGATTTGCGTTGCTGGGGTGACCTCAGGGTCCGTCTAGACTGGTGACAGTGTTCTCGGGGACTGTCTCGAGATCCATTAAGCAAGTCGAAGCTCCTGACTTGTTTGAATGGGATCACGGAATAGCTCTGCATGCACTGCAGGGGAATGGGGCCTCATCTCGCCTCTAGGGGGAAGTCTCATGGTTTTTCTCGAGTTGCGGCGGGGACCTGGGGGATGTTCTCGACTTACGGCGGGGATGGCCCTTCAAAACACGAGTTTCTTCAGTGACGTCAGGACTCCTGTCTAGTAACGAGGGACACCTCAGGAATCTCTTCGAGGCTTGGCAGGGCCAAAGGGACGCTTCTCGAGGTGAGGCAGGGCACCCAAGGACCCTTTCCAGTAGCCACAGGGATTTTGGGATTCCTATCAGTATTCAAGAGGAGTCAGGTATCGTCACCTTTTGAAGCAATGAACTCCGCGTGCCTCTCGAGGTGTCAGCGGGATGTGAGGCATTCCGTCAAAATGAGGCAGGGACCTAGGGCTTTCTCTAAGGTCTCCACAGGGGATTCAGACATCCCTTCATGTTGTGAGATGAAAGACGAGCCTGTATTCAAGCCACTGCAAGGAAATCCGGCCTCCTTTCAAGTTAGGGCTTCTCGCTGTATATTCCCCTTGAGGCAGCAAACTCGGGGTCCCTCCCACATACCTATTGCTGAGAGAAGCCTCCTTCTGAGGTGCTTCTGGGAAGTTGGCATACGTCTTGAGCCTAAGCCAGGGAATCAGCTCGCATCTCGAGACGATTTGGGGTACACGGAGCATTCCTCGAGTTGCTGTGCTGAAGTTGGTGTTCCTCTAGACTTGGGACAGTGTTCTCGGGGCATCTCTGGAGTTGCCTGAAGGAAGTCGAGCCACCGGTCGTGTTGAATGCGGAACGGGGAATGGCTCTGGAGTCAATGCAGGGGAATCGGGCCTCATCTCGAGTTGATTTGGGGCACATGGAGCTGCTTTGCGTTGCTGGGGTGACCTCAGGGTCCGTCTAGACTGGTGACAGTGTTCTTGGGGACTGTCTCGAGATCCATTAAGCAAGTCGAAGCTCCTGACTTCTTTGAATGGGATCACGGAATAGCTCTGCATGCACTGCAGGGGAATGGGGCCTCATCTCACCTCTAGGGGGAAGTCTCATGGTTTTTCTCGAATTGTGGCGGGGACCTGGGGTATGTTCTCGACTTACAGCGGGGATGGCCCTTCAAAACACGAGTTTCTTCAGTGACGTCAGGACTCCTGTCTAGTAACGAGGGACACCTCAGGAATCTCTTCGAGGCTTGGCAGGGCCAAAGGGACCCTTCTCGAGGTGAGGCAGGGCACCCAAGGACCCTTTCCAGTAGCCACAGTGATTTTGGGATTCCTATCAGTATTCAAGAGGAGTCAGGCATCGTCACCTTTTGAAGCAATGAACTCCGCGTGCCTCTCGAGGTGTCAGCGTGATGTGAGGCATTCCGTCAAAATGAGGCAGGGACCTAGGGCTTTCTCTAAGGTCTCCACAGGGGATTCAGACATCCCTTCATGTTGTGAGAAGAAAGACGAGCCTGTATTCAAGCCACTGCAAGGAAATCCGGCCTCCTTTCACGTTAGGGCTTCTCGCTGTATATTCCCCTTGAGGCAGCAAACTCGGGGTCCCTCCCACATACCTATTGCTGAGAGAAGCCTCCTCGTGAGGTGCTTCTGGGAAGTTGGCATAGGTCTTGAGCCTAAGCCAGGGAATCAGCTCGCATCTCGAGACGATTTGGGGTACACGGAGCATTCCTCGAGTTGCTGTGCTGAAGTTGGTGTTCCTCTAGACTTGGGACAGTGTTCTCGGGGCATCTCTGGAGTTGCCTGAAGGAAGTCGAGCCACCGGTCGTGTTGAATGGGGAACGGGGAATGGCTCTGGAGTCAATGCAGGGGAATCGGGCCTCATCTCGAGTTGATTTGGGGCACATGGAGCTGATTTGCGTTGCTGGGGTGACCTCAGGGTCCGTCTAGACTGGTGACAGTGTTCTCGGGGACTGTCTCGAGATCCATTAAGCAAGTCGAAGCTCCTGACTTGTTTGAATGGGATCACGGAATAGCTCTGCATGCACTGCAGGGGAATGGGGCCTCATCTCGCCTCTAGGGGGAAGTCTCATGGTTTTTCTCGAGTTGCGGCGGGGACCTGGGGGATGTTCTCGACTTACGGCGGGGATGGCCCTTCAAAACACGAGTTTCTTCAGTGACGTCAGGACTCCTGTCTAGTAACGAGGGACACCTCAGGAATCTCTTCGAGGCTTGGCAGGGCCAAAGGGACGCTTCTCGAGGTGAGGCAGGGCACCCAAGGACCCTTTCCAGTAGCCACAGGGATTTTGGGATTCCTATCAGTATTCAAGAGGAGTCAGGCATCGTCACCTTTTGAAGCAATGAACTCCGCGTGCCTCTCGAGGTGTCAGCGGGATGTGAGGCATTCCGTCAAAATGAGGCAGGGACCTAGGGCTTTCTCTAAGGTCTCCACAGGGGATTCAGACATCCCTTCATGTTGTGAGATGAAAGACGAGCCTGTATTCAAGCCACTGCAAGGAAATCCGGCCTCCTTTCAAGTGAGGGCTTCTCGCTGTATATTCCCCTTGAGGCAGCAAACTCGGGGTCCCTCCCACATACCTATTGCTGAGAGAAGCCTCCTCCTGAGGTGCTTCTGGGAAGTTGGCATACGTCTTGAGCCTAAGCCAGGGAATCAGCTCGCATCTCGAGACGATTTGGGGTACACGGAGCATTCCTCGAGTTGCTGTGCTGAAGTTGGTGTTCCTCTAGACTTGGGACAGTGTTCTCGGGGCATCTCTGGAGTTGCCTGAAGGAAGTCGAGCCACCGGTCGTGTTGAATGGGGAACGGGGAATGGCTCTGGAGTCAATGCAGGGGAATCGGGCCTCATCTCGAGTTGATTTGGGGCACATGGAGCTGCTTTGCGTTGCTGGGGTGACCTCAGGGTCCGTCTAGACTGGTGACAGTGTTCTTGGGGACTGTCTCGAGATCCATTAAGCAAGTCGAAGCTCCTGACTTGTTTGAATGGGATCACGGAATAGCTCTGCATGCAATGCAGGGGAATGGGGCCTCATCTCGCCTCTAGGGGGAAGTCTCATGGTTTTTCTCGAGTTGTGGCGGGGACCTGGGGTATGTTCTCGACTTACGGCGGGGATGGCCCTTCAAAACACGAGTTTCTTCAGTGACGTCAGGACTCCTGTCTAGTAACGAGGGACACCTCAGGAATCTCTTCGAGGCTTGGCAGGGCCAAAGGGACGCTTCTCGAGGTGAGGCAGGGCACCCAAGGACCCTTTCCAGTAGCCACAGGGATTTTGGGATTCCTATCAGTATTCAAGAGGAGTCAGGCATCGTCACCTTTTGAAGCAATGAACTCCGCGTGCCTCTCGAGGTGTCAGCGGGATGTGAGGCATTCCGTCAAAATGAGGCAGGGACCTAGGGCTTTCTCTAAGGTCTCCACAGGGGATTCAGACATCCCTTCATGTTGTGAGATGAAAGACGAGCCTGTATTCAAGCCACTGCAAGGAAATCCGGCCTCCTTTCAAGTTAGGGCTTCTCGCTGTATATTCCCCTTGAGGCAGCAAATTCGGGGTCCCTCCCACATACCTATTGCTGAGAGAAGCCTCCTCCTGAGGTGCTTCTGGGAAGTTGGCATACGTCTTGAGCCTAAGCCAGGGAATCAGCTCGCATCTCGAGACGATTTGGGGTACACGGAGCATTCCTCGAGTTGCTGTGCTGAAGTTGGTGTTCCTCTAGACTTGGGACAGTGTTCTCGGGGCATCTCTGGAGTTGCCTGAAGGAAGTCGAGCCACCGGTCGTGTTGAATGGGGAACGGGGAATGGCTCTGGAGTCAATGCAGGGGAATCGGGCCTCATCTCGAGTTGATTTGGGGCACATGGAGCTGATTTGCGTTGCTGGGGTGACCTCAGGGTCCGTCTAGACTGGTGACAGTGTTCTCGGGGACTGTCTCGAGATCCATTAAGCAAGTCGAAGCTCCTGACTTGTTTGAATGGGATCACGGAATAGCTCTGCATGCACTGCAGGGGAATGGGGCCTCATCTCGCCTCTAGGGGGAAGTCTCATGGTTTTTCTCGAGTTGCGGCGGGGACCTGGGGGATGTTCTCGACTTACGGCGGGGATGGCCCTTCAAAACACGAGTTTCTTCAGTGACGTCAGGACTCCTGTCTAGTAACGAGGGACACCTCAGGAATCTCTTCGAGGCTTGGCAGGGCCAAAGGGACGCTTCTCGAGGTGAGGCAGGGCACCCAAGGACCCTTTCCAGTAGCCACAGGGATTTTGGGATTCCTATCAGTATTCAAGAGGAGTCAGGCATCGTCACCTTTTGAAGCAATGAACTCCGCGTGCCTCTCGAGGTGTCAGCGGGATGTGAGGCATTCCGTCAAAATGAGGCAGGGACCTAGGGCTTTCTCTAAGGTCTCCACAGGGGATTCAGACATCCCTTCATGTTGTGAGATGAAAGACGAGCCTGTATTCAAGCCACTGCAAGGAAATCCGGCCTCCTTTCAAGTTAGGGCTTCTCGCTGTATATTCCCCTTGAGGCAGCAAACTCGGGGTCCCTCCCACATACCTATTGCTGAGAGAAGCCTCCTCCTGAGGTGCTTCTGGGAAGTTGGCATACGTCTTGAGCCTAAGCCAGGGAATCAGCTCGCATCTCGAGACGATTTGGGGTACACGGAGCATTCCTCGAGTTGCTGTGCTGAAGTTGGTGTTCCTCTAGACTTGGGACAGTGTTCTCGGGGCATCTCTGGAGTTGCCTGAAGGAAGTCGAGCCACCGGTCGTGTTGAATGGGGAACGGGGAATGGCTCTGGAGTCAATGCAGGGGAATCAGGCCTCATCTCGAGTTGATTTGGGGCACATGGAGCTGCTTTGCGTTGCTGGGGTGACCTCAGGGTCCGTCTAGACTGGTGACAGTGTTCTTGGGGACTGTCTCGAGATCCATTAAGCAAGTCGAAGCTCCTGACTTGTTTGAATGGGATCACGGAATAGCTCTGCATGCAATGCAGGGGAATGGTGCCTCATCTCGCCTCTAGGGGGAAGTCTCATGGTTTTTCTCGAGTTGTGGCGGGGACCTGGGGTATGTTCTCGACTTACGGCGGGGATGGCCCTTCAAAACACGAGTTTCTTCAGTGACGTCAGGACTCCTGTCTAGTAACGAGGGACACCTCAGGAATCTCTTCGAGGCTTGGCAGGGCCAAAGGGACGCTTCTCGAGGTGAGGCAGGGCACCCAAGGACCCTTTCCAGTAGCCACAGGGATTTTGGGATTCCTATCAGTATTCAAGAGGAGTCAGGCATCGTCACCTTTTGAAGCAATGAACTCCGCGTGCCTCTCGAGGTGTCAGCGGGATGTGAGGCATTCCGTCAAAATGAGGCAGGGACCTAGGGCTTTCTCTAAGGTCTCCACAGGGGATTCAGACATCCCTTCATGTTGTGAGATGAAAGACGAGCCTGTATTCAAGCCACTGCAAGGAAATCCGGCCTCCTTTCAAGTTAGGGCTTCTCGCTGTATATTCCCCTTGAGGCAGCAAACTCGGGGTCCCTCCCACATACCTATTGCTGAGAGAAGCCTCCTCCTGAGGTGCTTCTGGGAAGTTGGCATACGTCTTGAGCCTAAGCCAGGGAATCAGCTCGCATCTCGAGACGATTTGGGGTACACGGAGCATTCCTCGAGTTGCTGTGCTGAAGTTGGTGTTCCTCTAGACTTGGGACAGTGTTCTCGGGGCATCTCTGGAGTTGCCTGAAGGAAGTCGAGCCACCAGTCGTGTTGAATGGGGAACGGGGAATGGCTCTGGAGTCAATGCAGGGGAATCGGGCCTCATCTCGAGTTGATTTGGGGCACATGGAGCTGCTTTGCGTTGCTGGGGTGACCTCAGGGTCCGTCTAGACTGGTGACAGTGTTCTTGGGGACTGTCTCGAGATCCATTAAGCAAGTCGAAGCTCCTGACTTGTTTGAATGGGATCACGGAATAGCTCTGCATGCACTGCAGGGGAATGGGGCCTCATCTCGCCTCTAGGGGGAAGTCTCATGGTTTTTCTCGAGTTGCGGCGGGGACCTGGGGGATGTTCTCGACTTACGGCGGGGATGGCCCTTCAAAACACGAGTTTCTTCAGTGACGTCAGGACTCCTGTCTAGTAACGAGGGACACCTCAGGAATCTCTTCGAGGCTTGGCAGGGCCAAAGGGACGCTTCTCGAGGTGAGGCAGGGCACCCAAGGACCCTTTCCAGTAGCCACAGGGATTTTGGGATTCCTATCAGTATTCAAGAGGAGTCAGGTATCGTCACCTTTTGAAGCAATGAACTCCGCGTGCCTCTCGAGGTGTCAGCGGGATGTGAGGCATTCCGTCAAAATGAGGCAGGGACCTAGGGCTTTCTCTAAGGTCTCCACAGGGGATTCAGACATCCCTTCATGTTGTGAGATGAAAGACGAGCCTGTATTCAAGCCACTGCAAGGAAATCCGGCCTCCTTTCAAGTTAGGGCTTCTCGCTGTATATTCCCCTTGAGGCAGCAAACTCGGGGTCCCTCCCACATACCTATTGCTGAGAGAAGCCTCCTTCTGAGGTGCTTCTGGGAAGTTGGCATACGTCTTGAGCCTAAGCCAGGGAATCAGCTCGCATCTAGAGACGATTTGGGGTACACGGAGCATTCCTCGAGTTGCTGTGCTGAAGTTGGTGTTCCTCTAGACTTGGGACAGTGTTCTCGGGGCATCTCTGGAGTTGCCTGAAGGAAGTCGAGCCACCGGTCGTGTTGAATGCGGAACGGGGAATGGCTCTGGAGTCAATGCAGGGGAATCGGGCCTCATCTCGAGTTGATTTGGTGCACATGGAGCTGCTTTGCGTTGCTGGGGTGACCTCAGGGTCCGTCTAGACTGGTGACAGTGTTCTTGGGGACTGTCTCGAGATCCATTAAGCAAGTCGAAGCTCCTGACTTGTTTGAATGGGATCACGGAATAGCTCTGCATGCACTGCAGGGGAATGGGGCCTCATCTCACCTCTAGGGGGAAGTCTCATGGTTTTTCTCGAGTTGTGGCGGGGACCTGGGGTATGTTCTCGACTTACAGCGGGGATGGCCCTTCAAAACACGAGTTTCTTCAGTGACGTCAGGACTCCTGTCTAGTAACGAGGGACACCTCAGGAATCTCTTCGAGGCTTGGCAGGGCCAAAGGGACCCTTCTCGAGGTGAGGCAGGGCACCCAAGGACCCTTTCCAGTAGCCACAGGGATTTTGGGATTCCTATCAGTATTCAAGAGGAGTCAGGCATCGTCACCTTTTGAAGCAATGAACTCCGCGTGCCTCTCGAGGTGTCAGCGGGATGTGAGGCATTCCGTCAAAATGAGGCAGGGACCTAGGGCTTTCTCTAAGGTCTCCACAGGGGATTCAGACATCCCTTCATGTTGTGAGATGAAAGACGAGCCTGTATTCAAGCCACTGCAAGGAAATCCGGCCTCCTTTCAAGTGAGGGCTTCTCGCTGTATATTCCCCTTGAGGCAGCAAACTCGGGGTCCCTCCCACATACCTATTGCTGAGAGAAGCCTCCTCGTGAGGTGCTTCTGGGAAGTTGGCATAGGTCTTGAGCCTAAGCCAGGGAATCAGCTCGCATCTCGAGACGATTTGGGGTACACGGAGCATTCCTCGAGTTGCTGTGCTGAAGTTGGTGTTCCTCTAGACTTGGGACAGTGTTCTCGGGGCATCTCTGGAGTTGCCTGAAGGAAGTCGAGCCACCGGTCGTGTTGAATGGGGAACGGGGAATGGCTCTGGAGTCAATGCAGGGGAATCGGGCCTCATCTCGAGTTGATTTGGGGCACATGGAGCTGATTTGCGTTGCTGGGGTGACCTCAGGGTCCGTCTAGACTGGTGACAGTGTTCTCGGGGACTGTCTCGAGATCCATTAAGCAAGTCGAAGCTCCTGACTTGTTTGAATGGGATCACGGAATAGCTCTGCATGCACTGCAGGGGAATGGGGCCTCATCTCGCCTCTAGGGGGAAGTCTCATGGTTTTTCTCGAGTTGCGGCGGGGACCTGGGGGATGTTCTCGACTTACGGCGGGGATGGCCCTTCAAAACACGAGTTTCTTCAGTGACGTCAGGACTCCTGTCTAGTAACGAGGGACACCTCAGGAATCTCTTCGAGGCTTGGCAGGGCCAAAGGGACGCTTCTCGAGGTGAGGCAGGGCACCCAAGGACCCTTTCCAGTAGCCACAGGGATTTTGGGATTCCTATCAGTATTCAAGAGGAGTCAGGCATCGTCACCTTTTGAAGCAATGAACTCCGCGTGCCTCTCGAGGTGTCAGCGGGATGTGAGGCATTCCGTCAAAATGAGGCAGGGACCTAGGGCTTTCTCTAAGGTCTCCACAGGGGATTCAGACATCCCTTCATGTTGTGAGATGAAAGACGAGCCTGTATTCAAGCCACTGCAAGGAAATCCGGCCTCCTTTCAAGTTAGGGCTTCTCGCTGTATATTCCCCTTGAGGCAGCAAACTCGGGGTCCCTCCCACATACCTATTGCTGAGAGAAGCCTCCTCCTGAGGTGCTTCTGGGAAGTTGGCATACGTCTTGAGCCTAAGCCAGGGAATCAGCTCGCATCTCGAGACGATTTGGGGTACACGGAGCATTCCTCGAGTTGCTGTGCTGAAGTTGGTGTTCCTCTAGACTTGGGACAGTGTTCTCGGGGCATCTCTGGAGTTGCCTGAAGGAAGTCGAGCCACCGGTCGTGTTGAATGGGGAACGGGGAATGGCTCTGGAGTCAATGCAGGGGAATCGGGCCTCATCTTGAGTTGATTTGGGGCACATGGAGCTGCTTTGCGTTGCTGGGGTGACCTCAGGGTCCGTCTAGACTGGTGACAGTGTTCTTGGGGACTGTCTCGAGATCCATTAAGCAAGTCGAAGCTCCTGACTTGTTTGAATCGGATCACGGAATAGCTCTGCATGCACTGCAGGGGAATGGGGCCTCATCTCGCCTCTAGGGGGAAGTCTCATGGTTTTTCTCGAGTTGCGGCGGGGACCTGGGGTATGTTCTCGACTTACGGCGGGGATGGCCCTTCAAAACACGAGTTTCTTCAGTGACGTCAGGACTCCTGTCTAGTAATGAGGGACACCTCAGGAATCTCTTCGAGGCTTGGCAGGGCCAAAGGGACGCTTCTCGAGGTGAGGCAGGGCACCCAAGGACCCTTTCCAGTAGCCACAGGGATTTTGGGATTCCTATCAGTATTCAAGAGGAGTCAGGCATCGTCACCTTTTGAAGCAATGAACTCCGCGTGCCTCTCGAGGTGTCAGCGGGATGTGAGGCATTCCGTCAAAATGAGGCAGGGACCTAGGGCTTTCTCTAAGGTCTCCACAGGGGATTCAGACATCCCTTCATGTTGTGAGATGAAAGACGAGCCTGTATTCAAGCCACTGCAAGGAAATCCGGCCTCCTTTCAAGTTAGGGCTTCTCGCTGTATATTCCCCTTGAGGCAGCAAACTCGGGGTCACTCCCACATACCTATTGCTGAGAGAAGCCTCCTCCTGAGGTGCTTCTGGGAAGTTGGCATACGTCTTGAGCCTAAGCCAGGGAATCAGCTCGCATCTCGAGACGATTTGGGGTACACGGAGCATTCCTCGAGTTGCTGTGCTGAAGTTGGTGTTCCTCTAGACTTGGGACAGTGTTCTCGGGGCATCTCTGGAGTTGCCTGAAGGAAGTCGAGCCACCGGTCGTGTTGAATGGGGAACGGGGAATGGCTCTGGAGTCAATGCAGGGGAATCGGGCCTCATCTCGAGTTGATTTGGGGCACATGGAGCTGCTTTGCGTTGCTGGGGTGACCTCAGGGTCCGTCTAGACTGGTGACAGTGTTCTTGGGGACTGTCTCGAGATCCATTAAGCAAGTCGAAGCTCCTGACTTGTTTGAATGGGATCACGGAATAGCTCTGCATGCACTGCAGGGGAATGGGGCCTCATCTCGCCTCTAGGGGGAAGTCTCATGGTTTTTCTCGAGTTGTGGCGGGGACCTGGGGTATGTTCTCGACTTACGGCGGGGATGGCCCTTCAAAACACGAGTTTCTTCAGTGACGTCAGGACTCCTGTCTAGTAACGAGGGACACCTCAGGAATCTCTTCGAGGCTTGGCAGGGCCAAAGGGACGCTTCTCGAGGTGAGGCAGGGCACCCAAGGACCCTTTCCAGTAGCCACAGGGATTTTGGGATTCCTATCAGTATTCAAGAGGAGTCAGGCATCGTCACCTTTTGAAGCAATGAACTCCGCGTGCCTCTCGAGGTGTCAGCGGGATGTGAGGCATTCCGTCAAAATGAGGCAGGGACCTAGGGCTTTCTCTAAGGTCTCCACAGGGGATTCAGACATCCCTTCATGTTGTGAGATGAAAGACGAGCCTGTATTCAAGCCACTGCAAGGAAATCCGGCCTCCTTTCAAGTTAGGGCTTCTCGCTGTATATTCCCCTTGAGGCAGCAAACTCGGGGTCCCTCCCACATACCTATTGCTGAGAGAAGCCTCCTCCTGAGGTGCTTCTGGGAAGTTGGCATACGTCTTGAGCCTAAGCCAGGGAATCAGCTCGCATCTCGAGACGATTTGGGGTACACGGAGCATTCCTCGAGTTGCTGTGCTGAAGTTGGTGTTCCTCTAGACTTGGGACAGTGTTCTCGGGGCATCTCTGGAGTTGCCTGAAGGAAGTCGAGCCACCGGTCCTGTTGAATGGGGAACGGGGAATGGCTCTGGAGTCAATGCAGGGGAATCGGGCCTCATCTCGAGTTGATTTGGGGCACATGGAGCTGATTTGCGTTGCTGGGGTGACCTCAGGGTCCGTCTAGACTGGTGACAGTGTTCTTGGGGACTGTCTCGAGATCCATTAAGCAAGTCGAAGCTCCTGACTTGTTTGAATGGGATCACGGAATAGCTCTGCATGCACTGCAGGGGAATGGGGCCTCATCTCGCCTCTAGGGGGAAGTCTCATGGTTTTTCTCGAGTTGTGGCGGGGACCTGGGGTATGTTCTCGACTTACGGCGGGGATGGCCCTTCAAAACACGAGTTTCTTCAGTGACGTCAGGACTCCTGTCTAGTAACGAGGGACACCTCAGGAATCTCTTCGAGGCTTGGCAGGGCCAAAGGGACGCTTCTCGAGGTGAGGCAGGGCACCCAAGGACCCTTTCCAGTAGCCACAGGGATTTTGGGATTCCTATCAGTATTCAAGAGGAGTCAGGCATCGTCACCTTTTGAAGCAATGAACTCCGCGTGCCTCTCGAGGTGTCAGCGGGATGTGAGGCATTCCGTCAAAATGAGGCAGGGACCTAGGGCTTTCTCTAAGGTCTCCACAGGGGATTCAGACATCCCTTCATGTTGTGAGATGAAAGACGAGCCTGTATTCAAGCCACTGCAAGGAAATCCGGCCTCCTTTCAAGTGAGGGCTTCTCGCTGTATATTCCCCTTGAGGCAGCAAACTCGGGGTCCCTCCCACATACCTATTGCTGAGAGAAGCCTCCTCCTGAGGTGCTTCTGGGAAGTTGGCATACGTCTTGAGCCTAAGCCAGGGAATCAGCTCGCATCTCGAGACGATTTGGGGTACACGGAGCATTCCTCGAGTTGCTGTGCTGAAGTTGGTGTTCCTCTAGACTTGGGACAGTGTTCTCGGGGCATCTCTGGAGTTGCCTGAAGGAAGTCGAGCCACCGGTCGTGTTGAATGGGGAACGGGGAATGGCTCTGGAGTCAATGCAGGGGAATCGGGCCTCATCTCGAGTTGATTTGGGGCACATGGAGCTGCTTTGCGTTGCTGGGGTGACCTCAGGGTCCGTCTAGACTGGTGACAGTGTTCTTGGGGACTGTCTCGAGATCCATTAAGCAAGTCGAAGCTCCTGACTTGTTTGAATGGGATCACGGAATAGCTCTGCATGCACTGCAGGGGAATGGGGCCTCATCTCGCCTCTAGGGGGAAGTCTCATGGTTTTTCTCGAGTTGCGGCGGGGACCTGGGGTATGTTCTCGACTTACGGCGGGGATGGCCCTTCAAAACACGAGTTTCTTCAGTGACGTCAGGACTCCTGTCTAGTAACGAGGGACACCTCAGGAATCTCTTCGAGGCTTGGCAGGGCCAAAGGGACGCTTCTCGAGGTGAGGCAGGGCACCCAAGGACCCTTTCCAGTAGCCACAGGGATTTTGGGATTCCTATCAGTATTCAAGAGGAGTCAGGCATCGTCACCTTTTGAAGCAATGAACTCCGCGTGCCTCTCGAGGTGTCAGCGGGATGTGAGGCATTCCGTCAAAATGAGGCAGGGACCTAGGGCTTTCTCTAAGGTCTCCACAGGGGATTCAGACATCCCTTCATGTTGTGAGATGAAAGACGAGCCTGTATTCAAGCCACTGCAAGGAAATCCGGCCTCCTTTCAAGTTAGGGCTTCTCGCTGTATATTCCCCTTGAGGCAGCAAACTCGGGGTCCCTCCCACATACCTATTGCTGAGAGAAGCCTCCTCCTGAGGTGCTTCTGGGAAGTTGGCATACGTCTTGAGCCTAAGCCAGGGAATCAGCTCGCATCTCGAGACGATTTGGGGTACACGGAGCATTCCTCGAGTTGCTGTGCTGAAGTTGGTGTTCCTCTAGACTTGGGACAGTGTTCTCGGGGCATCTCTGGAGTTGCCTGAAGGAAGTCGAGCCACCGGTCGTGTTGAATGGGGAACGGGGAATGGCTCTGGAGTCAATGCAGGGGAATCGGGCCTCATCTCGAGTTGATTTGGGGCACATGGAGCTGCTTTGCGTTGCTGGGGTGACCTCAGGGTCCGTCTAGACTGGTGACAGTGTTCTTGGGGACTGTCTCGAGATCCATTAAGCAAGTCGAAGCTCCTGACTTGTTTGAATGGGATCACGGAATAGCTCTGCATGCACTGCAGGTTAATGGGGCCTCATCTCGCCTCTAGGGGGAAGTCTCATGGTTTTTCTCGAGTTGCGGCGGGGACCTGGGGTATGTTCTCGACTTACGGCGGGGATGGCCCTTCAAAACACGAGTTTCTTCAGTGACGTCAGGACTCCTGTCTAGTAACGAGGGACACCTCAGGAATCTCTTCGAGGCTTGGCAGGGCCAAAGGGACGCTTCTCGAGGTGAGGCAGGGCACCCAAGGACCCTTTCCAGTAGCCACAGGGATTTTGGGATTCCTATCAGTATTCAAGAGGAGTCAGGCATCGTCACCTTTTGAAGCAATGAACTCCGCGTGCCTCTCGAGGTGTCAGCGGGATGTGAGGCATTCCGTCAAAATGAGGCAGGGACCTAGGGCTTTCTCTAAGGTCTCCACAGGGGATTCAGACATCCCTTCATGTTGTGAGATGAAAGACGAGCCTGTATTCAAGCCACTTCAAGGAAATCCGGCCTCCTTTCAAGTTAGGGCTTCTCGCTGTATATTCCCCTTGAGGCAGCAAACTCGGGGTCCCTCCCACATACCTATTGCTGAGAGAAGCCTCCTCCTGAGGTGCTTCTGGGAAGTTGGCATACGTCTTGAGCCTAAGCCAGGGAATCAGCTCGCATCTCGAGACGATTTGGGGTACACGGAGCATTCCTCGAGTTGCTGTGCTGAAGTTGGTGTTCCTCTAGACTTGGGACAGTGTTCTCGGGGCATCTCTGGAGTTGCCTGAAGGAAGTCGAGCCACCGGTCGTGTTGAATGAGGAACGGGGAATGGCTCTGGAGTCAATGCAGGGGAATCGGGCCTCATCTCGAGTTGATTTGGGGCACATGGAGCCGCTTTGCGTTGCTGGGGTGACCTCAGGGTCCGTCTAGACTGGTGACAGTGTTCTTGGGGACTGTCTCGAGATCCATTAAGCAAGTCGAAGCTCCTGACTTGTTTGAATGGGATCACGGAATAGCTCTGCATGCACTGCAGGGGAATGGGGCCTCATCTCGCCTCTAGAGGGAAGTCTCATGGTTTTTCTCGAGTTGCGGCGGGGACCTGGGGTATGTTCTCGACTTACGGCGGGGATGGCCCTTCAAAACACGAGTTTCTTCAGTGACGTCAGGACTCCTGTCTAGTAACGAGGGACACCTCAGGAATCTCTTCGAGGCTTGGCAGGGCCAAAGGGACGCTTCTCGAGGTGAGGCAGGGCACCCAAGGACCCTTTCCAGTAGCCACAGGGATTTTGGGATTCCTATCAGTATTCAAGAGGAGTCAGGCATCGTCACCTTTTGAAGCAATGAACTCCGCGTGCCTCTCGAGGTGTCAGCGGGATGTGAGGCATTCCGTCAAAATGAGGCAGGGACCTAGGGCTTTCTCTAAGGTCTCCACAGGGGATTCAGACATCCCTTCATGTTGTGAGATGAAAGACGAGCCTGTATTCAAGCCACTGCAAGGAAATCCGGCCTCCTTTCAAGTGAGGGCTTCTCGCTGTATATTCCCCTTGAGGCAGCAAACTCGGGGTCCCTCCCACATACCTATTGCTGAGAGAAGCCTCCTCCTGAGGTGCTTCTGGGAAGTTGGCATACGTCTTGAGCCTAAGCCAGGGAATCAGCTCGCATCTCGAGACGATTTGGGGTACACGGAGCATTCCTCGAGTTGCTGTGCTGAAGTAGGTGTTCCTCTAGACTTGGGACAGTGTTCTCGGGGCATCTCTGGAGTTGCCTGAAGGAAGTCGAGCCACCGGTCGTGTTGAATGGGGAACGGGGAATGGCTCTGGAGTCAATGCAGGGGAATCGGGCCTCATCTCGAGTTGATTTGGGGCACATGGAGCTGCTTTGCGTTGCTGGGGTGACCTCAGGGTCCGTCTAGACTGGTGACAGTGTTCTTGGGGACTGTCTCGAGATCCATTAAGCAAGTCGAAGCTCCTGACTTGTTTGAATGGGATCACGGAATAGCTCTGCATGCACTGCAGGGGAATGGGGCCTCATCTCGCCTCTAGGGGGAAGTCTCATGGTTTTTCTCGAGTTGCGGCGGGGACCTGGGGTATGTTCTCGACTTACGGCGGGGATGGCCCTTCAAAACACGAGTTTCTTCAGTGACGTCAGGACTCCTGTCTAGTAACGAGGGACACCTCAGGAATCTCTTCGAGGCTTGGCAGGGCCAAAGGGACGCTTCTCGAGGTGAGGCAGGGCACCCAAGGACCCTTTCCAGTAGCCACAGGGATTTTGGGATTCCTATCAGTATTCAAGAGGAGTCAGGCATCGTCACCTTTTGAAGCAATGAACTCCGCGTGCCTCTCGAGGTGTCAGCGGGATGTGAGGCATTCCGTCAAAATGAGGCAGGGACCTAGGGCTTTCTCTAAGGTCTCCACAGGGGATTCAGACATCCCTTCATGTTGTGAGATGAAAGACGAGCCTGTATTCAAGCCACTGCAAGGAAATCCGGCCTCCTTTCAAGTGAGGGCTTCTCGCTGTATATTCCCCTTGAGGCAGCAAACTCGGGGTCCCTCCCACATACCTATTGCTGAGAGAAGCCTCCTCCTGAGGTGCTTCTGGGAAGTTGGCATACGTCTTGAGCCTAAGCCAGGGAATCAGCTCGCATCTCGAGACGATTTGGGGTACACGGAGCATTCCTCGAGTTGCTGTGCTGAAGTAGGTGTTCCTCTAGACTTGGGACAGTGTTCTCGGGGCATCTCTGGAGTTGCCTGAAGGAAGTCGAGCCACCGGTCGTGTTGAATGGGGAACGGGGAATGGCTCTGGAGTCAATGCAGGGGAATCGGGCCTCATCTCGAGTTGATTTGGGGCACATGGAGCTGCTTTGCGTTGCTGGGGTGACCTCAGGGTCCGTCTAGACTGGTGACAGTGTTCTTGGGGACTGTCTCGAGATCCATTAAGCAAGTCGAAGCTCCTGACTTGTTTGAATGGGATCACGGAATAGCTCTGCATGCACTGCAGGGGAATGGGGCCTCATCTCGCCTCTAGGGGGAAGTCTCATGGTTTTTCTCGAGTTGTGGCGGGGACCTGGGGGATGTTCTCGACTTACGGCGGGGATGGCCCTTCAAAACACGAGTTTCTTCAGTGACGTCAGGACTCCTGTCTAGTAACGAGGGACACCTCAGGAATCTCTTCGAGGCTTGGCAGGGCCAAAGGGACGCTTCTCGAGGTGAGGCAGGGCACCCAAGGACCCTTTCCAGTAGCCACAGGGATTTTGGGATTCCTATCAGTATTCAAGAGGAGTCAGGCATCGCCACCTTTTGAAGCAATGAACTCCGCGTGCCTCTCGAGGTGTCAGCGGGATGTGAGGCATTCCGTCAAAATGAGGCAGGGACCTAGGGCTTTCTCTAAGGTCTCCACAGGGGATTCAGACATCCCTTCATGTTGTGAGATGAAAGACGAGCCTGTATTCAAGCCACTGCAAGGAAATCCGGCCTCCTTTCAAGTTAGGGCTTCTCGCTGTATATTCCCCTTGAGGCAGCAAACTCGGGGTCCCTCCCACATACCTATTGCTGAGAGAAGCCTCCTCCTGAGGTGCTTCTGGGAAGTTGGCATACGTCTTGAGCCTAAGCCAGGGAATCAGCTCGCATCTCGAGACGATTTGGGGTACACGGAGCATTCCTCGAGTTGCTGTGCTGAAGTTGGTGTTCCTCTAGACTTGGGACAGTGTTCTCGGGGCATCTCTGGAGTTGCCTGAAGGAAGTCGAGCCACCGGTCGTGTTGAATGGGGAACGGGGAATGGCTCTGGAGTCAATGCAGGGGAATCGGGCCTCATCTCGAGTTGATTTGGGGCACATGGAGCTGCTTTGCGTTGCTGGGGTGACCTCAGGGTCCGTCTAGACTGGTGACAGTGTTCTTGGGGACTGTCTCGAGATCCATTAAGCAAGTCGAAGCTCCTGACTTGTTTGAATGGGATCACGGAATAGCTCTGCATGCACTGCAGGGGAATGGGGCCTCATCTCGCCTCTAGGGGGAAGTCTCATGGTTTTTCTCGAGTTGCGGCGGGGACCTGGGGTATGTTCTCGACTTACGGCGGGGATGGCCCTTCAAAACACGAGTTTCTTCAGTGACGTCAGGACTCCTGTCTAGTAACGAGGGACACCTCAGGAATCTCTTCGAGGCTTGGCAGGGCCAAAGGGACGCTTCTCGAGGTGAGGCAGGGCACCCAAGGACCCTTTCCAGTAGCCACAGGGATTTTGGGATTCCTATCAGTATTCAAGAGGAGTCAGGCATCGTCACCTTTTGAAGCAATGAACTCCGCGTGCCTCTCGAGGTGTCAGCGGGATGTGAGGCATTCCGTCAAAATGAGGCAGGGACCTAGGGCTTTCTCTAAGGTCTCCACAGGGGATTCAGACATCCCTTCATGTTGTGAGATGAAAGACGAGCCTGTATTCAAGCCACTGCAAGGAAATCCGGCCTCCTTTCAAGTTAGGGCTTCTCGCTGTATATTCCCCTTGAGGCAGCAAACTCGGGGTCCCTCCCACATACCTATTGCTGAGAGAAGCCTCCTCCTGAGGTGCTTCTGGGAAGTTGGCATACGTCTTGAGCCTAAGCCAGGGAATCAGCTCGCATCTCGAGACGATTTGGGGTACACGGAGCATTCCTCGAGTTGCTGTGCTGAAGTTGGTGTTCCTCTAGACTTGGGACAGTGTTCTCGGGGCATCTCTGGAGTTGCCTGAAGGAAGTCGAGCCACCGGTCGTGTTGAATGGGGAACGGGGAATGGCTCTGGCTTCAATGCAGGGGAATCGGGCCTCATCTCGAGTTGATTTGGGGCACATGGAGCTGCTTTGCGTTGCTGGGGTGACCTCAGGGTCCGTCTAGACTGGTGACAGTGTTCTTGGGGACTGTCTCGAGATCCATTAAGCAAGTCGAAGCTCCTGACTTGTTTGAATGGGATCACGGAATAGCTCTGCATGCACTGCAGGGGAATGGGGCCTCATCTCGCCTCTAGGGGGAAGTCTCATGGTTTTTCTCGAGTTGCGGCGGGGACCTGGGGTATGTTCTCGACTTACGGCGGGGATGGCCCTTCAAAACACGAGTTTCTTCAGTGACGTCAGGACTCCTGTCTAGTAACGAGGGACACCTCAGGAATCTCTTCGAGGCTTGGCAGGGCCAAAGGGACGCTTCTCGAGGTGAGGCAGGGCACCCAAGGACCCTTTCCAGTAGCCACAGGGATTTTGGGATTCCTATCAGTATTCAAGAGGAGTCAGGCATCGTCACCTTTTGAAGCAATGAACTCCGCGTGCCTCTCGAGGTGTCAGCGGGATGTGAGGCATTCCGTCAAAATGAGGCAGGGACCTAGGGCTTTCTCTAAGGTCTCCACAGGGGATTCAGACATCCCTTCATGTTGTGAGATGAAAGACGAGCCTGTACTCAAGCCACTGCAAGGAAATCCGGCCTCCTTTCAAGTTAGGGCTTCTCGCTGTATATTCCCCTTGAGGCAGCAAACTCGGGGTCCCTCCCACATACCTATTGCTGAGAGAAGCCTCCTCCTGAGGTGCTTCTGGGAAGTTGGCATACGTCTTGAGCCTAAGCCAGGGAATCAGCTCGCATCTCGAGACGATTTGGGGTACACGGAGCATTCCTCGAGTTGCTGTGCTGAAGTTGGTGTTCCTCTAGACTTGGGACAGTGTTCTCGGGGCATCTCTGGAGTTGCCTGAAGGAAGTCGAGCCACCGGTCGTGTTGAATGGGGAACGGGGAATGGCTCTGGAGTCAATGCAGGGGAATCGGGCCTCATCTCGAGTTGATTTGGGGCACATGGAGCTGCTTTGCGTTGCTGGGGTGACCTCAGTGTCCGTCTAGACTGGTGACAGTGTTCTTGGGGACTGTCTCGAGATCCATTAAGCAAGTCGAAGCTCCTGACTTGTTTGAATGGGATCACGGAATAGCTCTGCATGCACTGCAGGGGAATGGGGCCTCATCTCGCCTCTAGGGGGAAGTCTCATGGTTTTTCTCGAGTTGCGGCGGGGACCTGGGGGATGTTCTCGACTTACGGCGGGGATGGCCCTTCAAAACACGAGTTTCTTCAGTGACGTCAGGACTCCTGTCTAGTAACGAGGGACACCTCAGGAATCTCTTCGAGGCTTGGCAGGGCCAAAGGGACGCTTCTCGAGGTGAGGCAGGGCACCCAAGGACCCTTTCCAGTAGCCACAGGGATTTTGGGATTCCTATCAGTATTCAAGAGGAGTCAGGCATCGTCACCTTTTGAAGCAATGAACTCCGCGTGCCTCTCGAGGTGTCAGCGGGATGTGAGGCATTCCGTCAAAATGAGGCAGGGACCTAGGGCTTTCTCTAAGGTCTCCACAGGGGATTCAGACATCCCTTCATGTTGTGAGATGAAAGACGAGCCTGTATTCAAGCCACTGCAAGGAAATCCGGCCTCCTTTCAAGTGAGGGCTTCTCGCTGTATATTCCCCTTGAGGCAGCAAACTCGGGGTCCCTCCCACATACCTATTGCTGAGAGAAGCCTCCTCCTGAGGTGCTTCTGGGAAGTTGGCATACGTCTTGAGCCTAAGCCAGGGAATCAGCTCGCATCTCGAGACGATTTGGGGTACACGGAGCATTCCTCGAGTTGCTGTGCTGAAGTTGGTGTTCCTCTAGACTTGGGACAGTGTTCTCGGGGCATCTCTGGAGTTGCCTGAAGGAAGTCGAGCCACCGGTCGTGTTGAATGGGGAACGGGGAATGGCTCTGGAGTCAATGCAGGGGAATCGGGCCTCATCTCGAGTTGATTTGGGGCACATGGAGCTGCTTTGCGTTGCTGGGGTGACCTCAGGGTCCGTCTAGACTGGTGACAGTGTTCTTGGGGACTGTCTCGAGATCCATTAAGCAAGTCGAAGCTCCTGACTTGTTTGAATGGGATCACGGAATAGCTCTGCATGCACTGCAGGGGAATGGGGCCTCATCTCGCCTCTAGGGGGAAGTCTCATGGTTTTTCTCGAGTTGCGGCGGGGACCTGGGGTATGTTCTCGACTTACGGCGGGGATGGCCCTTCAAAACACGAGTTTCTTCAGTGACGTCAGGACTCCTGTCTAGTAACGAGGGACACCTCAGGAATCTCTTCGAGGCTTGGCAGGGCCAAAGGGACGCTTCTCGAGGTGAGGCAGGGCACCCAAGGACCCTTTCCAGTAGCCACAGGGATTTTGGGATTCCTATCAGTATTCAAGAGGAGTCAGGCATCGTCACCTTTTGAAGCAATGAACTCCGCGTGCCTCTCGAGGTGTCAGCGGGATGTGAGGCATTCCGTCAAAATGAGGCAGGGACCTAGGGCTTTCTCTAAGGTCTCCACAGGGGATTCAGACATCCCTTCATGTTGTGAGATGAAAGACGAGCCTGTATTCAAGCCACTGCAAGGAAATCCGGCCTCCTTTCAAGTGAGGGCTTCTCGCTGTATATTCCCCTTGAGGCAGCAAACTCGGGGTCCCTCCCACATACCTATTGCTGAGAGAAGCCTCCTCCTGAGGTGCTTCTGGGAAGTTGGCATACGTCTTGAGCCTAAGCCAGGGAATCAGCTCGCATCTCGAGACGATTTGGGGTACACGGAGCATTCCTCGAGTTGCTGTGCTGAAGTAGGTGTTCCTCTAGACTTGGGACAGTGTTCTCGGGGCATCTCTGGAGTTGCCTGAAGGAAGTCGAGCCACCGGTCGTGTTGAATGGGGAACGGGGAATGGCTCTGGAGTCAATGCAGGGGAATCGGGCCTCATCTCGAGTTGATTTGGGGCACATGGAGCTGCTTTGCGTTGCTGGGGTGACCTCAGGGTCCGTCTAGACTGGTGACAGTGTTCTTGGGGACTGTCTCGAGATCCATTAAGCAAGTCGAAGCTCCTGACTTGTTTGAATGGGATCACGGAATAGCTCTGCATGCACTGCAGGGGAATGGGGCCTCATCTCGCCTCTAGGGGGAAGTCTCATGGTTTTTCTCGAGTTGCGGCGGGGACCTGGGGTATGTTCTCGACTTACGGCGGGGATGGCCCTTCAAAACACGAGTTTCTTCAGTGACGTCAGGACTCCTGTCTAGTAACGAGGGACACCTCAGGAATCTCTTCGAGGCTTGGCAGGGCCAAAGGGACGCTTCTCGAGGTGAGGCAGGGCACCCAAGGACCCTTTCCAGTAGCCACAGGGATTTTGGGATTCCTATCAGTATTCAAGAGGAGTCAGGCATCGTCACCTTTTGAAGCAATGAACTCCGCGTGCCTCTCGAGGTGTCAGCGGGATGTGAGGCATTCCGTCAAAATGAGGCAGGGACCTAGGGCTTTCTCTAAGGTCTCCACAGGGGATTCAGACATCCCTTCATGTTGTGAGATGAAAGACGAGCCTGTATTCAAGCCACTGCAAGGAAATCCGGCCTCCTTTCAAGTTAGGGCTTCTCGCTGTATATTCCCCTTGAGGCAGCAAACTCGGGGTCCCTCCCACATACCTATTGCTGAGAGAAGCCTCCTCCTGAGGTGCTTCTGGGAAGTTGGCATACGTCTTGAGCCTAAGCCAGGGAATCAGCTCGCATCTCGAGACGATTTGGGGTACACGGAGCATTCCTCGAGTTGCTGTGCTGAAGTTGGTGTTCCTCTAGACTTGGGACAGTGTTCTCGGGGCATCTCTGGAGTTGCCTGAAGGAAGTCGAGCCACCGGTCGTGTTGAATGGGGAACGGGGAATGGCTCTGGAGTCAATGCAGGGGAATCGGGCCTCATCTCGAGTTGATTTGGGGCACATGGAGCTGCTTTGCGTTGCTGGGGTGACCTCAGGGTCCGTCTAGACTGGTGACAGTGTTCTTGGGGACTGTCTCGAGATCCATTAAGCAAGTCGAAGCTCCTGACTTGTTTGAATGGGATCACGGAATAGCTCTGCATGCACTGCAGGGGAATGGGGCCTCATCTCGCCTCTAGGGGGAAGTCTCATGGTTTTTCTCGAGTTGCGGCGGGGACCTGGGGTATGTTCTCGACTTACGGCGGGGATGGCCCTTCAAAACACGAGTTTCTTCAGTGACGTCAGGACTCCTGTCTAGTAACGAGGGACACCTCAGGAATCTCTTCGAGGCTTGGCAGGGCCAAAGGGACGCTTCTCGAGGTGAGGCAGGGCACCCAAGGACCCTTTCCAGTAGCCACAGGGATTTTGGGATTCCTATCAGTATTCAAGAGGAGTCAGGCATCGTCACCTTTTGAAGCAATGAACTCCGCGTGCCTCTCGAGGTGTCAGCGGGATGTGAGGCATTCCGTCAAAATGAGGCAGGGACCTAGGGCTTTCTCTAAGGTCTCCACAGGGGATTCAGACATCCCTTCATGTTGTGAGATGAAAGACGAGCCTGTATTCAAGCCACTGCAAGGAAATCCGGCCTCCTTTCAAGTTAGGGCTTCTCGCTGTATATTCCCCTTGAGGCAGCAAACTCGGGGTCCCTCCCACATACCTATTGCTGAGAGAAGCCTCCTCCTGAGGTGCTTCTGGGAAGTTGGCATACGTCTTGAGCCTAAGCCAGGGAATCAGCTCGCATCTCGAGACGATTTGGGGTACACGGAGCATTCCTCGAGTTGCTGTGCTGAAGTTGGTGTTCCTCTAGACTTGGGACAGTGTTCTCGGGGCATCTCTGGAGTTGCCTGAAGGAAGTCGAGCCACCGGTCGTGTTGAATGGGGAACGGGGAATGGCTCTGGAGTCAATGCAGGGGAATCGGGCCTCATCTCGAGTTGATTTGGGGCACATGGAGCTGCTTTGCGTTGCTGGGGTGACCTCAGGGTCCGTCTAGACTGGTGACAGTGTTCTTGGGGACTGTCTCGAGATCCATTAAGCAAGTCGAAGCTCCTGACTTGTTTGAATGGGATCACGGAATAGCTCTGCATGCACTGCAGGGGAATGGGGCCTCATCTCGCCTCTAGGGGGAAGTCTCATGGTTTTTCTCGAGTTGCGGCGGGGACCTGGGGTATGTTCTCGACTTACGGCGGGGATGGCCCTTCAAAACACGAGTTTCTTCAGTGACGTCAGGACTCCTGTCTAGTAACGAGGGACACCTCAGGAATCTCTTCGAGGCTTGGCAGGGCCAAAGGGACGCTTCTCGAGGTGAGGCAGGGCACCCAAGGACCCTTTCCAGTAGCCACAGGGATTTTGGGATTCCTATCAGTATTCAAGAGGAGTCAGGCATCGTCACCTTTTGAAGCAATGAACTCCGCGTGCCTCTCGAGGTGTCAGCGGGATGTGAGGCATTCCGTCAAAATGAGGCAGGGACCTAGGGCTTTCTCTAAGGTCTCCACAGGGGATTCAGACATCCCTTCATGTTGTGAGATGAAAGACGAGCCTGTACTCAAGCCACTGCAAGGAAATCCGGCCTCCTTTCAAGTTAGGGCTTCTCGCTGTATATTCCCCTTGAGGCAGCAAACTCGGGGTCCCTCCCACATACCTATTGCTGAGAGAAGCCTCCTCCTGAGGTGCTTCTGGGAAGTTGGCATACGTCTTGAGCCTAAGCCAGGGAATCAGCTCGCATCTCGAGACGATTTGGGGTACACGGAGCATTCCTCGAGTTGCTGTGCTGAAGTTGGTGTTCCTCTAGACTTGGGACAGTGTTCTCGGGGCATCTCTGGAGTTGCGTGAAGGAAGTCGAGCCACCGGTCATGTTGAATGGGGAACGGGGAATGGCTCTGGAGTCAATGCAGGGGAATCGGGCCTCATCTCGTGTTGATTTGGGGCACATGGAGCTGCTTTGCTTTGCTGGGGTGACCTCAGTGTCCGTCTAGACTGGTGACAGTGTTCTTGGGGACTGTCTCGAGATCCATTAAGCAAGTCGAAGCTCCTGACTTGTTTGAATGGGATCACGGAATAGCTCTGCATGCACTGCAGGGGAATGGGGCCTCATCTCGCCTCTAGGGGGAAGTCTCATGGTTTTTCTCGAGTTGCGGCGGGGACCTGGGGGATGTTCTCGACTTACGGCGGGGATGGCCCTTCAAAACACGAGTTTCTTCAGTGACGTCAGGACTCCTGTCTAGTAACGAGGGACACCTCAGGAATCTCTTCGAGGCTTGGCAGGGCCAAAGGGACGCTTCTCGAGGTGAGGCAGGGCACCCAAGGACCCTTTCCAGTAGCCACAGGGATTTTGGGATTCCTATCAGTATTCAAGAGGAGTCAGGCATCGTCACCTTTTGAAGCAATGAACTCCGCGTGCCTCTCGAGGTGTCAGCGGGATGTGAGGCATTCCGTCAAAATGAGGCAGGGACCTAGGGCTTTCTCTAAGGTCTCCACAGGGGATTCAGACATCCCTTCATGTTGTGAGATGAAAGACGAGCCTGTATTCAAGCCACTGCAAGGAAATCCGGCCTCCTTTCAAGTGAGGGCTTCTCGCTGTATATTCCCCTTGAGGCAGCAAACTCGGGGTCCCTCCCACATACCTATTGCTGAGAGAAGCCTCCTCCTGAGGTGCTTCTGGGAAGTTGGCATACGTCTTGAGCCTAAGCCAGGGAATCAGCTCGCATCTCGAGACGATTTGGGGTACACGGAGCATTCCTCGAGTTGCTGTGCTGAAGTTGGTGTTCCTCTAGACTTGGGACAGTGTTCTCGGGGCATCTCTGGAGTTGCCTGAAGGAAGTCGAGCCACCGGTCGTGTTGAATGGGGAACGGGGAATGGCTCTGGAGTCAATGCAGGGGAATCGGGCCTCATCTCGAGTTGATTTGGGGCACATGGAGCTGCTTTGCGTTGCTGGGGTGACCTCAGGGTCCGTCTAGACTGGTGACAGTGTTCTTGGGGACTGTCTCGAGATCCATTAAGCAAGTCGAAGCTCCTGACTTGTTTGAATGGGATCACGGAATAGCTCTGCATGCACTGCAGGGGAATGGGGCCTCATCTCGCCTCTAGGGGGAAGTCTCATGGTTTTTCTCGAGTTGCGGCGGGGACCTGGGGTATGTTCTCGACTTACGGCGGGGATGGCCCTTCAAAACACGAGTTTCTTCAGTGACGTCAGGACTCCTGTCTAGTAACGAGGGACACCTCAGGAATCTCTTCGAGGCTTGGCAGGGCCAAAGGGACGCTTCTCGAGGTGAGGCAGGGCACCCAAGGACCCTTTCCAGTAGCCACAGGGATTTTGGGATTCCTATCAGTATTCAAGAGGAGTCAGGCATCGTCACCTTTTGAAGCAATGAACTCCGCGTGCCTCTCGAGGTGTCAGCGGGATGTGAGGCATTCCGTCAAAATGAGGCAGGGACCTAGGGCTTTCTCTAAGGTCTCCACAGGGGATTCAGACATCCCTTCATGTTGTGAGATGAAAGACGAGCCTGTATTCAAGCCACTGCAAGGAAATCCGGCCTCCTTTCAAGTGAGGGCTTCTCGCTGTATATTCCCCTTGAGGCAGCAAACTCGGGGTCCCTCCCACATACCTATTGCTGAGAGAAGCCTCCTCCTGAGGTGCTTCTGGGAAGTTGGCATACGTCTTGAGCCTAAGCCAGGGAATCAGCTCGCATCTCGAGACGATTTGGGGTACACGGAGCATTCCTCGAGTTGCTGTGCTGAAGTTGGTGTTCCTCTAGACTTGGGACAGTGTTCTCGGGGCATCTCTGGAGTTGCCTGAAGGAAGTCGAGCCACCGGTCGTGTTGAATGGGGAACGGGGAATGGCTCTGGAGTCAATGCAGGGGAATCGGGCCTCATCTCGAGTTGATTTGGGGCACATGGAGCTGCTTTGCGTTGCTGGGGTGACCTCAGGGTCCGTCTAGACTGGTGACAGTGTTCTTGGGGACTGTCTCGAGATCCATTAAGCAAGTCGAAGCTCCTGACTTGTTTGAATGGGATCACGGAATAGCTCTGCATGCACTGCAGGGGAATGGGGCCTCATCTCGCCTCTAGGGGGAAGTCTCATGGTTTTTCTCGAGTTGCGGCGGGGACCTGGGGTATGTTCTCGACTTACGGCGGGGATGGCCCTTCAAAACACGAGTTTCTTCAGTGACGTCAGGACTCCTGTCTAGTAACGAGGGACACCTCAGGAATCTCTTCGAGGCTTGGCAGGGCCAAAGGGACGCTTCTCGAGGTGAGGCAGGGCACCCAAGGACCCTTTCCAGTAGCCACAGGGATTTTGGGATTCCTATCAGTATTCAAGAGGAGTCAGGCATCGTCACCTTTTGAAGCAATGAACTCCGCGTGCCTCTCGAGGTGTCAGCGGGATGTGAGGCATTCCGTCAAAATGAGGCAGGGACCTAGGGCTTTCTCTAAGGTCTCCACAGGGGATTCAGACATCCCTTCATGTTGTGAGATGAAAGACGAGCCTGTATTCAAGCCACTGCAAGGAAATCCGGCCTCCTTTCAAGTGAGGGCTTCTCGCTGTATATTCCCCTTGAGGCAGCAAACTCGGGGTCCCTCCCACATACCTATTGCTGAGAGAAGCCTCCTCCTGAGGTGCTTCTGGGAAGTTGGCATACGTCTTGAGCCTAAGCCAGGGAATCAGCTCGCATCTCGAGACGATTTGGGGTACACGGAGCATTCCTCGATTTGCTGTGCTGAAGTTGGTGTTCCTCTAGACTTGGGACAGTGTTCTCGGGGCATCTCTGGAGTTGCCTGAAGGAAGTCGAGCCACCGGTCGTGTTGAATGGGGAACGGGGAATGGCTCTGGAGTCAATGCAGGGGAATCGGGCCTCATCTCGAGTTGATTTGGGGCACATGGAGCTGCTTTGCGTTGCTGGGGTGACCTCAGGGTCCGTCTAGACTGGTGACAGTGTTCTTGGGGACTGTCTCGAGATCCATTAAGCAAGTCGAAGCTCCTGACTTGTTTGAATGGGATCACGGAATAGCTCTGCATGCACTGCAGGGGAATGGGGCCTCATCTCGCCTCTAGGGGGAAGTCTCATGGTTTTTCTCGAGTTGCGGCGGGGACCTGGGGTATGTTCTCGACTTACGGCGGGGATGGCCCTTCAAAACACGAGTTTCTTCAGTGACGTCAGGACTCCTGTCTAGTAACGAGGGACACCTCAGGAATCTCTTCGAGGCTTGGCAGGGCCAAAGGGACGCTTCTCGAGGTGAGGCAGGGCACCCAAGGACCCTTTCCAGTAGCCACAGGGATTTTGGGATTCCTATCAGTATTCAAGAGGAGTCAGGCATCGTCACCTTTTGAAGCAATGAACTCCGCGTGCCTCTCGAGGTGTCAGCGGGATGTGAGGCATTCCGTCAAAATGAGGCAGGGACCTAGGGCTTTCTCTAAGGTCTCCACAGGGGATTCAGACATCCCTTCATGTTGTGAGATGAAAGACGAGCCTGTATTCAAGCCACTGCAAGGAAATCCGGCCTCCTTTCAAGTTAGGGCTTCTCGCTGTATATTCCCCTTGAGGCAGCAAACTCGGGGTCCCTCCCACATACCTATTGCTGAGAGAAGCCTCCTCCTGAGGTGCTTCTGGGAAGTTGGCATACGTCTTGAGCCTAAGCCAGGGAATCAGCTCGCATCTCGAGACGATTTGGGGTACACGGAGCATTCCTCGAGTTGCTGTGCTGAAGTTGGTGTTCCTCTAGACTTGGGACAGTGTTCTCGGGGCATCTCTGGAGTTGCCTGAAGGAAGTCGAGCCACCGGTCGTGTTGAATGGGGAACGGGGAATGGCTCTGGAGTCAATGCAGGGGAATCGGGCCTCATCTCGAGTTGATTTGGGGCACATGGAGCTGCTTTGCGTTGCTGGGGTGACCTCAGGGTCCGTCTAGACTGGTGACAGTGTTCTTGGGGACTGTCTCGAGATCCATTAAGCAAGTCGAAGCTCCTGACTTGTTTGAATGGGATCACGGAATAGCTCTGCATGCACTGCAGGGGAATGGGGCCTCATCTCGCCTCTAGGGGGAAGTCTCATGGTTTTTCTCGAGTTGCGGCGGGGACCTGGGGGATGTTCTCGACTTACGGCGGGGATGGCCCTTCAAAACACGAGTTTCTTCAGTGACGTCAGGACTCCTGTCTAGTAACGAGGGACACCTCAGGAATCTCTTCGAGGCTTGGCAGGGCCAAAGGGACGCTTCTCGAGGTGAGGCAGGGCACCCAAGGACCCTTTCCAGTAGCCACAGGGATTTTGGGATTCCTATCAGTATTCAAGAGGAGTCAGGCATCGTCACCTTTTGAAGCAATGAACTCCGCGTGCCTCTCGAGGTGTCAGCGGGATGTGAGGCATTCCGTCAAAATGAGGCAGGGACCTAGGGCTTTCTCTAAGGTCTCCACAGGGGATTCAGACATCCCTTCATGTTGTGAGATGAAAGACGAGCCTGTATTCAAGCCACTGCAAGGAAATCCGGCCTCCTTTCAAGTTAGGGCTTCTCGCTGTATATTCCCCTTGAGGCAGCAAACTCGAGGGCCCTCCCACATACCTATTGCTGAGAGAAGCCTCCTCCTGAGGTGCTTCTGGGAAGTTGGCATACGTCTTGAGCCTAAGCCAGGGAATCAGCTCGCATCTCGAGACGATTTGGGGTACACGGAGCATTCCTCGAGTTGCTGTGCTGAAGTAGGTGTTCCTCTAGACTTGGGACAGTGTTCTCGGGGCATCTCTGGAGTTGCCTGAAGGAAGTCGAGCCACCGGTCGTGTTGAATGGGGAACGGGGAATGGCTCTGGAGTCAATGCAGGGGAATCGGGCCTCATCTCGAGTTGATTTGGGGCACATGGAGCTGCTTTGCGTTGCTGGGGTGACCTCAGGGTCCGTCTAGATTGGTGACAGTGTTCTTGGGGACTGTCTCGAGATCCATTAAGCAAGTCGAAGCTCCTGACTTGTTTGAATGGGATCACGGAATAGCTCTGCATGCACTGCAGGGGAATGGGGCCTCATCTCGCCTCTAGGGGGAAGTCTCATGGTTTTTCTCGAGTTGCGGCGGGGACCTGGGGGATGTTCTCGACTTACGGCGGGGATGGCCCTTCAAAACACGAGTTTCTTCAGTGACGTCAGGACTCCTGTCTAGTAACGAGGGACACCTCAGGAATCTCTTCGAGGCTTGGCAGGGCCAAAGGGACGCTTCTCGAGGTGAGGCAGGGCACCCAAGGACCCTTTCCAGTAGCCACAGGGATTTTGGGATTCCTATCAGTATTCAAGAGGAGTCAGGCATCGTCACCTTTTGAAGCAATGAACTCCGCGTGCCTCTCGAGGTGTCAGCGGGATGTGAGGCATTCCGTCAAAATGAGGCAGGGACCTAGGGCTTTCTCTAAGGTCTCCACAGGGGATTCAGACATCCCTTCATGTTGTGAGATGAAAGACGAGCCTGTATTCAAGCCACTGCAAGGAAATCCGGCCTCCTTTCAAGTGAGGGCTTCTCGCTGTATATTCCCCTTGAGGCAGCAAACTCGGGGTCCCTCCCACATACCTATTGCTGAGAGAAGCCTCCTCCTGAGGTGCTTCTGGGAAGTTGGCATACGTCTTGAGCCTAAGCCAGGGAATCAGCTCGCATCTCGAGACGATTTGGGGTACACGGAGCATTCCTCGAGTTGCTGTGCTGAAGTTGGTGTTCCTCTAGACTTGGGACAGTGTTCTCGGGGCATCTCTGGAGTTGCCTGAAGGAAGTCGAGCCACCGGTCGTGTTGAATGGGGAACGGGGAATGGCTCTGGAGTCAATGCAGGGGAATCGGGCCTCATCTCGAGTTGATTTGGGGCACATGGAGCTGCTTTGCGTTGCTGGGGTGACCTCAGGGTCCGTCTAGACTGGTGACAGTGTTCTTGGGGACTGTCTCGAGATCCATTAAGCAAGTCGAAGCTCCTGACTTGTTTGAATGGGATCACGGAATAGCTCTGCATGCACTGCAGGGGAATGGGGCCTCATCTCGCCTCTAGGGGGAAGTCTCATGGTTTTTCTCGAGTTGCGGCGGGGACCTGGGGTATGTTCTCGACTTACGGCGGGGATGGCCCTTCAAAACACGAGTTTCTTCAGTGACGTCAGGACTCCTGTCTAGTAACGAGGGACACCTCAGGAATCTCTTCGAGGCTTGGCAGGGCCAAAGGGACGCTTCTCGAGGTGAGGCAGGGCACCCAAGGACCCTTTCTAGTAGCCACAGGGATTTTGGGATTCCTATCAGTATTCAAGAGGAGTCAGGCATCGTCACCTTTTGAAGCAATGAACTCCGCGTGCCTCTCGAGGTGTCAGCGGGATGTGAGGCATTCCGTCAAAATGAGGCAGGGACCTAGGGCTTTCTCTAAGGTCTCCACAGGGGATTCAGACATCCCTTCATGTTGTGAGATGAAAGACGAGCCTGTACTCAAGCCACTGCAAGGAAATCCGGCCTCCTTTCAAGTTAGGGCTTCTCGCTGTATATTCCCCTTGAGGCAGCAAACTCGGGGTCCCTCCCACATACCTATTGCTGAGAGAAGCCTCCTCCTGAGGTGCTTCTGGGAAGTTGGCATACGTCTTGAGCCTAAGCCAGGGAATCAGCTCGCATCTCGAGACGATTTGGGGTACACGGAGCATTCCTCGAGTTGCTGTGCTGAAGTTGGTGTTCCTCTAGACTTGGGACAGTGTTCTCGGGGCGTCTCTGGAGTTGCCTGAAGGACGTCGAGCCACCGGTCATGTTGAATGGGGAACGGGGAATGGCTCTGGAGTCAATGCAGGGGAATCGGGCCTCATCTCGAGTTGATTTGGGGCACATGGAGCTGCTTTGCGTTGCTGGGGTGACCTCAGGGTCCGTCTAGACTGGTGACAGTGTTCTTGGGGACTGTCTCGAGATCCATTAAGCAAGTCGAAGCTCCTGACTTGTTTGAATGGGGTCACGGAATAGCTCTGCATGCACTGCAGGGGAATGGGGCCTCATCTCGCCTCTAGGGGGAAGTCTCATGGTTTTTCTCGAGTTGCGGCGGGGACCTGGGGGATGTTCTCGACTTACGGCGGGGATGGCCCTTCAAAACACGAGTTTCTTCAGTGACGTCAGGACTCCTGTCTAGTAACGAGGGACACCTCAGGAATCTCTTCGAGGCTTGGCAGGGCCAAAGGGACGCTTCTCGAGGTGAGGCAGGGCACCCAAGGACCCTTTCCAGTAGCCACAGGGATTTTGGGATTCCTATCAGTATTCAAGAGGAGTCAGGCATCGTCACCTTTTGAAGCAATGAACTCCGCGTGCCTCTCGAGGTGTCAGCGGGATGTGAGGCATTCCGTCAAAATGAGGCAGGGACCTAGGGCTTTCTCTAAGGTCTCCACAGGGGATTCAGACATCCCTTCATGTTGTGAGATGAAAGACGAGCCTGTATTCAAGCCACTGCAAGGAAATCCGGCCTCCTTTCAAGTGAGGGCTTCTCGCTGTATATTCCCCTTGAGGCAGCAAACTCGGGGTCCCTCCCACATACCTATTGCTGAGAGAAGCCTCCTCCTGAGGTGCTTCTGGGAAGTTGGCATACGTCTTGAGCCTAAGCCAGGGAATCAGCTCGCATCTCGAGACGATTTGGGGTACACGGAGCATTCCTCGAGTTGCTGTGCTGAAGTTGGTGTTCCTCTAGACTTGGGACAGTGTTCTCGGGGCATCTCTGGAGTTGCCTGAAGGAAGTCGAGCCACCGGTCGTGTTGAATGGGGAACGGGGAATGGCTCTGGAGTCAATGCAGGGGAATCGGGCCTCATCTCGAGTTGATTTGGGGCACATGGAGCTGCTTTGCGTTGCTGGGGTGACCTCAGGGTCCGTCTAGACTGGTGACAGTGTTCTTGGGGACTGTCTCGAGATCCATTAAGCAAGTCGAAGCTCCTGACTTGTTTGAATGGGATCACGGAATAGCTCTGCATGCACTGCAGGGGAATGGGGCCTCATCTCGCCTCTAGGGGGAAGTCTCATGGTTTTTCTCGAGTTGCGGCGGGGACCTGGGGTATGTTCTCGACTTACGGCGGGGATGGCCCTTCAAAACACGAGTTTCTTCAGTGACGTCAGGACTCCTGTCTAGTAACGAGGGACACCTCAGGAATCTCTTCGAGGCTTGGCAGGGCCAAAGGGACGCTTCTCGAGGTGAGGCAGGGCACCCAAGGACCCTTTCCAGTAGCCACAGGGATTTTGGGATTCCTATCAGTATTCAAGAGGAGTCAGGCATCGTCACCTTTTGAAGCAATGAACTCCGCGTGCCTCTCGAGGTGTCAGCGGGATGTGAGGCATTCCGTCAAAATGAGGCAGGGACCTAGGGCTTTCTCTAAGGTCTCCACAGGGGATTCAGACATCCCTTCATGTTGTGAGATGAAAGACGAGCCTGTATTCAAGCCACTGCAAGGAAATCCGGCCTCCTTTCAAGTTAGGGCTTCTCGCTGTATATTCCCCTTGAGGCAGCAAACTCGGGGTCCCTCCCACATACCTATTGCTGAGAGAAGCCTCCTCCTGAGGTACTTCTGGGAAGTTGGCATACGTCTTGAGCCTAAGCCAGGGAATCAGCTCGCATCTCGAGACGATTTGGGGTACACGGAGCATTCCTCGAGTTGCTGTGCTGAAGTTGGTGTTCCTCTAGACTTGGGACAGTGTTCTCGGGGCGTCTCTGGAGTTGCCTGAAGGACGTCGAGCCACCGGTCATGTTGAATGGGGAACGGGGAATGGCTCTGGAGTCAATGCAGGGGAATCGGGCCTCATCTCGAGTTGATTTGGGGCACATGGAGCTGCTTTGCGTTGCTGGGGTGACCTCAGGGTCCGTCTAGACTGGTGACAGTGTTCTTGGGGACTGTCTCGAGATCCATTAAGCAAGTCGAAGCTCCTGACTTGTTTGAATGGGATCACGGAATAGCTCTGCATGCACTGCAGGGGAATGGGGCCTCATCTCGCCTCTAGGGGGAAGTCTCATGGTTTTTCTCGAGTTGCGGCGGGGACCTGGGGGATGTTCTCGACTTACGGCGGGGATGGCCCTTCAAAACACGAGTTTCTTCAGTGACGTCAGGACTCCTGTCTAGTAACGAGGGACACCTCAGGAATCTCTTCGAGGCTTGGCAGGGCCAAAGGGACGCTTCTCGAGGTGAGGCAGGGCACCCAAGGACCCTTTCCAGTAGCCACAGGGATTTTGGGATTCCTATCAGTATTCAAGAGGAGTCAGGCATCGTCACCTTTTGAAGCAATGAACTCCGCGTGCCTCTCGAGGTGTCAGCGGGATGTGAGGCATTCCGTCAAAATGAGGCAGGGACCTAGGGCTTTCTCTAAGGTCTCCACAGGGGATTCAGACATCCCTTCATGTTGTGAGATGAAAGACGAGCCTGTATTCAAGCCACTGCAAGGAAATCCGGCCTCCTTTCAAGTTAGGGCTTCTCGCTGTATATTCCCCTTGAGGCAGCAAACTCGGGGTCCCTCCCACATACCTATTGCTGAGAGAAGCCTCCTCCTGAGGTGCTTCTGGGAAGTTGGCATACGTCTTGAGCCTAAGCCAGGGAATCAGCTCGCATCTCGAGACGATTTGGGGTACACGGAGCATTCCTCTAGTTGCTGTGCTGAAGTAGGTGTTCCTCTATACTTGGGACAGTGTTCTCGGGGCGTCTCTGGAGTTGCCTGAAGGAAGTCGAGCCACCGGTCGTGTTGAATGGGGAACGGGGAATGGCTCTGGAGTCAATGCAGGGGAATCGGGCCTCATCTCGAGTTGATTTGGGGCACATGGAGCTGCTTTGCGTTGCTGGGGTGACCTCAGGGTCCGTCTAGACTGGTGACAGTGTTCTTGGGGACTGTCTCGAGATCCATTAAGCAAGTCGAAGCTCCTGACTTGTTTGAATGGGATCACGGAATAGCTCTGCATGCACTGCAGGGGAATGGGGCCTCATCTCGCCTCTAGGGGGAAGTCTCATGGTTTTTCTCGAGTTGCGGCGGGGACCTGGGGTATGTTCTCGACTTACGGCGGGGATGGCCCTTCAAAACACGAGTTTCTTCAGTGACGTCAGGACTCCTGTCTAGTAACGAGGGACACCTCAGGAATCTCTTCGAGGCTTGGCAGGGCCAAAGGGACGCTTCTCGAGGTGAGGCAGGGCACCCAAGGACCCTTTCCAGTAGCCACAGGGATTTTGGGATTCCTATCAGTATTCAAGAGGAGTCAGGCTTCGTCACCTTTTGAAGCAATGAACTCCGCGTGCCTCTCGAGGTGTCAGCGGGATGTGAGGCATTCCGTCAAAATGAGGCAGGGACCTAGGGCTTTCTCTAAGGTCTCCACAGGGGATTCAGACATCCCTTCATGTTGTGAGATGAAAGACGAGCCTGTATGCAAGCCACTGCAAGGAAATCCGGCCTCCTTTCAAGTTAGGGCTTCTCGCTGTATATTCCCCTTGAGGCAGCAAACTCGGGGTCCCTCCCACATACCTATTGCTGAGAGAAGCCTCCTCCTGAGGTGCTTCTGGGAAGTTGGCATACGTCTTGAGCCTAAGCCAGGGAATCAGCTCGCATCTCGAGACGATTTGGGGTACACGGAGCATTCCTCGAGTTGCTGTGCTGAAGTTGGTGTTCCTCTAGACTTGGGACAGTGTTCTCGGGGCATCTCTGGAGTTGCCTGAAGGAAGTCGAGCCACCGGTCGTGTTGAATGGGGAACGGGGAATGGCTCTGGAGTCAATGCAGGGGAATCGGGCCTCATCTCGAGTTGATTTGGGGCACATGGAGCTGCTTTGCGTTGCTGGGGTGACCTCAGGGTCCGTCTAGACTGGTGACAGTGTTCTTGGGGACTGTCTCGAGATCCATTAAGCAAGTCGAAGCTCCTGACTTGTTTGAATGGGATCACGGAATAGCTCTGCATGCACTGCAGGGGAATGGGGCCTCATCTCGCCTCTAGGGGGAAGTCTCATGGTTTTTCTCGAGTTGCGGCGGGGACCTGGGGTATGTTCTCGACTTACGGCGGGGATGGCCCTTCAAAACACGAGTTTCTTCAGTGACGTCAGGACTCCTGTCTAGTAACGAGGGACACCTCAGGAATCTCTTCGAGGCTTGGCAGGGCCAAAGGGACGCTTCTCGAGGTGAGGCAGGGCACCCAAGGACCCTTTCCAGTAGCCACAGGGATTTTGGGATTCCTATCAGTATTCAAGAGGAGTCAGGCATCGTCACCTTTTGAAGCAATGAACTCCGCGTGCCTCTCGAGGTGTCAGCGGGATGTGAGGCATTCCGTCAAAATGAGGCAGGGACCTAGGGCTTTCTCTAAGGTCTCCACAGGGGATTCAGACATCCCTTCATGTTGTGAGATGAAAGACGAGCCTGTATGCAAGCCACTGCAAGGAAATCCGGCCTCCTTTCAAGTTAGGGCTTCTCGCTGTATATTCCCCTTGAGGCAGCAAACTCGGGGTCCCTCCCACATACCTATTGCTGAGAGAAGCCTCCTCCTGAGGTGCTTCTGGGAAGTTGGCATACGTCTTGAGCCTAAGCCAGGGAATCAGCTCGCATCTCGAGACGATTTGGGGTACACGGAGCATTCCTCGAGTTGCTGTGCTGAAGTTGGTGTTCCTCTAGACTTGGGACAGTGTTCTCGGGGCATCTCTGGAGTTGCCTGAAGGAAGTCGAGCCACCGGTCGTGTTGAATGGGGAACGGGGAATGGCTCTGGAGTCAATGCAGGGGAATCGGGCCTCATCTCGAGTTGATTTGGGGCACATGGAGCTGCTTTGCGTTGCTGGGGTGACCTCAGGGTCCGTCTAGACTGGTGACAGTGTTCTTGGGGACTGTCTCGAGATCCATTAAGCAAGTCGAAGCTCCTGACTTGTTTGAATGGGATCACGGAATAGCTCTGCATGCACTGCAGGGGAATGGGGCCTCATCTCGCCTCTAGGGGGAAGTCTCATGGTTTTTCTCGAGTTGCGGCGGGGACCTGGGGTATGTTCTCGACTTACGGCGGGGATGGCCCTTCAAAACACGAGTTTCTTCAGTGACGTCAGGACTCCTGTCTAGTAACGAGGGACACCTCAGGAATCTCTTCGAGGCTTGGCAGGGCCAAAGGGACGCTTCTCGAGGTGAGGCAGGGCACCCAAGGACCCTTTCCAGTAGCCACAGGGATTTTGGGATTCCTATCAGTATTCAAGAGGAGTCAGGCATCGTCACCTTTTGAAGCAATGAACTCCGCGTGCCTCTCGAGGTGTCAGCGGGATGTGAGGCATTCCGTCAAAATGAGGCAGGGACCTAGGGCTTTCTCTAAGGTCTCCACAGGGGATTCAGACTTCCCTTCATGTTGTGAGATGAAAGACGAGCCTGTATTCAAGCCACTGCAAGGAAATCCGGCCTCCTTTCAAGTTAGGGCTTCTCGCTGTATATTCCCCTTGAGGCAGCAAACTCGGGGTCCCTCCCACATACCTATTGCTGAGAGAAGCCTCCTCCTGAGGTGCTTCTGGGAAGTTGGCATACGTCTTGAGCCTAAGCCAGGGAATCAGCTCGCATCTCGAGACGATTTGGGGTACACGGAGCATTCCTCGAGTTGCTGTGCTGAAGTTGGTGTTCCTCTAGACTTGGGACAGTGTTCTCGGGGCATCTCTGGAGTTGCCTGAAGGAAGTCGAGCCACCGGTCGTGTTGAATGGGGAACGGGGAATGGCTCTGGAGTCAATGAAGGGGAATCGGGCCTCATCTCGAGTTGATTTGGGGCACATGGAGCTGCTTTGCGTTGCTGGGGTGACCTCAGGGTCCGTCTAGACTGGTGACAGTGTTCTTGGGGACTGTCTCGAGATCCATTAAGCAAGTCGAAGCTCCTGACTTGTTTGAATGGGATCACGGAATAGCTCTGCATGCACTGCAGGGGAATGGGGCCTCATCTCGCGTCTAGGGGGAAGTCTCATGGTTTTTCTCGAGTTGCGGCGGGGACCTGGGGTATGTTCTCGACTTACGGCGGGGATGGCCCTTCAAAACACGAGTTTCTTCAGTGACGTCAGGACTCCTGTCTAGTAACGAGGGACACCTCAGGAATCTCTTCGAGGCTTGGCAGGGCCAAAGGGACGCTTCTCGAGGTGAGGCAGGGCACCCAAGGACCCTTTCCAGTAGCCACAGGGATTTTGGGATTCCTATCAGTATTCAAGAGGAGTCAGGCATCGTCACCTTTTGAAGCAATGAACTCCGCGTGCCTCTCGAGGTGTCAGCGGGATGTGAGGCATTCCGTCAAAATGAGGCAGGGACCTAGGGCTTTCTCTAAGGTCTCCACAGGGGATTCAGACATCCCTTCATGTTGTGAGATGAAAGACGAGCCTGTATTCAAGCCACTGCAAGGAAATCCGGCCTCCTTTCAAGTGAGGGCTTCTCGCTGTATATTCCCCTTGAGGCAGCAAACTCGGGGTCCCTCCCACATACCTATTGCTGAGAGAAGCCTCCTCCTGAGGTGCTTCTGGGAAGTTGGCATACGTCTTGAGCCTAAGCCAGGGAATCAGCTCGCATCTCGAGACGATTTGGGGTACACGGAGCATTCCTCGAGTTGCTGTGCTGAAGTTGGTGTTCCTCTAGACTTGGGACAGTGTTCTCGGGGCGTCTCTGGAGTTGCCTGAAGGAAGTCGAGCCACCGGTCGTGTTGAATGGGGAACGGGGAATGGCTCTGGAGTCAATGCAGGGGAATCGGGCCTCATCTCGAGTTGATTTGGGGCACATGGAGCTGCTTTGCTTTGCTGGGGTTACCTCAGGGTCCGTCTAGACTGGTGACAGTGTTCTTGGGGACTGTCTCGAGATCCATTAAGCAAGTCGAAGCTCCTGACTTGTTTGAATGGGATCACGGAATAGCTCTGCATGCACTGCAGGGGAATGGGGCCTCATCTCGCCTCTAGGGGGAAGTCTCATGGTTTTTCTCGAGTTGCGGCGGGGACCTGGGGTATGTTCTCGACTTACGGCGGGGATGGCCCTTCAAAACACGAGTTTCTTCAGTGACGTCAGGACTCCTGTCTAGTAACGAGGGACACCTCAGGAATCTCTTCGAGGCTTGGCAGGGCCAAAGGGACGCTTCTCGAGGTGAGGCAGGGCACCCAAGGACCCTTTCCAGTAGCCACAGGGATTTTGGGATTCCTATCAGTATTCAAGAGGAGTCAGGCATCGTCACCTTTTGAAGCAATGAACTCCGCGTGCCTCTCGAGGTGTCAGCGGGATGTGAGGCATTCCGTCAAAATGAGGCAGGGACCTAGGGCTTTCTCTAAGGTCTCCACAGGGGATTCAGACATCCCTTCATGTTGTGAGATGAAAGACGAGCCTGTATTCAAGCCACTGCAAGGAAATCCGGCCTCCTTTCAAGTTAGGGCTTCTCGCTGTATATTCCCCTTGAGGCAGCAAACTCGGGGTCCCTCCCACATACCTATTGCTGAGAGAAGCCTCCTCCTGAGGTGCTTCTGGGAAGTTGGCATACGTCTTGAGCCTAAGCCAGGGAATCAGCTCGCATCTCGAGACGATTTGGGGTACACGGAGCATTCCTCGAGTTGCTGTGCTGAAGTAGGTGTTCCTCTAGACTTGGGACAGTGTTCTCGGGGCGTCTCTGGAGTTTCCTGAAGGAAGTCGAGCCACCGTTCGTGTTGAATGGGGAACGGGGAATGGCTCTGGAGTCAATGCAGGGGAATCGGGCCTCATCTCGAGTTGATTTGGGGCACATGGAGCTGCTTTGCGTTGCTGGGGTGACCTCAGGGTCCGTCTAGACTGGTGACAGTGTTCTTGGGGACTCTCTCGAGATCCATTAAGCAAGTTGAAGCTCCTGACTTGTTTGAATGGGATCACGGAATAGCTCTGCATGCACTGCAGGGGAATGGGGCCTCATCTCGCCTCTAGGGGGAAGTCTCATGGTTTTTCTCGAGTTGCGGCGGGGACCTGGGGTATGTTCTCGACTTACGGCGGGGATGGCCCTTCAAAACACGAGTTTCTTCAGTGACGTCAGGACTCCTGTCTAGTAACGAGGGACACCTCAGGAATCTCTTCGAGGCTTGGCAGGGCCAAAGGGACGCTTCTCGAGGTGAGGCAGGGCACCCAAGGACCCTTTCCAGTAGCCACAGGGATTTTGGGATTCCTATCAGTATTCAAGAGGAGTCAGGCATCGTCACCTTTTGAAGCAATGAACTCCGCGTGCCTCTCGAGGTGTCAGCGGGATGTGAGGCATTCCGTCAAAATGAGCCAGGGACCTAGGGCTTTCTCTAAGGTCTCCACAGGGGATTCAGACATCCCTTCATGTTGTGAGATGAAAGACGAGCCTGTATTCAAGCCACTGCAAGGAAATCCGGCCTCCTTTCAAGTTAGGGCTTCTCGCTGTATATTCCCCTTGAGGCAGCAAACTCGGGGTCCCTCCCACATACCTATTGCTGAGAGAAGCCTCCTCCTGAGGTGCTTCTGGGAAGTTGGCATACGTCTTGAGCCTAAGCCAGGGAATCAGCTCGCATCTCGAGACGATTTGGGGTACACGGAGCATTCCTCGAGTTGCTGTGCTGAAGTAGGTGTTCCTCTAGACTTGGGACAGTGTTCTCGGGGCGTCTCTGGAGTTGCCTGAAGGAAGTCGAGCCACCGTTCGTGTTGAATGGGGAACGGGGAATGGCTCTGGAGTCAATGCAGGGGAATCGGGCCTCATCTCGAGTTGATTTGGGGCACATGGAGCTGCTTTGCGTTGCTGGGGTGACCTCAGGGTCCGTCTAGACTGGTGACAGTGTTCTTGGGGACTGTCTCGAGATCCATTAAGCAAGTTGAAGCTCCTGACTTGTTTGAATGGGATCACGGAATAGCTCTGCATGCACTGCAGGGGAATGGGGCCTCATCTCGCCTCTAGGGGGAAGTCTCATGGTTTTTCTCGAGTTGCGGCGGGGACCTGGGGTATGTTCTCGACTTACGGCGGGGATGGCCCTTCAAAACACGAGTTTCTTCAGTGACGTCAGGACTCCTGTCTAGTAACGAGGGACACCTCAGGAATCTCTTCGAGGCTTGGCAGGGCCAAAGGGACGCTTCTCGAGGTGAGGCAGGGCACCCAAGGACCCTTTCCAGTAGCCACAGGGATTTTGGGATTCCTATCAGTATTCAAGAGGAGTCAGGCATCGTCACCTTTTGAAGCAATGAACTCCGCGTGCCTCTCGAGGTGTCAGCGGGATGTGAGGCATTCCGTCAAAATGAGGCAGGGACCTAGGGCTTTCTCTAAGGTCTCCACAGGGGATTCAGACATCCCTTCATGTTGTGAGATGAAAGACGAGCCTGTATTCAAGCCACTGCAAGGAAATCCGGCCTCCTTTCAAGTTAGGGCTTCTCGCTGTATATTCCCCTTGAGGCAGCAAACTCGGGGTCCCTCCCACATACCTATTGCTGAGAGAAGCCTCCTCCTGAGGTGCTTCTGGGAAGTTGGCATACGTCTTGAGCCTAAGCCAGGGAATCAGCTCGCATCTCGAGACGATTTGGGGTACACGGAGCATTCCTCGAGTTGCTGTGCTGAAGTTGGTGTTCCTCTAGACTTGGGACAGTGTTCTCGGGGCATCTCTGGAGTTGCCTGAAGGAAGTCGAGCCACCGGTCGTGTTGAATGGGGAACGGGGAATGGCTCTGGAGTCAATGCAGGGGAATCGGGCCTCATCTCGAGTTGATTTGGGGCACATGGAGCTGCTTTGCGTTGCTGGGGTGACCTCAGGGTCCGTCTAGACTGGTGACAGTGTTCTTGGGGACTGTCTCGAGATCCATTAAGCAAGTCGAAGCTCCTGACTTGTTTGAATGGGATCACGGAATAGCTCTGCATGCACTGCAGGGGAATGGGGCCTCATCTCGCCTCTAGGGGGAAGTCTCATGGTTTTTCTCGAGTTGCGGCGGGGACCTGGGGGATGTTCTCGACTTACGGCGGGGATGGCCCTTCAAAACACGAGTTTCTTCAGTGACGTCAGGACTCCTGTCTAGTAACGAGGGACACCTCAGGAATCTCTTCGAGGCTTGGCAGGGCCAAAGGGACGCTTCTCGAGGTGAGGCAGGGCACCCAAGGACCCTTTCCAGTAGCCACAGGGATTTTGGGATTCCTATCAGTATTCAAGAGGAGTCAGGCATCGTCACCTTTTGAAGCAATGAACTCCGCGTGCCTCTCGAGGTGTCAGCGGGATGTGAGGCATTCCGTCAAAATGAGGCAGGGACCTAGGGCTTTCTCTAAGCTCTCCACAGGGGATTCAGACATCCCTTCATGTTGTGAGATGAAAGACGAGCCTGTATTCAAGCCACTGCAAGGAAATCCGGCCTCCTTTCAAGTTAGGGCTTCTCGCTGTATATTCCCCTTGAGGCAGCAAACTCGGGGTCCCACCCACATACCTATTGCTGAGAGAAGCCTCCTCCTGAGGTGCTTCTGGGAAGTTGGCATACGTCTTGAGCCTAAGCCAGGGAATCAGCTCGCATCTCGAGACGATTTGGGGTACACGGAGAATTCCTCGAGTTGCTGTGCTGAAGTTGGTGTTCCTCTAGACTTGGGACAGTGTTCTCGGGGCGTCTCTGGAGTTGCCTGAAGGAAGTCGAGCCACCGGTCGTGTTGAATGGGGAACGGGGAATGGCTCTGGAGTCAATGCAGGGGAATCGGGCCTCATCTCGAGTTGATTTGGGGCACATGGAGCTGCTTTGCTTTGCTGGGGTGACCTCAGGGTCCGTCTAGACTGGTGACAGTGTTCTTGGGGACTGTCTCGAGATCCATTAAGCAAGTCGAAGCTCCTGACTTCTTTGAATGGGATCACGGAATAGCTCTGCATGCACTGCAGGGGAATGGGGCCTCATCTCGCCTCTAGGGGGAAGTCTCATGGTTTTTCTCGAGTTGCGGCGGGGACCTGGGGTATGTTCTCGACTTACGGCGGGGATGGCCCTTCAAAACACGAGTTTCTTCAGTGACGTCAGGACTCCTGTCTAGTAACGAGGGACACCTCAGGAATCTCTTCGAGGCTTGGCAGGGCCAAAGGGACGCTTCTCGAGGTGAGGCAGGGCACCCAAGGACCCTTTCCAGTAGCCACAGGGATTTTGGGATTCCTATCAGTATTCAAGAGGAGTCAGGCATCGTCACCTTTTGAAGCAATGAACTCCGCGTGCCTCTCGAGGTGTCAGCGGGATGTGAGGCATTCCGTCAAAATGAGGCAGGGACCTAGGGCTTTCTCTAAGGTCTCCACAGGGGATTCAGACATCCCTTCATGTTGTGAGATGAAAGACGAGCCTGTATTCAAGCCACTGCAAGGAAATCCGGCCTCCTTTCAAGTTAGGGCTTCTCGCTGTATATTCCCCTTGAGGCAGCAAACTCGGGGTCCCTCCCACATACCTATTGCTGAGAGAAGCCTCCTCCTGAGGTGCTTCTGGGAAGTTGGCATACGTCTTGAGCCTAAGCCAGGGAATCAGCTCGCATCTCGAGACGATTTGGGGTACACGGAGCATTCCTCGAGTTGCTGTGCTGAAGTTGGTGTTCCTCTAGACTTGGGACAGTGTTCTCGGGGCATCTCTGGAGTTGCCTGAAGGAAGTCGAGCCACCGGTCGTGTTGAATGGGGAACGGGGAATGGCTCTGGAGTCAATGCAGGGGAATCGGGCCTCATCTCGAGTTGATTTGGGGCACATGGAGCTGCTTTGCGTTGCTGGGGTGACCTCAGGGTCCGTCTAGACTGGTGACAGTGTTCTTGGGGACTGTCTCGAGATCCATTAAGCAAGTCGAAGCTCCTGACTTGTTTGAATGGGATCACGGAATAGCTCTGCATGCACTGCAGGGGAATGGGGCCTCATCTCGCCTCTAGGGGGAAGTCTCATGGTTTTTCTCGAGTTGCGGCGGGGACCTGGGGTATGTTCTCGACTTACGGCGGGGATGGCCCTTCAAAACACGAGTTTCTTCAGTGACGTCAGGACTCCTGTCTAGTAACGAGGGACACCTCAGGAATCTCTTCGAGGCTTGGCAGGGCCAAAGGGACGCTTCTCGAGGTGAGGCAGGGCACCCAAGCGCCCTTTCCAGTAGCCACAGGGATTTTGGGATTCCTATCAGTATTCAAGAGGAGTCAGGCATCGTCACCTTTTGAAGCAATGAACTCCGCGTGCCTCTCGAGGTGTCAGCGGGATGTGAGGCATTCCGTCAAAATGAGGCAGGGACCTAGGGCTTTCTCTAAGGTCTCCACAGGGGATTCAGACATCCCTTCATGTTGTGAGATGAAAGACGAGCCTGTATGCAAGCCACTGCAAGGAAATCCGGCCTCCTTTCAAGTTAGGGCTTCTCGCTGTATATTCCCCTTGAGGCAGCAAACTCGGGGTCCCTCCCACATACCTATTGCTGAGAGAAGCCTCCTCCTGAGGTGCTTCTGGGAAGTTGGCATACGTCTTGAGCCTAAGCCAGGGAATCAGCTCGCATCTCGAGACGATTTGGGGTACACGGAGCATTCCTCGAGTTGCTGTGCTGAAGTTGGTGTTCCTCTAGACTTGGGACAGTGTTCTCGGGGCATCTCTGGAGTTGCCTGAAGGAAGTCGAGCCACCGGTCGTGTTGAATGGGGAACGGGGAATGGCTCTGGAGTCAATGCAGGGGAATCGGGCCTCATCTCGAGTTGATTTGGGGCACATGGAGCTGCTTTGCGTTGCTGGGTTGACCTCAGGGTCCGTCTAGACTGGTGACAGTGTTCTTGGGGACTGTCTCGAGATCCATTAAGCAAGTCGAAGCTCCTGACTTGTTTGAATGGGATCACGGAATAGCTCTGCATGCACTGCAGGGGAATGGGGCCTCATCTCGCCTCTAGGGGGAAGTCTCATGGTTTTTCTCGAGTTGCGGCGGGGACCTGGGGTATGTTCTCGACTTACGGCGGGGATGGCCCTTCAAAACACGAGTTTCTTCAGTGACGTCAGGACTCCTGTCTAGTAACGAGGGACACCTCAGGAATCTCTTCGAGGCTTGGCAGGGCCAAAGGGACGCTTCTCGAGGTGAGGCAGGGCACCCAAGGACCCTTTCCAGTAGCCACAGGGATTTTGGGATTCCTATCAGTATTCAAGAGGAGTCAGGCATCGTCACCTTTTGAAGCAATGAACTCCGCGTGCCTCTCGAGGTGTCAGCGGGATGTGAGGCATTCCGTCAAAATGAGGCAGGGACCTAGGGCTTTCTCTAAGGTCTCCACAGGGGATTCAGACATCCCTTCATGTTGTGAGATGAAAGACGAGCCTGTATTCAAGCCACTGCAAGGAAATCCGGCCTCCTTTCAAGTTAGGGCTTCTCGCTGTATATTCCCCTTGAGGCAGCAAACTCGGGGTCCCTCCCACATACCTATTGCTGAGAGAAGCCTCCTCCTGAGGTGCTTCTGGGAAGTTGGCATACGTCTTGAGCCTAAGCCAGGGAATCAGCTCGCATCTCGAGACGATTTGGGGTACACGGAGCATTCCTCGAGTTGCTGTGCTGAAGTAGGTGTTCCTCTAGACTTGGGACAGTGTTCTCGGGGCGTCTCTGGAGTTTCCTGAAGGAAGTCGAGCCACCGTTCGTGTTGAATGGGGAACGGGGAATGGCTCTGGAGTCAATGCAGGGGAATCGGGCCTCATCTCGAGTTGATTTGGGGCACATGGAGCTGCTTTGCGTTGCTGGGGTGACCTCAGGGTCCGTCTAGACTGGTGACAGTGTTCTTGGGGACTGTCTCGAGATCCATTAAGCAAGTTGAAGCTCCTGACTTGTTTGAATGGGATCACGGAATAGCTCTGCATGCACTGCAGGGGAATGGGGCCTCATCTCGCCTCTAGGGGGAAGTCTCATGGTTTTTCTCGAGTTGCGGCGGGGACCTGGGGTATGTTCTCGACTTACGGCGGGGATGGCCCTTCAAAACACGAGTTTCTTCAGTGACGTCAGGACTCCTGTCTAGTAACGAGGGACACCTCAGGAATCTCTTCGAGGCTTGGCAGGGCCAAAGGGACGCTTCTCGAGGTGAGGCAGGGCACCCAAGGACCCTTTCCAGTAGCCACAGGGATTTTGGGATTCCTATCAGTATTCAAGAGGAGTCAGGCATCGTCACCTTTTGAAGCAATGAACTCCGCGTGCCTCTCGAGGTGTCAGCGGGATGTGAGGCATTCCGTCAAAATGAGGCAGGGACCTAGGGCTTTCTCTAAGGTCTCCACAGGGGATTCAGACATCCCTTCATGTTGTGAGATGAAAGACGAGCCTGTATTCAAGCCACTGCAAGGAAATCCGGCCTCCTTTCAAGTTAGGGCTTCTCGCTGTATATTCCCCTTGAGGCAGCAAACTCGGGGTCCCTCCCACATACCTATTGCTGAGAGAAGCCTCCTCCTGAGGTGCTTCTGGGAAGTTGGCATACGTCTTGAGCCTAAGCCAGGGAATCAGCTCGCATCTCGAGACGATTTGGGGTACACGGAGCATTCCTCGAGTTGCTGTGCTGAAGTTGGTGTTCCTCTAGACTTGGGACAGTGTTCTCGGGGCATCTCTGGAGTTGCCTGAAGGAAGTCGAGCCACCGGTCGTGTTGAATGGGGAACGGGGAATGGCTCTGGAGTCAATGCAGGGGAATCGGGCCTCATCTCGAGTTGATTTGGGGCACATGGAGCTGCTTTGCGTTGCTGGGGTGACCTCAGGGTCCGTCTAGACTGGTGACAGTGTTCTTGGGGACTGTCTCGAGATCCATTAAGCAAGTCGAAGCTCCTGACTTGTTTGAATGGGATCACGGAATAGCTCTGCATGCACTGCAGGGGAATGGGGCCTCATCTCGCCTCTAGGGGGAAGTCTCATGGTTTTTCTCGAGTTGCGGCGGGGACCTGGGGGATGTTCTCGACTTACGGCGGGGATGGCCCTTCAAAACACGAGTTTCTTCAGTGACGTCAGGACTCCTGTCTAGTAACGAGGGACACCTCAGGAATCTCTTCGAGGCTTGGCAGGGCCAAAGGGACGCTTCTCGAGGTGAGGCAGGGCACCCAAGGACCCTTTCCAGTAGCCACAGGGATTTTGGGATTCCTATCAGTATTCAAGAGGAGTCAGGCATCGTCACCTTTTGAAGCAATGAACTCCGCGTGCCTCTCGAGGTGTCAGCGGGATGTGAGGCATTCCGTCAAAATGAGGCAGGGACCTAGGGCTTTCTCTAAGGTCTCCACAGGGGATTCAGACATCCCTTCATGTTGTGAGATGAAAGACGAGCCTGTATTCAAGCCACTGCAAGGAAATCCGGCCTCCTTTCAAGTTAGGGCTTCTCGCTGTATATTCCCCTTGAGGCAGCAAACTCGGGGTCCCACCCACATACCTATTGCTGAGAGAAGCCTCCTCCTGAGGTGCTTCTGGGAAGTTGGCATACGTCTTGAGCCTAAGCCAGGGAATCAGCTCGCATCTCGAGACGATTTGGGGTACACGGAGAATTCCTCGAGTTGCTGTGCTGAAGTTGGTGTTCCTCTAGACTTGGGACAGTGTTCTCGGGGCGTCTCTGGAGTTGCCTGAAGGAAGTCGAGCCACCGGTCGTGTTGAATGGGGAACGGGGAATGGCTCTGGAGTCAATGCAGGGGAATCGGGCCTCATCTCGAGTTGATTTGGGGCACATGGAGCTGCTTTGCTTTGCTGGGGTGACCTCAGGGTCCGTCTAGACTGGTGACAGTGTTCTTGGGGACTGTCTCGAGATCCATTAAGCAAGTCGAAGCTCCTGACTTCTTTGAATGGGATCACGGAATAGCTCTGCATGCACTGCAGGGGAATGGGGCCTCATCTCGCCTCTAGGGGGAAGTCTCATGGTTTTTCTCGAGTTGCGGCGGGGACCTGGGGTATGTTCTCGACTTACGGCGGGGATGGCCCTTCAAAACACGAGTTTCTTCAGTGACGTCAGGACTCCTGTCTAGTAACGAGGGACACCTCAGGAATCTCTTCGAGGCTTGGCAGGGCCAAAGGGACGCTTCTCGAGGTGAGGCAGGGCACCCAAGGACCCTTTCCAGTAGCCACAGGGATTTTGGGATTCCTATCAGTATTCAAGAGGAGTCAGGCATCGTCACCTTTTGAAGCAATGAACTCCGCGTGCCTCTCGAGGTGTCAGCGGGATGTGAGGCATTCCGTCAAAATGAGGCAGGGACCTAGGGCTTTCTCTAAGGTCTCCACAGGGGATTCAGACATCCCTTCATGTTGTGAGATGAAAGACGAGCCTGTATTCAAGCCACTGCAAGGAAATCCGGCCTCCTTTCAAGTTAGGGCTTCTCGCTGTATATTCCCCTTGAGGCAGCAAACTCGGGGTCCCTCCCACATACCTATTGCTGAGAGAAGCCTCCTCCTGAGGTGCTTCTGGGAAGTTGGCATACGTCTTGAGCCTAAGCCAGGGAATCAGCTCGCATCTCGAGACGATTTGGGGTACACGGAGCATTCCTCGAGTTGCTGTGCTGAAGTAGGTGTTCCTCTAGACTTGGGACAGTGTTCTCGGGGCGTCTCTGGAGTTGCCTGAAGGAAGTCGAGCCACCGGTCGTGTTGAATGGGGAACGGGGAATGGCTCTGGAGTCAATGCAGGGGAATCGGGCCTCATCTCGAGTTGATTTGGGGCACATGGAGCTGCTTTGCGTTGCTGGGGTGACCTCAGGGTCCGTCTAGACTGGTGACAGTGTTCTTGGGGACTGTCTGGAGATCCATTAAGCAAGTCGAAGCTCCTGACTTGTTTGAATGGGATCACGGAATAGCTCTGCATGCACTGCAGGGGAATGGGGCCTCATCTCGCCTCTAGGGGGAAGTCTCATGGTTTTTCTCGAGTTGCGGCGGGGACCTGGGGTATGTTCTCGACTTACGGCGGGGATGGCCCTTCAAAACACGAGTTTCTTCAGTGACGTCAGGACTCCTGTCTAGTAACGAGGGACACCTCAGGAATCTCTTCGAGGCTTGGCAGGGCCAAAGGGACGCTTCTCGAGGTGAGGCAGGGCACCCAAGGACCCTTTCCAGTAGCCACAGGGATTTTGGGATTCCTATCAGTATTCAAGAGGAGTCAGGCATCGTCACCTTTTGAAGCAATGAACTCCGCGTGCCTCTCGAGGTGTCAGCGGGATGTGAGGCATTCCGTCAAAATGAGGCAGGGACCTAGGGCTTTCTCTAAGGTCTCCACAGGGGATTCAGACATCCCTTCATGTTGTGAGATGAAAGACGAGCCTGTATGCAAGCCACTGCAAGGAAATCCGGCCTCCTTTCAAGTTAGGGCTTCTCGCTGTATATTCCCCTTGAGGCAGCAAACTCGGGGTCCCTCCCACATACCTATTGCTGAGAGAAGCCTCCTCCTGAGGTGCTTCTGGGAAGTTGGCATACGTCTTGAGCCTAAGCCAGGGAATCAGCTCGCATCTCGAGACGATTTGGGGTACACGGAGCATTCCTCGAGTTGCTGTGCTGAAGTTGGTGTTCCTCTAGACTTGGGACAGTGTTCTCGGGGCATCTCTGGAGTTGCCTGAAGGAAGTCGAGCCACCGGTCGTGTTGAATGGGGAACGGGGAATGGCTCTGGAGTCAATGCAGGGGAATCGGGCCTCATCTCGAGTTGATTTGGGGCACATGGAGCTGCTTTGCGTTGCTGGGGTGACCTCAGGGTCCGTCTAGACTGGTGACAGTGTTCTTGGGGACTGTCTCGAGATCCATTAAGCAAGTCGAAGCTCCTGACTTGTTTGAATGGGATCACGGAATAGCTCTGCATGCACTGCAGGGGAATGGGGCCTCATCTCGCCTCTAGGGGGAAGTCTCATGGTTTTTCTCGAGTTGCGGCGGGGACCTGGGGTATGTTCTCGACTTACGGCGGGGATGGCCCTTCAAAACACGAGTTTCTTCAGTGACGTCAGGACTCCTGTCTAGTAACGAGGGACACCTCAGGAATCTCTTCGAGGCTTGGCAGGGCCAAAGGGACGCTTCTCGAGGTGAGGCAGGGCACCCAAGCGCCCTTTCCAGTAGCCACAGGGATTTTGGGATTCCTATCAGTATTCAAGAGGAGTCAGGCATCGTCACCTTTTGAAGCAATGAACTCCGCGTGCCTCTCGAGGTGTCAGCGGGATGTGAGGCATTCCGTCAAAATGAGGCAGGGACCTAGGGCTTTCTCTAAGGTCTCCACAGGGGATTCAGACATCCCTTCATGTTGTGAGATGAAAGACGAGCCTGTATGCAAGCCACTGCAAGGAAATCCGGCCTCCTTTCAAGTTAGGGCTTCTCGCTGTATATTCCCCTTGAGGCAGCAAACTCGGGGTCCCTCCCACATACCTATTGCTGAGAGAAGCCTCCTCCTGAGGTGCTTCTGGGAAGTTGGCATACGTCTTGAGCCTAAGCCAGGGAATCAGCTCGCATCTCGAGACGATTTGGGGTACACGGAGCATTCCTCGAGTTGCTGTGCTGAAGTTGGTGTTCCTCTAGACTTGGGACAGTGTTCTCGGGGCATCTCTGGAGTTGCCTGAAGGAAGTCGAGCCACCGGTCGTGTTGAATGGGGAACGGGGAATGGCTCTGGAGTCAATGCAGGGGAATCGGGCCTCATCTCGAGTTGATTTGGGGCACATGGAGCTGCTTTGCGTTTCTGGGGTGACCTCAGGGTCCGTCTAGACTGGTGACAGTGTTCTTGGGGACTGTCTCGAGATCCATTAAGCAAGTCGAAGCTCCTGACTTGTTTGAATGGGATCACGGAATAGCTCTGCATGCACTGCAGGGGAATGGGGCCTCATCTCGCCTCTAGGGGGAAGTCTCATGGTTTTTCTCGAGTTGCGGCGGGGACCTGGGGTATGTTCTCGACTTACGGCGGGGATGGCCCTTCAAAACACGAGTTTCTTCAGTGACGTCAGGACTCCTGTCTAGTAACGAGGGACACCTCAGGAATCTCTTCGAGGCTTGGCAGGGCCAAAGGGACGCTTCTGGAGGTGAGGCAGGGCACCCAAGGACCCTTTCCAGTAGCCACAGGGATTTTGGGATTCCTATCAGTATTCAAGAGGAGTCAGGCATCGTCACCTTTTGAAGCAATGAACTCCGCGTGCCTCTCGAGGTGTCAGCGGGATGTGAGGCATTCCGTCAAAATGAGGCAGGGACCTAGGGCTTTCTCTAAGGTCTCCACAGGGGATTCAGACATCCCTTCATGTTGTGAGATGAAAGACGAGCCTGTATTCAAGCCACTGCAAGGAAATCCGGCCTCCTTTCAAGTTAGGGCTTCTCGCTGTATATTCCCCTTGAGGCAGCAAACTCGGGGTCCCTCCCACATACCTATTGCTGAGAGAAGCCTCCTCCTGAGGTGCTTCTGGGAAGTTGGCATACGTCTTGAGCCTAAGCCAGGGAATCAGCTCGCATCTCGAGACGATTTGGGGCACACGGAGCATTCCTCGAGTTGCTGTGCTGAAGTTGGTGTTCCTCTAGACTTGGGACAGTGTTCTCGGGGCGTCTCTGGAGTTGCCTGAAGGAAGTCGAGCCACCGGTCGTGTTGAATGGGGAACGGGGAATGGCTCTGGAGTCAATGCAGGGGAATCGGGCCTCATCTCGAGTTGATTTGGGGCACATGGAGCTGCTTTGCTTTGCTGGGGTGACCTCAGGGTCCGTCTAGACTGGTGACAGTGTTCTTGGGGTCTGTCTCGAGATCCATTAAGCAAGTCGAAGCTCCTGACTTCTTTGAATGGGATCACGGAATAGCTCTGCATGCACTGCAGGGGAATGGGGCCTCATCTCGCCTCTAGGGGGAAGTCTCATGGTTTTTCTCGAGTTGCGGCGGGGACCTGGGGTATGTTCTCGACTTACGGCGGGGATGGCCCTTCAAAACACGAGTTTCTTCAGTGACGTCAGGACTCCTGTCTAGTAACGAGGGACACCTCAGGAATCTCTTCGAGGCTTGGCAGGGCCAAAGGGACGCTTCTGGAGGTGAGGCAGGGCACCCAAGGACCCTTTCCAGTAGCCACAGGGATTTTGGGATTCCTATCAGTATTCAAGAGGAGTCAGGCATCGTCACCTTTTGAAGCAATGAACTCCGCGTGCCTCTCGAGGTGTCAGCGGGATGTGAGGCATTCCGTCAAAATGAGGCAGGGACCTAGGGCTTTCTCTAAGGTCTCCACAGGGGATTCAGACATCCCTTCATGTTGTGAGATGAAAGACGAGCCTGTATTCAAGCCACTGCAAGGAAATCCGGCCTCCTTTCAAGTTAGGGCTTCTCGCTGTATATTCCCCTTGAGGCAGCAAACTCGGGGTCCCTCCCACTTACCTATTGCTGAGAGAAGCCTCCTCCTGAGGTGCTTCTGGGAAGTTGGCATACGTCTTGAGCCTAAGCCAGGGAATCAGCTCGCATCTCGAGACGATTTGGGGTACACGGAGCATTCCTCGAGTTGCTGTGCTGAAGTAGGTGTTCCTCTAGACTTGGGACAGTGTTCTCGGGGCGTCTCTGGAGTTGCCTGAAGGAAGTCGAGCCACCGGTCGTGTTGAATGGGGAACGGGGAATGGCTCTGGAGTCAATGCAGGGGAATCGGGCCTCATCTCGAGTTGATTTGGGGCACATGGAGCTGCTTTGCGTTGCTGGGGTGACCTCAGGGTCCGTCTAGACTGGTGACAGTGTTCTTGGGGACTGTCTCGAGATCCATTAAGCAAGTTGAAGCTCCTGACTTGTTTGAATGGGATCACGGAATAGCTCTGCATGCACTGCAGGGGAATGGGGCCTCATCTCGCCTCTAGGGGGAAGTCTCATGGTTTTTCTCGAGTTGCGGCGGGGACCTGGGGTATGTTCTCGACTTACGGCGGGGATGGCCCTTCAAAACACGAGTTTCTTCAGTGACGTCAGGACTCCTGTCTAGTAACGAGGGACACCTCAGGAATCTCTTCGAGGCTTGGCAGGGCCAAAGGGACGCTTCTCGAGGTGAGGCAGGGCACCCAAGGACCCTTTCCAGTAGCCACAGGGATTTTGGGATTCCTATCAGTATTCAAGAGGAGTCAGGCATCGTCACCTTTTGAAGCAATGAACTCCGCGTGCCTCTCGAGGTGTCAGCGGGATGTGAGGCATTCCGTCAAAATGAGGCAGGGACCTAGGGCTTTCTCTAAGGTCTCCACAGGGGATTCAGACATCCCTTCATGTTGTGAGATGAAAGACGAGCCTGTATGCAAGCCACTGCAAGGAAATCCGGCCTCCTTTCAAGTTAGGGCTTCTCGCTGTATATTCCCCTTGAGGCAGCAAACTCGGGGTCCCTCCCACATACCTATTGCTGAGAGAAGCCTCCTCCTGAGGTGCTTCTGGGAAGTTGGCATACGTCTTGAGCCTAAGCCAGGGAATCAGCTCGCATCTCGAGACGATTTGGGGTACACGGAGCATTCCTCGAGTTGCTGTGCTGAAGTTGGTGTTCCTCTAGACTTGGGACAGTGTTCTCGGGGCATCTCTGGAGTTGCCTGAAGGAAGTCGAGCCACCGGTCGTGTTGAATGGGGAACGGGGAATGGCTCTGGAGTCAATGCAGGGGAATCGGGCCTCATCTCGAGTTGATTTGGGGCACATGGAGCTGCTTTGCGTTTCTGGGGTGACCTCAGGGTCCGTCTAGACTGGTGACAGTGTTCTTGGGGACTGTCTCGAGATCCATTAAGCAAGTCGAAGCTCCTGACTTGTTTGAATGGGATCACGGAATAGCTCTGCATGCACTGCAGGGGAATGGGGCCTCATCTCGCCTCTAGGGGGAAGTCTCATGGTTTTTCTCGAGTTGCGGCGGGGACCTGGGGTATGTTCTCGACTTACGGCGGGGATGGCCCTTCAAAACACGAGTTTCTTCAGTGACGTCAGGACTCCTGTCTAGTAACGAGGGACACCTCAGGAATCTCTTCGAGGCTTGGCAGGGCCAAAGGGACGCTTCTCGAGGTGAGGCAGGGCACCCAAGGACCCTTTCCAGTAGCCACAGGGATTTTGGGATTCCTATCAGTATTCAAGAGGAGTCAGGCATCGTCACCTTTTGAAGCAATGAACTCCGCGTGCCTCTCGAGGGGTCAGCGGGATGTGAGGCATTCCGTCAAAATGAGGCAGGGACCTAGGGCTTTCTCTAAGGTCTCCACAGGGGATTCAGACATCCCTTCATGTTGTGAGATGAAAGACGAGCCTGTATTCAAGCCACTGCAAGGAAATCCGGCCTCCTTTCAAGTTAGGGCTTCTCGCTGTATATTCCCCTTGAGGCAGCAAACTCGGGGTCCCTCCCACATACCTATTGCTGAGAGAAGCCTCCTCCTGAGGTGCTTCTGGGAAGTTGGCATACGTCTTGAGCCTAAGCCAGGGAATCAGCTCGCATCTCGAGACGATTTGGGGCACACGGAGCATTCCTCGAGTTGCTGTGCTGAAGTTGGTGTTCCTCTAGACTTGGGACAGTGTTCTCGGGGCGTCTCTGGAGTTGCCTGAAGGAAGTCGAGCCACCGGTCGTGTTGAATGGGGAACGGGGAATGGCTCTGGAGTCAATGCAGGGGAATCGGGCCTCATCTCGAGTTGATTTGGGGCACATGGAGCTGCTTTGCTTTGCTGGGGTGACCTCAGGGTCCGTCTAGACTGGTGACAGTGTTCTTGGGGTCTGTCTCGAGATCCATTAAGCAAGTCGAAGCTCCTGACTTCTTTGAATGGGATCACGGAATAGCTCTGCATGCACTGCAGGGGAATGGGGCCTCATCTCGCCTCTAGGGGGAAGTCTCATGGTTTTTCTCGAGTTGCGGCGGGGACCTGGGGTATGTTCTCGACTTACGGCGGGGATGGCCCTTCAAAACACGAGTTTCTTCAGTGACGTCAGGACTCCTGTCTAGTAACGAGGGACACCTCAGGAATCTCTTCGAGGCTTGGCAGGGCCAAAGGGACGCTTCTGGAGGTGAGGCAGGGCACCCAAGGACCCTTTCCAGTAGCCACAGGGATTTTGGGATTCCTATCAGTATTCAAGAGGAGTCAGGCATCGTCACCTTTTGAAGCAATGAACTCCGCGTGCCTCTCGAGGTGTCAGCGGGATGTGAGGCATTCCGTCAAAATGAGGCAGGGACCTAGGGCTTTCTCTAAGGTCTCCACAGGGGATTCAGACATCCCTTCATGTTGTGAGATGAAAGACGAGCCTGTATTCAAGCCACTGCAAGGAAATCCGGCCTCCTTTCAAGTTAGGGCTTCTCGCTGTATATTCCCCTTGAGGCAGCAAACTCGGGGTCCCTCCCACTTACCTATTGCTGAGAGAAGCCTCCTCCTGAGGTGCTTCTGGGAAGTTGGCATACGTCTTGAGCCTAAGCCAGGGAATCAGCTCGCATCTCGAGACGATTTGGGGTACACGGAGCATTCCTCGAGTTGCTGTGCTGAAGTAGGTGTTCCTCTAGACTTGGGACAGTGTTCTCGGGGCGTCTCTGGAGTTGCCTGAAGGAAGTCGAGCCACCGGTCGTGTTGAATGGGGAACGGGGAATGGCTCTGGAGTCAATGCAGGGGAATCGGGCCTCATCTCGAGTTGATTTGGGGCACATGGAGCTGCTTTGCGTTGCTGGGGTGACCTCAGGGTCCGTCTAGACTGGTGACAGTGTTCTTGGGGACTGTCTGGAGATCCATTAAGCAAGTTGAAGCTCCTGACTTGTTTGAATGGGATCACGGAATAGCTCTGCATGCACTGCAGGGGAATGGGGCCTCATCTCGCCTCTAGGGGGAAGTCTCATGGTTTTTCTCGAGTTGCGGCGGGGACCTGGGGTATGTTCTCGACTTACGGCGGGGATGGCCCTTCAAAACACGAGTTTCTTCAGTGACGTCAGGACTCCTGTCTAGTAACGAGGGACACCTCAGGAATCTCTTCGAGGCTTGGCAGGGCCAAAGGGACGCTTCTCGAGGTGAGGCAGGGCACCCAAGGACCCTTTCCAGTAGCCACAGGGATTTTGGGATTCCTATCAGTATTCAAGAGGAGTCAGGCATCGTCACCTTTTGAAGCAATGAACTCCGCGTGCCTCTCGAGGTGTCAGCGGGATGTGAGGCATTCCGTCAAAATGAGGCAGGGACCTAGGGCTTTCTCTAAGGTCTCCACAGGGGATTCAGACATCCCTTCATGTTGTGAGATGAAAGACGAGCCTGTATGCAAGCCACTGCAAGGAAATCCGGCCTCCTTTCAAGTTAGGGCTTCTCGCTGTATATTCCCCTTGAGGCAGCAAACTCGGTGTCCCTCCCACATACCTATTGCTGAGAGAAGCCTCCTCCTGAGGTGCTTCTGGGAAGTTGGCATACGTCTTGAGCCTAAGCCAGGGAATCAGCTCGCATCTCGAGACGATTTGGGGTACACGGAGCATTCCTCGAGTTGCTGTGCTGAAGTTGGTGTTCCTCTAGACTTGGGACAGTGTTCTCGGGGCATCTCTGGAGTTGCCTGAAGGAAGTCGAGCCACCGGTCGTGTTGAATGGGGAACGGGGAATGGCTCTGGAGTCAATGCAGGGGAATCGGGCCTCATCTCGAGTTGATTTGGGGCACATGGAGCTGCTTTGCGTTGCTGGGGTGACCTCAGGGTCCGTCTAGACTGGTGACAGTGTTCTTGGGGACTGTCTCGAGATCCATTAAGCAAGTCGAAGCTCCTGACTTGTTTGAATGGGATCACGGAATAGCTCTGCATGCACTGCAGGGGAATGGGGCCTCATCTCGCCTCTAGGGGGAAGTCTCATGGTTTTTCTCGAGTTGCGGCGGGGACCTGGGGTATGTTCTCGACTTACGGCGGGGATGGCCCTTCAAAACACGAGTTTCTTCAGTGACGTCAGGACTCCTGTCTAGTAACGAGGGACACCTCAGGAATCTCTTCGAGGCTTGGCAGGGCCAAAGGGACGCTTCTCGAGGTGAGGCAGGGCACCCAAGGACCCTTTCCAGTAGCCACAGGGATTTTGGGATTCCTATCAGTATTCAAGAGGAGTCAGGCATCGTCACCTTTTGAAGCAATGAACTCCGCGTGCCTCTCGAGGTGTCAGCGGGATGTGAGGCATTCCGTCAAAATGAGGCAGGGACCTAGGGCTTTCTCTAAGGTCTCCACAGGGGATTCAGACATCCCTTCATGTTGTGAGATGAAAGACGAGCCTGTATGCAAGCCACTGCAAGGAAATCCGGCCTCCTTTCAAGTTAGGGCTTCTCGCTGTATATTCCCCTTGAGGCAGCAAACTCGGGGTCCCTCCCACATACCTATTGCTGAGAGAAGCCTCCTCCTGAGGTGCTTCTGGGAAGTTGGCATACGTCTTGAGCCTAAGCCAGGGAATCAGCTCGCATCTCGAGACGATTTGGGGTACACGGAGCATTCCTCGAGTTGCTGTGCTGAAGTTGGTGTTCCTCTAGACTTGGGACAGTGTTCTCGGGGCATCTCTGGAGTTGCCTGAAGGAAGTCGAGCCACCGGTCGTGTTGAATGGGGAACGGGGAATGGCTCTGGAGTCAATGCAGGGGAATCGGGCCTCATCTCGAGTTGATTTGGGGCACATGGAGCCGCTTTGCGTTGCTGGGGTGACCTCAGGGTCCGTCTAGACTGGTGACAGTGTTCTTGGGGACTGTCTCGAGATCCATTAAGCAAGTCGAAGCTCCTGACTTGTTTGAATGGGATCACGGAATAGCTCTGCATGCACTGGAGGGGAATGGGGCCTCATCTCGCCTCTAGGGGGAAGTCTCATGGTTTTTCTCGAGTTGCGGCGGGGACCTGGGGTATGTTCTCGACTTACGGCGGGGATGGCCCTTCAAAACACGAGTTTCTTCAGTGACGTCAGGACTCCTGTCTAGTAACGAGGGACACCTCAGGAATCTCTTCGAGGCTTGGCAGGGCCAAAGGGACGCTTCTCGAGGTGAGGCAGGGCACCCAAGGACCCTTTCCAGTAGCCACAGGGATTTTGGGATTCCTATCAGTATTCAAGAGGAGTCAGGCATCGTCACCTTTTGAAGCAATGAACTCCGCGTGCCTCTCGAGGTGTCAGCGGGATGTGAGGCATTCCGTCAAAATGAGGCAGGGACCTAGGTCTTTCTCTAAGGTCTCCACAGGGGATTCAGACATCCCTTCATGTTGTGAGATGAAAGACGAGCCTGTATTCAAGCCACTGCAAGGAAATCCGGCCTCCTTTCAAGTTAGGGCTTCTCGCTGTATATTCCCCTTGAGGCAGCAAACTCGGGGTCCCTCCCACATACCTATTGCTGAGAGAAGCCTCCTCCTGAGGTGCTTCTGGGAAGTTGGCATAGGTCTTGAGCCTAAGCCAGGGAATCAGCTCGCATCTCGAGACGATTTGGGGTACACGGAGCATTCCTCGAGGTGCTGTGCTGAAGTAGGTGTTCCTCTAGTCTTGGGACAGTGTTCTCGGGGCATCTCTGGAGTTGCCTGAAGGAAGTCGAGCCACCGGTCGTGTTGAATGGGGAACGGGGAATGGCTCTGGAGTCAATGCAGGGGAATCGGGCCTCATCTCGAGTTGATTTGGGGCACATGGAGCTGCTTTGCGTTGCTGGGGTGACCTCAGGGTCCGTCTAGACTGGTGACAGTGTTCTTGGGGACTGTCTCGAGATCCATTAAGCAAGTCGAAGCTCCTGACTTGTTTGAATGGGATCACGGAATAGCTCTGCATGCACTGCAGGGGAATGGGGCCTCATCTCGCCTCTAGGGGGAAGTCTCATGGTTTTTCTCGAGTTGCGGCGGGGACCTGGGGTATGTTCTCGACTTACGGCGGGGATGGCCCTTCAAAACACGAGTTTCTTCAGTGACGTCAGGACTCCTGTCTAGTAACGAGGGACACCTCAGGAATCTCTTCGAGGCTTGGCAGGGCCAAAGGGACGCTTCTCGAGGTGAGGCAGGGCACCCAAGCGCCCTTTCCAGTAGCCACAGGGATTTTGGGATTCCTATCAGTATTCAAGAGGAGTCAGGCATCGTCACCTTTTGAAGCAATGAACTCCGCGTGCCTCTCGAGGTGTCAGCGGGATGTGAGGCATTCCGTCAAAATGAGGCAGGGACCTAGGGCTTTCTCTAAGGTCTCCACAGGGGATTCAGACATCCCTTCATGTTGTGAGATGAAAGACGAGCCTGTATTCAAGCCACTGCAAGGAAATCCGGCCTCCTTTCAAGTTAGGGCTTCTCGCTGTATATTCCCCTTGAGGCAGCAAACTCGGGGTCCCTCCCACATACCTATTGCTGAGAGAAGCCTCCTCCTGAGGTGCTTCTGGGAAGTTGGCATACGTCTTGAGCCTAAGCCAGGGAATCAGCTCGCATCTCGAGACGATTTGGGGTACACGGAGCATTCCTCGAGTTGCTGTGCTGAAGTTGGTGTTCCTCTAGACTTGGGACAGTGTTCTCGGGGCGTCTCTGGAGTTGCCTGAAGGAAGTCGAGCCACCGGTCGTGTTGAATGGGGAACGGGGAATGGCTCTGGAGTCAATGCAGGGGAATCGGGCCTCATCTCGAGTTGATTTGGGGCACATGGAGCTGCTTTGCGTTGCTGGGTTGACCTCAGGGTCCGTCTAGACTGGTGACAGTGTTCTTGGGGACTGTCTCGAGATCCATTAAGCAAGTCGTAGCTCCTGACTTGTTTGAATGGGATCACGGAATAGCTCTGCATGCACTGCAGGGGAATGGGGCCTCATCTCGCCTCTAGGGGGAAGTCTCATGGTTTTTCTCGACTTGCGGCGGGGACCTGGGGTATGTTCTCGACTTACGGCGGGGATGGCCCTTCAAAACACGAGTTTCTTCAGTGACGTCAGGACTCCTGTCTAGTAACGAGGGACACCTCAGGAATCTCTTCGAGGCTTGGCAGGGCCAAAGGGACGCTTCTCGAGGTGAGGCAGGGCACCCAAGGACCCTTTCCAGTAGCCACAGGGATTTTGGGATTCCTATCAGTATTCAAGAGGAGTCAGGCATCGTCACCTTTTGAAGCAATGAACTCCGCGTGCCTCTCGAGGTGTCAGCGGGATGTGAGGCATTCCGTCAAAATGAGGCAGGGACCTAGGGCTTTCTCTAAGGTCTCCACAGGGGATTCAGACATCCCTTCATGTTGTGAGATGAAAGACGAGCCTGTATTCAAGCCACTGCAAGGAAATCCGGCCTCCTTTCAAGTTAGGGCTTCTCGCTGTATATTCCCCTTGAGGCAGCAAACTCGGGGTCCTTCCCACATACCTATTGCTGAGAGAAGCCTCCTCCTGAGGTGCTTCTGGGAAGTTGGCATACGTCTTGAGCCTAAGCCAGGGAATCAGCTCGCATCTCGAGACGATTTGGGGTACACGGAGCATTCCTCGAGTTGCTGTGCTGAAGTTGGTGTTCCTCTAGACTTGGGACAGTGTTCTCGGGGCATCTCTGGAGTTGCCTGAAGGAAGTCGAGCCACCGGTCGTGTTGAATGGGGAACGGGGAATGGCTCTGGAGTCAATGCAGGGGAATCGGGCCTCATCTCGAGTTGATTTGGGGCACATGGAGCTGCTTTGCGTTGCTGGGGTGACCTCAGGGTCCGTCTAGACTGGTGACAGTGTTCTTGGGGACTGTCTCGAGATCCATTAAGCAAGTCGAAGCTCCTGACTTGTTTGAATGGGATCACGGAATAGCTCTGCATGCACTGCAGGGGAATGGGGCCTCATCTCGCCTCTAGGGGGAAGTCTCATGGTTTTTCTCGAGTTGCGGCGGGGACCTGGGGTATGTTCTCGACTTACGGCGGGGATGGCCCTTCAAAACACGAGTTTCTTCAGTGACGTCAGGACTCCTGTCTAGTAACGAGGGACACCTCAGGAATCTCTTCGAGGCTTGGCAGGGCCAAAGGGACGCTTCTCGAGGTGAGGCAGGGCACCCAAGGACCCTTTCCAGTAGCCACAGGGATTTTGGGATTCCTATCAGTATTCAAGAGGAGTCAGGCATCGTCACCTTTTGAAGCAATGAACTCCGCGTGCCTCTCGAGGTGTCAGCGGGATGTGAGGCATTCCGTCAAAATGAGGCAGGGACCTAGGGCTTTCTCTAAGGTCTCCACAGGGGATTCAGACATCCCTTCATGTTGTGAGATGAAAGACGAGCCTGTATTCAAGCCACTGCAAGGAAATCCGGCCTCCTTTCAAGTTAGGGCTTCTCGCTGTATATTCCCCTTGAGGCAGCAAACTCGGGGTCCCTCCCACATACCTATTGCTGAGAGAAGCCTCCTCCTGAGGTGCTTCTGGGAAGTTGGCATACGTCTTGAGCCTAAGCCAGGGAATCAGCTCGCATCTCGAGACGATTTGGGGTACACGGAGCATTCCTCGAGTTGCTGTGCTGAAGTAGGTGTTCCTCTAGACTTGGGACAGTGTTCTCGGGGCGTCTCTGGAGTTGCCTGAAGGAAGTCGAGCCACCGGTCGTGTTGAATGGGGAACGGGGAATGGCTCTGGAGTCAATGCAGGGGAATCGGGCCTCATCTCGAGTTGATTTGGGGCACATGGAGCTGCTTTGCGTTGCTGGGGTGACCTCAGGGTCCGTCTAGACTGGTGACAGTGTTCTTGGGGACTGTCTCGAGATCCATTAAGCAAGTTGAAGCTCCTGACTTGTTTGAATGGGATCACGGAATAGCTCTGCATGCACTGCAGGGGAATGGGGCCTCATCTCGCCTCTAGGGGGAAGTCTCATGGTTTTTCTCGAGTTGCGGCGGGGACCTGGGGTATGTTCTCGACTTACGGCGGGGATGGCCCTTCAAAACACGAGTTTCTTCAGTGACGTCAGGACTCCTGTCTAGTAACGAGGGACACCTCAGGAATCTCTTCGAGGCTTGGCAGGGCCAAAGGGACGCTTCTCGAGGTGAGGCAGGGCACCCAAGGACCCTTTCCAGTAGCCACAGGGATTTTGGGATTCCTATCAGTATTCAAGAGGAGTCAGGCATCGTCACCTTTTGAAGCAATGAACTCCGCGTGCCTCTCGAGGTGTCAGCGGGATGTGAGGCATTCCGTCAAAATGAGGCAGGGACCTAGGGCTTTCTCTAAGGTCTCCACAGGGGATTCAGACATCCCTTCATGTTGTGAGATGAAAGACGAGCCTGTATGCAAGCCACTGCAAGGAAATCCGGCCTCCTTTCAAGTTAGGGCTTCTCGCTGTATATTCCCCTTGAGGCAGCAAACTCGGGGTCCCTCCCACATACCTATTGCTGAGAGAAGCCTCCTCCTGAGGTGCTTCTGGGAAGTTGGCATACGTCTTGAGCCTAAGCCAGGGAATCAGCTCGCATCTCGAGACGATTTGGGGTACACGGAGCATTCCTCGAGTTGCTGTGCTGAAGTTGGTGTTCCTCTAGACTTGGGACAGTGTTCTCGGGGCGTCTCTGGAGTTGCCTGAAGGAAGTCGAGCCACCGGTCGTGTTGAATGGGGAACGGGGAATGGCTCTGGAGTCAATGCAGGGGAATCGGGCCTCATCTCGAGTTGATTTGGGGCACATGGAGCTGCTTTGCGTTGCTGGGGTGACCTCAGGGTCCGTCTAGACTGGTGACAGTGTTCTTGGGGACTGTCTCGAGATCCATTAAGCAAGTCGAAGCTCCTGACTTCTTTGAATGGGATCACGGAATAGCTCTGCATACACTGCAGGGGAATGGGGCCTCATCTCGCCTCTAGGGGGAAGTCTCATGGTTTTTCTCGAGTTGCGGCGGGGACCTGGGGTATGTTCTCGACTTACGGCGGGGATGGCCCTTCAAAACACGAGTTTCTTCAGTGACGTCAGGACTCCTGTCTAGTAACGAGGGACACCTCAGGAATCTCTTCGAGGCTTGGCAGGGCCAAAGGGACGCTTCTCGAGGTGAGGCAGGGCACCCAAGGACCCTTTCCAGTAGCCACAGGGATTTTGGGATTCCTATCAGTATTCAAGAGGAGTCAGGCATCGTCACCTTTTGAAGCAATGAACTCCGCGTGCCTCTCGAGGTGTCAGCGGGATGTGAGGCATTCCGTCAAAATGAGGCAGGGACCTAGGGCTTTCTCTAAGGTCTCCACAGGGGATTCAGACATCCCTTCATGTTGTGAGATGAAAGACGAGCCTGTATTCAAGCCACTGCAAGGAAATCCGGCCTCCTTTCAAGTTAGGGCTTCTCGCTGTATATTCCCCTTGAGGCAGCAAACTCGGGGTCCCTCCCACTTACCTATTGCTGAGAGAAGCCTCCTCCTGAGGTGCTTCTGGGAAGTTGGCATACGTCTTGAGCCTAAGCCAGGGAATCAGCTCGCATCTCGAGACGATTTGGGGTACACGGAGCATTCCTCGAGTTGCTGTGCTGAAGTAGGTGTTCCTCTAGACTTGGGACAGTGTTCTCGGGGCGTCTCTGGAGTTGCCTGAAGGAAGTCGAGCCACCGGTCGTGTTGAATGGGGAACGGGGAATGGCTCTGGAGTCAATGCAGGGGAATCGGGCCTCATCTCGAGTTGATTTGGGGCACATGGAGCTGCTTTGCGTTGCTGGGGTGACCTCAGGGTCCGTCTAGACTGGTGACAGTGTTCTTGGGGACTGTCTCGAGATCCATTAAGCAAGTTGAAGCTCCTGACTTGTTTGAATGGGATCACGGAATAGCTCTGCATGCACTGCAGGGGAATGGGGCCTCATCTCGCCTCTAGGGGGAAGTTTCATGGTTTTTCTCGAGTTGCAGCGGGGACCTGGGGTATGTTCTCGACTTACGGCGGGGATGGCCCTTCAAAACACGAGTTTCTTCAGTGACGTCAGGACTCCTGTCTAGTAACGAGGGACACCTCAGGAATCTCTTCGAGGCTTGGCAGGGCCAAAGGGACGCTTCTCGAGGTGAGGCAGGGCACCCAAGGACCCTTTCCAGTAGCCACAGGGATTTTGGGATTCCTATCAGTATTCAAGAGGAGTCAGGCATCGTCACCTTTTGAAGCAATGAACTCCGCGTGCCTCTCGAGGTGTCAGCGGGATGTGAGGCATTCCGTCAAAATGAGGCAGGGACCTAGGGCTTTCTCTAAGGTCTCCACAGGGGATTCAGACATCCCTTCATGTTGTGAGATGAAAGACGAGCCTGTATTCAAGCCACTGCAAGGAAATCCGGCCTCCTTTCAAGTTAGGGCTTCTCGCTGTATATTCCCCTTGAGGCAGCAAACTCGGGGTCCCTCCCACTTACCTATTGCTGAGAGAAGCCTCCTCCTGAGGTGCTTCTGGGAAGTTGGCATACGTCTTGAGCCTAAGCCAGGGAATCAGCTCGCATCTCGAGACGATTTGGGGTACACGGAGCATTCCTCGAGTTGCTGTGCTGAAGTAGGTGTTCCTCTAGACTTGGGACAGTGTTCTCGGGGCGTCTCTGGAGTTGCCTGAAGATAGTCGAGCCACCGGTCGTGTTGAATGGGGAACGGGGAATGGCTCTGGAGTCAATGCAGGGGAATCGGGCCTCATCTCGAGTTGATTTGGGGCACATGGAGCTGCTTTGCGTTGCTGGGGTGACCTCAGGGTCCGTCTAGACTGGTGACAGTGTTCTTGGGGACTGTCTCGAGATCCATTAAGCAAGTTGAAGCTCCTGACTTGTTTGAATGGGATCACGGAATAGCTCTGCATGCACTGCAGGGGAATGGGGCCTCATCTCGCCTCTAGGGGGAAGTCTCATGGTTTTTCTCGAGTTGCGGCGGGGACCTGGGGGATGTTCTCGACTTACGGCGGGGATGGCCCTTCAAAACACGAGCTTCTTCAGTGACGTCAGGACTCCTGTCTAGTAACGAGGGACACCTCAGGAATCTCTTCGAGGCTTGGCAGGGCCAAAGGGACGCTTCTCGAGGTGAGGCAGGGCACCCAAGGACCCTTTCCAGTAGCCACAGGGATTTTGGGATTCCTATCAGTATTCAAGAGGAGTCAGGCATCGTCACCTTTTGAAGCAATGAACTCCGCGTGCCTCTCGAGGTTTCAGCGGGATGTGAGGCATTCCGTCAAAATGAGGCAGGGACCTAGGGCTTTCTCTAAGGTCTCCACAGGGGATTCAGACATCCCTTCATGTTGTGAGATGAAAGACGAGCCTGTATGCAAGCCACTGCAAGGAAATCCGGCCTCCTTTCAAGTTAGGGCTTCTCGCTGTATATTCCCCTTAAGGCAGCAAACTCGGGGTCCCTCCCACATACCTATTGCTGAGAGAAGCCTCCTCCTGAGGTGCTTCTGGGAAGTTGGCATACGTCTTGAGCCTAAGCCAGGGAATCAGCTCGCATCTCGAGACGATTTGGGGTACACGGAGCATTCCTCGAGTTGCTGTGCTGAAGTTGGTGTTCCTCTAGACTTGGGACAGTGTTCTCGGGGCATCTCTGGAGTTGCCTGAAGGAAGTCGAGCCACCGGTCGTGTTGAATGGGGAACGGGGAATGGCTCTGGAGTCAATGCAGGGGAATCGGGCCTCATCTCGAGTTGATTTGGGGCACATGGAGCTGCTTTGCGTTGCTGGGGTGACCTCAGGGTCCGTCTAGACTGGTGACAGTGTTCTTGGGGACTGTCTCGAGATCCATTAAGCAAGTCGAAGCTCCTGACTTGTTTGAATGGGATCACGGAATAGCTCTGCATGCACTGCAGGGGAATGGGGCCTCATCTCGCCTCTAGGGGGAAGTCTCATGGTTTTTCTCGAGTTGCGGCGGGGACCTGGGGTATGTTCTCGACTTACGGCGGGGATGGCCCTTCAAAACACGAGTTTCTTCAGTGACGTCAGGACTCCTGTCTAGTAACGAGGGACACCTCAGGAATCTCTTCGAGGCTTGGCAGGGCCAAAGGGACGCTTCTCGAGGTGAGGCAGGGCACTCAAGGACCCTTTCCAGTAGCCACAGGGATTTTGGGATTCCTATCAGTATTCAAGAGGAGTCAGGCATCGTCACCTTTTGAAGCAATGAACTCCGCGTGCCTCTCGAGGTGTCAGCGGGATGTGAGGCATTCCATCAAAATGAGGCAGGGACCTAGGGCTTTCTCTAAGGTCTCCACAGGGGATTCAGACATCCCTTCATGTTGTGAGATGAAAGACGAGCCTGTATGCAAGCCACTGCAAGGAAATCCGGCCTCCTTTCAAGTTAGGGCTTCTCGCTGTATATTCCCCTTGAGGCAGCAAACTCGGGGTCCCTCCCACATACCTATTGCTGAGAGAAGCCTCCTCCTGAGGTGCTTCTGGGAAGTTGGCATACGTCTTGAGCCTAAGCCAGGGAATCAGCTCGCATCTCGAGACGATTTGGGGTACACGGAGCATTCCTCGAGTTGCTGTGCTGAAGTTGGTGTTCCTCTAGACTTGGGACAGTGTTCTCGGGGCATCTCTGGAGTTGCCTGAAGGAAGTCGAGCCACCGGTCGTGTTGAATGGGGAACGGGGAATGGCTCTGGAGTCAATGCAGGGGAATCGGGCCTCATCTCGAGTTGATTTGGGGCACATGGAGCTGCTTTGCGTTGCTGAGTTGACCTCAGGGTCCGTCTAGACTGGTGACAGTGTTCTTGGGGACTGTCTCGAGATCCATTAAGCAAGTCGAAGCTCCTGACTTGTTTGAATGGGATCACGGAATAGCTCTGCATGCACTGCAGGGGAATGGGGCCTCATCTCGCCTCTAGGGGGAAGTCTCATGGTTTTTCTCGAGTTGCGGCGGGGACCTGGGGTATGTTCTCGACTTACGGCGGGGATGGCCCTTCAAAACACGAGTTTCTTCAGTGACGTCAGGACTCCTGTCTAGTAACGAGGGACACCTCAGGAATCTCTTCGAGGCTTGGCAGGGCCAAAGGGACGCTTCTCGAGGTGAGGCAGGGCACCCAAGGACCCTTTCCAGTAGCCACAGGGATTTTGGGATTCCTATCAGTATTCAAGAGGAGTCAGGCATCGTCACCTTTTGAAGCAATGAACTCCGCGTGCCTCTCGAGGTGTCAGCGGGATGTGAGGCATTCCGTCAAAATGAGGCAGGGACCTAGGGCTTTCTCTAAGGTCTCCACAGGGGATTCAGACATCCCTTCATGTTGTGAGATGAAAGACGAGCCTGTATGCAAGCCACTGCAAGGAAATCCGGCCTCCTTTCAAGTTAGGGCTTCTCGCTGTATATTCCCCTTGAGGCAGCAAACTCGGGGTCCCTCCCACATACCTATTGCTGAGAGAAGCCTCCTCCTGAGGTGCTTCTGGGAAGTTGGCATACGTCTTGAGCCTAAGCCAGGGAATCAGCTCGCATCTCGAGACGATTTGGGGTACACGGAGCATTCCTCGAGTTGCTGTGCTGAAGTTGGTGTTCCTCTAGACTTGGGACAGTGTTCTCGGGGCATCTCTGGAGTTGCCTGAAGGAAGTCGAGCCACCGGTCGTGTTGAATGGGGAACGGGGAATGGCTCTGGAGTCAATGCAGGGGAATCGGGCCTCATCTCGAGTTGATTTGGGGCACATGGAGCAGCTTTGCGTTGCTGGGGTGACCTCAGGGTCCGTCTAGACTGGTGACAGTGTTCTTGGGGACTGTCTCGAGATCCATTAAGCAAGTCGAAGCTCCTGACTTGTTTGAATGGGATCACGGAATAGCTCTGCATGCACTGCAGGGGAATGGGGCCTCATCTCGCCTCTAGGGGGAAGTCTCATGGTTTTTCTCGAGTTGCGGCGGGGACCTGGGGTATGTTCTCGACTTACGGCGGGGATGGCCCTTCAAAACACGAGTTTCTTCAGTGACGTCAGGACTCCTGTCTAGTAACGAGGGACACCTCAGGAATCTCTTCGAGGCTTGGCAGGGCCAAAGGGACGCTTCTCGAGGTGAGGCAGGGCACCCAAGGACCCTTTCCAGTAGCCACAGGGATTTTGGGATTCCTATCAGTATTCAAGAGGAGTCAGGCATCGTCACCTTTTGAAGCAATGAACTCCGCGTGCCTCTCGAGGTGTCAGCGGGATGTGAGGCATTCCGTCAAAATGAGGCAGGGACCTAGGGCTTTCTCTAAGGTCTCCACAGGGGATTCAGACATCCCTTCATGTTGTGAGATGAAAGACGAGCCTGTATGCAAGCCACTGCAAGGAAATCCGGCCTCCTTTCAAGTTAGGGCTTCTCGCTGTATATTCCCCTTGAGGCAGCAAACTCGGGGTCCCTCCCACATACCTATTGCTGAGAGAAGCCTCCTCCTGAGGTGCTTCTGGGAAGTTGGCATACGTCTTGAGCCTAAGCCAGGGAATCAGCTCGCATCTCGAGACGATTTGGGGTACACGGAGCATTCCTCGAGTTGCTGTGCTGAAGTTGGTGTTCCTCTAGACTTGGGACAGTGTTCTCGGGGCATCTCTGGAGTTGCCTGAAGGAAGTCGAGCCACCGGTCGTGTTGAATGGGGAACGGGGAATGGCTCTGGAGTCAATGCAGGGGAATCGGGCCTCATCTCGAGTTGATTTGGGGCACATGGAGCAGCTTTGCGTTGCTGGGGTGACCTCAGGGTCCGTCTAGACTGGTGACAGTGTTCTTGGGGACTGTCTCGAGATCCATTAAGCAAGTCGAAGCTCCTGACTTGTTTGAATGGGATCACGGAATAGCTCTGCATGCACTGCAGGGGAATGGGGCCTCATCTCGCCTCTAGGGGGAAGTCTCATGGTTTTTCTCGAGTTGCGGAGGGGACCTGGAGTATGTTCTCGACTTACGGCGGGGATGGCCCTTCAAAACACGAGTTTCTTCAGTGACGTCAGGACTCCTGTCTAGTAACGAGGGACACCTCAGGAATCTCTTCAAGGCTTGGCAGGGCCAAAGGGACGCTTCTCGAGGTGAGGCAGGGCACCCAAGGACCCTTTCCAGTAGCCACAGGGATTTTGGGATTCCTATCAGTATTCAAGAGGAGTCAGGCATCGTCACCTTTTGAAGCAATGAACTCCGCGTGCCTCTCGAGGTGTCAGCGGGATGTGAGGCATTCCGTCAAAATGAGGCAGGGACCTAGGGCTTTCTCTAAGGTCTCCACAGGGGATTCAGACATCCCTTCATGTTGTGAGATGAAAGACGAGCCTGTATTCAAGCCACTGCAAGGAAATCCGGCCTCCTTTCAAGTTAGGGCTTCTCGCTGTATATTCCCCTTGAGGCAGCAAACTCGGGGTCCCTCCCACATACCTATTGCTGAGAGAAGCCTCCTCCTGAGGTGCTTCTGGGAAGTTGGCATACGTCTTGAGCCTAAGCCAGGGAATCAGCTCGCATCTCGAGACGATTTGGGGTACACGGAGCATTCCTCGAGTTGCTGTGCTGAAGTAGGTGTTCCTCTAGTCTTGGGACAGTGTTCTCGGGGCATCTCTGGAGTTGCCTGAAGGAAGTCGAGCCACCGGTCGTGTTGAATGGGGAACGGGGAATGGCTCTGGAGTCAATGCAGGGGAATCGGGCCTCATCTCGAGTTGATTTGGGGCACATGGAGCTGCTTTGCGTTGCTGGGGTGACCTCAGGGTCCGTCTAGACTGGTGACAGTGTTCTTGGGGACTGTCTCGAGATCCATTAAGCAAGTCGAAGCTCCTGACTTGTTTGAATGGGATCACGGAATAGCTCTGCATGCACTGCAGGGGAATGGGGCCTCATCTCGCCTCTAGGGGGAAGTCTCATGGTTTTTCTCGAGTTGCGGCGGGGACCTGGGGTATGTTCTCGACTTACGGCGGGGATGGCCCTTCAAAACACGAGTTTCTTCAGTGACGTCAGGACTCCTGTCTAGTAACGAGGGACACCTCAGGAATCTCTTCGAGGCTTGGCAGGGCCAAAGGGACGCTTCTCGAGGTGAGGCAGGGCACCCAAGGACCCTTTCCAGTAGCCACAGGGATTTTGGGATTCCTATCAGTATTCAAGAGGAGTCAGGCATCGTCACCTTTTGAAGCAATGAACTCCGCGTGCCTCTCGAGGTGTCAGCGGGATGTGAGGCATTCCGTCAAAATGAGGCAGGGACCTAGGGCTTTCTCTAAGGTCTCCACAGGGGATTCAGACATCCCTTCATGTTGTGAGATGAAAGACGAGCCTGTATTCAAGCCACTGCAAGGAAATCCGGCCTCCTTTCAAGTGAGGGCTTCTCGCTGTATATTCCCCTTGAGGCAGCAAACTCGGGGTCCCTCCCACATACCTATTGCTGAGAGAAGCCTCCTCCTGAGGTGCTTCTGGGAAGTTGGCATACGTCTTGAGCCTAAGCCAGGGAATCAGCTCGCATCTCGAGACGATTTGGGGTACACGGAGCATTCCTCGAGTTGCTGTGCTGAAGTTGGTGTTCCTATAGACTTGGGACAGTGTTCTCGGGGCATCTCTGGAGTTGCCTGAAGGAAGTCGAGCCACCGGTCGTGTTAAATGGGGAACGGGGAATGGCTCTGGAGTCAATGCAGGGGAATCGGGCCTCATCTCGAGTTGATTTGGGGCACATGGAGCTGCTTTGCGTTGCTGGGGTGACCTCAGGGTCCGTCTAGACTGGTGACAGTGTTCTTGGGGACTGTCTCGAGATCCATTAAGCAAGTCGAAGCTCCTGACTTGTTTGAATGGGATCACGGAATAGCTCTGCATGCACTGCAGGGGAATGGGGCCTCATCTCGCCTCTAGGGGGAAGTCTCATGGTTTTTCTCGAGTTGCGGCGGGGACCTGGGGTATGTTCTCGACTTACGGCGGGGATGGCCCTTCAAAACACGAGTTTCTTCAGTGACGTCAGGACTCCTGTCTAGTAACGAGGGACACCTCAGGAATCTCTTCGAGGCTTGGCAGGGCCAAAGGGACGCTTCTCGAGGTGAGGCAGGGCACCCAAGGACCCTTTCCAGTAGCCACAGGGATTTTGGGATTCCTATCAGTATTCAAGAGGAGTCAGGCATCGTCACCTTTTGAAGCAATGAACTCCGCGTGCCTCTCGAGGTGTCAGCGGGATGTGAGGCATTCCGTCAAAATGAGGCAGGGACCTAGGGCTTTCTCTAAGGTCTCCACAGGGGATTCAGACATCCCTTCATGTTGTGAGATGAAAGACGAGCCTGTATTCAAGCCACTGCAAGGAAATCCGGCCTCCTTTCAAGTGAGGGCTTCTCGCTGTATATTCCCCTTGAGGCAGCAAACTCGGGGTCCCTCCCACATACCTATTGCTGAGAGAAGCCTCCTCCTGAGGTGCTTCTGGGAAGTTGGCATACGTCTTGAGCCTAAGCCAGGGAATCAGCTCGCATCTCGAGACGATTTGGGGTACACGGAGCATTCCTCGAGTTGCTGTGCTGAAGTTGGTGTTCCTCTAGACTTGGGACAGTGTTCTCGGGGCATCTCTGGAGTTGCCTGAAGGACGTCGAGCCACCGGTCGTGTTGAATGGGGAACGGGGAATGGCTCTGGAGTCAATGCAGGGGAATCGGGCCTCATCTCGAGTTGATTTGGGGCACATGGAGCTGCTTTGCGTTGCTGGGGTGACCTCAGGGTCCGTCTAGACTGGTGACAGTGTTCTTGGGGACTGTCTCGAGATCCATTAAGCAAGTCGAAGCTCCTGACTTGTTTGAATGGGATCACGGAATAGCTCTGCATGCACTGCAGGGGAATGGGGCCTCATCTCGCCTCTAGGGGGAAGTCTCATGGTTTTTCTCGAGTTGCGGCGGGGACCTGGGGTATGTTCTCGACTTACGGCGGGGATGGCCCTTCAAAACACGAGTTTCTTCAGTGACGTCAGGACTCCTGTCTAGTAACGAGGGACACCTCAGGAATCTCTTCGAGGCTTGGCAGGGCCAAAGGGACGCTTCCCGAGGTGAGGCAGGGCACCCAAGGACCCTTTCCAGTAGCCACAGGGATTTTGGGATTCCTATCAGTATTCAAGAGGAGTCAGGCATCGTCACCTTTTGAAGCAATGAACTCCGCGTGCCTCTCGAGGTGTCAGCGGGATGTGAGGCATTCCGTCAAAATGAGGCAGGGACCTAGGGCTTTCTCTAAGGTCTCCACAGGGGATTCAGACATCCCTTCATGTTGTGAGATGAAAGACGAGCCTGTATTCAAGCCACTGCAAGGAAATCCGGCCTCCTTTCAAGTGAGGGCTTCTCGCTGTATATTCCCCTTGAGGCAGCAAACTCGGGGTCCCTCCCACATACCTATTGCTGAGAGAAGCCTCCTCCTGAGGTGCTTCTGGGAAGTTGGCATACGTCTTGAGCCTAAGCCAGGGAATCAGCTCGCATCTCGAGACGATTTGGGGTACACGGAGCATTCCTCGAGTTGCTGTGCTGAAGTTGGTGTTCCTCTAGACTTGGGACAGTGTTCTCGGGGCATCTCTGGAGTTGCCTGAAGGAAGTCGAGCCACCGGTCGTGTTGAATGGGGAACGGGGAATGGCTCTGGAGTCAATGCAGGGGAATCGGGCCTCATCTCGAGTTGATTTGGGGCACATGGAGCTGCTTTGCGTTGCTGGGGTGACCTCAGGGTCCGTCTAGACTGGTGACAGTGTTCTTGGGGACTGTCTCGAGATCCATTAAGCAAGTCGAAGCTCCTGACTTGTTTGAATGGGATCACGGAATAGCTCTGCATGCACTGCAGGGGAATGGGGCCTCATCTCGCCTCTAGGGGGAAGTCTCATGGTTTTTCACGAGTTGCGGCGGGGACCTGGGGGATGTTCTCGACTTACGGCGGGGATGGCCCTTCAAAACACGAGTTTCTTCAGTGATGTCAGGACTCCTGTCTAGTAACGAGGGACACCTCAGGAATCTCTTCGAGGCTTGGCAGGGCCAAAGGGACGCTTCTCGAGGTGAGGCAGGGCACCCAAGGACCCTTTCCAGTAGCCACAGGGATTTTGGGATTCCTATCAGTATTCAAGAGGAGTCAGGCATCGTCACCTTTTGAAGCAATGAACTCCGCGTGCCTCTCGAGGTGTCAGCGGGATGTGAGGCATTCCGTCAAAATGAGGCAGGGACCTAGGGCTTTCTCTAAGGTCTCCACAGGGGATTCAGACATCCCTTCATGTTGTGAGATGAAAGACGAGCCTGTATTCAAGCCACTGCAAGGAAATCCGGCCTCCTTTCAAGTTAGGGCTTCTCGCTGTATATTCCCCTTGAGGCAGCAAACTCGGGGTCCCTCCCACATACCTATTGCTGAGAGAAGCCTCCTCCTGAGGTGCTTCTGGGAAGTTGGCATACGTCTTGAGCCTAAGCCAGGGAATCAGCTCGCATCTCGAGACGATTTGGGGTACACGGAGCATTCCTCTAGTTGCTGTGCTGAAGTAGGTGTTCCTCTAGACTTGGGACAGTGTTCTCGGGGCATCTCTGGAGTTGCCTGAAGGAAGTCGAGCCACCGGTCGTGTTGAATGGGGAACGGGGAATGGCTCTGGAGTCAATGCAGGGGAATCGGGCCTCATCTCGAGTTGATTTGGGGCACATGGAGCTGCTTTGCGTTGCTGGGGTGACCTCAGGGTCCGTCTAGACTGGTGACAGTGTTCTTGGGGACTGTCTCGAGATCCATTAAGCAAGTCGAAGCTCCTGACTTGTTTGAATGGGATCACGGAATAGCTCTGCATGCACTGCAGGGGAATGGGGCCTCATCTCGCCTCTAGGGGGAAGTCTCATGGTTTTTCTCGAGTTGCGGCGGGGACCTGGGGTATGTTCTCGACTTACGGCGGGGATGGCCCTTCAAAACACGAGTTTCTTAAGTGACGTCAGGACTCCTGTCTAGTAACGAGGGACACCTCAGGAATCTCTTCGAGGCTTGGCAGGGCCAAAGGGACGCTTCTCGAGGTGAGGCAGGGCACCCAAGGACCCTTTCCAGTAGCCACAGGGATTTTGGGATTCCTATCAGTATTCAAGAGGAGTCAGGCATCGTCACCTTTTGAAGCAATGAACTCCGCGTGCCTCTCGAGGTGTCAGCGGGATGTGAGGCATTCCGTCAAAATGAGGCAGGGACCTAGGGCTTTCTCTAAGGTCTCCACAGGGGATTCAGACATCCCTTCATGTTGTGAGATGAAAGACGAGCCTGTATGCAAGCCACTGCAAGGAAATCCGGCCTCCTTTCAAGTTAGGGCTTCTCGCTGTATATTCCCCTTGAGGCAGCAAACTCGGGGTCCCTCCCACATACCTATTGCTGAGAGAAGCCTCCTCCTGAGGTGCTTCTGGGAAGTTGGCATACGTCTTGAGCCTAAGCCAGGGAATCAGCTCGCATCTCGAGACGATTTGGGGTACACGGAGCATTCCTCGAGTTGCTGTGCTGAAGTTGGTGTTCCTCTAGACTTGGGACAGTGTTCTCGGGGCATCTCTGGAGTTGCCTGAAGGAAGTCGAGCCACCGGTCGTGTTGAATGGGGAACGGGGAATGGCTCTGGAGTCAATGCAGGGGAATCGGGCCTCATCTCGAGTTGATTTGGGGCACATGGAGCTGCTTTGCGTTGCTGGGGTGACCTCAGGGTCCGTCTAGACTGGTGACAGTGTTCTTGGGGACTGTCTCGAGATCCATTAAGCAAGTCGAAGCTCCTGACTTGTTTGAATGGGATCACGGAATAGCTCTGCATGCACTGCAGGGGAATGGGGCCTCATCTCGCCTCTAGGGGGAAGTCTCATGGTTTTTCTCGAGTTGCGGAGGGAACCTGGGGTATGTTCTCGACTTACGGCGGGGATGGCCCTTCAAAACACGAGTTTCTTCAGTGACGTCAGGACTCCTGTCTAGTAACGAGGGACACCTCAGGAATCTCTTCGAGGCTTGGCAGGGCCAAAGGGACGCTTCTCGAGGTGAGGCAGGGCACCCAAGCGCCCTTTCCAGTAGCCACAGGGATTTTGGGATTCCTATCAGTATTCAAGAGGAGTCAGGCATCGTCACCTTTTGAAGCAATGAACTCCGCGTGCCTCTCGAGGTGTCAGCGGGATGTGAGGCATTCCGTCAAAATGAGGCAGGGACCTAGGGCTTTCTCTAAGGTCTCCACAGGGGATTCAGACATCCCTTCATGTTGTGAGATGAAAGACGAGCCTGTATTCAAGCCACTGCAAGGAAATCCGGCCTCCTTTCAAGTTAGGGCTTCTCGCTGTATATTCCCCTTGAGGCAGCAAACTCGGGGTCCCTCCCACATACCTATTGCTGAGAGAAGCCTCCTCCTGAGGTGCTTCTGGGAAGTTGGCATACGTCTTGAGCCTAAGCCAGGGAATCAGCTCGCATCTCGAGACGATTTGGGGTACACGGAGCATTCCTCGAGTTGCTGTGCTGAAGTTGGTGTTCCTCTAGACTTGGGACAGTGTTCTCGGGGCATCTCTGGAGTTGCCTGAAGGAAGTCGAGCCACCGGTCGTGTTGAATGGGGAACGGGGAATGGCTCTGGAGTCAATGCAGGGGAATCGGGCCTCATCTCGAGTTGATTTGGGGCACATGGAGCTGCTTTGCGTTGCTGGGGTGACCTCAGGGTCCGTCTAGACTGGTGACAGTGTTCTTGGGGACTGTCTCGAGATCCATTAAGCAAGTCGAAGCTCCTGACTTGTTTGAATGGGATCACGGAATAGCTCTGCATGCACTGCAGGGGAATGGGGCCTCATCTCGCCTCTAGGGGGAAGTCTCATGGTTTTTCTCGAGTTGCGGCGGGGACCTGGGAGATGTTCTCGACTTACGGCGGGGATGGCCCTTCAAAACACGAGTTTCTTCAGTGACGTCAGGACTCCTGTCTAGTAACGAAGGACACCTCAGGAATCTCTTCGAGGCTTGGCAGGGCCAAAGGGACGCTTCTCGAGGTGAGGCAGGGCACCCAAGGACCCTTTCCAGTAGCCACAGGGATTTTGGGATTCCTATCAGTATTCAAGAGGAGTCAGGCATCGTCACCTTTTGAAGCAATGAACTCCGCGTGCCTCTCGAGGTGTCAGCGGGATGTGAGGCATTCCGTCAAAATGAGGCAGGGACCTAGGGCTTTCTCTAAGGTCTCCACAGGGGATTCAGACATCCCTTCATGTTGTGAGATGAAAGACGAGCCTGTATTCAAGCCACTGCAAGGAAATCCGGCCTCCTTTCAAGTTAGGGCTTCTCGCTGTATATTCCCCTTGAGGCAGCAAACTCGGGGTCCCTCCCACATACCTATTGCTGAGAGAAGCCTCCTCCTGAGGTGCTTCTGGGAAGTTGGCATACGTCTTGAGCCTAAGCCAGGGAATCAGCTCGCATCTCGAGACGATTTGGGGTACACGGAGCATTCCTCGAGTTGCTGTGCTGAAGTTGGTGTTCCTCTAGACTTGGGACAGTGTTCTCGGGGCAACTCTGGAGTTGCCTTAAGGAAGTCGAGCCACCGGTCGTGTTGAATGGGGAACGGGGAATGGCTCTGGAGTCAATGCAGGGGAATCGGGCCTCATCTCGAGTTGATTTGGGGCACATGGAGCTGCTTTGCGTTGCTGGGGTGACCTCAGGGTCCGTCTAGACTGGTGACAGTGTTCTTGGGGACTGTCTCGAGATCCATTAAGCAAGTCGAAGCTCCTGACTTGTTTGAATGGGATCACGGAATAGCTCTGCATGCACTGCAGGGGAATGGGGCCTCATCTCGCCTCTAGGGGGAAGTCTCATGGTTTTTCTCGAGTTGCGGCGGGGACCTGGGGTATGTTCTCGACTTACGGCGGGGATGGCCCTTCAAAACACGAGTTTCTTCAGTGACGTCAGGACTCCTGTCTAGTAACGAGGGACACCTCAGGAATCTCTTCGAGGCTTGGCAGGGCCAAAGGGACGCTTCTCGAGGTGAGGCAGGGCACCCAAGGACCCTTTCCAGTAGCCACAGGGATTTTGGGATTCCTATCAGTATTCAAGAGGAGTCAGGCATCGTCACCTTTTGAACCAATGAACTCCGCGTGCCTCTCGAGGTGTCAGCGGGATGTGAGGCATTCCGTCAAAATGAGGCAGGGACCTAGGGCTTTCTCTAAGGTCTCCACAGGGGATTCAGACATCCCTTCATGTTGTGAGATGAAAGACGAGCCTGTATGCAAGCCACTGCAAGGAAATCCGGCCTCCTTTCAAGTTAGGGCTTCTCGCTGTATATTCCCCTTGAGGCAGCAAACTCGGGGTCCCTCCCACATACCTATTGCTGAGAGAAGCCTCCTCCTGAGGTGCTTCTGGGAAGTTGGCATAAGTCTTGAGCCTAAGCCAGGGAATCAGCTCGCATCTCGAGATGATTTGGGGTACACGGAGCATTCCTCGAGTTGCTGTGCTGAAGTTGGTGTTCCTCTAGACTTGGGACAGTGTTCTCGGGGCATCTCTGGAGTTGCCTGAAGGAAGTCGAGCCACCGGTCATGTTGAATGGGGAACGGGGAATGGCTCTGGAGTCAATGCAGGGGAATCGGGCCTCATCTCGAGTTGATTTGGGGCACATGGAGCTGCTTTGCGTTGCTGGGTTGACCTCAGGGTCCGTCTAGACTGGTGACAGTGTTCTTGGGGACTGTCTCGAGATCCATTAAGCAAGTCGAAGCTCCTGACTTGTTTGAATGGGATCACGGAATAGCTCTGCATGCACTGCAGGGGAATGGGGCCTCATCTCGCCTCTAGGGGGAAGTCTCATGGTTTTTCTCGAGTTGCGGCGGGGACCTGGGGTATGTTCTCGACTTACGGCGGGGATGGCCCTTCAAAACACGAGTTTCTTCAGTGACGTCAGGACTCCTGTCTAGTAACGAGGGACACCTCAGGAATCTCTTCGAGGCTTGGCAGGGCCAAAGGGACGCTTCTCGAGGTGAGGCAGGGCACCCAAGGACCCTTTCCAGTAGCCACAGGGATTTTGGGATTCCTATCAGTATTCAAGAGGAGTCAGGCATCGTCACCTTTTGAAGCAATGAACTCCGCGTGCCTCTCGAGGTGTCAGCGGGATGTGAGGCATTCCGTCAAAATGAGGCAGGGACCTAGGGCTTTCTCTAAGGTCTCCACAGGGGATTCAGACATCCCTTCATGTTGTGAGATGAAAGACGAGCCTGTATTCAAGCCACTGCAAGGAAATCCGGCCTCCTTTCAAGTTAGGGCTTCTCGCTGTATATTCCCCTTGAGGCAGCAAACTCGGGGTCCCTCCCACATACCTATTGCTGAGAGAAGCCTCCTCCTGAGGTGCTTCTGGGAAGTTGGCATACGTCTTGAGCCTAAGCCAGGGAATCAGCTCGCATCTCGAGACGATTTGGGGTACACGGAGCATTCCTCGAGTTGCTGTGCTGAAGTAGGTGTTCCTCTAGACTTGGGACAGTGTTCTCGGGGCGTCTCTGGAGTTGCCTGAAGGAAGTCGAGCCACCGGTCGTGTTGAATGGGGAACGGGGAATGGCTCTGGAGTCAATGCAGGGGAATCGGGCCTCATCTCGAGTTGATTTGGGGCACATGGAGCTGCTTTGCGTTGCTGGGGTGACCTCAGGGTCCGTCTAGACTGGTGACAGTGTTCTTGGGGACTGTCTCGAGATCCATTAAGCAAGTCGAAGCTCCTGACTTGTTTGAATGGGATCACGGAATAGCTCTGCATGCACTGCAGGGGAATGGGGCCTCATCTCGCCTCTAGGGGGAAGTCTCATGGTTTTTCTCGAGTTGCGGCGGGGACCTGGGGTATGTTCTCGACTTACGGCGGGGATGGCCCTTCAAAACACGAGTTTCTTCAGTGACGTCAGGACTCCTGTCTAGTAACGAGGGACACCTCAGGAATCTCTTCGAGGCTTGGCAGGGCCAAAGGGACGCTTCTCGAGGTGAGGCAGGGCACCCAAGGACCCTTTCCAGTAGCCACAGGGATTTTGGGATTCCTATCAGTATTCAAGAGGAGTCAGGCATCGTCACCTTTTGAAGCAATGAACTCCGCGTGCCTCTCGAGGTGTCAGCGGGATGTGAGGCATTCCGTCAAAATGAGGCAGGGACCTAGGGCTTTCTCTAAGGTCTCCACAGGGGATTCAGACATCCCTTCATGTTGTGAGATGAAAGACGAGCCTGTATGCAAGCCACTGCAAGGAAATCCGGCCTCCTTTCAAGTTAGGGCTTCTCGCTGTATATTCCCCTTGAGGCAGCAAACTCGGGGTCCCTCCCACATACCTATTGCTGAGAGAAGCCTCCTCCTGAGGTGCTTCTGGGAAGTTGGCATACGTCTTGAGCCTAAGCCAGGGAATCAGCTCGCATCTCGAGACGATTTGGGGTACACGGAGCATTCCTCGAGTTGCTGTGCTGAAGTTGGTGTTCCTCTAGACTTGGGACAGTGTTCTCGGGGCATCTCTGGAGTTGCCTGAAGGAAGTCGAGCCACCGGTCGTGTTGAATGGGGAACGGGGAATGGCTCTGGAGTCAATGCAGGGGAATCGGGCCTCATCTCGAGTTGATTTGGGGCACATGGAGCTGCTTTGCGTTGCTGGGGTGACCTCAGGGTCCGTCTAGACTGGTGACAGTGTTCTTGGGGACTGTCTCGAGATCCATTAAGCAAGTCGAAGCTCCTGACTTGTTTGAATGGGATCACGGAATAGCTCTGCATGCACTGCAGGGGAATGGGGCCTCATCTCGCCTCTAGGGGGAAGTCTCATGGTTTTTCTCGAGTTGCAGCGGGGACCTGGGGTATGTTCTCGACTTACGGCGGGGATGGCCCTTCAAAACACGAGTTTCTTCAGTGACGTCAGGACTCCTGTCTAGTAACGAGGGACACCTCAGGAATCTCTTCGAGGCTTGGCAGGGCCAAAGGGACGCTTCTCGAGGTGAGGCAGGGCACCCAAGCGCCCTTTCCAGTAGCCACAGGGATTTTGGGATTCCTATCAGTATTCAAGAGGAGTCAGGCATCGTCACCTTTTGAACCAATGAACTCCGCGTGCCTCTCGAGGTGTCAGCGGGATGTGAGGCATTCCGTCAAAATGAGGCAGGGACCTAGGGCTTTCTCTAAGGTCTCCACAGGGGATTCAGACATCCCTTCATGTTGTGAGATGAAAGACGAGCCTGTATTCAAGCCACTGCAAGGAAATCCGGCCTCCTTTCAAGTGAGGGCTTCTCGCTGTATATTCCCCTTGAGGCAGCAAACTCGGGGTCCCTCCCACATACCTATTGCTGAGAGAAGCCTCCTCCTGAGGTGCTTCTGGGAAGTTGGCATACGTCTTGAGCCTAAGCCAGGGAATCAGCTCGCATCTCGAGACGATTTGGGGTACACGGAGCATTCCTCGAGTTGCTGTGCTGAAGTTGGTGTTCCTCTAGACTTGGGACAGTGTTCTCGGGGCATCTCTGGAGTTGCCTGAAGGAAGTCGAGCCACCGGTCGTGTTGAATGGGGAACGGGGAATGGCTCTGGAGTCAATGCAGGGGAATCGGGCCTCATCTCGAGTTGATTTGGGGCACATGGAGCTGCTTTGCGTTGCTGGGGTGACCTCAGGGTCCGTCTAGACTGGTGACAGTGTTCTTGGGGACTGTCTCGAGATCCATTAAGCAAGTCGAAGCTCCTGACTTGTTTGAATGGGATCACGGAATAGCTCTGCATGCACTGCAGGGGAATGGGGCCTCATCTCGCCTCTAGGGGGAAGTCTCATGGTTTTTCTCGAGTTGCGGCGGGGACCTGGGGGATGTTCTCGACTTACGGCGGGGATGGCCCTTCAAAACACGAGTTTCTTCAGTGACGTCAGGACTCCTGTCTAGTAACGAGGGACACCTCAGGAATCTCTTCGAGGCTTGGCAGGGCCAAAGGGACGCTTCTCGAGGTGAGGCAGGGCACCCAAGGACCCTTTCCAGTAGCCACAGGGATTTTGGGATTCCTATCAGTATTCAAGAGGAGTCAGGCATCGTCACCTTTTGAAGCAATGAACTCCGCGTGCCTCTCGAGGTGTCAGCGGGATGTGAGGCATTCCGTCAAAATGAGGCAGGGACCTAGGGCTTTCTCTAATGTCTCCACAGGGGATTCAGACATCCCTTCATGTTGTGAGATGAAAGACGAGCCTGTATTCAAGCCACTGCAAGGAAATCCGGCCTCCTTTCAAGTTAGGGCTTCTCGCTGTATATTCCCCTTGAGGCAGCAAACTCGGGGTCCCTCCCACATACCTATTGCTGAGAGAAGCCTCCTCCTGAGGTGCTTCTGGGAAGTTGGCATACGTCTTGAGCCTAAGCCAGGGAATCAGCTCGCATCTCGAGACGATTTGGGGTACATGGAGCATTCCTCGAGTTGCTGTGCTGAAGTTGGTGTTCCTCTAGACTTGGGACAGTGTTCTCGGGGCATCTCTGGAGTTGCCTGAAGGAAGTCGAGCCACCGGTCGTGTTGAATGGGGAACGGGGAATGGCTCTGGAGTCAATGCAGGGGAATCGGGCCTCATCTCGAGTTGATTTGGGGCACATGGAGCTGCTTTGCGTTGCTGGGGTGACCTCAGGGTCCGTCTAGACTGGTGACAGTGTTCTTGGGGACTGTCTCGAGATCCATTAAGCAAGTCGAAGCTCCTGACTTGTTTGAATGGGATCACGGAATAGCTCTGCATGCACTGCAGGGGAATGGGGCCTCATCTCGCCTCTAGGGGGAAGTCTCATGGTTTTTCTCGAGTTGCGGCGGGGACCTGGGGGATGTTCTCGACTTACGGCGGGGATGGCCCTTCAAAACACGAGTTTCTTCAGTGACGTCAGGACTCCTGTCTAGTAACGAGGGACACCTCAGGAATCTCTTCGAGGCTTGGCAGGGCCAAAGGGACGCTTCTCGAGGTGAGGCAGGGCACCCAAGGACCCTTTCCAGTAGCCACAGGGATTTTGGGATTCCTATCAGTATTCAAGAGGAGTCAGGCATCGTCACCTTTTGAAGCAATGAACTCCGCGTGCCTCTCGAGGTGTCAGCGGGATGTGAGGCATTCCGTCAAAATGAGGCAGGGACCTAGGGCTTTCTCTAAGGTCTCCACAGGGGATTCAGACATCCCTTCATGTTGTGAGATGAAAGACGAGCCTGTATTCAAGCCACTGCAAGGAAATCCGGCCTCCTTTCAAGTTAGGGCTTCTCGCTGTATATTCCCCTTGAGGCAGCAAACTCGGGGTCCCTCCCACATACCTATTGCTGAGAGAAGCCTCCTCCTGAGGTGCTTCTGGGAAGTTGGCATACGTCTTGAGCCTAAGCCAGGGAATCAGCTCGCATCTCGAGACGATTTGGGGTACACGGAGCATTCCTCGAGTTGCTGTGCTGAAGTTGGTGTTCCTCTAGACTTGGGACAGTGTTCTCGGGGCATCTCTGGAGTTGCCTGAAGGAAGTCGAGCCACCGGTCGTGTTGAATGGGGAACGGGGAATGGCTCTGGAGTCAATGCAGGGGAATCGGGCCTCATCTCGAGTTGATTTGGGGCACATGGAGCTGCTTTGCGTTGCTGGGGTGACCTCAGGGTCCGTCTAGACTGGTGACAGTGTTCTTGGGGACTGTCTCGAGATCCATTAAGCAAGTCGAAGCTCCTGACTTCTTTGAATGGGATCACGGAATAGCTCTGCATGCACTGCAGGGGAATGGGGCCTCATCTCGCCTCTAGGGGGAAGTCTCATGGTTTTTCTCGAGTTGCGGCGGGGACCTGGGGTATGTTCTCGACTTACGGCGGGGATGGCCCTTCAAAACACGAGTTTCTTCAGTGACGTCAGGACTCCTGTCTAGTAACGAGGGACACCTCAGGAATCTCTTCGAGGCTTGGCAGGGCCAAAGGGACGCTTCTCGAGGTGAGGCAGGGCACCCAAGGACCCTTTCCAGTAGCCACAGGGATTTTGGGATTCCTATCAGTATTCAAGAGGAGTCAGGCATCGTCACCTTTTGAAGCAATGAACTCCGCGTGCCTCTCGAGGTGTCAGCGGGATGTGAGGCATTCCGTCAAAATGAGGCAGGGACCTAGGGCTTTCTCTAAGGTCTCCACAGGGGATTCAGACATCCCTTCATGTTGTGAGATGAAAGACGAGCCTGTATTCAAGCCACTGCAAGGAAATCCGGCCTCCTTTCAAGTTAGGGCTTCTCGCTGTATATTCCCCTTGAGGCAGCAAACTCGGGGTCCCTCCCACATACCTATTGCTGAGAGAAGCCTCCTCCTGAGGTGCTTCTGGGAAGTTGGCATACGTCTTGAGCCTAAGCCAGGGAATCAGCTCGCATCTCGAGACGATTTGGGGTACACGGAGCATTCCTCGAGTTGCTGTGCTGAAGTTGGTGTTCCTCTAGACTTGGGACAGTGTTCTCGGGGCGTCTCTGGAGTTGCCTGAAGGAAGTCGAGCCACCGGTCGTGTTGAATGGGGAACGGGGAATGGCTCTGGAGTCAATGCAGGGGAATCGGGCCTCATCTCGAGTTGATTTGGGGCACATGGAGCTGCTTTGCGTTGCTGGGGTGACCTCAGGGTCCGTCTAGACTGGTGACAGTGTTCTTGGGGACTGTCTCGAGATCCATTAAGCAAGTCGAAGCTCCTGACTTGTTTGAATGGGATCACGGAATAGCTCTGCATGCACTGCAGGGGAATGGGGCCTCATCTCGCCTCTAGGGGGAAGTCTCATGGTTTTTCTCGAGTTGCGGCGGGGACCTGGGGTATGTTCTCGACTTACGGCGGGGATGGCCCTTCAAAACACGAGTTTCTTCAGTGACGTCAGGACTCCTGTCTAGTAACGAGGGACACCTCAGGAATCTCTTCGAGGCTTGGCAGGGCCAAAGGGACGCTTCTCGAGGTGAGGCAGGGCACCCAAGGACCCTTTCCAGTAGCCACAGGGATTTTGGGATTCCTATCAGTATTCAAGAGGAGTCAGGCATCGTCACCTTTTGAAGCAATGAACTCCGCGTGCCTCTCGAGGTGTCAGCGGGATGTGAGGCATTCCGTCAAAATGAGGCAGGGACCTAGGGCTTTCTCTAAGGTCTCCACAGGGGATTCAGACATCCCTTCATGTTGTGAGATGAAAGACGAGCCTGTATTCAAGCCACTGCAAGGAAATCCGGCCTCCTTTCAAGTGAGGGCTTCTCGCTGTATATTCCCCTTGAGGCAGCAAACTCGGGGTCCCTCCCACATACCTATTGCTGAGAGAAGCCTCCTCCTGAGGTGCTTCTGGGAAGTTGGCATACGTCTTGAGCCTAAGCCAGGGAATCAGCTCGCATCTCGAGACGATTTGGGGTACACGGAGCATTCCTCGAGTTGCTGTGCTGAAGTTGGTGTTCCTCTAGACTTGGGACAGTGTTCTCGGGGCGTCTCTGGAGTTGCCTGAAGGAAGTCGAGCCACCGGTCGTGTTGAATGGGGAACGGGGAATGGCTCTGGAGTCAATGCAGGGGAATCGGGCCTCATCTCGAGTTGATTTGGGGCACATGGAACTGCTTTGCGTTGCTGGGGTGACCTCAGGGTCCGTCTAGACTGGTGACAGTGTTCTTGGGGACTGTCTCGAGATCCATTAAGCAAGTCGAAGCTCCTGACTTCTTTGAATGGGATCACGGAATAGCTCTGCATGCACTGCAGGGGAATGGGGCCTCATCTCGCCTCTAGGGGGAAGTCTCATGGTTTTCCTCGAGTTGCGGCGGGGACCTGGGGTATGTTCTCGACTTACGGCGGGGATGGCCCTTCAAAACACGAGTTTCTTCAGTGACGTCAGGACTCCTGTCTAGTAACGAGGGACACCTCAGGAATCTCTTCGAGGCTTGGCAGGGCCAAAGGGACGCTTCTCGAGGTGAGGCAGGGCACCCAAGGACCCTTTCCAGTAGCCACAGGGATTTTGGGATTCCTATCAGTATTCAAGAGGAGTCAGGCATCGTCACCTTTTGAAGCAATGAACTCCGCGTGCCTCTCGAGGTGTCAGCGGGATGTGAGGCATTCCGTCAAAATGAGGCAGGGACCTAGGGCTTTCTCTAAGGTCTCCACAGGGGATTCAGACATCCCTTCATGTTGTGAGATGAAAGACGAGCCTGTATTCAAGCCACTGCAAGGAAATCCGGCCTCCTTTCAAGTTAGGGCTTCTCGCTGTATATTCCCCTTGAGGCAGCAAACTCGGGGTCCCTCCCACATACCTATTGCTGAGAGAAGCCTCCTCCTGAGGTGCTTCTGGGAAGTTGGCATACGTCTTGAGCCTAAGCCAGGGAATCAGCTCGCATCTCGAGACGATTTGGGGTACACGGAGCATTCCTCGAGTTGCTGTGCTGAAGTAGGTGTTCCTCTAGACTTGGGACAGTGTTCTCGGGGCGTCTCTGGAGTTGCCTGAAGGAAGTCGAGCCACCGGTCGTGTTGAATGGGGAACGGGGAATGGCTCTGGAGTCAATGCAGGGGAATCGGGCCTCATCTCGAGTTGATTTGGGGCACATGGAGCTGCTTTGCGTTGCTGGGGTGACCTCAGGGTCCGTCTAGACTGGTGACAGTGTTCTTGGGGACTGTCTCGAGATCCATTAAGCAAGTTGAAGCTCCTGACTTGTTTGAATGGGATCACGGAATAGCTCTGCATGCACTGCAGGGGAATGGGGCCTCATCTCGCCTCTAGGGGGAAGTCTCATGGTTTTTCTCGAGTTGCGGCGGGGACCTGGGGTATGTTCTCGACTTACGGCGGGGATGGCCCTTCAAAACACGAGTTTCTTCAGTGACGTCAGGACTCCTGTCTAGTAACGAGGGACACCTCAGGAATCTCTTCGAGGCTTGGCAGGGCCAAAGGGACGCTTCTCGAGGTGAGGCAGGGCACCCAAGGACCCTTTCCAGTAGCCACAGGGATTTTGGGATTCCTATCAGTATTCAAGAGGAGTCAGGCATCGTCACCTTTTGAAGCAATGAACTCCGCGTGCCTCTCGAGGTGTCAGCGGGATGTGAGGCATTCCGTCAAAATGAGGCAGGGACCTAGGGCTTTCTCTAAGGTCTCCACAGGGGATTCAGACATCCCTTCATGTTGTGAGATGAAAGACGAGCCTGTATTCAAGCCACTGCAAGGAAATCCGGCCTCCTTTCAAGTTAGGGCTTCTCGCTGTATATTCCCCTTGAGGCAGCAAACTCGGGGTCCCTCCCACATACCTATTGCTGAGAGAAGCCTCCTCCTGAGGTGCTTCTGGGAAGTTGGCATACGTCTTGAGCCTAAGCCAGGGAATCAGCTCGCATCTCGAGACGATTTGGGGTACACGGAGCATTCCTCGAGTTGCTGTGCTGAAGTTGGTGTTCCTCTAGACTTGGGACAGTGTTCTCGGGGCGTCTCTGGAGTTGCCTGAAGGAAGTCGAGCCACCGGTCGTGTTGAATGGGGAACGGGGAATGGCTCTGGAGTCAATGCAGGGGAATCGGGCCTCATCTCGAGTTGATTTGGGGCACATGGAGCTGCTTTGCGTTGCTGGGGTGACCTCAGGGTCCGTCTAGACTGGTGACAGTGTTCTTGGGGACTGTCTCGAGATCCATTAAGCAAGTCGAAGCTCCTGACTTGTTTGAATGGGATCACGGAATAGCTCTGCATGCACTGCAGGGGAATGGGGCCTCATCTCGCCTCTAGGGGGAAGTCTCATGGTTTTTCTCGAGTTGCGGCGGGGACCTGGGGTATGTTCTCGACTTACGGCGGGGATGGCCCTTCAAAACACGAGTTTCTTCAGTGACGTCAGGACTCCTGTCTAGTAACGAGGGACACCTCAGGAATCTCTTCGAGGCTTGGCAGGGCCAAAGGGACGCTTCTCGAGGTGAGGCAGGGCACCCAAGGACCCTTTCCAGTAGCCACAGGGATTTTGGGATTCCTATCAGTATTCAAGAGGAGTCAGGCATCGTCACCTTTTGAAGCAATGAACTCCGCGTGCCTCTCGAGGTGTCAGCGGGATGTGAGGCATTCCGTCAAAATGAGGCAGGGACCTAGGGCTTTCTCTAAGGTCTCCACAGGGGATTCAGACATCCCTTCATGTTGTGAGATGAAAGACGAGCCTGTATTCAAGCCACTGCAAGGAAATCCGGCCTCCTTTCAAGTGAGGGCTTCTCGCTGTATATTCCCCTTGAGGCAGCAAACTCGGGGTCCCTCCCACATACCTATTGCTGAGAGAAGCCTCCTCCTGAGGTGCTTCTGGGAAGTTGGCATACGTCTTGAGCCTAAGCCAGGGAATCAGCTCGCATCTCGAGACGATTTGGGGTACACGGAGCATTCCTCGAGTTGCTGTGCTGAAGTTGGTGTTCCTCTAGACTTGGGACAGTGTTCTCGGGGCGTCTCTGGAGTTGCCTGAAGGAAGTCGAGCCACCGGTCGTGTTGAATGGGGAACGGGGAATGGCTCTGGAGTCAATGCAGGGGAATCGGGCCTCATCTCGAGTTGATTTGGGGCACATGGAACTGCTTTGCGTTGCTGGGGTGACCTCAGGGTCCGTCTAGACTGGTGACAGTGTTCTTGGGGACTGTCTCGAGATCCATTAAGCAAGTCGAAGCTCCTGACTTCTTTGAATGGGATCACGGAATAGCTCTGCATGCACTGCAGGGGAATGGGGCCTCATCTCGCCTCTAGGGGGAAGTCTCATGGTTTTCCTCGAGTTGCGGCGGGGACCTGGGGTATGTTCTCGACTTACGGCGGGGATGGCCCTTCAAAACACGAGTTTCTTCAGTGACGTCAGGACTCCTGTCTAGTAACGAGGGACACCTCAGGAATCTCTTCGAGGCTTGGCAGGGCCAAAGGGACGCTTCTCGAGGTGAGGCAGGGCACCCAAGGACCCTTTCCAGTAGCCACAGGGATTTTGGGATTCCTATCAGTATTCAAGAGGAGTCAGGCATCGTCACCTTTTGAAGCAATGAACTCCGCGTGCCTCTCGAGGTGTCAGCGGGATGTGAGGCATTCCGTCAAAATGAGGCAGGGACCTAGGGCTTTCTCTAAGGTCTCCACAGGGGATTCAGACATCCCTTCATGTTGTGAGATGAAAGACGAGCCTGTATTCAAGCCACTGCAAGGAAATCCGGCCTCCTTTCAAGTTAGGGCTTCTCGCTGTATATTCCCCTTGAGGCAGCAAACTCGGGGTCCCTCCCACATACCTATTGCTGAGAGAAGCCTCCTCCTGAGGTGCTTCTGGGAAGTTGGCATACGTCTTGAGCCTAAGCCAGGGAATCAGCTCGCATCTCGAGACGATTTGGGGTACACGGAGCATTCCTCGAGTTGCTGTGCTGAAGTAGGTGTTCCTCTAGACTTGGGACAGTGTTCTCGGGGCGTCTCTGGAGTTGCCTGAAGGAAGTCGAGCCACCGGTCGTGTTGAATGGGGAACGGGGAATGGCTCTGGAGTCAATGCAGGGGAATCGGGCCTCATCTCGAGTTGATTTGGGGCACATGGAGCTGCTTTGCGTTGCTGGGGTGACCTCAGGGTCCGTCTAGACTGGTGACAGTGTTCTTGGGGACTGTCTCGAGATCCATTAAGCAAGTTGAAGCTCCTGACTTGTTTGAATGGGATCACGGAATAGCTCTGCATGCACTGCAGGGGAATGGGGCCTCATCTCGCCTCTAGGGGGAAGTCTCATGGTTTTTCTCGAGTTGCGGCGGGGACCTGGGGTATGTTCTCGACTTACGGCGGGGATGGCCCTTCAAAACACGAGTTTCTTCAGTGACGTCAGGACTCCTGTCTAGTAACGAGGGACACCTCAGGAATCTCTTCGAGGCTTGGCAGGGCCAAAGGGACGCTTCTCGAGGTGAGGCAGGGCACCCAAGGACCCTTTCCAGTAGCCACAGGGATTTTGGGATTCCTATCAGTATTCAAGAGGAGTCAGGCATCGTCACCTTTTGAAGCAATGAACTCCGCGTGCCTCTCGAGGTGTCAGCGGGATGTGAGGCATTCCGTCAAAATGAGGCAGGGACCTAGGGCTTTCTCTAAGGTCTCCACAGGGGATTCAGACATCCCTTCATGTTGTGAGATGAAAGACGAGCCTGTATGCAAGCCACTGCAAGGAAATCCGGCCTCCTTTCAAGTTAGGGCTTCTCGCTGTATATTCCCCTTGAGGCAGCAAACTCGGGGTCCCTCCCACATACCTATTGCTGAGAGAAGCCTCCTCCTGAGGTGCTTCTGGGAAGTTGGCATACGTCTTGAGCCTAAGCCAGGGAATCAGCTCGCATCTCGAGATGATTTGGGGTACACGGAGCATTCCTCGAGTTGCTGTGCTGAAGTTGGTGTTCCTCTAGACTTGGGACAGTGTTCTCGGGGCATCTCTGGAGTTGCCTGAAGGAAGTCGAGCCACCGGTCGTGTTGAATGGGGAACGGGGAATGGCTCTGGAGTCAATGCAGGGGAATCGGGCCTCATCTCGAGTTGATTTGGGGCACATGGAGCTGCTTTGCGTTGCTGGGGTGACCTCAGGGTCCGTCTAGACTGGTGACAGTGTTCTTGGGGACTGTCTCGAGATCCATTAAGCAAGTCGAAGCTCCTGACTTGTTTGAATGGGATCACGGAATAGCTCTGCATGCACTGCAGGGGAATGGGGCCTCATCTCGCCTCTAGGGGGAAGTCTCATGGTTTTTCTCGAGTTGCGGCGGGGACCTGGGGTATGTTCTCGACTTACGGCGGGGATGGCCCTTCAAAACACGAGTTTCTTCAGTGACGTCAGGACTCCTGTCTAGTAACGAGGGACACCTCAGGAATCTCTTCGAGGCTTGGCAGGGCCAAAGGGACGCTTCTCGAGGTGAGGCAGGGCACCCAAGCGCCCTTTCCAGTAGCCACAGGGATTTTGGGATTCCTATCAGTATTCAAGAGGAGTCAGGCATCGTCACCTTTTGAAGCAATGAACTCCGCGTGCCTCTCGAGGTGTCAGCGGGATGTGAGGCATTCCGTCAAAATGAGGCAGGGACCTAGGGCTTTCTCTAAGGTCTCCACAGGGGATTCAGACATCCCTTCATGTTGTGAGATGAAAGACGAGCCTGTATTCAAGCCACTGCAAGGAAATCCGGCCTCCTTTCAAGTTAGGGCTTCTCGCTGTATATTCCCCTTGAGGCAGCAAACTCGGGGTCCCTCCCACATACCTATTGCTGAGAGAAGCCTCCTCCTGAGGTGCTTCTGGGAAGTTGGCATACGTCTTGAGCCTAAGCCAGGGAATCAGCTCGCATCTCGAGACGATTTGGGGTACACGGAGCATTCCTCGAGTTGCTGTGCTGAAGTTGGTGTTCCTCTAGACTTGGGACAGTGTTCTCGGGGCATCTCTGGAGTTGCCTGAAGGAAGTCGAGCCACCGGTCGTGTTGAATGGGGAACGGGGAATGGCTCTGGAGTCAATGCAGGGGAATCGGGCCTCATCTCGAGTTGATTTGGGGCACATGGAGCCGCTTTGCGTTGCTGGGGTGACCTCAGGGTCCGTCTAGACTGGTGACAGTGTTCTTGGGGACTGTCTCGAGATCCATTAAGCAAGTCGAAGCTCCTGACTTGTTTGAATGGGATCACGGAATAGCTCTGCATGCACTGCAGGGGAATGGGGCCTCATCTCGCCTCTAGGGGGAAGTCTCATGGTTTTTCTCGAGTTGCGGCGGGGACCTGGGGTATGTTCTCGACTTACGGCGGGGATGGCCCTTCAAAACACGAGTTTCTTCAGTGACGTCAGGACTCCTGTCTAGTAACGAGGGACACCTCAGGAATCTCTTCGAGGCTTGGCAGGGCCAAAGGGACGCTTCTCGAGGTGAGGCAGGGCACCCAAGGACCCTTTCCAGTAGCCACAGGGATTTTGGGATTCCTATCAGTATTCAAGAGGAGTCAGGCATCGTCACCTTTTGAAGCAATGAACTCCGCGTGCCTCTCGAGGTGTCAGCGGGATGTGAGGCATTCCGTCAAAATGAGGCAGGGACCTAGGGCTTTCTCTAAGGTCTCCACAGGGGATTCAGACATCCCTTCATGTTGTGAGATGAAAGACGAGCCTGTATGCAAGCCACTGCAAGGAAATCCGGCCTCCTTTCAAGTTAGGGCTTCTCGCTGTATATTCCCCTTGAGGCAGCAAACTCGGGGTCCCTCCCACATACCTATTGCTGAGAGAAGCCTCCTCCTGAGGTGCTTCTGGGAAGTTGGCATACGTCTTGAGCCTAAGCCAGGGAATCAGCTCGCATCTCGAGACGATTTGGGGTACACGGAGCATTCCTCGAGTTGCTGTGCTGAAGTTGGTGTTCCTCTAGACTTGGGACAGTGTTCTCGGGGCATCTCTGGAGTTGCCTGAAGGAAGTCGAGCCACCGGTCGTGTTGAATGGGGAACGGGGAATGGCTCTGGAGTCAATGCAGGGGAATCGGGCCTCATCTCGAGTTGATTTGGGGCACATGGAGCTGCTTTGCGTTGCTGGGGTGACCTCAGGGTCCGTCTAGACTGGTGACAGTGTTCTTGGGGACTGTCTCGAGATCCATTAAGCAAGTCGAAGCTCCTGACTTGTTTGAATGGGATCACGGAATAGCTCTGCATGCACTGCAGGGGAATGGGGCCTCATCTCGCCTCTAGGGGGAAGTCTCATGGTTTTTCTCGAGTTGCGGCGGGGACCTGGGGTATGTTCTCGACTTACGGCGGGGATGGCCCTTCAAAACACGAGTTTCTTCAGTGACGTCAGGACTCCTGTCTAGTAACGAGGGACACCTCAGGAATCTCTTCGAGGCTTGGCAGGGCCAAAGGGACGCTTCTCGAGGTGAGGCAGGGCACCCAAGGACCCTTTCCAGTAGCCACAGGGATTTTGGGATTCCTATCAGTATTCAAGAGGAGTCAGGCATCGTCACCTTTTGAAGCAATGAACTCCGCGTGCCTCTCGAGGTGTCAGCGGGATGTGAGGCATTCCGTCAAAATGAGGCAGGGACCTAGGGCTTTCTCTAAGGTCTCCACAGGGGATTCAGACATCCCTTCATGTTGTGAGATGAAAGACGAGCCTGTATTCAAGCCACTGCAAGGAAATCCGGCCTCCTTTCAAGTGAGGGCTTCTCGCTGTATATTCCCCTTGAGGCAGCAAACTCGGGGTCCCTCCCACATACCTATTGCTGAGAGAAGCCTCCTCCTGAGGTGCTTCTGGGAAGTTGGCATACGTCTTGAGCCTAAGCCAGGGAATCAGCTCGCATCTCGAGACGATTTGGGGTACACGGAGCATTCCTCGAGTTGCTGTGCTGAAGTTGGTGTTCCTCTAGACTTGGGACAGTGTTCTCGGGGCATCTCTGGAGTTGCCTGAAGGAAGTCGAGCCACCGGTCGTGTTGAATGGGGAACGGGGAATGGCTCTGGAGTCAATGCAGGGGAATCGGGCCTCATCTCGAGTTGATTTGGGGCACATGGAGCTGCTTTGCGTTGCTGGGGTGACCTCAGGGTCCGTCTAGACTGGTGACAGTGTTCTTGGGGACTGTCTCGAGATCCATTAAGCAAGTCGAAGCTCCTGACTTGTTTGAATGGGATCACGGAATAGCTCTGCATGCACTGCAGGGGAATGGGGCCTCATCTCGCCTCTAGGGGGAAGTCTCATGGTTTTTCTCGAGTTGCGGCGGGGACCTGGGGGATGTTCTCGACTTACGGCGGGGATGGCCCTTCAAAACACGAGTTTCTTCAGTGACGTCAGGACTCCTGTCTAGTAACGAGGGACACCTCAGGAATCTCTTCGAGGCTTGGCAGGGCCAAAGGGACGCTTCTCGAGGTGAGGCAGGGCACCCAAGGACCCTTTCCAGTAGCCACAGGGATTTTGGGATTCCTATCAGTATTCAAGAGGAGTCAGGCATCGTCACCTTTTGAAGCAATGAACTCCGCGTGCCTCTCGAGGTGTCAGCGGGATGTGAGGCATTCCGTCAAAATGAGGCAGGGACCTAGGGCTTTCTCTAAGGTCTCCACAGGGGATTCAGACATCCCTTCATGTTGTGATATGAAAGACGAGCCTGTATTCAAGCCACTGCAAGGAAATCCGGCCTCCTTTCAAGTTAGGGCTCTCGCTGTATATTCCCCTTGAGGCAGCAAACTCGGGGTCCCTCCCACATACCTATTGCTGAGAGAAGCCTCCTCCTGAGGTGCTTCTGGGAAGTTGGCATACGTCTTGAGCCTAAGCCAGGGAATCAGCTCGCATCTCGAGACGATTTGGGGTACACGGAGCATTCCTCGAGTTGCTGTGCTGAAGTTGGTGTTCCTCTAGACTTGGGACAGTGTTCTCGGGGCATCTCTGGAGTTGCCTGAAGGAAGTCGAGCCACCGGTCGTGTTGAATGGGGAACGGGGAATGGCTCTGGAGTCAATGCAGGGGAATCGGGCCTCATCTCGAGTTGATTTGGGGCACATGGAGCTGCTTTGCGTTGCTGGGGTGACCTCAGGGTCCGTCTAGACTGGTGACAGTGTTCTTGGGGACTGTCTCGAGATCCATTAAGCAAGTCGAAGCTCCTGACTTGTTTGAATGGGATCACGGAATAGCTCTGCATGCACTGCAGGGGAATGGGGCCTCATCTCGCCTCTAGGGGGAAGTCTCATGGTTTTTCTCGAGTTGCGGCGGGGACCTGGGGTATGTTCTCGACTTACGGCGGGGATGGCCCTTCAAAACACGAGTTTCTTCAGTGACGTCAGGACTCCTGTCTAGTAACGAGGGACACCTCAGGAATCTCTTCGAGGCTTGGCAGGGCCAAAGGGACGCTTCTCGAGGTGAGGCAGGGCACCCAAGGACCCTTTCCAGTAGCCACAGGGATTTTGGGATTCCTATCAGTATTCAAGAGGAGTCAGGCATCGTCACCTTTTGAAGCAATGAACTCCGCGTGCCTCTCGAGGTGTCAGCGGGATGTGAGGCATTCCGTCAAAATGAGGCAGGGACCTAGGGCTTTCTCTAAGGTCTCCACAGGGGATTCAGACATCCCTTCATGTTGTGAGATGAAAGACGAGCCTGTATTCAAGCCACTGCAAGGAAATCCGGCCTCCTTTCAAGTGAGGGCTTCTCGCTGTATATTCCCCTTGAGGCAGCAAACTCGGGGTCCCTCCCACATACCTATTGCTGAGAGAAGCCTCCTCCTGAGGTGCTTCTGGGAAGTTGGCATACGTCTTGAGCCTAAGCCAGGGAATCAGCTCGCATCTCGAGACGATTTGGGGTACACGGAGCATTCCTCGAGTTGCTGTGCTGAAGTTGGTGTTCCTCTAGACTTGGGACAGTGTTCTCGGGGCATCTCTGGAGTTGCCTGAAGGAAGTCGAGCCACCGGTCGTGTTGAATGGGGAACGGGGAATGGCTCTGGAGTCAATGCAGGGGAATCGGGCCTCATCTCGAGTTGATTTGGGGCACATGGAGCTGCTTTGCGTTGCTGGGGTGACCTCAGGGTCCGTCTAGACTGGTGACAGTGTTCTTGGGGACTGTCTCGAGATCCATTAAGCAAGTCGAAGCTCCTGACTTGTTTGAATGGGATCACGGAATAGCTCTGCATGCACTGCAGGGGAATGGGGCCTCATCTCGCCTCTAGGGGGAAGTCTCATGGTTTTTCTCCAGTTGCGGCGGGGACCTGGGGGATGTTCTCGACTTACGGCGGGGATGGCCCTTCAAAACACGAGTTTCTTCAGTGACGTCAGGACTCCTGTCTAGTAACGAGGGACACCTCAGGAATCTCTTCGAGGCTTGGCAGGGCCAAAGGGACGCTTCTCGAGGTGAGGCAGGGCACCCAAGGACCCTTTCCAGTAGCCACAGGGATTTTGGGATTCCTATCAGTATTCAAGAGGAGTCAGGCATCGTCACCTTTTGAAGCAATGAACTCCGCGTGCCTCTCGAGGTGTCAGCGGGATGTGAGGCATTCCGTCAAAATGAGGCAGGGACCTAGGGCTTTCTCTAAGGTCTCCACAGGGGATTCAGACATCCCTTCATGTTGTGATATGAAAGACGAGCCTGTATTCAAGCCACTGCAAGGAAATCCGGCCTCCTTTCAAGTTAGGGCTCTCGCTGTATATTCCCCTTGAGGCAGCAAACTCGGGGTCCCTCCCACATACCTATTGCTGAGAGAAGCCTCCTCCTGAGGTGCTTCTGGGAAGTTGGCATACGTCTTGAGCCTAAGCCAGGGAATCAGCTCGCATCTCGAGACGATTTGGGGTACACGGAGCATTCCTCGAGTTGCTGTGCTGAAGTTGGTGTTCCTCTAGACTTGGGACAGTGTTCTCGGGGCATCTCTGGAGTTGCCTGAAGGAAGTCGAGCCACCGGTCGTGTTGAATGGGGAACGGGGAATGGCTCTGGAGTCAATGCAGGGGAATCGGGCCTCATCTCGAGTTGATTTGGGGCACATGGAGCTGCTTTGCGTTGCTGGGGTGACCTCAGGGTCCGTCTAGACTGGTGACAGTGTTCTTGGGGACTGTCTCGAGATCCATTAAGCAAGTCGAAGCTCCTGACTTGTTTGAATGGGATCACGGAATAGCTCTGCATGCACTGCAGGGGAATGGGGCCTCATCTCGCCTCTAGGGGGAAGTCTCATGGTTTTTCTCGAGTTGCGGCGGGGACCTGGGGGATGTTCTCGACTTACGGCGGGGATGGCCCTTCAAAACACGAGTTTCTTCAGTGACGTCAGGACTCCTGTCTAGTAACGAGGGACACCTCAGGAATCTCTTCGAGGCTTGGCAGGGCCAAAGGGACGCTTCTCGAGGTGAGGCAGGGCACCCAAGGACCCTTTCCAGTAGCCACAGGGATTTTGGGATTCCTATCAGTATTCAAGAGGAGTCAGGCATCGTCACCTTTTGAAGCAATGAACTCCGCGTGCCTCTCGAGGTGTCAGCGGGATGTGAGGCATTCCGTCAAAATGAGGCAGGGACCTAGGGCTTTCTCTAAGGTCTCCACAGGGGATTCAGACATCCCTTCATGTTGTGAGATGAAAGACGAGCCTGTATTCAAGCCACTGCAAGGAAATCCGGCCTCCTTTCAAGTTAGGGCTTCTCGCTGTATATTCCCCTTGAGGCAGCAAACTCGGGGTCCCTCCCACATACCTATTGCTGAGAGAAGCCTCCTCCTGAGGTGCTTCTGGGAAGTTGGCATACGTCTTGAGCCTAAGCCAGGGAATCAGCTCGCATCTCGAGACGATTTGGGGTACACGGAGCATTCCTCGAGTTGCTGTGCTGAAGTAGGTGTTCCTCTAGACTTGGGACAGTGTTCTCGGGGCGTCTCTGGAGTTGCCTGAAGGAAGTCGAGCCACCGGTCGTGTTGAATGGGGAACGGGGAATGGCTCTGGAGTCAATGCAGGGGAATCGGGCCTCATCTCGAGTTGATTTGGGGCACATGGAGCTGCTTTGCGTTGCTGGGGTGACCTCAGGGTCCGTCTAGACTGGTGACAGTGTTCTTGGGGACTGTCTCGAGATCCATTAAGCAAGTCGAAGCTCCTGACTTGTTTGAATGGGATCACGGAATAGCTCTGCATGCACTGCAGGGGAATGGGGCCTCATCTCGCCTCTAGGGGGAAGTCTCATGGTTTTTCTCGAGTTGCGGCGGGGACCTGGGGGATGTTCTCGACTTACGGCGGGGATGGCCCTTCAAAACACGAGTTTCTTCAGTGACGTCAGGACTCCTGTCTAGTAACGAGGGACACCTCAGGAATCTCTTCGAGGCTTGGCAGGGCCAAAGGGACGCTTCTCGAGGTGAGGCAGGGCACCCAAGGACCCTTTCCAGTAGCCACAGGGATTTTGGGATTCCTATCATTATTCAAGAGGAGTCAGGCATCGTCACCTTTTGAAGCAATGAACTCCGCGTGCCTCTCGAGGTGTCAGCGGGATGTGAGGCATTCCGTCAAAATGAGGCAGGGACCTAGGGCTTTCTCTAAGGTCTCCACAGGGGATTCAGACATCCCTTCATGTTGTGAGATGAAAGACGAGCCTGTATTCAAGCCACTGCAAGGAAATCCGGCCTCCTTTCAAGTGAGGGCTTCTCGCTGTATATTCCCCTTGAGGCAGCAAACTCGGGGTCCCTCCCACATACCTATTGCTGAGAGAAGCCTCCTCCTGAGGTGCTTCTGGGAAGTTGGCATACGTCTTGAGCCTAAGCCAGGGAATCAGCTCGCATCTCGAGACGATTTGGGGTACACGGAGCATTCCTCGAGTTGCTGTGCTGAAGTTGGTGTTCCTCTAGACTTGGGACAGTGTTCTCGGGGCATCTCTGGAGTTGCCTGAAGGAAGTCGAGCCACCGGTCGTGTTGAATGGGGAACGGGGAATGGCTCTGGAGTCAATGCAGGGGAATCGGGCCTCATCTCGAGTTGATTTGGGGCACATGGAGCTGCTTTGCGTTGCTGGGGTGACCTCAGGGTCCGTCTAGACTGGTGACAGTGTTCTTGGGGACTGTCTCGAGATCCATTAAGCAAGTCGAAACTCCTGACTTGTTTGAATGGGATCACGGAATAGCTCTGCATGCACTGCAGGGGAATGGGGCCTCATCTCGCCTCTAGGGGGAAGTCTCATGGTTTTTCTCGAGTTGCGGCGGGGACCTGGGGGATGTTCTCGACTTACGGCGGGGATGGCCCTTCAAAACACGAGTTTCTTCAGTGACGTCAGGACTCCTGTCTAGTAACGAGGGACACCTCAGGAATCTCTTCGAGGCTTGGCAGGGCCAAAGGGACGCTTCTCGAGGTGAGGCAGGGCACCCAAGGACCCTTTCCAGTAGCCACAGGGATTTTGGGATTCCTATCAGTATTCAAGAGGAGTCAGGCATCGTCACCTTTTGAAGCAATGAACTCCGCGTGCCTCTCGAGGTGTCAGCGGGATGTGAGGCATTCCGTCAAAATGAGGCAGGGACCTAGGGCTTTCTCTAAGGTCTCCACAGGGGATTCAGACATCCCTTCATGTTGTGAGATGAAAGACGAGCCTGTATTCAAGCCACTGCAAGGAAATCCGGCCTCCTTTCAAGTGAGGGCTTCTCGCTGTATATTCCCCTTGAGGCAGCAAACTCGGGGTCCCTCCCACATACCTATTGCTGAGAGAAGCCTCCTCCTGAGGTGCTTCTGGGAAGTTGGCATACGTCTTGAGCCTAAGCCAGGGAATCAGCTCGCATCTCGAGACGATTTGGGGTACACGGAGCATTCCTCGAGTTGCTGTGCTGAAGTTGGTGTTCCTCTAGACTTGGGACAGTGTTCTCGGGGCATCTCTGGAGTTGCCTGAAGGAAGTCGAGCCACCGGTCGTGTTGAATGGGGAACGGGGAATGGCTCTGGAGTCAATGCAGGGGAATCGGGCCTCATCTCGAGTTGATTTGGGGCACATGGAGCTGCTTTGCGTTGCTGGGGTGACCTCAGGGTCCGTCTAGACTGGTGACAGTGTTCTTGGGGACTGTCTCGAGATCCATTAAGCAAGTCGAAGCTCCTGACTTGTTTGAATGGGATCACGGAATAGCTCTGCATGCACTGCAGGGGAATGGGGCCTCATCTCGCCTCTAGGGGGAAGTCTCATGGTTTTTCTCGAGTTGCGGCGGGGACCTGGGGGATGTTCTCGACTTACGGCGGGGATGGCCCTTCAAAACACGAGTTTCTTCAGTGACGTCAGGACTCCTGTCTAGTAACGAGGGACACCTCAGGAATCTCTTCGAGGCTTGGCAGGGCCAAAGGGACGCTTCTCGAGGTGAGGCAGGGCACCCAAGGACACTTTCCAGTAGCCACAGGGATTTTGGGATTCCTATCAGTATTCAAGAGGAGTCAGGCATCGTCACCTTTTGAAGCAATGAACTCCGCGTGCCTCTCGAGGTGTCAGCGGGATGTGAGGCATTCCGTCAAAATGAGGCAGGGACCTAGGGCTTTCTCTAAGGTCTCCACAGGGGATTCAGACATCCCTTCATGTTGTGAGATGATAGACGAGCCTGTATTCAAGCCACTGCAAGGAAATCCGGCCTCCTTTCAAGTTAGGGCTTCTCGCTGTATATTCCCCTTGAGGCAGCAAACTCGGGGTCCCTCCCACATACCTATTGCTGAGAGAAGCCTCCTCCTGAGGTGCTTCTGGGAAGTTGGCATACGTCTTGAGCCTAAGCCAGGGAATCAGCTCGCATCTCGAGACGATTTGGGGTACACGGAGCATTCCTCGAGTTGCTGTGCTGAAGTTGGTGTTCCTCTAGACTTGGGACAGTGTTCTCGGGGCATCTCTGGAGTTGCCTGAAGGAAGTCGAGCCACCGGTCGTGTTGAATGGGGAACGGGGAATGGCTCTGGAGTCAATGCAGGGGAATCGGGCCTCATCTCGAGTTGATTTGGGGCACATGGAGCTGCTTTGCGTTGCTGGGGTGACCTCAGGGTCCGTCTAGACTGGTGACAGTGTTCTTGGGGACTGTCTCGAGATCCATTAAGCAAGTCGAAACTCCTGACTTGTTTGAATGGGATCACGGAATAGCTCTGCATGCACTGCAGGGGAATGGGGCCTCATCTCGCCTCTAGGGGGAAGTCTCATGGTTTTTCTCGAGTTGCGGCGGGGACCTGGGGGATGTTCTCGACTTACGGCGGGGATGGCCCTTCAAAACACGAGTTTCTTCAGTGACGTCAGGACTCCTGTCTAGTAACGAGGGACACCTCAGGAATCTCTTCGAGGCTTGGCAGGGCCAAAGGGACGCTTCTCGAGGTGAGGCAGGGCACCCAAGGACCCTTTCCAGTAGCCACAGGGATTTTGGGATTCCTATCAGTATTCAAGAGGAGTCAGGCATCGTCACCTTTTGAAGCAATGAACTCCGCGTGCCTCTCGAGGTGTCAGCGGGATGTGAGGCATTCCGTCAAAATGAGGCAGGGACCTAGGGCTTTCTCTAAGGTCTCCACAGGGGATTCAGACATCCCTTCATGTTGTGAGATGAAAGACGAGCCTGTATTCAAGCCACTGCAAGGAAATCCGGCCTCCTTTCAAGTGAGGGCTTCTCGCTGTATATTCCCCTTGAGGCAGCAAACTCGGGGTCCCTCCCACATACCTATTGCTGAGAGAAGCCTCCTCCTGAGGTGCTTCTGGGAAGTTGGCATACGTCTTGAGCCTAAGCCAGGGAATCAGCTCGCATCTCGAGACGATTTGGGGTACACGGAGCATTCCTCGAGTTGCTGTGCTGAAGTTGGTGTTCCTCTAGACTTGGGACAGTGTTCTCGGGGCATCTCTGGAGTTGCCTGAAGGAAGTCGAGCCACCGGTCGTGTTGAATGGGGAACGGGGAATGGCTCTGGAGTCAATGCAGGGGAATCGGGCCTCATCTCGAGTTGATTTGGGGCACATGGAGCTGCTTTGCGTTGCTGGGGTGACCTCAGGGTCCGTCTAGACTGGTGACAGTGTTCTTGGGGACTGTCTCGAGATCCATTAAGCAAGTCGAAGCTCCTGACTTGTTTGAATGGGATCACGGAATAGCTCTGCATGCACTGCAGGGGAATGGGGCCTCATCTCGCCTCTAGGGGGAAGTCTCATGGTTTTTCTCGAGTTGCGGCGGGGACCTGGGGTATGTTCTCGACTTACGGCGGGGATGGCCCTTCAAAACACGAGTTTCTTCAGTGACGTCAGGACTCCTGTCTAGTAACGAGGGACACCTCAGGAATCTCTTCGAGGCTTGGCAGGGACAAAGGGACGCTTCTCGAGGTGAGGCAGGGCACCCAAGGACCCTTTCCAGTAGCCACAGGGATTTTGGGATTCCTATCAGTATTCAAGAGGAGTCAGGCATCGTCACCTTTTGAAGCAATGAACTCCGCGTGCCTCTCGAGGTGTCAGCGGGATGTGAGGCATTCCGTCAAAATGAGGCAGGGACCTAGGGCTTTCTCTAAGGTCTCCACAGGGGATTCAGACATCCCTTCATGTTGTGAGATGAAAGACGAGCCTGTATTCAAGCCACTGCAAGGAAATCCGGCCTCCTTTCAAGTGAGGGCTTCTCGCTGTATATTCCCCTTGAGGCAGCAAACTCGGGGTCCCTCCCACATACCTATTGCTGAGAGAAGCCTCCTCCTGAGGTGCTTCTGGGAAGTTGGCATACGTCTTGAGCCTAAGCCAGGGAATCAGCTCGCATCTCGAGACGATTTGGGGTACACGGAGCATTCCTCGAGTTGCTGTGCTGAAGTTGGTGTTCCTCTAGACTTGGGACAGTGTTCTCGGGGCATCTCTGGAGTTGCCTGAAGGAAGTCGAGCCACCGGTCGTGTTGAATGGGGAACGGGGAATGGCTCTGGAGTCAATGCAGGGGAATCGGGCCTCATCTCGAGTTGATTTGGGGCACATGGAGCTGCTTTGCGTTGCTGGGGTGACCTCAGGGTCCGTCTAGACTGGTGACAGTGTTCTTGGGGACTGTCTCGAGATCCATTAAGCAAGTCGAAGCTCCTGACTTGTTTGAATGGGATCACGGAATAGCTCTGCATGCACTGCAGGGGAATGGGGCCTCATCTCGCCTCTAGGGGGAAGTCTCATGGTTTTTCTCGAGTTGCGGCGGGGACCTGGGGGATGTTCTCGACTTACGGCGGGGATGGCCCTTCAAAACACGAGTTTCTTCAGTGACGTCAGGACTCCTGTCTAGTAACGAGGGACACCTCAGGAATCTCTTCGAGGCTTGGCAGGGCCAAAGGGACGCTTCTCGAGGTGAGGCAGGGCACCCAAGGACCCTTTCCAGTAGCCACAGGGATTTTGGGATTCCTATCAGTATTCAAGAGGAGTCAGGCATCGTCACCTTTTGAAGCAATGAACTCCGCGTGCCTCTCGAGGTGTCAGCGGGATGTGAGGCATTCCGTCAAAATGAGGCAGGGACCTAGGGCTTTCTCTAAGGTCTCCACAGGGGATTCAGACATCCCTTCATGTTGTGAGATGAAAGACGAGCCTGTATTCAAGCCACTGCAAGGAAATCCGGCCTCCTTTCAAGTTAGGGCTTCTCGCTGTATATTCCCCTTGAGGCAGCAAACTCGGGGTCCCTCCCACATACCTATTGCTGAGAGAAGCCTCCTCCTGAGGTGCTTCTGGGAAGTTGGCATACGTCTTGAGCCTAAGCCAGGGAATCAGCTCGCATCTCGAGACGATTTGGGGTACACGGAGCATTCCTCGAGTTGCTGTGCTGAAGTAGGTGTTCCTCTAGACTTGGGACAGTGTTCTCGGGGCGTCTCTGGAGTTGCCTGAAGGAAGTCGAGCCACCGGTCGTGTTGAATGGGGAACGGGGAATGGCTCTGGAGTCAATGCAGGGGAATCGGGCCTCATCTCGAGTTGATTTGGGGCACATGGAGCTGCTTTGCGTTGCTGGGGTGACCTCAGGGTCCGTCTAGACTGGTGACAGTGTTCTTGGGGACTGTCTCGAGATCCATTAAGCAAGTCGAAGCTCCTGACTTGTTTGAATGGGATCACGGAATAGCTCTGCATGCACTGCAGGGGAATGGGGCCTCATCTCGCCTCTAGGGGGAAGTCTCATGGTTTTTCTCGAGTTGCGGCGGGGACCTGGGGGATGTTCTCGACTTACGGCGGGGATGGCCCTTCAAAACACGAGTTTCTTCAGTGACGTCAGGACTCCTGTCTAGTAACGAGGGACACCTCAGGAATCTCTTCGAGGCTTGGCAGGGCCAAAGGGACGCTTCTCGAGGTGAGGCAGGGCACCCAAGGACCCTTTCCAGTAGCCACAGGGATTTTGGGATTCCTATCATTATTCAAGAGGAGTCAGGCATCGTCACCTTTTGAAGCAATGAACTCCGCGTGCCTCTCGAGGTGTCAGCGGGATGTGAGGCATTCCGTCAAAATGAGGCAGGGACCTAGGGCTTTCTCTAAGGTCTCCACAGGGGATTCAGACATCCCTTCATGTTGTGAGATGAAAGACGAGCCTGTATTCAAGCCACTGCAAGGAAATCCGGCCTCCTTTCAAGTGAGGGCTTCTCGCTGTATATTCCCCTTGAGGCAGCAAACTCGGGGTCCCTCCCACATACCTATTGCTGAGAGAAGCCTCCTCCTGAGGTGCTTCTGGGAAGTTGGCATACGTCTTGAGCCTAAGCCAGGGAATCAGCTCGCATCTCGAGACGATTTGGGGTACACGGAGCATTCCTCGAGTTGCTGTGCTGAAGTTGGTGTTCCTCTAGACTTGGGACAGTGTTCTCGGGGCATCTCTGGAGTTGCCTGAAGGAAGTCGAGCCACCGGTCGTGTTGAATGGGGAACGGGGAATGGCTCTGGAGTCAATGCAGGGGAATCGGGCCTCATCTCGAGTTGATTTGGGGCACATGGAGCTGCTTTGCGTTGCTGGGGTGACCTCAGGGTCCGTCTAGACTGGTGACAGTGTTCTTGGGGACTGTCTCGAGATCCATTAAGCAAGTCGAAGCTCCTGACTTGTTTGAATGGGATCACGGAATAGCTCTGCATGCACTGCAGGGGAATGGGGCCTCATCTCGCCTCTAGGGGGAAGTCTCATGGTTTTTCTCGAGTTGCGGCGGGGACCTGGGGGATGTTCTCGACTTACGGCGGGGATGGCCCTTCAAAACACGAGTTTCTTCAGTGACGTCAGGACTCCTGTCTAGTAACGAGGGACACCTCAGGAATCTCTTCGAGGCTTGGCAGGGCCAAAGGGACGCTTCTCGAGGTGAGGCAGGGCACCCAAGGACCCTTTCCAGTAGCCACAGGGATTTTGGGATTCCTATCAGTATTCAAGAGGAGTCAGGCATCGTCACCTTTTGAAGCAATGAACTCCGCGTGCCTCTCGAGGTGTCAGCGGGATGTGAGGCATTCCGTCAAAATGAGGCAGGGACCTAGGGCTTTCTCTAAGGTCTCCACAGGGGATTCAGACATCCCTTCATGTTGTGAGATGATAGACGAGCCTGTATTCAAGCCACTGCAAGGAAATCCGGCCTCCTTTCAAGTTAGGGCTTCTCGCTGTATATTCCCCTTGAGGCAGCAAACTCGGGGTCCCTCCCACATACCTATTGCTGAGAGAAGCCTCCTCCTGAGGTGCTTCTGGGAAGTTGGCATACGTCTTGAGCCTAAGCCAGGGAATCAGCTCGCATCTCGAGACGATTTGGGGTACACGGAGCATTCCTCGAGTTGCTGTGCTGAAGTTGGTGTTCCTCTAGACTTGGGACAGTGTTCTCGGGGCATCTCTGGAGTTGCCTGAAGGAAGTCGAGCCACCGGTCGTGTTGAATGGGGAACGGGGAATGGCTCTGGAGTCAATGCAGGGGAATCGGGCCTCATCTCGAGTTGATTTGGGGCACATGGAGCTGCTTTGCGTTGCTGGGGTGACCTCAGGGTCCGTCTAGACTGGTGACAGTGTTCTTGGGGACTGTCTCGAGATCCATTAAGCAAGTCGAAACTCCTGACTTGTTTGAATGGGATCACGGAATAGCTCTGCATGCACTGCAGGGGAATGGGGCCTCATCTCGCCTCTAGGGGGAAGTCTCATGGTTTTTCTCGAGTTGCGGCGGGGACCTGGGGGATGTTCTCGACTTACGGCGGGGATGGCCCTTCAAAACACGAGTTTCTTCAGTGACGTCAGGACTCCTGTCTAGTAACGAGGGACACCTCAGGAATCTCTTCGAGGCTTGGCAGGGCCAAAGGGACGCTTCTCGAGGTGAGGCAGGGCACCCAAGGACCCTTTCCAGTAGCCACAGGGATTTTGGGATTCCTATCAGTATTCAAGAGGAGTCAGGCATCGTCACCTTTTGAAGCAATGAACTCCGCGTGCCTCTCGAGGTGTCAGCGGGATGTGAGGCATTCCGTCAAAATGAGGCAGGGACCTAGGGCTTTCTCTAAGGTCTCCACAGGGGATTCAGACATCCCTTCATGTTGTGAGATGAAAGACGAGCCTGTATTCAAGCCACTGCAAGGAAATCCGGCCTCCTTTCAAGTGAGGGCTTCTCGCTGTATATTCCCCTTGAGGCAGCAAACTCGGGGTCCCTCCCACATACCTATTGCTGAGAGAAGCCTCCTCCTGAGGTGCTTCTGGGAAGTTGGCATACGTCTTGAGCCTAAGCCAGGGAATCAGCTCGCATCTCGAGACGATTTGGGGTACACGGAGCATTCCTCGAGTTGCTGTGCTGAAGTTGGTGTTCCTCTAGACTTGGGACAGTGTTCTCGGGGCATCTCTGGAGTTGCCTGAAGGAAGTCGAGCCACCGGTCGTGTTGAATGGGGAACGGGGAATGGCTCTGGAGTCAATGCAGGGGAATCGGGCCTCATCTCGAGTTGATTTGGGGCACATGGAGCTGCTTTGCGTTGCTGGGGTGACCTCAGGGTCCGTCTAGACTGGTGACAGTGTTCTTGGGGACTGTCTCGAGATCCATTAAGCAAGTCGAAGCTCCTGACTTGTTTGAATGGGATCACGGAATAGCTCTGCATGCACTGCAGGGGAATGGGGCCTCATCTCGCCTCTAGGGGGAAGTCTCATGGTTTTTCTCGAGTTGCGGCGGGGACCTGGGGGATGTTCTCGACTTACGGCGGGGATGGCCCTTCAAAACACGAGTTTCTTCAGTGACGTCAGGACTCCTGTCTAGTAACGAGGGACACCTCAGGAATCTCTTCGAGGCTTGGCAGGGACAAAGGGACGCTTCTCGAGGTGAGGCAGGGCACCCAAGGACCCTTTCCAGTAGCCACAGGGATTTTGGGATTCCTATCAGTATTCAAGAGGAGTCAGGCATCGTCACCTTTTGAAGCAATGAACTCCGCGTGCCTCTCGAGGTGTCAGCGGGATGTGAGGCATTCCGTCAAAATGAGGCAGGGACCTAGGGCTTTCTCTAAGGTCTCCACAGGGGATTCAGACATCCCTTCATGTTGTGAGATGAAAGACGAGCCTGTATTCAAGCCACTGCAAGGAAATCCGGCCTCCTTTCAAGTGAGGGCTTCTCGCTGTATATTCCCCTTGAGGCAGCAAACTCGGGGTCCCTCCCACATACCTATTGCTGAGAGAAGCCTCCTCCTGAGGTGCTTCTGGGAAGTTGGCATACGTCTTGAGCCTAAGCCAGGGAATCAGCTCGCATCTCGAGACGATTTGGGGTACACGGAGCATTCCTCGAGTTGCTGTGCTGAAGTTGGTGTTCCTCTAGACTTGGGACAGTGTTCTCGGGGCATCTCTGGAGTTGCCTGAAGGAAGTCGAGCCACCGGTCGTGTTGAATGGGGAACGGGGAATGGCTCTGGAGTCAATGCAGGGGAATCGGGCCTCATCTCGAGTTGATTTGGGGCACATGGAGCTGCTTTGCGTTGCTGGGGTGACCTCAGGGTCCGTCTAGACTGGTGACAGTGTTCTTGGGGACTGTCTCGAGATCCATTAAGCAAGTCGAAGCTCCTGACTTGTTTGAATGGGATCACGGAGTAGCTCTGCATGCACTGCAGGGGAATGGGGCCTCATCTCGCCTCTAGGGGGAAGTCTCATGGTTTTTCTCGAGTTGTGGCGGGGACCTGGGGGATGTTCTCGACTTACGGCGGGGATGGCCCTTCAAAACACGAGTTTCTTCAGTGACGTCAGGACTCCTGTCTAGTAACGAGGGACACCTCAGGAATCTCTTCGAGGCTTGGCAGGGCCAAAGGGACGCTTCTCGAGGTGAGGCAGGGCACCCAAGGACCCTTTCCAGTAGCCACAGGGATTTTGGGATTCCTATCAGTATTCAAGAGGAGTCAGGCATCGTCACCTTTTGAAGCAATGAACTCCGCGTGCCTCTCGAGGTGTCAGCGGGATGTGAGGCATTCCGTCAAAATGAGGCAGGGACCTAGGGCTTTCTCTAAGGTCTCCACAGGGGATTCAGACATCCCTTCATGTTGTGAGATGAAAGACGAGCCTGTATTCAAGCCACTGCAAGGAAATCCGGCCTCCTTTCAAGTGAGGGCTTCTCGCTGTATATTCCCCTTGAGGCAGCAAACTCGGGGTCCCTCCCACATACCTATTGCTGAGAGAAGCCTCCTCCTGAGGTGCTTCTGGGAAGTTGGCATACGTCTTGAGCCTAAGCCAGGGAATCAGCTCGCATCTCGAGACGATTTGGGGTACACGGAGCATTCCTCGAGTTGCTGTGCTGAAGTTGGTGTTCCTCTAGACTTGGGACAGTGTTCTCGGGGCATCTCTGGAGTTGCCTGAAGGAAGTCGAGCCACCGGTCGTGTTGAATGGGGAACGGGGAATGGCTCTGGAGTCAATGCAGGGGAATCGGGCCTCATCTCGAGTTGATTTGGGGCACATGGAGCTGCTTTGCGTTGCTGGGGTGACCTCAGGGTCCGTCTAGACTGGTGACAGTGTTCTTGGGGACTGTCTCGAGATCCATTAAGCAAGTCGAAGCTCCTGACTTGTTTGAATGGGATCACGGAATAGCTCTGCATGCACTGCAGGGGAATGGGGCCTCATCTCGCCTCTAGGGGGAAGTCTCATGGTTTTTCTCGAGTTGCGGCGGGGACCTGGGGTATGTTCTCGACTTACGGCGGGGATGGCCCTTCAAAACACGAGTTTCTTCAGTGACGTCAGGACTCCTGTCTAGTAACGAGGGACACCTCAGGAATCTCTTCGAGGCTTGGCAGGGCCAAAGGGACGCTTCTCGAGGTGAGGCAGGGCACCCAAGGACCCTTTCCAGTAGCCACAGGGATTTTGGTATTCCTATCAGTATTCAAGAGGAGTCAGGCATCGTCACCTTTTGAAGCAATGAACTCCGCGTGCCTCTCGAGGTGTCAGCGGGATGTGAGGCATTCCGTCAAAATGAGGCAGGGACCTAGGGCTTTCTCTAAGGTCTCCACAGGGGATTCAGACATCCCTTCATGTTGTGAGATGAAAGACGAGCCTGTATTCAAGCCACTGCAAGGAAATCCGGCCTCCTTTCAAGTGAGGGCTTCTCGCTGTATATTCCCCTTGAGGCAGCAAACTCGGGGTCCCTCCCACATACCTATTGCTGAGAGAAGCCTCCTCCTGAGGTGCTTCTGGGAAGTTGGCATACGTCTTGAGCCTAAGCCAGGGAATCAGCTCGCATCTCGAGACGATTTGGGGTACACGGAGCATTCCTCGAGTTGCTGTGCTGAAGTTGGTGTTCCTCTAGACTTGGGACAGTGTTCTCGGGGCATCTCTGGAGTTGCCTGAAGGAAGTCGAGCCACCGGTCGTGTTGAATGGGGAACGGGGAATGGCTCTGGAGTCAATGCAGGGGAATCGGGCCTCATCTCGAGTTGATTTGGGGCACATGGAGCTGCTTTGCGTTGCTGGGGTGACCTCAGGGTCCGTCTAGACTGGTGACAGTGTTCTTGGGGACTGTCTCGAGATCCATTAAGCAAGTCGAAGCTCCTGACTTGTTTGAATGGGATCACGGAATAGCTCTGCATGCACTGCAGGGGAATGGGGCCTCATCTCGCCTCTAGGGGGAAGTCTCATGGTTTTTCTCGAGTTGCGGCGGGGACCTGGGGGATGTTCTCGACTTACGGCGGGGATGGCCCTTCAAAACACGAGTTTCTTCAGTGACGTCAGGACTCCTGTCTAGTAACGAGGGACACCTCAGGAATCTCTTCGAGGCTTGGCAGGGCCAAAGGGACGCTTCTCGAGGTGAGGCAGGGCACCCAAGGACCCTTTCCAGTAGCCACAGGGATTTTGGGATTCCTATCAGTATTCAAGAGGAGTCAGGCATCGTCACCTTTTGAAGCAATGAACTCCGCGTGCCTCTCGAGGTGTCAGCGGGATGTGAGGCATTCCGTCAAAATGAGGCAGGGACCTAGGGCTTTCTCTAAGGTCTCCACAGGGGATTCAGACATCCCTTCATGTTGTGAGATGAAAGACGAGCCTGTATTCAAGCCACTGCAAGGAAATCCGGCCTCCTTTCAAGTTAGGGCTTCTCGCTGTATATTCCCCTTGAGGCAGCAAACTCGGGGTCCCTCCCACATACCTATTGCTGAGAGAAGCCTCCTCCTGAGGTGCTTCTGGGAAGTTGGCATACGTCTTGAGCCTAAGCCAGGGAATCAGCTCGCATCTCGAGACGATTTGGGGTACACGGAGCATTCCTCGAGTTGCTGTGCTGAAGTTGGTGTTCCTCTAGACTTGGGACAGTGTTCTCGGGGCGTCTCTGGAGTTGCCTGAAGGAAGTCGAGCCACCGGTCGTGTTGAATGGGGAACGGGGAATGGCTCTGGAGTCAATGCAGGGGAATCGGGCCTCATCTCGAGTTGATTTGGGGCACATGGAGCTGCTTTGCGTTGCTGGGGTGACCTCAGGGTCCGTCTAGACTGGTGACAGTGTTCTTGGGGACTGTCTCGAGATCCATTAAGCAAGTCGAAGCTCCTGACTTGTTTGAATGGGATCACGGAATAGCTCTGCATGCACTGCAGGGGAATGGGGCCTCATCTCGCCTCTAGGGGGAAGTCTCATGGTTTTTCTCGAGTTGCGGCGGGGACCTGGGGTATGTTCTCGACTTACGGCGGGGATGGCCCTTCAAAACACGAGTTTCTTCAGTGACGTCAGGACTCCTGTCTAGTAACGAGGGACACCTCAGGAATCTCTTCGAGGCTTGGCAGGGCCAAAGGGACGCTTCTCGAGGTGAGGCAGGGCACCCAAGGACCCTTTCCAGTAGCCACAGGGATTTTGGGATTCCTATCATTATTCAAGAGGAGTCAGGCATCGTCACCTTTTGAAGCAATGAACTCCGCGTGCCTCTCGAGGTGTCAGCGGGATGTGAGGCATTCCGTCAAAATGAGGCAGGGACCTAGGGCTTTCTCTAAGGTCTCCACAGGGGATTCAGACATCCCTTCATGTTGTGAGATGAAAGACGAGCCTGTATTCAAGCCACTGCAAGGAAATCCGGCCTCCTTTCAAGTGAGGGCTTCTCGCTGTATATTCCCCTTGAGGCAGCAAACTCGGGGTCCCTCCCACATACCTATTGCTGAGAGAAGCCTCCTCCTGAGGTGCTTCTGGGAAGTTGGCATACGTCTTGAGCCTAAGCCAGGGAATCAGCTCGCATCTCGAGACGATTTGGGGTACACGGAGCATTCCTCGAGTTGCTGTGCTGAAGTTGGTGTTCCTCTAGACTTGGGACAGTGTTCTCGGGGCATCTCTGGAGTTGCCTGAAGGAAGTCGAGCCACCGGTCGTGTTGAATGGGGAACGGGGAATGGCTCTGGAGTCAATGCAGGGGAATCGGGCCTCATCTCGAGTTGATTTGGGGCACATGGAGCTGCTTTGCGTTGCTGGGGTGACCTCAGGGTCCGTCTAGACTGGTGACAGTGTTCTTGGGGACTGTCTCGAGATCCATTAAGCAAGTCGAAGCTCCTGACTTGTTTGAATGGGATCACGGAATAGCTCTGCATGCACTGCAGGGGAATGGGGCCTCATCTCGCCTCTAGGGGGAAGTCTCATGGTTTTTCTCGAGTTGCGGCGGGGACCTGGGGGATGTTCTCGACTTACGGCGGGGATGGCCCTTCAAAACACGAGTTTCTTCAGTGACGTCAGGACTCCTGTCTAGTAACGAGGGACACCTCAGGAATCTCTTCGAGGCTTGGCAGGGCCAAAGGGACGCTTCTCGAGGTGAGGCAGGGCACCCAAGGACACTTTCCAGTAGCCACAGGGATTTTGGGATTCCTATCAGTATTCAAGAGGAGTCAGGCATCGTCACCTTTTGAAGCAATGAACTCCGCGTGCCTCTCGAGGTGTCAGCGGGATGTGAGGCATTCCGTCAAAATGAGGCAGGGACCTAGGGCTTTCTCTAAGGTCTCCACAGGGGATTCAGACATCCCTTCATGTTGTGAGATGATAGACGAGCCTGTATTCAAGCCACTGCAAGGAAATCCGGCCTCCTTTCAAGTTAGGGCTTCTCGCTGTATATTCCCCTTGAGGCAGCAAACTCGGGGTCCCTCCCACATACCTATTGCTGAGAGAAGCCTCCTCCTGAGGTGCTTCTGGGAAGTTGGCATACGTCTTGAGCCTAAGCCAGGGAATCAGCTCGCATCTCGAGACGATTTGGGGTACACGGAGCATTCCTCGAGTTGCTGTGCTGAAGTTGGTGTTCCTCTAGACTTGGGACAGTGTTCTCGGGGCATCTCTGGAGTTGCCTGAAGGAAGTCGAGCCACCGGTCGTGTTGAATGGGGAACGGGGAATGGCTCTGGAGTCAATGCAGGGGAATCGGGCCTCATCTCGAGTTGATTTGGGGCACATGGAGCTGCTTTGCGTTGCTGGGGTGACCTCAGGGTCCGTCTAGACTGGTGACAGTGTTCTTGGGGACTGTCTCGAGATCCATTAAGCAAGTCGAAGCTCCTGACTTGTTTGAATGGGATCACGGAATAGCTCTGCATGCACTGCAGGGGAATGGGGCCTCATCTCGCCTCTAGGGGGAAGTCTCATGGTTTTTCTCGAGTTGCGGCGGGGACCTGGGGGATGTTCTCGACTTACGGCGGGGATTTCCCTTCAAAACACGAGTTTCTTCAGTGACGTCAGGACTCCTGTCTAGTAACGAGGGACACCTCAGGAATCTCTTCGAGGCTTGGCAGGGCCAAAGGGACGCTTCTCGAGGTGAGGCAGGGCACCCAAGGACACTTTCCAGTAGCCACAGGGATTTTGGGATTCCTATCAGTATTCAAGAGGAGTCAGGCATCGTCACCTTTTGAAGCAATGAACTCCGCGTGCCTCTCGAGGTGTCAGCGGGATGTGAGGCATTCCGTCAAAATGAGGCAGGGACCTAGGGCTTTCTCTAAGGTCTCCACAGGGGATTCAGACATCCCTTCATGTTGTGAGATGAAAGACGAGCCTGTATTCAAGCCACTGCAAGGAAATCCGGCCTCCTTTCAAGTGAGGGCTTCTCGCTGTATATTCCCCTTGAGGCAGCAAACTCGGGGTCCCTCCCACATACCTATTGCTGAGAGAAGCCTCCTCCTGAGGTGCTTCTGGGAAGTTGGCATACGTCTTGAGCCTAAGCCAGGGAATCAGCTCGCATCTCGAGACGATTTGGGGTACACGGAGCATTCCTCGAGTTGCTGTGCTGAAGTTGGTGTTCCTCTAGACTTGGGACAGTGTTCTCGGGGCATCTCTGGAGTTGCCTGAAGGAAGTCGAGCCACCGGTCGTGTTGAATGGGGAACGGGGAATGGCTCTGGAGTCAATGCAGGGGAATCGGGCCTCATCTCGAGTTGATTTGGGGCACATGGAGCTGCTTTGCGTTGCTGGGGTGACCTCAGGGTCCGTCTAGACTGGTGACAGTGTTCTTGGGGACTGTCTCGAGATCCATTAAGCAAGTCGAAGCTCCTGACTTGTTTGAATGGGATCACGGAATAGCTCTGCATGCACTGCAGGGGAATGGGGCCTCATCTCGCCTCTAGGGGGAAGTCTCATGGTTTTTCTCGAGTTGCGGCGGGGACCTGGGGGATGTTCTCGACTTACGGCGGGGATGGCCCTTCAAAACACGAGTTTCTTCAGTGACGTCAGGACTCCTGTCTAGTAACGAGGGACACCTCAGGAATCTCTTCGAGGCTTGGCAGGGCCAAAGGGACGCTTCTCGAGGTGAGGCAGGGCACCCAAGGACCCTTTCCAGTAGCCACAGGGATTTTGGGATTCCTATCAGTATTCAAGAGGAGTCAGGCATCGTCACCTTTTGAAGCAATGAACTCCGCGTGCCTCTCGAGGTGTCAGCGGGATGTGAGGCATTCCGTCAAAATGAGGCAGGGACCTAGGGCTTTCTCTAAGGTCTCCACAGGGGATTCAGACATCCCTTCATGTTGTGAGATGAAAGACGAGCCTGTATTCAAGCCACTGCAAGGAAATCCGGCCTCCTTTCAAGTGAGGGCTTCTCGCTGTATATTCCCCTTGAGGCAGCAAACTCGGGGTCCCTCCCACATACCTATTGCTGAGAGAAACCTCCTCCTGATGTGCTTCTGGGAAGTTGGCATACGTCTTGAGCCTAAGCCAGGGAATCAGCTCGCATCTCGAGACGATTTGGGGTACACGGAGCATTCCTCGAGTTGCTGTGCTGAAGTTGGTGTTCCTCTAGACTTGGGACAGTGTTCTCGGGGCATCTCTGGAGTTGCCTGAAGGAAGTCGAGCCACCGGTCGTGTTGAATGGGGAACGGGGAATGGCTCTGGAGTCAATGCAGGGGAATCGGGCCTCATCTCGAGTTGATTTGGGGCACATGGAGCTGCTTTGCGTTGCTGGGGTGACCTCAGGGTCCGTCTAGACTGGTGACAGTGTTCTTGGGGACTGTCTCGAGATCCATTAAGCAAGTCGAAGCTCCTGACTTGTTTGAATGGGATCACGGAATAGCTCTGCATGCACTGCAGGGGAATGGGGCCTCATCTCGCCTCTAGGGGGAAGTCTCATGGTTTTTCTCGAGTTGCGGCGGGGACCTGGGGGATGTTCTCGACTTACGGCGGGGATGGCCCTTCAAAACACGAGTTTCTTCAGTGACGTCAGGACTCCTGTCTAGTAACGAGGGACACCTCAGGAATCTCTTCGAGGCTTGGCAGGGCCAAAGGGACGCTTCTCGAGGTGAGGCAGGGCACCCAAGGACCCTTTCCAGTAGCCACAGGGATTTTGGGATTCCTATCAGTATTCAAGAGGAGTCAGGCATCGTCACCTTTTGAAGCAATGAACTCCGCGTGCCTCTCGAGGTGTCAGCGGGATGTGAGGCATTCCGTCAAAATGAGGCAGGGACCTAGGGCTTTCTCTAAGGTCTCCACAGGGGATTCAGACATCCCTTCATGTTGTGAGATGAAAGACGAGCCTGTATTCAAGCCACTGCAAGGAAATCCGGCCTCCTTTCAAGTGAGGGCTTCTCGCTGTATATTCCCCTTGAGGCAGCAAACTCGGGGTCCCTCCCACATACCTATTGCTGAGAGAAGCCTCCTCCTGAGGTGCTTCTGGGAAGTTGGCATACGTCTTGAGCCTAAGCCAGGGAATCAGCTCGCATCTCGAGACGATTTGGGGTACACGGAGCATTCCTCGAGTTGCTGTGCTGAAGTTGGTGTTCCTCTAGACTTGGGACAGTGTTCTCGGGGCGTCTCTGGAGTTGCCTGAAGGAAGTCGAGCCACCGGTCATGTTGAATGGGGAACGGGGAATGGCTCTGGAGTCAATGCAGGGGAATCGGGCCTCATCTCGAGTTGATTTGGGGCACATGGAGCTGCTTTGCGTTGCTGGGGTGACCTCAGGGTCCGTCTAGACTGGTGACAGTGTTCTTGGGGACTGTCTCGAGATCCATTAAGCAAGTCGAAGCTCCTGACTTGTTTGAATGGGATCACGGAATAGCTCTGCATGCACTGCAGGGGAATGGGGCCTCATCTCGCCTCGAGGGGGAAGTCTCATGGTTTTTCTCGAGTTGCGGCGGGGACCTGGGGTATGTTCTCGACTTACGGCGGGGATGGCCCTTCAAAACACGAGTTTCTTCAGTGACGTCAGGACTCCTGTCTAGTAACGAGGGACACCTCAGGAATCTCTTCGAGGCTTGGCAGGGCCAAAGGGACGCTTCTCGAGGTGAGGCAGGGCACCCAAGGACCCTTTCCAGTAGCCACAGGGATTTTGGGATTCCTATCAGTATTCAAGAGGAGTCAGGCATCGTCACCTTTTGAAGCAATGAACTCCGCGTGCCTCTCGAGGTGTCAGCGGGATGTGAGGCATTCCGTCAAAATGAGGCAGGGACCTAGGGCTTTCTCTAAGGTCTCCACAGGGGATTCAGACATCCCTTCATGTTGTGAGATGAAAGACGAGCCTGTATTCAAGCCACTGCAAGGAAATCCGGCCTCCTTTCAAGTGAGGGCTTCTCGCTGTATATTCCCCTTGAGGCAGCAAACTCGGGGTCCCTCCCACATACCTATTGCTGAGAGAAGCCTCCTCCTGAGGTGCTTCTGGGAAGTTGGCATACGTCTTGAGCCTAAGCCAGGGAATCAGCTCGCATCTCGAGACGATTTGGGGTACACGGAGCATTCCTCGAGTTGCTGTGCTGAAGTTGGTGTTCCTCTAGACTTGGGACAGTGTTCTCGGGGCGTCTCTGGAGTTGCCTGAAGGAAGTCGAGCCACCGGTCATGTTGAATGGGGAACGGGGAATGGCTCTGGAGTCAATGCAGGGGAATCGGGCCTCATCTCGAGTTGATTTGGGGCACATGGAGCTGCTTTGCGTTGCTGGGGTGACCTCAGGGTCCGTCTAGACTGGTGACAGTGTTCTTGGGGACTGTCTCGAGATCCATTAAGCAAGTCGAAGCTCCTGACTTGTTTGAATGGGATCACGGAATAGCTCTGCATGCACTGCAGGGGAATGGGGCCTCATCTCGCCTCGAGGGGGAAGTCTCATGGTTTTTCTCGAGTTGCGGCGGGGACCTGGGGTATGTTCTCGACTTACGGCGGGGATGGCCCTTCAAAACACGAGTTTCTTCAGTGACGTCAGGACTCCTGTCTAGTAACGAGGGACACCTCAGGAATCTCTTCGAGGCTTGGCAGGGCCAAAGGGACGCTTCTCAAGGTGAGGCAGGGCACCCAAGCGCCCTTTCCAGTAGCCACAGGGATTTTGGGATTCCTATCAGTATTCAAGAGGAGTCAGGCATCGTCACCTTTTGAAGCAATGAACTCCGCGTGCCTCTCGAGGTGTCAGCGGGATGTGAGGCATTCCGTCAAAATGAGGCAGGGACCTAGGGCTTTCTCTAAGGTCTCCACAGGGGATTCAGACATCCCTTCATGTTGTGAGATGAAAGACGAGCCTGTATTCAAGCCACTGCAAGGAAATCCGGCCTCCTTTCAAGTGAGGGCTTCTCGCTGTATATTCCCCTTGAGGCAGCAAACTCGGGGTCCCTCCCACATACCTATTGCTGAGAGAAGCCTCCTCCTGAGGTGCTTCTGGGAAGTTGGCATACGTCTTGAGCCTAAGCCAGGGAATCAGCTCGCATCTCGAGACGATTTGGGGTACACGGAGCATTCCTCGAGTTGCTGTGCTGAAGTTGGTGTTCCTCTAGACTTGGGACAGTGTTCTCGGGGCATCTCTGGAGTTGCCTGAAGGAAGTCGAGCCACCGGTCGTGTTGAATGGGGAACGGGGAATGGCTCTGGAGTCAATGCAGGGGAATCGGGCCTCATCTCGAGTTGATTTGGGGCACATGGAGCTGCTTTGCGTTGCTGGGGTGACCTCAGGGTCCGTCTAGACTGGTGACAGTGTTCTTGGGGACTGTCTCGAGATCCATTAAGCAAGTCGAAGCTCCTGACTTGTTTGAATGGGATCACGGAATAGCTCTGCATGCACTGCAGGGGAATGGGGCCTCATCTCGCCTCTAGGGGGAAGTCTCATGGTTTTTCTCGAGTTGCGGCGGGGACCTGGGGGATGTTCTCGACTTACGGCGGGGATGGCCCTTCAAAACACGAGTTTCTTCAGTGACGTCAGGACTCCTGTCTAGTAACGAGGGACACCTCAGGAATCTCTTCGAGGCTTGGCAGGGCCAAAGGGACGCTTCTCGAGGTGAGGCAGGGCACCCAAGGACCCTTTCCAGTAGCCACAGGGATTTTGGGATTCCTATCAGTATTCAAGAGGAGTCAGGCATCGTCACCTTTTGAAGCAATGAACTCCGCGTGCCTCTCGAGGTGTCAGCGGGATGTGAGGCATTCCGTCAAAATGAGGCAGGGACCTAGGGCTTTCTCTAAGGTCTCCACAGGGGATTCAGACATCCCTTCATGTTGTGAGATGAAAGACGAGCCTGTATTCAAGCCACTGCAAGGAAATCCGGCCTCCTTTCAAGTGAGGGCTTCTCGCTGTATATTCCCCTTGAGGCAGCAAACTCGGGGTCCCTCCCACATACCTATTGCTGAGAGAAGCCTCCTCCTGAGGTGCTTCTGGGAAGTTGGCATACGTCTTGAGCCTAAGCCAGGGAATCAGCTCGCATCTCGAGACGATTTGGGGTACACGGAGCATTCCTCGAGTTGCTGTGCTGAAGTTGGTGTTCCTCTAGACTTGGGACAGTGTTCTCGGGGCATCTCTGGAGTTGCCTGAAGGAAGTCGAGCCACCGGTCGTGTTGAATGGGGAACGGGGAATGGCTCTGGAGTCAATGCAGGGGAATCGGGCCTCATCTCGAGTTGATTTGGGGCACATGGAGCTGCTTTGCGTTGCTGGGGTGACCTCAGGGTCCGTCTAGACTGGTGACAGTGTTCTTGGGGACTGTCTCGAGATCCATTAAGCAAGTCGAAGCTCCTGACTTGTTTGAATGGGATCACGGAATAGCTCTGCATGCACTGCAGGGGAATGGGGCCTCATCTCGCCTCTAGGGGGAAGTCTCATGGTTTTTCTCGAGTTGCGGCGGGGACCTGGGGGATGTTCTCGACTTACGGCGGGGATGGCCCTTCAAAACACGAGTTTCTTCAGTGACGTCAGGACTCCTGTCTAGTAACGAGGGACACCTCAGGAATCTCTTCGAGGCTTGGCAGGGCCAAAGGGACGCTTCTCGAGGTGAGGCAGGGCACCCAAGGACCCTTTCCAGTAGCCACAGGGATTTTGGGATTCCTATCAGTATTCAAGAGGAGTCAGGCATCGTCACCTTTTGAAGCAATGAACTCCGCGTGCCTCTCGAGGTGTCAGCGGGATGTGAGGCATTCCGTCAAAATGAGGCAGGGACCTAGGGCTTTCTCTAAGGTCTCCACAGGGGATTCAGACATCCCTTCATGTTGTGAGATGAAAGACGAGCCTGTATTCAAGCCACTGCAAGGAAATCCGGCCTCCTTTCAAGTTAGGGCTTCTCGCTGTATATTCCCCTTGAGGCAGCAAACTCGGGGTCCCTCCCACATACCTATTGCTGAGAGAAGCCTCCTCCTGAGGTGCTTCTGGGAAGTTGGCATACGTCTTGAGCCTAAGCCAGGGAATCAGCTCGCATCTCGAGACGATTTGGGGTACACGGAGCATTCCTCGAGTTGCTGTGCTGAAGTTGGTGTTCCTCTAGACTTGGGACAGTGTTCTCGGGGCATCTCTGGAGTTGCCTGAAGGAAGTCGAGCCACCGGTCGTGTTGAATGGGGAACGGGGAATGGCTCTGGAGTCAATGCAGGGGAATCGGGCCTCATCTCGAGTTGATTTGGGGCACATGGAGCTGCTTTGCGTTGCTGGGGTGACCTCAGGGTCCGTCTAGACTGGTGACAGTGTTCTTGGGGACTGTCTCGAGATCCATTAAGCAAGTCGAAGCTCCTGACTTGTTTGAATGGGATCACGGAATAGCTCTGCATGCACTGCAGGGGAATGGGGCCTCATCTCGCCTCTAGGGGGAAGTCTCATGGTTTTTCTCGAGTTGCGGCGGGGACCTGGGGTATGTTCTCGACTTACGGCGGGGATGGCCCTTCAAAACACGAGTTTCTTCAGTGACGTCAGGACTCCTGTCTAGTAACGAGGGACACCTCAGGAATCTCTTCGAGGCTTGGCAGGGCCAAAGGGACGCTTCTCGAGGTGAGGCAGGGCACCCAAGGACCCTTTCCAGTAGCCACAGGGATTTTGGGATTCCTATCAGTATTCAAGAGGAGTCAGGCATCGTCACCTTTTGAAGCAATGAACTCCGCGTGCCTCTCGAGGTGTCAGCGGGATGTGAGGCATTCCGTCAAAATGAGGCAGGGACCTAGGGCTTTCTCTAAGGTCTCCACAGGGGATTCAGACATCCCTTCATGTTGTGAGATGAAAGACGAGCCTGTATTCAAGCCACTGCAAGGAAATCCGGCCTCCTTTCAAGTGAGGGCTTCTCGCTGTATATTCCCCTTGAGGCAGCAAACTCGGGGTCCCTCCCACATACCTATTGCTGAGAGAAGCCTCCTCCTGAGGTGCTTCTGGGAAGTTGGCATACGTCTTGAGCCTAAGCCAGGGAATCAGCTCATATCTCGAGACGATTTGGGGTACACGGAGCATTCCTCGAGTTGCTGTGCTGAAGTTGGTGTTCCTCTAGACTTGGGACAGTGTTCTCGGGGCATCTCTGGAGTTGCCTGAAGGAAGTCGAGCCACCGGTCGTGTTGAATGGGGAACGGGGAATGGCTCTGGAGTCAATGAAGGGGAATCGGGCCTCATCTCGAGTTGATTTGGGGCACATGGAGCTGCTTTGCGTTGCTGGGGTGACCTCAGGGTCCGTCTAGACTGGTGACAGTGTTCTTGGGGACTGTCTCGAGATCCATTAAGCAAGTCGAAGCTCCTGACTTGTTTGAATGGGATCACGGAATAGCTCTGCATGCACTGCAGGGGAATGGGGCCTCATCTCGCCTCTAGGGGGAAGTCTCATGGTTTTTCTCGAGTTGCGGCGGGGACCTGGGGTATGTTCTCGACTTACGGCGGGGATGGCCCTTCAAAACACGAGTTTCTTCAGTGACGTCAGGACTCCTGTCTAGTAACGAGGGACACCTCAGGAATCTCTTCGAGGCTTGGCAGGGCCAAAGGGACGCTTCTCGAGGTGAGGCAGGGCACCCAAGGACCCTTTCCAGTAGCCACAGGGATTTTGGGATTCCTATCAGTATTCAAGAGGAGTCAGGCATCGTCACCTTTTGAAGCAATGAACTCCGCGTGCCTCTCGAGGTGTCAGCGGGATGTGAGGCATTCCGTCAAAATGAGGCAGGGACCTAGGGCTTTCTCTAAGGTCTCCACAGGGGATTCAGATATCCCTTCATGTTGTGAGATGAAAGACGAGCCTGTATTCAAGCCACTGCAAGGAAATCCGGCCTCCTTTCAAGTTAGGGCTTCTCGCTGTATATTCCCCTTGAGGCAGCAAACTCGGGGTCCCTCCCACATACCTATTGCTGAGAGAAGCCTCCTCCTGAGGTGCTTCTGGGAAGTTGGCATACGTCTTGAGCCTAAGCCAGGGAATCAGCTCGCATCTCGAGACGATTTGGGGTACACGGAGCATTCCTCGAGTTGCTGTGCTGAAGTTGGTGTTCCTCTAGACTTGGGACAGTGTTCTCGGGGCGTCTCTGGAGTTGCCTGAAGGAAGTCGAGCCACCGGTCGTGTTGAATGGGGAACGGGGAATGGCTCTGGAGTCAATGCAGGGGAATCGGGCCTCATCTCGAGTTGATTTGGGGCACATGGAGCTGCTTTGCTTTGCTGGGGTGACCTCAGGGTCCGTCTAGACTGGTGACAGTGTTCTTGGGGACTGTCTCGAGATCCATTAAGCAAGTCGAAGCTCCTGACTTCTTTGAATGGGATCACGGAATAGCTCTGCATGCACTGCAGGGGAATGGGGCCTCATCTCGCCTCTAGGGGGAAGTCTCATGGTTTTTCTCGAGTTGCGGCGGGGACCTGGGGTATGTTCTCGACTTACGGCGGGGATGGCCCTTCAAAACACGAGTTTCTTCAGTGACGTCAGGACTCCTGTCTAGTAACGAGGGACACCTCAGGAATCTCTTCGAGGCTTGGCAGGGCCAAAGGGACGCTTCTCGAGGTGAGGCAGGGCACCCAAGGACCCTTTCCAGTAGCCACAGGGATTTTGGGATTCCTATCAGTATTCAAGAGGAGTCAGGCATCGTCACCTTTTGAAGCAATGAACTCCGCGTGCCTCTCGAGGTGTCAGCGGGATGTGAGGCATTCCGTCAAAATGAGGCAGGGACCTAGGGCTTTCTCTAAGGTCTCCACAGGGGATTCAGACATCCCTTCATGTTGTGAGATGAAAGACGAGCCTGTATTCAAGCCACTGCAAGGAAATCCGGCCTCCTTTCAAGTTAGGGCTTCTCGCTGTATATTCCCCTTGAGGCAGCAAACTCGGGGTCCCTCCCACATACCTATTGCTGAGAGAAGCCTCCTCCTGAGGTGCTTCTGGGAAGTTGGCATACGTCTTGAGCCTAAGCCAGGGAATCAGCTCGCATCTCGAGACGATTTGGGGTACACGGAGCATTCCTCGAGTTGCTGTGCTGAAGTAGGTGTTCCTCTAGACTTGGGACAGTGTTCTCGGGGCGTCTCTGGAGTTGCCTGAAGGAAGTCGAGCCACCGGTCGTGTTGAATGGGGAACGGGGAATGGCTCTGGAGTCAATGCAGGGGAATCGGGCCTCATCTCGAGTTGATTTGGGGCACATGGAGCTGCTTTGCGTTGCTGGGGTGACCTCAGGGTCCGTCTAGACTGGTGACAGTGTTCTTGGGGACTGTCTCGAGATCCATTAAGCAAGTCGAAGCTCCTGACTTGTTTGAATGGGATCACGGAATAGCTCTGCATGCACTGCAGGGGAATGGGGCCTCATCTCGCCTCTAGGGGGAAGTCTCATGGTTTTTCTCGAGTTGCGGCGGGGACCTGGGGTATGTTCTCGACTTACGGCGGGGATGGCCCTTCAAAACACGAGTTTCTTCAGTGACGTCAGGACTCCTGTCTAGTAACGAGGGACACCTCAGGAATCTCTTCGAGGCTTGGCAGGGCCAAAGGGACGCTTCTCGAGGTGAGGCAGGGCACCCAAGGACCCTTTCCAGTAGCCACAGGGATTTTGGGATTCCTATCAGTATTCAAGAGGAGTCAGGCATCGTCACCTTTTGAAGCAATGAACTCCGCGTGCCTCTCGAGGTGTCAGCGGGATGTGAGGCATTCCGTCAAAATGAGGCAGGGACCTAGGGCTTTCTCTAAGGTCTCCACAGGGGATTCAGACATCCCTTCATGTTGTGAGATGAAAGACGAGCCTGTATTCAAGCCACTGCAAGGAAATCCGGCCTCCTTTCAAGTGAGGGCTTCTCGCTGTATATTCCCCTTGAGGCAGCAAACTCGGGGTCCCTCCCACATACCTATTGCTGAGAGAAGCCTCCTCCTGAGGTGCTTCTGGGAAGTTGGCATACGTCTTGAGCCTAAGCCAGGGAATCAGCTCGCATCTCGAGACGATTTGGGGTACACGGAGCATTCCTCGAGTTGCTGTGCTGAAGTTGGTGTTCCTCTAGACTTGGGACAGTGTTCTCGGGGCATCTCTGGAGTTGCCTGAAGGAAGTCGAGCCACCGGTCGTGTTGAATGGGGAACGGGGAATGGCTCTGGAGTCAATGAAGGGGAATCGGGCCTCATCTCGAGTTGATTTGGGGCACATGGAGCTGCTTTGCGTTGCTGGGGTGACCTCAGGGTCCGTCTAGACTGGTGACAGTGTTCTTGGGGACTGTCTCGAGATCCATTAAGCAAGTCGAAGCTCCTGACTTGTTTGAATGGGATCACGGAATAGCTCTGCATGCACTGCAGGGGAATGGGGCCTCATCTCGCCTCTAGGGGGAAGTCTCATGGTTTTTCTCGAGTTGCGGCGGGGACCTGGGGTATGTTCTCGACTTACGGCGGGGATGGCCCTTCAAAACACGAGTTTCTTCAGTGACGTCAGGACTCCTGTCTAGTAACGAGGGACACCTCAGGAATCTCTTCGAGGCTTGGCAGGGCCAAAGGGACGCTTCTCGAGGTGAGGCAGGGCACCCAAGGACCCTTTCCAGTAGCCACAGGGATTTTGGGATTCCTATCAGTATTCAAGAGGAGTCAGGCATCGTCACCTTTTGAAGCAATGAACTCCGCGTGCCTCTCGAGGTGTCAGCGGGATGTGAGGCATTCCGTCAAAATGAGGCAGGGACCTAGGGCTTTCTCTAAGGTCTCCACAGGGGATTCAGACATCCCTTCATGTTGTGAGATGAAAGACGAGCCTGTATTCAAGCCACTGCAAGGAAATCCGGCCTCCTTTCAAGTGAGGGCTTCTCGCTGTATATTCCCCTTGAGGCAGCAAACTCGGGGTCCCTCCCACATACCTATTGCTGAGAGAAGCCTCCTCCTGAGGTGCTTCTGGGAAGTTGGCATACGTCTTGAGCCTAAGCCAGGGAATCAGCTCGCATCTCGAGACGATTTGGGGTACACGGAGCATTCCTCGAGTTGCTGTGCTGAAGTTGGTGTTCCTCTAGACTTGGGACAGTGTTCTCGGGGCGTCTCTGGAGTTGCCTGAAGGAAGTCGAGCCACCGGTCGTGTTGAATGGGGAACGGGGAATGGCTCTGGAGTCAATGCAGGGGAATCGGGCCTCATCTCGAGTTGATTTGGGGCACATGGAGCTGCTTTGCGTTGCTGGGGTGACCTCAGGGTCCGTCTAGACTGGTGACAGTGTTCTTGGGGACTGTCTCGAGATCCATTAAGCAAGTTGAAGCTCCTGACTTGTTTGAATGGGATCACGGAATAGCTCTGCATGCACTGCAGGGGAATGGGGCCTCATCTCGCCTCTAGGGGGAAGTCTCATGGTTTTTCTCGAGTTGAGGCGGGGACCTGGGGTATGTTCTCGACTTACGGCGGGGATGGCCCTTCAAAACACGAGTTTCTTCAGTGACGTCAGGACTCCTGTCTAGTAACGAGGGACACCTCAGGAATCTCTTCGAGGCTTGGCAGGGCCAAAGGGACGCTTCTCGAGGTGAGGCAGGGCACCCAAGGACCCTTTCCATTAGCCACAGGGATTTTGGGATTCCTATCAGTATTCAAGAGGAGTCAGGCATCGTCACCTTTTGAAGCAATGAACTCCGCGTGCCTCTCGAGGTGTCAGCGGGATGTGAGGCATTCCGTCAAAATGAGGCAGGGACCTAGGGCTTTCTCTAAGGTCTCCACAGGGGATTCAGACATCCCTTCATGTTGTGAGATGAAAGACGAGCCTGTATTCAAGCCACTGCAAGGAAATCCGGCCTCCTTTCAAGTGAGGGCTTCTCGCTGTATATTCCCCTTGAGGCAGCAAACTCGGGGTCCCTCCCACATACCTATTGCTGAGAGAAGCCTCCTCCTGAGGTGCTTCTGGGAAGTTGGCATACGTCTTGAGCCTAAGCCAGGGAATCAGCTCGCATCTCGAGACGATTTGGGGTACACGGAGCATTCCTCGAGTTGCTGTGCTGAAGTTGGTGTTCCTCTAGACTTGGGACAGTGTTCTCGGGGCATCTCTGGAGTTGCCTGAAGGAAGTCGAGCCACCGGTCGTGTTGAATGGGGAACGGGGAATGGCTCTGGAGTCAATGCAGGGGAATCGGGCCTCATCTCGAGTTGATTTGGGGCACATGGAGCTGCTTTGCGTTGCTGGGGTGACCTCAGGGTCCGTCTAGACTGGTGACAGTGTTCTTGGGGACTGTCTCGAGATCCATTAAGCAAGTCGAAGCTCCTGACTTGTTTGAATGGGATCACGGAATAGCTCTGCATGCACTGCAGGGGAATGGGGCCTCATCTCGCCTCTAGGGGGAAGTCTCATGGTTTTTCTCGAGTTGCGGCGGGGACCTGGGGGATGTTCTCGACTTACGGCGGGGATGGCCCTTCAAAACACGAGTTTCTTCAGTGACGTCAGGACTCCTGTCTAGTAACGAGGGACACCTCAGGAATCTCTTCGAGGCTTGGCAGGGCCAAAGGGACGCTTCTCGAGGTGAGGCAGGGCACCCAAGGACACTTTCCAGTAGCCACAGGGATTTTGGGATTCCTATCAGTATTCAAGAGGAGTCAGGCATCGTCACCTTTTGAAGCAATGAACTCCGCGTGCCTCTCGAGGTGTCAGCGGGATGTGAGGCATTCCGTCAAAATGAGGCAGGGACCTAGGGCTTTCTCTAAGGTCTCCACAGGGGATTCAGACATCCCTTCATGTTGTGAGATGATAGACGAGCCTGTATTCAAGCCACTGCAAGGAAATCCGGCCTCCTTTCAAGTTAGGGCTTCTCGCTGTATATTCCCCTTGAGGCAGCAAACTCGGGGTCCCTCCCACATACCTATTGCTGAGAGAAGCCTCCTCCTGAGGTGCTTCTGGGAAGTTGGCATACGTCTTGAGCCTAAGCCAGGGAATCAGCTCGCATCTCGAGACGATTTGGGGTACACGGAGCATTCCTCGAGTTGCTGTGCTGAAGTTGGTGTTCCTCTAGACTTCGGACAGTGTTCTTGGGGCATCTCTGGAGTTGCCTGAAGGAAGTCGAGCCACCGGTCGTGTTGAATGGGGAACGGGGAATGGCTCTGGAGTCAATGCAGGGGAATCGGGCCTCATCTCGAGTTGATTTGGGGCACATGGAGCTGCTTTGCGTTGCTGGGGTGACCTCAGGGTCCGTCTAGACTGGTGACAGTGTTCTTGGGGACTGTCTCGAGATCCATTAAGCAAGTCGAAGCTCCTGACTTGTTTGAATGGGATCACGGAATAGCTCTGCATGCACTGCAGGGGAATGGGGCCTCATCTCGCCTCTAGGGGGAAGTCTCATGGTTTTTCTCGAGTTGCGGCGGGGACCTGGGGGATGTTCTCGACTTACGGCGGGGATGGCCCTTCAAAACACGAGTTTCTTCAGTGACGTCAGGACTCCTGTCTAGTAACGAGGGACACCTCAGGAATCTCTTCGAGGCTTGGCAGGGCCAAAGGGACGCTTCTCGAGGTGAGGCAGGGCACCCAAGGACACTTTCCAGTAGCCACAGGGATTTTGGGATTCCTATCAGTATTCAAGAGTAGTCAGGCATCGTCACCTTTTGAAGCAATGAACTCCGCGTGCCTCTCGAGGTGTCAGCGGGATGTGAGGCATTCCGTCAAAATGAGGCAGGGACCTAGGGCTTTCTCTAAGGTCTCCACAGGGGATTCAGACATCCCTTCATGTTGTGAGATGAAAGACGAGCCTGTATTCAAGCCACTGCAAGGAAATCCGGCCTCCTTTCAAGTGAGGGCTTCTCGCTGTATATTCCCCTTGAGGCAGCAAACTCGGGGTCCCTCCCACATACCTATTGCTGAGAGAAGCCTCCTCCTGAGGTGCTTCTGGGAAGTTGGCATACGTCTTGAGCCTAAGCCAGGGAATCAGCTCGCATCTCGAGACGATTTGGGGTACACGGAGCATTCCTCGAGTTGCTGTGCTGAAGTTGGTGTTCCTCTAGACTTGGGACAGTGTTCTCGGGGCATCTCTGGAGTTGCCTGAAGGAAGTCGAGCCACCGGTCGTGTTGAATGGGGAACGGGGAATGGCTCTGGAGTCAATGCAGGGGAATCGGGCCTCATCTCGAGTTGATTTGGGGCACATGGAGCTGCTTTGCGTTGCTGGGGTGACCTCAGGGTCCGTCTAGACTGGTGACAGTGTTCTTGGGGACTGTCTCGAGATCCATTAAGCAAGTCGAAGCTCCTGACTTGTTTGAATGGGATCACGGAATAGCTCTGCATGCACTGCAGGGGAATGGGGCCTCATCTCGCCTCTAGGGGGAAGTCTCATGGTTTTTCTCGAGTTGCGGCGGGGACCTGGGGGATGTTCTCGACTTACGGCGGGGATGGCCCTTCAAAACACGAGTTTCTTCAGTGACGTCAGGACTCCTGTCTAGTAACGAGGGACACCTCAGGAATCTCTTCGAGGCTTGGCAGGGCCAAAGGGACGCTTCTCGAGGTGAGGCAGGGCACCCAAGGACCCTTTCCAGTAGCCACAGGGATTTTGGGATTCCTATCAGTATTCAAGAGGAGTCAGGCATCGTCACCTTTTGAAGCAATGAACTCCGCGTGCCTCTCGAGGTGTCAGCGGGATGTGAGGCATTCCGTCAAAATGAGGCAGGGACCTAGGGCTTTCTCTAAGGTCTCCACAGGGGATTCAGACATCCCTTCATGTTGTGAGATGAAAGACGAGCCTGTATTCAAGCCACTGCAAGGAAATCCGGCCTCCTTTCAAGTGAGGGCTTCTCGCTGTATATTCCCCTTGAGGCAGCAAACTCGGGGTCCCTCCCACATACCTATTGCTGAGAGAAGCCTCCTCCTGATGTGCTTCTGGGAAGTTGGCATACGTCTTGAGCCTAAGCCAGGGAATCAGCTCGCATCTCGAGACGATTTGGGGTACACGGAGCATTCCTCGAGTTGCTGTGCTGAAGTTGGTGTTCCTCTAGACTTGGGACAGTGTTCTCGGGGCATCTCTGGAGTTGCCTGAAGGAAGTCGAGCCACCGGTCGTGTTGAATGGGGAACGGGGAATGGCTCTGGAGTCAATGCAGGGGAATCGGGCCTCATCTCGAGTTGATTTGGGGCACATGGAGCTGCTTTGCGTTGCTGGGGTGACCTCAGGGTCCGTCTAGACTGGTGACAGTGTTCTTGGGGACTGTCTCGAGATCCATTAAGCAAGTCGAAGCTCCTGACTTGTTTGAATGGGATCACGGAATAGCTCTGCATGCACTGCAGGGGAATGGGGCCTCATCTCGCCTCTAGGGGGAAGTCTCATGGTTTTTCTCGAGTTGCGGCGGGGACCTGGGGGATGTTCTCGACTTACGGCGGGGATGGCCCTTCAAAACACGAGTTTCTTCAGTGACGTCAGGACTCCTGTCTAGTAACGAGGGACACCTCAGGAATCTCTTCGAGGCTTGGCAGGGCCAAAGGGACGCTTCTCGAGGTGAGGCAGGGCACCCAAGGACCCTTTCCAGTAGCCACAGGGATTTTGGGATTCCTATCAGTATTCAAGAGGAGTCAGGCATCGTCACCTTTTGAAGCAATGAACTCCGCGTGCCTCTCGAGGTGTCAGCGGGATGTGAGGCATTCCGTCAAAATGAGGCAGGGACCTAGGGCTTTCTCTAAGGTCTCCACAGGGGATTCAGACATCCCTTCATGTTGTGAGATGAAAGACGAGCCTGTATTCAAGCCACTGCAAGGAAATCCGGCCTCCTTTCAAGTGAGGGCTTCTCGCTGTATATTCCCCTTGAGGCAGCAAACTCGGGGTCCCTCCCACATACCTATTGCTGAGAGAAGCCTCCTCCTGAGGTGCTTCTGGGAAGTTGGCATACGTCTTGAGCCTAAGCCAGGGAATCAGCTCGCATCTCGAGACGATTTGGGGTACACGGAGCATTCCTCGAGTTGCTGTGCTGAAGTTGGTGTTCCTCTAGACTTGGGACAGTGTTCTCGGGGCGTCTCTGGAGTTGCCTGAAGGAAGTCGAGCCACCGGTCATGTTGAATGGGGAACGGGGAATGGCTCTGGAGTCAATGCAGGGGAATCGGGCCTCATCTCGAGTTGATTTGGGGCACATGGAGCTGCTTTGCGTTGCTGGGGTGACCTCAGGGTCCGTCTAGACTGGTGACAGTGTTCTTGGGGACTGTCTCGAGATCCATTAAGCAAGTCGAAGCTCCTGACTTGTTTGAATGGGATCACGGAATAGCTCTGCATGCACTGCAGGGGAATGGGGCCTCATCTCGCCTCGAGGGGGAAGTCTCATGGTTTTTCTCGAGTTGCGGCGGGGACCTGGGGTATGTTCTCGACTTACGGCGGGGATGGCCCTTCAAAACACGAGTTTCTTCAGTGACGTCAGGACTCCTGTCTAGTAACGAGGGACACCTCAGGAATCTCTTCGAGGCTTGGCAGGGCCAAAGGGACGCTTCTCGAGGTGAGGCAGGGCACCCAAGGACCCTTTCCATTAGCCACAGGGATTTTGGGATTCCTATCAGTATTCAAGAGGAGTCAGGCATCGTCACCTTTTGAAGCAATGAACTCCGCGTGCCTCTCGAGGTGTCAGCGGGATGTGAGGCATTCCGTCAAAATGAGGCAGGGACCTAGGGCTTTCTCTAAGGTCTCCACAGGGGATTCAGACATCCCTTCATGTTGTGAGATGAAAGACGAGCCTGTATGCAAGCCACTGCAAGGAAATCCGGCCTCCTTTCAAGTTAGGGCTTCTCGCTGTATATTCCCCTTGAGGCAGCAAACTCGGGGTCCCTCCCACATACCTATTGCTGAGAGAAGCCTCCTCCTGAGGTGCTTCTGGGAAGTTGGCATACGTCTTGAGCCTAAGCCAGGGAATCAGCTCGCATCTCGAGACGATTTGGGGTACACGGAGCATTCCTCGAGTTGCTGTGCTGAAGTTGGTGTTCCTCTAGACTTGGGACAGTGTTCTCGGGGCATCTCAGGAGTTGCCTGAAGGAAGTCGAGCCACCGGTCGTGTTGAATGGGGAACGGGGAATGGCTCTGGAGTCAATGCAGGGGAATCGGGCCTCATCTCGAGTTGATTTGGGGCACATGGAGCTACTTTGCGTTGCTGGGGTGACCTCAGGGTCCGTCTAGACTGGTGACAGTGTTCTTGGGGACTGTCTCGAGATCCATTAAGCAAGTCGAAGCTCCTGACTTGTTTGAATGGGATCACGGAATAGCTCTGCATGCACTGCAGGGGAATGGGGCCTCATCTCGCCTCTAGGGGGAAGTCTCATGGTTTTTCTCGAGTTGCGGCGGGGACCTGGGGTATGTTCTCGACTTACGGCGGGGATGGCCCTTCAAAACACGAGTTTCTTCAGTGACGTCAGGACTCCTGTCTAGTAACGAGGGACACCTCAGGAATCTCTTCGAGGCTTGGCAGGGCCAAAGGGACGCTTCTCGAGGTGAGGCAGGGCACCCAAGCGCCCTTTCCAGTAGCCACAGGGATTTTGGGATTCCTATCAGTATTCAAGAGGAGTCAGGCATCGTCACCTTTTGAAGCAATGAACTCCGCGTGCCTCTCGAGGTGTCAGCGGGATGTGAGGCATTCCGTCAAAATGAGGCAGGGACCTAGGGCTTTCTCTAAGGTCTCCACAGGGGATTCAGACATCCCTTCATGTTGTGAGATGAAAGACGAGCCTGTATTCAAGCCACTGCAAGGAAATCCGGCCTCCTTTCAAGTGAGGGCTTCTCGCTGTATATTCCCCTTGAGGCAGCAAACTCGGGGTCCCTCCCACATACCTATTGCTGAGAGAAGCCTCCTCCTGAGGTGCTTCTGGGAAGTTGGCATACGTCTTGAGCCTAAGCCAGGGAATCAGCTCGCATCTCGAGACGATTTGGGGTACACGGAGCATTCCTCGAGTTGCTGTGCTGAAGTTGGTGTTCCTCTAGACTTGGGACAGTGTTCTCGGGGCATCTCTGGAGTTGCCTGAAGGAAGTCGAGCCACCGGTCGTGTTGAATGGGGAACGGGGAATGGCTCTGGAGTCAATGCAGGGGAATCGGGCCTCATCTCGAGTTGATTTGGGGCACATGGAGCTGCTTTGCGTTGCTGGGGTGACCTCAGGGTCCGTCTAGACTGGTGACAGTGTTCTTGGGGACTGTCTCGAGATCCATTAAGCAAGTCGAAGCTCCTGACTTGTTTGAATGGGATCACGGAATAGCTCTGCATGCACTGCAGGGGAATGGGGCCTCATCTCGCCTCTAGGGGGAAGTCTCATGGTTTTTCTCCAGTTGCGGCGGGGACCTGGGGGATGTTCTCGACTTACGGCGGGGATGGCCCTTCAAAACACGAGTTTCTTCAGTGACGTCAGGACTCCTGTCTAGTAACGAGGGACACCTCAGGAATCTCTTCGAGGCTTGGCAGGGCCAAAGGGACGCTTCTCGAGGTGAGGCAGGGCACCCAAGGACCCTTTCCAGTAGCCACAGGGATTTTGGGATTCCTATCAGTATTCAAGAGGAGTCAGGCATCGTCACCTTTTGAAGCAATGAACTCCGCGTGCCTCTCGAGGTGTCAGCGGGATGTGAGGCATTCCGTCAAAATGAGGCAGGGACCTAGGGCTTTCTCTAAGGTCTCCACAGGGGATTCAGACATCCCTTCATGTTGTGAGATGAAAGACGAGCCTGTATTCAAGCCACTGCAAGGAAATCCGGCCTCCTTTCAAGTTAGGGCTTCTCGCTGTATATTCCCCTTGAGGCAGCAAACTCGGGGTCCCTCCCACATACCTATTGCTGAGAGAAGCCTCCTCCTGAGGTGCTTCTGGGAAGTTGGCATACGTCTTGAGCCTAAGCCAGGGAATCAGCTCGCATCTCGAGACGATTTGGGGTACACGGAGCATTCCTCGAGTTGCTGTGCTGAAGTTGGTGTTCCTCTAGACTTGGGACAGTGTTCTCGGGGCATCTCTGGAGTTGCCTGAAGGAAGTCGAGCCACCGGTCGTGTTGAATGGGGAACGGGGAATGGCTCTGGAGTCAATGCAGGGGAATCGGGCCTCATCTCGAGTTGATTTGGGGCACATGGAGCTGCTTTGCGTTGCTGGGGTGACCTCAGGGTCCGTCTAGACTGGTGACAGTGTTCTTGGGGACTGTCTCGAGATCCATTAAGCAAGTCGAAGCTCCTGACTTGTTTGAATGGGATCACGGAATAGCTCTGCATGCACTGCAGGGGAATGGGGCCTCATCTCGCCTCTAGGGGGAAGTCTCATGGTTTTTCTCGAGTTGCGGCGGGGACCTGGGGGATGTTCTCGACTTACGGCGGGGATGGCCCTTCAAAACACGAGTTTCTTCAGTGACGTCAGGACTCCTGTCTAGTAACGAGGGACACCTCAGGAATCTCTTCGAGGCTTGGCAGGGCCAAAGGGACGCTTCTCGAGGTGAGGCAGGGCACCCAAGGACCCTTTCCAGTAGCCTCAGGGATTTTAGGATTCCTATCAGTATTCAAGAGGAGTCAGGCATCGTCACCTTGTGAAGCAATGAACTCCGCGTGCCTCTCGAGGTGTCAGCGGGATGTGAGGCATTCCGTCAAAATGAGGCAGGGACCTAGGGCTTTCTCTAAGGTCTCCACAGGGGATTCAGACATCCCTTCATGTTGTGAGATGAAAGACGAGCCTGTATTCAAGCCACTGCAAGGAAATCCGGCCTCCTTTCAAGTGAGGGCTTCTCGCTGTATATTCCCCTTGAGGCAGCAAACTCGGGGTCCCTCCCACATACCTATTGCTGAGAGAAGCCTCCTCCTGAGGTGCTTCTGGGAAGTTGGCATACGTCTTGAGCCTAAGCCAGGGAATCAGCTCGCATCTCGAGACGATTTGGGGTACACGGAGCATTCCTCGAGTTGCTGTGCTGAAGTTGGTGTTCCTCTAGACTTGGGACAGTGTTCTCGGGGCATCTCTGGAGTTGCCTGAAGGAAGTCGAGCCACCGGTCGTGTTGAATGGGGAACGGGGAATGGCTCTGGAGTCAATGCAGGGGAATCGGGCCTCATCTCGAGTTGATTTGGGGCACATGGAGCTGCTTTGCGTTGCTGGGTTGACCTCAGGGTCCGTCTAGACTGGTGACAGTGTTCTTGGGGACTGTCTCGAGATCCATTAAGCAAGTCGAAGCTCCTGACTTGTTTGAATGGGATCACGGAATAGCTCTGCATGCACTGCAGGGGAATGGGGCCTCATCTCGCCTCTAGGGGGAAGTCTCATGGTTTTTCTCGAGTTGCGGCGGGGACCTGGGGTATGTTCTCGACTTACGGCGGGGATGGCCCTTCAAAACACGAGTTTCTTCAGTGACGTCAGGACTCCTGTCTAGTAACGAGGGACACCTCAGGAATCTCTTCGAGGCTTGGCAGGGCCAAAGGGACGCTTCTCGAGGTGAGGCAGGGCACCCAAGGACCCTTTCCAGTAGCCACAGGGATTTTGGGATTCCTATCAGTATTCAAGAGGAGTCAGGCATCGTCACCTTTTGAAGCAATGAACTCCGCGTGCCTCTCGAGGTGTCAGCGGGATGTGAGGCATTCCGTCAAAATGAGGCAGGGACCTAGGGCTTTCTCTAAGGTCTCCACAGGGGATTCAGACATCCCTTCATGTTGTGAGATGAAAGACGAGCCTGTATTCAAGCCACTGCAAGGAAATCCGGCCTCCTTTCAAGTTAGGGCTTCTCGCTGTATATTCCCCTTGAGGCAGCAAACTCGGGGTCCCTCCCACATACCTATTGCTGAGAGAAGCCTCCTCCTGAGGTGCTTCTGGGAAGTTGGCATACGTCTTGAGCCTAAGCCAGGGAATCAGCTCGCATCTCGAGACGATTTGGGGTACACGGAGCATTCCTCGAGTTGCTGTGCTGAAGTTGGTGTTCCTCTAGACTTGGGACAGTGTTCTCGGGGCATCTCTGGAGTTGCCTGAAGGAAGTCGAGCCACCGGTCGTGTTGAATGGGGAACGGGGAATGGCTCTGGAGTCAATGCAGGGGAATCGGGCCTCATCTCGAGTTGATTTGGGGCACATGGAGCTGCTTTGCGTTGCTGGGGTGACCTCAGGGTCCGTCTAGACTGGTGACAGTGTTCTTGGGGACTGTCTCGAGATCCATTAAGCAAGTCGAAGCTCCTGACTTGTTTGAATGGGATCACGGAATAGCTCTGCATGCACTGCAGGGGAATGGGGCCTCATCTCGCCTCTAGGGGGAAGTCTCATGGTTTTTCTCGAGTTGCGGCGGGGACCTGGGGTATGTTCTCGACTTACGGCGGGGATGGCCCTTCAAAACACGAGTTTCTTCAGTGACGTCAGGACTCCTGTCTAGTAACGAGGGACACCTCAGGAATCTCTTCGAGGCTTGGCAGGGCCAAAGGGATGCTTCTCGAGGTGAGGCAGGGCACCCAAGGACCCTTTCCAGTAGCCACAGGGATTTTGGGATTCCTATCAGTATTCAAGAGGAGTCAGGCATCGTCACCTTTTGAAGCAATGAACTCCGCGTGCCTCTCGAGGTGTCAGCGGGATGTGAGGCATTCCGTCAAAATGAGGCAGGGACCTAGGGCTTTCTCTAAGGTCTCCACAGGGGATTCAGACATCCCTTCATGTTGTGAGATGAAAGACGAGCCTGTATTCAAGCCACTGCAAGGAAATCCGGCCTCCTTTCAAGTGAGGGCTTCTCGCTGTATATTCCCCTTGAGGCAGCAAACTCGGGGTCCCTCCCACATACCTATTGCTGAGAGAAGCCTCCTCCTGAGGTGCTTCTGGGAAGTTGGCATACGTCTTGAGCCTAAGCCAGGGAATCAGCTCATATCTCGAGACGATTTGGGGTACACGGAGCATTCCTCGAGTTGCTGTGCTGAAGTTGGTGTTCCTCTAGACTTGGGACAGTGTTCTCGGGGCATCTCTGGAGTTGCCTGAAGGAAGTCGAGCCACCGGTCGTGTTGAATGGGGAACGGGGAATGGCTCTGGAGTCAATGAAGGGGAATCGGGCCTCATCTCGAGTTGATTTGGGGCACATGGAGCTGCTTTGCGTTGCTGGGGTGACCTCAGGGTCCGTCTAGACTGGTGACAGTGTTCTTGGGGACTGTCTCGAGATCCATTAAGCAAGTCGAAGCTCCTGACTTGTTTGAATGGGATCACGGAATAGCTCTGCATGCACTGCAGGGGAATGGGGCCTCATCTCGCCTCTAGGGGGAAGTCTCATGGTTTTTCTCGAGTTGCGGCGGGGACCTGGGGTATGTTCTCGACTTACGGCGGGGATGGCCCTTCAAAACACGAGTTTCTTCAGTGACGTCAGGACTCCTGTCTAGTAACGAGGGACACCTCAGGAATCTCTTCGAGGCTTGGCAGGGCCAAAGGGACGCTTCTCGAGGTGAGGCAGGGCACCCAAGGACCCTTTCCAGTAGCCACAGGGATTTTGGGATTCCTATCAGTATTCAAGAGGAGTCAGGCATCGTCACCTTTTGAAGCAATGAACTCCGCGTGCCTCTCGAGGTGTCAGCGGGATGTGAGGCATTCCGTCAAAATGAGGCAGGGACCTAGGGCTTTCTCTAAGGTCTCCACAGGGGATTCAGACATCCCTTCATGTTGTGAGATGAAAGACGAGCCTGTATTCAAGCCACTGCAAGGAAATCCGGCCTCCTTTCAAGTTAGGGCTTCTCGCTGTATATTCCCCTTGAGGCAGCAAACTCGGGGTCCCTCCCACATACCTATTGCTGAGAGAAGCCTCCTCCTGAGGTGCTTCTGGGAAGTTGGCATACGTCTTGAGCCTAAGCCAGGGAATCAGCTCGCATCTCGAGACGATTTGGGGTACACGGAGCATTCCTCGAGTTGCTCTGCTGAAGTTGGTGTTCCTCTAGACTTGGGACAGTGTTCTCGGGGCGTCTCTGGAGTTGCCTGAAGGAAGTCGAGCCACCGGTCGTGTTGAATGGGGAACGGGGAATGGCTCTGGAGTCAATGCAGGGGAATCGGGCCTCATCTCGAGTTGATTTGGGGCACATGGAGCTGCTTTGCTTTGCTGGGGTGACCTCAGGGTCCGTCTAGACTGGTGACAGTGTTCTTGGGGACTGTCTCGAGATCCATTAAGCAAGTCGAAGCTCCTGACTTCTTTGAATGGGATCACGGAATAGCTCTGCATGCACTGCAGGGGAATGGGGCCTCATCTCGCCTCTAGGGGGAAGTCTCATGGTTTTTCTCGAGTTGCGGCGGGGACCTGGGGTATGTTCTCGACTTACGGCGGGGATGGCCCTTCAAAACACGAGTTTCTTCAGTGACGTCAGGACTCCTGTCTAGTAACGAGGGACACCTCAGGAATCTCTTCGAGGCTTGGCAGGGCCAAAGGGACGCTTCTCGAGGTGAGGCAGGGCACCCAAGGACCCTTTCCAGTAGCCACAGGGATTTTGGGATTCCTATCAGTATTCAAGAGGAGTCAGGCATCGTCACCTTTTGAAGCAATGAACTCCGCGTGCCTCTCGAGGTGTCAGCGGGATGTGAGGCATTCCGTCAAAATGAGGCAGGGACCTAGGGCTTTCTCTAAGGTCTCCACAGGGGATTCAGACATCCCTTCATGTTGTGAGATGAAAGACGAGCCTGTATTCAAGCCACTGCAAGGAAATCCGGCCTCCTTTCAAGTTAGGGCTTCTCGCTGTATATTCCCCTTGAGGCAGCAAACTCGGGGTCCCTCCCACATACCTATTGCTGAGAGAAGCCTCCTCCTGAGGTGCTTCTGGGAAGTTGGCATACGTCTTGAGCCTAAGCCAGGGAATCAGCTCGCATCTCGAGACGATTTGGGGTACACGGAGCATTCCTCGAGTTGCTGTGCTGAAGTAGGTGTTCCTCTAGACTTGGGACAGTGTTCTCGGGGCGTCTCTGGAGTTGCCTGAAGGAAGTCGAGCCACCGGTCGTGTTGAATGGGGAACGGGGAATGGCTCTGGAGTCAATGCAGGGGAATCGGGCCTCATCTCGAGTTGATTTGGGGCACATGGAGCTGCTTTGCGTTGCTGGGGTGACCTCAGGGTCCGTCTAGACTGGTGACAGTGTTCTTGGGGACTGTCTCGAGATCCATTAAGCAAGTCGAAGCTCCTGACTTGTTTGAATGGGATCACGGAATAGCTCTGCATGCACTGCAGGGGAATGGGGCCTCATCTCGCCTCTAGGGGGAAGTCTCATGGTTTTTCTCGAGTTGCGGCGGGGACCTGGGGTATGTTCTCGACTTACGGCGGGGATGGCCCTTCAAAACACGAGTTTCTTCAGTGACGTCAGGACTCCTGTCTAGTAACGAGGGACACCTCAGGAATCTCTTCGAGGCTTGGCAGGGCCAAAGGGACGCTTCTCGAGGTGAGGCAGGGCACCCAAGGACCCTTTCCAGTAGCCACAGGGATTTTGGGATTCCTATCAGTATTCAAGAGGAGTCAGGCATCGTCACCTTTTGAAGCAATGAACTCCGCGTGCCTCTCGAGGTGTCAGCGGGATGTGAGGCATTCCGTCAAAATGAGGCAGGGACCTAGGGCTTTCTCTAAGGTCTCCACAGGGGATTCAGACATCCCTTCATGTTGTGAGATGAAAGACGAGCCTGTATTCAAGCCACTGCAAGGAAATCCGGCCTCCTTTCAAGTGAGGGCTTCTCGCTGTATATTCCCCTTGAGGCAGCAAACTCGGGGTCCCTCCCACATACCTATTGCTGAGAGAAGCCTCCTCCTGAGGTGCTTCTGGGAAGTTGGCATACGTCTTGAGCCTAAGCCAGGGAATCAGCTCGCATCTCGAGACGATTTGGGGTACACGGAGCATTCCTCGAGTTGCTGTGCTGAAGTTGGTGTTCCTCTAGACTTGGGACAGTGTTCTCGGGGCATCTCTGGAGTTGCCTGAAGGAAGTCGAGCCACCGGTCGTGTTGAATGGGGAACGGGGAATGGCTCTGGAGTCAATGCAGGGGAATCGGGCCTCATCTCGAGTTGATTTGGGGCACATGGAGCTGCTTTGCGTTGCTGGGGTGACCTCAGGGTCCGTCTAGACTGGTGACAGTGTTCTTGGGGACTGTCTCGAGATCCATTAAGCAAGTCGAAGCTCCTGACTTGTTTGAATGGGATCACGGAATAGCTCTGCATGCACTGCAGGGGAATGGGGCCTCATCTCGCCTCTAGGGGGAAGTCTCATGGTTTTTCTCGAGTTGCGGCGGGGACCTGGGGGATGTTCTCGACTTACGGCGGGGATGGCCCTTCAAAACACGAGTTTCTTCAGTGACGTCAGGACTCCTGTCTAGTAACGAGGGACACCTCAGGAATCTCTTCGAGGCTTGGCAGGGCCAAAGGGACGCTTCTCGAGGTGAGGCAGGGCACCCAAGGACCCTTTCCAGTAGCCACAGGGATTTTGGGATTCCTATCAGTATTCAAGAGGAGTCAGGCATCGTCACCTTTTGAAGCAATGAACTCCGCGTGCCTCTCGAGGTGTCAGCGGGATGTGAGGCATTCCGTCAAAATGAGGCAGGGACCTAGGGCTTTCTCTAAGGTCTCCACAGGGGATTCAGACATCCCTTCATGTTGTGAGATGAAAGACGAGCCTGTATTCAAGCCACTGCAAGGAAATCCGGCCTCCTTTCAAGTGAGGGCTTCTCGCTGTATATTCCCCTTGAGGCAGCAAACTCGGGGTCCCTCCCACATACCTATTGCTGAGAGAAGCCTCCTCCTGAGGTGCTTCTGGGAAGTTGGCATACGTCTTGAGCCTAAGCCAGGGAATCAGCTCGCATCTCGAGACGATTTGGGGTACACGGAGCATTCCTCGAGTTGCTCTGCTGAAGTTGGTGTTCCTCTAGACTTGGGACAGTGTTCTCGGGGCGTCTCTGGAGTTGCCTGAAGGAAGTCGAGCCACCGGTCGTGTTGAATGGGGAACGGGGAATGGCTCTGGAGTCAATGCAGGGGAATCGGGCCTCATCTCGAGTTGATTTGGGGCACATGGAGCTGCTTTGCTTTGCTGGGGTGACCTCAGGGTCCGTCTAGACTGGTGACAGTGTTCTTGGGGACTGTCTCGAGATCCATTAAGCAAGTCGAAGCTCCTGACTTCTTTGAATGGGATCACGGAATAGCTCTGCATGCACTGCAGGGGAATGGGGCCTCATCTCGCCTCTAGGGGGAAGTCTCATGGTTTTTCTCGAGTTGCGGCGGGGACCTGGGGTATGTTCTCGACTTACGGCGGGGATGGCCCTTCAAAACACGAGTTTCTTCAGTGACGTCAGGACTCCTGTCTAGTAACGAGGGACACCTCAGGAATCTCTTCGAGGCTTGGCAGGGCCAAAGGGACGCTTCTCGAGGTGAGGCAGGGCACCCAAGGACCCTTTCCAGTAGCCACAGGGATTTTGGGATTCCTATCAGTATTCAAGAGGAGTCAGGCATCGTCACCTTTTGAAGCAATGAACTCCGCGTGCCTCTCGAGGTGTCAGCGGGATGTGAGGCATTCCGTCAAAATGAGGCAGGGACCTAGGGCTTTCTCTAAGGTCTCCACAGGGGATTCAGACATCCCTTCATGTTGTGAGATGAAAGACGAGCCTGTATTCAAGCCACTGCAAGGAAATCCGGCCTCCTTTCAAGTTAGGGCTTCTCGCTGTATATTCCCCTTGAGGCAGCAAACTCGGGGTCCCTCCCACATACCTATTGCTGAGAGAAGCCTCCTCCTGAGGTGCTTCTGGGAAGTTGGCATACGTCTTGAGCCTAAGCCAGGGAATCAGCTCGCATCTCGAGACGATTTGGGGTACACGGAGCATTCCTCGAGTTGCTGTGCTGAAGTTGGTGTTCCTCTAGACTTGGGACAGTGTTCTCGGGGCGTCTCTGGAGTTGCCTGAAGGAAGTCGAGCCACCGGTCGTGTTGAATGGGGAACGGGGAATGGCTCTGGAGTCAATGCAGGGGAATCGGGCCTCATCTCGAGTTGATTTGGGGCACATGGAGCTGCTTTGCGTTGCTGGGGTGACCTCAGGGTCCGTCTAGACTGGTGACAGTGTTCTTGGGGACTGTCTCGAGATCCATTAAGCAAGTTGAAGCTCCTGACTTGTTTGAATGGGATCACGGAATAGCTCTGCATGCACTGCAGGGGAATGGGGCCTCATCTCGCCTCTAGGGGGAAGTCTCATGGTTTTTCTCGAGTTGCGGCGGGGACCTGGGGTATGTTCTCGACTTACGGCGGGGATGGCCCTTCAAAACACGAGTTTCTTCAGTGACGTCAGGACTCCTGTCTAGTAACGAGGGACACCTCAGGAATCTCTTCGAGGCTTGGCAGGGCCAAAGGGACGCTTCTCGAGGTGAGGCAGGGCACCCAAGGACCCTTTCCAGTAGCCACAGGGATTTTGGGATTCCTATCAGTATTCAAGAGGAGTCAGGCATCGTCACCTTTTGAAGCAATGAACTCCGCGTGCCTCTCGAGGTGTCAGCGGGATGTGAGGCATTCCGTCAAAATGAGGCAGGGACCTAGGGCTTTCTCTAAGGTCTCCACAGGGGATTCAGACATCCCTTCATGTTGTGAGATGAAAGACGAGCCTGTATTCAAGCCACTGCAAGGAAATCCGGCCTCCTTTCAAGTGAGGGCTTCTCGCTGTATATTCCCCTTGAGGCAGCAAACTCGGGGTCCCTCCCACATACCTATTGCTGAGAGAAGCCTCCTCCTGAGGTGCTTCTGGGAAGTTGGCATACGTCTTGAGCCTAAGCCAGGGAATCAGCTCACATCTCGAGACGATTTGGGGTACACGGAGCATTCCTCGAGTTGCTGTGCTGAAGTTGGTGTTCCTCTAGACTTGGGACAGTGTTCTCGGGGCATCTCTGGAGTTGCCTGAAGGAAGTCGAGCCACCGGTCGTGTTGAATGGGGAACGGGGAATGGCTCTGGAGTCAATGAAGGGGAATCGGGCCTCATCTCGAGTTGATTTGGGGCACATGGAGCTGCTTTGCGTTACTGGGGTGACCTCAGGGTCCGTCTAGACTGGTGACAGTGTTCTTGGGGACTGTCTCGAGATCCATTAAGCAAGTCGAAGCTCCTGACTTGTTTGAATGGGATCACGGAATAGCTCTGCATGCACTGCAGGGGAATGGGGCCTCATCTCGCCTCTAGGGGGAAGTCTCATGGTTTTTCTCGAGTTGCGGCGGGGACCTGGGGTATGTTCTCGACTTACGGCGGGGATGGCCCTTCAAAACACGAGTTTCTTCAGTGACGTCAGGACTCCTGTCTAGTAACGAGGGACACCTCAGGAATCTCTTCGAGGCTTGGCAGGGCCAAAGGGACGCTTCTCGAGGTGAGGCAGGGCACCCAAGGACCCTTTCCAGTAGCCACAGGGATTTTGGGATTCCTATCAGTATTCAAGAGGAGTCAGGCATCGTCACCTTTTGAAGCAATGAACTCCGCGTGCCTCTCGAGGTGTCAGCGGGATGTGAGGCATTCCGTCAAAATGAGGCAGGGACCTAGGGCTTTCTCTAAGGTCTCCACAGGGGATTCAGACATCCCTTCATGTTGTGAGATGAAAGACGAGCCTGTATTCAAGCCACTGCAAGGAAATCCGGCCTCCTTTCAAGTTAGGGCTTCTCGCTGTATATTCCCCTTGAGGCAGCAAACTCGGGGTCCCTCCCACATACCTATTGCTGAGAGAAGCCTCCTCCTGAGGTGCTTCTGGGAAGTTGGCATACGTCTTGAGCCTAAGCCAGGGAATCAGCTCGCATCTCGAGACGATTTGGGGTACACGGAGCATTCCTCGAGTTGCTGTGCTGAAGTTGGTGTTCCTCTAGACTTGGGACAGTGTTCTCGGGGCGTCTCTGGAGTTGCCTGAAGGAAGTCGAGCCACCGGTCGTGTTGAATGGGGAACGGGGAATGGCTCTGGAGTCAATGCAGGGGAATCGGGCCTCATCTCGAGTTGATTTGGGGCACATGGAGCTGCTTTGCGTTGCTGGGGTGACCTCAGGGTCCGTCTAGACTGGTGACAGTGTTCTTGGGGACTGTCTCGAGATCCATTAAGCAAGTTGAAGCTCCTGACTTGTTTGAATGGGATCACGGAATAGCTCTGCATGCACTGCAGGGGAATGGGGCCTCATCTCGCCTCTAGGGGGAAGTCTCATGGTTTTTCTCGAGTTGCGGCGGGGACCTGGGGTATGTTCTCGACTTACGGCGGGGATGGCCCTTCAAAACACGAGTTTCTTCAGTGACGTCAGGACTCCTGTCTAGTAACGAGGGACACCTCAGGAATCTCTTCGAGGCTTGGCAGGGCCAAAGGGACGCTTCTCGAGGTGAGGCAGGGCACCCAAGGACCCTTTCCAGTAGCCACAGGGATTTTGGGATTCCTATCAGTATTCAAGAGGAGTCAGGCATCGTCACCTTTTGAAGCAATGAACTCCGCGTGCCTCTCGAGGTGTCAGCGGGATGTGAGGCATTCCGTCAAAATGAGGCAGGGACCTAGGGCTTTCTCTAAGGTCTCCACAGGGGATTCAGACATCCCTTCATGTTGTGAGATGAAAGACGAGCCTGTATGCAAGCCACTGCAAGGAAATCCGGCCTCCTTTCAAGTTAGGGCTTCTCGCTGTATATTCCCCTTGAGGCAGCAAACTCGGGGTCCCTCCCACATACCTATTGCTGAGAGAAGCCTCCTCCTGAGGTGCTTCTGGGAAGTTGGCATACGTCTTGAGCCTAAGCCAGGGAATCAGCTCGCATCTCGAGACGATTTGGGGTACACGGAGCATTCCTCGAGTTGCTGTGCTGAAGTTGGTGTTCCTCTAGACTTGGGACAGTGTTCTCGGGGCATCTCTGGAGTTGCCTGAAGGAAGTCGAGCCACCGGTCGTGTTGAATGGGGAACGGGGAATGGCTCTGGAGTCAATGAAGGGGAATCGGGCCTCATCTCGAGTTGATTTGGGGCACATGGAGCTGCTTTGCGTTGCTGGGGTGACCTCAGGGTCCGTCTAGACTGGTGACAGTGTTCTTGGGGACTGTCTCGAGATCCATTAAGCAAGTCGAAGCTCCTGACTTGTTTGAATGGGGTCACGGAATAGCTCTGCATGCACTGCAGGGGAATGGGGCCTCATCTCGCCTCTAGGGGGAAGTCTCATGGTTTTTCTCGAGTTGCGGCGGGGACCTGGGGGATGTTCTCGACTTACGGCGGGGATGGCCCTTCAAAACACGAGTTTCTTCAGTGACGTCAGGACTCCTGTCTAGTAACGAGGGACACCTCAGGAATCTCTTCGAGGCTTGGCAGGGCCAAAGGGACGCTTCTCGAGGTGAGGCAGGGCACCCAAGGACCCTTTCCAGTAGCCACAGGGATTTTGGGATTCCTATCAGTATTCAAGAGGAGTCAGGCATCGTCACCTTTTGAAGCAATGAACTCCGCGTGCCTCTCGAGGTGTCAGCGGGATGTGAGGCATTCCGTCAAAATGAGGCAGGGACCTAGGGCTTTCTCTAAGGTCTCCACAGGGGATTCAGACATCCCTTCATGTTGTGAGATGAAAGACGAGCCTGTATTCAAGCCACTGCAAGGAAATCCGGCCTCCTTTCAAGTTAGGGCTTCTCGCTGTATATTCCCCTTGAGGCAGCAAACTCGGGGTCCCTCCCACATACCTATTGCTGAGAGAAGCCTCCTCCTGAGGTGCTTCTGGGAAGTTGGCATACGTCTTGAGCCTAAGCCAGGGAATCAGCTCGCATCTCGAGACGATTTGGGGTACACGGAGCATTCCTCGAGTTGCTGTGCTGAAGTTGGTGTTCCTCTAGACTTGGGACAGTGTTCTCGGGGCATCTCTGGAGTTGCCTGAAGGAAGTCGAGCCACCGGTCGTGTTGAATGGGGAACGGGGAATGGCTCTGGAGTCAATGCAGGGGAATCGGGCCTCATCTCGAGTTGATTTGGGGCACATGGAGCTGCTTTGCGTTGCTGGGTTGACCTCAGGGTCCGTCTAGACTGGTGACAGTGTTCTTGGGGACTGTCTCGAGATCCATTAAGCAAGTCGAAGCTCCTGACTTCTTTGAATGGGATCACGGAATAGCTCTGCATGCACTGCAGGGGAATGGGGCCTCATCTCGCCTCTAGGGGGAAGTCTCATGGTTTTTCTCGAGTTGCGGCGGGGACCTGGGGTATGTTCTCGACTTACGGCGGGGATGGCCCTTCAAAACACGAGTTTCTTCAGTGACGTCAGGACTCCTGTCTAGTAACGAGGGACACCTCAGGAATCTCTTCGAGGCTTGGCAGGGCCAAAGGGACGCTTCTCGAGGTGAGGCAGGGCACCCAAGGACCCTTTCCAGTAGCCACAGGGATTTTGGGATTCCTATCAGTATTCAAGAGGAGTCAGGCATCGTCACCTTTTGAAGCAATGAACTCCGCGTGCCTCTCGAGGTGTCAGCGGGATGTGAGGCATTCCGTCAAAATGAGGCAGGGACCTAGGGCTTTCTCTAAGGTCTCCACAGGGGATTCAGACATCCCTTCATGTTGTGAGATGAAAGACGAGCCTGTATTCAAGCCACTGCAAGGAAATCCGGCCTCCTTTCAAGTTAGGGCTTCTCGCTGTATATTCCCCTTGAGGCAGCAAACTCGGGGTCCCTCCCACATACCTATTGCTGAGAGAAGCCTCCTCCTGAGGTGCTTCTGGGAAGTTGGCATACGTCTTGAGCCTAAGCCAGGGAATCAGCTCGCATCTCGAGACGATTTGGGGTACACGGAGCATTCCTCGAGTTGCTGTGCTGAAGTTGGTGTTCCTCTAGACTTGGGACAGTGTTCTCGGGGCATCTCTGGAGTTGCCTGAAGGAAGTCGAGCCACCGGTCGTGTTGAATGGGGAACGGGGAATGGCTCTGGAGTCAATGAAGGGGAATCGGGCCTCATCTCGAGTTGATTTGGGGCACATGGAGCTGCTTTGCGTTGCTGGGGTGACCTCAGGGTCCGTCTAGACTGGTGACAGTGTTCTTGGGGACTGTCTCGAGATCCATTAAGCAAGTCGAAGCTCCTGACTTGTTTGAATGGGATCACGGAATAGCTCTGCATGCACTGCAGGGGAATGGGGCCTCATCTCGCCTCTAGGGGGAAGTCTCATGGTTTTTCTCGAGTTGCGGCGGGGACCTGGGGTATGTTCTCGACTTACGGCGGGGATGGCCCTTCAAAACACGAGTTTCTTCAGTGACGTCAGGACTCCTGTCTAGTAACGAGGGACACCTCAGGAATCTCTTCGAGGCTTGGCAGGGCCAAAGGGACGCTTCTCGAGGTGAGGCAGGGCACCCAAGGACCCTTTCCAGTAGCCACAGGGATTTTGGGATTCCTATCAGTATTCAAGAGGAGTCAGGCATCGTCACCTTTTGAAGCAATGAACTCCGCGTGCCTCTCGAGGTGTCAGCGGGATGTGAGGCATTCCGTCAAAATGAGGCAGGGACCTAGGGCTTTCTCTAAGGTCTCCACAGGGGATTCAGACATCCCTTCATGTTGTGAGATGAAAGACGAGCCTGTATTCAAGCCACTGCAAGGAAATCCGGCCTCCTTTCAAGTTAGGGCTTCTCGCTGTATATTCCCCTTGAGGCAGCAAACTCGGGGTCCCTCCCACATACCTATTGCTGAGAGAAGCCTCCTCCTGAGGTGCTTCTGGGAAGTTGGCATACGTCTTGAGCCTAAGCCAGGGAATCAGCTCGCATCTCGAGACGATTTGGGGTACACGGAGCATTCCTCGAGTTGCTGTGCTGAAGTTGGTGTTCCTCTAGACTTGGGACAGTGTTCTCGGGGCGTCTCTGGAGTTGCCTGAAGGAAGTCGAGCCACCGGTCGTGTTGAATGGGGAACGGGGAATGGCTCTGGAGTCAATGCAGGGGAATCGGGCCTCATCTCGAGTTGATTTGGGGCACATGGAGCTGCTTTGCTTTGCTGGGGTGACCTCAGGGTCCGTCTAGACTGGTGACAGTGTTCTTGGGGACTGTCTCGAGATCCATTAAGCAAGTCGAATCTCCTGACTTCTTTGAATGGGATCACGGAATAGCTCTGCATGCACTGCAGGGGAATGGGGCCTCATCTCGCCTCTAGGGGGAAGTCTCATGGTTTTTCTCGAGTTGCGGCGGGGACCTGGGGTATGTTCTCGACTTACGGCGGGGATGGCCCTTCAAAACACGAGTTTCTTCAGTGACGTCAGGACTCCTGTCTAGTAACGAGGGACACCTCAGGAATCTCTTCGAGGCTTGGCAGGGCCAAAGGGACGCTTCTCGAGGTGAGGCAGGGCACCCAAGGACCCTTTCCAGTAGCCACAGGGATTTTGGGATTCCTATCAGTATTCAAGAGGAGTCAGGCATCGTCACCTTTTGAAGCAATGAACTCCGCGTGCCTCTCGAGGTGTCAGCGGGATGTGAGGCATTCCGTCAAAATGAGGCAGGGACCTAGGGCTTTCTCTAAGGTCTCCACAGGGGATTCAGACATCCCTTCATGTTGTGAGATGAAAGACGAGCCTGTATTCAAGCCACTGCAAGGAAATCCGGCCTCCTTTCAAGTTAGGGCTTCTCGCTGTATATTCCCCTTGAGGCAGCAAACTCGGGGTCCCTCCCACATACCTATTGCTGAGAGAAGCCTCCTCCTGAGGTGCTTCTGGGAAGTTGGCATACGTCTTGAGCCTAAGCCAGGGAATCAGCTCGCATCTCGAGACGATTTGGGGTACACGGAGCATTCCTCGAGTTGCTGTGCTGAAGTTGGTGTTCCTCTAGACTTGGGACAGTGTTCTCGGGGCGTCTCTGGAGTTGCCTGAAGGAAGTCGAGCCACCGGTCGTGTTGAATGGGGAACGGGGAATGGCTCTGGAGTCAATGCAGGGGAATCGGGCCTCATCTCGAGTTGATTTGGGGCACATGGAGCTGCTTTGCTTTGCTGGGGTGACCTCAGGGTCCGTCTAGACTGGTGACAGTGTTCTTGGGGACTGTCTCGAGATCCATTAAGCAAGTCGAATCTCCTGACTTCTTTGAATGGGATCACGGAATAGCTCTGCATGCACTGCAGGGGAATGGGGCCTCATCTCGCCTCTAGGGGGAAGTCTCATGGTTTTTCTCGAGTTGCGGCGGGGACCTGGGGTATGTTCTCGACTTACGGCGGGGATGGCCCTTCAAAACACGAGTTTCTTCAGTGACGTCAGGACTCCTGTCTAGTAACGAGGGACACCTCAGGAATCTCTTCGAGGCTTGGCAGGGCCAAAGGGACGCTTCTCGAGGTGAGGCAGGGCACCCAAGGACCCTTTCCAGTAGCCACAGGGATTTTGGGATTCCTATCAGTATTCAAGAGGAGTCAGGCATCGTCACCTTTTGAAGCAATGAACTCCGCGTGCCTCTCGAGGTGTCAGCGGGATGTGAGGCATTCCGTCAAAATGAGGCAGGGACCTAGGGCTTTCTCTAAGGTCTCCACAGGGGATTCAGACATCCCTTCATGTTGTGAGATGAAAGACGAGCCTGTATTCAAGCCACTGCAAGGAAATCCGGCCTCCTTTCAAGTTAGGGCTTCTCGCTGTATATTCCCCTTGAGGCAGCAAACTCGGGGTCTTTCCCACATACCTATTGCTGAGAGAAGCCTCCTCCTGAGGTGCTTCTGGGAAGTTGGCATACGTCTTGAGCCTAAGCCAGGGAATCAGCTCGCATCTCGAGACGATTTGGGGTACACGGAGCATTCCTCGAGTTGCTGTGCTGAAGTAGGTGTTCCTCTAGACTTGGGACAGTGTTCTCGGGGCGTCTCTGGAGTTGCCTGAAGGAAGTCGAGCCACCGGTCGTGTTGAATGGGGAACGGGGAATGGCTCTGGAGTCAATGCAGGGGAATCGGGCCTCATCTCGAGTTGATTTGGGGCACATGGAGCTGCTTTGCGTTGCTGGGGTGACCTCAGGGTCCGTCTAGACTGGTGACAGTGTTCTTGGGGACTGTCTCGAGATCCATTAAGCAAGTCGAAGCTCCTGACTTGTTTGAATGGGATCACGGAATAGCTCTGCATGCACTGCAGGGGAATGGGGCCTCATCTCGCCTCTAGGGGGAAGTCTCATGGTTTTTCTCGAGTTGCGGCGGGGACCTGGGGGATGTTCTCGACTTACGGCGGGGATGGCCCTTCAAAACACGAGTTTCTTCAGTGACGTCAGGACTCCTGTCTAGTAACGAGGGACACCTCAGGAATCTCTTCGAGGCTTGGCAGGGCCAAAGGGACGCTTCTCGAGGTGAGGCAGGGCACCCAAGGACCCTTTCCAGTAGCCACAGGGATTTTGGGATTCCTATCAGTATTCAAGAGGAGTCAGGCATCGTCACCTTTTGAAGCAATGAACTCCGCGTGCCTCTCGAGGTGTCAGCGGGATGTGAGGCATTCCGTCAAAATGAGGCAGGGACCTAGGGCTTTCTCTAAGGTCTCCACAGGGGATTCAGACATCCCTTCATGTTGTGAGATGAAAGACGAGCCTGTATGCAAGCCACTGCAAGGAAATCCGGCCTCCTTTCAAGTTAGGGCTTCTCGCTGTATATTCCCCTTGAGGCAGCAAACTCGGGGTCCCTCCCACATACCTATTGCTGAGAGAAGCCTCCTCCTGAGGTGCTTCTGGGAAGTTGGCATACGTCTTGAGCCTAAGCCAGGGAATCAGCTCGCATCTCGAGACGATTTGGGGTACACGGAGCATTCCTCGAGTTGCTGTGCTGAAGTTGGTGTTCCTCTAGACTTGGGACAGTGTTCTCGGGGCATCTCTGGAGTTGCCTGAAGGAAGTCGAGCCACCGGTCGTGTTGAATGGGGAACGGGGAATGGCTCTGGAGTCAATGCAGGGGAATCGGGCCTCATCTCGAGTTGATTTGGGGCACATGGAGCTGCTTTGCGTTGCTGGGGTGACCTCAGGGTCCGTCTAGACTGGTGACAGTGTTCTTGGGGACTGTCTCGAGATCCATTAAGCAAGTCGAAGCTCCTGACTTGTTTGAATGGGATCACGGAATAGCTCTGCATGCACTGCAGGGGAATGGGGCCTCATCTCGCCTCTAGGGGGAAGTCTCATGGTTTTTCTCGAGTTGCGGCGGGGACCTGGGGTATGTTCTCGACTTACGGCGGGGATGGCCCTTCAAAACACGAGTTTCTTCAGTGACGTCAGGACTCCTGTCTAGTAACGAGGGACACCTCAGGAATCTCTTCGAGGCTTGGCAGGGCCAAAGGGACGCTTCTCGAGGTGAGGCAGGGCACCCAAGCGCCCTTTCCAGTAGCCACAGGGATTTTGGGATTCCTATCAGTATTCAAGAGGAGTCAGGCATCGTCACCTTTTGAAGCAATGAACTCCGCGTGCCTCTCGAGGTGTCAGCGGGATGTGAGGCATTCCGTCAAAATGAGGCAGGGACCTAGGGCTTTCTCTAAGGTCTCCACAGGGGATTCAGACATCCCTTCATGTTGTGAGATGAAAGACGAGCCTGTATTCAAGCCACTGCAAGGAAATCCGGCCTCCTTTCAAGTGAGGGCTTCTCGCTGTATATTCCCCTTGAGGCAGCAAACTCGGGGTCCCTCCCACATACCTATTGCTGAGAGAAGCCTCCTCCTGAGGTGCTTCTGGGAAGTTGGCATACGTCTTGAGCCTAAGCCAGGGAATCAGCTCGCATCTCGAGACGATTTGGGGTACACGGAGCATTCCTCGAGTTGCTGTGCTGAAGTTGGTGTTCCTCTAGACTTGGGACAGTGTTCTCGGGGCATCTCTGGAGTTGCCTGAAGGAAGTCGAGCCACCGGTCGTGTTGAATGGGGAACGGGGAATGGCTCTGGAGTCAATGCAGGGGAATCGGGCCTCATCTCGAGTTGATTTGGGGCACATGGAGCTGCTTTGCGTTGCTGGGGTGACCTCAGGGTCCGTCTAGACTGGTGACAGTGTTCTTGGGGACTGTCTCGAGATCCATTAAGCAAGTCGAAGCTCCTGACTTGTTTGAATGGGATCACGGAATAGCTCTGCATGCACTGCAGGGGAATGGGGCCTCATCTCGCCTCTAGGGGGAAGTCTCATGGTTTTTCTCGAGTTGCGGCGGGGACCTGGGGGATGTTCTCGACTTACGGCGGGGATGGCCCTTCAAAACACGAGTTTCTTCAGTGACGTCAGGACTCCTGTCTAGTAACGAGGGACACCTCAGGAATCTCTTCGAGGCTTGGCAGGGCCAAAGGGACGCTTCTCGAGGTGAGGCAGGGCACCCAAGCGCCCTTTCCAGTAGCCACAGGGATTTTGGGATTCCTATCAGTATTCAAGAGGAGTCAGGCATCGTCACCTTTTGAAGCAATGAACTCCGCGTGCCTCTCGAGGTGTCAGCGGGATGTGAGGCATTCCGTCAAAATGAGGCAGGGACCTAGGGCTTTCTCTAAGTTCTCCACAGGGGATTCAGACATCCCTTCATGTTGTGAGATGAAAGACGAGCCTGTATTCAAGCCACTGCAAGGAAATCCGGCCTCCTTTCAAGTTAGGGCTTCTCGCTGTATATTCCCCTTGAGGCAGCAAACTCGGGGTCCCTCCCACATACCTATTGCTGAGAGAAGCCTCCTCCTGAGGTGCTTCTGGGAAGTTGGCATACGTCTTGAGCCTAAGCCAGGGAATCAGCTCGCATCTCGAGACGATTTGGGGTACACGGAGCATTCCTCGAGTTGCTGTGCTGAAGTTGGTGTTCCTCTAGACTTGGGACAGTGTTCTCGGGGCATCTCTGGAGTTGCCTGAAGGAAGTCGAGCCACCGGTCGTGTTGAATGGGGAACGGGGAATGGCTCTGGAGTCAATGCAGGGGAATCGGGCCTCATCTCGAGTTGATTTGGGGCACATGGAGCTGCTTTGCGTTGCTGGGGTGACCTCAGGGTCCGTCTAGACTGGTGACAGTGTTCTTGGGGACTGTCTCGAGATCCATTAAGCAAGTCGAAGCTCCTGACTTGTTTGAATGGGATCACGGAATAGCTCTGCATGCACTGCAGGGGAATGGGGCCTCATCTCGCCTCTAGGGGGAAGTCTCATGGTTTTTCTCGAGTTGCGGCGGGGACCTGGGGGATGTTCTCGACTTACGGCGGGGATGGCCCTTCAAAACACGAGTTTCTTCAGTGACGTCAGGACTCCTGTCTAGTAACGAGGGACACCTCAGGAATCTCTTCGAGGCTTGGCAGGGCCAAAGGGACGCTTCTCGAGGTGAGGCAGGGCACCCAAGGACCCTTTCCAGTAGCCACAGGGATTTTGGGATTCCTATCAGTATTCAAGAGGAGTCAGGCATCGTCACCTTTTGAAGCAATGAACTCCGCGTGCCTCTCGAGGTGTCAGCGGGATGTGAGGCATTCCGTCAAAATGAGGCAGGGACCTAGGGCTTTCTCTAAGGTCTCCACAGGGGATTCAGACATCCCTTCATGTTGTGAGATGAAAGACGAGCCTGTATTCAAGCCACTGCAAGGAAATCCGGCCTCCTTTCAAGTGAGGGCTTCTCGCTGTATATTCCCCTTGAGGCAGCAAACTCGGGGTCCCTCCCACATACCTATTGCTGAGAGAAGCCTCCTCCTGAGGTGCTTCTGGGAAGTTGGCATACGTCTTGAGCCTAAGCCAGGGAATCAGCTCGCATCTCGAGACGATTTGGGGTACACGGAGCATTCCTCGAGTTGCTGTGCTGAAGTTGGTGTTCCTCTAGACTTGGGACAGTGTTCTCGGGGCATCTCTGGAGTTGCCTGAAGGAAGTCGAGCCACCGGTCGTGTTGAATGGGGAACGGGGAATGGCTCTGGAGTCAATGAAGGGGAATCGGGCCTCATCTCGAGTTGATTTGGGGCACATGGAGCTGCTTTGCGTTGCTGGGGTGACCTCAGGGTCCGTCTAGACTGGTGACAGTGTTCTTGGGGACTGTCTCGAGATCCATTAAGCAAGTCGAAGCTCCTGACTTGTTTGAATGGGATCACGGAATAGCTCTGCATGCACTGCAGGGGAATGGGGCCTCATCTCGCCTCTAGGGGGAAGTCTCATGGTTTTTCTCGAGTTGCGGCGGGGACCTGGGGTATGTTCTCGACTTACGGCGGGGATGGCCCTTCAAAACACGAGTTTCTTCAGTGACGTCAGGACTCCTGTCTAGTAACGAGGGACACCTCAGGAATCTCTTCGAGGCTTGGCAGGGCCAAAGGGACGCTTCTCGAGGTGAGGCAGGGCACCCAAGGACCCTTTCCAGTAGCCACAGGGATTTTGGGATTCCTATCAGTATTCAAGAGGAGTCAGGCATCGTCACCTTTTGAAGCAATGAACTCCGCGTGCCTCTCGAGGTGTCAGCGGGATGTGAGGCATTCCGTCAAAATGAGGCAGGGACCTAGGGCTTTCTCTAAGGTCTCCACAGGGGATTCAGACATCCCTTCATGTTGTGAGATGAAAGACGAGCCTGTATTCAAGCCACTGCAAGGAAATCCGGCCTCCTTTCAAGTTAGGGCTTCTCGCTGTATATTCCCCTTGAGGCAGCAAACTCGGGGTCCCTCCCACATACCTATTGCTGAGAGAAGCCTCCTCCTGAGGTGCTTCTGGGAAGTTGGCATACGTCTTGAGCCTAAGCCAGGGAATCAGCTGGCATCTCGAGACGGTTTGGGGTACACGGAGCATTCCTCGAGTTGCTGTGCTGAAGTTGGTGTTCCTCTAGACTTGGGACAGTGTTCTCGGGGCGTCTCTGGAGTTGCCTGAAGGAAGTCGAGCCACCGGTCGTGTTGAATGGGGAACGGGGAATGGCTCTGGAGTCAATGCAGGGGAATCGGGCCTCATCTCGAGTTGATTTGGGGCACATGGAGCTGCTTTGCTTTGCTGGGGTGACCTCAGGGTCCGTCTAGACTGGTGACAGTGTTCTTGGGGACTGTCTCGAGATCCATTAAGCAAGTCGAATCTCCTGACTTCTTTGAATGGGATCACGGAATAGCTCTGCATGCACTGCAGGGGAATGGGGCCTCATCTCGCCTCTAGGGGGAAGTCTCATGGTTTTTCTCGAGTTGCGGCGGGGACCTGGGGTATGTTCTCGACTTACGGCGGGGATGGCCCTTCAAAACACGAGTTTCTTCAGTGACGTCAGGACTCCTGTCTAGTAACGAGGGACACCTCAGGAATCTCTTCGAGGCTTGGCAGGGCCAAAGGGACGCTTCTCGAGGTGAGGCAGGGCACCCAAGGACCCTTTCCAGTAGCCACAGGGATTTTGGGATTCCTATCAGTATTCAAGAGGAGTCAGGCATCGTCACCTTTTGAAGCAATGAACTCCGCGTGCCTCTCGAGGTGTCAGCGGGATGTGAGGCATTCCGTCAAAATGAGGCAGGGACCTAGGGCTTTCTCTAAGGTCTCCACAGGGGATTCAGACATCCCTTCATGTTGTGAGATGAAAGACGAGCCTGTATTCAAGCCACTGCAAGGAAATCCGGCCTCCTTTCAAGTTAGGGCTTCTCGCTGTATATTCCCCTTGAGGCAGCAAACTCGGGGTCCCTCCCACATACCTATTGCTGAGAGAAGCCTCCTCCTGAGGTGCTTCTGGGAAGTTGGCATACGTCTTGAGCCTAAGCCAGGGAATCAGCTCGCATCTCGAGACGATTTGGGGTACACGGAGCATTCCTCGAGTTGCTGTGCTGAAGTAGGTGTTCCTCTAGACTTGGGACAGTGTTCTCGGGGCGTCTCTGGAGTTGCCTGAAGGAAGTCGAGCCACCGGTCGTGTTGAATGGGGAACGGGGAATGGCTCTGGAGTCAATGCAGGGGAATCGGGCCTCATCTCGAGTTGATTTGGGGCACATGGAGCTGCTTTGCGTTGCTGGGGTGACCTCAGGGTCCGTCTAGACTGGTGACAGTGTTCTTGGGGACTGTCTCGAGATCCATTAAGCAAGTCGAAGCTCCTGACTTGTTTGAATGGGATCACGGAATAGCTCTGCATGCACTGCAGGGGAATGGGGCCTCATCTCGCCTCTAGGGGGAAGTCTCATGGTTTTTCTCGAGTTGCGGCGGGGACCTGGGGTATGTTCTCGACTTACGGCGGGGATGGCCCTTCAAAACACGAGTTTCTTCAGTGACGTCAGGACTCCTGTCTAGTAACGAGGGACACCTCAGGAATCTCTTCGAGGCTTGGCAGGGCCAAAGGGACGCTTCTCGAGGTGAGGCAGGGCACCCAAGGACCCTTTCCAGTAGCCACAGGGATTTGGGATTCCTATCAGTATTCAAGAGGAGTCAGGCATCGTCACCTTTTGAAGCAATGAACTCCGCGTGCCTCTCGAGGTGTCAGCGGGATGTGAGGCATTCCGTCAAAATGAGGCAGGGACCTAGGGCTTTCTCTAAGGTCTCCACAGGGGATTCAGACATCCCTTCATGTTGTGAGATGAAAGACGAGCCTGTATTCAAGCCACTGCAAGGAAATCCGGCCTCCTTTCAAGTTAGGGCTTCTCGCTGTATATTCCCCTTGAGGCAGCAAACTCGGGGTCCCTCCCACATACCTATTGCTGAGAGAAGCCTCCTCCTGAGGTGCTTCTGGGAAGTTGGCATACGTCTTGAGCCTAAGCCAGGGAATCAGCTCGCATCTCGAGACGATTTGGGGTACACGGAGCATTCCTCGAGTTGCTGTGCTGAAGTTGGTGTTCCTCTAGACTTGGGACAGTGTTCTCGGGGCATCTCTGGAGTTGCCTGAAGGAAGTCGAGCCACCAGTCGTGTTGAATGGGGAACGGGGAATGGCTCTGGAGTCAATGCAGAGGAATCGGGCCTCATCTCGAGTTGATTTGGGGCACATGGAGCTGCTTTGCGTTGCTGGGGTGACCTCAGGGTCCGTCTAGACTGGTGACAGTGTTCTTGGGGACTGTCTCGAGATCCATTAAGCAAGTCGAAGCTCCTGACTTGTTTGAATGGGATCACGGAATAGCTCTGCATGCACTGCAGGGGAATGGGGCCTCATCTCGCCTCTAGGGGGAAGTCTCATGGTTTTTCTCGAGTTGCGGCGGGGACCTGGGGTATGTTCTCGACTTACGGCGGGGATGGCCCTTCAAAACACGAGTTTCTTCAGTGACGTCAGGACTCCTGTCTAGTAACGAGGGACACCTCAGGAATCTCTTCGAGGCTTGGCAGGGCCAAAGGGACGCTTCTCGAGGTGAGGCAGGGCACCCAAGCGCCCTTTCCAGTAGCCACAGGGATTTTGGGATTCCTATCAGTATTCAAGAGGAGTCAGGCATCGTCACCTTTTGAAGCAATGAACTCCGCGTGCCTCTCGAGGTGTCAGCGGGATGTGAGGCATTCCGTCAAAATGAGGCAGGGACCTAGGGCTTTCTCTAAGGTCTCCACAGGGGATTCAGACATCCCTTCATGTTGTGAGATGAAAGACGAGCCTGTATTCAAGCCACTGCAAGGAAATCCGGCCTCCTTTCAAGTGAGGGCTTCTCGCTGTATATTCCCCTTGAGGCAGCAAACTCGGGGTCCCTCCCACATACCTATTGCTGAGAGAAGCCTCCTCCTGAGGTGCTTCTGGGAAGTTGGCATACGTCTTGAGCCTAAGCCAGGGAATCAGCTCGCATCTCGAGACGATTTGGGGTACACGGAGCATTCCTCGAGTTGCTGTGCTGAAGTTGGTGTTCCTCTAGACTTGGGACAGTGTTCTCGGGGCATCTCTGGAGTTGCCTGAAGGAAGTCGAGCCACCGGTCGTGTTGAATGGGGAACGGGGAATGGCTCTGGAGTCAATGCAGGGGAATCGGGCCTCATCTCGAGTTGATTTGGGGCACATGGAGCTGCTTTGCGTTGCTGGGGTGACCTCAGGGTCCGTCTAGACTGGTGACAGTGTTCTTGGGGACTGTCTCGAGATCCATTAAGCAAGTCGAAGCTCCTGACTTGTTTGAATGGGATCACGGAATAGCTCTGCATGCACTGCAGGGGAATGGGGCCTCATCTCGCCTCTAGGGGGAAGTCTCATGGTTTTTCTCGAGTTGCGGCGGGGACCTGGGGTATGTTCTCGACTTACGGCGGGGATGGCCCTTCAAAACACGAGTTTCTTCAGTGACGTCAGGACTCCTGTCTAGTAACGAGGGACACCTCAGGAATCTCTTCGAGGCTTGGCAGGGCCAAAGGGACGCTTCTCGAGGTGAGGCAGGGCACCCAAGGTCCCTTTCCAGTAGCCACAGGGATTTTGGTATTCCTATCAGTATTCAAGAGGAGTCAGGCATCGTCACCTTTTGAAGCAATGAACTCCGCGTGCCTCTCGAGGTGTCAGCGGGATGTGAGGCATTCCGTCAAAATGAGGCAGGGACCTAGGGCTTTCTCTAAGGTCTCCACAGGGGATTCAGACATCCCTTCATGTTGTGAGATGAAAGACGAGACTGTATTCAAGCCACTGCAAGGAAATCCGGCCTCCTTTCAAGTGAGGGCTTCTCGCTGTATATTCCCCTTGAGGCAGCAAACTCGGGGTCCCTCCCACATACCTATTGCTGAGAGAAGCCTCCTCCTGAGGTGCTTCTGGGAAGTTGACATACGTCTTGAGCCTAAGCCAGGGAATCAGCTCGCATCTCGAGACGATTTGGGGTACACGGAGCATTCCTCGAGTTGCTGTGCTGAAGTTGGTGTTCCTCTAGACTTGGGACAGTGTTCTCGGGGCATCCCTGGAGTTGCCCGAAGGAAGTCGAGCCACCGGTCGTGTTGAATGGGGAACGGGGAATGGCTCTGGAGTCAATGCAGGGGAATCGGGCCTCATCTCGAGTTGATTTGGGGCACATGGAGCTGCTTTGCGTTGCTGGGGTGACCTCAGGGTCCGTCTAGACTGGTGACAGTGTTCTTGGGGACTGTCTCGAGATCCATTAAGCAAGTCGAAGCTCCTGACTTGTTTGAATGGGATCACGGAATAGCTCTGCATGCACTGCAGGGGAATGGGGCCTCATCTCGCCTCTAGGGGGAAGTCTCATGGTTTTTCTCGAGTTGCGGCGGGGACCTGGGGTATGTTCTCGACTTACGGCGGGGATGGCCCTTCAAAACACGAGTTTCTTCAGTGACGTCAGGACTCCTGTCTAGTAACGAGGGACACCTCAGGAATCTCTTCGAGGCTTGGCAGGGCCAAAGGGACGCTTCTCGAGGTGAGGCAGGGCACCCAAGCACCCTTTCCAGTAGCCACAGGGATTTTGGGATTCCTATCAGTATTCAAGAGGAGTCAGGCATCGTCACCTTTTGAAGCAATGAACTCCGCGTGCCTCTCGAGGTGTCAGCGGGATGTGAGGCATTCCGTCAAAATGAGGCAGGGACCTAGGGCTTTCTCTAAGGTCTCCACAGGGGATTCAGACATCCCTTCATGTTGTGAGATGAAAGACGAGCCTGTATTCAAGCCACTGCAAGGAAATCCGGCCTCCTTTCAAGTGAGGGCTTCTCGCTGTATATTCCCCTTGAGGCAGCAAACTCGGGGTCCCTCCCACATACCTATTGCTGAGAGAAGCCTCCTCCTGAGGTGCTTCTGGGAAGTTGGCATACGTCTTGAGCCTAAGCCAGGGAATCAGCTCGCATCTCGAGACGATTTGGGGTACACGGAGCATTCCTCGAGTTGCTGTGCTGAAGTTGGTGTTCCTCTAGACTTGGGACAGTGTTCTCGGGGCATCTCTGGAGTTGCCTGAAGGAAGTCGAGCCACCGGTCGTGTTGAATGGGGAACGGGGAATGGCTCTGGAGTCAATGCAGGGGAATCGGGCCTCATCTCGAGTTGATTTGGGGCACATGGAGCTGCTTTGCGTTGCTGGGGTGACCTCAGGGTCCGTCTAGACTGGTGACAGTGTTCTTGGGGACTGTCTCGAGATCCATTAAGCAAGTCGAAGCTCCTGACTTGTTTGAATGGGATCACGGAATAGCTCTGCATGCACTGCAGGGGAATGGGGCCTCATCTCGCCTCTAGGGGGAAGTCTCATGGTTTTTCTCGAGTTGCGGCGGGGACCTGGGGTATGTTCTCGACTTACGGCGGGGATGGCCCTTCAAAACACGAGTTTCTTCAGTGACGTCAGGACTCCTGTCTAGTAACGAGGGACACCTCAGGAATCTCTTCGAGGCTTGGCAGGGCCAAAGGGACGCTTCTCGAGGTGAGGCAGGGCACCCAAGGACCCTTTCCAGTAGCCACAGGGATTTTGGGATTCCTATCAGTATTCAAGAGGAGTCAGGCATCGTCACCTTTTGAAGCAATGAACTCCGCGTGCCTCTCGAGGTGTCAGCGGGATGTGAGGCATTCCGTCAAAATGAGGCAGGGACCTAGGGCTTTCTCTAAGGTCTCCACAGGGGATTCAGACATCCCTTCATGTTGTGAGATGAAAGACGAGCCTGTATTCAAGCCACTGCAAGGAAATCCGGCCTCCTTTCAAGTGAGGGCTTCTCGCTGTATATTCCCCTTGAGGCAGCAAACTCGGGGTCCCTCCCACATACCTATTGCTGAGAGAAGCCTCCTCCTGAGGTGCTTCTGGGAAGTTGGCATACGTCTTGAGCCTAAGCCAGGGAATCAGCTCGCATCTCGAGACGATTTGGGGTACACGGAGCATTCCTCGAGTTGCTGTGCTGAAGTTGGTGTTCCTCTAGACTTGGGACAGTGTTCTCGGGGCATCCCTGGAGTTGCCCGAAGGAAGTCGAGCCACCGGTCGTGTTGAATGGGGAACGGGGAATGGCTCTGGAGTCAATGCAGGGGAATCGGGCCTCATCTCGAGTTGATTTGGGGCACATGGAGCTGCTTTGCGTTGCTGGGGTGACCTCAGGGTCCGTCTAGACTGGTGACAGTGTTCTTGGGGACTGTCTCGAGATCCATTAAGCAAGTCGAAGCTCCTGACTTGTTTGAATGGGATCACGGAATAGCTCTGCATGCACTGCAGGGGAATGGGGCCTCATCTCGCCTCTAGGTGGAAGTCTCATGGTTTTTCTCGAGTTGCGGCGGGGACCTGGGGTATGTTCTCGACTTACGGCGGGGATGGCCCTTCAAAACACGAGTTTCTTCAGTGACGTCAGGACTCCTGTCTAGTAACGAGGGACACCTCAGGAATCTCTTCGAGGCTTGGCAGGGCCAAAGGGACGCTTCCCGAGGTGAGGCAGGGCACCCAAGGACCCTTTCCAGTAGCCACAGGGATTTTGGGATTCCTATCAGTATTCAAGAGGAGTCAGGCATCGTCACCTTTTGAAGCAATGAACTCCGCGTGCCTCTCGAGGTGTCAGCGGGATGTGAGGCATTCCGTCAAAATGAGGCAGGGACCTAGGGCTTTCTCTAAGGTCTCCACAGGGGATTCAGACATCCCTTCATGTTGTGAGATGAAAGACGAGCCTGTATTCAAGCCACTGCAAGGAAATCTGGCCTCCGTTCACATTAGGGCTTCTCCCTGTGTATTCCCCTTGAGGCAGCAAACTCGGGGTCCCTCCCACATACCTATTGCTGAGAGAAGCCTCCTCCTGAGGTGCTTCTGGGAAGTTGGCATACGTCTTGAGCCTAAGCCAGGGAATCAGCTCGCATCTCGAGACGATTTGGGGTACACGGAGCATTCCTCGAGTTGCTGTGCTGAAGTTGGTGTTCCTCTAGACTTGGGACAGTGTTCTCGGGGCATCTCTGGAGTTGCCTGAAGGAAGTCGAGCCACCGGTCGTGTTGAATGGGGAACGGGGAATGGCTCTGGAGTCAATGCAGGGGAATCGGGCCTCATCTCGAGTTGATTTGGGGCACATGGAGCTGCTTTGCGTTGCTGGGGTGACCTCAGGGTCCGTCTAGACTGGTGACAGTGTTCTTGGGGACTGTCTCGAGATCCATTAAGCAAGTCGAAGCTCCTGACTTGTTTGAATGGGATCACGGAATAGCTCTGCATGCACTGCAGGGGAATGGGGCCTCATCTCGCCTCTAGGGGGAAGTCTCATGGTTTTTCTCGAGTTGCGGCGGGGACCTGGGGTATGTTCTCGACTTACGGCGGGGATGGCCCTTCAAAACACGAGTTTCTTCAGTGACGTCAGGACTCCTGTCTAGTAACGAGGGACACCTCAGGAATCTCTTCGAGGCTTGGCAGGGCCAAAGGGACGCTTCTCGAGGTGAGGCAGGGCACCCAAGGACCCTTTCCAGTAGCCACAGGGATTTTGGGATTCCTATCAGTATTCAAGAGGAGTCAGGCATCGTCACCTTTTGAAGCAATGAACTCCGCGTGCCTCTCGAGGTGTCAGCGGGATGTGAGGCATTCCGTCAAAATGAGGCAGGGACCTAGGGCTTTCTCTAAGGTCTCCACAGGGGATTCAGACATCCCTTCATGTTGTGAGATGAAAGACGAGCCTGTATTCAAGCCACTGCAAGGAAATCCGGCCTCCTTTCAAGTGAGGGCTTCTCGCTGTATATTCCCCTTGAGGCAGCAAACTCGGGGTCCCTCCCACATACCTATTGCTGAGAGAAGCCTCCTCCTGAGGTGCTTCTGGGAAGTTGGCATACGTCTTGAGCCTAAGCCAGGGAATCAGCTCGCATCTCGAGACGATTTGGGGTACACGGAGCATTCCTCGAGTTGCTGTGCTGAAGTTGGTGTTCCTCTAGACTTGGGACAGTGTTCTCGGGGCATCCCTGGAGTTGCCCGAAGGAAGTCGAGCCACCGGTCGTGTTGAATGGGGAACGGGGAATGGCTGTGGAGTCAATGCAGGGGAATCGGGCCTCATCTCGAGTTGATTTGGGGCACATGGAGCTGCTTTGCGTTGCTGGGGTGACCTCAGGGTCCGTCTAGACTGGTGACAGTGTTCTTGGGGACTGTCTCGAGATCCATTAAGCAAGTCGAAGCTCCTGACTTGTTTGAATGGGATCACGGAATAGCTCTGCATGCACTGCAGGGGAATGGGGCCTCATCTCGCCTCTAGGGGGAAGTCTCATGGTTTTTCTCGAGTTGCGGCGGGGACCTGGGATATGTTCTCGACTTACGGCGGGGATGGCCCTTCAAAACACGAGTTTCTTCAGTGACGTCAGGACTCCTGTCTAGTAACGAGGGACACCTCAGGAATCTCTTCGAGGCTTGGCAGGGCCAAAGGGACGCTTCCCGAGGTGAGGCAGGGCACCCAAGGACCCTTTCCAGTAGCCACAGGGATTTTGGGATTCCTATCAGTATTCAAGAGGAGTCAGGCATCGTCACCTTTTGAAGCAATGAACTCCGCGTGCCTCTCGAGGTGTCAGCGGGATGTGAGGCATTCCGTCAAAATGAGGCAGGGACCTAGGGCTTTCTCTAAGGTCTCCACAGGGGATTCAGACATCCCTTCATGTTGTGAGATGAAAGACGAGCCTGTATTCAAGCCACTGCAAGGAAATCTGGCCTCCGTTCACATTAGGGCTTCTCCCTGTGTATTCCCCTTGAGGCAGCAAACTCCGGGTCCCTCCCACATACCTATTGCTGAGAGAAGCCTCCTCCTGAGGTGCTTCTGGGAAGTTGGCATACGTCTTGAGCCTAAGCCAGGGAATCAGCTCGCATCTCGAGACGATTTGGGGTACACGGAGCATTCCTCGAGTTGCTGTGCTGAAGTTGGTGTTCCTCTAGACTTGGGACAGTGTTCTCGGGGCATCTCTGGAGTTGCCTGAAGGAAGTCGAGCCACCGGTCGTGTTGAATGGGGAACGGGGAATGGCTCTGGAGTCAATGCAGGGGAATCGGGCCTCATCTCGAGTTGATTTGGGGCACATGGAGCTGCTTTGCGTTGCTGGGGTGACCTCAGGGTCCGTCTAGACTGGTGACAGTGTTCTTGGGGACTGTCTCGAGATCCATTAAGCAAGTCGAAGCTCCTGACTTGTTTGAATGGGATCACGGAATAGCTCTGCATGCACTGCAGGGGAATGGGGCCTCATCTCGCCTCTAGGGGGAAGTCTCATGGTTTTTCTCGAGTTGCGGCGGGGACCTGGGGTATGTTCTCGACTTACGGCGGGGATGGCCCTTCAAAACACGAGTTTCTTCAGTGACGTCAGGACTCCTGTCTAGTAACGAGGGACACCTCAGGAATCTCTTCGAGGCTTGGCAGGGCCAAAGGGACGCTTCTCGAGGTGAGGCAGGGCACCCAAGGACCCTTTCCAGTAGCCACAGGGATTTTGGGATTCCTATCAGTATTCAAGAGGAGTCAGGCATCGTCACCTTTTGAAGCAATGAACTCCGCGTGCCTCTCGAGGTGTCAGCGGGATGTGAGGCATTCCGTCAAAATGAGGCAGGGACCTAGGGCTTTCTCTAAGGTCTCCACAGGGGATTCAGACATCCCTTCATGTTGTGAGATGAAAGACGAGCCTGTATTCAAGCCACTGCTAGGAAATCCGGCCTCCTTTCAAGTGAGGGCTTCTCGCTGTATATTCCCCTTGAGGCAGCAAACTCGGGGTCCCTCCCACATACCTATTGCTGAGAGAAGCCTCCTCCTGAGGTGCTTCTGGGAAGTTGGCATACGTCTTGAGCCTAAGCCAGGGAATCAGCTCGCATCTCGAGACGATTTGGGGTACACGGAGCATTCCTCGAGTTGCTGTGCTGAAGTTGGTGTTCCTCTAGACTTGGGACAGTGTTCTCGGGGCATCTCTGGAGTTGCCTGAAGGAAGTCGAGCCACCGGTCGTGTTGAATGGGGAACGGGGAATGGCTCTGGAGTCAATGCAGGGGAATCGGGCCTCATCTCGAGTTGATTTGGGGCACATGGAGCTGCTTTGCGTTGCTGGGGTGACCTCAGGGTCCGTCTAGACTGGTGACAGTGTTCTTGGGGACTGTCTCGAGATCCATTAAGCAAGTCGAAGCTCCTGACTTGTTTGAATGGGATCACGGAATAGCTCTGCATGCACTGCAGGGGAATGGGGCCTCATCTCGCCTCTAGGGGGAAGTCTCATGGTTTTTCTCGAGTTGCGGCGGGGACCTGGGGGATGTTCTCGACTTACGGCGGGGATGGCCCTTCAAAACACGAGTTTCTTCAGTGACGTCAGGACTCCTGTCTAGTAACGAGGGACACCTCAGGAATCTCTTCGAGGCTTGGCAGGGCCAAAGGGACGCTTCTCGAGGTGAGGCAGGGCACCCAAGCGCCCTTTCCAGTAGCCACAGGGATTTTGGGATTCCTATCAGTATTCAAGAGGAGTCAGGCATCGTCACCTTTTGAAGCAATGAACTCCGCGTGCCTCTCGAGGTGTCAGCGGGATGTGAGGCATTCCGTCAAAATGAGGCAGGGACCTAGGGCTTTCTCTAAGGTCTCCACAGGGGATTCAGACATCCCTTCATGTTGTGAGATGAAAGACGAGCCTGTATTCAAGCCACTGCAAGGAAATCCGGCCTCCTTTCAAGTGAGGGCTTCTCGCTGTATATTCCCATTGAGGCAGCAAACTCGGGGTCCCTCCCACATACCTATTGCTGAGAGAAGCCTCCTCCTGAGGTGCTTCTGGGAAGTTGGCATACGTCTTGAGCCTAAGCCAGGGAATCAGCTCGAATCTCGAGACGATTTGGGGTAGACGGAGCATTCCTCGAGTTGCTGTGCTGAAGTTGGTGTTCCTCTAGACTTGGGACAGTGTTCTCGGGGCATCTCTGGAGTTGCCTGAAGGAAGTCGAGCCACCGGTCGTGTTGAATGGGGAACGGGGAATGGCTCTGGAGTCAATGCAGGGGAATCGGGCCTCATCTCGAGTTGATTTGGGGCACATGGAGCTGCTTTGCGTTGCTGGGGTGACCTCAGGGTCCGTCTAGACTGGTGACAGTGTTCTTGGGGACTGTCTCGAGATCCATTAAGCAAGTCGAAGCTCCTGACTTGTTTGAATGGGATCACGGAATAGCTCTGCATGCACTGCAGGGGAATGGGGCCTCATCTCGCCTCTAGGGGGAAGTCTCATGGTTTTTCTCGAGTTGCGGCGGGGACCTGGGGTATGTTCTCGACTTACGGCGGGGATGGCCCTTCAAAACACGAGTTTCTTCAGTGAGGTCAGGACTCCTGTCTAGTAACGAGGGACACCTCAGGAATCTCTTCGAGGCTTGGCAGGGCCAAAGGGACGCTTCTCGAGGTGAGGCAGGGCACCCAAGGACCCTTTCCAGTAGCCACAGGGATTTTGGGATTCCTATCAGTATTCAAGAGGAGTCAGGCATCGTCACCTTTTGAAGCAATGAACTCCGCGTGCCTCTCGAGGTGTCAGCGGGATGTGAGGCATTCCGTCAAAATGAGGCAGGGACCTAGGGCTTTCTCTAAGGTCTCCACAGGGGATTCAGACATCCCTTCATGTTGTGAGATGAAAGACGAGCCTGTATTCAAGCCACTGCAAGGAAATCCGGCCTCCTTTCAAGTGAGGGCTTCTCGCTGTATATTCCCCTTGAAGCAGCAAACTCGGGGTCCCTCCCACATACCTATTGCTGAGAGAAGCCTCCTCCTGAGGTGCTTCTGGGAAGTTGGCATACGTCTTGAGCCTAAGCCAGGGAATCAGCTCGCATCTCGAGACGATTTGGGGTACACGGAGCATTCCTCGAGTTGCTGTGCTGAAGTTGGTGTTCCTCTAGACTTGGGACAGTGTTCTCGGGGCATCTCTGGAGTTGCCTGAAGGAAGTCGAGCCACCGGTCGTGTTGAATGGGGAACGGGGAATGGCTCTGGAGTCAATGCAGGGGAATCGGGCCTCATCTCGAGTTGATTTGGGGCACATGGAGCTGCTTTGCGTTGCTGGGGTGACCTCAGGGTCCGTCTAGACTGGTGACAGTGTTCTTGGGGACTGTCTCGAGATCCATTAAGCAAGTCGAAGCTCCTGACTTGTTTGAATGGGATCACGGAATAGCTCTGCATGCACTGCAGGGGAATGGGGCCTCATCTCGCCTCTAGGGGGAAGTCTCATGGTTTTTCTCGAGTTGCGGCGGGGACCTGGGGTATGTTCTCGACTTACGGCGGGGATGGCCCTTCAAAACACGAGTTTCTTCAGTGACGTCAGGACTCCTGTCTAGTAACGAGGGACACCTCAGGAATCTCTTCGAGGCTTGGCAGGGCCAAAGGGACGCTTCTCGAGGTGAGGCAGGGCACCCAAGGACCCTTTCCAGTAGCCACAGGGATTTTGGGATTCCTATCAGTATTCAAGAGCAGTCAGGCATCGTCACCTTTTGAAGCAATGAACTCCGCGTGCCTCTCGAGGTGTCAGCGGGATGTGAGGAATTCCGTCAAAATGAGGCAGGGACCTAGGGCTTTCTCTAAGGTCTCCACAGGGGATTCAGACATCCCTTCATGTTGTGAGATGAAAGACGAGCCTGTATTCAAGCCACTGCAAGGAAATCCGGCCTCCTTTCAAGTGAGGGCTTCTCGCTGTATATTCCCCTTGAGGCAGCAAACTCGGGGTCCCTCCCACATACCTATTGCTGAGAGAAGCCTCCTCCTGAGGTGCTTCTGGGAAGTTGGCATACGTCTTGAGCCTAAGCCAGGGAATCAGCTCGCATCTCGAGACGATTTGGGGTACACGGAGCATTCCTCGAGTTGCTGTGCTGAAGTTGGTGTTCCTCTAGACTTGGGACAGTGTTCTCGGGGCATCTCTGGAGTTGCCTGAAGGAAGTCGAGCCACCGGTCGTGTTGAATGGGGAACGGGGAATGGCTCTGGAGTCAATGCAGGGGAATCGGGCCTCATCTCGAGTTGATTTGGGGCACATGGAGCTGCTTTGCGTTGCTGGGGTGACCTCAGGGTCCGTCTAGACTGGTGACAGTGTTCTTGGGGACTGTCTCGAGATCCATTAAGCAAGTCGAAGCTCCTGACTTGTTTGAATGGGATCACGGAATAGCTCTGCATGCACTGCAGGGGAATGGGGCCTCATCTCGCCTCTAGGGGGAAGTCTCATGGTTTTTCTCGAGTTGCGGCGGGGACCTGGGGTATGTTCTCGACTTACGGCGGGGATGGCCCTTCAAAACACGAGTTTCTTCAGTGACGTCAGGACTCCTGTCTAGTAACGAGGGACACCTCAGGAATCTCTTCGAGGCTTGGCAGGGCCAAAGGGACGCTTCTCGAGGTGAGGCAGGGCACTCAAGGACCCTTTCCAGTAGCCACAGGGATTTTGGGATTCCTATCAGTATTCAAGAGGAGTCAGGCATCGTCACCTTTTGAAGCAATGAACTCCGCGTGCCTCTCGAGGTGTCAGCGGGATGTGAGGCATTCCATCAAAATGAGGCAGGGACCTAGGGCTTTCTCTAAGGTCTCCACAGGGGATTCAGACATCCCTTCATGTTGTGAGATGAAAGACGAGCCTGTATGCAAGCCACTGCAAGGAAATCCGGCCTCCTTTCAAGTTAGGGCTTCTCGCTGTATATTCCCCTTGAGGCAGCAAACTCGGGGTCCCTCCCACATACCTATTGCTGAGAGAAGCCTCCTCCTGAGGTGCTTCTGGGAAGTTGGCATACGTCTTGAGCCTAAGCCAGGGAATCAGCTCGCATCTCGAGACGATTTGGGGTACACGGAGCATTCCTCGAGTTGCTGTGCTGAAGTTGGTGTTCCTCTAGACTTGGGACAGTGTTCTCGGGGCATCTCTGGAGTTGCCTGAAGGAAGTCGAGCCACCGGTCGTGTTGAATGGGGAACGGGGAATGGCTCTGGAGTCAATGCAGGGGAATCGGGCCTCATCTCGAGTTGATTTGGGGCACATGGAGCTGCTTTGCGTTGCTGAGTTGACCTCAGGGTCCGTCTAGACTGGTGACAGTGTTCTTGGGGACTGTCTCGAGATCCATTAAGCAAGTCGAAGCTCCTGACTTGTTTGAATGGGATCACGGAATAGCTCTGCATGCACTGCAGGGGAATGGGGCCTCATCTCGCCTCTAGGGGGAAGTCTCATGGTTTTTCTCGAGTTGCGGCGGGGACCTGGGGTATGTTCTCGACTTACGGCGGGGATGGCCCTTCAAAACACGAGTTTCTTCAGTGACGTCAGGACTCCTGTCTAGTAACGAGGGACACCTCAGGAATCTCTTCGAGGCTTGGCAGGGCCAAAGGGACGCTTCTCGAGGTGAGGCAGGGCACCCAAGGACCCTTTCCAGTAGCCACAGGGATTTTGGGATTCCTATCAGTATTCAAGAGGAGTCAGGCATCGTCACCTTTTGAAGCAATGAACTCCGCGTGCCTCTCGAGGTGTCAGCGGGATGTGAGGCATTCCGTCAAAATGAGGCAGGGACCTAGGGCTTTCTCTAAGGTCTCCACAGGGGATTCAGACATCCCTTCATGTTGTGAGATGAAAGACGAGCCTGTATGCAAGCCACTGCAAGGAAATCCGGCCTCCTTTCAAGTTAGGGCTTCTCGCTGTATATTCCCCTTGAGGCAGCAAACTCGGGGTCCCTCCCACATACCTATTGCTGAGAGAAGCCTCCTCCTGAGGTGCTTCTGGGAAGTTGGCATACGTCTTGAGCCTAAGCCAGGGAATCAGCTCGCATCTCGAGACGATTTGGGGTACACGGAGCATTCCTCGAGTTGCTGTGCTGAAGTTGGTGTTCCTCTAGACTTGGGACAGTGTTCTCGGGGCATCTCTGGAGTTGCCTGAAGGAAGTCGAGCCACCGGTCGTGTTGAATGGGGAACGGGGAATGGCTCTGGAGTCAATGCAGGGGAATCGGGCCTCATCTCGAGTTGATTTGGGGCACATGGAGCAGCTTTGCGTTGCTGGGGTGACCTCAGGGTCCGTCTAGACTGGTGACAGTGTTCTTGGGGACTGTCTCGAGATCCATTAAGCAAGTCGAAGCTCCTGACTTGTTTGAATGGGATCACGGAATAGCTCTGCATGCACTGCAGGGGAATGGGGCCTCATCTCGCCTCTAGGGGGAAGTCTCATGGTTTTTCTCGAGTTGCGGCGGGGACCTGGGGTATGTTCTCGACTTACGGCGGGGATGGCCCTTCAAAACACGAGTTTCTTCAGTGACGTCAGGACTCCTGTCTAGTAACGAGGGACACCTCAGGAATCTCTTCGAGGCTTGGCAGGGCCAAAGGGACGCTTCTCGAGGTGAGGCAGGGCACCCAAGGACCCTTTCCAGTAGCCACAGGGATTTTGGGATTCCTATCAGTATTCAAGAGGAGTCAGGCATCGTCACCTTTTGAAGCAATGAACTCCGCGTGCCTCTCGAGGTGTCAGCGGGATGTGAGGCATTCCGTCAAAATGAGGCAGGGACCTAGGGCTTTCTCTAAGGTCTCCACAGGGGATTCAGACATCCCTTCATGTTGTGAGATGAAAGACGAGCCTGTATGCAAGCCACTGCAAGGAAATCCGGCCTCCTTTCAAGTTAGGGCTTCTCGCTGTATATTCCCCTTGAGGCAGCAAACTCGGGGTCCCTCCCACATACCTATTGCTGAGAGAAGCCTCCTCCTGAGGTGCTTCTGGGAAGTTGGCATACGTCTTGAGCCTAAGCCAGGGAATCAGCTCGCATCTCGAGACGATTTGGGGTACACGGAGCATTCCTCGAGTTGCTGTGCTGAAGTTGGTGTTCCTCTAGACTTGGGACAGTGTTCTCGGGGCATCTCTGGAGTTGCCTGAAGGAAGTCGAGCCACCGGTCGTGTTGAATGGGGAACGGGGAATGGCTCTGGAGTCAATGCAGGGGAATCGGGCCTCATCTCGAGTTGATTTGGGGCACATGGAGCAGCTTTGCGTTGCTGGGGTGACCTCAGGGTCCGTCTAGACTGGTGACAGTGTTCTTGGGGACTGTCTCGAGATCCATTAAGCAAGTCGAAGCTCCTGACTTGTTTGAATGGGATCACGGAATAGCTCTGCATGCACTGCAGGGGAATGGGGCCTCATCTCGCCTCTAGGGGGAAGTCTCATGGTTTTTCTCGAGTTGCGGAGGGGACCTGGAGTATGTTCTCGACTTACGGCGGGGATGGCCCTTCAAAACACGAGTTTCTTCAGTGACGTCAGGACTCCTGTCTAGTAACGAGGGACACCTCAGGAATCTCTTCAAGGCTTGGCAGGGCCAAAGGGACGCTTCTCGAGGTGAGGCAGGGCACCCAAGGACCCTTTCCAGTAGCCACAGGGATTTTGGGATTCCTATCAGTATTCAAGAGGAGTCAGGCATCGTCACCTTTTGAAGCAATGAACTCCGCGTGCCTCTCGAGGTGTCAGCGGGATGTGAGGCATTCCGTCAAAATGAGGCAGGGACCTAGGGCTTTCTCTAAGGTCTCCACAGGGGATTCAGACATCCCTTCATGTTGTGAGATGAAAGACGAGCCTGTATTCAAGCCACTGCAAGGAAATCCGGCCTCCTTTCAAGTTAGGGCTTCTCGCTGTATATTCCCCTTGAGGCAGCAAACTCGGGGTCCCTCCCACATACCTATTGCTGAGAGAAGCCTCCTCCTGAGGTGCTTCTGGGAAGTTGGCATACGTCTTGAGCCTAAGCCAGGGAATCAGCTCGCATCTCGAGACGATTTGGGGTACACGGAGCATTCCTCGAGTTGCTGTGCTGAAGTAGGTGTTCCTCTAGTCTTGGGACAGTGTTCTCGGGGCATCTCTGGAGTTGCCTGAAGGAAGTCGAGCCACCGGTCGTGTTGAATGGGGAACGGGGAATGGCTCTGGAGTCAATGCAGGGGAATCGGGCCTCATCTCGAGTTGATTTGGGGCACATGGAGCTGCTTTGCGTTGCTGGGGTGACCTCAGGGTCCGTCTAGACTGGTGACAGTGTTCTTGGGGACTGTCTCGAGATCCATTAAGCAAGTCGAAGCTCCTGACTTGTTTGAATGGGATCACGGAATAGCTCTGCATGCACTGCAGGGGAATGGGGCCTCATCTCGCCTCTAGGGGGAAGTCTCATGGTTTTTCTCGAGTTGCGGCGGGGACCTGGGGTATGTTCTCGACTTACGGCGGGGATGGCCCTTCAAAACACGAGTTTCTTCAGTGACGTCAGGACTCCTGTCTAGTAACGAGGGACACCTCAGGAATCTCTTCGAGGCTTGGCAGGGCCAAAGGGACGCTTCTCGAGGTGAGGCAGGGCACCCAAGGACCCTTTCCAGTAGCCACAGGGATTTTGGGATTCCTATCAGTATTCAAGAGGAGTCAGGCATCGTCACCTTTTGAAGCAATGAACTCCGCGTGCCTCTCGAGGTGTCAGCGGGATGTGAGGCATTCCGTCAAAATGAGGCAGGGACCTAGGGCTTTCTCTAAGGTCTCCACAGGGGATTCAGACATCCCTTCATGTTGTGAGATGAAAGACGAGCCTGTATTCAAGCCACTGCAAGGAAATCCGGCCTCCTTTCAAGTGAGGGCTTCTCGCTGTATATTCCCCTTGAGGCAGCAAACTCGGGGTCCCTCCCACATACCTATTGCTGAGAGAAGCCTCCTCCTGAGGTGCTTCTGGGAAGTTGGCATACGTCTTGAGCCTAAGCCAGGGAATCAGCTCGCATCTCGAGACGATTTGGGGTACACGGAGCATTCCTCGAGTTGCTGTGCTGAAGTTGGTGTTCCTATAGACTTGGGACAGTGTTCTCGGGGCATCTCTGGAGTTGCCTGAAGGAAGTCGAGCCACCGGTCGTGTTAAATGGGGAACGGGGAATGGCTCTGGAGTCAATGCAGGGGAATCGGGCCTCATCTCGAGTTGATTTGGGGCACATGGAGCTGCTTTGCGTTGCTGGGGTGACCTCAGGGTCCGTCTAGACTGGTGACAGTGTTCTTGGGGACTGTCTCGAGATCCATTAAGCAAGTCGAAGCTCCTGACTTGTTTGAATGGGATCACGGAATAGCTCTGCATGCACTGCAGGGGAATGGGGCCTCATCTCGCCTCTAGGGGGAAGTCTCATGGTTTTTCTCGAGTTGCGGCGGGGACCTGGGGTATGTTCTCGACTTACGGCGGGGATGGCCCTTCAAAACACGAGTTTCTTCAGTGACGTCAGGACTCCTGTCTAGTAACGAGGGACACCTCAGGAATCTCTTCGAGGCTTGGCAGGGCCAAAGGGACGCTTCTCGAGGTGAGGCAGGGCACCCAAGGACCCTTTCCAGTAGCCACAGGGATTTTGGGATTCCTATCAGTATTCAAGAGGAGTCAGGCATCGTCACCTTTTGAAGCAATGAACTCCGCGTGCCTCTCGAGGTGTCAGCGGGATGTGAGGCATTCCGTCAAAATGAGGCAGGGACCTAGGGCTTTCTCTAAGGTCTCCACAGGGGATTCAGACATCCCTTCATGTTGTGAGATGAAAGACGAGCCTGTATTCAAGCCACTGCAAGGAAATCCGGCCTCCTTTCAAGTGAGGGCTTCTCGCTGTATATTCCCCTTGAGGCAGCAAACTCGGGGTCCCTCCCACATACCTATTGCTGAGAGAAGCCTCCTCCTGAGGTGCTTCTGGGAAGTTGGCATACGTCTTGAGCCTAAGCCAGGGAATCAGCTCGCATCTCGAGACGATTTGGGGTACACGGAGCATTCCTCGAGTTGCTGTGCTGAAGTTGGTGTTCCTCTAGACTTGGGACAGTGTTCTCGGGGCATCTCTGGAGTTGCCTGAAGGACGTCGAGCCACCGGTCGTGTTGAATGGGGAACGGGGAATGGCTCTGGAGTCAATGCAGGGGAATCGGGCCTCATCTCGAGTTGATTTGGGGCACATGGAGCTGCTTTGCGTTGCTGGGGTGACCTCAGGGTCCGTCTAGACTGGTGACAGTGTTCTTGGGGACTGTCTCGAGATCCATTAAGCAAGTCGAAGCTCCTGACTTGTTTGAATGGGATCACGGAATAGCTCTGCATGCACTGCAGGGGAATGGGGCCTCATCTCGCCTCTAGGGGGAAGTCTCATGGTTTTTCTCGAGTTGCGGCGGGGACCTGGGGTATGTTCTCGACTTACGGCGGGGATGGCCCTTCAAAACACGAGTTTCTTCAGTGACGTCAGGACTCCTGTCTAGTAACGAGGGACACCTCAGGAATCTCTTCGAGGCTTGGCAGGGCCAAAGGGACGCTTCCCGAGGTGAGGCAGGGCACCCAAGGACCCTTTCCAGTAGCCACAGGGATTTTGGGATTCCTATCAGTATTCAAGAGGAGTCAGGCATCGTCACCTTTTGAAGCAATGAACTCCGCGTGCCTCTCGAGGTGTCAGCGGGATGTGAGGCATTCCGTCAAAATGAGGCAGGGACCTAGGGCTTTCTCTAAGGTCTCCACAGGGGATTCAGACATCCCTTCATGTTGTGAGATGAAAGACGAGCCTGTATTCAAGCCACTGCAAGGAAATCCGGCCTCCTTTCAAGTGAGGGCTTCTCGCTGTATATTCCCCTTGAGGCAGCAAACTCGGGGTCCCTCCCACATACCTATTGCTGAGAGAAGCCTCCTCCTGAGGTGCTTCTGGGAAGTTGGCATACGTCTTGAGCCTAAGCCAGGGAATCAGCTCGCATCTCGAGACGATTTGGGGTACACGGAGCATTCCTCGAGTTGCTGTGCTGAAGTTGGTGTTCCTCTAGACTTGGGACAGTGTTCTCGGGGCATCTCTGGAGTTGCCTGAAGGAAGTCGAGCCACCGGTCGTGTTGAATGGGGAACGGGGAATGGCTCTGGAGTCAATGCAGGGGAATCGGGCCTCATCTCGAGTTGATTTGGGGCACATGGAGCTGCTTTGCGTTGCTGGGGTGACCTCAGGGTCCGTCTAGACTGGTGACAGTGTTCTTGGGGACTGTCTCGAGATCCATTAAGCAAGTCGAAGCTCCTGACTTGTTTGAATGGGATCACGGAATAGCTCTGCATGCACTGCAGGGGAATGGGGCCTCATCTCGCCTCTAGGGGGAAGTCTCATGGTTTTTCACGAGTTGCGGCGGGGACCTGGGGGATGTTCTCGACTTACGGCGGGGATGGCCCTTCAAAACACGAGTTTCTTCAGTGACGTCAGGACTCCTGTCTAGTAACGAGGGACACCTCAGGAATCTCTTCGAGGCTTGGCAGGGCCAAAGGGACGCTTCTCGAGGTGAGGCAGGGCACCCAAGGACCCTTTCCAGTAGCCACAGGGATTTTGGGATTCCTATCAGTATTCAAGAGGAGTCAGGCATCGTCACCTTTTGAAGCAATGAACTCCGCGTGCCTCTCGAGGTGTCAGCGGGATGTGAGGCATTCCGTCAAAATGAGGCAGGGACCTAGGGCTTTCTCTAAGGTCTCCACAGGGGATTCAGACATCCCTTCATGTTGTGAGATGAAAGACGAGCCTGTATTCAAGCCACTGCAAGGAAATCCGGCCTCCTTTCAAGTTAGGGCTTCTCGCTGTATATTCCCCTTGAGGCAGCAAACTCGGGGTCCCTCCCACATACCTATTGCTGAGAGAAGCCTCCTCCTGAGGTGCTTCTGGGAAGTTGGCATACGTCTTGAGCCTAAGCCAGGGAATCAGCTCGCATCTCGAGACGATTTGGGGTACACGGAGCATTCCTCTAGTTGCTGTGCTGAAGTAGGTGTTCCTCTAGACTTGGGACAGTGTTCTCGGGGCATCTCTGGAGTTGCCTGAAGGAAGTCGAGCCACCGGTCGTGTTGAATGGGGAACGGGGAATGGCTCTGGAGTCAATGCAGGGGAATCGGGCCTCATCTCGAGTTGATTTGGGGCACATGGAGCTGCTTTGCGTTGCTGGGGTGACCTCAGGGTCCGTCTAGACTGGTGACAGTGTTCTTGGGGACTGTCTCGAGATCCATTAAGCAAGTCGAAGCTCCTGACTTGTTTGAATGGGATCACGGAATAGCTCTGCATGCACTGCAGGGGAATGGGGCCTCATCTCGCCTCTAGGGGGAAGTCTCATGGTTTTTCTCGAGTTGCGGCGGGGACCTGGGGTATGTTCTCGACTTACGGCGGGGATGGCCCTTCAAAACACGAGTTTCTTAAGTGACGTCAGGACTCCTGTCTAGTAACGAGGGACACCTCAGGAATCTCTTCGAGGCTTGGCAGGGCCAAAGGGACGCTTCTCGAGGTGAGGCAGGGCACCCAAGGACCCTTTCCAGTAGCCACAGGGATTTTGGGATTCCTATCAGTATTCAAGAGGAGTCAGGCATCGTCACCTTTTGAAGCAATGAACTCCGCGTGCCTCTCGAGGTGTCAGCGGGATGTGAGGCATTCCGTCAAAATGAGGCAGGGACCTAGGGCTTTCTCTAAGGTCTCCACAGGGGATTCAGACATCCCTTCATGTTGTGAGATGAAAGACGAGCCTGTATGCAAGCCACTGCAAGGAAATCCGGCCTCCTTTCAAGTTAGGGCTTCTCGCTGTATATTCCCCTTGAGGCAGCAAACTCGGGGTCCCTCCCACATACCTATTGCTGAGAGAAGCCTCCTCCTGAGGTGCTTCTGGGAAGTTGGCATACGTCTTGAGCCTAAGCCAGGGAATCAGCTCGCATCTCGAGACGATTTGGGGTACACGGAGCATTCCTCGAGTTGCTGTGCTGAAGTTGGTGTTCCTCTAGACTTGGGACAGTGTTCTCGGGGCATCTCTGGAGTTGCCTGAAGGAAGTCGAGCCACCGGTCGTGTTGAATGGGGAACGGGGAATGGCTCTGGAGTCAATGCAGGGGAATCGGGCCTCATCTCGAGTTGATTTGGGGCACATGGAGCTGCTTTGCGTTGCTGGGGTGACCTCAGGGTCCGTCTAGACTGGTGACAGTGTTCTTGGGGACTGTCTCGAGATCCATTAAGCAAGTCGAAGCTCCTGACTTGTTTGAATGGGATCACGGAATAGCTCTGCATGCACTGCAGGGGAATGGGGCCTCATCTCGCCTCTAGGGGGAAGTCTCATGGTTTTTCTCGAGTTGCGGAGGGAACCTGGGGTATGTTCTCGACTTACGGCGGGGATGGCCCTTCAAAACACGAGTTTCTTCAGTGACGTCAGGACTCCTGTCTAGTAACGAGGGACACCTCAGGAATCTCTTCGAGGCTTGGCAGGGCCAAAGGGACGCTTCTCGAGGTGAGGCAGGGCACCCAAGCGCCCTTTCCAGTAGCCACAGGGATTTTGGGATTCCTATCAGTATTCAAGAGGAGTCAGGCATCGTCACCTTTTGAAGCAATGAACTCCGCGTGCCTCTCGAGGTGTCAGCGGGATGTGAGGCATTCCGTCAAAATGAGGCAGGGACCTAGGGCTTTCTCTAAGGTCTCCACAGGGGATTCAGACATCCCTTCATGTTGTGAGATGAAAGACGAGCCTGTATTCAAGCCACTGCAAGGAAATCCGGCCTCCTTTCAAGTAAGGGCTTCTCGCTGTATATTCCCCTTGAGGCAGCAAACTCGGGGTCCCTCCCACATACCTATTGCTGAGAGAAGCCTCCTCCTGAGGTGCTTCTGGGAAGTTGGCATACGTCTTGAGCCTAAGCCAGGGAATCAGCTCGCATCTCGAGACGATTTGGGGTACACGGAGCATTCCTCGAGTTGCTGTGCTGAAGTTGGTGTTCCTCTAGACTTGGGACAGTGTTCTCGGGGCATCTCTGGAGTTGCCTGAAGGAAGTCGAGCCACCGGTCGTGTTGAATGGGGAACGGGGAATGGCTCTGGAGTCAATGCAGGGGAATCGGGCCTCATCTCGAGTTGATTTGGGGCACATGGAGCTGCTTTGCGTTGCTGGGGTGACCTCAGGGTCCGTCTAGACTGGTGACAGTGTTCTTGGGGACTGTCTCGAGATCCATTAAGCAAGTCGAAGCTCCTGACTTGTTTGAATGGGATCACGGAATAGCTCTGCATGCACTGCAGGGGAATGGGGCCTCATCTCGCCTCTAGGGGGAAGTCTCATGGTTTTTCTCGAGTTGCGGCGGGGACCTGGGAGATGTTCTCGACTTACGGCGGGGATGGCCCTTCAAAACACGAGTTTCTTCAGTGACGTCAGGACTCCTGTCTAGTAACGAAGGACACCTCAGGAATCTCTTCGAGGCTTGGCAGGGCCAAAGGGACGCTTCTCGAGGTGAGGCAGGGCACCCAAGGACCCTTTCCAGTAGCCACAGGGATTTTGGGATTCCTATCAGTATTCAAGAGGAGTCAGGCATCGTCACCTTTTGAAGCAATGAACTCCGCGTGCCTCTCGAGGTGTCAGCGGGATGTGAGGCATTCCGTCAAAATGAGGCAGGGACCTAGGGCTTTCTCTAAGGTCTCCACAGGGGATTCAGACATCCCTTCATGTTGTGAGATGAAAGACGAGCCTGTATTCAAGCCACTGCAAGGAAATCCGGCCTCCTTTCAAGTTAGGGCTTCTCGCTGTATATTCCCCTTGAGGCAGCAAACTCGGGGTCCCTCCCACATACCTATTGCTGAGAGAAGCCTCCTCCTGAGGTGCTTCTGGGAAGTTGGCATACGTCTTGAGCCTAAGCCAGGGAATCAGCTCGCATCTCGAGACGATTTGGGGTACACGGAGCATTCCTCGAGTTGCTGTGCTGAAGTTGGTGTTCCTCTAGACTTGGGACAGTGTTCTCGGGGCAACTCTGGAGTTGCCTTAAGGAAGTCGAGCCACCGGTCGTGTTGAATGGGGAACGGGGAATGGCTCTGGAGTCAATGCAGGGGAATCGGGCCTCATCTCGAGTTGATTTGGGGCACATGGAGCTGCTTTGCGTTGCTGGGGTGACCTCAGGGTCCGTCTAGACTGGTGACAGTGTTCTTGGGGACTGTCTCGAGATCCATTAAGCAAGTCGAAGCTCCTGACTTGTTTGAATGGGATCACGGAATAGCTCTGCATGCACTGCAGGGGAATGGGGCCTCATCTCGCCTCTAGGGGGAAGTCTCATGGTTTTTCTCGAGTTGCGGCGGGGACCTGGGGTATGTTCTCGACTTACGGCGGGGATGGCCCTTCAAAACACGAGTTTCTTCAGTGACGTCAGGACTCCTGTCTAGTAACGAGGGACACCTCAGGAATCTCTTCGAGGCTTGGCAGGGCCAAAGGGACGCTTCTCGAGGTGAGGCAGGGCACCCAAGGACCCTTTCCAGTAGCCACAGGGATTTTGGGATTCCTATCAGTATTCAAGAGGAGTCAGGCATCGTCACCTTTTGAACCAATGAACTCCGCGTGCCTCTCGAGGTGTCAGCGGGATGTGAGGCATTCCGTCAAAATGAGGCAGGGACCTAGGGCTTTCTCTAAGGTCTCCACAGGGGATTCAGACATCCCTTCATGTTGTGAGATGAAAGACGAGCCTGTATGCAAGCCACTGCAAGGAAATCCGGCCTCCTTTCAAGTTAGGGCTTCTCGCTGTATATTCCCCTTGAGGCAGCAAACTCGGGGTCCCTCCCACATACCTATTGCTGAGAGAAGCCTCCTCCTGAGGTGCTTCTGGGAAGTTGGCATAAGTCTTGAGCCTAAGCCAGGGAATCAGCTCGCATCTCGAGACGATTTGGGGTACACGGAGCATTCCTCGAGTTGCTGTGCTGAAGTTGGTGTTCCTCTAGACTTGGGACAGTGTTCTCGGGGCATCTCTGGAGTTGCCTGAAGGAAGTCGAGCCACCGGTCATGTTGAATGGGGAACGGGGAATGGCTCTGGAGTCAATGCAGGGGAATCGGGCCTCATCTCGAGTTGATTTGGGGCACATGGAGCTGCTTTGCGTTGCTGGGTTGACCTCAGGGTCCGTCTAGACTGGTGACAGTGTTCTTGGGGACTGTCTCGAGATCCATTAAGCAAGTCGAAGCTCCTGACTTGTTTGAATGGGATCACGGAATAGCTCTGCATGCACTGCAGGGGAATGGGGCCTCATCTCGCCTCTAGGGGGAAGTCTCATGGTTTTTCTCGAGTTGCGGCGGGGACCTGGGGTATGTTCTCGACTTACGGCGGGGATGGCCCTTCAAAACACGAGTTTCTTCAGTGACGTCAGGACTCCTGTCTAGTAACGAGGGACACCTCAGGAATCTCTTCGAGGCTTGGCAGGGCCAAAGGGACGCTTCTCGAGGTGAGGCAGGGCACCCAAGGACCCTTTCCAGTAGCCACAGGGATTTTGGGATTCCTATCAGTATTCAAGAGGAGTCAGGCATCGTCACCTTTTGAAGCAATGAACTCCGCGTGCCTCTCGAGGTGTCAGCGGGATGTGAGGCATTCCGTCAAAATGAGGCAGGGACCTAGGGCTTTCTCTAAGGTCTCCACAGGGGATTCAGACATCCCTTCATGTTGTGAGATGAAAGACGAGCCTGTATTCAAGCCACTGCAAGGAAATCCGGCCTCCTTTCAAGTTAGGGCTTCTCGCTGTATATTCCCCTTGAGGCAGCAAACTCGGGGTCCCTCCCACATACCTATTGCTGAGAGAAGCCTCCTCCTGAGGTGCTTCTGGGAAGTTGGCATACGTCTTGAGCCTAAGCCAGGGAATCAGCTCGCATCTCGAGACGATTTGGGGTACACGGAGCATTCCTCGAGTTGCTGTGCTGAAGTAGGTGTTCCTCTAGACTTGGGACAGTGTTCTCGGGGCGTCTCTGGAGTTGCCTGAAGGAAGTCGAGCCACCGGTCGTGTTGAATGGGGAACGGGGAATGGCTCTGGAGTCAATGCAGGGGAATCGGGCCTCATCTCGAGTTGATTTGGGGCACATGGAGCTGCTTTGCGTTGCTGGGGTGACCTCAGGGTCCGTCTAGACTGGTGACAGTGTTCTTGGGGACTGTCTCGAGATCCATTAAGCAAGTCGAAGCTCCTGACTTGTTTGAATGGGATCACGGAATAGCTCTGCATGCACTGCAGGGGAATGGGGCCTCATCTCGCCTCTAGGGGGAAGTCTCATGGTTTTTCTCGAGTTGCGGCGGGGACCTGGGGTATGTTCTCGACTTACGGCGGGGATGGCCCTTCAAAACACGAGTTTCTTCAGTGACGTCAGGACTCCTGTCTAGTAACGAGGGACACCTCAGGAATCTCTTCGAGGCTTGGCAGGGCCAAAGGGACGCTTCTCGAGGTGAGGCAGGGCACCCAAGGACCCTTTCCAGTAGCCACAGGGATTTTGGGATTCCTATCAGTATTCAAGAGGAGTCAGGCATCGTCACCTTTTGAAGCAATGAACTCTGCGTGCCTCTCGAGGTGTCAGCGGGATGTGAGGCATTCCGTCAAAATGAGGCAGGGACCTAGGGCTTTCTCTAAGGTCTCCACAGGGGATTCAGACATCCCTTCATGTTGTGAGATGAAAGACGAGCCTGTATGCAAGCCACTGCAAGGAAATCCGGCCTCCTTTCAAGTGAGGGCTTCTCGCTGTATATTCCCCTTGAGGCAGCAAACTCGGGGTCCCTCCCACATACCTATTGCTGAGAGAAGCCTCCTCCTGAGGTGCTTCTGGGAAGTTGGCATACGTCTTGAGCCTAAGCCAGGGAATCAGCTCGCATCTCGAGACGATTTGGGGTACACGGAGCATTCCTCGAGTTGCTGTGCTGAAGTTGGTGTTCCTCTAGACTTGGGACAGTGTTCTCGGGGCATCTCTGGAGTTGCCTGAAGGAAGTCGAGCCACCGGTCGTGTTGAATGGGGAACGGGGAATGGCTCTGGAGTCAATGCAGGGGAATCGGGCCTCATCTCGAGTTGATTTGGGGCACATGGAGCTGCTTTGCGTTGCTGGGGTGACCTCAGGGTCCGTCTAGACTGGTGACAGTGTTCTTGGGGACTGTCTCGAGATCCATTAAGCAAGTCGAAGCTCCTGACTTGTTTGAATGGGATCACGGAATAGCTCTGCATGCACTGCAGGGGAATGGGGCCTCATCTCGCCTCTAGGGGGAAGTCTCATGGTTTTTCTCGAGTTGCAGCGGGGACCTGGGGTATGTTCTCGACTTACGGCGGGGATGGCCCTTCAAAACACGAGTTTCTTCAGTGACGTCAGGACTCCTGTCTAGTAACGAGGGACACCTCAGGAATCTCTTCGAGGCTTGGCAGGGCCAAAGGGACGCTTCTCGAGGTGAGGCAGGGCACCCAAGCGCCCTTTCCAGTAGCCACAGGGATTTTGGGATTCCTATCAGTATTCAAGAGGAGTCAGGCATCGTCACCTTTTGAACCAATGAACTCCGCGTGCCTCTCGAGGTGTCAGCGGGATGTGAGGCATTCCGTCAAAATGAGGCAGGGACCTAGGGCTTTCTCTAAGGTCTCCACAGGGGATTCAGACATCCCTTCATGTTGTGAGATGAAAGACGAGCCTGTATTCAAGCCACTGCAAGGAAATCCGGCCTCCTTTCAAGTGAGGGCTTCTCGCTGTATATTCCCCTTGAGGCAGCAAACTCGGGGTCCCTCCCACATACCTATTGCTGAGAGAAGCCTCCTCCTGAGGTGCTTCTGGGAAGTTGGCATACGTCTTGAGCCTAAGCCAGGGAATCAGCTCGCATCTCGAGACGATTTGGGGTACACGGAGCATTCCTCGAGTTGCTGTGCTGAAGTTGGTGTTCCTCTAGACTTGGGACAGTGTTCTCGGGGCATCTCTGGAGTTGCCTGAAGGAAGTCGAGCCACCGGTCGTGTTGAATGGGGAACGGGGAATGGCTCTGGAGTCAATGCAGGGGAATCGGGCCTCATCTCGAGTTGATTTGGGGCACATGGAGCTGCTTTGCGTTGCTGGGGTGACCTCAGGGTCCGTCTAGACTGGTGACAGTGTTCTTGGGGACTGTCTCGAGATCCATTAAGCAAGTCGAAGCTCCTGACTTGTTTGAATGGGATCACGGAATAGCTCTGCATGCACTGCAGGGGAATGGGGCCTCATCTCGCCTCTAGGGGGAAGTCTCATGGTTTTTCTCGAGTTGCGGCGGGGACCTGGGGGATGTTCTCGACTTACGGCGGGGATGGCCCTTCAAAACACGAGTTTCTTCAGTGACGTCAGGACTCCTGTCTAGTAACGAGGGACACCTCAGGAATCTCTTCGAGGCTTGGCAGGGCCAAAGGGACGCTTCTCGAGGTGAGGCAGGGCACCCAAGGACCCTTTCCAGTAGCCACAGGGATTTTGGGATTCCTATCAGTATTCAAGAGGAGTCAGGCATCGTCACCTTTTGAAGCAATGAACTCCGCGTGCCTCTCGAGGTGTCAGCGGGATGTGAGGCATTCCGTCAAAATGAGGCAGGGACCTAGGGCTTTCTCTAATGTCTCCACAGGGGATTCAGACATCCCTTCATGTTGTGAGATGAAAGACGAGCCTGTATTCAAGCCACTGCAAGGAAATCCGGCCTCCTTTCAAGTTAGGGCTTCTCGCTGTATATTCCCCTTGAGGCAGCAAACTCGGGGTCCCTCCCACATACCTATTGCTGAGAGAAGCCTCCTCCTGAGGTGCTTCTGGGAAGTTGGCATACGTCTTGAGCCTAAGCCAGGGAATCAGCTCGCATCTCGAGACGATTTGGGGTACATGGAGCATTCCTCGAGTTGCTGTGCTGAAGTTGGTGTTCCTCTAGACTTGGGACAGTGTTCTCGGGGCATCTCTGGAGTTGCCTGAAGGAAGTCGAGCCACCGGTCGTGTTGAATGGGGAACGGGGAATGGCTCTGGAGTCAATGCAGGGGAATCGGGCCTCATCTCGAGTTGATTTGGGGCACATGGAGCTGCTTTGCGTTGCTGGGGTGACCTCAGGGTCCGTCTAGACTGGTGACAGTGTTCTTGGGGACTGTCTCGAGATCCATTAAGCAAGTCGAAGCTCCTGACTTGTTTGAATGGGATCACGGAATAGCTCTGCATGCACTGCAGGGGAATGGGGCCTCATCTCGCCTCTAGGGGGAAGTCTCATGGTTTTTCTCGAGTTGCGGCGGGGACCTGGGGGATGTTCTCGACTTACGGCGGGGATGGCCCTTCAAAACACGAGTTTCTTCAGTGACGTCAGGACTCCTGTCTAGTAACGAGGGACACCTCAGGAATCTCTTCGAGGCTTGGCAGGGCCAAAGGGACGCTTCTCGAGGTGAGGCAGGGCACCCAAGGACCCTTTCCAGTAGCCACAGGGATTTTGGGATTCCTATCAGTATTCAAGAGGAGTCAGGCATCGTCACCTTTTGAAGCAATGAACTCCGCGTGCCTCTCGAGGTGTCAGCGGGATGTGAGGCATTCCGTCAAAATGAGGCAGGGACCTAGGGCTTTCTCTAAGGTCTCCACAGGGGATTCAGACATCCCTTCATGTTGTGAGATGAAAGACGAGCCTGTATTCAAGCCACTGCAAGGAAATCCGGCCTCCTTTCAAGTTAGGGCTTCTCGCTGTATATTCCCCTTGAGGCAGCAAACTCGGGGTCCCTCCCACATACCTATTGCTGAGAGAAGCCTCCTCCTGAGGTGCTTCTGGGAAGTTGGCATACGTCTTGAGCCTAAGCCAGGGAATCAGCTCGCATCTCGAGACGATTTGGGGTACACGGAGCATTCCTCGAGTTGCTGTGCTGAAGTTGGTGTTCCTCTAGACTTGGGACAGTGTTCTCGGGGCATCTCTGGAGTTGCCTGAAGGAAGTCGAGCCACCGGTCGTGTTGAATGGGGAACGGGGAATGGCTCTGGAGTCAATGCAGGGGAATCGGGCCTCATCTCGAGTTGATTTGGGGCACATGGAGCTGCTTTGCGTTGCTGGGGTGACCTCAGGGTCCGTCTAGACTGGTGACAGTGTTCTTGGGGACTGTCTCGAGATCCATTAAGCAAGTCGAAGCTCCTGACTTCTTTGAATGGGATCACGGAATAGCTCTGCATGCACTGCAGGGGAATGGGGCCTCATCTCGCCTCTAGGGGGAAGTCTCATGGTTTTTCTCGAGTTGCGGCGGGGACCTGGGGTATGTTCTCGACTTACGGCGGGGATGGCCCTTCAAAACACGAGTTTCTTCAGTGACGTCAGGACTCCTGTCTAGTAACGAGGGACACCTCAGGAATCTCTTCGAGGCTTGGCAGGGCCAAAGGGACGCTTCTCGAGGTGAGGCAGGGCACCCAAGGACCCTTTCCAGTAGCCACAGGGATTTTGGGATTCCTATCAGTATTCAAGAGGAGTCAGGCATCGTCACCTTTTGAAGCAATGAACTCCGCGTGCCTCTCGAGGTGTCAGCGGGATGTGAGGCATTCCGTCAAAATGAGGCAGGGACCTAGGGCTTTCTCTAAGGTCTCCACAGGGGATTCAGACATCCCTTCATGTTGTGAGATGAAAGACGAGCCTGTATTCAAGCCACTGCAAGGAAATCCGGCCTCCTTTCAAGTTAGGGCTTCTCGCTGTATATTCCCCTTGAGGCAGCAAACTCGGGGTCCCTCCCACATACCTATTGCTGAGAGAAGCCTCCTCCTGAGGTGCTTCTGGGAAGTTGGCATACGTCTTGAGCCTAAGCCAGGGAATCAGCTCGCATCTCGAGACGATTTGGGGTACACGGAGCATTCCTCGAGTTGCTGTGCTGAAGTTGGTGTTCCTCTAGACTTGGGACAGTGTTCTCGGGGCGTCTCTGGAGTTGCCTGAAGGAAGTCGAGCCACCGGTCGTGTTGAATGGGGAACGGGGAATGGCTCTGGAGTCAATGCAGGGGAATCGGGCCTCATCTCGAGTTGATTTGGGGCACATGGAGCTGCTTTGCGTTGCTGGGGTGACCTCAGGGTCCGTCTAGACTGGTGACAGTGTTCTTGGGGACTGTCTCGAGATCCATTAAGCAAGTCGAAGCTCCTGACTTGTTTGAATGGGATCACGGAATAGCTCTGCATGCACTGCAGGGGAATGGGGCCTCATCTCGCCTCTAGGGGGAAGTCTCATGGTTTTTCTCGAGTTGCGGCGGGGACCTGGGGTATGTTCTCGACTTACGGCGGGGATGGCCCTTCAAAACACGAGTTTCTTCAGTGACGTCAGGACTCCTGTCTAGTAACGAGGGACACCTCAGGAATCTCTTCGAGGCTTGGCAGGGCCAAAGGGACGCTTCTCGAGGTGAGGCAGGGCACCCAAGGACCCTTTCCAGTAGCCACAGGGATTTTGGGATTCCTATCAGTATTCAAGAGGAGTCAGGCATCGTCACCTTTTGAAGCAATGAACTCCGCGTGCCTCTCGAGGTGTCAGCGGGATGTGAGGCATTCCGTCAAAATGAGGCAGGGACCTAGGGCTTTCTCTAAGGTCTCCACAGGGGATTCAGACATCCCTTCATGTTGTGAGATGAAAGACGAGCCTGTATTCAAGCCACTGCAAGGAAATCCGGCCTCCTTTCAAGTGAGGGCTTCTCGCTGTATATTCCCCTTGAGGCAGCAAACTCGGGGTCCCTCCCACATACCTATTGCTGAGAGAAGCCTCCTCCTGAGGTGCTTCTGGGAAGTTGGCATACGTCTTGAGCCTAAGCCAGGGAATCAGCTCGCATCTCGAGACGATTTGGGGTACACGGAGCATTCCTCGAGTTGCTGTGCTGAAGTTGGTGTTCCTCTAGACTTGGGACAGTGTTCTCGGGGCGTCTCTGGAGTTGCCTGAAGGAAGTCGAGCCACCGGTCGTGTTGAATGGGGAACGGGGAATGGCTCTGGAGTCAATGCAGGGGAATCGGGCCTCATCTCGAGTTGATTTGGGGCACATGGAACTGCTTTGCGTTGCTGGGGTGACCTCAGGGTCCGTCTAGACTGGTGACAGTGTTCTTGGGGACTGTCTCGAGATCCATTAAGCAAGTCGAAGCTCCTGACTTCTTTGAATGGGATCACGGAATAGCTCTGCATGCACTGCAGGGGAATGGGGCCTCATCTCGCCTCTAGGGGGAAGTCTCATGGTTTTCCTCGAGTTGCGGCGGGGACCTGGGGTATGTTCTCGACTTACGGCGGGGATGGCCCTTCAAAACACGAGTTTCTTCAGTGACGTCAGGACTCCTGTCTAGTAACGAGGGACACCTCAGGAATCTCTTCGAGGCTTGGCAGGGCCAAAGGGACGCTTCTCGAGGTGAGGCAGGGCACCCAAGGACCCTTTCCAGTAGCCACAGGGATTTTGGGATTCCTATCAGTATTCAAGAGGAGTCAGGCATCGTCACCTTTTGAAGCAATGAACTCCGCGTGCCTCTCGAGGTGTCAGCGGGATGTGAGGCATTCCGTCAAAATGAGGCAGGGACCTAGGGCTTTCTCTAAGGTCTCCACAGGGGATTCAGACATCCCTTCATGTTGTGAGATGAAAGACGAGCCTGTATTCAAGCCACTGCAAGGAAATCCGGCCTCCTTTCAAGTTAGGGCTTCTCGCTGTATATTCCCCTTGAGGCAGCAAACTCGGGGTCCCTCCCACATACCTATTGCTGAGAGAAGCCTCCTCCTGAGGTGCTTCTGGGAAGTTGGCATACGTCTTGAGCCTAAGCCAGGGAATCAGCTCGCATCTCGAGACGATTTGGGGTACACGGAGCATTCCTCGAGTTGCTGTGCTGAAGTAGGTGTTCCTCTAGACTTGGGACAGTGTTCTCGGGGCGTCTCTGGAGTTGCCTGAAGGAAGTCGAGCCACCGGTCGTGTTGAATGGGGAACGGGGAATGGCTCTGGAGTCAATGCAGGGGAATCGGGCCTCATCTCGAGTTGATTTGGGGCACATGGAGCTGCTTTGCGTTGCTGGGGTGACCTCAGGGTCCGTCTAGACTGGTGACAGTGTTCTTGGGGACTGTCTCGAGATCCATTAAGCAAGTTGAAGCTCCTGACTTGTTTGAATGGGATCACGGAATAGCTCTGCATGCACTGCAGGGGAATGGGGCCTCATCTCGCCTCTAGGGGGAAGTCTCATGGTTTTTCTCGAGTTGCGGCGGGGACCTGGGGTATGTTCTCGACTTACGGCGGGGATGGCCCTTCAAAACACGAGTTTCTTCAGTGACGTCAGGACTCCTGTCTAGTAACGAGGGACACCTCAGGAATCTCTTCGAGGCTTGGCAGGGCCAAAGGGACGCTTCTCGAGGTGAGGCAGGGCACCCAAGGACCCTTTCCAGTAGCCACAGGGATTTTGGGATTCCTATCAGTATTCAAGAGGAGTCAGGCATCGTCACCTTTTGAAGCAATGAACTCCGCGTGCCTCTCGAGGTGTCAGCGGGATGTGAGGCATTCCGTCAAAATGAGGCAGGGACCTAGGGCTTTCTCTAAGGTCTCCACAGGGGATTCAGACATCCCTTCATGTTGTGAGATGAAAGACGAGCCTGTATTCAAGCCACTGCAAGGAAATCCGGCCTCCTTTCAAGTTAGGGCTTCTCGCTGTATATTCCCCTTGAGGCAGCAAACTCGGGGTCCCTCCCACATACCTATTGCTGAGAGAAGCCTCCTCCTGAGGTGCTTCTGGGAAGTTGGCATACGTCTTGAGCCTAAGCCAGGGAATCAGCTCGCATCTCGAGACGATTTGGGGTACACGGAGCATTCCTCGAGTTGCTGTGCTGAAGTTGGTGTTCCTCTAGACTTGGGACAGTGTTCTCGGGGCGTCTCTGGAGTTGCCTGAAGGAAGTCGAGCCACCGGTCGTGTTGAATGGGGAACGGGGAATGGCTCTGGAGTCAATGCAGGGGAATCGGGCCTCATCTCGAGTTGATTTGGGGCACATGGAGCTGCTTTGCGTTGCTGGGGTGACCTCAGGGTCCGTCTAGACTGGTGACAGTGTTCTTGGGGACTGTCTCGAGATCCATTAAGCAAGTCGAAGCTCCTGACTTGTTTGAATGGGATCACGGAATAGCTCTGCATGCACTGCAGGGGAATGGGGCCTCATCTCGCCTCTAGGGGGAAGTCTCATGGTTTTTCTCGAGTTGCGGCGGGGACCTGGGGTATGTTCTCGACTTACGGCGGGGATGGCCCTTCAAAACACGAGTTTCTTCAGTGACGTCAGGACTCCTGTCTAGTAACGAGGGACACCTCAGGAATCTCTTCGAGGCTTGGCAGGGCCAAAGGGACGCTTCTCGAGGTGAGGCAGGGCACCCAAGGACCCTTTCCAGTAGCCACAGGGATTTTGGGATTCCTATCAGTATTCAAGAGGAGTCAGGCATCGTCACCTTTTGAAGCAATGAACTCCGCGTGCCTCTCGAGGTGTCAGCGGGATGTGAGGCATTCCGTCAAAATGAGGCAGGGACCTAGGGCTTTCTCTAAGGTCTCCACAGGGGATTCAGACATCCCTTCATGTTGTGAGATGAAAGACGAGCCTGTATTCAAGCCACTGCAAGGAAATCCGGCCTCCTTTCAAGTGAGGGCTTCTCGCTGTATATTCCCCTTGAGGCAGCAAACTCGGGGTCCCTCCCACATACCTATTGCTGAGAGAAGCCTCCTCCTGAGGTGCTTCTGGGAAGTTGGCATACGTCTTGAGCCTAAGCCAGGGAATCAGCTCGCATCTCGAGACGATTTGGGGTACACGGAGCATTCCTCGAGTTGCTGTGCTGAAGTTGGTGTTCCTCTAGACTTGGGACAGTGTTCTCGGGGCGTCTCTGGAGTTGCCTGAAGGAAGTCGAGCCACCGGTCGTGTTGAATGGGGAACGGGGAATGGCTCTGGAGTCAATGCAGGGGAATCGGGCCTCATCTCGAGTTGATTTGGGGCACATGGAACTGCTTTGCGTTGCTGGGGTGACCTCAGGGTCCGTCTAGACTGGTGACAGTGTTCTTGGGGACTGTCTCGAGATCCATTAAGCAAGTCGAAGCTCCTGACTTCTTTGAATGGGATCACGGAATAGCTCTGCATGCACTGCAGGGGAATGGGGCCTCATCTCGCCTCTAGGGGGAAGTCTCATGGTTTTCCTCGAGTTGCGGCGGGGACCTGGGGTATGTTCTCGACTTACGGCGGGGATGGCCCTTCAAAACACGAGTTTCTTCAGTGACGTCAGGACTCCTGTCTAGTAACGAGGGACACCTCAGGAATCTCTTCGAGGCTTGGCAGGGCCAAAGGGACGCTTCTCGAGGTGAGGCAGGGCACCCAAGGACCCTTTCCAGTAGCCACAGGGATTTTGGGATTCCTATCAGTATTCAAGAGGAGTCAGGCATCGTCACCTTTTGAAGCAATGAACTCCGCGTGCCTCTCGAGGTGTCAGCGGGATGTGAGGCATTCCGTCAAAATGAGGCAGGGACCTAGGGCTTTCTCTAAGGTCTCCACAGGGGATTCAGACATCCCTTCATGTTGTGAGATGAAAGACGAGCCTGTATTCAAGCCACTGCAAGGAAATCCGGCCTCCTTTCAAGTTAGGGCTTCTCGCTGTATATTCCCCTTGAGGCAGCAAACTCGGGGTCCCTCCCACATACCTATTGCTGAGAGAAGCCTCCTCCTGAGGTGCTTCTGGGAAGTTGGCATACGTCTTGAGCCTAAGCCAGGGAATCAGCTCGCATCTCGAGACGATTTGGGGTACACGGAGCATTCCTCGAGTTGCTGTGCTGAAGTAGGTGTTCCTCTAGACTTGGGACAGTGTTCTCGGGGCGTCTCTGGAGTTGCCTGAAGGAAGTCGAGCCACCGGTCGTGTTGAATGGGGAACGGGGAATGGCTCTGGAGTCAATGCAGGGGAATCGGGCCTCATCTCGAGTTGATTTGGGGCACATGGAGCTGCTTTGCGTTGCTGGGGTGACCTCAGGGTCCGTCTAGACTGGTGACAGTGTTCTTGGGGACTGTCTCGAGATCCATTAAGCAAGTTGAAGCTCCTGACTTGTTTGAATGGGATCACGGAATAGCTCTGCATGCACTGCAGGGGAATGGGGCCTCATCTCGCCTCTAGGGGGAAGTCTCATGGTTTTTCTCGAGTTGCGGCGGGGACCTGGGGTATGTTCTCGACTTACGGCGGGGATGGCCCTTCAAAACACGAGTTTCTTCAGTGACGTCAGGACTCCTGTCTAGTAACGAGGGACACCTCAGGAATCTCTTCGAGGCTTGGCAGGGCCAAAGGGACGCTTCTCGAGGTGAGGCAGGGCACCCAAGGACCCTTTCCAGTAGCCACAGGGATTTTGGGATTCCTATCAGTATTCAAGAGGAGTCAGGCATCGTCACCTTTTGAAGCAATGAACTCCGCGTGCCTCTCGAGGTGTCAGCGGGATGTGAGGCATTCCGTCAAAATGAGGCAGGGACCTAGGGCTTTCTCTAAGGTCTCCACAGGGGATTCAGACATCCCTTCATGTTGTGAGATGAAAGACGAGCCTGTATGCAAGCCACTGCAAGGAAATCCGGCCTCCTTTCAAGTTAGGGCTTCTCGCTGTATATTCCCCTTGAGGCAGCAAACTCGGGGTCCCTCCCACATACCTATTGCTGAGAGAAGCCTCCTCCTGAGGTGCTTCTGGGAAGTTGGCATACGTCTTGAGCCTAAGCCAGGGAATCAGCTCGCATCTCGAGATGATTTGGGGTACACGGAGCATTCCTCGAGTTGCTGTGCTGAAGTTGGTGTTCCTCTAGACTTGGGACAGTGTTCTCGGGGCATCTCTGGAGTTGCCTGAAGGAAGTCGAGCCACCGGTCGTGTTGAATGGGGAACGGGGAATGGCTCTGGAGTCAATGCAGGGGAATCGGGCCTCATCTCGAGTTGATTTGGGGCACATGGAGCTGCTTTGCGTTGCTGGGGTGACCTCAGGGTCCGTCTAGACTGGTGACAGTGTTCTTGGGGACTGTCTCGAGATCCATTAAGCAAGTCGAAGCTCCTGACTTGTTTGAATGGGATCACGGAATAGCTCTGCATGCACTGCAGGGGAATGGGGCCTCATCTCGCCTCTAGGGGGAAGTCTCATGGTTTTTCTCGAGTTGCGGCGGGGACCTGGGGTATGTTCTCGACTTACGGCGGGGATGGCCCTTCAAAACACGAGTTTCTTCAGTGACGTCAGGACTCCTGTCTAGTAACGAGGGACACCTCAGGAATCTCTTCGAGGCTTGGCAGGGCCAAAGGGACGCTTCTCGAGGTGAGGCAGGGCACCCAAGCGCCCTTTCCAGTAGCCACAGGGATTTTGGGATTCCTATCAGTATTCAAGAGGAGTCAGGCATCGTCACCTTTTGAAGCAATGAACTCCGCGTGCCTCTCGAGGTGTCAGCGGGATGTGAGGCATTCCGTCAAAATGAGGCAGGGACCTAGGGCTTTCTCTAAGGTCTCCACAGGGGATTCAGACATCCCTTCATGTTGTGAGATGAAAGACGAGCCTGTATTCAAGCCACTGCAAGGAAATCCGGCCTCCTTTCAAGTTAGGGCTTCTCGCTGTATATTCCCCTTGAGGCAGCAAACTCGGGGTCCCTCCCACATACCTATTGCTGAGAGAAGCCTCCTCCTGAGGTGCTTCTGGGAAGTTGGCATACGTCTTGAGCCTAAGCCAGGGAATCAGCTCGCATCTCGAGACGATTTGGGGTACACGGAGCATTCCTCGAGTTGCTGTGCTGAAGTTGGTGTTCCTCTAGACTTGGGACAGTGTTCTCGGGGCATCTCTGGAGTTGCCTGAAGGAAGTCGAGCCACCGGTCGTGTTGAATGGGGAACGGGGAATGGCTCTGGAGTCAATGCAGGGGAATCGGGCCTCATCTCGAGTTGATTTGGGGCACATGGAGCCGCTTTGCGTTGCTGGGGTGACCTCAGGGTCCGTCTAGACTGGTGACAGTGTTCTTGGGGACTGTCTCGAGATCCATTAAGCAAGTCGAAGCTCCTGACTTGTTTGAATGGGATCACGGAATAGCTCTGCATGCACTGCAGGGGAATGGGGCCTCATCTCGCCTCTAGGGGGAAGTCTCATGGTTTTTCTCGAGTTGCGGCGGGGACCTGGGGTATGTTCTCGACTTACGGCGGGGATGGCCCTTCAAAACACGAGTTTCTTCAGTGACGTCAGGACTCCTGTCTAGTAACGAGGGACACCTCAGGAATCTCTTCGAGGCTTGGCAGGGCCAAAGGGACGCTTCTCGAGGTGAGGCAGGGCACCCAAGGACCCTTTCCAGTAGCCACAGGGATTTTGGGATTCCTATCAGTATTCAAGAGGAGTCAGGCATCGTCACCTTTTGAAGCAATGAACTCCGCGTGCCTCTCGAGGTGTCAGCGGGATGTGAGGCATTCCGTCAAAATGAGGCAGGGACCTAGGGCTTTCTCTAAGGTCTCCACAGGGGATTCAGACATCCCTTCATGTTGTGAGATGAAAGACGAGCCTGTATGCAAGCCACTGCAAGGAAATCCGGCCTCCTTTCAAGTTAGGGCTTCTCGCTGTATATTCCCCTTGAGGCAGCAAACTCGGGGTCCCTCCCACATACCTATTGCTGAGAGAAGCCTCCTCCTGAGGTGCTTCTGGGAAGTTGGCATACGTCTTGAGCCTAAGCCAGGGAATCAGCTCGCATCTCGAGACGATTTGGGGTACACGGAGCATTCCTCGAGTTGCTGTGCTGAAGTTGGTGTTCCTCTAGACTTGGGACAGTGTTCTCGGGGCATCTCTGGAGTTGCCTGAAGGAAGTCGAGCCACCGGTCGTGTTGAATGGGGAACGGGGAATGGCTCTGGAGTCAATGCAGGGGAATCGGGCCTCATCTCGAGTTGATTTGGGGCACATGGAGCTGCTTTGCGTTGCTGGGGTGACCTCAGGGTCCGTCTAGACTGGTGACAGTGTTCTTGGGGACTGTCTCGAGATCCATTAAGCAAGTCGAAGCTCCTGACTTGTTTGAATGGGATCACGGAATAGCTCTGCATGCACTGCAGGGGAATGGGGCCTCATCTCGCCTCTAGGGGGAAGTCTCATGGTTTTTCTCGAGTTGCGGCGGGGACCTGGGGTATGTTCTCGACTTACGGCGGGGATGGCCCTTCAAAACACGAGTTTCTTCAGTGACGTCAGGACTCCTGTCTAGTAACGAGGGACACCTCAGGAATCTCTTCGAGGCTTGGCAGGGCCAAAGGGACGCTTCTCGAGGTGAGGCAGGGCACCCAAGGACCCTTTCCAGTAGCCACAGGGATTTTGGGATTCCTATCAGTATTCAAGAGGAGTCAGGCATCGTCACCTTTTGAAGCAATGAACTCCGCGTGCCTCTCGAGGTGTCAGCGGGATGTGAGGCATTCCGTCAAAATGAGGCAGGGACCTAGGGCTTTCTCTAAGGTCTCCACAGGGGATTCAGACATCCCTTCATGTTGTGAGATGAAAGACGAGCCTGTATTCAAGCCACTGCAAGGAAATCCGGCCTCCTTTCAAGTGAGGGCTTCTCGCTGTATATTCCCCTTGAGGCAGCAAACTCGGGGTCCCTCCCACATACCTATTGCTGAGAGAAGCCTCCTCCTGAGGTGCTTCTGGGAAGTTGGCATACGTCTTGAGCCTAAGCCAGGGAATCAGCTCGCATCTCGAGACGATTTGGGGTACACGGAGCATTCCTCGAGTTGCTGTGCTGAAGTTGGTGTTCCTCTAGACTTGGGACAGTGTTCTCGGGGCATCTCTGGAGTTGCCTGAAGGAAGTCGAGCCACCGGTCGTGTTGAATGGGGAACGGGGAATGGCTCTGGAGTCAATGCAGGGGAATCGGGCCTCATCTCGAGTTGATTTGGGGCACATGGAGCTGCTTTGCGTTGCTGGGGTGACCTCAGGGTCCGTCTAGACTGGTGACAGTGTTCTTGGGGACTGTCTCGAGATCCATTAAGCAAGTCGAAGCTCCTGACTTGTTTGAATGGGATCACGGAATAGCTCTGCATGCACTGCAGGGGAATGGGGCCTCATCTCGCCTCTAGGGGGAAGTCTCATGGTTTTTCTCGAGTTGCGGCGGGGACCTGGGGGATGTTCTCGACTTACGGCGGGGATGGCCCTTCAAAACACGAGTTTCTTCAGTGACGTCAGGACTCCTGTCTAGTAACGAGGGACACCTCAGGAATCTCTTCGAGGCTTGGCAGGGCCAAAGGGACGCTTCTCGAGGTGAGGCAGGGCACCCAAGGACCCTTTCCAGTAGCCACAGGGATTTTGGGATTCCTATCAGTATTCAAGAGGAGTCAGGCATCGTCACCTTTTGAAGCAATGAACTCCGCGTGCCTCTCGAGGTGTCAGCGGGATGTGAGGCATTCCGTCAAAATGAGGCAGGGACCTAGGGCTTTCTCTAAGGTCTCCACAGGGGATTCAGACATCCCTTCATGTTGTGATATGAAAGACGAGCCTGTATTCAAGCCACTGCAAGGAAATCCGGCCTCCTTTCAAGTTAGGGCTCTCGCTGTATATTCCCCTTGAGGCAGCAAACTCGGGGTCCCTCCCACATACCTATTGCTGAGAGAAGCCTCCTCCTGAGGTGCTTCTGGGAAGTTGGCATACGTCTTGAGCCTAAGCCAGGGAATCAGCTCGCATCTCGAGACGATTTGGGGTACACGGAGCATTCCTCGAGTTGCTGTGCTGAAGTTGGTGTTCCTCTAGACTTGGGACAGTGTTCTCGGGGCATCTCTGGAGTTGCCTGAAGGAAGTCGAGCCACCGGTCGTGTTGAATGGGGAACGGGGAATGGCTCTGGAGTCAATGCAGGGGAATCGGGCCTCATCTCGAGTTGATTTGGGGCACATGGAGCTGCTTTGCGTTGCTGGGGTGACCTCAGGGTCCGTCTAGACTGGTGACAGTGTTCTTGGGGACTGTCTCGAGATCCATTAAGCAAGTCGAAGCTCCTGACTTGTTTGAATGGGATCACGGAATAGCTCTGCATGCACTGCAGGGGAATGGGGCCTCATCTCGCCTCTAGGGGGAAGTCTCATGGTTTTTCTCGAGTTGCGGCGGGGACCTGGGGTATGTTCTCGACTTACGGCGGGGATGGCCCTTCAAAACACGAGTTTCTTCAGTGACGTCAGGACTCCTGTCTAGTAACGAGGGACACCTCAGGAATCTCTTCGAGGCTTGGCAGGGCCAAAGGGACGCTTCTCGAGGTGAGGCAGGGCACCCAAGGACCCTTTCCAGTAGCCACAGGGATTTTGGGATTCCTATCAGTATTCAAGAGGAGTCAGGCATCGTCACCTTTTGAAGCAATGAACTCCGCGTGCCTCTCGAGGTGTCAGCGGGATGTGAGGCATTCCGTCAAAATGAGGCAGGGACCTAGGGCTTTCTCTAAGGTCTCCACAGGGGATTCAGACATCCCTTCATGTTGTGAGATGAAAGACGAGCCTGTATTCAAGCCACTGCAAGGAAATCCGGCCTCCTTTCAAGTGAGGGCTTCTCGCTGTATATTCCCCTTGAGGCAGCAAACTCGGGGTCCCTCCCACATACCTATTGCTGAGAGAAGCCTCCTCCTGAGGTGCTTCTGGGAAGTTGGCATACGTCTTGAGCCTAAGCCAGGGAATCAGCTCGCATCTCGAGACGATTTGGGGTACACGGAGCATTCCTCGAGTTGCTGTGCTGAAGTTGGTGTTCCTCTAGACTTGGGACAGTGTTCTCGGGGCATCTCTGGAGTTGCCTGAAGGAAGTCGAGCCACCGGTCGTGTTGAATGGGGAACGGGGAATGGCTCTGGAGTCAATGCAGGGGAATCGGGCCTCATCTCGAGTTGATTTGGGGCACATGGAGCTGCTTTGCGTTGCTGGGGTGACCTCAGGGTCCGTCTAGACTGGTGACAGTGTTCTTGGGGACTGTCTCGAGATCCATTAAGCAAGTCGAAGCTCCTGACTTGTTTGAATGGGATCACGGAATAGCTCTGCATGCACTGCAGGGGAATGGGGCCTCATCTCGCCTCTAGGGGGAAGTCTCATGGTTTTTCTCCAGTTGCGGCGGGGACCTGGGGGATGTTCTCGACTTACGGCGGGGATGGCCCTTCAAAACACGAGTTTCTTCAGTGACGTCAGGACTCCTGTCTAGTAACGAGGGACACCTCAGGAATCTCTTCGAGGCTTGGCAGGGCCAAAGGGACGCTTCTCGAGGTGAGGCAGGGCACCCAAGGACCCTTTCCAGTAGCCACAGGGATTTTGGGATTCCTATCAGTATTCAAGAGGAGTCAGGCATCGTCACCTTTTGAAGCAATGAACTCCGCGTGCCTCTCGAGGTGTCAGCGGGATGTGAGGCATTCCGTCAAAATGAGGCAGGGACCTAGGGCTTTCTCTAAGGTCTCCACAGGGGATTCAGACATCCCTTCATGTTGTGATATGAAAGACGAGCCTGTATTCAAGCCACTGCAAGGAAATCCGGCCTCCTTTCAAGTTAGGGCTCTCGCTGTATATTCCCCTTGAGGCAGCAAACTCGGGGTCCCTCCCACATACCTATTGCTGAGAGAAGCCTCCTCCTGAGGTGCTTCTGGGAAGTTGGCATACGTCTTGAGCCTAAGCCAGGGAATCAGCTCGCATCTCGAGACGATTTGGGGTACACGGAGCATTCCTCGAGTTGCTGTGCTGAAGTTGGTGTTCCTCTAGACTTGGGACAGTGTTCTCGGGGCATCTCTGGAGTTGCCTGAAGGAAGTCGAGCCACCGGTCGTGTTGAATGGGGAACGGGGAATGGCTCTGGAGTCAATGCAGGGGAATCGGGCCTCATCTCGAGTTGATTTGGGGCACATGGAGCTGCTTTGCGTTGCTGGGGTGACCTCAGGGTCCGTCTAGACTGGTGACAGTGTTCTTGGGGACTGTCTCGAGATCCATTAAGCAAGTCGAAGCTCCTGACTTGTTTGAATGGGATCACGGAATAGCTCTGCATGCACTGCAGGGGAATGGGGCCTCATCTCGCCTCTAGGGGGAAGTCTCATGGTTTTTCTCGAGTTGCGGCGGGGACCTGGGGGATGTTCTCGACTTACGGCGGGGATGGCCCTTCAAAACACGAGTTTCTTCAGTGACGTCAGGACTCCTGTCTAGTAACGAGGGACACCTCAGGAATCTCTTCGAGGCTTGGCAGGGCCAAAGGGACGCTTCTCGAGGTGAGGCAGGGCACCCAAGGACCCTTTCCAGTAGCCACAGGGATTTTGGGATTCCTATCAGTATTCAAGAGGAGTCAGGCATCGTCACCTTTTGAAGCAATGAACTCCGCGTGCCTCTCGAGGTGTCAGCGGGATGTGAGGCATTCCGTCAAAATGAGGCAGGGACCTAGGGCTTTCTCTAAGGTCTCCACAGGGGATTCAGACATCCCTTCATGTTGTGAGATGAAAGACGAGCCTGTATTCAAGCCACTGCAAGGAAATCCGGCCTCCTTTCAAGTTAGGGCTTCTCGCTGTATATTCCCCTTGAGGCAGCAAACTCGGGGTCCCTCCCACATACCTATTGCTGAGAGAAGCCTCCTCCTGAGGTGCTTCTGGGAAGTTGGCATACGTCTTGAGCCTAAGCCAGGGAATCAGCTCGCATCTCGAGACGATTTGGGGTACACGGAGCATTCCTCGAGTTGCTGTGCTGAAGTAGGTGTTCCTCTAGACTTGGGACAGTGTTCTCGGGGCGTCTCTGGAGTTGCCTGAAGGAAGTCGAGCCACCGGTCGTGTTGAATGGGGAACGGGGAATGGCTCTGGAGTCAATGCAGGGGAATCGGGCCTCATCTCGAGTTGATTTGGGGCACATGGAGCTGCTTTGCGTTGCTGGGGTGACCTCAGGGTCCGTCTAGACTGGTGACAGTGTTCTTGGGGACTGTCTCGAGATCCATTAAGCAAGTCGAAGCTCCTGACTTGTTTGAATGGGATCACGGAATAGCTCTGCATGCACTGCAGGGGAATGGGGCCTCATCTCGCCTCTAGGGGGAAGTCTCATGGTTTTTCTCGAGTTGCGGCGGGGACCTGGGGGATGTTCTCGACTTACGGCGGGGATGGCCCTTCAAAACACGAGTTTCTTCAGTGACGTCAGGACTCCTGTCTAGTAACGAGGGACACCTCAGGAATCTCTTCGAGGCTTGGCAGGGCCAAAGGGACGCTTCTCGAGGTGAGGCAGGGCACCCAAGGACCCTTTCCAGTAGCCACAGGGATTTTGGGATTCCTATCATTATTCAAGAGGAGTCAGGCATCGTCACCTTTTGAAGCAATGAACTCCGCGTGCCTCTCGAGGTGTCAGCGGGATGTGAGGCATTCCGTCAAAATGAGGCAGGGACCTAGGGCTTTCTCTAAGGTCTCCACAGGGGATTCAGACATCCCTTCATGTTGTGAGATGAAAGACGAGCCTGTATTCAAGCCACTGCAAGGAAATCCGGCCTCCTTTCAAGTGAGGGCTTCTCGCTGTATATTCCCCTTGAGGCAGCAAACTCGGGGTCCCTCCCACATACCTATTGCTGAGAGAAGCCTCCTCCTGAGGTGCTTCTGGGAAGTTGGCATACGTCTTGAGCCTAAGCCAGGGAATCAGCTCGCATCTCGAGACGATTTGGGGTACACGGAGCATTCCTCGAGTTGCTGTGCTGAAGTTGGTGTTCCTCTAGACTTGGGACAGTGTTCTCGGGGCATCTCTGGAGTTGCCTGAAGGAAGTCGAGCCACCGGTCGTGTTGAATGGGGAACGGGGAATGGCTCTGGAGTCAATGCAGGGGAATCGGGCCTCATCTCGAGTTGATTTGGGGCACATGGAGCTGCTTTGCGTTGCTGGGGTGACCTCAGGGTCCGTCTAGACTGGTGACAGTGTTCTTGGGGACTGTCTCGAGATCCATTAAGCAAGTCGAAACTCCTGACTTGTTTGAATGGGATCACGGAATAGCTCTGCATGCACTGCAGGGGAATGGGGCCTCATCTCGCCTCTAGGGGGAAGTCTCATGGTTTTTCTCGAGTTGCGGCGGGGACCTGGGGGATGTTCTCGACTTACGGCGGGGATGGCCCTTCAAAACACGAGTTTCTTCAGTGACGTCAGGACTCCTGTCTAGTAACGAGGGACACCTCAGGAATCTCTTCGAGGCTTGGCAGGGCCAAAGGGACGCTTCTCGAGGTGAGGCAGGGCACCCAAGGACCCTTTCCAGTAGCCACAGGGATTTTGGGATTCCTATCAGTATTCAAGAGGAGTCAGGCATCGTCACCTTTTGAAGCAATGAACTCCGCGTGCCTCTCGAGGTGTCAGCGGGATGTGAGGCATTCCGTCAAAATGAGGCAGGGACCTAGGGCTTTCTCTAAGGTCTCCACAGGGGATTCAGACATCCCTTCATGTTGTGAGATGAAAGACGAGCCTGTATTCAAGCCACTGCAAGGAAATCCGGCCTCCTTTCAAGTGAGGGCTTCTCGCTGTATATTCCCCTTGAGGCAGCAAACTCGGGGTCCCTCCCACATACCTATTGCTGAGAGAAGCCTCCTCCTGAGGTGCTTCTGGGAAGTTGGCATACGTCTTGAGCCTAAGCCAGGGAATCAGCTCGCATCTCGAGACGATTTGGGGTACACGGAGCATTCCTCGAGTTGCTGTGCTGAAGTTGGTGTTCCTCTAGACTTGGGACAGTGTTCTCGGGGCATCTCTGGAGTTGCCTGAAGGAAGTCGAGCCACCGGTCGTGTTGAATGGGGAACGGGGAATGGCTCTGGAGTCAATGCAGGGGAATCGGGCCTCATCTCGAGTTGATTTGGGGCACATGGAGCTGCTTTGCGTTGCTGGGGTGACCTCAGGGTCCGTCTAGACTGGTGACAGTGTTCTTGGGGACTGTCTCGAGATCCATTAAGCAAGTCGAAGCTCCTGACTTGTTTGAATGGGATCACGGAATAGCTCTGCATGCACTGCAGGGGAATGGGGCCTCATCTCGCCTCTAGGGGGAAGTCTCATGGTTTTTCTCGAGTTGCGGCGGGGACCTGGGGGATGTTCTCGACTTACGGCGGGGATGGCCCTTCAAAACACGAGTTTCTTCAGTGACGTCAGGACTCCTGTCTAGTAACGAGGGACACCTCAGGAATCTCTTCGAGGCTTGGCAGGGCCAAAGGGACGCTTCTCGAGGTGAGGCAGGGCACCCAAGGACACTTTCCAGTAGCCACAGGGATTTTGGGATTCCTATCAGTATTCAAGAGGAGTCAGGCATCGTCACCTTTTGAAGCAATGAACTCCGCGTGCCTCTCGAGGTGTCAGCGGGATGTGAGGCATTCCGTCAAAATGAGGCAGGGACCTAGGGCTTTCTCTAAGGTCTCCACAGGGGATTCAGACATCCCTTCATGTTGTGAGATGATAGACGAGCCTGTATTCAAGCCACTGCAAGGAAATCCGGCCTCCTTTCAAGTTAGGGCTTCTCGCTGTATATTCCCCTTGAGGCAGCAAACTCGGGGTCCCTCCCACATACCTATTGCTGAGAGAAGCCTCCTCCTGAGGTGCTTCTGGGAAGTTGGCATACGTCTTGAGCCTAAGCCAGGGAATCAGCTCGCATCTCGAGACGATTTGGGGTACACGGAGCATTCCTCGAGTTGCTGTGCTGAAGTTGGTGTTCCTCTAGACTTGGGACAGTGTTCTCGGGGCATCTCTGGAGTTGCCTGAAGGAAGTCGAGCCACCGGTCGTGTTGAATGGGGAACGGGGAATGGCTCTGGAGTCAATGCAGGGGAATCGGGCCTCATCTCGAGTTGATTTGGGGCACATGGAGCTGCTTTGCGTTGCTGGGGTGACCTCAGGGTCCGTCTAGACTGGTGACAGTGTTCTTGGGGACTGTCTCGAGATCCATTAAGCAAGTCGAAACTCCTGACTTGTTTGAATGGGATCACGGAATAGCTCTGCATGCACTGCAGGGGAATGGGGCCTCATCTCGCCTCTAGGGGGAAGTCTCATGGTTTTTCTCGAGTTGCGGCGGGGACCTGGGGGATGTTCTCGACTTACGGCGGGGATGGCCCTTCAAAACACGAGTTTCTTCAGTGACGTCAGGACTCCTGTCTAGTAACGAGGGACACCTCAGGAATCTCTTCGAGGCTTGGCAGGGCCAAAGGGACGCTTCTCGAGGTGAGGCAGGGCACCCAAGGACCCTTTCCAGTAGCCACAGGGATTTTGGGATTCCTATCAGTATTCAAGAGGAGTCAGGCATCGTCACCTTTTGAAGCAATGAACTCCGCGTGCCTCTCGAGGTGTCAGCGGGATGTGAGGCATTCCGTCAAAATGAGGCAGGGACCTAGGGCTTTCTCTAAGGTCTCCACAGGGGATTCAGACATCCCTTCATGTTGTGAGATGAAAGACGAGCCTGTATTCAAGCCACTGCAAGGAAATCCGGCCTCCTTTCAAGTGAGGGCTTCTCGCTGTATATTCCCCTTGAGGCAGCAAACTCGGGGTCCCTCCCACATACCTATTGCTGAGAGAAGCCTCCTCCTGAGGTGCTTCTGGGAAGTTGGCATACGTCTTGAGCCTAAGCCAGGGAATCAGCTCGCATCTCGAGACGATTTGGGGTACACGGAGCATTCCTCGAGTTGCTGTGCTGAAGTTGGTGTTCCTCTAGACTTGGGACAGTGTTCTCGGGGCATCTCTGGAGTTGCCTGAAGGAAGTCGAGCCACCGGTCGTGTTGAATGGGGAACGGGGAATGGCTCTGGAGTCAATGCAGGGGAATCGGGCCTCATCTCGAGTTGATTTGGGGCACATGGAGCTGCTTTGCGTTGCTGGGGTGACCTCAGGGTCCGTCTAGACTGGTGACAGTGTTCTTGGGGACTGTCTCGAGATCCATTAAGCAAGTCGAAGCTCCTGACTTGTTTGAATGGGATCACGGAATAGCTCTGCATGCACTGCAGGGGAATGGGGCCTCATCTCGCCTCTAGGGGGAAGTCTCATGGTTTTTCTCGAGTTGCGGCGGGGACCTGGGGTATGTTCTCGACTTACGGCGGGGATGGCCCTTCAAAACACGAGTTTCTTCAGTGACGTCAGGACTCCTGTCTAGTAACGAGGGACACCTCAGGAATCTCTTCGAGGCTTGGCAGGGACAAAGGGACGCTTCTCGAGGTGAGGCAGGGCACCCAAGGACCCTTTCCAGTAGCCACAGGGATTTTGGGATTCCTATCAGTATTCAAGAGGAGTCAGGCATCGTCACCTTTTGAAGCAATGAACTCCGCGTGCCTCTCGAGGTGTCAGCGGGATGTGAGGCATTCCGTCAAAATGAGGCAGGGACCTAGGGCTTTCTCTAAGGTCTCCACAGGGGATTCAGACATCCCTTCATGTTGTGAGATGAAAGACGAGCCTGTATTCAAGCCACTGCAAGGAAATCCGGCCTCCTTTCAAGTGAGGGCTTCTCGCTGTATATTCCCCTTGAGGCAGCAAACTCGGGGTCCCTCCCACATACCTATTGCTGAGAGAAGCCTCCTCCTGAGGTGCTTCTGGGAAGTTGGCATACGTCTTGAGCCTAAGCCAGGGAATCAGCTCGCATCTCGAGACGATTTGGGGTACACGGAGCATTCCTCGAGTTGCTGTGCTGAAGTTGGTGTTCCTCTAGACTTGGGACAGTGTTCTCGGGGCATCTCTGGAGTTGCCTGAAGGAAGTCGAGCCACCGGTCGTGTTGAATGGGGAACGGGGAATGGCTCTGGAGTCAATGCAGGGGAATCGGGCCTCATCTCGAGTTGATTTGGGGCACATGGAGCTGCTTTGCGTTGCTGGGGTGACCTCAGGGTCCGTCTAGACTGGTGACAGTGTTCTTGGGGACTGTCTCGAGATCCATTAAGCAAGTCGAAGCTCCTGACTTGTTTGAATGGGATCACGGAATAGCTCTGCATGCACTGCAGGGGAATGGGGCCTCATCTCGCCTCTAGGGGGAAGTCTCATGGTTTTTCTCGAGTTGCGGCGGGGACCTGGGGGATGTTCTCGACTTACGGCGGGGATGGCCCTTCAAAACACGAGTTTCTTCAGTGACGTCAGGACTCCTGTCTAGTAACGAGGGACACCTCAGGAATCTCTTCGAGGCTTGGCAGGGCCAAAGGGACGCTTCTCGAGGTGAGGCAGGGCACCCAAGGACCCTTTCCAGTAGCCACAGGGATTTTGGGATTCCTATCAGTATTCAAGAGGAGTCAGGCATCGTCACCTTTTGAAGCAATGAACTCCGCGTGCCTCTCGAGGTGTCAGCGGGATGTGAGGCATTCCGTCAAAATGAGGCAGGGACCTAGGGCTTTCTCTAAGGTCTCCACAGGGGATTCAGACATCCCTTCATGTTGTGAGATGAAAGACGAGCCTGTATTCAAGCCACTGCAAGGAAATCCGGCCTCCTTTCAAGTTAGGGCTTCTCGCTGTATATTCCCCTTGAGGCAGCAAACTCGGGGTCCCTCCCACATACCTATTGCTGAGAGAAGCCTCCTCCTGAGGTGCTTCTGGGAAGTTGGCATACGTCTTGAGCCTAAGCCAGGGAATCAGCTCGCATCTCGAGACGATTTGGGGTACACGGAGCATTCCTCGAGTTGCTGTGCTGAAGTAGGTGTTCCTCTAGACTTGGGACAGTGTTCTCGGGGCGTCTCTGGAGTTGCCTGAAGGAAGTCGAGCCACCGGTCGTGTTGAATGGGGAACGGGGAATGGCTCTGGAGTCAATGCAGGGGAATCGGGCCTCATCTCGAGTTGATTTGGGGCACATGGAGCTGCTTTGCGTTGCTGGGGTGACCTCAGGGTCCGTCTAGACTGGTGACAGTGTTCTTGGGGACTGTCTCGAGATCCATTAAGCAAGTCGAAGCTCCTGACTTGTTTGAATGGGATCACGGAATAGCTCTGCATGCACTGCAGGGGAATGGGGCCTCATCTCGCCTCTAGGGGGAAGTCTCATGGTTTTTCTCGAGTTGCGGCGGGGACCTGGGGGATGTTCTCGACTTACGGCGGGGATGGCCCTTCAAAACACGAGTTTCTTCAGTGACGTCAGGACTCCTGTCTAGTAACGAGGGACACCTCAGGAATCTCTTCGAGGCTTGGCAGGGCCAAAGGGACGCTTCTCGAGGTGAGGCAGGGCACCCAAGGACCCTTTCCAGTAGCCACAGGGATTTTGGGATTCCTATCATTATTCAAGAGGAGTCAGGCATCGTCACCTTTTGAAGCAATGAACTCCGCGTGCCTCTCGAGGTGTCAGCGGGATGTGAGGCATTCCGTCAAAATGAGGCAGGGACCTAGGGCTTTCTCTAAGGTCTCCACAGGGGATTCAGACATCCCTTCATGTTGTGAGATGAAAGACGAGCCTGTATTCAAGCCACTGCAAGGAAATCCGGCCTCCTTTCAAGTGAGGGCTTCTCGCTGTATATTCCCCTTGAGGCAGCAAACTCGGGGTCCCTCCCACATACCTATTGCTGAGAGAAGCCTCCTCCTGAGGTGCTTCTGGGAAGTTGGCATACGTCTTGAGCCTAAGCCAGGGAATCAGCTCGCATCTCGAGACGATTTGGGGTACACGGAGCATTCCTCGAGTTGCTGTGCTGAAGTTGGTGTTCCTCTAGACTTGGGACAGTGTTCTCGGGGCATCTCTGGAGTTGCCTGAAGGAAGTCGAGCCACCGGTCGTGTTGAATGGGGAACGGGGAATGGCTCTGGAGTCAATGCAGGGGAATCGGGCCTCATCTCGAGTTGATTTGGGGCACATGGAGCTGCTTTGCGTTGCTGGGGTGACCTCAGGGTCCGTCTAGACTGGTGACAGTGTTCTTGGGGACTGTCTCGAGATCCATTAAGCAAGTCGAAGCTCCTGACTTGTTTGAATGGGATCACGGAATAGCTCTGCATGCACTGCAGGGGAATGGGGCCTCATCTCGCCTCTAGGGGGAAGTCTCATGGTTTTTCTCGAGTTGCGGCGGGGACCTGGGGGATGTTCTCGACTTACGGCGGGGATGGCCCTTCAAAACACGAGTTTCTTCAGTGACGTCAGGACTCCTGTCTAGTAACGAGGGACACCTCAGGAATCTCTTCGAGGCTTGGCAGGGCCAAAGGGACGCTTCTCGAGGTGAGGCAGGGCACCCAAGGACCCTTTCCAGTAGCCACAGGGATTTTGGGATTCCTATCAGTATTCAAGAGGAGTCAGGCATCGTCACCTTTTGAAGCAATGAACTCCGCGTGCCTCTCGAGGTGTCAGCGGGATGTGAGGCATTCCGTCAAAATGAGGCAGGGACCTAGGGCTTTCTCTAAGGTCTCCACAGGGGATTCAGACATCCCTTCATGTTGTGAGATGATAGACGAGCCTGTATTCAAGCCACTGCAAGGAAATCCGGCCTCCTTTCAAGTTAGGGCTTCTCGCTGTATATTCCCCTTGAGGCAGCAAACTCGGGGTCCCTCCCACATACCTATTGCTGAGAGAAGCCTCCTCCTGAGGTGCTTCTGGGAAGTTGGCATACGTCTTGAGCCTAAGCCAGGGAATCAGCTCGCATCTCGAGACGATTTGGGGTACACGGAGCATTCCTCGAGTTGCTGTGCTGAAGTTGGTGTTCCTCTAGACTTGGGACAGTGTTCTCGGGGCATCTCTGGAGTTGCCTGAAGGAAGTCGAGCCACCGGTCGTGTTGAATGGGGAACGGGGAATGGCTCTGGAGTCAATGCAGGGGAATCGGGCCTCATCTCGAGTTGATTTGGGGCACATGGAGCTGCTTTGCGTTGCTGGGGTGACCTCAGGGTCCGTCTAGACTGGTGACAGTGTTCTTGGGGACTGTCTCGAGATCCATTAAGCAAGTCGAAACTCCTGACTTGTTTGAATGGGATCACGGAATAGCTCTGCATGCACTGCAGGGGAATGGGGCCTCATCTCGCCTCTAGGGGGAAGTCTCATGGTTTTTCTCGAGTTGCGGCGGGGACCTGGGGGATGTTCTCGACTTACGGCGGGGATGGCCCTTCAAAACACGAGTTTCTTCAGTGACGTCAGGACTCCTGTCTAGTAACGAGGGACACCTCAGGAATCTCTTCGAGGCTTGGCAGGGCCAAAGGGACGCTTCTCGAGGTGAGGCAGGGCACCCAAGGACCCTTTCCAGTAGCCACAGGGATTTTGGGATTCCTATCAGTATTCAAGAGGAGTCAGGCATCGTCACCTTTTGAAGCAATGAACTCCGCGTGCCTCTCGAGGTGTCAGCGGGATGTGAGGCATTCCGTCAAAATGAGGCAGGGACCTAGGGCTTTCTCTAAGGTCTCCACAGGGGATTCAGACATCCCTTCATGTTGTGAGATGAAAGACGAGCCTGTATTCAAGCCACTGCAAGGAAATCCGGCCTCCTTTCAAGTGAGGGCTTCTCGCTGTATATTCCCCTTGAGGCAGCAAACTCGGGGTCCCTCCCACATACCTATTGCTGAGAGAAGCCTCCTCCTGAGGTGCTTCTGGGAAGTTGGCATACGTCTTGAGCCTAAGCCAGGGAATCAGCTCGCATCTCGAGACGATTTGGGGTACACGGAGCATTCCTCGAGTTGCTGTGCTGAAGTTGGTGTTCCTCTAGACTTGGGACAGTGTTCTCGGGGCATCTCTGGAGTTGCCTGAAGGAAGTCGAGCCACCGGTCGTGTTGAATGGGGAACGGGGAATGGCTCTGGAGTCAATGCAGGGGAATCGGGCCTCATCTCGAGTTGATTTGGGGCACATGGAGCTGCTTTGCGTTGCTGGGGTGACCTCAGGGTCCGTCTAGACTGGTGACAGTGTTCTTGGGGACTGTCTCGAGATCCATTAAGCAAGTCGAAGCTCCTGACTTGTTTGAATGGGATCACGGAATAGCTCTGCATGCACTGCAGGGGAATGGGGCCTCATCTCGCCTCTAGGGGGAAGTCTCATGGTTTTTCTCGAGTTGCGGCGGGGACCTGGGGGATGTTCTCGACTTACGGCGGGGATGGCCCTTCAAAACACGAGTTTCTTCAGTGACGTCAGGACTCCTGTCTAGTAACGAGGGACACCTCAGGAATCTCTTCGAGGCTTGGCAGGGACAAAGGGACGCTTCTCGAGGTGAGGCAGGGCACCCAAGGACCCTTTCCAGTAGCCACAGGGATTTTGGGATTCCTATCAGTATTCAAGAGGAGTCAGGCATCGTCACCTTTTGAAGCAATGAACTCCGCGTGCCTCTCGAGGTGTCAGCGGGATGTGAGGCATTCCGTCAAAATGAGGCAGGGACCTAGGGCTTTCTCTAAGGTCTCCACAGGGGATTCAGACATCCCTTCATGTTGTGAGATGAAAGACGAGCCTGTATTCAAGCCACTGCAAGGAAATCCGGCCTCCTTTCAAGTGAGGGCTTCTCGCTGTATATTCCCCTTGAGGCAGCAAACTCGGGGTCCCTCCCACATACCTATTGCTGAGAGAAGCCTCCTCCTGAGGTGCTTCTGGGAAGTTGGCATACGTCTTGAGCCTAAGCCAGGGAATCAGCTCGCATCTCGAGACGATTTGGGGTACACGGAGCATTCCTCGAGTTGCTGTGCTGAAGTTGGTGTTCCTCTAGACTTGGGACAGTGTTCTCGGGGCATCTCTGGAGTTGCCTGAAGGAAGTCGAGCCACCGGTCGTGTTGAATGGGGAACGGGGAATGGCTCTGGAGTCAATGCAGGGGAATCGGGCCTCATCTCGAGTTGATTTGGGGCACATGGAGCTGCTTTGCGTTGCTGGGGTGACCTCAGGGTCCGTCTAGACTGGTGACAGTGTTCTTGGGGACTGTCTCGAGATCCATTAAGCAAGTCGAAGCTCCTGACTTGTTTGAATGGGATCACGGAGTAGCTCTGCATGCACTGCAGGGGAATGGGGCCTCATCTCGCCTCTAGGGGGAAGTCTCATGGTTTTTCTCGAGTTGTGGCGGGGACCTGGGGGATGTTCTCGACTTACGGCGGGGATGGCCCTTCAAAACACGAGTTTCTTCAGTGACGTCAGGACTCCTGTCTAGTAACGAGGGACACCTCAGGAATCTCTTCGAGGCTTGGCAGGGCCAAAGGGACGCTTCTCGAGGTGAGGCAGGGCACCCAAGGACCCTTTCCAGTAGCCACAGGGATTTTGGGATTCCTATCAGTATTCAAGAGGAGTCAGGCATCGTCACCTTTTGAAGCAATGAACTCCGCGTGCCTCTCGAGGTGTCAGCGGGATGTGAGGCATTCCGTCAAAATGAGGCAGGGACCTAGGGCTTTCTCTAAGGTCTCCACAGGGGATTCAGACATCCCTTCATGTTGTGAGATGAAAGACGAGCCTGTATTCAAGCCACTGCAAGGAAATCCGGCCTCCTTTCAAGTGAGGGCTTCTCGCTGTATATTCCCCTTGAGGCAGCAAACTCGGGGTCCCTCCCACATACCTATTGCTGAGAGAAGCCTCCTCCTGAGGTGCTTCTGGGAAGTTGGCATACGTCTTGAGCCTAAGCCAGGGAATCAGCTCGCATCTCGAGACGATTTGGGGTACACGGAGCATTCCTCGAGTTGCTGTGCTGAAGTTGGTGTTCCTCTAGACTTGGGACAGTGTTCTCGGGGCATCTCTGGAGTTGCCTGAAGGAAGTCGAGCCACCGGTCGTGTTGAATGGGGAACGGGGAATGGCTCTGGAGTCAATGCAGGGGAATCGGGCCTCATCTCGAGTTGATTTGGGGCACATGGAGCTGCTTTGCGTTGCTGGGGTGACCTCAGGGTCCGTCTAGACTGGTGACAGTGTTCTTGGGGACTGTCTCGAGATCCATTAAGCAAGTCGAAGCTCCTGACTTGTTTGAATGGGATCACGGAATAGCTCTGCATGCACTGCAGGGGAATGGGGCCTCATCTCGCCTCTAGGGGGAAGTCTCATGGTTTTTCTCGAGTTGCGGCGGGGACCTGGGGTATGTTCTCGACTTACGGCGGGGATGGCCCTTCAAAACACGAGTTTCTTCAGTGACGTCAGGACTCCTGTCTAGTAACGAGGGACACCTCAGGAATCTCTTCGAGGCTTGGCAGGGCCAAAGGGACGCTTCTCGAGGTGAGGCAGGGCACCCAAGGACCCTTTCCAGTAGCCACAGGGATTTTGGTATTCCTATCAGTATTCAAGAGGAGTCAGGCATCGTCACCTTTTGAAGCAATGAACTCCGCGTGCCTCTCGAGGTGTCAGCGGGATGTGAGGCATTCCGTCAAAATGAGGCAGGGACCTAGGGCTTTCTCTAAGGTCTCCACAGGGGATTCAGACATCCCTTCATGTTGTGAGATGAAAGACGAGCCTGTATTCAAGCCACTGCAAGGAAATCCGGCCTCCTTTCAAGTGAGGGCTTCTCGCTGTATATTCCCCTTGAGGCAGCAAACTCGGGGTCCCTCCCACATACCTATTGCTGAGAGAAGCCTCCTCCTGAGGTGCTTCTGGGAAGTTGGCATACGTCTTGAGCCTAAGCCAGGGAATCAGCTCGCATCTCGAGACGATTTGGGGTACACGGAGCATTCCTCGAGTTGCTGTGCTGAAGTTGGTGTTCCTCTAGACTTGGGACAGTGTTCTCGGGGCATCTCTGGAGTTGCCTGAAGGAAGTCGAGCCACCGGTCGTGTTGAATGGGGAACGGGGAATGGCTCTGGAGTCAATGCAGGGGAATCGGGCCTCATCTCGAGTTGATTTGGGGCACATGGAGCTGCTTTGCGTTGCTGGGGTGACCTCAGGGTCCGTCTAGACTGGTGACAGTGTTCTTGGGGACTGTCTCGAGATCCATTAAGCAAGTCGAAGCTCCTGACTTGTTTGAATGGGATCACGGAATAGCTCTGCATGCACTGCAGGGGAATGGGGCCTCATCTCGCCTCTAGGGGGAAGTCTCATGGTTTTTCTCGAGTTGCGGCGGGGACCTGGGGGATGTTCTCGACTTACGGCGGGGATGGCCCTTCAAAACACGAGTTTCTTCAGTGACGTCAGGACTCCTGTCTAGTAACGAGGGACACCTCAGGAATCTCTTCGAGGCTTGGCAGGGCCAAAGGGACGCTTCTCGAGGTGAGGCAGGGCACCCAAGGACCCTTTCCAGTAGCCACAGGGATTTTGGGATTCCTATCAGTATTCAAGAGGAGTCAGGCATCGTCACCTTTTGAAGCAATGAACTCCGCGTGCCTCTCGAGGTGTCAGCGGGATGTGAGGCATTCCGTCAAAATGAGGCAGGGACCTAGGGCTTTCTCTAAGGTCTCCACAGGGGATTCAGACATCCCTTCATGTTGTGAGATGAAAGACGAGCCTGTATTCAAGCCACTGCAAGGAAATCCGGCCTCCTTTCAAGTTAGGGCTTCTCGCTGTATATTCCCCTTGAGGCAGCAAACTCGGGGTCCCTCCCACATACCTATTGCTGAGAGAAGCCTCCTCCTGAGGTGCTTCTGGGAAGTTGGCATACGTCTTGAGCCTAAGCCAGGGAATCAGCTCGCATCTCGAGACGATTTGGGGTACACGGAGCATTCCTCGAGTTGCTGTGCTGAAGTTGGTGTTCCTCTAGACTTGGGACAGTGTTCTCGGGGCGTCTCTGGAGTTGCCTGAAGGAAGTCGAGCCACCGGTCGTGTTGAATGGGGAACGGGGAATGGCTCTGGAGTCAATGCAGGGGAATCGGGCCTCATCTCGAGTTGATTTGGGGCACATGGAGCTGCTTTGCGTTGCTGGGGTGACCTCAGGGTCCGTCTAGACTGGTGACAGTGTTCTTGGGGACTGTCTCGAGATCCATTAAGCAAGTCGAAGCTCCTGACTTGTTTGAATGGGATCACGGAATAGCTCTGCATGCACTGCAGGGGAATGGGGCCTCATCTCGCCTCTAGGGGGAAGTCTCATGGTTTTTCTCGAGTTGCGGCGGGGACCTGGGGTATGTTCTCGACTTACGGCGGGGATGGCCCTTCAAAACACGAGTTTCTTCAGTGACGTCAGGACTCCTGTCTAGTAACGAGGGACACCTCAGGAATCTCTTCGAGGCTTGGCAGGGCCAAAGGGACGCTTCTCGAGGTGAGGCAGGGCACCCAAGGACCCTTTCCAGTAGCCACAGGGATTTTGGGATTCCTATCATTATTCAAGAGGAGTCAGGCATCGTCACCTTTTGAAGCAATGAACTCCGCGTGCCTCTCGAGGTGTCAGCGGGATGTGAGGCATTCCGTCAAAATGAGGCAGGGACCTAGGGCTTTCTCTAAGGTCTCCACAGGGGATTCAGACATCCCTTCATGTTGTGAGATGAAAGACGAGCCTGTATTCAAGCCACTGCAAGGAAATCCGGCCTCCTTTCAAGTGAGGGCTTCTCGCTGTATATTCCCCTTGAGGCAGCAAACTCGGGGTCCCTCCCACATACCTATTGCTGAGAGAAGCCTCCTCCTGAGGTGCTTCTGGGAAGTTGGCATACGTCTTGAGCCTAAGCCAGGGAATCAGCTCGCATCTCGAGACGATTTGGGGTACACGGAGCATTCCTCGAGTTGCTGTGCTGAAGTTGGTGTTCCTCTAGACTTGGGACAGTGTTCTCGGGGCATCTCTGGAGTTGCCTGAAGGAAGTCGAGCCACCGGTCGTGTTGAATGGGGAACGGGGAATGGCTCTGGAGTCAATGCAGGGGAATCGGGCCTCATCTCGAGTTGATTTGGGGCACATGGAGCTGCTTTGCGTTGCTGGGGTGACCTCAGGGTCCGTCTAGACTGGTGACAGTGTTCTTGGGGACTGTCTCGAGATCCATTAAGCAAGTCGAAGCTCCTGACTTGTTTGAATGGGATCACGGAATAGCTCTGCATGCACTGCAGGGGAATGGGGCCTCATCTCGCCTCTAGGGGGAAGTCTCATGGTTTTTCTCGAGTTGCGGCGGGGACCTGGGGGATGTTCTCGACTTACGGCGGGGATGGCCCTTCAAAACACGAGTTTCTTCAGTGACGTCAGGACTCCTGTCTAGTAACGAGGGACACCTCAGGAATCTCTTCGAGGCTTGGCAGGGCCAAAGGGACGCTTCTCGAGGTGAGGCAGGGCACCCAAGGACACTTTCCAGTAGCCACAGGGATTTTGGGATTCCTATCAGTATTCAAGAGGAGTCAGGCATCGTCACCTTTTGAAGCAATGAACTCCGCGTGCCTCTCGAGGTGTCAGCGGGATGTGAGGCATTCCGTCAAAATGAGGCAGGGACCTAGGGCTTTCTCTAAGGTCTCCACAGGGGATTCAGACATCCCTTCATGTTGTGAGATGATAGACGAGCCTGTATTCAAGCCACTGCAAGGAAATCCGGCCTCCTTTCAAGTTAGGGCTTCTCGCTGTATATTCCCCTTGAGGCAGCAAACTCGGGGTCCCTCCCACATACCTATTGCTGAGAGAAGCCTCCTCCTGAGGTGCTTCTGGGAAGTTGGCATACGTCTTGAGCCTAAGCCAGGGAATCAGCTCGCATCTCGAGACGATTTGGGGTACACGGAGCATTCCTCGAGTTGCTGTGCTGAAGTTGGTGTTCCTCTAGACTTGGGACAGTGTTCTCGGGGCATCTCTGGAGTTGCCTGAAGGAAGTCGAGCCACCGGTCGTGTTGAATGGGGAACGGGGAATGGCTCTGGAGTCAATGCAGGGGAATCGGGCCTCATCTCGAGTTGATTTGGGGCACATGGAGCTGCTTTGCGTTGCTGGGGTGACCTCAGGGTCCGTCTAGACTGGTGACAGTGTTCTTGGGGACTGTCTCGAGATCCATTAAGCAAGTCGAAGCTCCTGACTTGTTTGAATGGGATCACGGAATAGCTCTGCATGCACTGCAGGGGAATGGGGCCTCATCTCGCCTCTAGGGGGAAGTCTCATGGTTTTTCTCGAGTTGCGGCGGGGACCTGGGGGATGTTCTCGACTTACGGCGGGGATTTCCCTTCAAAACACGAGTTTCTTCAGTGACGTCAGGACTCCTGTCTAGTAACGAGGGACACCTCAGGAATCTCTTCGAGGCTTGGCAGGGCCAAAGGGACGCTTCTCGAGGTGAGGCAGGGCACCCAAGGACACTTTCCAGTAGCCACAGGGATTTTGGGATTCCTATCAGTATTCAAGAGGAGTCAGGCATCGTCACCTTTTGAAGCAATGAACTCCGCGTGCCTCTCGAGGTGTCAGCGGGATGTGAGGCATTCCGTCAAAATGAGGCAGGGACCTAGGGCTTTCTCTAAGGTCTCCACAGGGGATTCAGACATCCCTTCATGTTGTGAGATGAAAGACGAGCCTGTATTCAAGCCACTGCAAGGAAATCCGGCCTCCTTTCAAGTGAGGGCTTCTCGCTGTATATTCCCCTTGAGGCAGCAAACTCGGGGTCCCTCCCACATACCTATTGCTGAGAGAAGCCTCCTCCTGAGGTGCTTCTGGGAAGTTGGCATACGTCTTGAGCCTAAGCCAGGGAATCAGCTCGCATCTCGAGACGATTTGGGGTACACGGAGCATTCCTCGAGTTGCTGTGCTGAAGTTGGTGTTCCTCTAGACTTGGGACAGTGTTCTCGGGGCATCTCTGGAGTTGCCTGAAGGAAGTCGAGCCACCGGTCGTGTTGAATGGGGAACGGGGAATGGCTCTGGAGTCAATGCAGGGGAATCGGGCCTCATCTCGAGTTGATTTGGGGCACATGGAGCTGCTTTGCGTTGCTGGGGTGACCTCAGGGTCCGTCTAGACTGGTGACAGTGTTCTTGGGGACTGTCTCGAGATCCATTAAGCAAGTCGAAGCTCCTGACTTGTTTGAATGGGATCACGGAATAGCTCTGCATGCACTGCAGGGGAATGGGGCCTCATCTCGCCTCTAGGGGGAAGTCTCATGGTTTTTCTCGAGTTGCGGCGGGGACCTGGGGGATGTTCTCGACTTACGGCGGGGATGGCCCTTCAAAACACGAGTTTCTTCAGTGACGTCAGGACTCCTGTCTAGTAACGAGGGACACCTCAGGAATCTCTTCGAGGCTTGGCAGGGCCAAAGGGACGCTTCTCGAGGTGAGGCAGGGCACCCAAGGACCCTTTCCAGTAGCCACAGGGATTTTGGGATTCCTATCAGTATTCAAGAGGAGTCAGGCATCGTCACCTTTTGAAGCAATGAACTCCGCGTGCCTCTCGAGGTGTCAGCGGGATGTGAGGCATTCCGTCAAAATGAGGCAGGGACCTAGGGCTTTCTCTAAGGTCTCCACAGGGGATTCAGACATCCCTTCATGTTGTGAGATGAAAGACGAGCCTGTATTCAAGCCACTGCAAGGAAATCCGGCCTCCTTTCAAGTGAGGGCTTCTCGCTGTATATTCCCCTTGAGGCAGCAAACTCGGGGTCCCTCCCACATACCTATTGCTGAGAGAAACCTCCTCCTGATGTGCTTCTGGGAAGTTGGCATACGTCTTGAGCCTAAGCCAGGGAATCAGCTCGCATCTCGAGACGATTTGGGGTACACGGAGCATTCCTCGAGTTGCTGTGCTGAAGTTGGTGTTCCTCTAGACTTGGGACAGTGTTCTCGGGGCATCTCTGGAGTTGCCTGAAGGAAGTCGAGCCACCGGTCGTGTTGAATGGGGAACGGGGAATGGCTCTGGAGTCAATGCAGGGGAATCGGGCCTCATCTCGAGTTGATTTGGGGCACATGGAGCTGCTTTGCGTTGCTGGGGTGACCTCAGGGTCCGTCTAGACTGGTGACAGTGTTCTTGGGGACTGTCTCGAGATCCATTAAGCAAGTCGAAGCTCCTGACTTGTTTGAATGGGATCACGGAATAGCTCTGCATGCACTGCAGGGGAATGGGGCCTCATCTCGCCTCTAGGGGGAAGTCTCATGGTTTTTCTCGAGTTGCGGCGGGGACCTGGGGGATGTTCTCGACTTACGGCGGGGATGGCCCTTCAAAACACGAGTTTCTTCAGTGACGTCAGGACTCCTGTCTAGTAACGAGGGACACCTCAGGAATCTCTTCGAGGCTTGGCAGGGCCAAAGGGACGCTTCTCGAGGTGAGGCAGGGCACCCAAGGACCCTTTCCAGTAGCCACAGGGATTTTGGGATTCCTATCAGTATTCAAGAGGAGTCAGGCATCGTCACCTTTTGAAGCAATGAACTCCGCGTGCCTCTCGAGGTGTCAGCGGGATGTGAGGCATTCCGTCAAAATGAGGCAGGGACCTAGGGCTTTCTCTAAGGTCTCCACAGGGGATTCAGACATCCCTTCATGTTGTGAGATGAAAGACGAGCCTGTATTCAAGCCACTGCAAGGAAATCCGGCCTCCTTTCAAGTGAGGGCTTCTCGCTGTATATTCCCCTTGAGGCAGCAAACTCGGGGTCCCTCCCACATACCTATTGCTGAGAGAAGCCTCCTCCTGAGGTGCTTCTGGGAAGTTGGCATACGTCTTGAGCCTAAGCCAGGGAATCAGCTCGCATCTCGAGACGATTTGGGGTACACGGAGCATTCCTCGAGTTGCTGTGCTGAAGTTGGTGTTCCTCTAGACTTGGGACAGTGTTCTCGGGGCGTCTCTGGAGTTGCCTGAAGGAAGTCGAGCCACCGGTCATGTTGAATGGGGAACGGGGAATGGCTCTGGAGTCAATGCAGGGGAATCGGGCCTCATCTCGAGTTGATTTGGGGCACATGGAGCTGCTTTGCGTTGCTGGGGTGACCTCAGGGTCCGTCTAGACTGGTGACAGTGTTCTTGGGGACTGTCTCGAGATCCATTAAGCAAGTCGAAGCTCCTGACTTGTTTGAATGGGATCACGGAATAGCTCTGCATGCACTGCAGGGGAATGGGGCCTCATCTCGCCTCGAGGGGGAAGTCTCATGGTTTTTCTCGAGTTGCGGCGGGGACCTGGGGTATGTTCTCGACTTACGGCGGGGATGGCCCTTCAAAACACGAGTTTCTTCAGTGACGTCAGGACTCCTGTCTAGTAACGAGGGACACCTCAGGAATCTCTTCGAGGCTTGGCAGGGCCAAAGGGACGCTTCTCGAGGTGAGGCAGGGCACCCAAGGACCCTTTCCAGTAGCCACAGGGATTTTGGGATTCCTATCAGTATTCAAGAGGAGTCAGGCATCGTCACCTTTTGAAGCAATGAACTCCGCGTGCCTCTCGAGGTGTCAGCGGGATGTGAGGCATTCCGTCAAAATGAGGCAGGGACCTAGGGCTTTCTCTAAGGTCTCCACAGGGGATTCAGACATCCCTTCATGTTGTGAGATGAAAGACGAGCCTGTATTCAAGCCACTGCAAGGAAATCCGGCCTCCTTTCAAGTGAGGGCTTCTCGCTGTATATTCCCCTTGAGGCAGCAAACTCGGGGTCCCTCCCACATACCTATTGCTGAGAGAAGCCTCCTCCTGAGGTGCTTCTGGGAAGTTGGCATACGTCTTGAGCCTAAGCCAGGGAATCAGCTCGCATCTCGAGACGATTTGGGGTACACGGAGCATTCCTCGAGTTGCTGTGCTGAAGTTGGTGTTCCTCTAGACTTGGGACAGTGTTCTCGGGGCGTCTCTGGAGTTGCCTGAAGGAAGTCGAGCCACCGGTCATGTTGAATGGGGAACGGGGAATGGCTCTGGAGTCAATGCAGGGGAATCGGGCCTCATCTCGAGTTGATTTGGGGCACATGGAGCTGCTTTGCGTTGCTGGGGTGACCTCAGGGTCCGTCTAGACTGGTGACAGTGTTCTTGGGGACTGTCTCGAGATCCATTAAGCAAGTCGAAGCTCCTGACTTGTTTGAATGGGATCACGGAATAGCTCTGCATGCACTGCAGGGGAATGGGGCCTCATCTCGCCTCGAGGGGGAAGTCTCATGGTTTTTCTCGAGTTGCGGCGGGGACCTGGGGTATGTTCTCGACTTACGGCGGGGATGGCCCTTCAAAACACGAGTTTCTTCAGTGACGTCAGGACTCCTGTCTAGTAACGAGGGACACCTCAGGAATCTCTTCGAGGCTTGGCAGGGCCAAAGGGACGCTTCTCAAGGTGAGGCAGGGCACCCAAGCGCCCTTTCCAGTAGCCACAGGGATTTTGGGATTCCTATCAGTATTCAAGAGGAGTCAGGCATCGTCACCTTTTGAAGCAATGAACTCCGCGTGCCTCTCGAGGTGTCAGCGGGATGTGAGGCATTCCGTCAAAATGAGGCAGGGACCTAGGGCTTTCTCTAAGGTCTCCACAGGGGATTCAGACATCCCTTCATGTTGTGAGATGAAAGACGAGCCTGTATTCAAGCCACTGCAAGGAAATCCGGCCTCCTTTCAAGTGAGGGCTTCTCGCTGTATATTCCCCTTGAGGCAGCAAACTCGGGGTCCCTCCCACATACCTATTGCTGAGAGAAGCCTCCTCCTGAGGTGCTTCTGGGAAGTTGGCATACGTCTTGAGCCTAAGCCAGGGAATCAGCTCGCATCTCGAGACGATTTGGGGTACACGGAGCATTCCTCGAGTTGCTGTGCTGAAGTTGGTGTTCCTCTAGACTTGGGACAGTGTTCTCGGGGCATCTCTGGAGTTGCCTGAAGGAAGTCGAGCCACCGGTCGTGTTGAATGGGGAACGGGGAATGGCTCTGGAGTCAATGCAGGGGAATCGGGCCTCATCTCGAGTTGATTTGGGGCACATGGAGCTGCTTTGCGTTGCTGGGGTGACCTCAGGGTCCGTCTAGACTGGTGACAGTGTTCTTGGGGACTGTCTCGAGATCCATTAAGCAAGTCGAAGCTCCTGACTTGTTTGAATGGGATCACGGAATAGCTCTGCATGCACTGCAGGGGAATGGGGCCTCATCTCGCCTCTAGGGGGAAGTCTCATGGTTTTTCTCGAGTTGCGGCGGGGACCTGGGGGATGTTCTCGACTTACGGCGGGGATGGCCCTTCAAAACACGAGTTTCTTCAGTGACGTCAGGACTCCTGTCTAGTAACGAGGGACACCTCAGGAATCTCTTCGAGGCTTGGCAGGGCCAAAGGGACGCTTCTCGAGGTGAGGCAGGGCACCCAAGGACCCTTTCCAGTAGCCACAGGGATTTTGGGATTCCTATCAGTATTCAAGAGGAGTCAGGCATCGTCACCTTTTGAAGCAATGAACTCCGCGTGCCTCTCGAGGTGTCAGCGGGATGTGAGGCATTCCGTCAAAATGAGGCAGGGACCTAGGGCTTTCTCTAAGGTCTCCACAGGGGATTCAGACATCCCTTCATGTTGTGAGATGAAAGACGAGCCTGTATTCAAGCCACTGCAAGGAAATCCGGCCTCCTTTCAAGTGAGGGCTTCTCGCTGTATATTCCCCTTGAGGCAGCAAACTCGGGGTCCCTCCCACATACCTATTGCTGAGAGAAGCCTCCTCCTGAGGTGCTTCTGGGAAGTTGGCATACGTCTTGAGCCTAAGCCAGGGAATCAGCTCGCATCTCGAGACGATTTGGGGTACACGGAGCATTCCTCGAGTTGCTGTGCTGAAGTTGGTGTTCCTCTAGACTTGGGACAGTGTTCTCGGGGCATCTCTGGAGTTGCCTGAAGGAAGTCGAGCCACCGGTCGTGTTGAATGGGGAACGGGGAATGGCTCTGGAGTCAATGCAGGGGAATCGGGCCTCATCTCGAGTTGATTTGGGGCACATGGAGCTGCTTTGCGTTGCTGGGGTGACCTCAGGGTCCGTCTAGACTGGTGACAGTGTTCTTGGGGACTGTCTCGAGATCCATTAAGCAAGTCGAAGCTCCTGACTTGTTTGAATGGGATCACGGAATAGCTCTGCATGCACTGCAGGGGAATGGGGCCTCATCTCGCCTCTAGGGGGAAGTCTCATGGTTTTTCTCGAGTTGCGGCGGGGACCTGGGGGATGTTCTCGACTTACGGCGGGGATGGCCCTTCAAAACACGAGTTTCTTCAGTGACGTCAGGACTCCTGTCTAGTAACGAGGGACACCTCAGGAATCTCTTCGAGGCTTGGCAGGGCCAAAGGGACGCTTCTCGAGGTGAGGCAGGGCACCCAAGGACCCTTTCCAGTAGCCACAGGGATTTTGGGATTCCTATCAGTATTCAAGAGGAGTCAGGCATCGTCACCTTTTGAAGCAATGAACTCCGCGTGCCTCTCGAGGTGTCAGCGGGATGTGAGGCATTCCGTCAAAATGAGGCAGGGACCTAGGGCTTTCTCTAAGGTCTCCACAGGGGATTCAGACATCCCTTCATGTTGTGAGATGAAAGACGAGCCTGTATTCAAGCCACTGCAAGGAAATCCGGCCTCCTTTCAAGTTAGGGCTTCTCGCTGTATATTCCCCTTGAGGCAGCAAACTCGGGGTCCCTCCCACATACCTATTGCTGAGAGAAGCCTCCTCCTGAGGTGCTTCTGGGAAGTTGGCATACGTCTTGAGCCTAAGCCAGGGAATCAGCTCGCATCTCGAGACGATTTGGGGTACACGGAGCATTCCTCGAGTTGCTGTGCTGAAGTTGGTGTTCCTCTAGACTTGGGACAGTGTTCTCGGGGCATCTCTGGAGTTGCCTGAAGGAAGTCGAGCCACCGGTCGTGTTGAATGGGGAACGGGGAATGGCTCTGGAGTCAATGCAGGGGAATCGGGCCTCATCTCGAGTTGATTTGGGGCACATGGAGCTGCTTTGCGTTGCTGGGGTGACCTCAGGGTCCGTCTAGACTGGTGACAGTGTTCTTGGGGACTGTCTCGAGATCCATTAAGCAAGTCGAAGCTCCTGACTTGTTTGAATGGGATCACGGAATAGCTCTGCATGCACTGCAGGGGAATGGGGCCTCATCTCGCCTCTAGGGGGAAGTCTCATGGTTTTTCTCGAGTTGCGGCGGGGACCTGGGGTATGTTCTCGACTTACGGCGGGGATGGCCCTTCAAAACACGAGTTTCTTCAGTGACGTCAGGACTCCTGTCTAGTAACGAGGGACACCTCAGGAATCTCTTCGAGGCTTGGCAGGGCCAAAGGGACGCTTCTCGAGGTGAGGCAGGGCACCCAAGGACCCTTTCCAGTAGCCACAGGGATTTTGGGATTCCTATCAGTATTCAAGAGGAGTCAGGCATCGTCACCTTTTGAAGCAATGAACTCCGCGTGCCTCTCGAGGTGTCAGCGGGATGTGAGGCATTCCGTCAAAATGAGGCAGGGACCTAGGGCTTTCTCTAAGGTCTCCACAGGGGATTCAGACATCCCTTCATGTTGTGAGATGAAAGACGAGCCTGTATTCAAGCCACTGCAAGGAAATCCGGCCTCCTTTCAAGTGAGGGCTTCTCGCTGTATATTCCCCTTGAGGCAGCAAACTCGGGGTCCCTCCCACATACCTATTGCTGAGAGAAGCCTCCTCCTGAGGTGCTTCTGGGAAGTTGGCATACGTCTTGAGCCTAAGCCAGGGAATCAGCTCATATCTCGAGACGATTTGGGGTACACGGAGCATTCCTCGAGTTGCTGTGCTGAAGTTGGTGTTCCTCTAGACTTGGGACAGTGTTCTCGGGGCATCTCTGGAGTTGCCTGAAGGAAGTCGAGCCACCGGTCGTGTTGAATGGGGAACGGGGAATGGCTCTGGAGTCAATGAAGGGGAATCGGGCCTCATCTCGAGTTGATTTGGGGCACATGGAGCTGCTTTGCGTTGCTGGGGTGACCTCAGGGTCCGTCTAGACTGGTGACAGTGTTCTTGGGGACTGTCTCGAGATCCATTAAGCAAGTCGAAGCTCCTGACTTGTTTGAATGGGATCACGGAATAGCTCTGCATGCACTGCAGGGGAATGGGGCCTCATCTCGCCTCTAGGGGGAAGTCTCATGGTTTTTCTCGAGTTGCGGCGGGGACCTGGGGTATGTTCTCGACTTACGGCGGGGATGGCCCTTCAAAACACGAGTTTCTTCAGTGACGTCAGGACTCCTGTCTAGTAACGAGGGACACCTCAGGAATCTCTTCGAGGCTTGGCAGGGCCAAAGGGACGCTTCTCGAGGTGAGGCAGGGCACCCAAGGACCCTTTCCAGTAGCCACAGGGATTTTGGGATTCCTATCAGTATTCAAGAGGAGTCAGGCATCGTCACCTTTTGAAGCAATGAACTCCGCGTGCCTCTCGAGGTGTCAGCGGGATGTGAGGCATTCCGTCAAAATGAGGCAGGGACCTAGGGCTTTCTCTAAGGTCTCCACAGGGGATTCAGATATCCCTTCATGTTGTGAGATGAAAGACGAGCCTGTATTCAAGCCACTGCAAGGAAATCCGGCCTCCTTTCAAGTTAGGGCTTCTCGCTGTATATTCCCCTTGAGGCAGCAAACTCGGGGTCCCTCCCACATACCTATTGCTGAGAGAAGCCTCCTCCTGAGGTGCTTCTGGGAAGTTGGCATACGTCTTGAGCCTAAGCCAGGGAATCAGCTCGCATCTCGAGACGATTTGGGGTACACGGAGCATTCCTCGAGTTGCTGTGCTGAAGTTGGTGTTCCTCTAGACTTGGGACAGTGTTCTCGGGGCGTCTCTGGAGTTGCCTGAAGGAAGTCGAGCCACCGGTCGTGTTGAATGGGGAACGGGGAATGGCTCTGGAGTCAATGCAGGGGAATCGGGCCTCATCTCGAGTTGATTTGGGGCACATGGAGCTGCTTTGCTTTGCTGGGGTGACCTCAGGGTCCGTCTAGACTGGTGACAGTGTTCTTGGGGACTGTCTCGAGATCCATTAAGCAAGTCGAAGCTCCTGACTTCTTTGAATGGGATCACGGAATAGCTCTGCATGCACTGCAGGGGAATGGGGCCTCATCTCGCCTCTAGGGGGAAGTCTCATGGTTTTTCTCGAGTTGCGGCGGGGACCTGGGGTATGTTCTCGACTTACGGCGGGGATGGCCCTTCAAAACACGAGTTTCTTCAGTGACGTCAGGACTCCTGTCTAGTAACGAGGGACACCTCAGGAATCTCTTCGAGGCTTGGCAGGGCCAAAGGGACGCTTCTCGAGGTGAGGCAGGGCACCCAAGGACCCTTTCCAGTAGCCACAGGGATTTTGGGATTCCTATCAGTATTCAAGAGGAGTCAGGCATCGTCACCTTTTGAAGCAATGAACTCCGCGTGCCTCTCGAGGTGTCAGCGGGATGTGAGGCATTCCGTCAAAATGAGGCAGGGACCTAGGGCTTTCTCTAAGGTCTCCACAGGGGATTCAGACATCCCTTCATGTTGTGAGATGAAAGACGAGCCTGTATTCAAGCCACTGCAAGGAAATCCGGCCTCCTTTCAAGTTAGGGCTTCTCGCTGTATATTCCCCTTGAGGCAGCAAACTCGGGGTCCCTCCCACATACCTATTGCTGAGAGAAGCCTCCTCCTGAGGTGCTTCTGGGAAGTTGGCATACGTCTTGAGCCTAAGCCAGGGAATCAGCTCGCATCTCGAGACGATTTGGGGTACACGGAGCATTCCTCGAGTTGCTGTGCTGAAGTAGGTGTTCCTCTAGACTTGGGACAGTGTTCTCGGGGCGTCTCTGGAGTTGCCTGAAGGAAGTCGAGCCACCGGTCGTGTTGAATGGGGAACGGGGAATGGCTCTGGAGTCAATGCAGGGGAATCGGGCCTCATCTCGAGTTGATTTGGGGCACATGGAGCTGCTTTGCGTTGCTGGGGTGACCTCAGGGTCCGTCTAGACTGGTGACAGTGTTCTTGGGGACTGTCTCGAGATCCATTAAGCAAGTCGAAGCTCCTGACTTGTTTGAATGGGATCACGGAATAGCTCTGCATGCACTGCAGGGGAATGGGGCCTCATCTCGCCTCTAGGGGGAAGTCTCATGGTTTTTCTCGAGTTGCGGCGGGGACCTGGGGTATGTTCTCGACTTACGGCGGGGATGGCCCTTCAAAACACGAGTTTCTTCAGTGACGTCAGGACTCCTGTCTAGTAACGAGGGACACCTCAGGAATCTCTTCGAGGCTTGGCAGGGCCAAAGGGACGCTTCTCGAGGTGAGGCAGGGCACCCAAGGACCCTTTCCAGTAGCCACAGGGATTTTGGGATTCCTATCAGTATTCAAGAGGAGTCAGGCATCGTCACCTTTTGAAGCAATGAACTCCGCGTGCCTCTCGAGGTGTCAGCGGGATGTGAGGCATTCCGTCAAAATGAGGCAGGGACCTAGGGCTTTCTCTAAGGTCTCCACAGGGGATTCAGACATCCCTTCATGTTGTGAGATGAAAGACGAGCCTGTATTCAAGCCACTGCAAGGAAATCCGGCCTCCTTTCAAGTGAGGGCTTCTCGCTGTATATTCCCCTTGAGGCAGCAAACTCGGGGTCCCTCCCACATACCTATTGCTGAGAGAAGCCTCCTCCTGAGGTGCTTCTGGGAAGTTGGCATACGTCTTGAGCCTAAGCCAGGGAATCAGCTCGCATCTCGAGACGATTTGGGGTACACGGAGCATTCCTCGAGTTGCTGTGCTGAAGTTGGTGTTCCTCTAGACTTGGGACAGTGTTCTCGGGGCATCTCTGGAGTTGCCTGAAGGAAGTCGAGCCACCGGTCGTGTTGAATGGGGAACGGGGAATGGCTCTGGAGTCAATGAAGGGGAATCGGGCCTCATCTCGAGTTGATTTGGGGCACATGGAGCTGCTTTGCGTTGCTGGGGTGACCTCAGGGTCCGTCTAGACTGGTGACAGTGTTCTTGGGGACTGTCTCGAGATCCATTAAGCAAGTCGAAGCTCCTGACTTGTTTGAATGGGATCACGGAATAGCTCTGCATGCACTGCAGGGGAATGGGGCCTCATCTCGCCTCTAGGGGGAAGTCTCATGGTTTTTCTCGAGTTGCGGCGGGGACCTGGGGTATGTTCTCGACTTACGGCGGGGATGGCCCTTCAAAACACGAGTTTCTTCAGTGACGTCAGGACTCCTGTCTAGTAACGAGGGACACCTCAGGAATCTCTTCGAGGCTTGGCAGGGCCAAAGGGACGCTTCTCGAGGTGAGGCAGGGCACCCAAGGACCCTTTCCAGTAGCCACAGGGATTTTGGGATTCCTATCAGTATTCAAGAGGAGTCAGGCATCGTCACCTTTTGAAGCAATGAACTCCGCGTGCCTCTCGAGGTGTCAGCGGGATGTGAGGCATTCCGTCAAAATGAGGCAGGGACCTAGGGCTTTCTCTAAGGTCTCCACAGGGGATTCAGACATCCCTTCATGTTGTGAGATGAAAGACGAGCCTGTATTCAAGCCACTGCAAGGAAATCCGGCCTCCTTTCAAGTGAGGGCTTCTCGCTGTATATTCCCCTTGAGGCAGCAAACTCGGGGTCCCTCCCACATACCTATTGCTGAGAGAAGCCTCCTCCTGAGGTGCTTCTGGGAAGTTGGCATACGTCTTGAGCCTAAGCCAGGGAATCAGCTCGCATCTCGAGACGATTTGGGGTACACGGAGCATTCCTCGAGTTGCTGTGCTGAAGTTGGTGTTCCTCTAGACTTGGGACAGTGTTCTCGGGGCGTCTCTGGAGTTGCCTGAAGGAAGTCGAGCCACCGGTCGTGTTGAATGGGGAACGGGGAATGGCTCTGGAGTCAATGCAGGGGAATCGGGCCTCATCTCGAGTTGATTTGGGGCACATGGAGCTGCTTTGCGTTGCTGGGGTGACCTCAGGGTCCGTCTAGACTGGTGACAGTGTTCTTGGGGACTGTCTCGAGATCCATTAAGCAAGTTGAAGCTCCTGACTTGTTTGAATGGGATCACGGAATAGCTCTGCATGCACTGCAGGGGAATGGGGCCTCATCTCGCCTCTAGGGGGAAGTCTCATGGTTTTTCTCGAGTTGAGGCGGGGACCTGGGGTATGTTCTCGACTTACGGCGGGGATGGCCCTTCAAAACACGAGTTTCTTCAGTGACGTCAGGACTCCTGTCTAGTAACGAGGGACACCTCAGGAATCTCTTCGAGGCTTGGCAGGGCCAAAGGGACGCTTCTCGAGGTGAGGCAGGGCACCCAAGGACCCTTTCCATTAGCCACAGGGATTTTGGGATTCCTATCAGTATTCAAGAGGAGTCAGGCATCGTCACCTTTTGAAGCAATGAACTCCGCGTGCCTCTCGAGGTGTCAGCGGGATGTGAGGCATTCCGTCAAAATGAGGCAGGGACCTAGGGCTTTCTCTAAGGTCTCCACAGGGGATTCAGACATCCCTTCATGTTGTGAGATGAAAGACGAGCCTGTATTCAAGCCACTGCAAGGAAATCCGGCCTCCTTTCAAGTGAGGGCTTCTCGCTGTATATTCCCCTTGAGGCAGCAAACTCGGGGTCCCTCCCACATACCTATTGCTGAGAGAAGCCTCCTCCTGAGGTGCTTCTGGGAAGTTGGCATACGTCTTGAGCCTAAGCCAGGGAATCAGCTCGCATCTCGAGACGATTTGGGGTACACGGAGCATTCCTCGAGTTGCTGTGCTGAAGTTGGTGTTCCTCTAGACTTGGGACAGTGTTCTCGGGGCATCTCTGGAGTTGCCTGAAGGAAGTCGAGCCACCGGTCGTGTTGAATGGGGAACGGGGAATGGCTCTGGAGTCAATGCAGGGGAATCGGGCCTCATCTCGAGTTGATTTGGGGCACATGGAGCTGCTTTGCGTTGCTGGGGTGACCTCAGGGTCCGTCTAGACTGGTGACAGTGTTCTTGGGGACTGTCTCGAGATCCATTAAGCAAGTCGAAGCTCCTGACTTGTTTGAATGGGATCACGGAATAGCTCTGCATGCACTGCAGGGGAATGGGGCCTCATCTCGCCTCTAGGGGGAAGTCTCATGGTTTTTCTCGAGTTGCGGCGGGGACCTGGGGGATGTTCTCGACTTACGGCGGGGATGGCCCTTCAAAACACGAGTTTCTTCAGTGACGTCAGGACTCCTGTCTAGTAACGAGGGACACCTCAGGAATCTCTTCGAGGCTTGGCAGGGCCAAAGGGACGCTTCTCGAGGTGAGGCAGGGCACCCAAGGACACTTTCCAGTAGCCACAGGGATTTTGGGATTCCTATCAGTATTCAAGAGGAGTCAGGCATCGTCACCTTTTGAAGCAATGAACTCCGCGTGCCTCTCGAGGTGTCAGCGGGATGTGAGGCATTCCGTCAAAATGAGGCAGGGACCTAGGGCTTTCTCTAAGGTCTCCACAGGGGATTCAGACATCCCTTCATGTTGTGAGATGATAGACGAGCCTGTATTCAAGCCACTGCAAGGAAATCCGGCCTCCTTTCAAGTTAGGGCTTCTCGCTGTATATTCCCCTTGAGGCAGCAAACTCGGGGTCCCTCCCACATACCTATTGCTGAGAGAAGCCTCCTCCTGAGGTGCTTCTGGGAAGTTGGCATACGTCTTGAGCCTAAGCCAGGGAATCAGCTCGCATCTCGAGACGATTTGGGGTACACGGAGCATTCCTCGAGTTGCTGTGCTGAAGTTGGTGTTCCTCTAGACTTCGGACAGTGTTCTTGGGGCATCTCTGGAGTTGCCTGAAGGAAGTCGAGCCACCGGTCGTGTTGAATGGGGAACGGGGAATGGCTCTGGAGTCAATGCAGGGGAATCGGGCCTCATCTCGAGTTGATTTGGGGCACATGGAGCTGCTTTGCGTTGCTGGGGTGACCTCAGGGTCCGTCTAGACTGGTGACAGTGTTCTTGGGGACTGTCTCGAGATCCATTAAGCAAGTCGAAGCTCCTGACTTGTTTGAATGGGATCACGGAATAGCTCTGCATGCACTGCAGGGGAATGGGGCCTCATCTCGCCTCTAGGGGGAAGTCTCATGGTTTTTCTCGAGTTGCGGCGGGGACCTGGGGGATGTTCTCGACTTACGGCGGGGATGGCCCTTCAAAACACGAGTTTCTTCAGTGACGTCAGGACTCCTGTCTAGTAACGAGGGACACCTCAGGAATCTCTTCGAGGCTTGGCAGGGCCAAAGGGACGCTTCTCGAGGTGAGGCAGGGCACCCAAGGACACTTTCCAGTAGCCACAGGGATTTTGGGATTCCTATCAGTATTCAAGAGTAGTCAGGCATCGTCACCTTTTGAAGCAATGAACTCCGCGTGCCTCTCGAGGTGTCAGCGGGATGTGAGGCATTCCGTCAAAATGAGGCAGGGACCTAGGGCTTTCTCTAAGGTCTCCACAGGGGATTCAGACATCCCTTCATGTTGTGAGATGAAAGACGAGCCTGTATTCAAGCCACTGCAAGGAAATCCGGCCTCCTTTCAAGTGAGGGCTTCTCGCTGTATATTCCCCTTGAGGCAGCAAACTCGGGGTCCCTCCCACATACCTATTGCTGAGAGAAGCCTCCTCCTGAGGTGCTTCTGGGAAGTTGGCATACGTCTTGAGCCTAAGCCAGGGAATCAGCTCGCATCTCGAGACGATTTGGGGTACACGGAGCATTCCTCGAGTTGCTGTGCTGAAGTTGGTGTTCCTCTAGACTTGGGACAGTGTTCTCGGGGCATCTCTGGAGTTGCCTGAAGGAAGTCGAGCCACCGGTCGTGTTGAATGGGGAACGGGGAATGGCTCTGGAGTCAATGCAGGGGAATCGGGCCTCATCTCGAGTTGATTTGGGGCACATGGAGCTGCTTTGCGTTGCTGGGGTGACCTCAGGGTCCGTCTAGACTGGTGACAGTGTTCTTGGGGACTGTCTCGAGATCCATTAAGCAAGTCGAAGCTCCTGACTTGTTTGAATGGGATCACGGAATAGCTCTGCATGCACTGCAGGGGAATGGGGCCTCATCTCGCCTCTAGGGGGAAGTCTCATGGTTTTTCTCGAGTTGCGGCGGGGACCTGGGGGATGTTCTCGACTTACGGCGGGGATGGCCCTTCAAAACACGAGTTTCTTCAGTGACGTCAGGACTCCTGTCTAGTAACGAGGGACACCTCAGGAATCTCTTCGAGGCTTGGCAGGGCCAAAGGGACGCTTCTCGAGGTGAGGCAGGGCACCCAAGGACCCTTTCCAGTAGCCACAGGGATTTTGGGATTCCTATCAGTATTCAAGAGGAGTCAGGCATCGTCACCTTTTGAAGCAATGAACTCCGCGTGCCTCTCGAGGTGTCAGCGGGATGTGAGGCATTCCGTCAAAATGAGGCAGGGACCTAGGGCTTTCTCTAAGGTCTCCACAGGGGATTCAGACATCCCTTCATGTTGTGAGATGAAAGACGAGCCTGTATTCAAGCCACTGCAAGGAAATCCGGCCTCCTTTCAAGTGAGGGCTTCTCGCTGTATATTCCCCTTGAGGCAGCAAACTCGGGGTCCCTCCCACATACCTATTGCTGAGAGAAGCCTCCTCCTGATGTGCTTCTGGGAAGTTGGCATACGTCTTGAGCCTAAGCCAGGGAATCAGCTCGCATCTCGAGACGATTTGGGGTACACGGAGCATTCCTCGAGTTGCTGTGCTGAAGTTGGTGTTCCTCTAGACTTGGGACAGTGTTCTCGGGGCATCTCTGGAGTTGCCTGAAGGAAGTCGAGCCACCGGTCGTGTTGAATGGGGAACGGGGAATGGCTCTGGAGTCAATGCAGGGGAATCGGGCCTCATCTCGAGTTGATTTGGGGCACATGGAGCTGCTTTGCGTTGCTGGGGTGACCTCAGGGTCCGTCTAGACTGGTGACAGTGTTCTTGGGGACTGTCTCGAGATCCATTAAGCAAGTCGAAGCTCCTGACTTGTTTGAATGGGATCACGGAATAGCTCTGCATGCACTGCAGGGGAATGGGGCCTCATCTCGCCTCTAGGGGGAAGTCTCATGGTTTTTCTCGAGTTGCGGCGGGGACCTGGGGGATGTTCTCGACTTACGGCGGGGATGGCCCTTCAAAACACGAGTTTCTTCAGTGACGTCAGGACTCCTGTCTAGTAACGAGGGACACCTCAGGAATCTCTTCGAGGCTTGGCAGGGCCAAAGGGACGCTTCTCGAGGTGAGGCAGGGCACCCAAGGACCCTTTCCAGTAGCCACAGGGATTTTGGGATTCCTATCAGTATTCAAGAGGAGTCAGGCATCGTCACCTTTTGAAGCAATGAACTCCGCGTGCCTCTCGAGGTGTCAGCGGGATGTGAGGCATTCCGTCAAAATGAGGCAGGGACCTAGGGCTTTCTCTAAGGTCTCCACAGGGGATTCAGACATCCCTTCATGTTGTGAGATGAAAGACGAGCCTGTATTCAAGCCACTGCAAGGAAATCCGGCCTCCTTTCAAGTGAGGGCTTCTCGCTGTATATTCCCCTTGAGGCAGCAAACTCGGGGTCCCTCCCACATACCTATTGCTGAGAGAAGCCTCCTCCTGAGGTGCTTCTGGGAAGTTGGCATACGTCTTGAGCCTAAGCCAGGGAATCAGCTCGCATCTCGAGACGATTTGGGGTACACGGAGCATTCCTCGAGTTGCTGTGCTGAAGTTGGTGTTCCTCTAGACTTGGGACAGTGTTCTCGGGGCGTCTCTGGAGTTGCCTGAAGGAAGTCGAGCCACCGGTCATGTTGAATGGGGAACGGGGAATGGCTCTGGAGTCAATGCAGGGGAATCGGGCCTCATCTCGAGTTGATTTGGGGCACATGGAGCTGCTTTGCGTTGCTGGGGTGACCTCAGGGTCCGTCTAGACTGGTGACAGTGTTCTTGGGGACTGTCTCGAGATCCATTAAGCAAGTCGAAGCTCCTGACTTGTTTGAATGGGATCACGGAATAGCTCTGCATGCACTGCAGGGGAATGGGGCCTCATCTCGCCTCGAGGGGGAAGTCTCATGGTTTTTCTCGAGTTGCGGCGGGGACCTGGGGTATGTTCTCGACTTACGGCGGGGATGGCCCTTCAAAACACGAGTTTCTTCAGTGACGTCAGGACTCCTGTCTAGTAACGAGGGACACCTCAGGAATCTCTTCGAGGCTTGGCAGGGCCAAAGGGACGCTTCTCGAGGTGAGGCAGGGCACCCAAGGACCCTTTCCATTAGCCACAGGGATTTTGGGATTCCTATCAGTATTCAAGAGGAGTCAGGCATCGTCACCTTTTGAAGCAATGAACTCCGCGTGCCTCTCGAGGTGTCAGCGGGATGTGAGGCATTCCGTCAAAATGAGGCAGGGACCTAGGGCTTTCTCTAAGGTCTCCACAGGGGATTCAGACATCCCTTCATGTTGTGAGATGAAAGACGAGCCTGTATGCAAGCCACTGCAAGGAAATCCGGCCTCCTTTCAAGTTAGGGCTTCTCGCTGTATATTCCCCTTGAGGCAGCAAACTCGGGGTCCCTCCCACATACCTATTGCTGAGAGAAGCCTCCTCCTGAGGTGCTTCTGGGAAGTTGGCATACGTCTTGAGCCTAAGCCAGGGAATCAGCTCGCATCTCGAGACGATTTGGGGTACACGGAGCATTCCTCGAGTTGCTGTGCTGAAGTTGGTGTTCCTCTAGACTTGGGACAGTGTTCTCGGGGCATCTCAGGAGTTGCCTGAAGGAAGTCGAGCCACCGGTCGTGTTGAATGGGGAACGGGGAATGGCTCTGGAGTCAATGCAGGGGAATCGGGCCTCATCTCGAGTTGATTTGGGGCACATGGAGCTACTTTGCGTTGCTGGGGTGACCTCAGGGTCCGTCTAGACTGGTGACAGTGTTCTTGGGGACTGTCTCGAGATCCATTAAGCAAGTCGAAGCTCCTGACTTGTTTGAATGGGATCACGGAATAGCTCTGCATGCACTGCAGGGGAATGGGGCCTCATCTCGCCTCTAGGGGGAAGTCTCATGGTTTTTCTCGAGTTGCGGCGGGGACCTGGGGTATGTTCTCGACTTACGGCGGGGATGGCCCTTCAAAACACGAGTTTCTTCAGTGACGTCAGGACTCCTGTCTAGTAACGAGGGACACCTCAGGAATCTCTTCGAGGCTTGGCAGGGCCAAAGGGACGCTTCTCGAGGTGAGGCAGGGCACCCAAGCGCCCTTTCCAGTAGCCACAGGGATTTTGGGATTCCTATCAGTATTCAAGAGGAGTCAGGCATCGTCACCTTTTGAAGCAATGAACTCCGCGTGCCTCTCGAGGTGTCAGCGGGATGTGAGGCATTCCGTCAAAATGAGGCAGGGACCTAGGGCTTTCTCTAAGGTCTCCACAGGGGATTCAGACATCCCTTCATGTTGTGAGATGAAAGACGAGCCTGTATTCAAGCCACTGCAAGGAAATCCGGCCTCCTTTCAAGTGAGGGCTTCTCGCTGTATATTCCCCTTGAGGCAGCAAACTCGGGGTCCCTCCCACATACCTATTGCTGAGAGAAGCCTCCTCCTGAGGTGCTTCTGGGAAGTTGGCATACGTCTTGAGCCTAAGCCAGGGAATCAGCTCGCATCTCGAGACGATTTGGGGTACACGGAGCATTCCTCGAGTTGCTGTGCTGAAGTTGGTGTTCCTCTAGACTTGGGACAGTGTTCTCGGGGCATCTCTGGAGTTGCCTGAAGGAAGTCGAGCCACCGGTCGTGTTGAATGGGGAACGGGGAATGGCTCTGGAGTCAATGCAGGGGAATCGGGCCTCATCTCGAGTTGATTTGGGGCACATGGAGCTGCTTTGCGTTGCTGGGGTGACCTCAGGGTCCGTCTAGACTGGTGACAGTGTTCTTGGGGACTGTCTCGAGATCCATTAAGCAAGTCGAAGCTCCTGACTTGTTTGAATGGGATCACGGAATAGCTCTGCATGCACTGCAGGGGAATGGGGCCTCATCTCGCCTCTAGGGGGAAGTCTCATGGTTTTTCTCCAGTTGCGGCGGGGACCTGGGGGATGTTCTCGACTTACGGCGGGGATGGCCCTTCAAAACACGAGTTTCTTCAGTGACGTCAGGACTCCTGTCTAGTAACGAGGGACACCTCAGGAATCTCTTCGAGGCTTGGCAGGGCCAAAGGGACGCTTCTCGAGGTGAGGCAGGGCACCCAAGGACCCTTTCCAGTAGCCACAGGGATTTTGGGATTCCTATCAGTATTCAAGAGGAGTCAGGCATCGTCACCTTTTGAAGCAATGAACTCCGCGTGCCTCTCGAGGTGTCAGCGGGATGTGAGGCATTCCGTCAAAATGAGGCAGGGACCTAGGGCTTTCTCTAAGGTCTCCACAGGGGATTCAGACATCCCTTCATGTTGTGAGATGAAAGACGAGCCTGTATTCAAGCCACTGCAAGGAAATCCGGCCTCCTTTCAAGTTAGGGCTTCTCGCTGTATATTCCCCTTGAGGCAGCAAACTCGGGGTCCCTCCCACATACCTATTGCTGAGAGAAGCCTCCTCCTGAGGTGCTTCTGGGAAGTTGGCATACGTCTTGAGCCTAAGCCAGGGAATCAGCTCGCATCTCGAGACGATTTGGGGTACACGGAGCATTCCTCGAGTTGCTGTGCTGAAGTTGGTGTTCCTCTAGACTTGGGACAGTGTTCTCGGGGCATCTCTGGAGTTGCCTGAAGGAAGTCGAGCCACCGGTCGTGTTGAATGGGGAACGGGGAATGGCTCTGGAGTCAATGCAGGGGAATCGGGCCTCATCTCGAGTTGATTTGGGGCACATGGAGCTGCTTTGCGTTGCTGGGGTGACCTCAGGGTCCGTCTAGACTGGTGACAGTGTTCTTGGGGACTGTCTCGAGATCCATTAAGCAAGTCGAAGCTCCTGACTTGTTTGAATGGGATCACGGAATAGCTCTGCATGCACTGCAGGGGAATGGGGCCTCATCTCGCCTCTAGGGGGAAGTCTCATGGTTTTTCTCGAGTTGCGGCGGGGACCTGGGGGATGTTCTCGACTTACGGCGGGGATGGCCCTTCAAAACACGAGTTTCTTCAGTGACGTCAGGACTCCTGTCTAGTAACGAGGGACACCTCAGGAATCTCTTCGAGGCTTGGCAGGGCCAAAGGGACGCTTCTCGAGGTGAGGCAGGGCACCCAAGGACCCTTTCCAGTAGCCTCAGGGATTTTAGGATTCCTATCAGTATTCAAGAGGAGTCAGGCATCGTCACCTTGTGAAGCAATGAACTCCGCGTGCCTCTCGAGGTGTCAGCGGGATGTGAGGCATTCCGTCAAAATGAGGCAGGGACCTAGGGCTTTCTCTAAGGTCTCCACAGGGGATTCAGACATCCCTTCATGTTGTGAGATGAAAGACGAGCCTGTATTCAAGCCACTGCAAGGAAATCCGGCCTCCTTTCAAGTGAGGGCTTCTCGCTGTATATTCCCCTTGAGGCAGCAAACTCGGGGTCCCTCCCACATACCTATTGCTGAGAGAAGCCTCCTCCTGAGGTGCTTCTGGGAAGTTGGCATACGTCTTGAGCCTAAGCCAGGGAATCAGCTCGCATCTCGAGACGATTTGGGGTACACGGAGCATTCCTCGAGTTGCTGTGCTGAAGTTGGTGTTCCTCTAGACTTGGGACAGTGTTCTCGGGGCATCTCTGGAGTTGCCTGAAGGAAGTCGAGCCACCGGTCGTGTTGAATGGGGAACGGGGAATGGCTCTGGAGTCAATGCAGGGGAATCGGGCCTCATCTCGAGTTGATTTGGGGCACATGGAGCTGCTTTGCGTTGCTGGGTTGACCTCAGGGTCCGTCTAGACTGGTGACAGTGTTCTTGGGGACTGTCTCGAGATCCATTAAGCAAGTCGAAGCTCCTGACTTGTTTGAATGGGATCACGGAATAGCTCTGCATGCACTGCAGGGGAATGGGGCCTCATCTCGCCTCTAGGGGGAAGTCTCATGGTTTTTCTCGAGTTGCGGCGGGGACCTGGGGTATGTTCTCGACTTACGGCGGGGATGGCCCTTCAAAACACGAGTTTCTTCAGTGACGTCAGGACTCCTGTCTAGTAACGAGGGACACCTCAGGAATCTCTTCGAGGCTTGGCAGGGCCAAAGGGACGCTTCTCGAGGTGAGGCAGGGCACCCAAGGACCCTTTCCAGTAGCCACAGGGATTTTGGGATTCCTATCAGTATTCAAGAGGAGTCAGGCATCGTCACCTTTTGAAGCAATGAACTCCGCGTGCCTCTCGAGGTGTCAGCGGGATGTGAGGCATTCCGTCAAAATGAGGCAGGGACCTAGGGCTTTCTCTAAGGTCTCCACAGGGGATTCAGACATCCCTTCATGTTGTGAGATGAAAGACGAGCCTGTATTCAAGCCACTGCAAGGAAATCCGGCCTCCTTTCAAGTTAGGGCTTCTCGCTGTATATTCCCCTTGAGGCAGCAAACTCGGGGTCCCTCCCACATACCTATTGCTGAGAGAAGCCTCCTCCTGAGGTGCTTCTGGGAAGTTGGCATACGTCTTGAGCCTAAGCCAGGGAATCAGCTCGCATCTCGAGACGATTTGGGGTACACGGAGCATTCCTCGAGTTGCTGTGCTGAAGTTGGTGTTCCTCTAGACTTGGGACAGTGTTCTCGGGGCATCTCTGGAGTTGCCTGAAGGAAGTCGAGCCACCGGTCGTGTTGAATGGGGAACGGGGAATGGCTCTGGAGTCAATGCAGGGGAATCGGGCCTCATCTCGAGTTGATTTGGGGCACATGGAGCTGCTTTGCGTTGCTGGGGTGACCTCAGGGTCCGTCTAGACTGGTGACAGTGTTCTTGGGGACTGTCTCGAGATCCATTAAGCAAGTCGAAGCTCCTGACTTGTTTGAATGGGATCACGGAATAGCTCTGCATGCACTGCAGGGGAATGGGGCCTCATCTCGCCTCTAGGGGGAAGTCTCATGGTTTTTCTCGAGTTGCGGCGGGGACCTGGGGTATGTTCTCGACTTACGGCGGGGATGGCCCTTCAAAACACGAGTTTCTTCAGTGACGTCAGGACTCCTGTCTAGTAACGAGGGACACCTCAGGAATCTCTTCGAGGCTTGGCAGGGCCAAAGGGATGCTTCTCGAGGTGAGGCAGGGCACCCAAGGACCCTTTCCAGTAGCCACAGGGATTTTGGGATTCCTATCAGTATTCAAGAGGAGTCAGGCATCGTCACCTTTTGAAGCAATGAACTCCGCGTGCCTCTCGAGGTGTCAGCGGGATGTGAGGCATTCCGTCAAAATGAGGCAGGGACCTAGGGCTTTCTCTAAGGTCTCCACAGGGGATTCAGACATCCCTTCATGTTGTGAGATGAAAGACGAGCCTGTATTCAAGCCACTGCAAGGAAATCCGGCCTCCTTTCAAGTGAGGGCTTCTCGCTGTATATTCCCCTTGAGGCAGCAAACTCGGGGTCCCTCCCACATACCTATTGCTGAGAGAAGCCTCCTCCTGAGGTGCTTCTGGGAAGTTGGCATACGTCTTGAGCCTAAGCCAGGGAATCAGCTCATATCTCGAGACGATTTGGGGTACACGGAGCATTCCTCGAGTTGCTGTGCTGAAGTTGGTGTTCCTCTAGACTTGGGACAGTGTTCTCGGGGCATCTCTGGAGTTGCCTGAAGGAAGTCGAGCCACCGGTCGTGTTGAATGGGGAACGGGGAATGGCTCTGGAGTCAATGAAGGGGAATCGGGCCTCATCTCGAGTTGATTTGGGGCACATGGAGCTGCTTTGCGTTGCTGGGGTGACCTCAGGGTCCGTCTAGACTGGTGACAGTGTTCTTGGGGACTGTCTCGAGATCCATTAAGCAAGTCGAAGCTCCTGACTTGTTTGAATGGGATCACGGAATAGCTCTGCATGCACTGCAGGGGAATGGGGCCTCATCTCGCCTCTAGGGGGAAGTCTCATGGTTTTTCTCGAGTTGCGGCGGGGACCTGGGGTATGTTCTCGACTTACGGCGGGGATGGCCCTTCAAAACACGAGTTTCTTCAGTGACGTCAGGACTCCTGTCTAGTAACGAGGGACACCTCAGGAATCTCTTCGAGGCTTGGCAGGGCCAAAGGGACGCTTCTCGAGGTGAGGCAGGGCACCCAAGGACCCTTTCCAGTAGCCACAGGGATTTTGGGATTCCTATCAGTATTCAAGAGGAGTCAGGCATCGTCACCTTTTGAAGCAATGAACTCCGCGTGCCTCTCGAGGTGTCAGCGGGATGTGAGGCATTCCGTCAAAATGAGGCAGGGACCTAGGGCTTTCTCTAAGGTCTCCACAGGGGATTCAGACATCCCTTCATGTTGTGAGATGAAAGACGAGCCTGTATTCAAGCCACTGCAAGGAAATCCGGCCTCCTTTCAAGTTAGGGCTTCTCGCTGTATATTCCCCTTGAGGCAGCAAACTCGGGGTCCCTCCCACATACCTATTGCTGAGAGAAGCCTCCTCCTGAGGTGCTTCTGGGAAGTTGGCATACGTCTTGAGCCTAAGCCAGGGAATCAGCTCGCATCTCGAGACGATTTGGGGTACACGGAGCATTCCTCGAGTTGCTCTGCTGAAGTTGGTGTTCCTCTAGACTTGGGACAGTGTTCTCGGGGCGTCTCTGGAGTTGCCTGAAGGAAGTCGAGCCACCGGTCGTGTTGAATGGGGAACGGGGAATGGCTCTGGAGTCAATGCAGGGGAATCGGGCCTCATCTCGAGTTGATTTGGGGCACATGGAGCTGCTTTGCTTTGCTGGGGTGACCTCAGGGTCCGTCTAGACTGGTGACAGTGTTCTTGGGGACTGTCTCGAGATCCATTAAGCAAGTCGAAGCTCCTGACTTCTTTGAATGGGATCACGGAATAGCTCTGCATGCACTGCAGGGGAATGGGGCCTCATCTCGCCTCTAGGGGGAAGTCTCATGGTTTTTCTCGAGTTGCGGCGGGGACCTGGGGTATGTTCTCGACTTACGGCGGGGATGGCCCTTCAAAACACGAGTTTCTTCAGTGACGTCAGGACTCCTGTCTAGTAACGAGGGACACCTCAGGAATCTCTTCGAGGCTTGGCAGGGCCAAAGGGACGCTTCTCGAGGTGAGGCAGGGCACCCAAGGACCCTTTCCAGTAGCCACAGGGATTTTGGGATTCCTATCAGTATTCAAGAGGAGTCAGGCATCGTCACCTTTTGAAGCAATGAACTCCGCGTGCCTCTCGAGGTGTCAGCGGGATGTGAGGCATTCCGTCAAAATGAGGCAGGGACCTAGGGCTTTCTCTAAGGTCTCCACAGGGGATTCAGACATCCCTTCATGTTGTGAGATGAAAGACGAGCCTGTATTCAAGCCACTGCAAGGAAATCCGGCCTCCTTTCAAGTTAGGGCTTCTCGCTGTATATTCCCCTTGAGGCAGCAAACTCGGGGTCCCTCCCACATACCTATTGCTGAGAGAAGCCTCCTCCTGAGGTGCTTCTGGGAAGTTGGCATACGTCTTGAGCCTAAGCCAGGGAATCAGCTCGCATCTCGAGACGATTTGGGGTACACGGAGCATTCCTCGAGTTGCTGTGCTGAAGTAGGTGTTCCTCTAGACTTGGGACAGTGTTCTCGGGGCGTCTCTGGAGTTGCCTGAAGGAAGTCGAGCCACCGGTCGTGTTGAATGGGGAACGGGGAATGGCTCTGGAGTCAATGCAGGGGAATCGGGCCTCATCTCGAGTTGATTTGGGGCACATGGAGCTGCTTTGCGTTGCTGGGGTGACCTCAGGGTCCGTCTAGACTGGTGACAGTGTTCTTGGGGACTGTCTCGAGATCCATTAAGCAAGTCGAAGCTCCTGACTTGTTTGAATGGGATCACGGAATAGCTCTGCATGCACTGCAGGGGAATGGGGCCTCATCTCGCCTCTAGGGGGAAGTCTCATGGTTTTTCTCGAGTTGCGGCGGGGACCTGGGGTATGTTCTCGACTTACGGCGGGGATGGCCCTTCAAAACACGAGTTTCTTCAGTGACGTCAGGACTCCTGTCTAGTAACGAGGGACACCTCAGGAATCTCTTCGAGGCTTGGCAGGGCCAAAGGGACGCTTCTCGAGGTGAGGCAGGGCACCCAAGGACCCTTTCCAGTAGCCACAGGGATTTTGGGATTCCTATCAGTATTCAAGAGGAGTCAGGCATCGTCACCTTTTGAAGCAATGAACTCCGCGTGCCTCTCGAGGTGTCAGCGGGATGTGAGGCATTCCGTCAAAATGAGGCAGGGACCTAGGGCTTTCTCTAAGGTCTCCACAGGGGATTCAGACATCCCTTCATGTTGTGAGATGAAAGACGAGCCTGTATTCAAGCCACTGCAAGGAAATCCGGCCTCCTTTCAAGTGAGGGCTTCTCGCTGTATATTCCCCTTGAGGCAGCAAACTCGGGGTCCCTCCCACATACCTATTGCTGAGAGAAGCCTCCTCCTGAGGTGCTTCTGGGAAGTTGGCATACGTCTTGAGCCTAAGCCAGGGAATCAGCTCGCATCTCGAGACGATTTGGGGTACACGGAGCATTCCTCGAGTTGCTGTGCTGAAGTTGGTGTTCCTCTAGACTTGGGACAGTGTTCTCGGGGCATCTCTGGAGTTGCCTGAAGGAAGTCGAGCCACCGGTCGTGTTGAATGGGGAACGGGGAATGGCTCTGGAGTCAATGCAGGGGAATCGGGCCTCATCTCGAGTTGATTTGGGGCACATGGAGCTGCTTTGCGTTGCTGGGGTGACCTCAGGGTCCGTCTAGACTGGTGACAGTGTTCTTGGGGACTGTCTCGAGATCCATTAAGCAAGTCGAAGCTCCTGACTTGTTTGAATGGGATCACGGAATAGCTCTGCATGCACTGCAGGGGAATGGGGCCTCATCTCGCCTCTAGGGGGAAGTCTCATGGTTTTTCTCGAGTTGCGGCGGGGACCTGGGGGATGTTCTCGACTTACGGCGGGGATGGCCCTTCAAAACACGAGTTTCTTCAGTGACGTCAGGACTCCTGTCTAGTAACGAGGGACACCTCAGGAATCTCTTCGAGGCTTGGCAGGGCCAAAGGGACGCTTCTCGAGGTGAGGCAGGGCACCCAAGGACCCTTTCCAGTAGCCACAGGGATTTTGGGATTCCTATCAGTATTCAAGAGGAGTCAGGCATCGTCACCTTTTGAAGCAATGAACTCCGCGTGCCTCTCGAGGTGTCAGCGGGATGTGAGGCATTCCGTCAAAATGAGGCAGGGACCTAGGGCTTTCTCTAAGGTCTCCACAGGGGATTCAGACATCCCTTCATGTTGTGAGATGAAAGACGAGCCTGTATTCAAGCCACTGCAAGGAAATCCGGCCTCCTTTCAAGTGAGGGCTTCTCGCTGTATATTCCCCTTGAGGCAGCAAACTCGGGGTCCCTCCCACATACCTATTGCTGAGAGAAGCCTCCTCCTGAGGTGCTTCTGGGAAGTTGGCATACGTCTTGAGCCTAAGCCAGGGAATCAGCTCGCATCTCGAGACGATTTGGGGTACACGGAGCATTCCTCGAGTTGCTCTGCTGAAGTTGGTGTTCCTCTAGACTTGGGACAGTGTTCTCGGGGCGTCTCTGGAGTTGCCTGAAGGAAGTCGAGCCACCGGTCGTGTTGAATGGGGAACGGGGAATGGCTCTGGAGTCAATGCAGGGGAATCGGGCCTCATCTCGAGTTGATTTGGGGCACATGGAGCTGCTTTGCTTTGCTGGGGTGACCTCAGGGTCCGTCTAGACTGGTGACAGTGTTCTTGGGGACTGTCTCGAGATCCATTAAGCAAGTCGAAGCTCCTGACTTCTTTGAATGGGATCACGGAATAGCTCTGCATGCACTGCAGGGGAATGGGGCCTCATCTCGCCTCTAGGGGGAAGTCTCATGGTTTTTCTCGAGTTGCGGCGGGGACCTGGGGTATGTTCTCGACTTACGGCGGGGATGGCCCTTCAAAACACGAGTTTCTTCAGTGACGTCAGGACTCCTGTCTAGTAACGAGGGACACCTCAGGAATCTCTTCGAGGCTTGGCAGGGCCAAAGGGACGCTTCTCGAGGTGAGGCAGGGCACCCAAGGACCCTTTCCAGTAGCCACAGGGATTTTGGGATTCCTATCAGTATTCAAGAGGAGTCAGGCATCGTCACCTTTTGAAGCAATGAACTCCGCGTGCCTCTCGAGGTGTCAGCGGGATGTGAGGCATTCCGTCAAAATGAGGCAGGGACCTAGGGCTTTCTCTAAGGTCTCCACAGGGGATTCAGACATCCCTTCATGTTGTGAGATGAAAGACGAGCCTGTATTCAAGCCACTGCAAGGAAATCCGGCCTCCTTTCAAGTTAGGGCTTCTCGCTGTATATTCCCCTTGAGGCAGCAAACTCGGGGTCCCTCCCACATACCTATTGCTGAGAGAAGCCTCCTCCTGAGGTGCTTCTGGGAAGTTGGCATACGTCTTGAGCCTAAGCCAGGGAATCAGCTCGCATCTCGAGACGATTTGGGGTACACGGAGCATTCCTCGAGTTGCTGTGCTGAAGTTGGTGTTCCTCTAGACTTGGGACAGTGTTCTCGGGGCGTCTCTGGAGTTGCCTGAAGGAAGTCGAGCCACCGGTCGTGTTGAATGGGGAACGGGGAATGGCTCTGGAGTCAATGCAGGGGAATCGGGCCTCATCTCGAGTTGATTTGGGGCACATGGAGCTGCTTTGCGTTGCTGGGGTGACCTCAGGGTCCGTCTAGACTGGTGACAGTGTTCTTGGGGACTGTCTCGAGATCCATTAAGCAAGTTGAAGCTCCTGACTTGTTTGAATGGGATCACGGAATAGCTCTGCATGCACTGCAGGGGAATGGGGCCTCATCTCGCCTCTAGGGGGAAGTCTCATGGTTTTTCTCGAGTTGCGGCGGGGACCTGGGGTATGTTCTCGACTTACGGCGGGGATGGCCCTTCAAAACACGAGTTTCTTCAGTGACGTCAGGACTCCTGTCTAGTAACGAGGGACACCTCAGGAATCTCTTCGAGGCTTGGCAGGGCCAAAGGGACGCTTCTCGAGGTGAGGCAGGGCACCCAAGGACCCTTTCCAGTAGCCACAGGGATTTTGGGATTCCTATCAGTATTCAAGAGGAGTCAGGCATCGTCACCTTTTGAAGCAATGAACTCCGCGTGCCTCTCGAGGTGTCAGCGGGATGTGAGGCATTCCGTCAAAATGAGGCAGGGACCTAGGGCTTTCTCTAAGGTCTCCACAGGGGATTCAGACATCCCTTCATGTTGTGAGATGAAAGACGAGCCTGTATTCAAGCCACTGCAAGGAAATCCGGCCTCCTTTCAAGTGAGGGCTTCTCGCTGTATATTCCCCTTGAGGCAGCAAACTCGGGGTCCCTCCCACATACCTATTGCTGAGAGAAGCCTCCTCCTGAGGTGCTTCTGGGAAGTTGGCATACGTCTTGAGCCTAAGCCAGGGAATCAGCTCACATCTCGAGACGATTTGGGGTACACGGAGCATTCCTCGAGTTGCTGTGCTGAAGTTGGTGTTCCTCTAGACTTGGGACAGTGTTCTCGGGGCATCTCTGGAGTTGCCTGAAGGAAGTCGAGCCACCGGTCGTGTTGAATGGGGAACGGGGAATGGCTCTGGAGTCAATGAAGGGGAATCGGGCCTCATCTCGAGTTGATTTGGGGCACATGGAGCTGCTTTGCGTTACTGGGGTGACCTCAGGGTCCGTCTAGACTGGTGACAGTGTTCTTGGGGACTGTCTCGAGATCCATTAAGCAAGTCGAAGCTCCTGACTTGTTTGAATGGGATCACGGAATAGCTCTGCATGCACTGCAGGGGAATGGGGCCTCATCTCGCCTCTAGGGGGAAGTCTCATGGTTTTTCTCGAGTTGCGGCGGGGACCTGGGGTATGTTCTCGACTTACGGCGGGGATGGCCCTTCAAAACACGAGTTTCTTCAGTGACGTCAGGACTCCTGTCTAGTAACGAGGGACACCTCAGGAATCTCTTCGAGGCTTGGCAGGGCCAAAGGGACGCTTCTCGAGGTGAGGCAGGGCACCCAAGGACCCTTTCCAGTAGCCACAGGGATTTTGGGATTCCTATCAGTATTCAAGAGGAGTCAGGCATCGTCACCTTTTGAAGCAATGAACTCCGCGTGCCTCTCGAGGTGTCAGCGGGATGTGAGGCATTCCGTCAAAATGAGGCAGGGACCTAGGGCTTTCTCTAAGGTCTCCACAGGGGATTCAGACATCCCTTCATGTTGTGAGATGAAAGACGAGCCTGTATTCAAGCCACTGCAAGGAAATCCGGCCTCCTTTCAAGTTAGGGCTTCTCGCTGTATATTCCCCTTGAGGCAGCAAACTCGGGGTCCCTCCCACATACCTATTGCTGAGAGAAGCCTCCTCCTGAGGTGCTTCTGGGAAGTTGGCATACGTCTTGAGCCTAAGCCAGGGAATCAGCTCGCATCTCGAGACGATTTGGGGTACACGGAGCATTCCTCGAGTTGCTGTGCTGAAGTTGGTGTTCCTCTAGACTTGGGACAGTGTTCTCGGGGCGTCTCTGGAGTTGCCTGAAGGAAGTCGAGCCACCGGTCGTGTTGAATGGGGAACGGGGAATGGCTCTGGAGTCAATGCAGGGGAATCGGGCCTCATCTCGAGTTGATTTGGGGCACATGGAGCTGCTTTGCGTTGCTGGGGTGACCTCAGGGTCCGTCTAGACTGGTGACAGTGTTCTTGGGGACTGTCTCGAGATCCATTAAGCAAGTTGAAGCTCCTGACTTGTTTGAATGGGATCACGGAATAGCTCTGCATGCACTGCAGGGGAATGGGGCCTCATCTCGCCTCTAGGGGGAAGTCTCATGGTTTTTCTCGAGTTGCGGCGGGGACCTGGGGTATGTTCTCGACTTACGGCGGGGATGGCCCTTCAAAACACGAGTTTCTTCAGTGACGTCAGGACTCCTGTCTAGTAACGAGGGACACCTCAGGAATCTCTTCGAGGCTTGGCAGGGCCAAAGGGACGCTTCTCGAGGTGAGGCAGGGCACCCAAGGACCCTTTCCAGTAGCCACAGGGATTTTGGGATTCCTATCAGTATTCAAGAGGAGTCAGGCATCGTCACCTTTTGAAGCAATGAACTCCGCGTGCCTCTCGAGGTGTCAGCGGGATGTGAGGCATTCCGTCAAAATGAGGCAGGGACCTAGGGCTTTCTCTAAGGTCTCCACAGGGGATTCAGACATCCCTTCATGTTGTGAGATGAAAGACGAGCCTGTATGCAAGCCACTGCAAGGAAATCCGGCCTCCTTTCAAGTTAGGGCTTCTCGCTGTATATTCCCCTTGAGGCAGCAAACTCGGGGTCCCTCCCACATACCTATTGCTGAGAGAAGCCTCCTCCTGAGGTGCTTCTGGGAAGTTGGCATACGTCTTGAGCCTAAGCCAGGGAATCAGCTCGCATCTCGAGACGATTTGGGGTACACGGAGCATTCCTCGAGTTGCTGTGCTGAAGTTGGTGTTCCTCTAGACTTGGGACAGTGTTCTCGGGGCATCTCTGGAGTTGCCTGAAGGAAGTCGAGCCACCGGTCGTGTTGAATGGGGAACGGGGAATGGCTCTGGAGTCAATGAAGGGGAATCGGGCCTCATCTCGAGTTGATTTGGGGCACATGGAGCTGCTTTGCGTTGCTGGGGTGACCTCAGGGTCCGTCTAGACTGGTGACAGTGTTCTTGGGGACTGTCTCGAGATCCATTAAGCAAGTCGAAGCTCCTGACTTGTTTGAATGGGGTCACGGAATAGCTCTGCATGCACTGCAGGGGAATGGGGCCTCATCTCGCCTCTAGGGGGAAGTCTCATGGTTTTTCTCGAGTTGCGGCGGGGACCTGGGGGATGTTCTCGACTTACGGCGGGGATGGCCCTTCAAAACACGAGTTTCTTCAGTGACGTCAGGACTCCTGTCTAGTAACGAGGGACACCTCAGGAATCTCTTCGAGGCTTGGCAGGGCCAAAGGGACGCTTCTCGAGGTGAGGCAGGGCACCCAAGGACCCTTTCCAGTAGCCACAGGGATTTTGGGATTCCTATCAGTATTCAAGAGGAGTCAGGCATCGTCACCTTTTGAAGCAATGAACTCCGCGTGCCTCTCGAGGTGTCAGCGGGATGTGAGGCATTCCGTCAAAATGAGGCAGGGACCTAGGGCTTTCTCTAAGGTCTCCACAGGGGATTCAGACATCCCTTCATGTTGTGAGATGAAAGACGAGCCTGTATTCAAGCCACTGCAAGGAAATCCGGCCTCCTTTCAAGTTAGGGCTTCTCGCTGTATATTCCCCTTGAGGCAGCAAACTCGGGGTCCCTCCCACATACCTATTGCTGAGAGAAGCCTCCTCCTGAGGTGCTTCTGGGAAGTTGGCATACGTCTTGAGCCTAAGCCAGGGAATCAGCTCGCATCTCGAGACGATTTGGGGTACACGGAGCATTCCTCGAGTTGCTGTGCTGAAGTTGGTGTTCCTCTAGACTTGGGACAGTGTTCTCGGGGCATCTCTGGAGTTGCCTGAAGGAAGTCGAGCCACCGGTCGTGTTGAATGGGGAACGGGGAATGGCTCTGGAGTCAATGCAGGGGAATCGGGCCTCATCTCGAGTTGATTTGGGGCACATGGAGCTGCTTTGCGTTGCTGGGTTGACCTCAGGGTCCGTCTAGACTGGTGACAGTGTTCTTGGGGACTGTCTCGAGATCCATTAAGCAAGTCGAAGCTCCTGACTTCTTTGAATGGGATCACGGAATAGCTCTGCATGCACTGCAGGGGAATGGGGCCTCATCTCGCCTCTAGGGGGAAGTCTCATGGTTTTTCTCGAGTTGCGGCGGGGACCTGGGGTATGTTCTCGACTTACGGCGGGGATGGCCCTTCAAAACACGAGTTTCTTCAGTGACGTCAGGACTCCTGTCTAGTAACGAGGGACACCTCAGGAATCTCTTCGAGGCTTGGCAGGGCCAAAGGGACGCTTCTCGAGGTGAGGCAGGGCACCCAAGGACCCTTTCCAGTAGCCACAGGGATTTTGGGATTCCTATCAGTATTCAAGAGGAGTCAGGCATCGTCACCTTTTGAAGCAATGAACTCCGCGTGCCTCTCGAGGTGTCAGCGGGATGTGAGGCATTCCGTCAAAATGAGGCAGGGACCTAGGGCTTTCTCTAAGGTCTCCACAGGGGATTCAGACATCCCTTCATGTTGTGAGATGAAAGACGAGCCTGTATTCAAGCCACTGCAAGGAAATCCGGCCTCCTTTCAAGTTAGGGCTTCTCGCTGTATATTCCCCTTGAGGCAGCAAACTCGGGGTCCCTCCCACATACCTATTGCTGAGAGAAGCCTCCTCCTGAGGTGCTTCTGGGAAGTTGGCATACGTCTTGAGCCTAAGCCAGGGAATCAGCTCGCATCTCGAGACGATTTGGGGTACACGGAGCATTCCTCGAGTTGCTGTGCTGAAGTTGGTGTTCCTCTAGACTTGGGACAGTGTTCTCGGGGCATCTCTGGAGTTGCCTGAAGGAAGTCGAGCCACCGGTCGTGTTGAATGGGGAACGGGGAATGGCTCTGGAGTCAATGAAGGGGAATCGGGCCTCATCTCGAGTTGATTTGGGGCACATGGAGCTGCTTTGCGTTGCTGGGGTGACCTCAGGGTCCGTCTAGACTGGTGACAGTGTTCTTGGGGACTGTCTCGAGATCCATTAAGCAAGTCGAAGCTCCTGACTTGTTTGAATGGGATCACGGAATAGCTCTGCATGCACTGCAGGGGAATGGGGCCTCATCTCGCCTCTAGGGGGAAGTCTCATGGTTTTTCTCGAGTTGCGGCGGGGACCTGGGGTATGTTCTCGACTTACGGCGGGGATGGCCCTTCAAAACACGAGTTTCTTCAGTGACGTCAGGACTCCTGTCTAGTAACGAGGGACACCTCAGGAATCTCTTCGAGGCTTGGCAGGGCCAAAGGGACGCTTCTCGAGGTGAGGCAGGGCACCCAAGGACCCTTTCCAGTAGCCACAGGGATTTTGGGATTCCTATCAGTATTCAAGAGGAGTCAGGCATCGTCACCTTTTGAAGCAATGAACTCCGCGTGCCTCTCGAGGTGTCAGCGGGATGTGAGGCATTCCGTCAAAATGAGGCAGGGACCTAGGGCTTTCTCTAAGGTCTCCACAGGGGATTCAGACATCCCTTCATGTTGTGAGATGAAAGACGAGCCTGTATTCAAGCCACTGCAAGGAAATCCGGCCTCCTTTCAAGTTAGGGCTTCTCGCTGTATATTCCCCTTGAGGCAGCAAACTCGGGGTCCCTCCCACATACCTATTGCTGAGAGAAGCCTCCTCCTGAGGTGCTTCTGGGAAGTTGGCATACGTCTTGAGCCTAAGCCAGGGAATCAGCTCGCATCTCGAGACGATTTGGGGTACACGGAGCATTCCTCGAGTTGCTGTGCTGAAGTTGGTGTTCCTCTAGACTTGGGACAGTGTTCTCGGGGCGTCTCTGGAGTTGCCTGAAGGAAGTCGAGCCACCGGTCGTGTTGAATGGGGAACGGGGAATGGCTCTGGAGTCAATGCAGGGGAATCGGGCCTCATCTCGAGTTGATTTGGGGCACATGGAGCTGCTTTGCTTTGCTGGGGTGACCTCAGGGTCCGTCTAGACTGGTGACAGTGTTCTTGGGGACTGTCTCGAGATCCATTAAGCAAGTCGAATCTCCTGACTTCTTTGAATGGGATCACGGAATAGCTCTGCATGCACTGCAGGGGAATGGGGCCTCATCTCGCCTCTAGGGGGAAGTCTCATGGTTTTTCTCGAGTTGCGGCGGGGACCTGGGGTATGTTCTCGACTTACGGCGGGGATGGCCCTTCAAAACACGAGTTTCTTCAGTGACGTCAGGACTCCTGTCTAGTAACGAGGGACACCTCAGGAATCTCTTCGAGGCTTGGCAGGGCCAAAGGGACGCTTCTCGAGGTGAGGCAGGGCACCCAAGGACCCTTTCCAGTAGCCACAGGGATTTTGGGATTCCTATCAGTATTCAAGAGGAGTCAGGCATCGTCACCTTTTGAAGCAATGAACTCCGCGTGCCTCTCGAGGTGTCAGCGGGATGTGAGGCATTCCGTCAAAATGAGGCAGGGACCTAGGGCTTTCTCTAAGGTCTCCACAGGGGATTCAGACATCCCTTCATGTTGTGAGATGAAAGACGAGCCTGTATTCAAGCCACTGCAAGGAAATCCGGCCTCCTTTCAAGTTAGGGCTTCTCGCTGTATATTCCCCTTGAGGCAGCAAACTCGGGGTCCCTCCCACATACCTATTGCTGAGAGAAGCCTCCTCCTGAGGTGCTTCTGGGAAGTTGGCATACGTCTTGAGCCTAAGCCAGGGAATCAGCTCGCATCTCGAGACGATTTGGGGTACACGGAGCATTCCTCGAGTTGCTGTGCTGAAGTTGGTGTTCCTCTAGACTTGGGACAGTGTTCTCGGGGCGTCTCTGGAGTTGCCTGAAGGAAGTCGAGCCACCGGTCGTGTTGAATGGGGAACGGGGAATGGCTCTGGAGTCAATGCAGGGGAATCGGGCCTCATCTCGAGTTGATTTGGGGCACATGGAGCTGCTTTGCTTTGCTGGGGTGACCTCAGGGTCCGTCTAGACTGGTGACAGTGTTCTTGGGGACTGTCTCGAGATCCATTAAGCAAGTCGAATCTCCTGACTTCTTTGAATGGGATCACGGAATAGCTCTGCATGCACTGCAGGGGAATGGGGCCTCATCTCGCCTCTAGGGGGAAGTCTCATGGTTTTTCTCGAGTTGCGGCGGGGACCTGGGGTATGTTCTCGACTTACGGCGGGGATGGCCCTTCAAAACACGAGTTTCTTCAGTGACGTCAGGACTCCTGTCTAGTAACGAGGGACACCTCAGGAATCTCTTCGAGGCTTGGCAGGGCCAAAGGGACGCTTCTCGAGGTGAGGCAGGGCACCCAAGGACCCTTTCCAGTAGCCACAGGGATTTTGGGATTCCTATCAGTATTCAAGAGGAGTCAGGCATCGTCACCTTTTGAAGCAATGAACTCCGCGTGCCTCTCGAGGTGTCAGCGGGATGTGAGGCATTCCGTCAAAATGAGGCAGGGACCTAGGGCTTTCTCTAAGGTCTCCACAGGGGATTCAGACATCCCTTCATGTTGTGAGATGAAAGACGAGCCTGTATTCAAGCCACTGCAAGGAAATCCGGCCTCCTTTCAAGTTAGGGCTTCTCGCTGTATATTCCCCTTGAGGCAGCAAACTCGGGGTCTTTCCCACATACCTATTGCTGAGAGAAGCCTCCTCCTGAGGTGCTTCTGGGAAGTTGGCATACGTCTTGAGCCTAAGCCAGGGAATCAGCTCGCATCTCGAGACGATTTGGGGTACACGGAGCATTCCTCGAGTTGCTGTGCTGAAGTAGGTGTTCCTCTAGACTTGGGACAGTGTTCTCGGGGCGTCTCTGGAGTTGCCTGAAGGAAGTCGAGCCACCGGTCGTGTTGAATGGGGAACGGGGAATGGCTCTGGAGTCAATGCAGGGGAATCGGGCCTCATCTCGAGTTGATTTGGGGCACATGGAGCTGCTTTGCGTTGCTGGGGTGACCTCAGGGTCCGTCTAGACTGGTGACAGTGTTCTTGGGGACTGTCTCGAGATCCATTAAGCAAGTCGAAGCTCCTGACTTGTTTGAATGGGATCACGGAATAGCTCTGCATGCACTGCAGGGGAATGGGGCCTCATCTCGCCTCTAGGGGGAAGTCTCATGGTTTTTCTCGAGTTGCGGCGGGGACCTGGGGGATGTTCTCGACTTACGGCGGGGATGGCCCTTCAAAACACGAGTTTCTTCAGTGACGTCAGGACTCCTGTCTAGTAACGAGGGACACCTCAGGAATCTCTTCGAGGCTTGGCAGGGCCAAAGGGACGCTTCTCGAGGTGAGGCAGGGCACCCAAGGACCCTTTCCAGTAGCCACAGGGATTTTGGGATTCCTATCAGTATTCAAGAGGAGTCAGGCATCGTCACCTTTTGAAGCAATGAACTCCGCGTGCCTCTCGAGGTGTCAGCGGGATGTGAGGCATTCCGTCAAAATGAGGCAGGGACCTAGGGCTTTCTCTAAGGTCTCCACAGGGGATTCAGACATCCCTTCATGTTGTGAGATGAAAGACGAGCCTGTATGCAAGCCACTGCAAGGAAATCCGGCCTCCTTTCAAGTTAGGGCTTCTCGCTGTATATTCCCCTTGAGGCAGCAAACTCGGGGTCCCTCCCACATACCTATTGCTGAGAGAAGCCTCCTCCTGAGGTGCTTCTGGGAAGTTGGCATACGTCTTGAGCCTAAGCCAGGGAATCAGCTCGCATCTCGAGACGATTTGGGGTACACGGAGCATTCCTCGAGTTGCTGTGCTGAAGTTGGTGTTCCTCTAGACTTGGGACAGTGTTCTCGGGGCATCTCTGGAGTTGCCTGAAGGAAGTCGAGCCACCGGTCGTGTTGAATGGGGAACGGGGAATGGCTCTGGAGTCAATGCAGGGGAATCGGGCCTCATCTCGAGTTGATTTGGGGCACATGGAGCTGCTTTGCGTTGCTGGGGTGACCTCAGGGTCCGTCTAGACTGGTGACAGTGTTCTTGGGGACTGTCTCGAGATCCATTAAGCAAGTCGAAGCTCCTGACTTGTTTGAATGGGATCACGGAATAGCTCTGCATGCACTGCAGGGGAATGGGGCCTCATCTCGCCTCTAGGGGGAAGTCTCATGGTTTTTCTCGAGTTGCGGCGGGGACCTGGGGTATGTTCTCGACTTACGGCGGGGATGGCCCTTCAAAACACGAGTTTCTTCAGTGACGTCAGGACTCCTGTCTAGTAACGAGGGACACCTCAGGAATCTCTTCGAGGCTTGGCAGGGCCAAAGGGACGCTTCTCGAGGTGAGGCAGGGCACCCAAGCGCCCTTTCCAGTAGCCACAGGGATTTTGGGATTCCTATCAGTATTCAAGAGGAGTCAGGCATCGTCACCTTTTGAAGCAATGAACTCCGCGTGCCTCTCGAGGTGTCAGCGGGATGTGAGGCATTCCGTCAAAATGAGGCAGGGACCTAGGGCTTTCTCTAAGGTCTCCACAGGGGATTCAGACATCCCTTCATGTTGTGAGATGAAAGACGAGCCTGTATTCAAGCCACTGCAAGGAAATCCGGCCTCCTTTCAAGTGAGGGCTTCTCGCTGTATATTCCCCTTGAGGCAGCAAACTCGGGGTCCCTCCCACATACCTATTGCTGAGAGAAGCCTCCTCCTGAGGTGCTTCTGGGAAGTTGGCATACGTCTTGAGCCTAAGCCAGGGAATCAGCTCGCATCTCGAGACGATTTGGGGTACACGGAGCATTCCTCGAGTTGCTGTGCTGAAGTTGGTGTTCCTCTAGACTTGGGACAGTGTTCTCGGGGCATCTCTGGAGTTGCCTGAAGGAAGTCGAGCCACCGGTCGTGTTGAATGGGGAACGGGGAATGGCTCTGGAGTCAATGCAGGGGAATCGGGCCTCATCTCGAGTTGATTTGGGGCACATGGAGCTGCTTTGCGTTGCTGGGGTGACCTCAGGGTCCGTCTAGACTGGTGACAGTGTTCTTGGGGACTGTCTCGAGATCCATTAAGCAAGTCGAAGCTCCTGACTTGTTTGAATGGGATCACGGAATAGCTCTGCATGCACTGCAGGGGAATGGGGCCTCATCTCGCCTCTAGGGGGAAGTCTCATGGTTTTTCTCGAGTTGCGGCGGGGACCTGGGGGATGTTCTCGACTTACGGCGGGGATGGCCCTTCAAAACACGAGTTTCTTCAGTGACGTCAGGACTCCTGTCTAGTAACGAGGGACACCTCAGGAATCTCTTCGAGGCTTGGCAGGGCCAAAGGGACGCTTCTCGAGGTGAGGCAGGGCACCCAAGCGCCCTTTCCAGTAGCCACAGGGATTTTGGGATTCCTATCAGTATTCAAGAGGAGTCAGGCATCGTCACCTTTTGAAGCAATGAACTCCGCGTGCCTCTCGAGGTGTCAGCGGGATGTGAGGCATTCCGTCAAAATGAGGCAGGGACCTAGGGCTTTCTCTAAGTTCTCCACAGGGGATTCAGACATCCCTTCATGTTGTGAGATGAAAGACGAGCCTGTATTCAAGCCACTGCAAGGAAATCCGGCCTCCTTTCAAGTTAGGGCTTCTCGCTGTATATTCCCCTTGAGGCAGCAAACTCGGGGTCCCTCCCACATACCTATTGCTGAGAGAAGCCTCCTCCTGAGGTGCTTCTGGGAAGTTGGCATACGTCTTGAGCCTAAGCCAGGGAATCAGCTCGCATCTCGAGACGATTTGGGGTACACGGAGCATTCCTCGAGTTGCTGTGCTGAAGTTGGTGTTCCTCTAGACTTGGGACAGTGTTCTCGGGGCATCTCTGGAGTTGCCTGAAGGAAGTCGAGCCACCGGTCGTGTTGAATGGGGAACGGGGAATGGCTCTGGAGTCAATGCAGGGGAATCGGGCCTCATCTCGAGTTGATTTGGGGCACATGGAGCTGCTTTGCGTTGCTGGGGTGACCTCAGGGTCCGTCTAGACTGGTGACAGTGTTCTTGGGGACTGTCTCGAGATCCATTAAGCAAGTCGAAGCTCCTGACTTGTTTGAATGGGATCACGGAATAGCTCTGCATGCACTGCAGGGGAATGGGGCCTCATCTCGCCTCTAGGGGGAAGTCTCATGGTTTTTCTCGAGTTGCGGCGGGGACCTGGGGGATGTTCTCGACTTACGGCGGGGATGGCCCTTCAAAACACGAGTTTCTTCAGTGACGTCAGGACTCCTGTCTAGTAACGAGGGACACCTCAGGAATCTCTTCGAGGCTTGGCAGGGCCAAAGGGACGCTTCTCGAGGTGAGGCAGGGCACCCAAGGACCCTTTCCAGTAGCCACAGGGATTTTGGGATTCCTATCAGTATTCAAGAGGAGTCAGGCATCGTCACCTTTTGAAGCAATGAACTCCGCGTGCCTCTCGAGGTGTCAGCGGGATGTGAGGCATTCCGTCAAAATGAGGCAGGGACCTAGGGCTTTCTCTAAGGTCTCCACAGGGGATTCAGACATCCCTTCATGTTGTGAGATGAAAGACGAGCCTGTATTCAAGCCACTGCAAGGAAATCCGGCCTCCTTTCAAGTGAGGGCTTCTCGCTGTATATTCCCCTTGAGGCAGCAAACTCGGGGTCCCTCCCACATACCTATTGCTGAGAGAAGCCTCCTCCTGAGGTGCTTCTGGGAAGTTGGCATACGTCTTGAGCCTAAGCCAGGGAATCAGCTCGCATCTCGAGACGATTTGGGGTACACGGAGCATTCCTCGAGTTGCTGTGCTGAAGTTGGTGTTCCTCTAGACTTGGGACAGTGTTCTCGGGGCATCTCTGGAGTTGCCTGAAGGAAGTCGAGCCACCGGTCGTGTTGAATGGGGAACGGGGAATGGCTCTGGAGTCAATGAAGGGGAATCGGGCCTCATCTCGAGTTGATTTGGGGCACATGGAGCTGCTTTGCGTTGCTGGGGTGACCTCAGGGTCCGTCTAGACTGGTGACAGTGTTCTTGGGGACTGTCTCGAGATCCATTAAGCAAGTCGAAGCTCCTGACTTGTTTGAATGGGATCACGGAATAGCTCTGCATGCACTGCAGGGGAATGGGGCCTCATCTCGCCTCTAGGGGGAAGTCTCATGGTTTTTCTCGAGTTGCGGCGGGGACCTGGGGTATGTTCTCGACTTACGGCGGGGATGGCCCTTCAAAACACGAGTTTCTTCAGTGACGTCAGGACTCCTGTCTAGTAACGAGGGACACCTCAGGAATCTCTTCGAGGCTTGGCAGGGCCAAAGGGACGCTTCTCGAGGTGAGGCAGGGCACCCAAGGACCCTTTCCAGTAGCCACAGGGATTTTGGGATTCCTATCAGTATTCAAGAGGAGTCAGGCATCGTCACCTTTTGAAGCAATGAACTCCGCGTGCCTCTCGAGGTGTCAGCGGGATGTGAGGCATTCCGTCAAAATGAGGCAGGGACCTAGGGCTTTCTCTAAGGTCTCCACAGGGGATTCAGACATCCCTTCATGTTGTGAGATGAAAGACGAGCCTGTATTCAAGCCACTGCAAGGAAATCCGGCCTCCTTTCAAGTTAGGGCTTCTCGCTGTATATTCCCCTTGAGGCAGCAAACTCGGGGTCCCTCCCACATACCTATTGCTGAGAGAAGCCTCCTCCTGAGGTGCTTCTGGGAAGTTGGCATACGTCTTGAGCCTAAGCCAGGGAATCAGCTGGCATCTCGAGACGGTTTGGGGTACACGGAGCATTCCTCGAGTTGCTGTGCTGAAGTTGGTGTTCCTCTAGACTTGGGACAGTGTTCTCGGGGCGTCTCTGGAGTTGCCTGAAGGAAGTCGAGCCACCGGTCGTGTTGAATGGGGAACGGGGAATGGCTCTGGAGTCAATGCAGGGGAATCGGGCCTCATCTCGAGTTGATTTGGGGCACATGGAGCTGCTTTGCTTTGCTGGGGTGACCTCAGGGTCCGTCTAGACTGGTGACAGTGTTCTTGGGGACTGTCTCGAGATCCATTAAGCAAGTCGAATCTCCTGACTTCTTTGAATGGGATCACGGAATAGCTCTGCATGCACTGCAGGGGAATGGGGCCTCATCTCGCCTCTAGGGGGAAGTCTCATGGTTTTTCTCGAGTTGCGGCGGGGACCTGGGGTATGTTCTCGACTTACGGCGGGGATGGCCCTTCAAAACACGAGTTTCTTCAGTGACGTCAGGACTCCTGTCTAGTAACGAGGGACACCTCAGGAATCTCTTCGAGGCTTGGCAGGGCCAAAGGGACGCTTCTCGAGGTGAGGCAGGGCACCCAAGGACCCTTTCCAGTAGCCACAGGGATTTTGGGATTCCTATCAGTATTCAAGAGGAGTCAGGCATCGTCACCTTTTGAAGCAATGAACTCCGCGTGCCTCTCGAGGTGTCAGCGGGATGTGAGGCATTCCGTCAAAATGAGGCAGGGACCTAGGGCTTTCTCTAAGGTCTCCACAGGGGATTCAGACATCCCTTCATGTTGTGAGATGAAAGACGAGCCTGTATTCAAGCCACTGCAAGGAAATCCGGCCTCCTTTCAAGTTAGGGCTTCTCGCTGTATATTCCCCTTGAGGCAGCAAACTCGGGGTCCCTCCCACATACCTATTGCTGAGAGAAGCCTCCTCCTGAGGTGCTTCTGGGAAGTTGGCATACGTCTTGAGCCTAAGCCAGGGAATCAGCTCGCATCTCGAGACGATTTGGGGTACACGGAGCATTCCTCGAGTTGCTGTGCTGAAGTAGGTGTTCCTCTAGACTTGGGACAGTGTTCTCGGGGCGTCTCTGGAGTTGCCTGAAGGAAGTCGAGCCACCGGTCGTGTTGAATGGGGAACGGGGAATGGCTCTGGAGTCAATGCAGGGGAATCGGGCCTCATCTCGAGTTGATTTGGGGCACATGGAGCTGCTTTGCGTTGCTGGGGTGACCTCAGGGTCCGTCTAGACTGGTGACAGTGTTCTTGGGGACTGTCTCGAGATCCATTAAGCAAGTCGAAGCTCCTGACTTGTTTGAATGGGATCACGGAATAGCTCTGCATGCACTGCAGGGGAATGGGGCCTCATCTCGCCTCTAGGGGGAAGTCTCATGGTTTTTCTCGAGTTGCGGCGGGGACCTGGGGTATGTTCTCGACTTACGGCGGGGATGGCCCTTCAAAACACGAGTTTCTTCAGTGACGTCAGGACTCCTGTCTAGTAACGAGGGACACCTCAGGAATCTCTTCGAGGCTTGGCAGGGCCAAAGGGACGCTTCTCGAGGTGAGGCAGGGCACCCAAGGACCCTTTCCAGTAGCCACAGGGATTTGGGATTCCTATCAGTATTCAAGAGGAGTCAGGCATCGTCACCTTTTGAAGCAATGAACTCCGCGTGCCTCTCGAGGTGTCAGCGGGATGTGAGGCATTCCGTCAAAATGAGGCAGGGACCTAGGGCTTTCTCTAAGGTCTCCACAGGGGATTCAGACATCCCTTCATGTTGTGAGATGAAAGACGAGCCTGTATTCAAGCCACTGCAAGGAAATCCGGCCTCCTTTCAAGTTAGGGCTTCTCGCTGTATATTCCCCTTGAGGCAGCAAACTCGGGGTCCCTCCCACATACCTATTGCTGAGAGAAGCCTCCTCCTGAGGTGCTTCTGGGAAGTTGGCATACGTCTTGAGCCTAAGCCAGGGAATCAGCTCGCATCTCGAGACGATTTGGGGTACACGGAGCATTCCTCGAGTTGCTGTGCTGAAGTTGGTGTTCCTCTAGACTTGGGACAGTGTTCTCGGGGCATCTCTGGAGTTGCCTGAAGGAAGTCGAGCCACCAGTCGTGTTGAATGGGGAACGGGGAATGGCTCTGGAGTCAATGCAGAGGAATCGGGCCTCATCTCGAGTTGATTTGGGGCACATGGAGCTGCTTTGCGTTGCTGGGGTGACCTCAGGGTCCGTCTAGACTGGTGACAGTGTTCTTGGGGACTGTCTCGAGATCCATTAAGCAAGTCGAAGCTCCTGACTTGTTTGAATGGGATCACGGAATAGCTCTGCATGCACTGCAGGGGAATGGGGCCTCATCTCGCCTCTAGGGGGAAGTCTCATGGTTTTTCTCGAGTTGCGGCGGGGACCTGGGGTATGTTCTCGACTTACGGCGGGGATGGCCCTTCAAAACACGAGTTTCTTCAGTGACGTCAGGACTCCTGTCTAGTAACGAGGGACACCTCAGGAATCTCTTCGAGGCTTGGCAGGGCCAAAGGGACGCTTCTCGAGGTGAGGCAGGGCACCCAAGCGCCCTTTCCAGTAGCCACAGGGATTTTGGGATTCCTATCAGTATTCAAGAGGAGTCAGGCATCGTCACCTTTTGAAGCAATGAACTCCGCGTGCCTCTCGAGGTGTCAGCGGGATGTGAGGCATTCCGTCAAAATGAGGCAGGGACCTAGGGCTTTCTCTAAGGTCTCCACAGGGGATTCAGACATCCCTTCATGTTGTGAGATGAAAGACGAGCCTGTATTCAAGCCACTGCAAGGAAATCCGGCCTCCTTTCAAGTGAGGGCTTCTCGCTGTATATTCCCCTTGAGGCAGCAAACTCGGGGTCCCTCCCACATACCTATTGCTGAGAGAAGCCTCCTCCTGAGGTGCTTCTGGGAAGTTGGCATACGTCTTGAGCCTAAGCCAGGGAATCAGCTCGCATCTCGAGACGATTTGGGGTACACGGAGCATTCCTCGAGTTGCTGTGCTGAAGTTGGTGTTCCTCTAGACTTGGGACAGTGTTCTCGGGGCATCTCTGGAGTTGCCTGAAGGAAGTCGAGCCACCGGTCGTGTTGAATGGGGAACGGGGAATGGCTCTGGAGTCAATGCAGGGGAATCGGGCCTCATCTCGAGTTGATTTGGGGCACATGGAGCTGCTTTGCGTTGCTGGGGTGACCTCAGGGTCCGTCTAGACTGGTGACAGTGTTCTTGGGGACTGTCTCGAGATCCATTAAGCAAGTCGAAGCTCCTGACTTGTTTGAATGGGATCACGGAATAGCTCTGCATGCACTGCAGGGGAATGGGGCCTCATCTCGCCTCTAGGGGGAAGTCTCATGGTTTTTCTCGAGTTGCGGCGGGGACCTGGGGTATGTTCTCGACTTACGGCGGGGATGGCCCTTCAAAACACGAGTTTCTTCAGTGACGTCAGGACTCCTGTCTAGTAACGAGGGACACCTCAGGAATCTCTTCGAGGCTTGGCAGGGCCAAAGGGACGCTTCTCGAGGTGAGGCAGGGCACCCAAGGTCCCTTTCCAGTAGCCACAGGGATTTTGGTATTCCTATCAGTATTCAAGAGGAGTCAGGCATCGTCACCTTTTGAAGCAATGAACTCCGCGTGCCTCTCGAGGTGTCAGCGGGATGTGAGGCATTCCGTCAAAATGAGGCAGGGACCTAGGGCTTTCTCTAAGGTCTCCACAGGGGATTCAGACATCCCTTCATGTTGTGAGATGAAAGACGAGACTGTATTCAAGCCACTGCAAGGAAATCCGGCCTCCTTTCAAGTTAGGGCTTCTCGCTGTATATTCCCCTTGAGGCAGCAAACTCGGGGTCCCTCCCACATACCTATTGCTGAGAGAAGCCTCCTCCTGAGGTGCTTCTGGGAAGTTGACATACGTCTTGAGCCTAAGCCAGGGAATCAGCTCGCATCTCGAGACGATTTGGGGTACACGGAGCATTCCTCGAGTTGCTGTGCTGAAGTTGGTGTTCCTCTAGACTTGGGACAGTGTTCTCGGGGCATCCCTGGAGTTGCCCGAAGGAAGTCGAGCCACCGGTCGTGTTGAATGGGGAACGGGGAATGGCTCTGGAGTCAATGCAGGGGAATCGGGCCTCATCTCGAGTTGATTTGGGGCACATGGAGCTGCTTTGCGTTGCTGGGGTGACCTCAGGGTCCGTCTAGACTGGTGACAGTGTTCTTGGGGACTGTCTCGAGATCCATTAAGCAAGTCGAAGCTCCTGACTTGTTTGAATGGGATCACGGAATAGCTCTGCATGCACTGCAGGGGAATGGGGCCTCATCTCGCCTCTAGGGGGAAGTCTCATGGTTTTTCTCGAGTTGCGGCGGGGACCTGGGGTATGTTCTCGACTTACGGCGGGGATGGCCCTTCAAAACACGAGTTTCTTCAGTGACGTCAGGACTCCTGTCTAGTAACGAGGGACACCTCAGGAATCTCTTCGAGGCTTGGCAGGGCCAAAGGGACGCTTCTCGAGGTGAGGCAGGGCACCCAAGCACCCTTTCCAGTAGCCACAGGGATTTTGGGATTCCTATCAGTATTCAAGAGGAGTCAGGCATCGTCACCTTTTGAAGCAATGAACTCCGCGTGCCTCTCGAGGTGTCAGCGGGATGTGAGGCATTCCGTCAAAATGAGGCAGGGACCTAGGGCTTTCTCTAAGGTCTCCACAGGGGATTCAGACATCCCTTCATGTTGTGAGATGAAAGACGAGCCTGTATTCAAGCCACTGCAAGGAAATCCGGCCTCCTTTCAAGTGAGGGCTTCTCGCTGTATATTCCCCTTGAGGCAGCAAACTCGGGGTCCCTCCCACATACCTATTGCTGAGAGAAGCCTCCTCCTGAGGTGCTTCTGGGAAGTTGGCATACGTCTTGAGCCTAAGCCAGGGAATCAGCTCGCATCTCGAGACGATTTGGGGTACACGGAGCATTCCTCGAGTTGCTGTGCTGAAGTTGGTGTTCCTCTAGACTTGGGACAGTGTTCTCGGGGCATCTCTGGAGTTGCCTGAAGGAAGTCGAGCCACCGGTCGTGTTGAATGGGGAACGGGGAATGGCTCTGGAGTCAATGCAGGGGAATCGGGCCTCATCTCGAGTTGATTTGGGGCACATGGAGCTGCTTTGCGTTGCTGGGGTGACCTCAGGGTCCGTCTAGACTGGTGACAGTGTTCTTGGGGACTGTCTCGAGATCCATTAAGCAAGTCGAAGCTCCTGACTTGTTTGAATGGGATCACGGAATAGCTCTGCATGCACTGCAGGGGAATGGGGCCTCATCTCGCCTCTAGGGGGAAGTCTCATGGTTTTTCTCGAGTTGCGGCGGGGACCTGGGGTATGTTCTCGACTTACGGCGGGGATGGCCCTTCAAAACACGAGTTTCTTCAGTGACGTCAGGACTCCTGTCTAGTAACGAGGGACACCTCAGGAATCTCTTCGAGGCTTGGCAGGGCCAAAGGGACGCTTCTCGAGGTGAGGCAGGGCACCCAAGGACCCTTTCCAGTAGCCACAGGGATTTTGGGATTCCTATCAGTATTCAAGAGGAGTCAGGCATCGTCACCTTTTGAAGCAATGAACTCCGCGTGCCTCTCGAGGTGTCAGCGGGATGTGAGGCATTCCGTCAAAATGAGGCAGGGACCTAGGGCTTTCTCTAAGGTCTCCACAGGGGATTCAGACATCCCTTCATGTTGTGAGATGAAAGACGAGCCTGTATTCAAGCCACTGCAAGGAAATCCGGCCTCCTTTCAAGTGAGGGCTTCTCGCTGTATATTCCCCTTGAGGCAGCAAACTCGGGGTCCCTCCCACATACCTATTGCTGAGAGAAGCCTCCTCCTGAGGTGCTTCTGGGAAGTTGGCATACGTCTTGAGCCTAAGCCAGGGAATCAGCTCGCATCTCGAGACGATTTGGGGTACACGGAGCATTCCTCGAGTTGCTGTGCTGAAGTTGGTGTTCCTCTAGACTTGGGACAGTGTTCTCGGGGCATCCCTGGAGTTGCCCGAAGGAAGTCGAGCCACCGGTCGTGTTGAATGGGGAACGGGGAATGGCTCTGGAGTCAATGCAGGGGAATCGGGCCTCATCTCGAGTTGATTTGGGGCACATGGAGCTGCTTTGCGTTGCTGGGGTGACCTCAGGGTCCGTCTAGACTGGTGACAGTGTTCTTGGGGACTGTCTCGAGATCCATTAAGCAAGTCGAAGCTCCTGACTTGTTTGAATGGGATCACGGAATAGCTCTGCATGCACTGCAGGGGAATGGGGCCTCATCTCGCCTCTAGGTGGAAGTCTCATGGTTTTTCTCGAGTTGCGGCGGGGACCTGGGGTATGTTCTCGACTTACGGCGGGGATGGCCCTTCAAAACACGAGTTTCTTCAGTGACGTCAGGACTCCTGTCTAGTAACGAGGGACACCTCAGGAATCTCTTCGAGGCTTGGCAGGGCCAAAGGGACGCTTCCCGAGGTGAGGCAGGGCACCCAAGGACCCTTTCCAGTAGCCACAGGGATTTTGGGATTCCTATCAGTATTCAAGAGGAGTCAGGCATCGTCACCTTTTGAAGCAATGAACTCCGCGTGCCTCTCGAGGTGTCAGCGGGATGTGAGGCATTCCGTCAAAATGAGGCAGGGACCTAGGGCTTTCTCTAAGGTCTCCACAGGGGATTCAGACATCCCTTCATGTTGTGAGATGAAAGACGAGCCTGTATTCAAGCCACTGCAAGGAAATCTGGCCTCCGTTCACATTAGGGCTTCTCCCTGTGTATTCCCCTTGAGGCAGCAAACTCGGGGTCCCTCCCACATACCTATTGCTGAGAGAAGCCTCCTCCTGAGGTGCTTCTGGGAAGTTGGCATACGTCTTGAGCCTAAGCCAGGGAATCAGCTCGCATCTCGAGACGATTTGGGGTACACGGAGCATTCCTCGAGTTGCTGTGCTGAAGTTGGTGTTCCTCTAGACTTGGGACAGTGTTCTCGGGGCATCTCTGGAGTTGCCTGAAGGAAGTCGAGCCACCGGTCGTGTTGAATGGGGAACGGGGAATGGCTCTGGAGTCAATGCAGGGGAATCGGGCCTCATCTCGAGTTGATTTGGGGCACATGGAGCTGCTTTGCGTTGCTGGGGTGACCTCAGGGTCCGTCTAGACTGGTGACAGTGTTCTTGGGGACTGTCTCGAGATCCATTAAGCAAGTCGAAGCTCCTGACTTGTTTGAATGGGATCACGGAATAGCTCTGCATGCACTGCAGGGGAATGGGGCCTCATCTCGCCTCTAGGGGGAAGTCTCATGGTTTTTCTCGAGTTGCGGCGGGGACCTGGGGTATGTTCTCGACTTACGGCGGGGATGGCCCTTCAAAACACGAGTTTCTTCAGTGACGTCAGGACTCCTGTCTAGTAACGAGGGACACCTCAGGAATCTCTTCGAGGCTTGGCAGGGCCAAAGGGACGCTTCTCGAGGTGAGGCAGGGCACCCAAGGACCCTTTCCAGTAGCCACAGGGATTTTGGGATTCCTATCAGTATTCAAGAGGAGTCAGGCATCGTCACCTTTTGAAGCAATGAACTCCGCGTGCCTCTCGAGGTGTCAGCGGGATGTGAGGCATTCCGTCAAAATGAGGCAGGGACCTAGGGCTTTCTCTAAGGTCTCCACAGGGGATTCAGACATCCCTTCATGTTGTGAGATGAAAGACGAGCCTGTATTCAAGCCACTGCAAGGAAATCCGGCCTCCTTTCAAGTGAGGGCTTCTCGCTGTATATTCCCCTTGAGGCAGCAAACTCGGGGTCCCTCCCACATACCTATTGCTGAGAGAAGCCTCCTCCTGAGGTGCTTCTGGGAAGTTGGCATACGTCTTGAGCCTAAGCCAGGGAATCAGCTCGCATCTCGAGACGATTTGGGGTACACGGAGCATTCCTCGAGTTGCTGTGCTGAAGTTGGTGTTCCTCTAGACTTGGGACAGTGTTCTCGGGGCATCCCTGGAGTTGCCCGAAGGAAGTCGAGCCACCGGTCGTGTTGAATGGGGAACGGGGAATGGCTGTGGAGTCAATGCAGGGGAATCGGGCCTCATCTCGAGTTGATTTGGGGCACATGGAGCTGCTTTGCGTTGCTGGGGTGACCTCAGGGTCCGTCTAGACTGGTGACAGTGTTCTTGGGGACTGTCTCGAGATCCATTAAGCAAGTCGAAGCTCCTGACTTGTTTGAATGGGATCACGGAATAGCTCTGCATGCACTGCAGGGGAATGGGGCCTCATCTCGCCTCTAGGGGGAAGTCTCATGGTTTTTCTCGAGTTGCGGCGGGGACCTGGGATATGTTCTCGACTTACGGCGGGGATGGCCCTTCAAAACACGAGTTTCTTCAGTGACGTCAGGACTCCTGTCTAGTAACGAGGGACACCTCAGGAATCTCTTCGAGGCTTGGCAGGGCCAAAGGGACGCTTCCCGAGGTGAGGCAGGGCACCCAAGGACCCTTTCCAGTAGCCACAGGGATTTTGGGATTCCTATCAGTATTCAAGAGGAGTCAGGCATCGTCACCTTTTGAAGCAATGAACTCCGCGTGCCTCTCGAGGTGTCAGCGGGATGTGAGGCATTCCGTCAAAATGAGGCAGGGACCTAGGGCTTTCTCTAAGGTCTCCACAGGGGATTCAGACATCCCTTCATGTTGTGAGATGAAAGACGAGCCTGTATTCAAGCCACTGCAAGGAAATCTGGCCTCCGTTCACATTAGGGCTTCTCCCTGTGTATTCCCCTTGAGGCAGCAAACTCCGGGTCCCTCCCACATACCTATTGCTGAGAGAAGCCTCCTCCTGAGGTGCTTCTGGGAAGTTGGCATACGTCTTGAGCCTAAGCCAGGGAATCAGCTCGCATCTCGAGACGATTTGGGGTACACGGAGCATTCCTCGAGTTGCTGTGCTGAAGTTGGTGTTCCTCTAGACTTGGGACAGTGTTCTCGGGGCATCTCTGGAGTTGCCTGAAGGAAGTCGAGCCACCGGTCGTGTTGAATGGGGAACGGGGAATGGCTCTGGAGTCAATGCAGGGGAATCGGGCCTCATCTCGAGTTGATTTGGGGCACATGGAGCTGCTTTGCGTTGCTGGGGTGACCTCAGGGTCCGTCTAGACTGGTGACAGTGTTCTTGGGGACTGTCTCGAGATCCATTAAGCAAGTCGAAGCTCCTGACTTGTTTGAATGGGATCACGGAATAGCTCTGCATGCACTGCAGGGGAATGGGGCCTCATCTCGCCTCTAGGGGGAAGTCTCATGGTTTTTCTCGAGTTGCGGCGGGGACCTGGGGTATGTTCTCGACTTACGGCGGGGATGGCCCTTCAAAACACGAGTTTCTTCAGTGACGTCAGGACTCCTGTCTAGTAACGAGGGACACCTCAGGAATCTCTTCGAGGCTTGGCAGGGCCAAAGGGACGCTTCTCGAGGTGAGGCAGGGCACCCAAGGACCCTTTCCAGTAGCCACAGGGATTTTGGGATTCCTATCAGTATTCAAGAGGAGTCAGGCATCGTCACCTTTTGAAGCAATGAACTCCGCGTGCCTCTCGAGGTGTCAGCGGGATGTGAGGCATTCCGTCAAAATGAGGCAGGGACCTAGGGCTTTCTCTAAGGTCTCCACAGGGGATTCAGACATCCCTTCATGTTGTGAGATGAAAGACGAGCCTGTATTCAAGCCACTGCTAGGAAATCCGGCCTCCTTTCAAGTGAGGGCTTCTCGCTGTATATTCCCCTTGAGGCAGCAAACTCGGGGTCCCTCCCACATACCTATTGCTGAGAGAAGCCTCCTCCTGAGGTGCTTCTGGGAAGTTGGCATACGTCTTGAGCCTAAGCCAGGGAATCAGCTCGCATCTCGAGACGATTTGGGGTACACGGAGCATTCCTCGAGTTGCTGTGCTGAAGTTGGTGTTCCTCTAGACTTGGGACAGTGTTCTCGGGGCATCTCTGGAGTTGCCTGAAGGAAGTCGAGCCACCGGTCGTGTTGAATGGGGAACGGGGAATGGCTCTGGAGTCAATGCAGGGGAATCGGGCCTCATCTCGAGTTGATTTGGGGCACATGGAGCTGCTTTGCGTTGCTGGGGTGACCTCAGGGTCCGTCTAGACTGGTGACAGTGTTCTTGGGGACTGTCTCGAGATCCATTAAGCAAGTCGAAGCTCCTGACTTGTTTGAATGGGATCACGGAATAGCTCTGCATGCACTGCAGGGGAATGGGGCCTCATCTCGCCTCTAGGGGGAAGTCTCATGGTTTTTCTCGAGTTGCGGCGGGGACCTGGGGGATGTTCTCGACTTACGGCGGGGATGGCCCTTCAAAACACGAGTTTCTTCAGTGACGTCAGGACTCCTGTCTAGTAACGAGGGACACCTCAGGAATCTCTTCGAGGCTTGGCAGGGCCAAAGGGACGCTTCTCGAGGTGAGGCAGGGCACCCAAGCGCCCTTTCCAGTAGCCACAGGGATTTTGGGATTCCTATCAGTATTCAAGAGGAGTCAGGCATCGTCACCTTTTGAAGCAATGAACTCCGCGTGCCTCTCGAGGTGTCAGCGGGATGTGAGGCATTCCGTCAAAATGAGGCAGGGACCTAGGGCTTTCTCTAAGGTCTCCACAGGGGATTCAGACATCCCTTCATGTTGTGAGATGAAAGACGAGCCTGTATTCAAGCCACTGCAAGGAAATCCGGCCTCCTTTCAAGTGAGGGCTTCTCGCTGTATATTCCCATTGAGGCAGCAAACTCGGGGTCCCTCCCACATACCTATTGCTGAGAGAAGCCTCCTCCTGAGGTGCTTCTGGGAAGTTGGCATACGTCTTGAGCCTAAGCCAGGGAATCAGCTCGAATCTCGAGACGATTTGGGGTAGACGGAGCATTCCTCGAGTTGCTGTGCTGAAGTTGGTGTTCCTCTAGACTTGGGACAGTGTTCTCGGGGCATCTCTGGAGTTGCCTGAAGGAAGTCGAGCCACCGGTCGTGTTGAATGGGGAACGGGGAATGGCTCTGGAGTCAATGCAGGGGAATCGGGCCTCATCTCGAGTTGATTTGGGGCACATGGAGCTGCTTTGCGTTGCTGGGGTGACCTCAGGGTCCGTCTAGACTGGTGACAGTGTTCTTGGGGACTGTCTCGAGATCCATTAAGCAAGTCGAAGCTCCTGACTTGTTTGAATGGGATCACGGAATAGCTCTGCATGCACTGCAGGGGAATGGGGCCTCATCTCGCCTCTAGGGGGAAGTCTCATGGTTTTTCTCGAGTTGCGGCGGGGACCTGGGGTATGTTCTCGACTTACGGCGGGGATGGCCCTTCAAAACACGAGTTTCTTCAGTGAGGTCAGGACTCCTGTCTAGTAACGAGGGACACCTCAGGAATCTCTTCGAGGCTTGGCAGGGCCAAAGGGACGCTTCTCGAGGTGAGGCAGGGCACCCAAGGACCCTTTCCAGTAGCCACAGGGATTTTGGGATTCCTATCAGTATTCAAGAGGAGTCAGGCATCGTCACCTTTTGAAGCAATGAACTCCGCGTGCCTCTCGAGGTGTCAGCGGGATGTGAGGCATTCCGTCAAAATGAGGCAGGGACCTAGGGCTTTCTCTAAGGTCTCCACAGGGGATTCAGACATCCCTTCATGTTGTGAGATGAAAGACGAGCCTGTATTCAAGCCACTGCAAGGAAATCCGGCCTCCTTTCAAGTGAGGGCTTCTCGCTGTATATTCCCCTTGAAGCAGCAAACTCGGGGTCCCTCCCACATACCTATTGCTGAGAGAAGCCTCCTCCTGAGGTGCTTCTGGGAAGTTGGCATACGTCTTGAGCCTAAGCCAGGGAATCAGCTCGCATCTCGAGACGATTTGGGGTACACGGAGCATTCCTCGAGTTGCTGTGCTGAAGTTGGTGTTCCTCTAGACTTGGGACAGTGTTCTCGGGGCATCTCTGGAGTTGCCTGAAGGAAGTCGAGCCACCGGTCGTGTTGAATGGGGAACGGGGAATGGCTCTGGAGTCAATGCAGGGGAATCGGGCCTCATCTCGAGTTGATTTGGGGCACATGGAGCTGCTTTGCGTTGCTGGGGTGACCTCAGGGTCCGTCTAGACTGGTGACAGTGTTCTTGGGGACTGTCTCGAGATCCATTAAGCAAGTCGAAGCTCCTGACTTGTTTGAATGGGATCACGGAATAGCTCTGCATGCACTGCAGGGGAATGGGGCCTCATCTCGCCTCTAGGGGGAAGTCTCATGGTTTTTCTCGAGTTGCGGCGGGGACCTGGGGTATGTTCTCGACTTACGGCGGGGATGGCCCTTCAAAACACGAGTTTCTTCAGTGACGTCAGGACTCCTGTCTAGTAACGAGGGACACCTCAGGAATCTCTTCGAGGCTTGGCAGGGCCAAAGGGACGCTTCTCGAGGTGAGGCAGGGCACCCAAGGACCCTTTCCAGTAGCCACAGGGATTTTGGGATTCCTATCAGTATTCAAGAGCAGTCAGGCATCGTCACCTTTTGAAGCAATGAACTCCGCGTGCCTCTCGAGGTGTCAGCGGGATGTGAGGAATTCCGTCAAAATGAGGCAGGGACCTAGGGCTTTCTCTAAGGTCTCCACAGGGGATTCAGACATCCCTTCATGTTGTGAGATGAAAGACGAGCCTGTATTCAAGCCACTGCAAGGAAATCCGGCCTCCTTTCAAGTGAGGGCTTCTCGCTGTATATTCCCCTTGAGGCAGCAAACTCGGGGTCCCTCCCACATACCTATTGCTGAGAGAAGCCTCCTCCTGAGGTGCTTCTGGGAAGTTGGCATACGTCTTGAGCCTAAGCCAGGGAATCAGCTCGCATCTCGAGACGATTTGGGGTACACGGAGCATTCCTCGAGTTGCTGTGCTGAAGTTGGTGTTCCTCTAGACTTGGGACAGTGTTCTCGGGGCATCTCTGGAGTTGCCTGAAGGAAGTCGAGCCACCGGTCGTGTTGAATGGGGAACGGGGAATGGCTCTGGAGTCAATGCAGGGGAATCGGGCCTCATCTCGAGTTGATTTGGGGCACATGGAGCTGCTTTGCGTTGCTGGGGTGACCTCAGGGTCCGTCTAGACTGGTGACAGTGTTCTTGGGGACTGTCTCGAGATCCATTAAGCAAGTCGAAGCTCCTGACTTGTTTGAATGGGATCACGGAATAGCTCTGCATGCACTGCAGGGGAATGGGGCCTCATCTCGCCTCTAGGGGGAAGTCTCATGGTTTTTCTCGAGTTGCGGCGGGGACCTGGGGTATGTTCTCGACTTACGGCGGGGATGGCCCTTCAAAACACGAGTTTCTTCAGTGACGTCAGGACTCCTGTCTAGTAACGAGGGACACCTCAGGAATCTCTTCGAGGCTTGGCAGGGCCAAAGGGACGCTTCTCGAGGTGAGGCAGGGCACCCAAGGACCCTTTCCAGTAGCCACAGGGATTTTGGGATTCCTATCAGTATTCAAGAGGAGTCAGGCATCGTCACCTTTTGAAGCAATGAACTCCGCGTGCCTCTCGAGGTGTCAGCGGGATGTGAGGCATTCCGTCAAAATGAGGCAGGGACCTAGGGCTTTCTCTAAGGTCTCCACAGGGGATTCAGACATCCCTTCATGTTGTGAGATGAAAGACGAGCCTGTATTCAAGCCACTGCAAGGAAATCCGGCCTCCTTTCAAGTGAGGGCTTCTCGCTGTATATTCCCCTTGAGGCAGCAAACTCGGGGTCCCTCCCACATACCTATTGCTGAGAGAAGCCTCCTCCTGAGGTGCTTCTGGGAAGTTGGCATACGTCTTGAGCCTAAGCCAGGGAATCAGCTCGCATCTCGAGACGATTTGGGGTACACGGAGCATTCCTCGAGTTGCTGTGCTGAAGTTGGTGTTCCTCTAGACTTGGGACAGTGTTCTCGGGGCATCTCTGGAGTTGCCTGAAGGAAGTCGAGCCACCGGTCGTGTTGAATGGGGAACGGGGAATGGCTCTGGAGTCAATGCAGGGGAATCGGGCCTCATCTCGAGTTGATTTGGGGCACATGGAGCTGCTTTGCGTTGCTGGGGTGACCTCAGGGTCCGTCTAGACTGGTGACAGTGTTCTTGGGGACTGTCTCGAGATCCATTAAGCAAGTCGAAGCTCCTGACTTGTTTGAATGGGATCACGGAATAGCTCTGCATGCACTGCAGGGGAATGGGGCCTCATCTCGCCTCTAGGGGGAAGTCTCATGGTTTTTCTCGAGTTGCGGCGGGGACCTGGGGGATGTTCTCGACTTACGGCGGGGATGGCCCTTCAAAACACGAGTTTCTTCAGTGACGTCAGGACTCCTGTCTAGTAACGAGGGACACCTCAGGAATCTCTTCGAGGCTTGGCAGGGCCAAAGGGACGCTTCTCGAGGTGAGGCAGGGCACCCAAGGACCCTTTCCAGTAGCCACAGGGATTTTGGGATTCCTATCAGTATTCAAGAGGAGTCAGGCATCGTCACCTTTTGAAGCAATGAACTCCGCGTGCCTCTCGAGGTGTCAGCGGGATGTGAGGCATTCCGTCAAAATGAGGCAGGGACCTAGGGCTTTCTCTAAGGTCTCCACAGGGGATTCAGACATCCCTTCATGTTGTGAGATGAAAGACGAGCCTGTATTCAAGCCACTGCAAGGAAATCCGGCCTCCTTTCAAGTGAGGGCTTCTCGCTGTATATTCCCCTTGAAGCAGCAAACTCGGGGTCCCTCCCACATACCTATTGCTGAGAGAAGCCTCCTCCTGAGGTGCTTCTGGGAAGTTGGCATACGTCTTGAGCCTAAGCCAGGGAATCAGCTCGCATCTCGAGACGATTTGGGGTACACGGAGCATTCCTCGAGTTGCTGTGCTGAAGTTGGTGTTCCTCTAGACTTGGGACAGTGTTCTCGGGGCATCTCTGGAGTTGCCTGAAGGAAGTCGAGCCACCGGTCGTGTTGAATGGGGAACGGGGAATGGCTCTGGAGTCAATGCAGGGGAATCGGGCCTCATCTCGAGTTGATTTGGGGCACATGGAGCTGCTTTGCGTTGCTGGGGTGACCTCAGGGTCCGTCTAGACTGGTGACAGTGTTCTTGGGGACTGTCTCGAGATCCATTAAGCAAGTCGAAGCTCCTGACTTGTTTGAATGGGATCACGGAATAGCTCTGCATGCACTGCAGGGGAATGGGGCCTCATCTCGCCTCTAGGGGGAAGTCTCATGGTTTTTCTCGAGTTGCGGCGGGGACCTGGGGTATGTTCTCGACTTACGGCGGGGATGGCCCTTCAAAACACGAGTTTCTTCAGTGACGTCAGGACTCCTGTCTAGTAACGAGGGACACCTCAGGAATCTCTTCGAGGCTTGGCAGGGCCAAAGGGACGCTTCCCGAGGTGAGGCAGGGCACCCAAGGACCCTTTCCAGTAGCCACAGGGATTTTGGGATTCCTATCAGTATTCAAGAGGAGTCAGGCATCGTCACCTTTTGAAGCAATGAACTCCGCGTGCCTCTCGAGGTGTCAGCGGGATGTGAGGCATTCCGTCAAAATGAGGCAGGGACCTAGGGCTTTCTCTAAGGTCTCCACAGGGGATTCAGACATCCCTTCATGTTGTGAGATGAAAGACGAGCCTGTATTCAAGCCACTGCTAGGAAATCCGGCCTCCTTTCAAGTGAGGGCTTCTCGCTGTATATTCCCCTTGAGGCAGCAAACTCGGGGTCCCTCCCACATACCTATTGCTGAGAGAAGCCTCCTCCTGAGGTGCTTCTGGGAAGTTGGCATACGTCTTGAGCCTAAGCCAGGGAATCAGCTCGCATCTCGAGACGATTTGGGGTACACGGAGCATTCCTCGAGTTGCTGTGCTGAAGTTGGTGTTCCTCTAGACTTGGGACAGTGTTCTCGGGGCATCTCTGGAGTTGCCTGAAGGAAGTCGAGCCACCGGTCGTGTTGAATGGGGAACGGGGAATGGCTCTGGAGTCAATGCAGGGGAATCGGGCCTCATCTCGAGTTGATTTGGGGCACATGGAGCTGCTTTGCGTTGCTGGGGTGACCTCAGGGTCCGTCTAGACTGGTGACAGTGTTCTTGGGGACTGTCTCGAGATCCATTAAGCAAGTCGAAGCTCCTGACTTGTTTGAATGGGATCACGGAATAGCTCTGCATGCACTGCAGGGGAATGGGGCCTCATCTCGCCTCTAGGGGGAAGTCTCATGGTTTTTCTCGAGTTGCGGCGGGGACCTGGGGTATGTTCTCGACTTACGGCGGGGATGGCCCTTCAAAACACGAGTTTCTTCAGTGACGTCAGGACTCCTGTCTAGTAACGAGGGACACCTCAGGAATCTCTTCGAGGCTTGGCAGAGCCAAAGGGACGCTTCTCGAGGTGAGGCAGGGCACCCAAGGACCCTTTCCAGTAGCCACAGGGATTTTGGGATTCCTATCAGTATTCAAGAGCAGTCAGGCATCGTCACCTTTTGAAGCAATGAACTCCGCGTGCCTCTCGAGGTGTCAGCGGGATGTGAGGCATTCCTTCAAAATGAGGCAGGGACCTAGGGCTTTCTCTAAGGTCTCCACAGGGGATTCAGACATCCCTTCATGTTGTGAGATGAAAGACGAGCCTGTATTCAAGCCACTGCAAGGAAATCCGGCCTCCTTTCAAGTGAGGGCTTCTCGCTGTATATTCCCCTTGAGGCAGCAAACTCGGGGTCCCTCCCACATACCTATTGCTGAGAGAAGCCTCCTCCTGAGGTGCTTCTGGGAAGTTGGCATACGTCTTGAGCCTAAGCCAGGGAATCAGCTCGCATCTCGAGACGATTTGGGGTACACGGAGCATTCCTCGAGTTGCTGTGCTGAAGTTGGTGTTCCTCTAGACTTGGGACAGTGTTCTCGGGGCATCTCTGGAGTTGCCTGAAGGAAGTCGAGCCACCGGTCGTGTTGAATGGGGAACGGGGAATGGCTCTGGAGTCAATGCAGGGGAATCGGGCCTCATCTCGAGTTGATTTGGGGCACATGGAGCTGCTTTGCGTTGCTGGGGTGACCTCAGGGTCCGTCTAGACTGGTGACAGTGTTCTTGGGGACTGTCTCGAGATCCATTAAGCAAGTCGAAGCTCCTGACTTGTTTGAATGGGATCACGGAATAGCTCTGCATGCACTGCAGGGGAATGGGGCCTCATCTCGCCTCTAGGGGGAAGTCTCATGGTTTTTCTCGAGTTGCGGCGGGGACCTGGGGTATGTTCTCGACTTACGGCGGGGATGGCCCTTCAAAACACGAGTTTCTTCAGTGACGTCAGGACTCCTGTCTAGTAACGAGGGACACCTCAGGAATCTCTTCGAGGCTTGGCAGGGCCAAAGGGACGCTTCTCGAGGTGAGGCAGGGCACCCAAGGACCCTTTCCAGTAGCCACAGGGATTTTGGGATTCCTATCAGTATTCAAGAGGAGTCAGGCATCGTCACCTTTTGAAGCAATGAACTCCGCGTGCCTCTCGAGGTGTCAGCGGGATGTGAGGCATTCCGTCAAAATGAGGCAGGGACCTAGGGCTTTCTCTAAGGTCTCCACAGGGGATTCAGACATCCCTTCATGTTGTGAGATGAAAGACGAGCCTGTATTCAAGCCACTGCTAGGAAATCCGGCCTCCTTTCAAGTGAGGGCTTCTCGCTGTATATTCCCCTTGAGGCAGCAAACTCGGGGTCCCTCCCACATACCTATTGCTGAGAGAAGCCTCCTCCTGAGGTGCTTCTGGGAAGTTGGCATACGTCTTGAGCCTAAGCCAGGGAATCAGCTCGCATCTCGAGACGATTTGGGGTACACGGAGCATTCCTCGAGTTGCTGTGCTGAAGTTGGTGTTCCTCTAGACTTGGGACAGTGTTCTCGGGGCATCTCTGGAGTTGCCTGAAGGAAGTCGAGCCACCGGTCGTGTTGAATGGGGAACGGGGAATGGCTCTGGAGTCAATGCAGGGGAATCGGGCCTCATCTCGAGTTGATTTGGGGCACATGGAGCTGCTTTGCGTTGCTGGGGTGACCTCAGGGTCCGTCTAGACTGGTGACAGTGTTCTTGGGGACTGTCTCGAGATCCATTAAGCAAGTCGAAGCTCCTGACTTGTTTGAATGGGATCACGGAATAGCTCTGCATGCACTGCAGGGGAATGGGGCCTCATCTCGCCTCTAGGGGGAAGTCTCATGGTTTTTCTCGAGTTGCGGCGGGGACCTGGGGGATGTTCTCGACTTACGGCGGGGATGGCCCTTCAAAACACGAGTTTCTTCAGTGACGTCAGGACTCCTGTCTAGTAACGAGGGACACCTCAGGAATCTCTTCGAGGCTTGGCAGGGCCAAAGGGACGCTTCTCGAGGTGAGGCAGGGCACCCAAGGACCCTTTCCAGTAGCCACAGGGATGTTGGGATTCCTATCAGTATTCAAGAGCAGTCAGGCATCGTCACCTTTTGAAGCAATGAACTCCGCGTGCCTCTCGAGGTGTCAGCGGGATGTGAGGCATTCCGTCAAAATGAGGCAGGGACCTAGGGCTTTCTCTAAGGTCTCCACAGGGGATTCAGACATCCCTTCATGTTGTGAGATGAAAGACGAGCCTGTATTCAAGCCACTGCAAGGAAATCCGGCCTCCTTTCAAGTGAGGGCTTCTCGCTGTATATTCCCCTTGAGGCAGCAAACTCGGGGTCCCTCCCACATACCTATTGCTGAGAGAAGCCTCCTCCTGAGGTGCTTCTGGGAAGTTGGCATACGTCTTGAGCCTAAGCCAGGGAATCAGCTCGCATCTCGAGACGATTTGGGGTACACGGAGCATTCCTCGAGTTGCTGTGCTGAAGTTGGTGTTCCTCTAGACTTGGGACAGTGTTCTCGGGGCATCTCTGGAGTTGCCTGAAGGAAGTCGAGCCACCGGTCGTGTTGAATGGGGAACGGGGAATGGCTCTGGAGTCAATGCAGGGGAATCGGGCCTCATCTCGAGTTGATTTGGGGCACATGGAGCTGCTTTGCGTTGCTGGGGTGACCTCAGGGTCCGTCTAGACTGGTGACAGTGTTCTTGGGGACTGTCTCGAGATCCATTAAGCAAGTCGAAGCTCCTGACTTGTTTGAATGGGATCACGGAATAGCTCTGCATGCACTGCAGGGGAATGGGGCCTCATCTCGCCTCTAGGGGGAAGTCTCATGGTTTTTCTCGAGTTGCGGCGGGGACCTGGGGTATGTTCTCGACTTACGGCGGGGATGGCCCTTCAAAACACGAGTTTCTTCAGTGACGTCAGGACTCCTGTCTAGTAACGAGGGACACCTCAGGAATCTCTTCGAGGCTTGGCAGGGCCAAAGGGACGCTTCTCGAGGTGAGGCAGGGCACCCAAGGACCCTTTCCAGTAGCCACAGGGATTTTGGGATTCCTATCAGTATTCAAGAGGAGTCAGGCATCGTCACCTTTTGAAGCAATGAACTCCGCGTGCCTCTCGAGGTGTCAGCGGGATGTGAGGCATTCCGTCAAAATGAGGCAGGGACCTAGGGCTTTCTCTAAGGTCTCCACAGGGGATTCAGACATCCCTTCATGTTGTGAGATGAAAGACGAGCCTGTATTCAAGCCACTGCAAGGAAATCTGGCCTCCGTTCACATTAGGGCTTCTCCCTGTGTATTCCCCTTGAGGCAGCAAACTCCGGGTCCCTCCCACATACCTATTGCTGAGAGAAGCCTCCTCCTGAGGTGCTTCTGGGAAGTTGGCATACGTCTTGAGCCTAAGCCAGGGAATCAGCTCGCATCTCGAGACGATTTGGGGTACACGGAGCATTCCTCGAGTTGCTGTGCTGAAGTTGGTGTTCCTCTAGACTTGGGACAGTGTTCTCGGGGCATCTCTGGAGTTGCCTGAAGGAAGTCGAGCCACCGGTCGTGTTGAATGGGGAACGGGGAATGGCTCTGGAGTCAATGCAGGGGAATCGGGCCTCATCTCGAGTTGATTTGGGGCACATGGAGCTGCTTTGCGTTGCTGGGGTGACCTCAGGGTCCGTCTAGACTGGTGACAGTGTTCTTGGGGACTGTCTCGAGATCCATTAAGCAAGTCGAAGCTCCTGACTTGTTTGAATGGGATCACGGAATAGCTCTGCATGCACTGCAGGGGAATGGGGCCTCATCTCGCCTCTAGGGGGAAGTCTCATGGTTTTTCTCGAGTTGCGGCGGGGACCTGGGGTATGTTCTCGACTTACGGCGGGGATGGCCCTTCAAAACACGAGTTTCTTCAGTGACGTCAGGACTCCTGTCTAGTAACGAGGGACACCTCAGGAATCTCTTCGAGGCTTGGCAGGGCCAAAGGGACGCTTCTCGAGGTGAGGCAGGGCACCCAAGGACCCTTTCCAGTAGCCACAGGGATTTTGGGATTCCTATCAGTATTCAAGAGGAGTCAGGCATCGTCACCTTTTGAAGCAATGAACTCCGCGTGCCTCTCGAGGTGTCAGCGGGATGTGAGGCATTCCGTCAAAATGAGGCAGGGACCTAGGGCTTTCTCTAAGGTCTCCACAGGGGATTCAGACATCCCTTCATGTTGTGAGATGAAAGACGAGCCTGTATTCAAGCCACTGCTAGGAAATCCGGCCTCCTTTCAAGTGAGGGCTTCTCGCTGTATATTCCCCTTGAGGCAGCAAACTCGGGGTCCCTCCCACATACCTATTGCTGAGAGAAGCCTCCTCCTGAGGTGCTTCTGGGAAGTTGGCATACGTCTTGAGCCTAAGCCAGGGAATCAGCTCGCATCTCGAGACGATTTGGGGTACACGGAGCATTCCTCGAGTTGCTGTGCTGAAGTTGGTGTTCCTCTAGACTTGGGACAGTGTTCTCGGGGCATCTCTGGAGTTGCCTGAAGGAAGTCGAGCCACCGGTCGTGTTGAATGGGGAACGGGGAATGGCTCTGGAGTCAATGCAGGGGAATCGGGCCTCATCTCGAGTTGATTTGGGGCACATGGAGCTGCTTTGCGTTGCTGGGGTGACCTCAGGGTCCGTCTAGACTGGTGACAGTGTTCTTGGGGACTGTCTCGAGATCCATTAAGCAAGTCGAAGCTCCTGACTTGTTTGAATGGGATCACGGAATAGCTCTGCATGCACTGCAGGGGAATGGGGCCTCATCTCGCCTCTAGGGGGAAGTCTCATGGTTTTTCTCGAGTTGCGGCGGGGACCTGGGGGATGTTCTCGACTTACGGCGGGGATGGCCCTTCAAAACACGAGTTTCTTCAGTGACGTCAGGACTCCTGTCTAGTAACGAGGGACACCTCAGGAATCTCTTCGAGGCTTGGCAGGGCCAAAGGGACGCTTCTCGAGGTGAGGCAGGGCACCCAAGGACCCTTTCCAGTAGCCACAGGGATTTTGGGATTCCTATCAGTATTCAAGAGGAGTCAGGCATCGTCACCTTTTGAAGCAATGAACTCCGCGTGCCTCTCGAGGTGTCAGCGGGATGTGAGGCATTCCGTCAAAATGAGGCAGGGACCTAGGGCTTTCTCTAAGGTCTCCACAGGGGATTCAGACATCCCTTCATGTTGTGAGATGAAAGACGAGCCTGTATTCAAGCCACTGCAAGGAAATCCGGCCTCCTTTCAAGTGAGGGCTTCTCGCTGTATATTCCCATTGAGGCAGCAAACTCGGGGTCCCTCCCACATACCTATTGCTGAGAGAAGCCTCCTCCTGAGGTGCTTCTGGGAAGTTGGCATACGTCTTGAGCCTAAGCCAGGGAATCAGCTCGAATCTCGAGACGATTTGGGGTACACGGAGCATTCCTCGAGTTGCTGTGCTGAAGTTGGTGTTCCTCTAGACTTGGGACAGTGTTCTCGGGGCATCTCTGGAGTTGCCTGAAGGAAGTCGAGCCACCGGTCGTGTTGAATGGGGAACGGGGAATGGCTCTGGAGTCAATGCAGGGGAATCGGGCCTCATCTCGAGTTGATTTGGGGCACATGGAGCTGCTTTGCGTTGCTGGGGTGACCTCAGGGTCCGTCTAGACTGGTGACAGTGTTCTTGGGGACTGTCTCGAGATCCATTAAGCAAGTCGAAGCTCCTGACTTGTTTGAATGGGATCACGGAATAGCTCTGCATGCACTGCAGGGGAATGGGGCCTCATCTCGCCTCTAGGGGGAAGTCTCATGGTTTTTCTCGAGTTGCGGCGGGGACCTGGGGTATGTTCTCGACTTACGGCGGGGATGGCCCTTCAAAACACGAGTTTCTTCAGTGACGTCAGGACTCCTGTCTAGTAACGAGGGACACCTCAGGAATCTCTTCGAGGCTTGGCAGGGCCAAAGGGACGCTTCTCGAGGTGAGGCAGGGCACCCAAGGACCCTTTCCAGTAGCCACAGGGATTTTGGGATTCCTATCAGTATTCAAGAGGAGTCAGGCATCGTCACCTTTTGAAGCAATGAACTCCGCGTGCCTCTCGAGGTGTCAGCGGGATGTGAGGCATTCCGTCAAAATGAGGCAGGGACCTAGGGCTTTCTCTAAGGTCTCCACAGGGGATTCAGACATCCCTTCATGTTGTGAGATGAAAGACGAGCCTGTATTCAAGCCACTGCAAGGAAATCCGGCCTCCTTTCAAGTGAGGGCTTCTCGCTGTATATTCCCCTTGAAGCAGCAAACTCGGGGTCCCTCCCACATACCTATTGCTGAGAGAAGCCTCCTCCTGAGGTGCTTCTGGGAAGTTGGCATACGTCTTGAGCCTAAGCCAGGGAATCAGCTCGCATCTCGAGACGATTTGGGGTACACGGAGCATTCCTCGAGTTGCTGTGCTGAAGTTGGTGTTCCTCTAGACTTGGGACAGTGTTCTCGGGGCATCTCTGGAGTTGCCTGAAGGAAGTCGAGCCACCGGTCGTGTTGAATGGGGAACGGGGAATGGCTCTGGAGTCAATGCAGGGGAATCGGGCCTCATCTCGAGTTGATTTGGGGCACATGGAGCTGCTTTGCGTTGCTGGGGTGACCTCAGGGTCCGTCTAGACTGGTGACAGTGTTCTTGGGGACTGTCTCGAGATCCATTAAGCAAGTCGAAGCTCCTGACTTGTTTGAATGGGATCACGGAATAGCTCTGCATGCACTGCAGGGGAATGGGGCCTCATCTCGCCTCTAGGGGGAAGTCTCATGGTTTTTCTCGAGTTGCGGCGGGGACCTGGGGTATGTTCTCGACTTACGGCGGGGATGGCCCTTCAAAACACGAGTTTCTTCAGTGACGTCAGGACTCCTGTCTAGTAACGAGGGACACCTCAGGAATCTCTTCGAGGCTTGGCAGGGCCAAAGGGACGCTTCTCGAGGTGAGGCAGGGCACCCAAGGACCCTTTCCAGTAGCCACAGGGATTTTGGGATTCCTATCAGTATTCAAGAGGAGTCAGGCATCGTCACCTTTTGAAGCAATGAACTCCGCGTGCCTCTCGAGGTGTCAGCGGGATGTGAGGCATTCCGTCAAAATGAGGCAGGGACCTAGGGCTTTCTCTAAGGTCTCCACAGGGGATTCAGACATCCCTTCATGTTGTGAGATGAAAGACGAGCCTGTATTCAAGCCACTGCAAGGAAATCCGGCCTCCTTTCAAGTGAGGGCTTCTCGCTGTATATTCCCATTGAGGCAGCAAACTCGGGGTCCCTCCCACATACCTATTGCTGAGAGAAGCCTCCTCCTGAGGTGCTTCTGGGAAGTTGGCATACGTCTTGAGCCTAAGCCAGGGAATCAGCTCGAATCTCGAGACGATTTGGGGTAGACGGAGCATTCCTCGAGTTGCTGTGCTGAAGTTGGTGTTCCTCTAGACTTGGGACAGTGTTCTCGGGGCATCTCTGGAGTTGCCTGAAGGAAGTCGAGCCACCGGTCGTGTTGAATGGGGAACGGGGAATGGCTCTGGAGTCAATGCAGGGGAATCGGGCCTCATCTCGAGTTGATTTGGGGCACATGGAGCTGCTTTGCGTTGCTGGGGTGACCTCAGGGTCCGTCTAGACTGGTGACAGTGTTCTTGGGGACTGTCTCGAGATCCATTAAGCAAGTCGAAGCTCCTGACTTGTTTGAATGGGATCACGGAATAGCTCTGCATGCACTGCAGGGGAATGGGGCCTCATCTCGCCTCTAGGGGGAAGTCTCATGGTTTTTCTCGAGTTGCGGCGGGGACCTGGGGTATGTTCTCGACTTACGGCGGGGATGGCCCTTCAAAACACGAGTTTCTTCAGTGACGTCAGGACTCCTGTCTAGTAACGAGGGACACCTCAGGAATCTCTTCGAGGCTTGGCAGGGCCAAAGGGACGCTTCTCGAGGTGAGGCAGGGCACCCAAGGACCCTTTCCAGTAGCCACAGGGATTTTGGGATTCCTATCAGTATTCAAGAGGAGTCAGGCATCGTCACCTTTTGAAGCAGTGAACTCCGCGTGCCTCTCGAGGTGTCAGCGGGATGTGAGGCATTCCGTCAAAATGAGGCAGGGACCTAGGGCTTTCTCTAAGGTCTCCACAGGGGATTCAGACATCCCTTCATGTTGTGAGATGAAAGACGAGCCTGTATTCAAGCCACTGCAAGGAAATCCGGCCTCCTTTCAAGTGAGGGCTTCTCGCTGTATATTCCCCTTGAGGCAGCAAACTCGGGGTCCCTCCCACATACCTATTGCTGAGAGAAGCCTCCTCCTGAGGTGCTTCTGGGAAGTTGGCATACGTCTTGAGCCTAAGCCAGGGAATCAGCTCGCATCTCGAGACGATTTGGGGTACACGGAGCATTCCTCGAGTTGCTGTGCTGAAGTTGGTGTTCCTCTAGACTTGGGACAGTGTTCTCGGGGCATCTCTGGAGTTGCCTGAAGGAAGTCGAGCCACCGGTCGTGTTGAATGGGGAACGGGGAATGGCTCTGGAGTCAATGCAGGGGAATCGGGCCTCATCTCGAGTTGATTTGGGGCACATGGAGCTGCTTTGCGTTGCTGGGGTGACCTCAGGGTCCGTCTAGACTGGTGACAGTGTTCTTGGGGACTGTCTCGAGATCCATTAAGCAAGTCGAAGCTCCTGACTTGTTTGAATGGGATCACGGAATAGCTCTGCATGCACTGCAGGGGAATGGGGCCTCATCTCGCCTCTAGGGGGAAGTCTCATGGTTTTTCTCGAGTTGCGGCGGGGACCTGGGGTATGTTCTCGACTTACGGCGGGGATGGCCCTTCAAAACACGAGTTTCTTCAGTGACGTCAGGACTCCTGTCTAGTAACGAGGGACACCTCAGGAATCTCTTCGAGGCTTGGCAGGGCCAAAGGGACGCTTCTCGAGGTGAGGCAGGGCACCCAAGGACCCTTTCCAGTAGCCACAGGGATTTTGGGATTCCTATCAGTATTCAAGAGCAGTCAGGCATCGTCACCTTTTGAAGCAATGAACTCCGCGTGCCTCTCGAGGTGTCAGCGGGATGTGAGGCATTCCGTCAAAATGAGGCAGGGACCTAGGGCTTTCTCTAAGGTCTCCACAGGGGATTCAGACATCCCTTCATGTTGTGAGATGAAAGACGAGCCTGTATTCAAGCCACTGCAAGGAAATCCGGCCTCCTTTCAAGTGAGGGCTTCTCGCTGTATATTCCCCTTGAGGCAGCAAACTCGGGGTCCCTCCCACATACCTATTGCTGAGAGAAGCCTCCTCCTGAGGTGCTTCTGGGAAGTTGGCATACGTCTTGAGCCTAAGCCAGGGAATCAGCTCGCATCTCGAGACGATTTGGGGTACACGGAGCATTCCTCGAGTTGCTGTGCTGAAGTTGGTGTTCCTCTAGACTTGGGACAGTGTTCTCGGGGCATCTCTGGAGTTGCCTGAAGGAAGTCGAGCCACCGGTCGTGTTGAATGGGGAACGGGGAATGGCTCTGGAGTCAATGCAGGGGAATCGGGCCTCATCTCGAGTTGATTTGGGGCACATGGAGCTGCTTTGCGTTGCTGGGGTGACCTCAGGGTCCGTCTAGACTGGTGACAGTGTTCTTGGGGACTGTCTCGAGATCCATTAAGCAAGTCGAAGCTCCTGACTTGTTTGAATGGGATCACGGAATAGCTCTGCATGCACTGCAGGGGAATGGGGCCTCATCTCGCCTCTAGGGGGAAGTCTCATGGTTTTTCTCGAGTTGCGGCGGGGACCTGGGGTATGTTCTCGACTTACGGCGGGGATGGCCCTTCAAAACACGAGTTTCTTCAGTGACGTCAGGACTCCTGTCTAGTAACGAGGGACACCTCAGGAATCTCTTCGAGGCTTGGCAGGGCCAAAGGGACGCTTCTCGAGGTGAGGCAGGGCACCCAAGGACCCTTTCCAGTAGCCACAGGGATTTTGGGATTCCTATCAGTATTCAAGAGGAGTCAGGCATCGTCACCTTTTGAAGCAATGAACTCCGCGTGCCTCTCGAGGTGTCAGCGGGATGTGAGGCATTCCGTCAAAATGAGGCAGGGACCTAGGGCTTTCTCTAAGGTCTCCACAGGGGATTCAGACATCCCTTCATGTTGTGAGATGAAAGACGAGCCTGTATTCAAGCCACTGCAAGGAAATCCGGCCTCCTTTCAAGTGAGGGCTTCTCGCTGTATATTCCCCTTGAGGCAGCAAACTCGGGGTCCCTCCCACATACCTATTGCTGAGAGAAGCCTCCTCCTGAGGTGCTTCTGGGAAGTTGGCATACGTCTTGAGCCTAAGCCAGGGAATCAGCTCGCATCTCGAGACGATTTGGGGTACACGGAGCATTCCTCGAGTTGCTGTGCTGAAGTTGGTGTTCCTCTAGACTTGGGACAGTGTTCTCGGGGCATCTCTGGAGTTGCCTGAAGGAAGTCGAGCCACCGGTCGTGTTGAATGGGGAACGGGGAATGGCTCTGGAGTCAATGCAGGGGAATCGGGCCTCATCTCGAGTTGATTTGGGGCACATGGAGCTGCTTTGCGTTGCTGGGGTGACCTCAGGGTCCGTCTAGACTGGTGACAGTGTTCTTGGGGACTGTCTCGAGATCCATTAAGCAAGTCGAAGCTCCTGACTTGTTTGAATGGGATCACGGAATAGCTCTGCATGCACTGCAGGGGAATGGGGCCTCATCTCGCCTCTAGGGGGAAGTCTCATGGTTTTTCTCGAGTTGCGGCGGGGACCTGGGGGATGTTCTCGACTTACGGCGGGGATGGCCCTTCAAAACACGAGTTTCTTCAGTGACGTCAGGACTCCTGTCTAGTAACGAGGGACACCTCAGGAATCTCTTCGAGGCTTGGCAGGGCCAAAGGGACGCTTCTCGAGGTGAGGCAGGGCACCCAAGGACCCTTTCCAGTAGCCACAGGGATTTTGGGATTCCTATCAGTATTCAAGAGGAGTCAGGCATCGTCACCTTTTGAAGCAATGAACTCCGCGTGCCTCTCGAGGTGTCAGCGGGATGTGAGGCATTCCGTCAAAATGAGGCAGGGACCTAGGGCTTTCTCTAAGGTCTCCACAGGGGATTCAGACATCCCTTCATGTTGTGAGATGAAAGACGAGCCTGTATTCAAGCCACTGCAAGGAAATCCGGCCTCCTTTCAAGTGAGGGCTTCTCGCTGTATATTCCCCTTGAAGCAGCAAACTCGGGGTCCCTCCCACATACCTATTGCTGAGAGAAGCCTCCTCCTGAGGTGCTTCTGGGAAGTTGGCATACGTCTTGAGCCTAAGCCAGGGAATCAGCTCGCATCTCGAGACGATTTGGGGTACACGGAGCATTCCTCGAGTTGCTGTGCTGAAGTTGGTGTTCCTCTAGACTTGGGACAGTGTTCTCGGGGCATCTCTGGAGTTGCCTGAAGGAAGTCGAGCCACCGGTCGTGTTGAATGGGGAACGGGGAATGGCTCTGGAGTCAATGCAGGGGAATCGGGCCTCATCTCGAGTTGATTTGGGGCACATGGAGCTGCTTTGCGTTGCTGGGGTGACCTCAGGGTCCGTCTAGACTGGTGACAGTGTTCTTGGGGACTGTCTCGAGATCCATTAAGCAAGTCGAAGCTCCTGACTTGTTTGAATGGGATCACGGAATAGCTCTGCATGCACTGCAGGGGAATGGGGCCTCATCTCGCCTCTAGGGGGAAGTCTCATGGTTTTTCTCGAGTTGCGGCAGGGACCTGGGGTATGTTCTCGACTTACGGCGGGGATGGCCCTTCAAAACACGAGTTTCTTCAGTGACGTCAGGACTCCTGTCTAGTAACGAGGGACACCTCAGGAATCTCTTCGAGGCTTGGCAGGGCCAAAGGGACGCTTCCCGAGGTGAGGCAGGGCACCCAAGGACCCTTTCCAGTAGCCACAGGGATTTTGGGATTCCTATCAGTATTCAAGAGGAGTCAGGCATCGTCACCTTTTGAAGCAATGAACTCCGCGTGCCTCTCGAGGTGTCAGCGGGATGTGAGGCATTCCGTCAAAATGAGGCAGGGACCTAGGGCTTTCTCTAAGGTCTCCACAGGGGATTCAGACATCCCTTCATGTTGTGAGATGAAAGACGAGCCTGTATTCAAGCCACTGCTAGGAAATCCGGCCTCCTTTCAAGTGAGGGCTTCTCGCTGTATATTCCCCTTGAGGCAGCAAACTCGGGGTCCCTCCCACATACCTATTGCTGAGAGAAGCCTCCTCCTGAGGTGCTTCTGGGAAGTTGGCATACGTCTTGAGCCTAAGCCAGGGAATCAGCTCGCATCTCGAGACGATTTGGGGTACACGGAGCATTCCTCGAGTTGCTGTGCTGAAGTTGGTGTTCCTCTAGACTTGGGACAGTGTTCTCGGGGCATCTCTGGAGTTGCCTGAAGGAAGTCGAGCCACCGGTCGTGTTGAATGGGGAACGGGGAATGGCTCTGGAGTCAATGCAGGGGAATCGGGCCTCATCTCGAGTTGATTTGGGGCACATGGAGCTGCTTTGCGTTGCTGGGGTGACCTCAGGGTCCGTCTAGACTGGTGACAGTGTTCTTGGGGACTGTCTCGAGATCCATTAAGCAAGTCGAAGCTCCTGACTTGTTTGAATGGGATCACGGAATAGCTCTGCATGCACTGCAGGGGAATGGGGCCTCATCTCGCCTCTAGGGGGAAGTCTCATGGTTTTTCTCGAGTTGCGGCGGGGACCTGGGGTATGTTCTCGACTTACGGCGGGGATGGCCCTTCAAAACACGAGTTTCTTCAGTGACGTCAGGACTCCTGTCTAGTAACGAGGGACACCTCAGGAATCTCTTCGAGGCTTGGCAGGGCCAAAGGGACGCTTCTCGAGGTGAGGCAGGGCACCCAAGGACCCTTTCCAGTAGCCACAGGGATTTTGGGATTCCTATCAGTATTCAAGAGCAGTCAGGCATCGTCACCTTTTGAAGCAATGAACTCCGCGTGCCTCTCGAGGTGTCAGCGGGATGTGAGGCATTCCTTCAAAATGAGGCAGGGACCTAGGGCTTTCTCTAAGGTCTCCACAGGGGATTCAGACATCCCTTCATGTTGTGAGATGAAAGACGAGCCTGTATTCAAGCCACTGCAAGGAAATCCGGCCTCCTTTCAAGTGAGGGCTTCTCGCTGTATATTCCCCTTGAGGCAGCAAACTCGGGGTCCCTCCCACATACCTATTGCTGAGAGAAGCCTCCTCCTGAGGTGCTTCTGGGAAGTTGGCATACGTCTTGAGCCTAAGCCAGGGAATCAGCTCGCATCTCGAGACGATTTGGGGTACACGGAGCATTCCTCGAGTTGCTGTGCTGAAGTTGGTGTTCCTCTAGACTTGGGACAGTGTTCTCGGGGCATCTCTGGAGTTGCCTGAAGGAAGTCGAGCCACCGGTCGTGTTGAATGGGGAACGGGGAATGGCTCTGGAGTCAATGCAGGGGAATCGGGCCTCATCTCGAGTTGATTTGGGGCACATGGAGCTGCTTTGCGTTGCTGGGGTGACCTCAGGGTCCGTCTAGACTGGTGACAGTGTTCTTGGGGACTGTCTCGAGATCCATTAAGCAAGTCGAAGCTCCTGACTTGTTTGAATGGGATCACGGAATAGCTCTGCATGCACTGCAGGGGAATGGGGCCTCATCTCGCCTCTAGGGGGAAGTCTCATGGTTTTTCTCGAGTTGCGGCGGGGACCTGGGGTATGTTCTCGACTTACGGCGGGGATGGCCCTTCAAAACACGAGTTTCTTCAGTGACGTCAGGACTCCTGTCTAGTAACGAGGGACACCTCAGGAATCTCTTCGAGGCTTGGCAGGGCCAAAGGGACGCTTCTCGAGGTGAGGCAGGGCACCCAAGGACCCTTTCCAGTAGCCACAGGGATTTTGGGATTCCTATCAGTATTCAAGAGGAGTCAGGCATCGTCACCTTTTGAAGCAATGAACTCCGCGTGCCTCTCGAGGTGTCAGCGGGATGTGAGGCATTCCGTCAAAATGAGGCAGGGACCTAGGGCTTTCTCTAAGGTCTCCACAGGGGATTCAGACATCCCTTCATGTTGTGAGATGAAAGACGAGCCTGTATTCAAGCCACTGCTAGGAAATCCGGCCTCCTTTCAAGTGAGGGCTTCTCGCTGTATATTCCCCTTGAGGCAGCAAACTCGGGGTCCCTCCCACATACCTATTGCTGAGAGAAGCCTCCTCCTGAGGTGCTTCTGGGAAGTTGGCATACGTCTTGAGCCTAAGCCAGGGAATCAGCTCGCATCTCGAGACGATTTGGGGTACACGGAGCATTCCTCGAGTTGCTGTGCTGAAGTTGGTGTTCCTCTAGACTTGGGACAGTGTTCTCGGGGCATCTCTGGAGTTGCCTGAAGGAAGTCGAGCCACCGGTCGTGTTGAATGGGGAACGGGGAATGGCTCTGGAGTCAATGCAGGGGAATCGGGCCTCATCTCGAGTTGATTTGGGGCACATGGAGCTGCTTTGCGTTGCTGGGGTGACCTCAGGGTCCGTCTAGACTGGTGACAGTGTTCTTGGGGACTGTCTCGAGATCCATTAAGCAAGTCGAAGCTCCTGACTTGTTTGAATGGGATCACGGAATAGCTCTGCATGCACTGCAGGGGAATGGGGCCTCATCTCGCCTCTAGGGGGAAGTCTCATGGTTTTTCTCGAGTTGCGGCGGGGACCTGGGGGATGTTCTCGACTTACGGCGGGGATGGCCCTTCAAAACACGAGTTTCTTCAGTGACGTCAGGACTCCTGTCTAGTAACGAGGGACACCTCAGGAATCTCTTCGAGGCTTGGCAGGGCCAAAGGGACGCTTCTCGAGGTGAGGCAGGGCACCCAAGGACCCTTTCCAGTAGCCACAGGGATGTTGGGATTCCTATCAGTATTCAAGAGCAGTCAGGCATCGTCACCTTTTGAAGCAATGAACTCCGCGTGCCTCTCGAGGTGTCAGCGGGATGTGAGGCATTCCGTCAAAATGAGGCAGGGACCTAGGGCTTTCTCTAAGGTCTCCACAGGGGATTCAGACATCCCTTCATGTTGTGAGATGAAAGACGAGCCTGTATTCAAGCCACTGCAAGGAAATCCGGCCTCCTTTCAAGTGAGGGCTTCTCGCTGTATATTCCCCTTGAGGCAGCAAACTCGGGGTCCCTCCCACATACCTATTGCTGAGAGAAGCCTCCTCCTGAGGTGCTTCTGGGAAGTTGGCATACGTCTTGAGCCTAAGCCAGGGAATCAGCTCGCATCTCGAGACGATTTGGGGTACACGGAGCATTCCTCGAGTTGCTGTGCTGAAGTTGGTGTTCCTCTAGACTTGGGACAGTGTTCTCGGGGCATCTCTGGAGTTGCCTGAAGGAAGTCGAGCCACCGGTCGTGTTGAATGGGGAACGGGGAATGGCTCTGGAGTCAATGCAGGGGAATCGGGCCTCATCTCGAGTTGATTTGGGGCACATGGAGCTGCTTTGCGTTGCTGGGGTGACCTCAGGGTCCGTCTAGACTGGTGACAGTGTTCTTGGGGACTGTCTCGAGATCCATTAAGCAAGTCGAAGCTCCTGACTTGTTTGAATGGGATCACGGAATAGCTCTGCATGCACTGCAGGGGAATGGGGCCTCATCTCGCCTCTAGGGGGAAGTCTCATGGTTTTTCTCGAGTTGCGGCGGGGACCTGGGGTATGTTCTCGACTTACGGCGGGGATGGCCCTTCAAAACACGAGTTTCTTCAGTGACGTCAGGACTCCTGTCTAGTAACGAGGGACACCTCAGGAATCTCTTCGAGGCTTGGCAGGGCCAAAGGGACGCTTCTCGAGGTGAGGCAGGGCACCCAAGGACCCTTTCCAGTAGCCACAGGGATTTTGGGATTCCTATCAGTATTCAAGAGGAGTCAGGCATCGTCACCTTTTGAAGCAATGAACTCCGCGTGCCTCTCGAGGTGTCAGCGGGATGTGAGGCATTCCGTCAAAATGAGGCAGTGACCTAGGGCTTTCTCTAAGGTCTCCACAGGGGATTCAGACATCCCTTCATGTTGTGAGATGAAAGACGAGCCTGTATTCAAGCCACTGCAAGGAAATCTGGCCTCCGTTCACATTAGGGCTTCTCCCTGTGTATTCCCCTTGAGGCAGCAAACTCCGGGTCCCTCCCACATACCTATTGCTGAGAGAAGCCTCCTCCTGAGGTGCTTCTGGGAAGTTGGCATACGTCTTGAGCCTAAGCCAGGGAATCAGCTCGCATCTCGAGACGATTTGGGGTACACGGAGCATTCCTCGAGTTGCTGTGCTGAAGTTGGTGTTCCTCTAGACTTGGGACAGTGTTCTCGGGGCATCTCTGGAGTTGCCTGAAGGAAGTCGAGCCACCGGTCGTGTTGAATGGGGAACGGGGAATGGCTCTGGAGTCAATGCAGGGGAATCGGGCCTCATCTCGAGTTGATTTGGGGCACATGGAGCTGCTTTGCGTTGCTGGGGTGACCTCAGGGTCCGTCTAGACTGGTGACAGTGTTCTTGGGGACTGTCTCGAGATCCATTAAGCAAGTCGAAGCTCCTGACTTGTTTGAATGGGATCACGGAATAGCTCTGCATGCACTGCAGGGGAATGGGGCCTCATCTCGCCTCTAGGGGGAAGTCTCATGGTTTTTCTCGAGTTGCGGCGGGGACCTGGGGTATGTTCTCGACTTACGGCGGGGATGGCCCTTCAAAACACGAGTTTCTTCAGTGACGTCAGGACTCCTGTCTAGTAACGAGGGACACCTCAGGAATCTCTTCGAGGCTTGGCAGGGCCAAAGGGACGCTTCTCGAGGTGAGGCAGGGCACCCAAGGACCCTTTCCAGTAGCCACAGGGATTTTGGGATTCCTATCAGTATTCAAGAGGAGTCAGGCATCGTCACCTTTTGAAGCAATGAACTCCGCGTGCCTCTCGAGGTGTCAGCGGGATGTGAGGCATTCCGTCAAAATGAGGCAGGGACCTAGGGCTTTCTCTAAGGTCTCCACAGGGGATTCAGACATCCCTTCATGTTGTGAGATGAAAGACGAGCCTGTATTCAAGCCACTGCTAGGAAATCCGGCCTCCTTTCAAGTGAGGGCTTCTCGCTGTATATTCCCCTTGAGGCAGCAAACTCGGGGTCCCTCCCACATACCTATTGCTGAGAGAAGCCTCCTCCTGAGGTGCTTCTGGGAAGTTGGCATACGTCTTGAGCCTAAGCCAGGGAATCAGCTCGCATCTCGAGACGATTTGGGGTACACGGAGCATTCCTCGAGTTGCTGTGCTGAAGTTGGTGTTCCTCTAGACTTGGGACAGTGTTCTCGGGGCATCTCTGGAGTTGCCTGAAGGAAGTCGAGCCACCGGTCGTGTTGAATGGGGAACGGGGAATGGCTCTGGAGTCAATGCAGGGGAATCGGGCCTCATCTCGAGTTGATTTGGGGCACATGGAGCTGCTTTGCGTTGCTGGGGTGACCTCAGGGTCCGTCTAGACTGGTGACAGTGTTCTTGGGGACTGTCTCGAGATCCATTAAGCAAGTCGAAGCTCCTGACTTGTTTGAATGGGATCACGGAATAGCTCTGCATGCACTGCAGGGGAATGGGGCCTCATCTCGCCTCTAGGGGGAAGTCTCATGGTTTTTCTCGAGTTGCGGCGGGGACCTGGGGGATGTTCTCGACTTACGGCGGGGATGGCCCTTCAAAACACGAGTTTCTTCAGTGACGTCAGGACTCCTGTCTAGTAACGAGGGACACCTCAGGAATCTCTTCGAGGCTTGGCAGGGCCAAAGGGACGCTTCTCGAGGTGAGGCAGGGCACCCAAGGACCCTTTCCAGTAGCCACAGGGATTTTGGGATTCCTATCAGTATTCAAGAGGAGTCAGGCATCGTCACCTTTTGAAGCAATGAACTCCGCGTGCCTCTCGAGGTGTCAGCGGGATGTGAGGCATTCCGTCAAAATGAGGCAGGGACCTAGGGCTTTCTCTAAGGTCTCCACAGGGGATTCAGACATCCCTTCATGTTGTGAGATGAAAGACGAGCCTGTATTCAAGCCACTGCAAGGAAATCCGGCCTCCTTTCAAGTGAGGGCTTCTCGCTGTATATTCCCATTGAGGCAGCAAACTCGGGGTCCCTCCCACATACCTATTGCTGAGAGAAGCCTCCTCCTGAGGTGCTTCTGGGAAGTTGGCATACGTCTTGAGCCTAAGCCAGGGAATCAGCTCGCATCTCGAGACGATTTGGGGTACACGGAGCATTCCTCGAGTTGCTGTGCTGAAGTTGGTGTTCCTCTAGACTTGGGACAGTGTTCTCGGGGCATCTCTGGAGTTGCCTGAAGGAAGTCGAGCCACCGGTCGTGTTGAATGGGGAACGGGGAATGGCTCTGGAGTCAATGCAGGGGAATCGGGCCTCATCTCGAGTTGATTTGGGGCACATGGAGCTGCTTTGCGTTGCTGGGGTGACCTCAGGGTCCGTCTAGACTGGTGACAGTGTTCTTGGGGACTGTCTCGAGATCCATTAAGCAAGTCGAAGCTCCTGACTTGTTTGAATGGGATCACGGAATAGCTCTGCATGCACTGCAGGGGAATGGGGCCTCATCTCGCCTCTAGGGGGAAGTCTCATGGTTTTTCTCGAGTTGCGGCGGGGACCTGGGGTATGTTCTCGACTTACGGCGGGGATGGCCCTTCAAAACACGAGTTTCTTCAGTGACGTCAGGACTCCTGTCTAGTAACGAGGGACACCTCAGGAATCTCTTCGAGGCTTGGCAGGGCCAAAGGGACGCTTCCCGAGGTGAGGCAGGGCACCCAAGGACCCTTTCCAGTAGCCACAGGGATTTTGGGATTCCTATCAGTATTCAAGAGCAGTCAGGCATCGTCACCTTTTGAAGCAATGAACTCCGCGTGCCTCTCGAGGTGTCAGCGGGATGTGAGGCATTCCGTCAAAATGAGGCAGGGACCTAGGGCTTTCTCTAAGGTCTCCACAGGGGATTCAGACATCCCTTCATGTTGTGAGATGAAAGACGAGCCTGTATTCAAGCCACTGCAAGGAAATCCGGCCTCCTTTCAAGTGAGGGCTTCTCGCTGTATATTCCCCTTGAGGCAGCAAACTCGGGGTCCCTCCCACATACCTATTGCTGAGAGAAGCCTCCTCCTGAGGTGCTTCTGGGAAGTTGGCATACGTCTTGAGCCTAAGCCAGGGAATCAGCTCGCATCTCGAGACGATTTGGGGTACACGGAGCATTCCTCGAGTTGCTGTGCTGAAGTTGGTGTTCCTCTAGACTTGGGACAGTGTTCTCGGGGCATCTCTGGAGTTGCCTGAAGGAAGTCGAGCCACCGGTCGTGTTGAATGGGGAACGGGGAATGGCTCTGGAGTCAATGCAGGGGAATCGGGCCTCATCTCGAGTTGATTTGGGGCACATGGAGCTGCTTTGCGTTGCTGGGGTGACCTCAGGGTCCGTCTAGACTGGTGACAGTGTTCTTGGGGACTGTCTCGAGATCCATTAAGCAAGTCGAAGCTCCTGACTTGTTTGAATGGGATCACGGAATAGCTCTGCATGCACTGCAGGGGAATGGGGCCTCATCTCGCCTCTAGGGGGAAGTCTCATGGTTTTTCTCGAGTTGCGGCGGGGACCTGGGGTATGTTCTCGACTTACGGCGGGGATGGCCCTTCAAAACACGAGTTTCTTCAGTGACGTCAGGACTCCTGTCTAGTAACGAGGGACACCTCAGGAATCTCTTCGAGGCTTGGCAGGGCCAAAGGGACGCTTCTCGAGGTGAGGCAGGGCACCCAAGGACCCTTTCCAGTAGCCACAGGGATTTTGGGATTCCTATCAGTATTCAAGAGCAGTCAGGCATCGTCACCTTTTGAAGCAATGAACTCCGCGTGCCTCTCGAGGTGTCAGCGGGATGTGAGGCATTCCGTCAAAATGAGGCAGGGACCTAGGGCTTTCTCTAAGGTCTCCACAGGGGATTCAGACATCCCTTCATGTTGTGAGATGAAAGACGAGCCTGTATTCAAGCCACTGCAAGGAAATCCGGCCTCCTTTCAAGTGAGGGCTTCTCGCTGTATATTCCCCTTGAGGCAGCAAACTCGGGGTCCCTCCCACATACCTATTGCTGAGAGAAGCCTCCTCCTGAGGTGCTTCTGGGAAGTTGGCATACGTCTTGAGCCTAAGCCAGGGAATCAGCTCGCATCTCGAGACGATTTGGGGTACACGGAGCATTCCTCGAGTTGCTGTGCTGAAGTTGGTGTTCCTCTAGACTTGGGACAGTGTTCTCGGGGCATCTCTGGAGTTGCCTGAAGGAAGTCGAGCCACCGGTCGTGTTGAATGGGGAACGGGGAATGGCTCTGGAGTCAATGCAGGGGAATCGGGCCTCATCTCGAGTTGATTTGGGGCACATGGAGCTGCTTTGCGTTGCTGGGGTGACCTCAGGGTCCGTCTAGACTGGTGACAGTGTTCTTGGGGACTGTCTCGAGATCCATTAAGCAAGTCGAAGCTCCTGACTTGTTTGAATGGGATCACGGAATAGCTCTGCATGCACTGCAGGGGAATGGGGCCTCATCTCGCCTCTAGGGGGAAGTCTCATGGTTTTTCTCGAGTTGCGGCGGGGACCTGGGGTATGTTCTCGACTTACGGCGGGGATGGCCCTTCAAAACACGAGTTTCTTCAGTGACGTCAGGACTCCTGTCTAGTAACGAGGGACACCTCAGGAATCTCTTCGAGGCTTGGCAGGGCCAAAGGGACGCTTCTCGAGGTGAGGCAGGGCACCCAAGGACCCTTTCCAGTAGCCACAGGGATTTTGGGATTCCTATCAGTATTCAAGAGGAGTCAGGCATCGTCACCTTTTGAAGCAATGAACTCCGCGTGCCTCTCGAGGTGTCAGCGGGATGTGAGGCATTCCGTCAAAATGAGGCAGGGACCTAGGGCTTTCTCTAAGGTCTCCACAGGGGATTCAGACATCCCTTCATGTTGTGAGATGAAAGACGAGCCTGTATTCAAGCCACTGCAAGGAAATCCGGCCTCCTTTCAAGTGAGGGCTTCTCGCTGTATATTCCCCTTGAGGCAGCAAACTCGGGGTCCCTCCCACATACCTATTGCTGAGAGAAGCCTCCTCCTGAGGTGCTTCTGGGAAGTTGGCATACGTCTTGAGCCTAAGCCAGGGAATCAGCTCGCATCTCGAGACGATTTGGGGTACACGGAGCATTCCTCGAGTTGCTGTGCTGAAGTTGGTGTTCCTCTAGACTTGGGACAGTGTTCTCGGGGCATCTCTGGAGTTGCCTGAAGGAAGTCGAGCCACCGGTCGTGTTGAATGGGGAACGGGGAATGGCTCTGGAGTCAATGCAGGGGAATCGGGCCTCATCTCGAGTTGATTTGGGGCACATGGAGCTGCTTTGCGTTGCTGGGGTGACCTCAGGGTCCGTCTAGACTGGTGACAGTGTTCTTGGGGACTGTCTCGAGATCCATTAAGCAAGTCGAAGCTCCTGACTTGTTTGAATGGGATCACGGAATAGCTCTGCATGCACTGCAGGGGAATGGGGCCTCATCTCGCCTCTAGGGGGAAGTCTCATGGTTTTTCTCGAGTTGCGGCGGGGACCTGGGGTATGTTCTCGACTTACGGCGGGGATGGCCCTTCAAAACACGAGTTTCTTCAGTGACGTCAGGACTCCTGTCTAGTAACGAGGGACACCTCAGGAATCTCTTCGAGGCTTGGCAGGGCCAAAGGGACGCTTCCCGAGGTGAGGCAGGGCACCCAAGGACCCTTTCCAGTAGCCACAGGGATTTTGGGATTCCTATCAGTATTCAAGAGGAGTCAGGCATCGTCACCTTTTGAAGCAATGAACTCCGCGTGCCTCTCGAGGTGTCAGCGGGATGTGAGGCATTCCGTCAAAATGAGGCAGGGACCTAGGGCTTTCTCTAAGGTCTCCACAGGGGATTCAGACATCCCTTCATGTTGTGAGATGAAAGACGAGCCTGTATTCAAGCCACTGCTAGGAAATCCGGCCTCCTTTCAAGTGAGGGCTTCTCGCTGTATATTCCCCTTGAGGCAGCAAACTCGGGGTCCCTCCCACATACCTATTGCTGAGAGAAGCCTCCTCCTGAGGTGCTTCTGGGAAGTTGGCATACGTCTTGAGCCTAAGCCAGGGAATCAGCTCGCATCTCGAGACGATTTGGGGTACACGGAGCATTCCTCGAGTTGCTGTGCTGAAGTTGGTGTTCCTCTAGACTTGGGACAGTGTTCTCGGGGCATCTCTGGAGTTGCCTGAAGGAAGTCGAGCCACCGGTCGTGTTGAATGGGGAACGGGGAATGGCTCTGGAGTCAATGCAGGGGAATCGGGCCTCATCTCGAGTTGATTTGGGGCACATGGAGCTGCTTTGCGTTGCTGGGGTGACCTCAGGGTCCGTCTAGACTGGTGACAGTGTTCTTGGGGACTGTCTCGAGATCCATTAAGCAAGTCGAAGCTCCTGACTTGTTTGAATGGGATCACGGAATAGCTCTGCATGCACTGCAGGGGAATGGGGCCTCATCTCGCCTCTAGGGGGAAGTCTCATGGTTTTTCTCGAGTTGCGGCGGGGACCTGGGGTATGTTCTCGACTTACGGCGGGGATGGCCCTTCAAAACACGAGTTTCTTCAGTGACGTCAGGACTCCTGTCTAGTAACGAGGGACACCTCAGGAATCTCTTCGAGGCTTAGCAGGGCCAAAGGGACGCTTCTCGAGGTGAGGCAGGGCACCCAAGGACCCTTTCCAGTAGCCACAGGGATTTTGGGATTCCTATCAGTATTCAAGAGGAGTCAGGCATCGTCACCTTTTGAAGCAATGAACTCCGCGTGCCTCTCGAGGTGTCAGCGGGATGTGAGGCATTCCGTCAAAATGAGGCAGGGACCTAGGGCTTTCTCTAAGGTCTCCACAGGGGATTCAGACATCCCTTCATGTTGTGAGATGAAAGACGAGCCTGTATTCAAGCCACTGCAAGGAAATCCGGCCTCCTTTCAAGTGAGGGCTTCTCGCTGTATATTCCCCTTGAGGCAGCAAACTCGGGGTCCCTCCCACATACCTATTGCTGAGAGAAGCCTCCTCCTGAGGTGCTTCTGGGAAGTTGGCATACGTCTTGAGCCTAAGCCAGGGAATCAGCTCGCATCTCGAGACGATTTGGGGTACACGGAGCATTCCTCGAGTTGCTGTGCTGAAGTTGGTGTTCCTCTAGACTTGGGACAGTGTTCTCGGGGCATCTCTGGAGTTGCCTGAAGGAAGTCGAGCCACCGGTCGTGTTGAATGGGGAACGGGGAATGGCTCTGGAGTCAATGCAGGGGAATCGGGCCTCATCTCGAGTTGATTTGGGGCACATGGAGCTGCTTTGCGTTGCTGGGGTGACCTCAGGGTCCGTCTAGACTGGTGACAGTGTTCTTGGGGACTGTCTCGAGATCCATTAAGCAAGTCGAAGCTCCTGACTTGTTTGAATGGGATCACGGAATAGCTCTGCATGCACTGCAGGGGAATGGGGCCTCATCTCGCCTCTAGGGGGAAGTCTCATGGTTTTTCTCGAGTTGCGGCGGGGACCTGGGGGATGTTCTCGACTTACGGCGGGGATGGCCCTTCAAAACACGAGTTTCTTCAGTGACGTCAGGACTCCTGTCTAGTAACGAGGGACACCTCAGGAATCTCTTCGAGGCTTGGCAGGGCCAAAGGGACGCTTCTCGAGGTGAGGCAGGGCACCCAAGGACCCTTTCCAGTAGCCACAGTGATTTTGGGATTCCTATCAGTATTCAAGAGGAGTCAGGCATCGTCACCTTTTGAAGCAATGAACTCCGCGTGCCTCTCGAGGTGTCAGCGGGATGTGAGGCATTCCGTCAAAATGAGGCAGGGACCTAGGGCTTTCTCTAAGGTCTCCACAGGGGATTCAGACATCCCTTCATGTTGTGAGATGAAAGACGAGCCTGTATTCAAGCCACTGCAAGGAAATCCGGCCTCCTTTCAAGTGAGGGCTTCTCGCTGTATATTCCCCTTGAGGCAGCAAACTCGGGGTCCCTCCCACATACCTATTGCTGAGAGAAGCCTCCTCCTGAGGTGCTTCTGGGAAGTTGGCATACGTCTTGAGCCTAAGCCAGGGAATCAGCTCGCATCTCGAGACGATTTGGGGTACACGGAGCATTCCTCGAGTTGCTGTGCTGAAGTTGGTGTTCCTCTAGACTTGGGACAGTGTTCTCGGGGCATCTCTGGAGTTGCCTGAAGGAAGTCGAGCCACCGGTCGTGTTGAATGGGGAACGGGGAATGGCTCTGGAGTCAATGCAGGGGAATCGGGCCTCATCTCGAGTTGATTTGGGGCACATGGAGCTGCTTTGCGTTGCTGGGGTGACCTCAGGGTCCGTCTAGACTGGTGACAGTGTTCTTGGGGACTGTCTCGAGATCCATTAAGCAAGTCGAAGCTCCTGACTTGTTTGAATGGGATCACGGAATAGCTCTGCATGCACTGCAGGGGAATGGGGCCTCATCTCGCCTCTAGGGGGAAGTCTCATGGTTTTTCTCGAGTTGCGGCGGGGACCTGGGGGATGTTCTCGACTTACGGCGGGGATGGCCCTTCAAAACACGAGTTTCTTCAGTGACGTCAGGACTCCTGTCTAGTAACGAGGGACACCTCAGGAATCTCTTCGAGGCTTGGCAGGGCCAAAGGGACGCTTCTCGAGGTGAGGCAGGGCACCCAAGGACCCTTTCCAGTAGCCACAGGGATTTTGGGATTCCTATCAGTATTCAAGAGCAGTGAGGCATCGTCACCTTTTGAAGCAATGAACTCCGCGTGCCTCTCGAGGTGTCAGCGGGATGTGAGGCATTCCGTCAAAATGAGGCAGGGACCTAGGGCTTTCTCTAAGGTCTCCACAGGGGATTCAGACATCCCTTCATGTTGTGAGATGAAAGACGAGCCTGTATTCAAGCCACTGCAAGGAAATCCGGCCTCCTTTCAAGTGAGGGCTTCTCGCTGTATATTCCCCTTGAGGCAGCAAACTCGGGGTCCCTCCCACATACCTATTGCTGAGAGAAGCCTCCTCCTGAGGTGCTTCTGGGAAGTTGGCATACGTCTTGAGCCTAAGCCAGGGAATCAGCTCGCATCTCGAGACGATTTGGGGTACACGGAGCATTCCTCGAGTTGCTGTGCTGAAGTTGGTGTTCCTCTAGACTTGGGACAGTGTTCTCGGGGCATCTCTGGAGTTGCCTGAAGGAAGTCGAGCCACCGGTCGTGTTGAATGGGGAACGGGGAATGGCTCTGGAGTCAATGCAGGGGAATCGGGCCTCATCTCGAGTTGATTTGGGGCACATGGAGCTGCTTTGCGTTGCTGGGGTGACCTCAGGGTCCGTCTAGACTGGTGACAGTGTTCTTGGGGACTGTCTCGAGATCCATTAAGCAAGTCGAAGCTCCTGACTTGTTTGAATGGGATCACGGAATAGCTCTGCATGCACTGCAGGGGAATGGGGCCTCATCTCGCCTCTAGGGGGAAGTCTCATGGTTTTTCTCGAGTTGCGGCGGGGACCTGGGGTATGTTCTCGACTTACGGCGGGGATGGCCCTTCAAAACACGAGTTTCTTCAGTGACGTCAGGACTCCTGTCTAGTAACGAGGGACACCTCAGGAATCTCTTCGAGGCTTGGCAGGGCCAAAGGGACGCTTCTCGAGGTGAGGCAGGGCACCCAAGGACCCTTTCCAGTAGCCACAGGGATTTTGGGATTCCTATCAGTATTCAAGAGGAGTCAGGCATCGTCACCTTTTGAAGCAATGAACTCCGCGTGCCTCTCGAGGTGTCAGCGGGATGTGAGGCATTCCGTCAAAATGAGGCAGGGACCTAGGGCTTTCTCTAAGGTCTCCACAGGGGATTCAGACATCCCTTCATGTTGTGAGATGAAAGACGAGCCTGTATTCAAGCCACTGCAAGGAAATCCGGCCTCCTTTCAAGTGAGGGCTTCTCGCTGTATATTCCCCTTGAGGCAGCAAACTCGGGGTCCCTCCCACATACCTATTGCTGAGAGAAGCCTCCTCCTGAGGTGCTTCTGGGAAGTTGGCATACGTCTTGAGCCTAAGCCAGGGAATCAGCTCGCATCTCGAGACGATTTGGGGTACACGGAGCATTCCTCGAGTTGCTGTGCTGAAGTTGGTGTTCCTCTAGACTTGGGACAGTGTTCTCGGGGCATCTCTGGAGTTGCCTGAAGGAAGTCGAGCCACCGGTCGTGTTGAATGGGGAAGGGGGAATGGCTCTGGAGTCAATGCAGGGGAATCGGGCCTCATCTCGAGTTGATTTGGGGCACATGGAGCTGCTTTGCGTTGCTGGGGTGACCTCAGGGTCCGTCTAGACTGGTGACAGTGTTCTTGGGGACTGTCTCGAGATCCATTAAGCAAGTCGAAGCTCCTGACTTGTTTGAATGGGATCACGGAATAGCTCTGCATGCACTGCAGGGGAATGGGGCCTCATCTCGCCTCTAGTGGGAAGTCTCATGGTTTTTCTCGAGTTGCGGCGGGGACCTGGGGTATGTTCTCGACTTACGGCGGGGATGGCCCTTCAAAACACGAGTTTCTTCAGTGACGTCAGGACTCCTGTCTAGTAACGAGGGACACCTCAGGAATCTCTTCGAGGCTTGGCAGGGCCAAAGGGACGCTTCTCGAGGTGAGGCAGGGCACCCAAGGACCCTTTCCAGTAGCCACAGGGATTTTGGGATTCCTATCAGTATTCAAGAGGAGTCAGGCATCGTCACCTTTTGAAGCAATGAACTCCGCGTGCCTCTCGAGGTGTCAGCGGGATATGAGGCATTCCGTCAAAATGAGGCAGGGACCTAGGGCTTTCTCTAAGGTCTCCACAGGGGATTCAGACATCCCTTCATGTTGTGAGATGAAAGACGAGCCTGTATTCAAGCCACTGCAAGGAAATCCGGCCTCCTTTCAAGTGAGGGCTTCTCGCTGTATATTCCCCTTGAGGCAGCAAACTCGGGGTCCCTCCCACATACCTATTGCTGAGAGAAGCCTCCTCCTGAGGTGCTTCTGGGAAGTTGGCATACGTCTTGAGCCTAAGCCAGGGAATCAGCTCGCATCTCGAGACGATTTGGGGTACACGGAGCATTCCTCGAGTTGCTGTGCTGAAGTTGGTGTTCCTCTAGACTTGGGACAGTGTTCTCGGGGCATCTCTGGAGTTGCCTGAAGGAAGTCGAGCCACCGGTCGTGTTGAATGGGGAACGGGGAATGGCTCTGGAGTCAATGCAGGGGAATCGGGCCTCATCTCGAGTTGATTTGGGGCACATGGAGCTGCTTTGCGTTGCTGGGGTGACCTCAGGGTCCGTCTAGACTGGTGACAGTGTTCTTGGGGACTGTCTCGAGATCCATTAAGCAAGTCGAAGCTCCTGACTTGTTTGAATGGGATCACGGAATAGCTCTGCATGCACTGCAGGGGAATGGGGCCTCATCTCGCCTCTAGGGGGAAGTCTCATGGTTTTTCTCGAGTTGCGGCGGGGACCTGGGGTATGTTCTCGACTTACGGCGGGGATGGCCCTTCAAAACACGAGTTTCTTCAGTGACGTCAGGACTCCTGTCTAGTAACGAGGGACACCTCAGGAATCTCTTCGAGGCTTGGCAGGGCCAAAGGGACGCTTCTCGAGGTGAGGCAGGGCACCCAAGCACCCTTTCCAGTAGCCACAGGGATTTTGGGATTCCTATCAGTATTCAAGAGGAGTCAGGCATCGTCACCTTTTGAAGCAATGAACTCCGCGTGCCTCTCGAGGTGTCAGCGGGATGTGAGGCATTCCGTCAAAATGAGGCAGGGACCTAGGGCTTTCTCTAAGGTCTCCACAGGGGATTCAGACATCCCTTCATGTTGTGAGATGAAAGACGAGCCTGTATGCAAGCCACTGCAAGGAAATCCGGCCTCCTTTCAAGTTAGGGCTTCTCGCTGTATATTCCCCTTGAGGCAGCAAACTCGGGGTCCCTCCCACATACCTATTGCTGAGAGAAGGCTCCTCCTGAGGTGCTTCTGGGAAGTTGGCATACGTCTTGAGCCTAAGCCAGGGAATCAGCTCGCATCTCGAGACGATTTGGGGTACACGGAGCATTCCTCGAGTTGCTGTGCTGAAGTTGGTGTTCCTCTAGACTTGGGACAGTGTTCTCGGGGCATCTCTGGAGTTGCCTGAAGGAAGTCGAGCCACCGGTCGTGTTGAATGGGGAACGGGGAATGGCTCTGGAGTCAATGCAGGGGAATCGGGCCTCATCTCGAGTTGATTTGGGGCACATGGAGCTGCTTTGCGTTGCTGGGGTGACCTCAGGGTCCGTCTAGACTGGTGACAGTGTTCTTGGGGACTGTCTCGAGATCCATTAAGCAAGTCGAAGCTCCTGACTTGTTTGAATGGGATCACGGAATAGCTCTGCATGCACTGCAGGGGAATGGGGCCTCATCTCGCCTCTAGGGGGAAGTCTCATGGTTTTTCTCGAGTTGCGGCGGGGACCTGGGGTATGTTCTCGACTTACGGCGGGGATGGCCCTTCAAAACACGAGTTTCTTCAGTGACGTCAGGACTCCTGTCTAGTAACGAGGGACACCTCAGGAATCTCTTCGAGGGTTGGCAGGGCCAAAGGGACGCTTCTCGAGGTGAGGCAGGGCACCCAAGCACCCTTTCCAGTAGCCACAGGGATTTTGGGATTCCTATCAGTATTCAAGAGGAGTCAGGCATCGTCACCTTTTGAAGCAATGAACTCCGCGTGCCTCTCGAGATGTCAGCGGGATGTGAGGCATTCCGTCAAAATGAGGCAGGGACCTAGGGCTTTCTCTAAGGTCTCCACAGGGGATTCAGACATCCCTTCATGTTGTGAGATGAAAGACGAGCCTGTATTCAAGCCACTGCAAGGAAATCCGGCCTCCTTTCAAGTGAGGGCTTCTCGCTGTATATTCCCCTTGAGGCAGCAAACTCGGGGTCCCTCCCACATACCTATTGCTGAGAGAAGCCTCCTCCTGAGGTGCTTCTGGGAAGTTGGCATACGTCTTGAGCCTAAGCCAGGGAATCAGCTCGCATCTCGAGACGATTTGGGGTACACGGAGCATTCCTCGAGTTGCTGTGCTGAAGTTGGTGTTCCTCTAGACTTGGGACAGTGTTCTCGGGGCATCTCTGGAGTTGCCTGAAGGAAGTCGAGCCACCGGTCGTGTTGAATGGGGAACGGGGAATGGCTCTGGAGTCAATGCAGGGGAATCGGGCCTCATCTCGAGTTGATTTGGGGCACATGGAGCTGCTTTGCGTTGCTGGGGTGACCTCAGGGTCCGTCTAGACTGGTGACAGTGTTCTTGGGGACTGTCTCGAGATCCATTAAGCAAGTCGAAGCTCCTGACTTGTTTGAATGGGATCACGGAATAGCTCTGCATGCACTGCAGGGGAATGGGGCCTCATCTCGCCTCTAGGGGGAAGTCTCATGGTTTTTCTCGAGTTGCGGCGGGGACCTGGGGTATGTTCTCGACTTACGGCGGGGATGGCCCTTCAAAACACGAGTTTCTTCAGTGACGTCAGGACTCCTGTCTAGTAACGAGGGACACCTCAGGAATCTCTTCGAGGCTTGGCAGGGCCAAAGGGACGCTTCTCGAGGTGAGGCAGGGCACCCAAGCACCCTTTCCAGTAGCCACAGGGATTTTGGGATTCCTATCAGTATTCAAGAGGAGTCAGGCATCGTCACCTTTTGAAGCAATGAACTCCGCGTGCCTCTCGAGGTGTCAGCGGGATGTGAGGCATTCCGTCAAAATGAGGCAGGGACCTAGGGCTTTCTCTAAGGTCTCCACAGGGGATTCAGACATCCCTTCATGTTGTGAGATGAAAGACGAGCCTGTATTCAAGCCACTGCAAGGAAATCCGGCCTCCTTTCAAGTGAGGGCTTCTCGCTGTATATTCCCCTTGAGGCAGCAAACTCGGGGTCCCTCCCACATACCTATTGCTGAGAGAAGCCTCCTCCTGAGGTGCTTCTGGGAAGTTGGCATACGTCTTGAGCCTAAGCCAGGGAATCAGCTCGCATCTCGAGACGATTTGGGGTACACGGAGCATTCCTCGAGTTGCTGTGCTGAAGTTGGTGTTCCTCTAGACTTGGGACAGTGTTCTCGGGGCATCTCTGGAGTTGCCTGAAGGAAGTCGAGCCACCGGTCGTGTTGAATGGGGAACGGGGAATGGCTCTGGAGTCAATGCAGGGGAATCGGGCCTCATCTCGAGTTGATTTGGGGCACATGGAGCTGCTTTGCGTTGCTGGGGTGACCTCAGGGTCCGTCTAGACTGGTGACAGTGTTCTTGGGGACTGTCTCGAGATCCATTAAGCAAGTCGAAGCTCCTGACTTGTTTGAATGGGATCACGGAATAGCTCTGCATGCACTGCAGGGGAATGGGGCCTCATCTCGCCTCTAGGGGGAAGTCTCATGGTTTTTCTCGAGTTGCGGCGGGGACCTGGGGGATGTTCTCGACTTACGGCGGGGATGGCCCTTCAAAACACGAGTTTCTTCAGTGACGTCAGGACTCCTGTCTAGTAACGAGGGACAACTCAGGAATCTCTTCGAGGCTTGGCAGGGCCAAAGGGACGCTTCCCGAGGTGAGGCAGGGCACCCAAGGACCCTTTCCAGTAGCCTCAGGGATTTTGGGATTCCTATCAGTATTCAAGAGGTGTCAGGCATCGTCACCTTGTGAAGCAATGAACTCCGCGTGCCTCTCGAGGTGTCAGCGGGATGTGAGGCATTCCGTCAAAATGAGGCAGGGACCTAGGGCTTTCTCTAAGGTCTCCACAGGGGATTCAGACATCCCTTCATGTTGTGAGATGAAAGACGAGCCTGTATTCAAGCCACTGCAAGGAAATCCGGCCTCCTTTCAAGTGAGGGCTTCTCGCTGTATATTCCCCTTGAGGCAGCAAACTCGGGGTCCCTCCCACATACCTATTGCTGAGAGAAGCCTCCTCCTGAGGTGCTTCTGGGAAGTTGGCATACGTCTTGAGCCTAAGCCAGGGAATCAGCTCGCATCTCGAGACGATTTGGGGTACACGGAGCATTCCTCGAGTTGCTGTGCTGAAGTTGGTGTTCCTCTAGACTTGGGACAGTGTTCTCGGGGCATCTCTGGAGTTGCCTGAAGGAAGTCGAGCCACCGGTCGTGTTGAATGGGGAACGGGGAATGGCTCTGGAGTCAATGCAGGGGAATCGGGCCTCATCTCGAGTTGATTTGGGGCACATGGAGCTGCTTTGCGTTGCTGGGGTGACCTCAGGGTCCGTCTAGACTGGTGACAGTGTTCTTGGGGACTGTCTCGAGATCCATTAAGCAAGTCGAAGCTCCTGACTTGTTTGAATGGGATCACGGAATAGCTCTGCATGCACTGCAGGGGAATGGGGCCTCATCTCGCCTCTAGGGGGAAGTCTCATGGTTTTTCTCGAGTTGCGGCGGGGACCTGGGGTATGTTCTCGACTTACGGCGGGGATGGCCCTTCAAAACACGAGTTTCTTCAGTGACGTCAGGACTCCTGTCTAGTAACGAGGGACACCTCAGGAATCTCTTCGAGGGTTGGCAGGGCCAAAGGGACGCTTCTCGAGGTGAGGCAGGGCACCCAAGCACCCTTTCCAGTAGCCACAGGGATTTTGGGATTCCTATCAGTATTCAAGAGGAGTCAGGCATCGTCACCTTTTGAAGCAATGAACTCCGCGTGCCTCTCGAGGTGTCAGCGGGATGTGAGGCATTCCGTCAAAATGAGGCAGGGACCTAGGGCTTTCTCTAAGGTCTCCACAGGGGATTCAGACATCCCTTCATGTTGTGAGATGAAAGACGAGCCTGTATTCAAGCCACTGCAAGGAAATCCGGCCTCCTTTCAAGTGAGGGCTTCTCGCTGTATATTCCCCTTGAGGCAGCAAACTCGGGGTCCCTCCCACATACCTATTGCTGAGAGAAGCCTCCTCCTGAGGTGCTTCTGGGAAGTTGGCATACGTCTTGAGCCTAAGCCAGGGAATCAGCTCGCATCTCGAGACGATTTGGGGTACACGGAGCATTCCTCGAGTTGCTGTGCTGAAGTTGGTGTTCCTCTAGACTTGGGACAGTGTTCTCGGGGCATCTCTGGAGTTGCCTGAAGGAAGTCGAGCCACCGGTCGTGTTGAATGGGGAACGGGGAATGGCTCTGGAGTCAATGCAGGGGAATCGGGCCTCATCTCGAGTTGATTTGGGGCACATGGAGCTGCTTTGCGTTGCTGGGGTGACCTCAGGGTCCGTCTAGACTGGTGACAGTGTTCTTGGGGACTGTCTCGAGATCCATTAAGCAAGTCGAAGCTCCTGACTTGTTTGAATGGGATCACGGAATAGCTCTGCATGCACTGCAGGGGAATGGGGCCTCATCTCGCCTCTAGGGGGAAGTCTCATGGTTTTTCTCGAGTTGCGGCGGGGACCTGGGGTATGTTCTCGACTTACGGCGGGGATGGCCCTTCAAAACACGAGTTTCTTCAGTGACGTCAGGACTCCTGTCTAGTAACGAGGGACACCTCAGGAATCTCTTCGAGGCTTGGCAGGGCCAAAGGGACGCTTCTCGAGGTGAGGCAGGGCACCCAAGCACCCTTTCCAGTAGCCACAGGGATTTTGGGATTCCTATCAGTATTCAAGAGGAGTCAGGCATCGTCACCTTTTGAAGCAATGAACTCCGCGTGCCTCTCGAGGTGTCAGCGGGATGTGAGGCATTCCGTCAAAATGAGGCAGGGACCTAGGGCTTTCTCTAAGGTCTCCACAGGGGATTCAGACATCCCTTCATGTTGTGAGATGAAAGACGAGCCTGTATTCAAGCCACTGCAAGGAAATCCGGCCTCCTTTCAAGTGAGGGCTTCTCGCTGTATATTCCCCTTGAGGCAGCAAACTCGGGGTCCCTCCCACATACCTATTGCTGAGAGAAGCCTCCTCCTGAGGTGCTTCTGGGAAGTTGGCATACGTCTTGAGCCTAAGCCAGGGAATCAGCTCGCATCTCGAGACGATTTGGGGTACACGGAGCATTCCTCGAGTTGCTGTGCTGAAGTTGGTGTTCCTCTAGACTTGGGACAGTGTTCTCGGGGCATCTCTGGAGTTGCCTGAAGGAAGTCGAGCCACCGGTCGTGTTGAATGGGGAACGGGGAATGGCTCTGGAGTCAATGCAGGGGAATCGGGCCTCATCTCGAGTTGATTTGGGGCACATGGAGCTGCTTTGCGTTGCTGGGGTGACCTCAGGGTCCGTCTAGACTGGTGACAGTGTTCTTGGGGACTGTCTCGAGATCCATTAAGCAAGTCGAAGCTCCTGACTTGTTTGAATGGGATCACGGAATAGCTCTGCATGCACTGCAGGGGAATGGGGCCTCATCTCGCCTCTAGGGGGAAGTCTCATGGTTTTTCTCGAGTTGCGGCGGGGACCTGGGGTATGTTCTCGACTTACGGCGGGGATGGCCCTTCAAAACACGAGTTTCTTCAGTGACGTCAGGACTCCTGTCTAGTAACGAGGGACACCTCAGGAATCTCTTCGAGGCTTGGCAGGGCCAAAGGGACGCTTCTCGAGGTGAGGCAGGGCACCCAAGGACCCTTTCCAGTAGCCTCAGGGATTTTGGGATTCCTATCAGTATTCAAGAGGAGTCAGGCATCGTCACCTTGTGAAGCAATGAACTCCGCGTGCCTCTCGAGGTGTCAGCGGGATGTGAGGCATTCCGTCAAAATGAGGCAGGGACCTAGGGCTTTCTCTAAGGTCTCCACAGGGGATTCAGACATCCCTTCATGTTGTGAGATGAAAGACGAGCCTGTATTCAAGCCACTGCAAGGAAATCCGGCCTCCTTTCAAGTGAGGGCTTCTCGCTGTATATTCCCCTTGAGGCAGCAAACTCGGGGTCCCTCCCACATACCTATTGCTGAGAGAAGCCTCCTCCTGAGGTGCTTCTGGGAAGTTGGCATACGTCTTGAGCCTAAGCCAGGGAATCAGCTCGCATCTCGAGACGATTTGGGGTACACGGAGCATTCCTCGAGTTGCTGTGCTGAAGTTGGTGTTCCTCTAGACTTGGGACAGTGTTCTCGGGGCATCTCTGGAGTTGCCTGAAGGAAGTCGAGCCACCGGTCGTGTTGAATGGGGAACGGGGAATGGCTCTGGAGTCAATGCAGGGGAATCGGGCCTCATCTCGAGTTGATTTGGGGCACATGGAGCTGCTTTGCGTTGCTGGGGTGACCTCAGGGTCCGTCTAGACTGGTGACAGTGTTCTTGGGGACTGTCTCGAGATCCATTAAGCAAGTCGAAGCTCCTGACTTGTTTGAATGGGATCACGGAATAGCTCTGCATGCACTGCAGGGGAATGGGGCCTCATCTCGCCTCTAGGGGGAAGTCTCATGGTTTTTCTCGAGTTGCGGCGGGGACCTGGGGTATGTTCTCGACTTACGGCGGGGATGGCCCTTCAAAACACGAGTTTCTTCAGTGACGTCAGGACTCCTGTCTAGTAACGAGGGACACCTCAGGAATCTCTTCGAGGCTTGGCAGGGCCAAAGGGACGCTTCTCGAGGTGAGGCAGGGCACCCAAGCACCCTTTCCAGTAGCCACAGGGATTTTGGGATTCCTATCAGTATTCAAGAGGAGTCAGGCATCGTCACCTTGTGAAGCAATGAACTCCGCGTGCCTCTCGAGGTGTCAGCGGGATGTGAGGCATTCCGTCAAAATGAGGCAGGGACCTAGGGCTTTCTCTAAGGTCTCCACAGGGGATTCAGACATCCCTTCATGTTGTGAGATGAAAGACGAGCCTGTATTCAAGCCACTGCAAGGAAATCCGGCCTCCTTTCAAGTTAGGGCTTCTCGCTGTATATTCCCCTTGAGGCAGCAAACTCGGGGTCCCTCCCACATACCTTTTGCTGAGAGAAGCCTCCTCCTGAGGTGCTTCTGGGAAGTTGGCATACGTCTTGAGCCTAAGCCAGGGAATCAGCTCGCATCTCGAGACGATTTGGGGTACACGGAGCATTCCTCGAGTTGCTGTGCTGAAGTTGGTGTTCCTCTAGACTTGGGACAGTGTTCTCGGGGCATCTCTGGAGTTGCCTGAAGGAAGTCGAGCCACCGGTCGTGTTGAATGGGGAACGGGGAATGGCTCTGGAGTCAATGCAGGGGAATCGGGCCTCATCTCGAGTTGATTTGGGGCACATGGAGCTGCTTTGCGTTGCTGGGGTGACCTCAGGGTCCGTCTAGACTGGTGACAGTGTTCTTGGGGACTGTCTCGAGATCCATTAAGCAAGTCGAAGCTCCTGACTTGTTTGAATGGGATCACGGAATAGCTCTGCATGCACTGCAGGGGAATGGGGCCTCATCTCGCCTCTAGGGGGAAGTCTCATGGTTTTTCTCGAGTTGCGGCGGGGACCTGGGGTATGTTCTCGACTTACGGCGGGGATGGCCCTTCAAAACACGAGTTTCTTCAGTGACGTCAGGACTCCTGTCTAGTAACGAGGGACACCTCAGGAATCTCTTCGAGGCTTGGCAGGGCCAAAGGGACGCTTCTCGAGGTGAGGCAGGGCACCCAAGGACCCTTTCCAGTAGGCTCAGGGATTTTGGGATTCCTATCAGTATTCAAGAGGAGTCAGGCATCGTCACCTTGTGAAGCAATGAACTCCGCGTGCCTCTCGAGGTGTCAGCGGGATGTGAGGCATTCCGTCAAAATGAGGCAGGGACCTAGGGCTTTCTCTAAGGTCTCCACAGGGGATTCAGACATCCCTTCATGTTGTGAGATGAAAGACGAGCCTGTATTCAAGCCACTGCAAGGAAATCCGGCCTCCTTTCAAGTTAGGGCTTCTCGCTGTATATTCCCCTTGAGGCAGCAAACTCGGGGTCCCTCCCACATACCTATTGCTGAGAGAAGCCTCCTCCTGAGGTGCTTCTGGGAAGTTGGCATACGTCTTGAGCCTAAGCCAGGGAATCAGCTCGCATCTCGAGACGATTTGGGGTACACGGAGCATTCCTCGAGTTGCTGTGCTGAAGTTGGTGTTCCTCTAGACTTGGGACAGTGTTCTCGGGGCATCTCTGGAGTTGCCTGAAGGAAGTCGAGCCACCGGTCGTGTTGAATGGGGAACGGGGAATGGCTCTGGAGTCAATGCAGGGGAATCGGGCCTCATCTCGAGTTGATTTGGGGCACATGGAGCTGCTTTGCGTTGCTGGGGTGACCTCTGGGTCCGTCTAGACTGGTGACAGTGTTCTTGGGGACTGTCTCGAGATCCATTAAGCAAGTTGAAGCTCCTGACTTGTTTGAATGGGATCACGGAATAGCTCTGCATGCACTGCAGGGGAATGGGGCCTCATCTCGCCTCTAGGGGGAAGTCTCATGGTTTTTCTCGAGTTGCGGCGGGGACCTGGGGTATGTTCTCGACTTACGGCGGGGATGGCCCTTCAAAACACGAGTTTCTTCAGTGACGTCAGGACTCCTGTCTAGTAACGAGGGACACCTCAGGAATCTCTTCGAGGCTTGGCAGGGCCAAAGGGACGCTTCTCGAGGTGAGGCAGGGCACCCAAGGACCCTTTCCAGTAGCCTCAGGGATTTTGGGATTCCTATCAGTATTCAAGAGGAGTCAGGCATCGTCACCTTGTGAAGCAATGAACTCCGCGTGCCTCTCGAGGTGTCAGCGGGATGTGAGGCATTCCGTCAAAATGAGGCAGGGACCTAGGGCTTTCTCTAAGGTCTCCACAGGGGATTCAGACATCCCTTCATGTTGTGAGATGAAAGACGAGCCTGTATTCAAGCCACTGCAAGGAAATCCGGCCTCCTTTCAAGTTAGGGCTTCTCGCTGTATATTCCCCTTGAGGCAGCAAACTCGGGGTCCCTCCCACATACCTATTGCTGAGAGAAGCCTCCTCCTGAGGTGCTTCTGGGAAGTTGGCATACGTCTTGAGCCTAAGGCAGGGAATCAGCTCGCATCTCGAGACGATTTGGGGTACACGGAGCATTCCTCGAGTTGCTGTGCTGAAGTTGGTGTTCCTCTAGACTTGGGACAGTGTTCTCGGGGCATCTCTGGAGTTGCCTGAAGGAAGTCGAGCCACCGGTCGTGTTGAATGGGGAACGGGGAATGGCTCTGGAGTCAATGCAGGGGAATCGGGCCTCATCTCGAGTTGATTTGGGGCACATGGAGCTGCTTTGCGTTGCTGGGGTGACCTCAGGGTCCGTCTAGACTGGTGACAGTGTTCTTGGGGACTGTCTCGAGATCCATTAAGCAAGTCGAAGCTCCTGACTTGTTTGAATGGGATCACGGAATAGCTCTGCATGCACTGCAGGGGAATGGGGCCTCATCTCGCCTCTAGGGGGAAGTCTCATGGTTTTTCTCGAGTTGCGGCGGGGACCTGGGGTATGTTCTCGACTTACGGCGGGGATGGCCCTTCAAAACACGAGTTTCTTCAGTGACGTCAGGACTCCTGTCTAGTAACGAGGGACACCTCAGGAATCTCTTCGAGGCTTGGCAGGGCCAAAGGGACGCTTCTCGAGGTGAGGCAGGGCACCCAAGGACCCTTTCCAGTAGCCTCAGGGATTTTGGGATTCCTATCAGTATTCAAGAGGAGTCAGGCATCGTCACCTTGTGAAGCAATGAACTCCGCGTGCCTCTCGAGGTGTCAGCGGGATGTGAGGCATTCCGTCAAAATGAGGCAGGGACCTAGGGCTTTCTCTAAGGTCTCCACAGGGGATTCAGACATCCCTTCATGTTGTGAGATGAAAGACGAGCCTGTATTCAAGCCACTGCAAGGAAATCCGGCCTCCTTTCAAGTTAGGGCTTCTCGCTGTATATTCCCCTTGAGGCAGCAAACTCGGGGTCCCTCCCACATACCTATTGCTGAGAGAAGCCTCCTCCTGAGGTGCTTCTGGGAAGTTGGCATACGTCTTGAGCCTAAGCCAGGGAATCAGCTCGCATCTCGAGACGATTTGGGGTACACGGAGCATTCCTCGAGTTGCTGTGCTGAAGTTGGTGTTCCTCTAGACTTGGGACAGTGTTCTCGGGGCATCTCTGGAGTTGCCTGAAGGAAGTCGAGCCACCGGTCGTGTTGAATGGGGAACGGGGAATGGCTCTGGAGTCAATGCAGGGGAATCGGGCCTCATTTCGAGTTGATTTGGGGCACATGGAGCTGCTTTGCGTTGCTGGGGTGACCTCAGGGTCCGTCTAGACTGGTGACAGTGTTCTTGGGGACTGTCTCGAGATCCATTAAGCAAGTCGAAGCTCCTGACTTGTTTGAATGGGATCACGGAATAGCTCTGCATGCACTGCAGGGGAATGGGGCCTCATCTCGCCTCTAGGGGGAAGTCTCATGGTTTTTCTCGAGTTGCGGCGGGGACCTGGGGTATGTTCTCGACTTACGGCGGGGATGGCCCTTCAAAACACGAGTTTCTTCAGTGACGTCAGGACTCCTGTCTAGTAACGAGGGACACCTCAGGAATCTCTTCGAGGCTTGGCAGGGCCAAAGGGACGCTTCTCGAGGTGAGGCAGGGCACCCAAGGACCCTTTCCAGTAGCCTCAGGGATTTTGGGATTCCTATCAGTATTCAAGAGGAGTCAGGCATCGTCACCTTGTGAAGCAATGAACTCCGCGTGCCTCTCGAGGTGTCAGCGGGATGTGAGGCATTCCGTCAAAATGAGGCAGGGACCTAGGGCTTTCTCTAAGGTCTCCACAGGGGATTCAGACATCCCTTCATGTTGTGAGATGAAAGACGAGCCTGTATTCAAGCCACTGCAAGGAAATCCGGCCTCCTTTCAAGTGAGGGCTTCTCGCTGTATATTCCCCTTGAGGCAGCAAACTCGGGGTCCCTCCCACATACCTATTGCTGAGAGAAGCCTCCTCCTGAGGTGCTTCTGGGAAGTTGGCATACGTCTTGAGCCTAAGCCAGGGAATCAGCTCGCATCTCGAGACGATTTGGGGTACACGGAGCATTCCTCGAGTTGCTGTGCTGAAGTTGGTGTTCCTCTAGACTTGGGACAGTGTTCTCGGGGCATCTCTGGAGTTGCCTGAAGGAAGTCGAGCCACCGGTCGTGTTGAATGGGGAACGGGGAATGGCTCTGGAGTCAATGCAGGGGAATCGGGCCTCATCTCGAGTTGATTTGGGGCACATGGAGCTGCTTTGCGTTGCTGGGGTGACCTCAGGGTCCGTCTAGACTGGTGACAGTGTTCTTGGGGACTGTCTCGAGATCCATTAAGCAAGTCGAAGCTCCTGACTTGTTTGAATGGGATCACGGAATAGCTCTGCATGCACTGCAGGGGAATGGGGCCTCATCTCGCCTCTAGGGGGAAGTCTCATGGTTTTTCTCGAGTTGCGGCGGGGACCTGGGGTATGTTCTCGACTTACGGCGGGGATGGCCCTTCAAAACACGAGTTTCTTCAGTGACGTCAGGACTCCTGTCTAGTAACGAGGGACACCTCAGGAATCTCTTCGAGGCTTGGCAGGGCCAAAGGGACGCTTCTCGAGGTGAGGCAGGGCACCCAAGCACCCTTTCCAGTAGCCACAGGGATTTTGGGATTCCTATCAGTATTCAAGAGGAGTCAGGCATCGTCACCTTGTGAAGCAATGAACTCCGCGTGCCTCTCGAGGTGTCAGCGGGATGTGAGGCATTCCGTCAAAATGAGGCAGGGACCTAGGGCTTTCTCTAAGGTCTCCACAGGGGATTCAGACATCCCTTCATGTTGTGAGATGAAAGACGAGCCTGTATTCAAGCCACTGCAAGGAAATCCGGCCTCCTTTCAAGTTAGGGCTTCTCGCTGTATATTCCCCTTGAGGCAGCAAACTCGGGGTCCCTCCCACATACCTTTTGCTGAGAGAAGCCTCCTCCTGAGGTGCTTCTGGGAAGTTGGCATACGTCTTGAGCCTAAGCCAGGGAATCAGCTCGCATCTCGAGACGATTTGGGGTACACGGAGCATTCCTCGAGTTGCTGTGCTGAAGTTGGTGTTCCTCTAGACTTGGGACAGTGTTCTCGGGGCATCTCTGGAGTTGCCTGAAGGAAGTCGAGCCACCGGTCGTGTTGAATGGGGAACGGGGAATGGCTCTGGAGTCAATGCAGGGGAATCGGGCCTCATCTCGAGTTGATTTGGGGCACATGGAGCTGCTTTGCGTTGCTGGGGTGACCTCAGGGTCCGTCTAGACTGGTGACAGTGTTCTTGGGGACTGTCTCGAGATCCATTAAGCAAGTCGAAGCTCCTGACTTGTTTGAATGGGATCACGGAATAGCTCTGCATGCACTGCAGGGGAATGGGGCCTCATCTCGCCTCTAGGGGGAAGTCTCATGGTTTTTCTCGAGTTGCGGCGGGGACCTGGGGTATGTTCTCGACTTACGGCGGGGATGGCCCTTCAAAACACGAGTTTCTTCAGTGACGTCAGGACTCCTGTCTAGTAACGAGGGACACCTCAGGAATCTCTTCGAGGCTTGGCAGGGCCAAAGGGACGCTTCTCGAGGTGAGGCAGGGCACCCAAGGACCCTTTCCAGTAGCCTCAGGGATTTTGGGATTCCTATCAGTATTCAAGAGGAGTCAGGCATCGTCACCTTGTGAAGCAATGAACTCCGCGTGCCTCTCGAGGTGTCAGCGGGATGTGAGGCATTCCGTCAAAATGAGGCAGGGACCTAGGGCTTTCTCTAAGGTCTCCACAGGGGATTCAGACATCCCTTCATGTTGTGAGATGAAAGACGAGCCTGTATTCAAGCCACTGCAAGGAAATCCGGCCTCCTTTCAAGTGAGGGCTTCTCGCTGTATATTCCCCTTGAGGCAGCAAACTCGGGGTCCCTCCCACATACCTATTGCTGAGAGAAGCCTCCTCCTGAGGTGCTTCTGGGAAGTTGGCATACGTCTTGAGCCTAAGCCAGGGAATCAGCTCGCATCTCGAGACGATTTGGGGTACACGGAGCATTCCTCGAGTTGCTGTGCTGAAGTTGGTGTTCCTCTAGACTTGGGACAGTGTTCTCGGGGCATCTCTGGAGTTGCCTGAAGGAAGTCGAGCCACCGGTCGTGTTGAATGGGGAACGGGGAATGGCTCTGGAGTCAATGCAGGGGAATCGGGCCTCATCTCGAGTTGATTTGGGGCACATGGAGCTGCTTTGCGTTGCTGGGGTGACCTCAGGGTCCGTCTAGACTGGTGACAGTGTTCTTGGGGACTGTCTCGAGATCCATTAAGCAAGTTGAAGCTCCTGACTTGTTTGAATGGGATCACGGAATAGCTCTGCATGCACTGCAGGGGAATGGGGCCTCATCTCGCCTCTAGGGGGAAGTCTCATGGTTTTTCTCGAGTTGCGGCGGGGACCTGGGGTATGTTCTCGACTTACGGCGGGGATGGCCCTTCAAAACACGAGTTTCTTCAGTGACGTCAGGACTCCTGTCTAGTAACGAGGGACACCTCAGGAATCTCTTCGAGGCTTGGCAGGGCCAAAGGGACGCTTCTCGAGGTGAGGCAGGGCACCCAAGGACCCTTTCCAGTAGCCTCAGGGATTTTGGGATTCCTATCAGTATTCAAGAGGAGTCAGGCATCGTCACCTTGTGAAGCAATGAACTCCGCGTGCCTCTCGAGGTGTCAGCGGGATGTGAGGCATTCCGTCAAAATGAGGCAGGGACCTAGGGCTTTCTCTAAGGTCTCCACAGGGGATTCAGACATCCCTTCATGTTGTGAGATGAAAGACGAGCCTGTATTCAAGCCACTGCAAGGAAATCCGGCCTCCTTTCAAGTTAGGGCTTCTCGCTGTATATTCCCCTTGAGGCAGCAAACTCGGGGTCCCTCCCACATACCTATTGCTGAGAGAAGCCTCCTCCTGAGGTGCTTCTGGGAAGTTGGCATACGTCTTGAGCCTAAGCCAGGGAATCAGCTCGCATCTCGAGACGATTTGGGGTACACGGAGCATTCCTCGAGTTGCTGTGCTGAAGTTGGTGTTCCTCTAGACTTGGGACAGTGTTCTCGGGGCATCTCTGGAGTTGCCTGAAGGAAGTCGAGCCACCGGTCGTGTTGAATGGGGAACGGGGAATGGCTCTGGAGTCAATGCAGGGGAATCGGGCCTCATCTCGAGTTGATTTGGGGCACATGGAGCTGCTTTGCGTTGCTGGGGTGACCTCAGGGTCCGTCTAGACTGGTGACAGTGTTCTTGGGGACTGTCTCGAGATCCATTAAGCAAGTCGAAGCTCCTGACTTGTTTGAATGGGATCACGGAATAGCTCTGCATGCACTGCAGGGGAATGGGGCCTCATCTCGCCTCTAGGGGGAAGTCTCATGGTTTTTCTCGAGTTGCGGCGGGGACCTGGGGTATGTTCTCGACTTACGGCGGGGATGGCCCTTCAAAACACGAGTTTCTTCAGTGACGTCAGGACTCCTGTCTAGTAACGAGGGACACCTCAGGAATCTCTTCGAGGCTTGGCAGGGCCAAAGGGACGCTTCTCGAGGTGAGGCAGGGCACCCAAGGACCCTTTCCAGTAGCCACAGGGATTTTGGGATTCCTATCAGTATTCAAGAGGAGTCAGGCATCGTCACCTTTTGAAGCAATGAACTCCGCGTGCCTCTCGAGGTGTCAGCGGGATGTGAGGCATTCCGTCAAAATGAGGCAGGGACCTAGGGCTTTCTCTAAGGTCTCCACAGGGGATTCAGACATCCCTTCATGTTGTGAGATGAAAGACGAGCCTGTATTCAAGCCACTGCAAGGAAATCCGGCCTCCTTTCAAGTGAGGGCTTCTCGCTGTATATTCCCCTTGAGGCAGCAAACTCGGGGTCCCTCCCACATACCTATTGCTGAGAGAAGCCTCCTCCTGAGGTGCTTCTGGGAAGTTGGCATACGTCTTGAGCCTAAGCCAGGGAATCAGCTCGCATCTCGAGACGATTTGGGGTACACGGAGCATTCCTCGAGTTGCTGTGCTGAAGTTGGTGTTCCTCTAGACTTGGGACAGTGTTCTCGGGGCATCTCTGGAGTTGCCTGAAGGAAGTCGAGCCACCGGTCGTGTTGAATGGGGAACGGGGAATGGCTCTGGAGTCAATGCAGGGGAATCGGGCCTCATCTCGAGTTGATTTGGGGCACATGGAGCTGCTTTGCGTTGCTGGGGTGACCTCAGGGTCCGTCTAGACTGGTGACAGTGTTCTTGGGGACTGTCTCGAGATCCATTAAGCAAGTCGAAGCTCCTGACTTGTTTGAATGGGATCACGGAATAGCTCTGCATGCACTGCAGGGGAATGGGGCCTCATCTCGCCTCTAGGGGGAAGTCTCATGGTTTTTCTCGAGTTGCGGCGGGGACCTGGGGTATGTTCTCGACTTACGGCGGGGATGGCCCTTCAAAACACGAGTTTCTTCAGTGACGTCAGGACTCCTGTCTAGTAACGAGGGACAACTCAGGAATCTCTTCGAGGCTTGGCAGGGCCAAAGGGACGCTTCCCGAGGTGAGGCAGGGCACCCAAGGACCCTTTCCAGTAGCCTCAGGGATTTTGGGATTCCTATCAGTATTCAAGAGGAGTCAGGCATCGTCACCTTGTGAAGCAATGAACTCCGCGTGCCTCTCGAGGTGTCAGCGGGATGTGAGGCATTCCGTCAAAATGAGGCAGGGACCTAGGGCTTTCTCTAAGGTCTCCACAGGGGATTCAGACATCCCTTCATGTTGTGAGATGAAAGACGAGCCTGTATTCAAGCCACTGCAAGGAAATCCGGCCTCCTTTCAAGTGAGGGCTTCTCGCTGTATATTCCCCTTGAGGCAGCAAACTCGGGGTCCCTCCCACATACCTATTGCTGAGAGAAGCCTCCTCCTGAGGTGCTTCTGGGAAGTTGGCATACGACTTGAGCCTAAGCCAGGGAATCAGCTCGCATCTCGAGACGATTTGGGGTACACGGAGCATTCCTCGAGTTGCTGTGCTGAAGTTGGTGTTCCTCTAGACTTGGGACAGTGTTCTCGGGGCATCTCTGGAGTTGCCTGAAGGAAGTCGAGCCACCGGTCGTGTTGAATGGGGAACGGGGAATGGCTCTGGAGTCAATGCAGGGGAATCGGGCCTCATCTCGAGTTGATTTGGGGCACATGGAGCTGCTTTGCGTTGCTGGGGTGACCTCAGGGTCCGTCTAGACTGGTGACAGTGTTCTTGGGGACTGTCTCGAGATCCATTAAGCAAGTCGAAGCTCCTGACTTGTTTGAATGGGATCACGGAATAGCTCTGCATGCACTGCAGGGGAATGGGGCCTCATCTCGCCTCTAGGGGGAAGTCTCATGGTTTTTCTCGAGTTGCGGCGGGGACCTGGGGTATGTTCTCGACTTACGGCGGGGATGGCCCTTCAAAACACGAGTTTCTTCAGTGACGTCAGGACTCCTGTCTAGTAACGAGGGACACCTCAGGAATCTCTTCGAGGCTTGGCAGGGCCAAAGGGACGCTTCTCGAGGTGAGGCAGGGCACCCAAGCACCCTTTCCAGTAGCCACAGGGATTTTGGGATTCCTATCAGTATTCAAGAGGAGTCAGGCATCGTCACCTTTTGAAGCAATGAACTCCGCGTGCCTCTCGAGGTGTCAGCGGGATGTGAGGCATTCCGTCAAAATGAGGCAGGGACCTAGGGCTTTCTCTAAGGTCTCCACAGGGGATTCAGACATCCCTTCATGTTGTGAGATGAAAGACGAGCCTGTATTCAAGCCACTGCAAGGAAATCCGGCCTCCTTTCAAGTTAGGGCTTCTCGCTGTATATTCCCCTTGAGGCAGCAAACTCGGGGTCCCTCCCACATACCTATTGCTGAGAGAAGCCTCCTCCTGAGGTGCTTCTGGGAAGTTGGCATACGTCTTGAGCCTAAGCCAGGGAATCAGCTCGCATCTCGAGACGATTTGGGGTACACGGAGCATTCCTCGAGTTGCTGTGCTGAAGTTGGTGTTCCTCTAGACTTGGGACAGTGTTCTCGGGGCATCTCTGGAGTTGCCTGAAGGAAGTCGAGCCACCGGTCGTGTTGAATGGGGAACGGGGAATGGCTCTGGAGTCAATGCAGGGGAATCGGGCCTCATCTCGAGTTGATTTGGGGCACATGGAGCTGCTTTGCGTTGCTGGGGTGACCTCAGGGTCCGTCTAGACTGGTGACAGTGTTCTTGGGGACTGTCTCGAGATCCATTAAGCAAGTCGAAGCTCCTGACTTGTTTGAATGGGATCACGGAATAGCTCTGCATGCACTGCAGGGGAATGGGGCCTCATCTCGCCTCTAGGGGGAAGTCTCATGGTTTTTCTCGAGTTGCGGCGGGGACCTGGGGTATGTTCTCGACTTACGGCGGGGATGGCCCTTCAAAACACGAGTTTCTTCAGTGACGTCAGGACTCCTGTCTAGTAACGAGGGACACCTCAGGAATCTCTTCGAGGGTTGGCAGGGCCAAAGGGACGCTTCTCCAGGTGAGGCAGGGCACCCAAGCACCCTTTCCAGTAGCCACAGGGATTTTGGGATTCCTATCAGTATTCAAGAGGAGTCAGGCATCGTCACCTTTTGAAGCAATGAACTCCGCGTGCCTCTCGAGGTGTCAGCGGGATGTGAGGCATTCCGTCAAAATGAGGCAGGGACCTAGGGCTTTCTCTAAGGTCTCCACAGGGGATTCAGACATCCCTTCATGTTGTGAGATGAAAGACGAGCCTGTATTCAAGCCACTGCAAGGAAATCCGGCCTCCTTTCAAGTGAGGGCTTCTCGCTGTATATTCCCCTTGAGGCAGCAAACTCGGGGTCCCTCCCACATACCTATTGCTGAGAGAAGCCTCCTCCTGAGGTGCTTCTGGGAAGTTGGCATACGTCTTGAGCCTAAGCCAGGGAATCAGCTCGCATCTCGAGACGATTTGGGGTACACGGAGCATTCCTCGAGTTGCTGTGCTGAAGTTGGTGTTCCTCTAGACTTGGGACAGTGTTCTCGGGGCATCTCTGGAGTTGCCTGAAGGAAGTCGAGCCACCGGTCGTGTTGAATGGGGAACGGGGAATGGCTCTGGAGTCAATGCAGGGGAATCGGGCCTCATCTCGAGTTGATTTGGGGCACATGGAGCTGCTTTGCGTTGCTGGGGTGACCTCAGGGTCCGTCTAGACTGGTGACAGTGTTCTTGGGGACTGTCTCGAGATCCATTAAGCAAGTCGAAGCTCCTGACTTGTTTGAATGGGATCACGGAATAGCTCTGCATGCACTGCAGGGGAATGGGGCCTCATCTCGCCTCTAGGGGGAAGTCTCATGGTTTTTCTCGAGTTGCGGCGGGGACCTGGGGTATGTTCTCGACTTACGGCGGGGATGGCCCTTCAAAACACGAGTTTCTTCAGTGACGTCAGGACTCCTGTCTAGTAACGAGGGACACCTCAGGAATCTCTTCGAGGGTTGGCAGGGCCAAAGGGACGCTTCTCGAGGTGAGGCAGGGCACCCAAGCACCCTTTCCAGTAGCCACAGGGATTTTGGGATTCCTATCAGTATTCAAGAGGAGTCAGGCATCGTCACCTTGTGAAGCAATGAACTCCGCGTGCCTCTCGAGGTGTCAGCGGGATGTGAGGCATTCCGTCAAAATGAGGCAGGGACCTAGGGCTTTCTCTAAGGTCTCCACAGGGGATTCAGACATCCCTTCATGTTGTGAGATGAAAGACGAGCCTGTATTCAAGCCACTGCAAGGAAATCCGGCCTCCTTTCAAGTGAGGGCTTCTCGCTGTATATTCCCCTTGAGGCAGCAAACTCGGGGTCCCTCCCACATACCTATTGCTGAGAGAAGCCTCCTCCTGAGGTGCTTCTGGGAAGTTGGCATACGTCTTGAGCCTAAGCCAGGGAATCAGCTCGCATCTCGAGACGATTTGGGGTACACGGAGCATTCCTCGAGTTGCTGTGCTGAAGTTGGTGTTCCTCTAGACTTGGGACAGTGTTCTCGGGGCATCTCTGGAGTTGCCTGAAGGAAGTCGAGCCACCGGTCGTGTTGAATGGGGAACGGGGAATGGCTCTGGAGTCAATGCAGGGGAATCGGGCCTCATCTCGAGTTGATTTGGGGCACATGGAGCTGCTTTGCGTTGCTGGGGTGACCTCAGGGTCCGTCTAGACTGGTGACAGTGTTCTTGGGGACTGTCTCGAGATCCATTAAGCAAGTCGAAGCTCCTGACTTGTTTGAATGGGATCACGGAATAGCTCTGCATGCACTGCAGGGGAATGGGGCCTCATCTCGCCTCTAGGGGGAAGTCTCATGGTTTTTCTCGAGTTGCGGCGGGGACCTGGGGTATGTTCTCGACTTACGGCGGGGATGGCCCTTCAAAACACGAGTTTCTTCAGTGACGTCAGGACTCCTGTCTAGTAACGAGGGACACCTCAGGAATCTCTTCGAGGCTTGGCAGGGCCAAAGGGACGCTTCTCGAGGTGAGGCAGGGCACCCAAGGACCCTTTCCAGTAGCCTCAGGGATTTTGGGATTCCTATCAGTATTCAAGAGGAGTCAGGCATCGTCACCTTGTGAAGCAATGAACTCCGCGTGCCTCTCGAGGTGTCAGCGGGATGTGAGGCATTCCGTCAAAATGAGGCAGGGACCTAGGGCTTTCTCTAAGGTCTCCACAGGGGATTCAGACATCCCTTCATGTTGTGAGATGAAAGACGAGCCTGTATTCAAGCCACTGCAAGGAAATCCGGCCTCCTTTCAAGTTAGGGCTTCTCGCTGTATATTCCCCTTGAGGCAGCAAACTCGGGGTCCCTCCCACATACCTATTGCTGAGAGAAGCCTCCTCCTGAGGTGCTTCTGGGAAGTTGGCATACGTCTTGAGCCTAAGCCAGGGAATCAGCTCGCATCTCGAGACGATTTGGGGTACACGGAGCATTCCTCGAGTTGCTGTGCTGAAGTTGGTGTTCCTCTAGACTTGGGACAGTGTTCTCGGGGCATCTCTGGAGTTGCCTGAAGGAAGTCGAGCCACCGGTCGTGTTGAATGGGGAACGGGGAATGGCTCTGGAGTCAATGCAGGGGAATCGGGCCTCATCTCGAGTTGATTTGGGGCACATGGAGCTGCTTTGCGTTGCTGGGGTGACCTCAGGGTCCGTCTAGACTGGTGACAGTGTTCTTGGGGACTGTCTCGAGATCCATTAAGCAAGTCGAAGCTCCTGACTTGTTTGAATGGGATCACGGAATAGCTCTGCATGCACTGCAGGGGAATGGGGCCTCATCTCGCCTCTAGGGGGAAGTCTCATGGTTTTTCTCGAGTTGCGGCGGGGACCTGGGGTATGTTCTCGACTTACGGCGGGGATGGCCCTTCAAAACACGAGTTTCTTCAGTGAAGTCAGGACTCCTGTCTAGTAACGAGGGACACCTCAGGAATCTCTTCGAGGCTTGGCAGGGCCAAAGGGACGCTTCTCGAGGTGAGGCAGGGCACCCAAGCACCCTTTCCAGTAGCCACAGGGATTTTGGGATTCCTATCAGTATTCAAGAGGAGTCAGGCATCGTCACCTTTTGAAGCAATGAACTCCGCGTGCCTCTCGAGGTGTCAGCGGGATGTGAGGCATTCCGTCAAAATGAGGCAGGGACCTAGGGCTTTCTCTAAGGTCTCCACAGGGGATTCAGACATCCCTTCATGTTGTGAGATGAAAGACGAGCCTGTATTCAAGCCACTGCAAGGAAATCCGGCCTCCTTTCAAGTTAGGGCTTCTCGCTGTATATTCCCCTTGAGGCAGCAAACTCGGGGTCCCTCCCACATACCTATTGCTGAGAGAAGCCTCCTCCTGAGGTGCTTCTGGGAAGTTGGCATACGTCTTGAGCCTAAGCCAGGGAATCAGCTCGCATCTCGAGACGATTTGGGGTACACGGAGCATTCCTCGAGTTGCTGTGCTGAAGTTGGTGTTCCTCTAGACTTGGGACAGTGTTCTCGGGGCATCTCTGGAGTTGCCTGAAGGAAGTCGAGCCACCGGTCGTGTTGAATGGGGAACGGGGAATGGCTCTGGAGTCAATGCAGGGGAATCGGGCCTCATCTCGAGTTGATTTGGGGCACATGGAGCTGCTTTGCGTTGCTGGGGTGACCTCAGGGTCCGTCTAGACTGGTGACAGTGTTCTTGGGGACTGTCTCGAGATCCATTAAGCAAGTCGAAGCTCCTGACTTGTTTGAATGGGATCACGGAATAGCTCTGCATGCACTGCAGGGGAATGGGGCCTCATCTCGCCTCTAGGGGGAAGTCTCATGGTTTTTCTCGAGTTGCGGCGGGGACCTGGGGTATGTTCTCGACTTACGGCGGGGATGGTCCTTCAAAACACGAGTTTCTTCAGTGACGTCAGGACTCCTGTCTAGTAACGAGGGACACCTCAGGAATCTCTTCGAGGCTTGGCAGGGCCAAAGGGACGCTTCTCGAGGTGAGGCAGGGCACCCAAGGACCCTTTCCAGTAGCCTCAGGGATTTTGGGATTCCTATCAGTATTCAAGAGGAGTCAGGCATCGTCACCTTGTGAAGCAATGAACTCCGCGTGCCTCTCGAGGTGTCAGCGGGATGTGAGGCATTCCGTCAAAATGAGGCAGGGACCTAGGGCTTTCTCTAAGGTCTCCACAGGGGATTCAGACATCCCTTCATGTTGTGAGATGAAAGACGAGCCTGTATTCAAGCCACTGCAAGGAAATCCGGCCTCCTTTCAAGTTAGGGCTTCTCGCTGTATATTCCGCTTGAGGCAGCAAACTCGGGGTCCCTCCCACATACCTATTGCTGAGAGAAGCCTCCTCCTGAGGTGCTTCTGGGAAGTTGGCATACGTCTTGAGCCTAAGCCAGGGAATCAGCTCGCATCTCGAGACGATTTGGGGTACACGGAGCATTCCTCGAGTTGCTGTGCTGAAGTTGGTGTTCCTCTAGACTTGGGACAGTGTTCTCGGGGCATCTCTGGAGTTGCCTGAAGGAAGTCGAGCCACCGGTCGTGTTGAATGGGGAACGGGGAATGGCTCTGGAGTCAATGCAGGGGAATCGGGCCTCATCTCGAGTTGATTTGGGGCACATGGAGCTGCTTTGCGTTGCTGGGGTGACCTCAGGGTCCGTCTAGACTGGTGACAGTGTTCTTGGGGACTGTCTCGAGATCCATTAAGCAAGTCGAAGCTCCTGACTTGTTTGAATGGGATCACGGAATAGCTCTGCATGCACTGCAGGGGAATGGGGCCTCATCTCGCCTCTAGGGGGAAGTCTCATGGTTTTTCTCGAGTTGCGGCGGGGACCTGGGGTATGTTCTCGACTTAAGGCGGGGATGGCCCTTCAAAACACGAGTTTCTTCAGTGACGTCAGGACTCCTGTCTAGTAACGAGGGACACCTCAGGAATCTCTTCGAGGCTTGGCCGGGCCAAAGGGACGCTTCTCGAGGTGAGGCAGGGCACCCAAGGACCCTTTCCAGTAGCCACAGGGATTTTGGGATTCCTATCAGTATTCAAGAGGAGTCAGGCATCGTCACCTTTTGAAGCAATGAACTCCGCGTGCCTCTCGAGGTGTCAGCGTTATGTGAGGCATTCCGTCAAAATGAGGCAGGGACCTAGGGCTTTCTCTAAGGTCTCCACAGGGGATTCAGACATCCCTTCATGTTGTGAGATGAAAGACGAGCCTGTATTCAAGCCACTGCAAGGAAATCCGGCCTCCTTTCAAGTGAGGGCTTCTCGCTGTATATTCCCCTTGAGGCAGCAAACTCGGGGTCCCTCCCACATACCTATTGCTGAGAGAAGCCTCCTCCTGAGGTGCTTCTGGGAAGTTGGCATACGTCTTGAGCCTAAGCCAGGGAATCAGCTCGCATCTCGAGACGATTTGGGGTACACGGAGCATTCCTCGAGTTGCTGTGCTGAAGTTGGTGTTCCTCTAGACTTGGGACAGTGTTCTCGGGGCATCTCTGGAGTTGCCTGAAGGAAGTCGAGCCACCGGTCGTGTTGAATGGGGAACGGGGAATGGCTCTGGAGTCAATGCAGGGGAATCGGGCCTCATCTCGAGTTGATTTGGGGCACATGGAGCTGCTTTGCGTTGCTGGGGTGACCTCAGGGTCCGTCTAGACTGGTGACAGTGTTCTTGGGGACTGTCTCGAGATCCATTAAGCAAGTCGAAGCTCCTGACTTGTTTGAATGGGATCACGGAATAGCTCTGCATGCACTGCAGGGGAATGGGGCCTCATCTCGCCTCTAGGGGGAAGTCTCATGGTTTTTCTCGAGTTGCGGCGGGGACCTGGGGTATGTTCTCGACTTACGGCGGGGATGGCCCTTCAAAACACGAGTTTCTTCAGTGACGTCAGGACTCCTGTCTAGTAACGAGGGACACCTCAGGAATCTCTTCGAGGCTTGGCAGGGCCAAAGGGACGCTTCTCGAGGTGAGGCAGGGCACCCAAGGACCCTTTCCAGTAGCCACAGGGATTTTGGGATTCCTATCAGTATTCAAGAGGAGTCAGGCATCGTCACCTTTTGAAGCAATGAACTCCGCGTGCCTCTCGAGGTGTCAGCGGGATGTGAGGCATTCCGTCAAAATGAGGCAGGGACCTAGGGCTTTCTCTAAGGTCTCCACAGGGGATTCAGACATCCCTTCATGTTGTGAGATGAAAGACGAGCCTGTATTCAAGCCACTGCAAGGAAATCCGGCCTCCTTTCAAGTTAGGGCTTCTCGCTGTATATTCCCCTTGAGGCAGCAAACTCGGGGTCCCTCCCACATACCTATTGCTGAGAGAAGCCTCCTCCTGAGGTGCTTCTGGGAAGTTGGCATACGTCTTGAGCCTAAGCCAGGGAATCAGCTCGCATCTCGAGACGATTTGGGGTACACGGAGCATTCCTCGAGTTGCTGTGCTGAAGTTGGTGTTCCTCTAGACTTGGGACAGTGTTCTCGGGGCATCTCTGGAGTTGCCTGAAGGAAGTCGAGCCCACCGGTCGTGTTGAATGGGGATCGGGGAAAGGCTCTGGAGTCAATGCAGGGGAATCGGGCCTCATCTCGAGTTGATTTGGGGCACATGGAGCTGCTTTGCGTTGCTGGGGTGACCTCAGGGTCCGTCTAGACTGATGACAGTGTTCTTGGGGACTGTCTCGAGATCCATTAAGCAAGTCGAAGCTCCTGACTTGTTTGAATGGGATCACGGAGTAGCTCTGCATGCACTGCAGGGGAATGTGGCCTCATCTCGCCTCTGGGGGAAGTCTCATGGTTTTTCTCGAGTTGCGGCGGGGACCTGGGGTATGTTCTCGACTTACGGCGGGGATGGCCCTTCAAAACACGAGTTTCTTCAGTGACGTCAGGACTCCTGTCTAGTAACGAGGGACACCTCAGGAATCTCTTCGAGGCTTGGCAGGGCCAAAGGGATGCTTCTCGAGGTGAGGCAGGGCACCCAAGGACCCTTTCCAGTAGCCACAGGGATTTTGGTATTCCTATCAGTATTCAAGAGGAGTCAGGCATCGTCACCTTTTGAAGCAATGAACTCCGCGTGCCTCTCGAGGTGTCAGCGGGATGTGAGGCATTCCGTCAAAATGAGGCAGGGACCTAGGGCTTTCTCTAAGGTCTCCACAGGGGATTCAGACATCCCTTCATGTTGTGAGATGAAAGACGAGCCTGTATTCAAGCCACTGCAAGGAAATCCGGCCTCCTTTCAAGTTAGGGCTTCTCGCTGTATATTCCCCTTGAGGCAGCAAACTCGGGGTCCCTCCCACATACCTATTGCTGAGAGAAGCCTCCTCCTGAGGTGCTTCTGGGAAGTTGGCATACGTCTTGAGCCTAAGCCAGGGAATCAGCTCGCATCTCGAGACGATTTGGGGTACACGGAGCATTCCTCGAGTTGCTGTGCTGAAGTTGGTGTTCCTCTAGACTTGGGACAGTGTTCTCGGGGCATCTCTGGAGTTGCCTGAAGGAAGTCGAGCCACCGGTCGTGTTGAATGGGGAACGGGGAATGGCTCTGGAGTCAATGCAGGGGAATCGGGCCTCATCTCGAGTTGATTTGGGGCACATGGAGCTGCTTTGCGTTGCTGGGGTGACCTCAGGGTCCGTCTAGACTGGTGACAGTGTTCTTGGGGACTGTCTCGAGATCCATTAAGCAAGTCGAAGCTCCTGACTTGTTTGAATGGGATCACGGAATAGCTCTGCATGCACTGCAGGGGAATGGGGCCTCATCTCGCCTCTAGGGGGAAGTCTCATGGTTTTTCTCGAGTTGCGGCGGGGACCTGGGGTATGTTCTCGACTTACGGCGGGGATGGCCCTTCAAAACACGAGTTTCTTCAGTGACGTCAGGACTCCTGTCTAGTAACGAGGGACACCTCAGGAATCTCTTCGAGGCTTGGCAGGGCCAAAGGGACGCTTCTCGAGGTGAGGCAGGGCACCCAAGGACCCTTTCCAGTAGCCACAGGGATTTTGGGATTCCTATCAGTATTCAAGAGGAGTCAGGCATCGTCACCTTTTGAAGCAATGAACTCCGCGTGCCTCTCGAGGTGTCAGCGGGATGTGAGGCATTCCGTCAAAATGAGGCAGGGACCTAGGGCTTTCTCTAAGGTCTCCACAGGGGATTCAGACATCCCTTCATGTTGTGAGATGAAAGACGAGCCTGTATTCAAGCCACTGCAAGGAAATCCGGCCTCCTTTCAAGTTAGGGCTTCTCGCTGTATATTCCCCTTGAGGCAGCAAACTCGGGGTCCCTCCCACATACCTATTGCTGAGAGAAGCCTCCTCCTGAGGTGCTTCTGGGAAGTTGGCATACGTCTTGAGCCTAAGCCAGGGAATCAGCTCGCATCTCGAGACGATTTGGGGTACACGGAGCATTCCTCGAGTTGCTGTGCTGAAGTTGGTGTTCCTCTAGACTTGGGACAGTGTTCTCGGGGCATCTCTGGAGTTGCCTGAAGGAAGTCGAGCCCACCGGTCGTGTTGAATGGGGAACGGGGAATGGCTCTGGAGTCAATGCAGGGGAATCGGGCCTCATCTCGAGTTGATTTGGGGCACATGGAGCTGCTTTGCGTTGCTGGGGTGACCTCAGGGTCCGTCTAGACTGGTGACAGTGTTCTTGGGGACTGTCTCGAGATCCATTAAGCAAGTCGAAGCTCCTGACTTGTTTGAATGGGATCACGGAGTAGCTCTGCATGCACTGCAGGGGAATGGGGCCTCATCTCGCCTCTAGGGGGAAGTCTCATGGTTTTTCTCGAGTTGCGGCGGGGACCTGGGGTATGTTCTCGACTTACGGCGGGGATGGCCCTTCAAAACACGAGTTTCTTCAGTGACGTCAGGACTCCTGTCTAGTAACGAGGGACACCTCAGGAATCTCTTCGAGGCTTGGCAGGGCCAAAGGGACGCTTCTCGAGGTGAGGCAGGGCACCCAAGGACCCTTTCCAGTAGCCACAGGGATTTTGGGATTCCTATCAGTATTCAAGAGGAGTCAGGCATCGTCACCTTTTGAAGCAATGAACTCCGCGTGCCTCTCGAGGTGTCAGCGGGATGTGAGGCATTCCATCAAAATGAGGCAGGGACCTAGGTCTTTCTCTAAGGTCTCCACAGGGGATTCAGACATCCCTTCATGTTGTGAGATGAAAGACGAGCCTGTATTCAAGCCACTGCAAGGAAATCCGGCCTCCTTTCAAGTTAGGGCTTCTCGCTGTATATTCCCCTTGAGGCAGCAAACTCGGGGTCCCTCCCACATACCTATTGCTGAGAGAAGCCTCCTCCTGAGGTGCTTCTGGGAAGTTGGCATACGTCTTGAGCCTAAGCCAGGGAATCAGCTCGCATCTCGAGACGATTTGGGGTACACGGAGCATTCCTCGAGTTGCTGTGCTGAAGTTGGTGTTCCTCTAGACTTGGGACAGTGTTCTCGGGGCATCTCTGGAGTTGCCTGAAGGAAGTCGAGCCACCGGTCGTGTTGAATGGGGAACGGGGAATGGCTCTGGAGTCAATGCAGGGGAATCGGGCCTCATCTCGAGTTGATTTGGGGCACATGGAGCTGCTTTGCGTTGCTGGGGTGACCTCAGGGTCCGTCTAGACTGGTGACAGTGTTCTTGGGGACTGTCTCGAGATCCATTAAGCAAGTCGAAGCTCCTGACTTGTTTGAATGGGATCACGGAATAGCTCTGCATGCACTGCAGGGGAATGGGGCCTCATCTCGCCTCTAGGGGGAAGTCTCATGGTTTTTCTCGAGTTGCGGCGGGGACTAGGGGTATGTTCTCGACTTACGGCGGGGATGGCCCTTCAAAACACGAGTTTCTTCAGTGACGTCAGGACTCCTGTCTAGTAACGAGGGACACCTCAGGAATCTCTTCGAGGCTTGGCAGGGCCAAAGGGACGCTTCTCGAGGTGAGGCAGGGCACCCAAGGACCCTTTCCAGTAGCCACAGGGATTTTGGGATTCCTATCAGTATTCAAGAGGAGTCAGGCATCGTCACCTTTTGAAGCAATGAACTCCGCGTGCCTCTCGAGGTGTCAGCGGGATGTGAGGCATTCCCTCAAAATGAGGCAGGGACCTAGGGCTTTCTCTAAGGTCTCCACAGGGGATTCAGACATCCCTTCATGTTGTGAGATGAAAGACGAGCCTGTATTCAAGCCACTGCAAGGAAATCCGGCCTCCTTTCAAGTTAGGGCTTCTCGCTGTATATTCCCCTTGAGGCAGCAAACTCGGGGTCCCTCCCACATACCTATTGCTGAGAGAAGCCTCCTCCTGAGGTGCTTCTGGGAAGTTGGCATACGTCTTGAGCCTAAGCCAGGGAATCAGCTCGCATCTCGAGACGATTTGGGGTACACGGAGCATTCCTCGAGTTGCTGTGCTGAAGTTGGTGTTCCTCTAGACTTGGGACAGTGTTCTCGGGGCATCTCTGGAGTTGCCTGAAGGAAGTCGAGCCACCGGTCGTGTTGAATGGGGAACGGGGAATGGCTCTGGAGTCAATGCAGGGGAATCGGGCCTCATCTCGAGTTGATTTGGGGCACATGGAGCTGCTTTGCGTTGCTGGGGTGACCTCAGGGTCCGTCTAGACTGGTGACAGTGTTCTTGGGGACTGTCTCGAGATCCATTAAGCAAGTCGAAGCTCCTGACTTGTTTGAATGGGATCACGGAATAGCTCTGCATGCACTGCAGGGGAATGGGGCCTCATCTCGCCTCTAGGGGGAAGTCTCATGGTTTTTCTCGAGTTGCGGCGGGGACCTGCGGTATGTTCTCGACTTACGGCGGGGATGGCCCTTCAAAACACGAGTTTCTTCAGTGACGTCAGGACTCCTGTCTAGTAACGAGGGACACCTCAGGAATCTCTTCGAGGCTTGGCAGGGCCAAAGGGACGCTTCTCGAGGTGAGGCAGGGCACCCAAGGACCCTTTCCAGTAGCCACAGGGATTTTGGGATTCCTATCAGTATTCAAGAGGAGTCAGGCATCGTCACCTTTTGAAGCAATGAACTCCGCGTGCCTCTCGAGGTGTCAGCGGGATGTGAGGCATTCCGTCAAAATGAGGCAGGGACCTAGGGCTTTCTCTAAGGTCTCCACAGGGGATTCAGACATCCCTTCATGTTGTGAGATGAAAGACGAGCCTGTATTCAAGCCACTGCAAGGAAATCCGGCCTCCTTTCAAGTTAGGGCTTCTCGCTGTATATTCCCCTTGAGGCAGCAAACTCGGGGTCCCTCCCACATACCTATTGCTGAGAGAAGCCTCCTCCTGAGGTGCTTCTGGGAAGTTGGCATACGTCTTGAGCCTAAGCCAGGGAATCAGCTCGCATCTCGAGACGATTTGGGGTACACGGAGCATTCCTCGAGTTGCTGTGCTGAAGTTGGTGTTCCTCTAGACTTGGGACAGTGTTCTCGGGGCATCTCTGGAGTTGCCTGAAGGAAGTCGAGCCACCGGTCGTGTTGAATGGGGAACGGGGAATGGCTCTGGAGTCAATGCAGGGGAATCGGGCCTCATCTCGAGTTGATTTGGGGCACATGGAGCTGCTTTGCATTGCTGGGGTGACCTCAGGGTCCGTCTAGACTGGTGACAGTGTTCTTGGGGACTGTCTCGAGATCCATTAAGCAAGTCGAAGCTCCTGACTTGTTTGAATGGGATCACGGAATAGCTCTGCATGCACTGCAGGGGAATGGGGCCTCATCTCGCCTCTAGGGGGAAGTCTCATGGTTTTTCTCGAGTTGCGGCGGGGACCTGGGGTATGTTCTCGACTTACGGCGGGGATGGCCCTTCAAAACACGAGTTTCTTCAGTGACGTCAGGACTCCTCTCTAGTAACGAGGGACACCTCAGGAATCTCTTCGAGGCTTGGCAGGGCCAAAGGGACGCTTCTTGAGGTGAGGCAGGGCACCCAAGGACCCTTTCCAGTAGCCACAGGGATTTTGGGATTCCTATCAGTATTCAAGAGGAGTCAGGCATCGTCACCTTTTGAAGCAATGAACTCCGCGTGCCTCTCGAGGTGTCAGCGGGATGTGAGGCATTCCGTCAAAATGAGGCAGGGACCTAGGGCTTTCTCTAAGGTCTCCACAGGGGATTCAGACATCCCTTCATGTTGTGAGATGAAAGACGAGCCTGTATTCAAGCCACTGCAAGGAAATCCGGCCTCCTTTCAAGTTAGGGCTTCTCGCTGTATATTCCCCTTGAGGCAGCAAACTCGGGGTCCCTCCCACATACCTATTGCTGAGAGAAGCCTCCTCCTGAGGTGCTTCTGGGAAGTTGGCATACGTCTTGAGCCTAAGCCAGGGAATCAGCTCGCATCTCGAGACGATTTGGGGTACACGGAGCATTCCTCGAGTTGCTGTGCTGAAGTTGGTGTTCCTCTAGACTTGGGACAGTGTTCTCGGGGCATCTCTGGAGTTGCCTGAAGGAAGTCGAGCCCACCGGTCGTGTTGAATGGGGAACGGGGAATGGCTCTGGAGTCAATGCAGGGGAATCGGGCCTCATCTCGAGTTGATTTGGGGCACATGGAGCTGCTTTGCGTTGCTGGGGTGACCTCAGGGTCCGTCTAGACTGGTGACAGTGTTCTTGGGGACTGTCTCGAGATCCATTAAGCAAGTCGAAGCTCCTGACTTGTTTGAATGGGATCATGGAGTAGCTCTGCATGCACTGCAGGGGAATGGGGCCTCATCTCGCCTCTAGGGGGAAGTCTCATGGTTTTTCTCGAGTTGCGGCGGGGACCTGGGGTATGTTCTCGACTTACGGCGGGGATGGCCCTTCAAAACACGAGTTTCTTCAGTGACGTCAGGACTCCTGTCTAGTAATGAGGGACACCTCAGGAATCTCTTCGAGGCTTGGCAGGGCCAAAGGGACGCTTCTCGAGGTGAGGCAGGGCACCCAAGGACCCTTTCCAGTAGCCACAGGGATTTTGGGATTCCTATCAGTATTCAAGAGGAGTCAGGCATCGTCACCTTTTGAAGCAATGAACTCCGCGTGCCTCTCGAGGTGTCAGCGGGATGTGAGGCATTCCGTCAAAATGAGGCAGGGACCTAGGGCTTTCTCTAAGGTCTCCACAGGGGATTCAGACATCCCTTCATGTTGTGAGATGAAAGACGAGCCTGTATTCAAGCCACTGCAAGGAAATCCGGCCTCCTTTCAAGTTAGGGCTTCTCGCTGTATATTCCCCTTGAGGCAGCAAACTCGGGGTCCCTCCCACATACCTATTGCTGAGAGAAGCCTCCTCCTGAGGTGCTTCTGGGAAGTTGGCATACGTCTTGAGCCTAAGCCAGGGAATCAGCTCGCATCTCGAGACGATTTGGGGTACACGGAGCATTCCTCGAGTTGCTGTGCTGAAGTTGGTGTTCCTCTAGACTTGGGACAGTGTTCTCGGGGCATCTCTGGAGTTGCCTGAAGGAAGTCGAGCCACCGGTCGTGTTGAATGGGGAACGGGGAATGGCTCTGGAGTCAATGCAGGGGAATCGGGCCTCATCTCGAGTTGATTTGGGGCACATGGAGCTGCTTTGCGTTGCTGGGGTGACCTCAGGGTCCGTCTAGACTGGTGACAGTGTTCTTGGGGACTGTCTCGAGATCCATTAAGCAAGTCGAAGCTCCTGACTTGTTTGAATGGGATCACGGAATAGCTCTGCATGCACTGCAGGGGAATGGGGCCTCATCTCGCCTCTAGGGGGAAGTCTCATGGTTTTTCTCGAGTTGCGGCGGGGACCTGGGGTATGTTCTCGACTTACGGCGGGGATGGCCCTTCAAAACACGAGTTTCTTCAGTGACGTCAGGACTCCTGTCTAGTAACGAGGGCACCTCAGGAATCTCTTCGAGGCTTGGCAGGGCCAAAGGGACGCTTCTCGAGGTGAGGCAGGGCACCCAAGGACCCTTTCCAGTAGCCACAGGGATTTTGGGATTCCTATCAGTATTCAAGAGGAGTCAGGCATCGTCACCTTTTGAAGCAATGAACTCCGCGTGCCTCTCGAGGTGTCAGCGGGATGTGAGGCATTCCGTCAAAATGAGGCAGGGACCTAGGGCTTTCTCTAAGGTCTCCACAGGGGATTCAGACATCCCTTCATGTTGTGAGATGAAAGACGAGCCTGTATTCAAGCCACTGCAAGGAAATCCGGCCTCCTTTCAAGTTAGGGCTTCTCGCTGTATATTCCCCTTGAGGCAGCAAACTCGGGGTCCCTCCCACATACCTATTGCTGAGAGAAGCCTCCTCCTGAGGTGCTTCTGGGAAGTTGGCATACGTCTTGAGCCTAAGCCAGGGAATCAGCTCGCATCTCGAGACGATTTGGGGTACACGGAGCATTCCTCGAGTTGCTGTGCTGAAGTTGGTGTTCCTCCAGACTTGGGACAGTGTTCTCGGGGCATCTCTGGAGTTGCCTGAAGGAAGTCGAGCCACCGGTCGTGTTGAATGGGGAACGGGGAATGGCTCTGGAGTCAATGCAGGGGAATCGGGCCTCATCTCGAGTTGATTTGGGGCACATGGAGCTGCTTTGCGTTGCTGGGGTGACCTCAGGGTCCGTCTAGACTGGTGACAGTGTTCTTGGGGACTGTCTCGAGATCCATTAAGCAAGTCGAAGCTCCTGACTTGTTTGAATGGGGTCACGGAATAGCTCTGCATGCACTGCAGGGGAATGGGGCCTCATCTCGCCTCTAGGAGGAAGTCTCATGGTTTTTCTCGAGTTGCGGCGGGGACCTGGGGTATGTTCTCGACTTACGGCGGGGATGGCCCTTCAAAACACGAGTTTCTTCAGTGACGTCAGGACTCCTGTCTAGTAACGAGGGACACCTCAGGAATCTCTTCGAGGCTTGGCAGGGCCAAAGGGACGCTTCTCGAGGTGAGGCAGGGCACCCAAGGACCCTTTCCAGTAGCCACAGGGATTTTGTGATTCCTATCAGTATTCAAGAGGAGTCAGGCATCGTCACCTTTTGAAGCAATGAACTCCGCGTGCCTCTCGAGGTGTCAGCGGGATGTGAGGCATTCCGTCAAAATGAGGCAGGGACCTAGGGCTTTCTCTAAGGTCTCCACAGGGGATTCAGACATCCCTTCATGTTGTGAGATGAAAGACGAGCCTGTATTCAAGCCACTGCAAGGAAATCCGGCCTCCTTTCAAGTTAGGGCTTCTCGCTGTATATTCCCCTTGAGGCAGCAAACTCGGGGTCCCTCCCACATACCTATTGCTGAGAGAAGCCTCCTCCTGAGGTGCTTCTGGGAAGTTGGCATACGTCTTGAGCCTAAGCCAGGGAATCAGCTCGCATCTCGAGACGATTTGGGGTACACGGAGCATTCCTCGAGTTGCTGTGCTGAAGTTGGTGTTCCTCTAGACTTGGGACAGTGTTCTCGGGGCATCTCTGGAGTTGCCTGAAGGAAGTCGAGCCACCGGTCGTGTTGAATGGGGAACGGGGAATGGCTCTGGAGTCAATGCAGGGGAATCGGGCCTCATCTCGAGTTGATTTGGGGCACATGGAGCTGCTTTGCGTTGCTGGGGTGACCTCAGGGTCCGTCTAGACTGGTGACAGTGTTCTTGGGGACTGTCTCGAGATCCATTAAGCAAGTCGAAGCTCCTGACTTGTTTGAATGGGATCACGGAATAGCTCTGCATGCACTGCAGGGGAATGGGGCCTCATCTCGCCTCTAGGGGGAAGTCTCATGGTTTTTCTCGAGTTGCGGCGGGGACCTGGGGTATGTTCTCGACTTACGGCGGGGATGGCCCTTCAAAACACGAGTTTCTTCAGTGACGTCAGGACTCCTGTCTAGTAACGAGGGACACCTCAGGAATCTCTTCGAGGCTTGGCAGGGCCAAAGGGACGCTTCTCGAGGTGAGGCAGGGCACCCAAGGACCCTTTCCAGTAGCCACAGGGATTTTGGGATTCCTATCAGTATTCAAGAGGAGTCAGGCATCGTCACCTTTTGAAGCAATGAACTCCGCGTGCCTCTCGAGGTGTCAGCGGGATGTGAGGCATTCCGTCAAAATGAGGCAGGGACCTAGGGCTTTCTCTAAGGTCTCCACAGGGGATTCAGACATCCCTTCATGTTGTGAGATGAAAGACGAGCCTGTATTCAAGCCACTGCAAGGAAATCCGGCCTCCTTTCAAGTTAGGGCTTCTCGCTGTATATTCCCCTTGAGGCAGCAAACTCGGGGTCCCTCCCACATACCTATTGCTGAGAGAAGCCTCCTCCTGAGGTGCTTCTGGGAAGTTGGCATACGTCTTGAGCCTAAGCCAGGGAATCAGCTCGCATCTCGAGACGATTTGGGGTACACGGAGCATTCCTCGAGTTGCTGTGCTGAAGTTGGTGTTCCTCTAGACTTGGGACAGTGTTCTCGGGGCATCTCTGGAGTTGCCTGAAGGAAGTCGAGCCACCGGTCGTGTTGAATGGGGAACGGGGAATGGCTCTGGAGTCAATGCAGGGGAATCGGGCCTCATCTCGAGTTGATTTGGGGCACATGGAGCTGCTTTGCGTTGCTGGGGTGACCTCAGGGTCCGTCTAGACTGGTGACAGTGTTCTTGGGGACTGTCTCGAGATCCATTAAGCAAGTCGAAGCTCCTGACTTGTTTGAATGGGATCACGGAACAGCTCTGCATGCACTGCAGGGGAATGGGGCCTCATCTCGCCTCTAGGGGGAAGTCTCATGGTTTTTCTCGAGTTGCGGCGGGGACCTGGGGTATGTTCTCGACTTACGGCGGGGATGGCCCTTCAAAACACGAGTTTCTTCAGTGACGTCAGGACTCCTGTCTAGTAACGAGGGACACCTCAGGAATCTCTTCGAGGCTTGGCAGGGCCAAAGGGACGCTTCTCGAGGTGAGGCAGGGCACCCAAGGACCCTTTCCAGTAGCCACAGGGATTTTGGGATTCCTATCAGTATTCAAGAGGAGTCAGGCATCGTCACCTTTTGAAGCAATGAACTCCGCGTGCCTCTCGAGGTGTCAGCGGGATGTGAGGCATTCCGTCAAAATGAGGCAGGGACCTAGGGCTTTCTCTAAGGTCTCCACAGGGGATTCAGACATCCCTTCATGTTGTGAGATGAAAGACGAGCCTGTATTCAAGCCACTGCAAGGAAATCCGGCCTCCTTTCAAGTTAGGGCTTCTCGCTGTATATTCCCCTTGAGGCAGCAAACTCGGGGTCCCTCCCACATACCTATTGCTGAGAGAAGCCTCCTCCTGAGGTGCTTCTGGGAAGTTGGCATACGTCTTGAGCCTAAGCCAGGGAATCAGCTCGCATCTCGAGACGATTTGGGGTACACGGAGCATTCCTCGAGTTGCTGTGCTGAAGTTGGTGTTCCTCTAGACTTGGGACAGTGTTCTCGGGGCATCTCTGGAGTTGCCTGAAGGAAGTCGAGCCACCGGTCGTGTTGAATGGGGAACGGGGAATGGCTCTGGAGTCAATGCAGGGGAATCGGGCCTCATCTCGAGTTGATTTGGGGCACATGGAGCTGCTTTGCGTTGCTGGGGTGACCTCAGGGTCCGTCTAGACTGGTGACAGTGTTCTTGGGGACTGTCTCGAGATCCATTAAGCAAGTCGAAGCTCCTGACTTGTTTGAATGGGATCACGGAATAGCTCTGCATGCACTGCAGGGGAATGGGGCCTCATCTCGCCTCTAGGGGGAAGTCTCATGGTTTTTCTCGAGTTGCGGCGGGGACCTGGGGTATGTTCTCGACTTACGGCGGGGATGGCCCTTCAAAACACGAGTTTCTTCAGTGACGTCAGGACTCCTCTCTAGTAACGAGGGCACCTCAGGAATCTCTTCGAGGCTTGGCAGGGCCAAAGGGACGCTTCTTGAGGTGAGGCAGGGCACCCAAGGACCCTTTCCAGTAGCCACAGGGATTTTGGGATTCCTATCAGTATTCAAGAGGAGTCAGGCATCGTCACCTTTTGAAGCAATGAACTCCGCGTGCCTCTCGAGGTGTCAGCGGGATGTGAGGCATTCCGTCAAAATGAGGCAGGGACCTAGGGCTTTCTCTAAGGTCTCCACAGGGGATTCAGACATCCCTTCATGTTGTGAGATGAAAGACGAGCCTGTATTCAAGCCACTGCAAGGAAATCCGGCCTCCTTTCAAGTTAGGGCTTCTCGCTGTATATTCCCCTTGAGGCAGCAAACTCGGGGTCCCTCCCACATACCTATTGCTGAGAGAAGCCTCCTCCTGAGGTGCTTCTGGGAAGTTGGCATACGTCTTGAGCCTAAGCCAGGGAATCAGCTCGCATCTCGAGACGATTTGGGGTACACGGAGCATTCCTCGAGTTGCTGTGCTGAAGTTGGTGTTCCTCTAGACTTGGGACAGTGTTCTCGGGGCATCTCTGGAGTTGCCTGAAGGAAGTCGAGCCCACCGGTCCTGTTGAATGGGGAACGGGGAATGGCTCTGGAGTCAATGCAGGGGAATCGGGCCTCATCTCGAGTTGATTTGGGGCACATGGAGCTGCTTTGCGTTGCTGGGGTGACCTCAGGGTCCGTCTAGACTGGTGACAGTGTTCTTGGGGACTGTCTCGAGATCCATTAAGCAAGTCGAAGCTCCTGACTTGTTTGAATGGGATCACGGAGTAGCTCTGCATGCACTGCAGGGGAATGGGGCCTCATCTCGCCTCTAGGGGGAAGTCTCATGGTTTTTCTCGAGTTGCGGCGGGGACCTGGGGTATGTTCTCGACTTACGGCGGGGATGGCCCTTCAAAACACGAGTTTCTTCAGTGACGTCAGGACTCCTGTCTAGTAATGAGGGACACCTCAGGAATCTCTTCGAGGCTTGGCAGGGCCAAAGGGACGCTTCTCGAGGTGAGGCAGGGCACCCAAGGACCCTTTCCAGTAGCCACAGGGATTTTGGGATTCCTATCAGTATTCAAGAGGAGTCAGGCATCGTCACCTTTTGAAGCAATGAACTCCGCGTGCCTCTCGAGGTGTCAGCGGGATGTGAGGCATTCCGTCAAAATGAGGCAGGGACCTAGGGCTTTCTCTAAGGTCTCCACAGGGGATTCAGACATCCCTTCATGTTGTGAGATGAAAGACGAGCCTGTATTCAAGCCACTGCAAGGAAATCCGGCCTCCTTTCAAGTTAGGGCTTCTCGCTGTATATTCCCCTTGAGGCAGCAAACTCGGGGTCCCTCCCACATACCTATTGCTGAGAGAAGCCTCCTCCTGAGGTGCTTCTGGGAAGTTGGCATACGTCTTGAGCCTAAGCCAGGGAATCAGCTCGCATCTCGAGACGATTTGGGGTACACGGAGCATTCCTCGAGTTGCTGTGCTGAAGTTGGTGTTCCTCTAGACTTGGGACAGTGTTCTCGGGGCATCTCTGGAGTTGCCTGAAGGAAGTCGAGCCACCGGTCGTGTTGAATGGGGAACGGGGAATGGCTCTGGAGTCAATGCAGGGGAATCGGGCCTCATCTCGAGTTGATTTGGGGCACATGGAGCTGCTTTGCGTTGCTGGGGTGACCTCAGGGTCCGTCTAGACTGGTGACAGTGTTCTTGGGGACTGTCTCGAGATCCATTAAGCAAGTCGAAGCTCCTGACTTGTTTGAATGGGATCACGGAATAGCTCTGCATGCACTGCAGGGGAATGGGGCCTCATCTCGCCTCTAGGGGGAAGTCTCATGGTTTTTCTCGAGTTGCGGCGGGGACCTGGGGTATGTTCTCGACTTACGGCGGGGATGGCCCTTCAAAACACGAGTTTCTTCAGTGACGTCAGGACTCCTGTCTAGTAACGAGGGCACCTCAGGAATCTCTTCGAGGCTTGGCAGGGCCAAAGGGACGCTTCTCGAGGTGAGGCAGGGCACCCAAGGACCCTTTCCAGTAGCCACAGGGATTTTGGGATTCCTATCAGTATTCAAGAGGAGTCAGGCATCGTCACCTTTTGAAGCAATGAACTCCGCGTGCCTCTCGAGGTGTCAGCGGGATGTGAGGCATTCCGTCAAAATGAGGCAGGGACCTAGGGCTTTCTCTAAGGTCTCCACAGGGGATTCAGACATCCCTTCATGTTGTGAGATGAAAGACGAGCCTGTATTCAAGCCACTGCAAGGAAATCCGGCCTCCTTTCAAGTTAGGGCTTCTCGCTGTATATTCCCCTTGAGGCAGCAAACTCGGGGTCCCTCCCACATACCTATTGCTGAGAGAAGCCTCCTCCTGAGGTGCTTCTGGGAAGTTGGCATACGTCTTGAGCCTAAGCCAGGGAATCAGCTCGCATCTCGAGACGATTTGGGGTACACGGAGCATTCCTCGAGTTGCTGTGCTGAAGTTGGTGTTCCTCCAGACTTGGGACAGTGTTCTCGGGGCATCTCTGGAGTTGCCTGAAGGAAGTCGAGCCACCGGTCGTGTTGAATGGGGAACGGGGAATGGCTCTGGAGTCAATGCAGGGGAATCGGGCCTCATCTCGAGTTGATTTGGGGCACATGGAGCTGCTTTGCGTTGCTGGGGTGACCTCAGGGTCCGTCTAGACTGGTGACAGTGTTCTTGGGGACTGTCTCGAGATCCATTAAGCAAGTCGAAGCTCCTGACTTGTTTGAATGGGATCACGGAATAGCTCTGCATGCACTGCAGGGGAATGGGGCCTCATCTCGCCTCTAGGGGGAAGTCTCATGGTTTTTCTCGAGTTGCGGCGGGGACCTGGGGTATGTTCTCGACTTACGGCGGGAATGGCCCTTCAAAACACGAGTTTCTTCAGTGACGTCAGGACTCCTGTCTAGTAACGAGGGACACCTCAGGAATCTCTTTGAGGCTTGGCAGGGCCAAAGGGACGCTTCTCGAGGTGAGGCAGGGCACCCAAGGACCCTTTCCAGTAGCCACAGGGATTTTGGGATTCCTATCAGTATTCAAGAGGAGTCAGGCATCGTCACCTTTTGAAGCAATGAACTCCGCGTGCCTCTCGAGGTGTCAGCGGGATGTGAGGCATTCCGTCAAAATGAGGCAGGGACCTAGGGCTTTCTCTAAGGTCTCCACAGGGGATTCAGACATCCCTTCATGTTGTGAGATGAAAGACGAGCCTGTATTCAAGCCACTGCAAGGAAATCCGGCCTCCTTTCAAGTTAGGGCTTCTCGCTGTATATTCCCCTTGAGGCAGCAAACTCGGGGTCCCTCCCACATACCTATTGCTGAGAGAAGCCTCCTCCTGAGGTGCTTCTGGGAAGTTGGCATACGTCTTGAGCCTAAGCCAGGGAATCAGCTCGCATCTCGAGACGATTTGGGGTACACGGAGCATTCCTCGAGTTGCTGTGCTGAAGTTGGTGTTCCTCTAGACTTGGGACAGTGTTCTCGGGGCATCTCTGGAGTTGCCTGAAGGAAGTCGAGCCACCGGTCGTGTTGAATGGGGAACGGGGAATGGCTCTGGAGTCAATGCAGGGGAATCGGGCCTCATCTCGAGTTGATTTGGGGCACATGGAGCTGCTTTGCGTTGCTGGGGTGACCTCAGGGTCCGTCTAGACTGGTGACAGTGTTCTTGGGGACTGTCTCGAGATCCATTAAGCAAGTCGAAGCTCCTGACTTGTTTGAATGGGATCACGGAATAGCTCTGCATGTACTGCAGGGGAATAGGGCCTCATCTCGCCTCTAGGGGGAAGTCTCATGGTTTTTCTCGAGTTGCGTCGGGGACCTGGGGTATGTTCTCGACTTACGGCGGGGATGGCCCTTCAAAACACGAGTTTCTTCAGTGACGTCAGGACTCCTGTCTAGTAACGAGGGCACCTCAGGAATCTCTTCGAGGCTTGGCAGGGCCAAAGGGACGCTTCTCGAGGTGAGGCAGGGCACCCAAGGACCCTTTCCAGTAGCCACAGGGATTTTGGGATTCCTATCAGTATTCAAGAGGAGTCAGGCATCGTCACCTTTTGAAGCAATGAACTCCGCGTGCCTCTCGAGGTGTCAGCGGGATGTGAGGCATTCCGTCAAAATGAGGCAGGGACCTAGGGCTTTCTCTAAGGTCTCCACAGGGGATTCAGACATCCCTTCATGTTGTGAGATGAAAGACGAGCCTGTATTCAAGCCACTGCAAGGAAATCCGGCCTCCTTTCAAGTTAGGGCTTCTCGCTGTATATTCCCCTTGAGGCAGCAAACTCGGGGTCCCTCCCACATACCTATTGCTGAGAGAAGCCTCCTCCTGAGGTCCTTCTGGGAAGTTGGCATACGTCTTGAGCCTAAGCCAGGGAATCAGCTCGCATCTCGAGACGATTTGGGGTACACGGAGCATTCCTCGAGTTGCTGTGCTGAAGTTGGTGTTCCTCTAGACTTGGGACAGTGTTCTCGGGGCATCTCTGGAGTTGCCTGAAGGAAGTCGAGCCCACCGGTCCTGTTGAATGGGGAACGGGGAATGGCTCTGGAGTCAATGCAGGGGAATCGGGCCTCATCTCGAGTTGATTTGGGGCACATGGAGCTGCTTTGCGTTGCTGGGGTGACCTCAGGGTCCGTCTAGACTGGTGACAGTGTTCTTGGGGACTGTCTCGAGATCCATTAAGCAAGTCGAAGCTCCTGACTTGTTTGAATGGGATCACGGAGTAGCTCTGCATGCACTGCAGGGGAATGGGGCCTCATCTCGCCTCTAGGGGGAAGTCTCATGGTTTTTCTCGAGTTGCGGCGGGGACCTGGGGTATGTTCTCGACTTACGGCGGGGATGGCCCTTCAAAACACGAGTTTCTTCAGTGACGTCAGGACTCCTGTCTAGTAACGAGGGACACCTCAGGAATCTCTTCGAGGGTTGGCAGGGCCAAAGGGACGCTTCTCGAGGTGAGGCAGGGCACCCAAGGACCCTTTCCAGTAGCCACAGGGATTTTGTGATTCCTATCAGTATTCAAGAGGAGTCAGGCATCGTCACCTTTTGAAGCAATGAACTCCGCGTGCCTCTCGAGGTGTCAGCGGGATGTGAGGCATTCCGTCAAAATGAGGCAGGGTCCTAGGGCTTTCTCTAAGGTCTCCACAGGGGATTCAGACATCCCTTCATGTTGTGAGATGAAAGACGAGCCTGTATTCAAGCCACTGCAAGGAAATCCGGCCTCCTTTCAAGTTAGGGCTTCTCGCTGTATATTCCCCTTGAGGCAGCAAACTCGGGGTCCCTCCCACATACCTATTGCTGAGAGAAGCCTCCTCCTGAGGTGCTTCTGGGAAGTTGGCATACGTCTTGAGCCTAAGCCAGGGAATCAGCTCGCATCTCGAGACGATTTGGGGTACACGGAGCATTCCTCGAGTTGCTGTGCTGAAGTTGGTGTTCCTCTAGACTTGGGACAGTGTTCTCGGGGCATCTCTGGAGTTGCCTGAAGGAAGTCGAGCCACCGGTCGTGTTGAATGGGGAACGGGGAATGGCTCTGGAGTCAATGCAGGGGAATCGGGCCTCATCTCGAGTTGATTTGGGGCACATGGAGCTGCTTTGCGTTGCTGGGGTGACCTCAGGGTCCGTCTAGACTGGTGACAGTGTTCTTGGGGACTGTCTCGAGATCCATTAAGCAAGTCGAAGCTCCTGACTTGTTTGAATGGGATCACGGAATAGCTCTGCATGCACTGCAGGGGAATGGGGCCTCATCTCGCCTCTAGGGGGAAGTCTCATGGTTTTTCTCGAGTTGCGGCGGGGACCTGGGGTATGTTCTCGACTTACGGCGGGGATGGCCCTTCAAAACACGAGTTTCTTCAGTGACGTCAGGACTCCTGTCTAGTAACGAGGGACACCTCAGGAATCTCTTCGAGGCTTGGCAGGGCCAAAGGGACGCTTCTCGAGGTGAGGCAGGGCACCCAAGGACCCTTTCCAGTAGCCACAGGGATTTTGGGATTCCTATCAGTATTCAAGAGGAGTCAGGCATCGTCACCTTTTGAAGCAATGAACTCCGCGTGCCTCTCGAGGTGTCAGCGGGATGTGAGGCATTCCCTCAAAATGAGGCAGGGACCTAGGGCTTTCTCTAAGGTCTCCACAGGGGATTCAGACATCCCTTCATGTTGTGAGATGAAAGACGAGCCTGTATTCAAGCCACTGCAAGGAAATCCGGCCTCCTTTCAAGTTAGGGCTTCTCGCTGTATATTCCCCTTGAGGCAGCAAACTCGGGGTCCCTCCCACATACCTATTGCTGAGAGAAGCCTCCTCCTGAGGTGCTTCTGGGAAGTTGGCATACGTCTTGAGCCTAAGCCAGGGAATCAGCTCGCATCTCGAGACGATTTGGGGTACACGGAGCATTCCTCGAGTTGCTGTGCTGAAGTTGGTGTTCCTCTAGACTTGGGACAGTGTTCTCGGGGCATCTCTGGAGTTGCCTGAAGGAAGTCGAGCCACCGGTCGTGTTGAATGGGGAACGGGGAATGGCTCTGGAGTCAATGCAGGGGAATCGGGCCTCATCTCGAGTTGATTTGGGGCACATGGAGCTGCTTTGCGTTGCTGGGGTGACCTCAGGGTCCGTCTAGACTGGTGACAGTGTTCTTGGGGACTGTCTCGAGATCCATTAAGCAAGTCGAAGCTCCTGACTTGTTTGAATGGGATCACGGAACAGCTCTGCATGCACTGCAGGGGAATGGGGCCTCATCTCGCCTCTAGGGGGAAGTCTCATGGTTTTTCTCGAGTTGCGGCGGGGACCTGGGGTATGTTCTCGACTTACGGCGGGGATGGCCCTTCAAAACACGAGTTTCTTCAGTGACGTCAGGACTCCTGTCTAGTAACGAGGGACACCTCAGGAATCTCTTCGAGGCTTGGCAGGGCCAAAGGGACGCTTCTCGAGGTGAGGCAGGGCACCCAAGGACCCTTTCCAGTAGCCACAGGGATTTTGGGATTCCTATCAGTATTCAAGAGGAGTCAGGCATCGTCACCTTTTGAAGCAATGAACTCCGCGTGCCTCTCGAGGTGTCAGCGGGATGTGAGGCATTCCCTCAAAATGAGGCAGGGACCTAGGGCTTTCTCTAAGGTCTCCACAGGGGATTCAGACATCCCTTCATGTTGTGAGATGAAAGACGAGCCTGTATTCAAGCCACTGCAAGGAAATCCGGCCTCCTTTCAAGTTAGGGCTTCTCGCTGTATATTCCCCTTGAGGCAGCAAACTCGGGGTCCCTCCCACATACCTATTGCTGAGAGAAGCCTCCTCCTGAGGTGCTTCTGGGAAGTTGGCATACGTCTTGAGCCTAAGCCAGGGAATCAGCTCGCATCTCGAGACGATTTGGGGTACACGGAGCATTCCTCGAGTTGCTGTGCTGAAGTTGGTGTTCCTCTAGACTTGGGACAGTGTTCTCGGGGCATCTCTGGAGTTGCCTGAAGGAAGTCGAGCCACCGGTCGTGTTGAATGGGGAACGGGGAATGGCTCTGGAGTCAATGCAGGGGAATCGGGCCTCATCTCGAGTTGATTTGGGGCACATGGAGCTGCTTTGCGTTGCTGGGGTGACCTCAGGGTCCGTCTAGACTGGTGACAGTGTTCTTGGGGACTGTCTCGAGATCCATTAAGCAAGTCGAAGCTCCTGACTTGTTTGAATGGGATCACGGAATAGCTCTGCATGCACTGCAGGGGAATGGGGCCTCATCTCGCCTCTAGGGGGAAGTCTCATGGTTTTTCTCGAGTTGCGGCGGGGACCTGGGGTATGTTCTCGACTTACGGCGGGGATGGCCCTTCAAAACACGAGTTTCTTCAGTGACGTCAGGACTCCTGTCTAGTAACGAGGGACACCTCAGGAATCTCTTCGAGGCTTGGCAGGGCCAAAGGGACGCTTCTCGAGGTGAGGCAGGGCACCCAAGGACCCTTTCCAGTAGCCACAGGGATTTTGGGATTCCTATCAGTATTCAAGAGGAGTCAGGCATCGTCACCTTTTGAAGCAATGAACTCCGCGTGCCTCTCGAGGTGTCAGCGGGATGTGAGGCATTCCGTCAAAATGAGGCAGGGACCTAGGGCTTTCTCTAAGGTCTCCACAGGGGATTCAGACATCCCTTCATGTTGTGAGATGAAAGACGAGCCTGTATTCAAGCCACTGCAAGGAAATCCGGCCTCCTTTCAAGTTAGGGCTTCTCGCTGTATATTCCCCTTGAGGCAGCAAACTCGGGGTCCCTCCCACATACCTATTGCTGAGAGAAGCCTCCTCCTGAGGTGCTTCTGGGAAGTTGGCATACGTCTTGAGCCTAAGCCAGGGAATCAGCTCGCATCTCGAGACGATTTGGGGTACACGGAGCATTCCTCGAGTTGCTGTGCTGAAGTTGGTGTTCCTCTAGACTTGGGACAGTGTTCTCGGGGCATCTCTGGAGTTGCCTGAAGGAAGTCGAGCCACCGGTCGTGTTGAATGGGGAACGGGTTATGGCTCTGGAGTCAATGCAGGGGAATCGGGCCTCATCTCGAGTTGATTTGGGGCACATGGAGCTGCTTTGCGTTGCTGGGGTGACCTCAGGGTCCGTCTAGACTGGTGACAGTGTTCTTGGGGACTGTCTCGAGATCCATTAAGCAAGTCGAAGCTCCTGACTTGTTTGAATGGGATCACGGAATAGCTCTGCATGCACTGCAGGGGAATGGGGCCTCATCTCGCCTCTAGGGGGAAGTCTCATGGTTTTTCTCGAGTTGCGGCGGGGACCTGGGGTATGTTCTCGACTTACGGCGGGGATGGCCCTTCAAAACACGAGTTTCTTCAGTGACGTCAGGACTCCTGTCTAGTAACGAGGGACACCTCAGGAATCTCTTCGAGGCTTGGCAGGGCCAAAGGGACGCTTCTCGAGGTGAGGCAGGGCACCCAAGGACCCTTTCCAGTAGCCACAGGGATTTTGGGATTCCTATCAGTATTCAAGAGGAGTCAGGCATCGTCACCTTGTGAAGCAATGAACTCCGCGTGCCTCTCGAGGTGTCAGCGGGATGTGAGGCATTCCGTCAAAATGAGGCAGGGACTTAGGGCTTTCTCTAAGGTCTCCACAGGGGATTCAGACATCCCTTCATGTTGTGAGATGAAAGACGAGCCTGTATTCAAGCCACTGCAAGGAAATCCGGCCTCCTTTCAAGTTAGGGCTTCTCGCTGTATATTCCCCTTGAGGCAGCAAACTCGGGGTCCCTCCCACATACCTATTGCTGAGAGAAGCCTCCTCCTGAGGTGCTTCTGGGAAGTTGGCATACGTCTTGAGCCTAAGCCAGGGAATCAGCTCGCATCTCGAGACGATTTGGGGTACACGGAGCATTCCTCGAGTTGCTGTGCTGAAGTTGGTGTTCCTCTAGACTTGGGACAGTGTTCTCGGGGCATCTCTGGAGTTGCCTGAAGGAAGTCGAGCCACCGGTCGTGTTGAATGGGGAACGGGGAATGGCTCTGGAGTCAATGCAGGGGAATCGGGCCTCATCTCGAGTTGATTTGGGGCACATGGAGCTGCTTTGCGTTGCTGGGGTGACCTCAGGGTCCGTCTAGACTGGTGACAGTGTTCTTGGGGACTGTCTCGAGATCCATTAAGCAAGTCGAAGCTCCTGACTTGTTTGAATGGGATCACGGAATAGCTCTGCATGCACTGCAGGGGAATGGGGCCTCATCTCGCCTCTAGGGGGAAGTCTCATGGTTTTTCTCGAGTTGCGGCGGGGACCTGGGGTATGTTCTCGACTTACGGCGGGGATGGCCCTTCAAAACACGAGTTTCTTCAGTGACGTCAGGACTCCTGTCTAGTAACGAGGGACACCTCAGGAATCTCTTCGAGGCTTGGCAGGGCCAAAGGGACGCTTCTCGAGGTGAGGCAGGGCACCCAAGGACCCTTTCCAGTAGCCACAGGGATTTTGGGATTCCTATCAGTATTCAAGAGGAGTCAGGCATCGTCACCTTTTGAAGCAATGAACTCCGCGTGCCTCTCGAGGTGTCAGCGGGATGTGAGGCATTCCCTCAAAATGAGGCAGGGACCTAGGGCTTTCTCTAAGGTCTCCACAGGGGATTCAGACATCCCTTCATGTTGTGAGATGAAAGACGAGCCTGTATTCAAGCCACTGCAAGGAAATCCGGCCTCCTTTCAAGTTAGGGCTTCTCGCTGTATATTCCCCTTGAGGCAGCAAACTCGGGGTCCCTCCCACATACCTATTGCTGAGAGAAGCCTCCTCCTGAGGTGCTTCTGGGAAGTTGGCATACGTCTTGAGCCTAAGCCAGGGAATCAGCTCGCATCTCGAGACGATTTGGGGTACACGGAGCATTCCTCGAGTTGCTGTGCTGAAGTTGGTGTTCCTCTAGACTTGGGACAGTGTTCTCGGGGCATCTCTGGAGTTGCCTGAAGGAAGTCGAGCCACCGGTCGTGTTGAATGGGGAACGGGGAATGGCTCTGGAGTCAATGCAGGGGAATGGGGCCTCATCTCGAGTTGATTTGGGGCACATGGAGCTGCTTTGCGTTGCTGGGGTGACCTCAGGGTCCGTCTAGACTGGTGACAGTGTTCTTGGGGACTGTCTCGAGATCCATTAAGCAAGTTGAAGCTCCTGACTTGTTTGAATGGGATCACGGAATAGCTCTGCATGCACTGCAGGGGAATGGGGCCTCATCTCGCCTCTAGGGGGAAGTCTCATGGTTTTTCTCGAGTTGCGGCGGGGACCTGGGGTATGTTCTCGACTTACGGCGGGGATGGCCCTTCAAAACACGAGTTTCTTCAGTGACGTCAGGACTCCTGTCTAGTAACGAGGGACACCTCAGGAATCTCTTCGAGGCTTGGCAGGGCCAAAGGGACGCTTCTCGAGGTGAGGCAGGGCACCCAAGGACCCTTTCCAGTAGCCACAGGGATTTTGGGATTCCTATAAGTATTCAAGAGGAGTCAGGCATCGTCACCTTTTGAAGCAATGAACTCCGCGTGCCTCTCGAGGTGTCAGCGGGATGTGAGGCATTCCGTCAAAATGAGGCAGGGACCTAGGGCTTTCTCTAAGGTCTCCACAGGGGATTCAGACATCCCTTCATGTTGTGAGATGAAAGACGAGCCTGTATTCAAGCCACTGCAAGGAAATCCGGCCTCCTTTCAAGTTAGGGCTTCTCGCTGTATATTCCCCTTGAGGCAGCAAACTCGGGGTCCCTCCCACATACCTATTGCTGAGAGAAGCCTCCTCCTGAGGTGCTTCTGGGAAGTTGGCATACGTCTTGAGCCTAAGCCAGGGAATCAGCTCGCATCTCGAGACGATTTGGGGTACACGGAGCATTCCTCGAGTTGCTGTGCTGAAGTTGGTGTTCCTCTAGACTTGGGACAGTGTTCTCGGGGCATCTCTGGAGTTGCCTGAAGGAAGTCGAGCCACCGGTCGTGTTGAATGGGGAACGGGGAATGGCTCTGGAGTCAATGCAGGGGAATCGGGCCTCATCTCGAGTTGATTTGGGGCACATGGAGCTGCTTTGCGTTGCTGGGGTGACCTCAGGGTCCGTCTAGACTGGTGACAGTGTTCTTGGGGACTGTCTCGAGATCCATTAAGCAAGTCGAAGCTCCTGACTTGTTTGAATGGGATCACGGAATAGCTCTGCATGCACTGCAGGGGAATGGGGCCTCATCTCGCCTCTAGGGGGAAGTCTCATGGTTTTTCTCGAGTTGCGGCGGGGACCTGGGGTATGTTCTCGACTTACGGCGGGGATGGCCCTTCAAAACACGAGTTTCTTCAGTGACGTCAGGACTCCTGTCTAGTAACGAGGGACACCTCAGGAATCTCTTCGAGGCTTGGCAGGGCCAAAGGGACGCTTCTCGAGGTGAGGCAGGGCACCCAAGGACCCTTTCCAGTAGCCACAGGGATTTTGGGATTCCTATCAGTATTCAAGAGGAGTCAGGCATCGTCACCTTTTGAAGCAATGAACTCCGCGTGCCTCTCGAGGTGTCAGCGGGATGTGAGGCATTCCCTCAAAATGAGGCAGGGACCTAGGGCTTTCTCTAAGGTCTCCACAGGGGATTCAGACATCCCTTCATGTTGTGAGATGAAAGACGAGCCTGTATTCAAGCCACTGCAAGGAAATCCGGCCTCCTTTCAAGTTAGGGCTTCTCGCTGTATATTCCCCTTGAGGCAGCAAACTCGGGGTCCCTCCCACATACCTATTGCTGAGAGAAGCCTCCTCCTGAGGTGCTTCTGGGAAGTTGGCATACGTCTTGAGCCTAAGCCAGGGAATCAGCTCGCATCTCGAGACGATTTGGGGTACACGGAGCATTCCTCGAGTTGCTGTGCTGAAGTTGGTGTTCCTCTAGACTTGGGACAGTGTTCTCGGGGCATCTCTGGAGTTGCCTGAAGGAAGTCGAGCCACCGGTCGTGTTGAATGGGGAACGGGGAATGGCTCTGGAGTCAATGCAGGGGAATCGGGCCTCATCTCGAGTTGATTTGGGACACATGGAGCTGCTTTGCGTTGCTGGGGTGACCTCAGGGTCCGTCTAGACTGGTGACAGTGTTCTTGGGGACTGTCTCGAGATCCATTAAGCAAGTCGAAGCTCCTGACTTGTTTGAATGGGATCACGGAATAGCTCTGCATGCACTGCAGGGGAATGGGGCCTCATCTCGCCTCTAGGGGGAAGTCTCATGGTTTTTCTCGAGTTGCGGCGGGGACCTGGGGTATGTTCTCGACTTACGGCGGGGATGGCCCTTCAAAACACGAGTTTCTTCAGTGACGTCAGGACTCCTGTCTCGTAACGAGGGACACCTCAGGAATCTCTTCGAGGCTTGGCAGGGCCAAAGGGACGCTTCTTGAGGTGAGGCAGGGCACCCAAGGACCCTTTCCAGTAGCCACAGGGATTTTGGGATTCCTATCAGTATTCAAGAGGAGTCAGGCATCGTCACCTTTTGAAGCAATGAACTCCGCGTGCCTCTCGAGGTGTCAGCGGGATGTGAGGCATTCCGTCAAAATGAGGCAGGGACCTAGGGCTTTCTCTAAGGTCTCCACAGGGGATTCAGACATCCCTTCATGTTGTGAGATGAAAGACGAGCCTGTATTCAAGCCACTGCAAGGAAATCCGGCCTCCTTTCAAGTTAGGGCTTCTCGCTGTATATTCCCCTTGAGGCAGCAAACTCGGGGTCCCTCTCACATACCTATTGCTGAGAGAAGCCTCCTCCTGAGGTGCTTCTGGGAAGGTGGCATACGTCTTGAGCCTAAGCCAGGGAATCAGCTCGCATCTCGAGACGATTTGGGGTACACGGAGCATTCCTCGAGTTGCTGTGCTGAAGTTGGTGTTCCTCTAGACTTGGGACAGTGTTCTCGGGGCATCTCTGGAGTTGCCTGAAGGAAGTCGAGCCACCGGTCGTGTTGAATGGGGAACGGGGAATGGCTCTGGAGTCAATGCAGGTGAATCGGGCCTCATCTCGAGTTGATTTGGGACACATGGAGCTGCTTTGCGTTGCTGGGGTGACCTCAGGGTCCGTCTAGACTGGTGACAGTGTTCTTGGGGACTGTCTCGAGATCCATTAAGCAAGTCGAAGCTCCTGACTTGTTTGAATGGGATCACGGAATAGCTCTGCATGCACTGCAGGGGAATGGGGCCTCATCTCGCCTCTAGGGGGAAGTCTCATGGTTTTTCTCGAGTTGCGGCGGGGACCTGGGGTATGTTCTCGACTTACGGCGGGGATGGCCCTTCAAAACACGAGTTTCTTCAGTGACGTCAGGACTCCTGTCTAGTAACGAGGGACACCTCAGGAATCTCTTCGAGGCTTGGCAGGGCCAAAGGGACGCTTCTCGAGGTGAGGCAGGGCACCCAAGGACCCTTTCCAATAGCCACAGGGATTTTGGGATTCCTATCAGTATTCAAGAGGAGTCAGGCATCGTCACCTTTTGAAGCAATGAACTCCGCGTGCCTCTCGAGGTGTCAGCGGGATGTGAGGCATTCCGTCAAAATGAGGCAGGGACCTAGGGCTTTCTCTAAGGTCTCCACAGGGGATTCAGACATCCCTTCATGTTGTGAGATGAAAGACGAGCCTGTATTCAAGCCACTGCAAGGAAATCCGGCCTCCTTTCAAGTTAGGGCTTCTCGCTGTATATTCCCCTTGAGGCAGCAAACTCGGGGTCCCTCCCACATACCTATTGCTGAGAGAAGCCTCCTCCTGAGGTGCTTCTGGGAAGTTGGCATACGTCTTGAGCCTAAGCCAGGGAATCAGCTCGCATCTCGAGACGATTTGGGGTACACGGAGCATTCCTCGAGTTGCTGTGCTGAAGTTGGTGTTCCTCTAGACTTGGGACAGTGTTCTCGGGGCATCTCTGGAGTTGCCTGAAGGAAGTCGAGCCACCGGTCGTGTTGAATGGGGAACGGGGAATGGCTCTGGAGTCAATGCAGGGGAATCGGGCCTCATCTCGAGTTGATTTGGGGCACATGGAGCTGCTTTGCGTTGCTGGGGTGACCTCAGGGTCCGTCTAGACTGGTGACAGTGTTCTTGGGGACTGTCTCGAGATCCATTAAGCAAGTCGAAGCTCCTGACTTGTTTGAATGGGATCACGGAATAGCTCTGCATGCACTGCAGGGGAATGGGGCCTCATCTCGCCTCTAGGGGGAAGTCTCATGGTTTTTCTCGAGTTGCGGCGGGGCCTGGGGTATGTTCTCGACTTACGGCGGGGATGGCCCTTCAAAACACGAGTTTCTTCAGTGACGTCAGGACTCCTGTCTAGTAACGAGGGACACCTCAGGAATCTCTTCGAGGCTTGGCAGGGCCAAAGGGACGCTTCTCGAGGTGAGGCAGGGCACCCAAGGACCCTTTCCAGTAGCCACAGGGATTTTGGGATTCCTATCAGTATTCAAGAGGAGTCAGGCATCGTCACCTTTTGAAGCAATGAACTCCGCGTGCCTCTCGAGTTGTCAGCGGGATGTGAGGCATTCCGTCAAAATGAGGCAGGGACCTAGGGCTTTCTCTAAGGTCTCCACAGGGGATTCAGACATCCCTTCATGTTGTGAGATGAAAGACGAGCCTGTATTCAAGCCACTGCAAGGAAATCCGGCCTCCTTTCAAGTTAGGGCTTCTCGCTGTATATTCCCCTTGAGGCAGCAAACTCGGGGTCCCTCCCACATACCTATTGCTGAGAGAAGCCTCCTCCTGAGGTGCTTCTGGGAAGTTGGCATACGTCTTGAGCCTAAGCCAGGGAATCAGCTCGCATCTCGAGACGATTTGGGGTACACGGAGCATTCCTCGAGTTGCTGTGCTGAAGTTGGTGTTCCTCTAGACTTGGGACAGTGTTCTCGGGGCATCTCTGGAGTTGCCTGAAGGAAGTCGAGCCACCGGTCGTGTTGAATGGGGAACGGGGAATGGCTCTGGAGTCAATGCAGGGGAATCGGGCCTCATCTCGAGTTGATTTGGGGCACATGGAGCTGCTTTGCGTTGCTGGGGTGACCTCAGGGTCCGTCTAGACTGGTGACAGTGTTCTTGGGGACTGTCTCGAGATCCATTAAGCAAGTCGAAGCTCCTGACTTGTTTGAATGGGATCACGGAATAGCTCTGCATGCACTGCAGGGGAATGGGGCCTCATCTCGCCTCTAGGGGGAAGTCTCATGGTTTTTCTCGAGTTGCGGCGGGGACCTGGGGTATGTTCTCGACTTACGGCGGGGATGGCCCTTCAAAACACGAGTTTCTTCAGTGACGTCAGGACTCCTGTCTAGTAACGAGGGACACCTCAGGAATCTCTTCCAGGCTTGGCAGGGCCAAAGGGACGCTTCTCGAGGTGAGGCAGGGCACCCAAGGACCCTTTCCAGTAGCCACAGGGATTTTGGGATTCCTATCAGTATTCAAGAGGAGTCAGGCATCGTCACCTTTTGAAGCAATGAACTCCGCGTGCCTCTCGAGGTGTCAGCGGGATGTGAGGCATTCCGTCAAAATGAGGCAGGGACCTAGGGCTTTCTCTAAGGTCTCCACAGGGGATTCAGACATCCCTTCATGTTGTGAGATGAAAGACGAGCCTGTATTCAAGCCACTGCAAGGAAATCCGGCCTCCTTTCAAGTTAGGGCTTCTCGCTGTATATTCCCCTTGAGGCAGCAAACTCGGGGTCCCTCCCACATACCTATTGCTGAGAGAAGCCTCCTCCTGAGGTGCTTCTGGGAAGTTGGCATACGTCTTGAGCCTAAGCCAGGGAATCAGCTCGCATCTCGAGACGATTTGGGGTACACGGAGCATTCCTCGAGTTGCTGTGCTGAAGTTGGTGTTCCTCTAGACTTGGGACAGTGTTCTCGGGGCATCTCTGGAGTTGCCTGAAGGAAGTCGAGCCACCGGTCGTGTTGAATGGGGAACGGGGAATGGCTCTGGAGTCAATGCAGGGGAATCGGGCCTCATCTCGAGTTGATTTGGGGCACATGGAGCTGCTTTGCGTTGCTGGGGTGACCTCAGGGTCCGTCTAGACTGGTGACAGTGTTCTTGGGGACTGTCTCGAGATCCATTAAGCAAGTCGAAGCTCCTGACTTGTTTGAATGGGATCACGGAATAGCTCTGCATGCACTGCAGGGGAATGGGGCCTCATCTCGCCTCTAGGGGGAAGTCTCATGGTTTTTCTCGAGTTGCGGCGGGGACCTGGGGTATGTTCTCGACTTACGGCGGGGATGGCCCTTCAAAACACGAGTTTCTTCAGTGACGTCAGGACTCCTGTCTAGTAACGAGGGACACCTCAGGAATCTCTTCGAGGCTTGGCAGGGCCAAAGGGACGCTTCTCGAGGTGAGGCAGGGCACCCAAGGACCCTTTCCAGTAGCCACAGGGATTTTGGGATTCCTATCAGTATTCAAGAGGAGTCAGGCATCGTCACCTTTTGAAGCAATGAACTCCGCGTGCCTCTCGAGGTGTCAGCGGGATGTGAGGCATTCCCTCAAAATGAGGCAGGGACCTAGGGCTTTCTCTAAGGTCTCCACAGGGGATTCAGACATCCCTTCATGTTGTGAGATGAAAGACGAGCCTGTATTCAAGCCACTGCAAGGAAATCCGGCCTCCTTTCAAGTTAGGGCTTCTCGCTGTATATTCCCCTTGAGGCAGCAAACTCGGGGTCCCTCCCACATACCTATTGCTGAGAGAAGCCTCCTCCTGAGGTGCTTCTGGGAAGTTGGCATACGTCTTGAGCCTAAGCCAGGGAATCAGCTCGCATCTCGAGACGATTTGGGGTACACGGAGCATTCCTCGAGTTGCTGTGCTGAAGTTGGTGTTCCTCTAGACTTGGGACAGTGTTCTCGGGGCATCTCTGGAGTTGCCTGAAGGAAGTCGAGCCACCGGTCGTGTTGAATGGGGAACGGGGAATGGCTCTGGAGTCAATGCAGGGGAATCGGGCCTCATCTCGAGTTGATTTGGGGCACATGGAGCTGCTTTGCGTTGCTGGGGTGACCTCAGGGTCCGTCTAGACTGGTGACAGTGTTCTTGGGGACTGTCTCGAGATCCATTAAGCAAGTCGAAGCTCCTGACTTGTTTGAATGGGATCACGGAATAGCTCTGCATGCACTGCAGGGGAATGGGGCCTCATCTCGCCTCTAGGGGGAAGTCTCATGGTTTTTCTCGAGTTGCGGCGGGGACCTGGGGTATGTTCTCGACTTACGGCGGGGATGGCCCTTCAAAACACGAGTTTCTTCAGTGACGTCAGGACTCCTGTCTAGTAACGAGGGACACCTCAGGAATCTCTTCGAGGCTTGGCAGGGCCAAAGGGACGCTTCTCGAGGTGAGGCAGGGCACCCAAGGACCCTTTCCAGTAGCCACAGGGATTTTGGGATTCCTATCAGTATTCAAGAGGAGTCAGGCATCGTCACCTTTTGAAGCAATGAACTCCGCGTGCCTCTCGAGGTGTCAGCGGGATGTGAGGCATTCCGTCAAAATGAGGCAGGGACCTAAGGCTTTCTCTAAGGTCTCCACAGGGGATTCAGACATCCCTTCATGTTGTGAGATGAAAGACGAGCCTGTATTCAAGCCACTGCAAGGAAATCCGGCCTCCTTTCAAGTTAGGGCTTCTCGCTGTATATTCCCCTTGAGGCAGCAAACTCGGGGTCCCTCCCACATACCTATTGCTGAGAGAAGCCTCCTCCTGAGGTGCTTCTGGGAAGTTGGCATACGTCTTGAGCCTAAGCCAGGGAATCAGCTCGCATCTCGAGACGATTTGGGGTACACGGAGCATTCCTCGAGTTGCTGTGCTGAAGTTGGTGTTCCTCTAGACTTGGGACAGTGTTCTCGGGGCATCTCTGGAGTTGCCTGAAGGAAGTCGAGCCACCGGTCGTGTTGAATGGGGAACGGGGAATGGCTCTGGAGTCAATGCAGGGGAATCGGGCCTCATCTCGAGTTGATTTGGGGCACATGGAGCTGCTTTGCGTTGCTGGGGTGACCTCAGGGTCCGTCTAGACTGGTGACAGTGTTCTTGGGGACTGTCTCGAGATCCATTAAGCAAGTCGAAGCTCCTGACTTGTTTGAATGGGATCACGGAATAGCTCTGCATGCACTGCAGGGGAATGGGGCCTCATCTCGCCTCTAGGGGGAAGTCTCATGGTTTTTCTCGAGTTGCGGCGGGGACCTGGGGTATGTTCTCGACTTACGGCGGGGATGGCCCTTCAAAACACGAGTTTCTTCAGTGACGTCAGGACTCCTGTCTAGTAATGAGGGACACCTCAGGAATCTCTTCGAGGCTTGGCAGGGCCAAAGGGACGCTTCTCGAGGTGAGGCAGGGCACCCAAGGACCCTTTCCAGTAGCCACAGGGATTTTGGGATTCCTATCAGTATTCAAGAGGAGTCAGGCATCGTCACCTTTTGAAGCAATGAACTCCGCGTGCCTCTCGAGGTGTCAGCGGGATGTGAGGCATTCCGTCAAAATGAGGCAGGGACCTAGGGCTTTCTCTAAGGTCTCCACAGGGGATTCAGACATCCCTTCATGTTGTGAGATGAAAGACGAGCCTGTATTCAAGCCACTGCAAGGAAATCCGGCCTCCTTTCAAGTTAGGGCTTCTCGCTGTATATTCCCCTTGAGGCAGCAAACTCGGGGTCCCTCCCACATACCTATTGCTGAGAGAAGCCTCCGCCTGAGGTGCTTCTGGGAAGTTGGCATACGTCTTGAGCCTAAGCCAGGGAATCAGCTCGCATCTCGAGACGATTTGGGGTACACGGAGCATTCCTCGAGTTGCTGTGCTGAAGTTGGTGTTCCTCTAGACTTGGGACAGTGTTCTCGGGGCATCTCTGGAGTTGCCTGAAGGAAGTCGAGCCACCGGTCGTGTTGAATGGGGAACGGGGAATGGCTCTGGAGTCAATGCAGGGGAATCGGGCCTCATCTCGAGTTGATTTGGGGCACATGGAGCTGCTTTGCGTTGCTGGGGTGACCTCAGTGTCCGTCTAGACTGGTGACAGTGTTCTTGGGGACTGTCTCGAGATCCATTAAGCAAGTCGAAGCTCCTGACTTGTTTGAATGGGATCACGGAATAGCTCTGCATGCACTGCAGGGGAATGGGGCCTCATCTCGCCTCTAGGGGGAAGTCTCATGGTTTTTCTCGAGTTGCGGCGGGGACCTGGGGTATGTTCTCGACTTACGGCGGGGATATCCCTTCAAAACACGAGTTTCTTCAGTGACGTCAGGACTCCTGTCTAGTAACGAGGGACACCTCAGGAATCTCTTCGAGGCTTGGCAGGGCCAAAGGGACGCTTCTCGAGGTGAGGCAGGGCACCCAAGGACCCTTTCCAGTAGCCACAGGGATTTTGGGATTCCTATCAGTATTCAAGAGGAGTCAGGCATCGTCACCTTTTGAAGCAATGAACTCCGCGTGCCTCTCGAGGTGTCAGCGGGATGTGAGGCATTCCGTCAAAATGAGGCAGGGACCTAGGGCTTTCTCTAAGGTCTCCACAGGGGATTCAGACATCCCTTCATGTTGTGAGATGAAAGACGAGCCTGCATTCAAGCCACTGCAAGGAAATCCGGCCTCCTTTCAAGTTAGGGCTTCTCGCTGTATATTCCCCTTGAGGCAGCAAACTCGGGGTCCCTCCCACATACCTATTGCTGAGAGAAGCCTCCTCCTGAGGTGCTTCTGGGAAGTTGGCATACGTCTTGAGCCTAAGCCAGGGAATCAGCTCGCATCTGGAGACGATTTGGGGTATACGGAGCATTCCTCGAGTTGCTGTGCTGAAGTTGGTGTTCCTCTAGACTTGGGACAGTGTTCTCGGGGCATCTCTGGAGTTGCCTGAAGGAAGTCGAGCCACCGGTCGTGTTGAATGGGGAACGGGGAATGGCTCTGGAGTCAATGCAGGGGAATCGGGCCTCATCTCGAGTTGATTTGGGGCACATGGAGCTGCTTTGCGTTGCTGGGGTGACCTCAGGGTCCGTCTAGACTGGTGACAGTGTTCTTGGGGACTGTCTCGAGATCCATTAAGCAAGTCGAAGCTCCTGACTTGTTTGAATGGGATCACGGAATAGCTCTGCATGCACTGCAGGGGAATGGGGCCTCATCTCGCCTCTAGGGGGAAGTCTCATGGTTTTTCTCGAGTTGCGGCGGGGACCTGGGGTATGTTCTCGACTTACGGCGGGGATGGCCCTTCAAAACACGAGTTTCTTCAGTGACGTCAGGACTCCTGTCTAGTAACGAGGGACACCTCAGGAATCTCTTCGAGGCTTGGCAGGGCCAAAGGGACGCTTCTCGAGGTGAGGCAGGGCACCCAAGGACCCTTTCCAGTAGCCACAGGGATTTTGGGATTCCTATCAGTATTCAAGAGGAGTCAGGCATCGTCACCTTTTGAAGCAATGAACTCCGCGTGCCTCTCGAGGTGTCAGCGGGATGTGAGGCATTCCGTCAAAATGAGGCAGGGACCTAGGGCTTTCTCTAAGGTCTCCACAGGGGATTCAGACATCCCTTCATGTTGTGAGATGAAAGACGAGCCTGTATTCAAGCCACTGCAAGGAAATCCGGCCTCCTTTCAAGTTAGGGCTTCTCGCTGTATATTCCCCTTGAGGCAGCAAACTCGGGGTCCCTCCCACATACCTATTGCTGAGAGAAGCCTCCTCCTGAGGTGCTTCTGGGAAGTTGGCATACGTCTTGAGCCAAAGCCAGGGAATCAGCTCGCATCTCGAGACGATTTGGGGTACACGGAGCATTCCTCGAGTTGCTGTGCTGAAGTTGGTGTTCCTCTAGACTTGGGACAGTGTTCTCGGGGCATCTCTGGAGTTGCCTGAAGGAAGTCGAGCCCACCGGTCGTGTTGAATGGGGAACGGGGAATGGCTCTGGAGTCAATGCAGGGGAATCGGGCCTCATCTCGAGTTGATTTGGGGCACATGGAGCTGCTTTGCTTTGCTGGGGTGACCTCAGGGTCCGTCTAGACTGGTGACAGTGTTCTTGGGACTGTCTCGAGATCCATTAAGCAAGTCGAAGCTCCTGACTTGTTTGAATGGGATCACGGAGTAGCTCTGCATGCACTGCAGGGGAATGGGGCCTCATCTCGCCTCTAGGGGGAAGTCTCATGGTTTTTCTCGAGTTGCGGCGGGGACCTGGGGTATGTTCTCGACTTACGGCGGGGATGGCCCTTCAAAACACGAGTTTCTTCAGTGACGTCAGGACTCCTGTCTAGTAACGAGGGACACCTCAGGAATCTCTTCGAGGCTTGGCAGGGCCAAAGGGACGCTTCTCGAGGTGAGGCAGGGCACCCAAGGACCCTTTCCAGTAGCCACAGGGATTTTGGGATTACTATCAGTATTCAAGAGGAGTCAGGCATCGTCACCTTTTGAAGCAATGAACTCCGCGTGCCTCTCGAGGTGTCAGCGGGATGTGAGGCATTCCCTCAAAATGAGGCAGGGACCTAGGGCTTTCTCTAAGGTCTCCACAGGGGATTCAGACATCCCTTCATGTTGTGAGATGAAAGACGAGCCTGTATTCAAGCCACTGCAAGGAACTCCGGCCTCCTTTCAAGTTAGGGCTTCTCGCTGTATATTCCCCTTGAGGCAGCAAACTCGGGGTCCCTCCCACATACCTATTGCTGAGAGAAGCCTCCTCCTGAGGTGCTTCTGGGAAGTTGGCATACGTCTTGAGCCTAAGCCAGGGAATCAGCTCGCATCTGGAGACGATTTGGGGTACACGGAGCATTCCTCGAGTTGCTGTGCTGAAGTTGGTGTTCCTCTAGACTTGGGACAGTGTTCTCGGGGCATCTCTGGAGTTGCCTGAAGGAAGTCGAGCCACCGGTCGTGTTGAATGGGGAACGGGGAATGGCTCTGGAGTCAATGCAGGGGAATCGGGCCTCATCTCGAGTTGATTTGGGGCACATGGAGCTGCTTTGCGTTGCTGGGGTGACCTCAGGGTCCGTCTAGACTGGTGACAGTGTTCTTGGGGACTGTCTCGAGATCCATTAAGCAAGTCGAAGCTCCTGACTTGTTTGAATGGGATCACGGAATAGCTCTGCATGCACTGCAGGGGAATGGGGCCTCATCTCGCCTCTAGGGGGAAGTCTCATGGTTTTTCTCGAGTTGCGGCGGGGACCTGGGGTGTGTTCTCGACTTACGGCGGGGATGGCCCTTCAAAACACGAGTTTCTTCAGTGACGTCAGGACTCCTGTCTAGTAACGAGGGACACCTCAGGAATCTCTTCGAGGCTTGGCAGGGCCAAAGGGACGCTTCTCGAGGTGAGGCAGGGCACCCAAGGACCCTTTCCAGTAGCCACAGGGATTTTGGGATTCCTATCAGTATTCAAGAGGAGTCAGGCATCGTCACCTTTTGAAGCAATGAACTCCGCGTGCCTCTCGAGGTGTCAGCGGGATGTGAGGCATTCCGTCAAAATGAGGCAGGGACCTAGGGCTTTCTCTAAGGTCTCCACAGGGGATTCAGACATCCCTTCATGTTGTGAGATGAAAGACGAGCCTGTATTCAAGCCACTGCAAGGAAATCCGGCCTCCTTTCAAGTTAGGGCTTCTCGCTGTATATTCCCCTTGAGGCAGCAAACTCGGGGTCCCTCCCACATACCTATTGCTGAGAGAAGCCTCCTCCTGAGGTGCTTCTGGGAAGTTGGCATACGTCTTGAGCCTAAGCCAGGGAATCAGCTCGCATCTGGAGACGATTTGGGGTACACGGAGCATTCCTCGAGTTGCTGTGCTGAAGTTGGTGTTCCTCTAGACTTGGGACAGTGTTCTCGGGGCATCTCTGGAGTTGCCTGAAGGAAGTCGAGCCACCGGTCGTGTTGAATGGGGAACGGGGAATGGCTCTGGAGTCAATGCAGGGGAATCGGGCCTCATCTCGAGTTGATTTGGGGCACATGGAGCTGCTTTGCGTTGCTGGGGTGACCTCAGGGTCCGTCTAGACTGGTGACAGTGTTCTTGGGGACTGTCTCGAGATCCATTAAGCAAGTCGAAGCTCCTGACTTGTTTGAATGGGATCACGGAATAGCTCTGCATGCACTGCAGGGGAATGGGGCCTCATCTCGCCTCTAGGGGGAAGTCTCATGGTTTTTCTCGAGTTGCGGCGGGGACCTGGGGTATGTTCTCGACTTACGGCGGGGATGGCCCTTCAAAACACGAGTTTCTTCAGTGACGTCAGGACTCCTGTCTAGTAACGAGGGACACCTCAGGAATCTCTTCGAGGCTTGGCAGGGCCAAAGGGACGCTTCTCGAGGTGAGGCAGGGCACCCAAGGACCCTTTCCAGTAGCCACAGGGATTTTGGGATTCCTATCAGTATTCAAGAGGAGTCAGGCATCGTCACCTTTTGAAGCAATGAACTCCGCGTGCCTCTCGAGGTGTCAGCGGGATGTGAGGCATTCCCTCAAAATGAGGCAGGGACCTAGGGCTTTCTCTAAGGTCTCCACAGGGGATTCAGACATCCCTTCATGTTGTGAGATGAAAACGAGCCTGTATTCAAGCCACTGCAAGGAAATCCGGCCTCCTTTCAAGTTAGGGCTTCTCGCTGTATATTCCCCTTGAGGCAGCAAACTCGGGGTCCCTCCCACATACCTATTGCTGAGAGAAGCCTCCTCCTGAGGTGCTTCTGGGAAGTTGGCATACGTCTTGAGCCTAAGCCAGGGAATCAGCTCGCATCTCGAGACGATTTGGGGTACACGGAGCATTCCTCGAGTTGCTGTGCTGAAGTTGGTGTTCCTCTAGACTTGGGACAGTGTTCTCGGGGCATCTCTGGAGTTGCCTGAAGGAAGTCGAGCCCACCGGTCGTGTTGAATGGGGAACGGGGAATGGCTCTGGAGTCAATGCAGGGGAATCGGGCCTCATCTCGAGTTGATTTGGGGCACATGGAGCTGCTTTGCTTTGCTGGGGTGACCTCAGGGTCCGTCTAGACTGGTGACAGTGTTCTTGGGACTGTCTCGAGATCCATTAAGCAAGTCGAAGCTCCTGACTTGTTTGAATGGGATCACGGAGTAGCTCTGCATGCACTGCAGGGGAATGGGGCCTCATCTCGCCTCTAGGGGGAAGTCTCATGGTTTTTCTCGAGTTGCGGCGGGGACCTGGGGTATGTTCTCGACTTACGGCGGGGATGGCCCTTCAAAACACGAGTTTCTTCAGTGACGTCAGGACTCCTGTCTAGTAACGAGGGACACCTCAGGAATCTCTTCGAGGCTTGGCAGGGCCAAAGGGACGCTTCTCGAGGTGAGGCAGGGCACCCAAGGACCCTTTCCAGTAGCCACAGGGATTTTGGGATTCCTATCAGTATTCAAGAGGAGTCAGGCATCGTCACCTTTTGAAGCAATGAACTCCGCGTGCCTCTCGAGGTGTCAGCGGGATGTGAGGCATTCCGTCAAAATGAGGCAGGGACCTAGGGCTTTCTCTAAGGTCTCCACAGGGGATTCAGACATCCCTTCATGTTGTGAGATGAAAGACGAGCCTGTATTCAAGCCACTGCAAGGAAATCCAGCCTCCTTTCAAGTTAGGGCTTCTCGCTGTATATTCCCCTTGAGGCAGCAAACTCGGGGTCCCTCCCACATACCTATTGCTGAGAGAAGCCTCCTCCTGAGGTGCTTCTGGGAAGTTGGCATACGTCTTGAGCCTAAGCCAGGGAATCAGCTCGCATCTGGAGACGATTTGGGGTACACGGAGCATTCCTCGAGTTGCTGTGCTGAAGTTGGTGTTCCTCTAGACTTGGGACAGTGTTCTCGGGGCATCTCTGGAGTTGCCTGAAGGAAGTCGAGCCACCGGTCGTGTTGAATGGGGAACGGGGAATGGCTCTGGAGTCAATGCAGGGGAATCGGGCCTCATCTCGAGTTGATTTGGGGCACATGGAGCTGCTTTGCGTTGCTGGGGTGACCTCAGGGTCCGTCTAGACTGGTGACAGTGTTCTTGGGGACTGTCTCGAGATCCATTAAGCAAGTCGAAGCTCCTGACTTGTTTGAATGGGATCACGGAGTAGCTCTGCATGCACTCCAGGGGAATGGGGCCTCATCTCGCCTCTAGGGGGAAGTCTCATGGTTTTTCTCGAGTTGCGGCGGGGACCAGGGGTATGTTCTCGACTTACGGCGGGGATGGCCCTTCAAAACACGAGTTTCTTCAGTGACGTCAGGACTCCTGTCTAGTAACGAGGGACACCTCAGGAATCTCTTCGAGGCTTGGCAGGGCCAAAGGGACGCTTCTCGAGGTGAGGCAGGGCACCCAAGGACCCTTTCCAGTAGCCACAGGGATTTTGGGATTCCTATCAGTATTCAAGAGGAGTCAGGCATCGTCACCTTTTGAAGCAATGAACTCCGCGTGCCTCTCGAGGTGTCAGCGGGATGTGAGGCATTCCCTCAAAATGAGGCAGGGACCTAGGGCTTTCTCTAAGGTCTCCACAGGGGATTCAGACATCCCTTCATGTTGTGAGATGAAAGACGAGCCTGTATTCAAGCCACTGCAAGGAACTCCGGCCTCCTTTCAAGTTAGGGCTTCTCGCTGTATATTCCCCTTGAGGCAGCAAACTCGGGGTCCCTCCCACATACCTATTGCTGAGAGAAGCCTCCTCCTGAGGTGCTTCTGGGAAGTTGGCATACGTCTTGAGCCTAAGCCAGGGAATCAGCTCGCATCTCGAGACGATTTGGGGTACACGGAGCATTCCTCGAGTTGCTGTGCTGAAGTTGGTGTTCCTCTAGACTTGGGACAGTGTTCTTGGGGCATCTCTGGAGTTGCCTGAAGGAAGTCGAGCCCACCGGTCGTGTTGAATGGGGAACGGGGAATGGCTCTGGAGTCAATGCAGGGGAATCGGGCCTCATCTCGAGTTGATTTGGGGCACATGGAGCTGCTTTGCTTTGCTGGGGTGACCTCAGGGTCCGTCTAGACTGGTGACAGTGTTCTTGGGACTGTCTCGAGATCCATTAAGCAAGTCGAAGCTCCTGACTTGTTTGAATGGGATCACGGAGTAGCTCTGCATGCACTGCAGGGGAATGGGGCCTCATCTCGCCTCTAGGGGGAAGTCTCATGGTTTTTCTCGAGTTGCAGCGGGGACCTGGGGTATGTTCTCGACTTACGGCGGGGATGGCCCTTCAAAACACGAGTTTCTTCAGTGACGTCAGGACTCCTGTCTAGTAACGAGGGACACCTCAGGAATCTCTTCGAGGCTTGGCAGGGCCAAAGGGACGCTTCTCGAGGTGAGGCAGGGCACCCAAGGACCCTTTCCAGTAGCCACAGGGATTTTGGGATTCCTATCAGTATTCAAGAGGAGTCAGGCATCGTCACCTTTTGAAGCAATGAACTCCGCGTGCCTCTCGAGGTGTCAGCGGGATGTGAGGCATTCCGTCAAAATGAGGCAGGGACCTAGGGCTTTCTCTAAGGTCTCCACAGGGGATTCAGACATCCCTTCATGTTGTGAGATGAAAGACGAGCCTGTATTCAAGCCACTGCAAGGAAATCCGGCCTCCTTTCAAGTTAGGGCTTCTCGCTGTATATTCCCCTTGAGGCAGCAAACTCGGGGTCCCTCCCACATACCTATTGCTGAGAGAAGCCTCCTCCTGAGGTGCTTCTGGGAAGTTGGCATACGTCTTGAGCCTAAGCCAGGGAATCAGCTCGCATCTCGAGACGATTTGGGGTACACGGAGCATTCCTCGAGTTGCTGTGCTGAAGTTGGTGTTCCTCTAGACTTGGGACAGTGTTCTCGGGGCATCTCTGGAGTTGCCTGAAGGAAGTCGAGCCACCGGTCGTGTTGAATGGGGAACGGGGAATGGCTCTGGAGTCAATGCAGGGGAATCGGGCCTCATCTCGAGTTGATTTGGGGCACATGGAGCTGCTTTGCGTTGCTGGGGTGACCTCAGGGTCCGTCTAGACTGGTGACAGTGTTCTTGGGGACTGTCTCGAGATCCATTAAGCAAGTCGAAGCTCCTGACTTGTTTGAATGGGATCACGGAGTAGCTCTGCATGCACTGCAGGGGAATGGGGCCTCATCTCGCCTCTAGGGGGAAGTCTCATGGTTTTTCTCGAGTTGCGGCGGGGACCTGGGGTATGTTCTCGACTTACGGCAGGGATGGCCCTTCAAAACACGAGTTTCTTCAGTGACGTCAGGACTCCTGTCTAGTAACGAGGGACACCTCAGGAATCTCTTCGAGGCTTGGCAGGGCCAAAGGGACGCTTCTCGAGGTGAGGCAGGGCACCCAAGGACCCTTTCCAGTAGCCACAGGGATTTTGGGATTCCTATCAGTATTCAAGAGGAGTCAGGCATCGTCACCTTTTGAAGCAATGAACTCCGCGTGCCTCTCGAGGTGTCAGCGGGATGTGAGGCATTCCCTCAAAATGAGGCAGGGACCTAGGGCTTTCTCTAAGGTCTCCACAGGGGATTCAGACATCCCTTCATGTTGTGAGATGAAAGACGAGCCTGTATTCAAGCCACTGCAAGGAAATCCGGCCTCCTTTCAAGTTAGGGCTTCTCGCTGTATATTCCCCTTGAGGCAGCAAACTCGGGGTCCCTCCCACATACCTATTGCTGAGAGAAGCCTCCTCCTGAGGTGCTTCTGGGAAGTTGGCATACGTCTTGAGCCTAAGCCAGGGAATCAGCTCGCATCTCGAGACGATTTGGGGTACACGGAGCATTCCTCGAGTTGCTGTGCTGAAGTTGGTGTTCCTCTAGACTTGGGACAGTGTTCTCGGGGCATCTCTGGAGTTGCCTGAAGGAAGTCGAGCCACCGGTCGTGTTGAATGGGGAACGGGGAATGGCTCTGGAGTCAATGCAGGGGAATCGGGCCTCATCTCGAGTTGATTTGGGGCACATGGAGCTGCTTTGCGTTGCTGGGGTGACCTCAGGGTCCGTCTAGACTGGTGACAGTGTTCTTGGGGACTGTCTCGAGATCCATTAAGCAAGTCGAAGCTCCTGACTTGTTTGAATGGGATCACGGAGTAGCTCTGCATGCACTGCAGGGGAATGGGGCCTCATCTCGCCTCTAGGGGGAAGTCTCATGGTTTTTCTCGAGTTGCGGCGGGGACCTGGGGTATGTTCTCGACTTACGGCGGGGATGGCCCTTCAAAACACGAGTTTCTTCAGTGACGTCAGGACTCCTGTCTAGTAACGAGGGACACCTCAGGAATCTCTTCGAGGCTTGGCAGGGCCAAAGGGACGCTTCTCGAGGTGAGGCAGGGCACCCAAGGACCCTTTCCAGTAGCCACAGGGATTTTGGGATTCCTATCAGTATTCAAGAGGAGTCAGGCATCATCACCTTTTGAAGCAATGAACTCCGCGTGCCTCTCGAGGTGTCAGCGGGATGTGAGGCATTCCCTCAAAATGAGGCAGGGACCTAGGGCTTTCTCTAAGGTCTCCACAGGGGATTCAGACATCCCTTCATGTTGTGAGATGAAAGACGAGCCTGTATTCAAGCCACTGCAAGGAAATCCGGCCTCCTTTCAAGTTAGGGCTTCTCGCTGTATATTCCCCTTGAGGCAGCAAACTCGGGGTCCCTCCCACATACCTATTGCTGAGAGAAGCCTCCTCCTGAGGTGCTTCTGGGAAGTTGGCATACGTCTTGAGCCTAAGCCAGGGAATCAGCTCGCATCTCGAGACGATTTGGGGTACACGGAGCATTCCTCGAGTTGCTGTGCTGAAGTTGGTGTTCCTCTAGACTTGGGACAGTGTTCTCGGGGCATCTCTGGAGTTGCCTGAAGGAAGTCGAGCCACCGGTCGTGTTGAATGGGGAACGGGGAATGGCTCTGGAGTCAATGCAGGGGAATCGGGCCTCATCTCGAGTTGATTTGGGGCACATGGAGCTGCTTTGCGTTGCTGGGGTGACCTCAGGGTCCGTCTAGACTGGTGACAGTGTTCTTGGGGACTGTCTCGAGATCCATTAAGCAAGTCGAAGCTCCTGACTTGTTTGAATGGGATCACGGAATAGCTCTGCATGCACTGCAGGGGAATGGGGCCTCATCTCGCCTCTAGGGGGAAGTCTCATGGTTTTTCTCGAGTTGCGGCGGGGACCTGGGGTATGTTCTCGACTTACGGCGGGGATGGCCCTTCAAAACACGAGTTTCTTCAGTGACGTCAGGACTCCTGTCTAGTAACGAGGGACACCTCAGGAATCTCTTCGAGGCTTGGCAGGGCCAAAGGGACGCTTCTCGAGGTGAGGCAGGGCACCCAAGGACCCTTTCCAGTAGCCACAGGGATTTTGGGATTCCTATCAGTATTCAAGAGGAGTCAGGCATCGTCACCTTTTGAAGCAATGAACTCCGCGTGCCTCTCGAGGTGTCAGCGGGATGTGAGGCATTCCCTCAAAATGAGGCAGGGACCTAGGGCTTTCTCTAAGGTCTCCACAGGGGATTCAGACATCCCTTCATGTTGTGAGATGAAAGACGAGCCTGTATTCAAGCCACTGCAAGGAAATCCGGCCTCCTTTCAAGTTAGGGCTTCTCGCTGTATATTCCCCTTGAGGCAGCAAACTCGGGGTCCCTCCCACATACCTATTGCTGAGAGAAGCCTCCTCCTGAGGTGCTTCTGGGAAGTTGGCATACGTCTTGAGCCTAAGCCAGGGAATCAGCTCGCATCTCGAGACGATTTGGGGTACACGGAGCATTCCTCGAGTTGCTGTGCTGAAGTTGGTGTTCCTCTAGACTTGGGACAGTGTTCTCGGGGCATCTCTGGAGTTGCCTGAAGGAAGTCGAGCCACCGGTCGTGTTGAATGGGGAACGGGGAATGGCTCTGGAGTCAATGCAGGGGAATCGGGCCTCATCTCGAGTTGATTTGGGGCACATGGAGCTGCTTTGCGTTGCTGGGGTGACCTCAGGGTCCGTCTAGACTGGTGACAGTGTTCTTGGGGACTGTCTCGAGATCCATTAAGCAAGTCGAAGCTCCTGACTTGTTTGAATGGGATCACGGAATAGCTCTGCATGCACTGCAGGGGAATGGGGCCTCATCTCGCCTCTAGGGGGAAGTCTCATGGTTTTTCTCGAGTTGCAGCGGGGACCTGGGGTATGTTCTCGACTTACGGCGGGGATGGCCCTTCAAAACACGAGTTTCTTCAGTGACGTCAGGACTCCTGTCTAGTAACGAGGGACACCTCAGGAATCTCTTCGAGGCTTGGCAGGGCCAAAGGGACGCTTCTCGAGGTGAGGCAGGGCACCCAAGGACCCTTTCCAGTAGCCACAGGGATTTTGGGATTCCTATCAGTATTCAAGAGGAGTCAGGCATCGTCACCTTTTGAAGCAATGAACTCCGCGTGCCTCTCGAGGTGTCAGCGCGATGTGAGGCATTCCGTCAAAATGAGGCAGGGACCTAGGGCTTTCTCTAAGGTCTCCACAGGGGATTCAGACATCCCTTCATGTTGTGAGATGAAAGACGAGCCTGTATTCAAGCCACTGCAAGGAAATCCGGCCTCCTTTCAAGTTAGGGCTTCTCGCTGTATATTCCCCTTGAGGCAGCAAACTCGGGGTCCCTCCCACATACCTATTGCTGAGAGAAGCCTCCTCCTGAGGTGCTTCTGGGAAGTTGGCATACGTCTTGAGCCTAAGCCAGGGAATCAGCTCGCATCTCGAGACGATTTGGGGTACACGGAGCATTCCTCGAGTTGCTGTGCTGAAGTTGGTGTTCCTCTAGACTTGGGACAGTGTTCTCGGGGCATCTCTGGAGTTGCCTGAAGGAAGTAGAGCCACCGGTCGTGTTGAATGGGAAACGGGGAATGGCTCTGGAGTCAATGCAAGGGAATCGGGCCTCATCTCGAGTTGATTTGGGGCACATGGTGGTGCTTTGCGTTGCTGGGGTGACCTCAGGGTCCGTCTAGACTGGTGACAGTGTTCTTGGGGACTGTCTCGAGATCCATTAAGCAAGTCGAAGCTCCTGACTTGTTTGAATGGGATCACGGAATAGCTCTGCATGCACTGCAGGGGAATGGGGCCTCATCTCGCCTCTAGGGGGAAGTCTCATGGTTTTTCTCGAGTTGCAGCGGGGACCTGGGGTATGTTCTCGACTTACAGCGGGGATGGCCCTTCAAAACACGAGTTTCTTCAGTGACGTCAGGACTCCTGTCTAGTAACGAGGGACACCTCAGGAATCTCTTCGAGGCTTGGCAGGGCCAAAGGGACGCTTCTCGAGGTGAGGCAGGGCACCCAAGGACCCTTTCCAGTAGCCACAGGGATTTTGGGATTCCTATCAGTATTCAAGAGGAGTCAGGCATCGTCACCTTTTGAAGCAATGAACTCCGCGTGCCTCTCGAGGTGTCAGCGCGATGTGAGGCATTCCGTCAAAATGAGGCAGGGACCTAGGGCTTTCTCTAAGGTCTCCACAGGGGATTCAGACATCCCTTCATGTTGTGAGATGAAAGACGAGCCTGTATTCAAGCCACTGCAAGGAAATCCGGCCTCCTTTCAAGTTAGGGCTTCTCGCTGTATATTCCCCTTGAGGCAGCAAACTCGGGGTCCCTCCCACATACCTATTGCTGAGAGAAGCCTCCTCCTGAGGTGCTTCTGGGAAGTTGGCATACGTCTTGAGCCTAAGCCAGGGAATCAGCTCGCATCTCGAGACGATTTGGGGTACACGGAGCATTCCTCGAGTTGCTGTGCTGAAGTTGGTGTTCCTCTAGAATTGGGACAGTGTTCTCGGGGCATCTCTGGAGTTGCCTGAAGGAAGTCGAGCCTCCGGTCGTGTTGAATGGGAAACGGGGAATGGCTCTGGAGTCAATGCAGGGGAATCGGGCCTCATCTCGAGTTGATTTGGGGCACATGGAGCTGCTTTGCGTTGCTGGGGTGACCTCAGGGTCCGTCTAGACTGGTGACAGTGTTCTTGGGGACTGTCTCGAGATCCATTAAGCAAGTCGAAGCTCCTGACTTGTTTGAATGGGATCACGGAATAGCTCTGCATGCACTTCAGGGGAATGGGGCCTCATCTCGCCTCTAGGGGGAAGTCTCATGGTTTTTCTCTAGTTGCGGCGGGGACCTGGGGTATGTTCTCGACTTACGGCGGGGATGGCCCTTCAAAACACGAGTTTCTTCAGTGACGTCAGGACTCCTGTCTAGTAACGAGGGACACCTCAGGAATCTCTTCGAGGCTTGGCAGGGCCAAAGGGACGCTTCTCGAGGTGAGGCAGGGCACCCAAGGACCCTTTCCAGTAGCCACAGGGATTTTGGAATTCCTATCAGTATTCAAGAGGAGTCAGGCATCGTCACCTTTTGAAGCAATGAACTCCGCGTGCCTCTCGAGGTGTCAGCGGGATGTGAGGCATTCCGTCAAAATGAGGCAGGGACCTAGGGCTTTCTCTAAGGTCTCCACAGGGGATTCAGACATCCCTTCATGTTGTGAGATGAAAGACGAGCCTGTATTCAAGCCACTGCAAGGAAATCCGGCCTCCTTTCAAGTTAGGGCTTCTCGCTGTATATTCCCCTTGAGGCAGCAAACTCGGGGTCCCTCCCACATACCTATTGCTGAGAGAAGCCTCCTCCTGAGGTGCTTCTGGGAAGTTGGCAGACGTCTTGAGCCTAAGCCAGGGAATCAGCTCGCATCTCGAGACGATTTGGGGTACACGGAGCATTCCTCGAGTTGCTGTGCTGAAGTTGGTGTTCCTCTAGACTTGGGACAGTGTTCTCGGGGCATCTCTGGAGTTGCCTGAAGGAAGTCGAGCCACCGGTCGTGTTGAATGGGGAACGGGGAATGGCTCTGGAGTCAATGCAGGGGAATCGGGCCTCATCTCGAGTTGATTTGGGGCACATGGAGCTGCTTTGCGTTGCTGGGGTGACCTCAGGGTCCGTCTAGACTGGTGACAGTGTTCTTGGGGACTGTCTCGAGATCCATTAAGCAAGTCGAAGCTCCTGACTTGTTTGAATGGGATCACGGAATAGCTCTGCATGCACTGCAGGGGAATGGGGCCTCATCTCGCCTCTAGGGGGAAGTCTCATGGTTTTTCTCGAGTTGCGGCGGGGACCTGGGGTATGTTCTCGACTTACGGCGGGGATGGCCCTTCAAAACACGAGTTTCTTCAGTGACGTCAGGACTCCTGTCTAGTAACGAGGGACACCTCAGGAATCTCTTCGAGGCTTGGCAGGGCCAAAGGGACGCTTCTCGAGGTGAGGCAGGGCACCCAAGGACCCTTTCCAGTAGCCACAGGGATTTTGGGATTCCTATCAGTATTCAAGAGGAGTCAGGCATCGTCACCTTTTGAAGCAATGAACTCCGCGTGCCTCTCGAGGTGTCAGCGGGATGTGAGGCATTCCGTCAAAATGAGGCAGGGACCTAGGGCTTTCTCTAAGGTCTCCACAGGGGATTCAGACATCCCTTCATGTTGTGAGATGAAAGACGAGCCTGTATTCAAGCCACTGCAAGGAAATCCGGCCTCCTTTCAAGTTAGGGCTTCTCGCTGTATATTCCCCTTGAGGCAGCAAACTCGGGGTCCCTCCCACATACCTATTGCTGAGAGAAGCCTCCTCCTGAGGTGCTTCTGGGAAGTTGGCATACGTCTTGAGCCTAAGCCAGGGAATCAGCTCGCATCTCGAGACGATTTGGGGTACACGGAGCATTCCTCGAGTTGCTGTGCTGAAGTTGGTGTTCCTCTAGACTTGGGACAGTGTTCTCGGGGCATCTCTGGAGTTGCCTGAAGGAAGTCGAGCCACCGGTCGTGTTGAATGGGGAACGGGGAATGGCTCTGGAGTCAATGCAGGGGAATCGGGCCTCATCTCGAGTTGATTTGGGGCACATGGAGCTGCTTTGCGTTGCTGGGGTGACCTCAGGGTCCGTCTAGACTGGTGACAGTGTTCTTGGGGACTGTCTTGAGATCCATTAAGCAAGTCGAAGCTCCTGACTTGTTTGAATGGGATCACGGAATAGCTCTGCATGCACTGCAGGGGAATGGGGCCTCATCTCGCCTCTAGGGGGAAGTCTCATGGTTTTTCTCGAGTTGCGGCGGGGACCTGGGGTATGTTCTCGACTTACGGCGGGGATGGCCCTTCAAAACACGAGTTTCTTCAGTGACGTCAGGACTCCTGTCTAGTAACGAGGGACACCTCAGGAATCTCTTCGAGGCTTGGCAGGGCCAAAGGGACGCTTCTCGAGGTGAGGCAGGGCACCCAAGGACCCTTTCCAGTAGCCACAGGGATTTTGGGATTCCTATCAGTATTCAAGAGGAGTCAGGCATCGTCACCTTTTGAAGCAATGAACTCCGCGTGCCTCTCGAGGTGTCAGCGGGATGTGAGGCATTCCGTCAAAATGAGGCAGGGACCTAGGGCTTTCTCTAAGGTCTCCACAGGGGATTCAGACATCCCTTCATGTTGTGAGATGAAAGACGAGCCTGTATACAAGCCACTGCAAGGAAATCCGGCCTCCTTTCAAGTTAGGGCTTCTCGCTGTATATTCCCCTTGAGGCAGCAAACTCGGGGTCCCTCCCACATACCTATTGCTGAGAGAAGCCTCCTCCTGAGGTGCTTCTGGGAAGTTGGCATACGTCTTGAGCCTAAGCCAGGGAATCAGCTCGCATCTCGAGACGATTTGGGGTACACGGAGCATTCCTCGAGTTGCTGTGCTGAAGTTGGTGTTCCTCTAGACTTGGGACAGTGTTCTCGGGGCATCTCTGGAGTTGCCTGAAGGAAGTCGAGCCACCGGTCGTGTTGAATGGGGAACGGGGAATGGCTCTGGGGTCAATGCAGGGGAATCGGGCCTCATCTCGAGTTGATTTGGGGCACATGGAGCTGCTTTGCGTTGCTGGGGTGACCTCACGGTCCGTCTAGACTGGTGACAGTGTTCTTGGGGACTGTCTCGAGATCCATTAAGCAAGTCGAAGCTCCTGACTTGTTTGAATGGGATCACGGAATAGCTCTGCATGCACTGCAGGGGAATGGGGCCTCATCTCGCCTCTAGGGGGAAGTCTCATGGTTTTTCTCGAGTTGCGGCGGGGACCTGGGGTATGTTCTCGACTTACGGCGGGGATGGCCCTTCAAAACACGAGTTTCTTCAGTGACGTCAGGACTCCTGTCTAGTAACGAGGGACACCTCAGGAATCTCTTCGAGGCTTGGCAGGGCCAAAGGGACGCTTCTCGAGGTGAGGCAGGGCACCCAAGGACCCTTTCCAGTAGCCACAGGGATTTTGGGATTCCTATCAGTATTCAAGAGGAGTCAGGCATCGTCACCTTTTGAAGCAATGAACTCCGCGTGCCTCTCGAGGTGTCAGCGGGATGTGAGGCATTCCCTCAAAATGAGGCAGGGACCTAGGGCTTTCTCTAAGGTCTCCACAGGGGATTCAGACATCCCTTCATGTTGTGAGATGAAAGACGAGCCTGTATTCAAGCCACTGCAAGGAAATCCGGCCTCCTTTCAAGTTAGGGCTTCTCGCTGTATATTCCCCTTGAGGCAGCAAACTCGGGGTCCCTCCCACATACCTATTGCTGAGAGAAGCCTCCTCCTGAGGTGCTTCTGGGAAGTTGGCATACGTCTTGAGCCTAAGCCAGGGAATCAGCTCGCATCTCGAGACGATTTGGGGTACACGGAGCATTCCTCGAGTTGCTGTGCTGAAGTTGGTGTTCCTCTAGACTTGGGACAGTGTTCTCGGGGCATCTCTGGAGTTGCCTGAAGGAAGTCGAGCCACCGGTCGTGTTGAATGGGGAACGGGGAATGGCTCTGGAGTCAATGCAGGGGAATCGGGCCTCATCTCGAGTTGATTTGGGGCACATGGAGCTGCTTTGCGTTGCTGGGGTGACCTCAGGGTCCGTCTAGACTGGTGACAGTGTTCTTGGGGACTGTCTCGAGATCCATTAAGCAAGTCGAAGCTCCTGACTTGTTTGAATGGGATCACGGAATAGCTCTGCATGCACTGCAGGGGAATGGGGCCTCATCTCGCCTCTAGGGGGAAGTCTCATGGTTTTTCTCGAGTTGCAGCGGGGACCTGGGGTATGTTCTCGACTTACGGCGGGGATGGCCCTTCAAAACACGAGTTTCTTCAGTGACGTCAGGACTCCTGTCTAGTAACGAGGGACACCTCAGGAATCTCTTCGAGGCTTGGCAGGGCCAAAGGGACGCTTCTCGAGGTGAGGCAGGGCACCCAAGGACCCTTTCCAGTAGCCACAGGGATTTTGGGATTCCTATCAGTATTCAAGAGGAGTCAGGCATCGTCACCTTTTGAAGCAATGAACTCCGCGTGCCTCTCGAGGTGTCAGCGCGATGTGAGGCATTCCGTCAAAATGAGGCAGGGACCTAGGGCTTTCTCTAAGGTCTCCACAGGGGATTCAGACATCCCTTCATGTTGTGAGATGAAAGACGAGCCTGTATTCAAGCCACTGCAAGGAAATCCGGCCTCCTTTCAAGTTAGGGCTTCTCGCTGTATATTCCCCTTGAGGCAGCAAACTCGGGGTCCCTCCCACATACCTATTGCTGAGAGAAGCCTCCTCCTGAGGTGCTTCTGGGAAGTTGGCATACGTCTTGAGCCTAAGCCAGGGAATCAGCTCGCATCTCGAGACGATTTGGGGTACACGGAGCATTCCTCGAGTTGCTGTGCTGAAGTTGGTGTTCCTCTAGACTTGGGACAGTGTTCTCGGGGCATCTCTGGAGTTGCCTGAAGGAAGTAGAGCCACCGGTCGTGTTGAATGGGAAACGGGGAATGGCTCTGGAGTCAATGCAAGGGAATCGGGCCTCATCTCGAGTTGATTTGGGGCACATGGTGGTGCTTTGCGTTGCTGGGGTGACCTCAGGGTCCGTCTAGACTGGTGACAGTGTTCTTGGGGACTGTCTCGAGATCCATTAAGCAAGTCGAAGCTCCTGACTTGTTTGAATGGGATCACGGAATAGCTCTGCATGCACTGCAGGGGAATGGGGCCTCATCTCGCCTCTAGGGGGAAGTCTCATGGTTTTTCTCGAGTTGCAGCGGGGACCTGGGGTATGTTCTCGACTTACAGCGGGGATGGCCCTTCAAAACACGAGTTTCTTCAGTGACGTCAGGACTCCTGTCTAGTAACGAGGGACACCTCAGGAATCTCTTCGAGGCTTGGCAGGGCCAAAGGGACGCTTCTCGAGGTGAGGCAGGGCACCCAAGGACCCTTTCCAGTAGCCACAGGGATTTTGGGATTCCTATCAGTATTCAAGAGGAGTCAGGCATCGTCACCTTTTGAAGCAATGAACTCCGCGTGCCTCTCGAGGTGTCAGCGCGATGTGAGGCATTCCGTCAAAATGAGGCAGGGACCTAGGGCTTTCTCTAAGGTCTCCACAGGGGATTCAGACATCCCTTCATGTTGTGAGATGAAAGACGAGCCTGTATTCAAGCCACTGCAAGGAAATCCGGCCTCCTTTCAAGTTAGGGCTTCTCGCTGTATATTCCCCTTGAGGCAGCAAACTCGGGGTCCCTCCCACATACCTATTGCTAAGAGAAGCCTCCTCCTGAGGTGCTTCTGGGAAGTTGGCATACGTCTTGAGCCTAAGCCAGGGAATCAGCTCGCATCTCGAGACGATTTGGGGTACACGGAGCATTCCTCGAGTTGCTGTGCTGAAGTTGGTGTTCCTCTAGAATTGGGACAGTGTTCTCGGGGCATCTCTGGAGTTGCCTGAAGGAAGTCGAGCCACCGGTCGTGTTGAATGGGAAACGGGGAATGGCTCTGGAGTCAATGCAGGGGAATCGGGCCTCATCTCGAGTTGATTTGGGGCACATGGAGCTGCTTTGCGTTGCTGGGGTGACCTCAGGGTCCGTCTAGACTGGTGACAGTGTTCTTGGGGACTGTCTCGAGATCCATTAAGCAAGTCGAAGCTCCTGACTTGTTTGAATGGGATCACGGAATAGCTCTGCATGCACTGCAGGGGAATGGGGCCTCATCTCGCCTCTAGGGGGAAGTCTCATCGTTTTTCTCGAGTTGCGGCGGGGACCTGGGGTATGTTCTCGACTTACGGCGGGGATGGCCCTTCAAAACACGAGTTTCTTCAGTGACGTCAGGACTCCTGTCTAGTAACGAGGGACACCTCAGGAATCTCTTCGAGGCTTGGCAGGGCCAAAGGGACGCTTCTCGAGGTGAGGCAGGGCACCCAAGGACCCTTTCCAGTAGCCACAGGGATTTTGGAATTCCTATCAGTATTCAAGAGGAGTCAGGCATCGTCACCTTTTGAAGCAATGAACTCCGCGTGCCTCTCGAGGTGTCAGCGGGATGTGAGGCATTCCGTCAAAATGAGGCAGGGACCTAGGGCTTTCTCTAAGGTCTCCACAGGGGATTCAGACATCCCTTCATGTTGTGAGATGAAAGACGAGCCTGTATTCAAGCCACTGCAAGGAAATCCGGCCTCCTTTCAAGTTAGGGCTTCTCGCTGTATATTCCCCTTGAGGCAGCAAACTCGGGGTCCCTCCCACATACCTATTGCTGAGAGAAGCCTCCTCCTGAGGTGCTTCTGGGAAGTTGGCAGACGTCTTGAGCCTAAGCCAGGGAATCAGCTCGCATCTCGAGACGATTTGGGGTACACGGAGCATTCCTCGAGTTGCTGTGCTGAAGTTGGTGTTCCTCTAGACTTGGGACAGTGTTCTCGGGGCATCTCTGGAGTTGCCTGAAGGAAGTCGAGCCACCGGTCGTGTTGAATGGGGAACGGGGAATGGCTCTGGAGTCAATGCAGGGGAATCGGGCCTCATCTCGAGTTGATTTGGGGCACATGGAGCTGCTTTGCGTTGCTGGGGTGACCTCAGGGTCCGTCTAGACTGGTGACAGTGTTCTTGGGGACTGTCTCGAGATCCATTAAGCAAGTCGAAGCTCCTGACTTGTTTGAATGGGATCACGGAATAGCTCTGCATGCACTGCAGGGGAATGGGGCCTCATCTCGCCTCTAGGGGGAAGTCTCATGGTTTTTCTCGAGTTGCGGCGGGGACCTGGGGTATGTTCTCGACTTACGGCGGGGATGGCCCTTCAAAACACGAGTTTCTTCAGTGACGTCAGGACTCCTGTCTAGTAACGAGGGACACCTCAGGAATCTCTTCGAGGCTTGGCAGGGCCAAAGGGACGCTTCTCGAGGTGAGGCAGGGCACCCAAGGACCCTTTCCAGTAGCCACAGGGATTTTGGGATTCCTATCAGTATTCAAGAGGAGTCAGGCATCGTCACCTTTTGAAGCAATGAACTCCGCGTGCCTCTCGAGGTGTCAGCGGGATGTGAGGCATTCCGTCAAAATGAGGCAGGGACCTAGGGCTTTCTCTAAGGTCTCCACAGGGGATTCAGACATCCCTTCATGTTGTGAGATGAAAGACGAGCCTGTATTCAAGCCACTGCAAGGAAATCCGGCCTCCTTTCAAGTTAGGGCTTCTCGCTGTATATTCCCCTTGAGGCAGCAAACTCGGGGTCCCTCCCACATACCTATTGCTGAGAGAAGCCTCCTCCTGAGGTGCTTCTGGGAAGTTGGCATACGTCTTGAGCCTAAGCCAGGGAATCAGCTCGCATCTCGAGACGATTTGGGGTACACGGAGCATTCCTCGAGTTGCTGTGCTGAAGTTGGTGTTCCTCTAGACTTGGGACAGTGTTCTCGGGGCATCTCTGGAGTTGCCTGAAGGAAGTCGAGCCACCGGTCGTGTTGAATGGGGAACGGGGAATGGCTCTGGAGTCAATGCAGGGGAATCGGGCCTCATCTCGAGTTGATTTGGGGCACATGGAGCTGCTTTGCGTTGCTGGGGTGACCTCAGGGTCCGTCTAGACTGGTGACAGTGTTCTTGGGGACTGTCTTGAGATCCATTAAGCAAATCGAAGCTCCTGACTTGTTTGAATGGGATCACGGAATAGCTCTGCATGCACTGCAGGGGAATGGGGCCTCATCTCGCCTCTAGGGGGAAGTCTCATGGTTTTTCTCGAGTTGCGGCGGGGACCTGGGGTATGTTCTCGACTTACGGCGGGGATGGCCCTTCAAAACACGAGTTTCTTCAGTGACGTCAGGACTCCTGTCTAGTAACGAGGGACACCTCAGGAATCTCTTCGAGGCTTGGCAGGGCCAAAGGGACGCTTCTCGAGGTGAGGCAGGGCACCCAAGGACCCTTTCCAGTAGCCACAGGGATTTTGGGATTCCTATCAGTATTCAAGAGGAGTCAGGCATCGTCACCTTTTGAAGCAATGAACTCCGCGTGCCTCTCGAGGTGTCAGCGGGATGTGAGGCATTCCGTCAAAATGAGGCAGGGACCTAGGGCTTTCTCTAAGGTCTCCACAGGGGATTCAGACATCCCTTCATGTTGTGAGATGAAAGACGAGCCTGTATTCAAGCCACTGCAAGGAAATCCGGCCTCCTTTCAAGTTAGGGCTTCTCGCTGTATATTCCCCTTGAGGCAGCAAACTCGGGGTCCCTCCCACATACCTATTGCTGAGAGAAGCCTCCTCCTGAGGTGCTTCTGGGAAGTTGGCATACGTCTTGAGCCTAAGCCAGGGAATCAGCTCGCATCTCGAGACGATTTGGGGTACACGGAGCATTCCTCGAGTTGCTGTGCTGAAGTTGGTGTTCCTCTAGACTTGGGACAGTGTTCTCGGGGCATCTCTGGAGTTGCCTGAAGGAAGTCGAGCCACCGGTCGTGTTGAATGGGGAACGGGGAATGGCTCTGGGGTCAATGCAGGGGAATAGGGCCTCATCTCGAGTTGATTTGGGGCACATGGAGCTGCTTTGCGTTGCTGGGGTGACCTCACGGTCCGTCTAGACTGGTGACAGTGTTCTTGGGGACTGTCTCGAGATCCATTAAGCAAGTCGAAGCTCCTGACTTGTTTGAATGGGATCACGGAATAGCTCTGCATGCACTGCAGGGGAATGGGGCCTCATCTCGCCTCTAGGGGGAAGTCTCATGGTTTTTCTCGAGTTGCGGCGGGGACCTGGGGTATGTTCTCGACTTACGGCGGGGATGGCCCTTCAAAACACGAGTTTCTTCAGTGACGTCAGGACTCCTGTCTAGTAACGAGGGACACCTCAGGAATCTCTTCGAGGCTTGGCAGGGCCAAAGGGACGCTTCTCGAGGTGAGGCAGGGCACCCAAGGACCCTTTCCAGTAGCCACAGGGATTTTGGGATTCCTATCAGTATTCAAGAGGAGTCAGGCATCGTCACCTTTTGAAGCAATGAACTCCGCGTGCCTCTCGAGGTGTCAGCGGGATGTGAGGCATTCCGTCAAAATGAGGCAGGGACCTAGGGCTTTCTCTAAGGTCTCCACAGGGGATTCAGACATCCCTTCATGTTGTGAGATGAAAGACGAGCCTGTATTCAAGCCACTGCAAGGAAATCCGGCCTCCTTTCAAGTTAGGGCTTCTCGCTGTATATTCCCCTTGAGGCAGCAAACTCGGGGTCCCTCCCACATACCTATTGCTGAGAGAAGCCTCCTCCTGAGGTGCTTCTGGGAAGTTGGCATACGTCTTGAGCCTAAGCCAGGGAATCAGCTCGCATCTCGAGACGATTTGGGGTACACGGAGCATTCCTCGAGTTGCTGTGCTGAAGTTGGTGTTCCTCTAGACTTGGGACAGTGTTCTCGGGGCATCTCTGGAGTTGCCTGAAGGAAGTCGAGCCACCGGTCGTGTTGAATGGGGAAGGGGGAATGGCTCTGGAGTCAATGCAGGGGAATCGGGCCTCATCTCGAGTTGATTTGGGGCACATGGAGCTGCTTTGCGTTGCTGGGGTGACCTCAGGGTCCGTCTAGACTGGTGACAGTGTTCTTGGGGACTGTCTCGAGATCCATTAAGCAAGTCGAAGCTCCTGACTTGTTTGAATGGGATCACGGAACAGCTCTGCATGCACTGCAGGGGAATGGGGCCTCATCTCGCCTCTAGGGGGAAGTCTCATGGTTTTTCTCGAGTTGCGGCGGGGACCTGGGGTATGTTCTCGACTTACGGCGGGGATGGCCCTTCAAAACACGAGTTTCTTCAGTGACGTCAGGACTCCTGTCTAGTAACGAGGGACACCTCAGGAATCTCTTCGAGGCTTGGCAGGGCCAAAGGGACGCTTCTCGAGGTGAGGCAGGGCACCCAAGGACCCTTTCCAGTAGCCACAGGGATTTTGGGATTCCTATCAGTATTCAAGAGGAGTCAGGCATCGTCACCTTTTGAAGCAATGAACTCCGCGTGCCTCTCTAGGTGTCAGCGGGATGTGAGGCATTCCGTCAAAATGAGGCAGGGACCTAGGGCTTTCTCTAAGGTCTCCACAGGGGATTCAGACATCCCTTCATGTTGTGAGATGAAAGACGAGCCTGTATTCAAGCCACTGCAAGGAAATCCGGCCTCCTTTCAAGTTAGGGCTTCTCGCTGTATATTCCCCTTGAGGCAGCAAACTCGGGGTCCCTCCCACATACCTATTGCTGAGAGAAGCCTCCTCCTGAGGTGCTTCTGGGAAGTTGGCATACGTCTTGAGCCTAAGCCAGGGAATCAGCTCGCATCTCGAGACGATTTGGGGTACACGGAGCATTCCTCGAGTTGCTGTGCTGAAGTTGGTGTTCCTCTAGACTTGGGACAGTGTTCTCGGGGCATCTCTGGAGTTGCCTGAAGGAAGTCGAGCCACCGGTCGTGTTGAATGGGGAACGGGGAATGGCTCTGGAGTCAATGCAGGGGAATCGGGCCTCATCTCGAGTTGATTTGGGGCACATGGAGCTGCTTTGCGTTGCTGGGGTGACCTCAGGGTCCGTCTAGACTGGTGACAGTGTTCTTGGGGACTGTCTCGAGATCCATTAAGCAAGTCGAAGCTCCTGACTTGTTTGAATGGGATCACGGAATAGCTCTGCATGCACTGCAGGGGAATGGGGCCTCATCTCGCCTCTAGGGGGAAGTCTCATGGTTTTTCTCGAGTTGCGGCGGGGACCTGGGGTATGTTCTCGACTTACGGCGGGGATGGCCCTTCAAAACACGAGTTTCTTCAGTGACGTCAGGACTCCTGTCTAGTAACGAGGGACACCTCAGGAATCTCTTCGAGGCTTGGCAGGGCCAAAGGGACGCTTCTCGAGGTGAGGCAGGGCACCCAAGGACCCTTTCCAGTAGCCACAGGGATTTTGGGATTCCTATCAGTATTCAAGAGGAGTCAGGCATCGTCACCTTTTGAAGCAATGAACTCCGCGTGCCTCTCGAGGTGTCAGCGGGATGTGAGGCATTCCCTCAAAATGAGGCAGGGACCTAGGGCTTTCTCTAAGGTCTCCACAGGGGATTCAGACATCCCTTCATGTTGTGAGATGAAAGACGAGCCTGTATTCAAGCCATTGCAAGGAAATCCGGCCTCCTTTCAAGTTAGGGCTTCTCGCTGTATATTCCCCTTGAGGCAGCAAACTCGGGGTCCCTCCCACATACCTATTGCTGAGAGAAGCCTCCTCCTGAGGTGCTTCTGGGAAGCTGGCATACGTCTTGAGCCTAAGCCAGGGAATCAGCTCGCATCTCGAGACGATTTGGGGTACACGGAGCATTCCTCGAGTTGCTGTGCTGAAGTTGGTGTTCCTCTAGACTTGGGACAGTGTTCTCGGGGCAGCTCTGGAGTTGCCTGAAGGAAGTCGAGCCACCGGTCGTGTTGAATGGGGAACGGGGAATGGCTCTGGAGTCAATGCAGGGGAATCGGGCCTCATCTCGAGTTGATTTGGGGCACATGGAGCTGCTTTGCGTTGCTGGGGTGACCTCAGGGTCCGTCTAGACTGGTGACAGTGTTCTTGGGGACTGTCTCGAGATCCATTAAGCAAGTCGAAGCTCCTGACTTGTTTGAATGGGATCACGGAGTAGCTCTGCATGCACTGCAGGGGAATGGGGCCTCATCTCGCCTCTAGGGGGAAGTCTCATGGTTTTTCTCGAGTTGCGGCGGGGACCTGGGGTATGTTCTCGACTTACGGCGGGGATGGCCCTTCAAAACACGAGTTTCTTCAGTGACGTCAGGACTCCTGTCTAGTAACGAGGGACACCTCAGGAATCTCTTCGAGGCTTGGCAGGGCCAAAGGGACGCTTCTCGAGGTGAGGCAGGGCACCCAAGGACCCTTTCCAGTAGCCACAGGGATTTTGGTATTCCTATCAGTATTCAAGAGGAGTCAGGCATCGTCACCTTTTGAAGCAATGAACTCCGCGTGCCTCTCGAGGTGTCAGCGGGATGTGAGGCATTCCGTCAAAATGAGGCAGGGACCTAGGGCTTTCTCTAAGGTCTCCACAGGGGATTCAGACATCCCTTCATGTTGTGAGATGAAAGACGAGCCTGTATTCAAGCCACTGCAAGGAAATCTGGCCTCCTTTCAAGTTAGGGCTTCTCGCTGTATATTCCCCTTGAGGCAGCAAACTCGGGGTCCCTCCCACATACCTATTGCTGAGAGAAGCCTCCTCCTGAGGTGCTTCTGGGAAGTTGGCATACGTCTTGAGCCTAAGCCAGGGAATCAGCTCGCATCTCGAGACGATTTGGGGTACACGGAGCATTCCTCGAGTTGCTGTGCTGAAGTTGGTGTTCCTCTAGACTTGGGACAGTGTTCTCGGGGCATCTCTGGAGTTGCCTGAAGGAAGTCGAGCCACCGGTCGTGTTGAATGGGGAACGGGGAATGGCTCTGGAGTCAATGCAGGGGAATCGGGCCTCATCTCGAGTTGATTTGGGGCACATGGAGCTGCTTTGCGTTGCTGGGGTGACCTCAGGGTCCGTCTAGACTGGTGACAGTGTTCTTGGGGACTGTCTCGAGATCCATTAAGCAAGTCGAAGCTCCTGACTTGTTTGAATGGGATCACGGAATAGCTCTGCATGCACTGCAGGGGAATGGGGCCTCATCTCGCCTCTAGGGGGAAGTCTCATGGTTTTTCTCGAGTTGCGGCGGGGACCTGGGGTATGTTCTCGACTTACGGCGGGGATGGCCCTTCAAAACACGAGTTTCTTCAGTGACGTCAGGACTCCTGTCTAGTAACGAGGGACACCTCAGGAATCTCTTCGAGGCTTGGCAGGGCCAAAGGGACGCTTCTCGAGGTGAGGCAGGGCACCCAAGGACCCTTTCCAGTAGCCACAGGGATTTTGGGATTCCTATCAGTATTCAAGAGGAGTCAGGCATCGTCACCTTTTGAAGCAATGAACTCCGCGTGCCTCTCGAGGTGTCAGCGGGATGTGAGGCATTCCGTCAAAATGAGGCAGGGACCTAGGGCTTTCTCTAAGGTCTCCACAGGGGATTCAGACATCCCTTCATGTTGTGAGATGAAAGACGAGCCTGTATTCAAGCCACTGCAAGGAAATCCGGCCTCCTTTCAAGTTAGGGCTTCTCGCTGTATATTCCCCTTGAGGCAGCAAACTCGGGGTCCCTCCCACATACCTATTGCTGAGAGAAGCCTCCTCCTGAGGTGCTTCTGGGAAGTTGGCATACGTCTTGAGCCTAAGCCAGGGAATCAGCTCGCATCTCGAGACGATTTGGGGTACACGGAGCATTCCTCGAGTTGCTGTGCTGAAGTTGGTGTTCCTCTAGACTTGGGACAGTGTTCTCGGGGCATCTCTGGAGTTGCCTGAAGGAAGTCGAGCCCACCGGTCGTGTTGAATGGGGAATGGGGAATGGCTCTGGAGTCAATGCAGGGGAATCGGGCCTCATCTCGAGTTGATTTGGGGCACATGGAGCTGCTTTGCGTTGCTGGGGTGACCTCAGGGTCCGTCTAGACTGGTGACAGTGTTCTTGGGGACTGTCTCGAGATCCATTAAGCAAGTCGAAGCTCCTGACTTGTTTGAATGGGATCACGGAGTAGCTCTGCATGAACTGCAGGGGAATGGGGCCTCATCTCGCCTCTAGGGGGAAGTCTCATGGTTTTTCTCGAGTTGCGGCGGGGACCTGCGGTATGTTCTCGACTTACGGCGGGGATGGCCCTTCAAAACACGAGTTTCTTCAGTGACGTCAGGACTCCTGTCTAGTAACGAGGGACACCTCAGGAATCTCTTCGCGGCTTGGCAGGGCCAAAGGGACGCTTCTCGAGGTGAGGCAGGGCACCCAAGGACCCTTTCCAGTAGCCACAGGGATTTTGGGATTCCTATCAGTATTCAAGAGGAGTCAGGCATCGTCACCTTTTGAAGCAATGAACTCCGCGTGCCTCTCGAGGTGTCAGCGGGATGTGAGGCATTCCGTCAAAATGAGGCAGGGACCTAGGGCTTTCTCTAAGGTCTCCACAGGGGATTCAGACATCCCTTCATGTTGTGAGATGAAAGACGAGCCTGTATTCAAGCCACTGCAAGGAAATCCGGCCTCCTTTCAAGTTAGGGCTTCTCGCTGTATATTCCCCTTGAGGCAGCAAACTCGGGGTCCCTCCCACATACCTATTGCTGAGAGAAGCCTCCTCCTGAGGTGCTTCTGGGAAGTTGGCATACGTCTTGAGCCTAAGCCAGGGAATCAGCTCGCATCTCGAGACGATTTGGGGTACACGGAGCATTCCTCGAGTTGCTGTGCTGAAGTTGGTGTTCCTCTAGACTTGGGACAGTGTTCTCGGGGCATCTCTGGAGTTGCCTGAAGGAAGTCGAGCCACCGGTCGTGTTGAATGGGGAACGGGGAATGGCTCTGGAGTCAATGCAGGGGAATCGGGCCTCATCTCGAGTTGATTTGGGGCACATGGAGCTGCTTTGCGTTGCTGGGGTGACCTCAGGGTCCGTCTAGACTGGTGACAGTGTTCTTGGGGACTGTCTCGAGATCCATTAAGCAAGTCGAAGCTCCTGACTTGTTTGAATGGGATCACGGAATAGCTCTGCATGCACTGCAGGGGAATGGGGCCTCATCTCGCCTCTAGGGGGAAGTCTCATGGTTTTTCTCGAGTTGCGGCGGGGACCTGGGGTATGTTCTCGACTTACGGCGGGGATGGCCCTTCAAAACACGAGTTTCTTCAGTGACGTCAGGACTCCTGTCTAGTAACGAGGGACACCTCAGGAATCTCTTCGAGGCTTGGCAGGGCCAAAGGGACGCTTCTCGAGGTGAGGCAGGGCACCCAAGGACCCTTTCCAGTAGCCACAGGGATTTTGGGATTCCTATCAGTATTCAAGAGGAGTCAGGCATCGTCACCTTTTGAAGCAATGAACTCCGCGTGCCTCTCGAGGTGTCAGCGGGATGTGAGGCATTCCGTCAAAATGAGGCAGGGACCTAGGGCTTTCTCTAAGGTCTCCACAGGGGATTCAGACATCCCTTCATGTTGTGAGATGAAAGACGAGCCTGTATTCAAGCCACTGCAAGGAAATCCGGCCTCCTTTCAAGTTAGGGCTTCTCGCTGTATATTCCCCTTGAGGCAGCAAACTCGGGGTCCCTCCCACATACCTATTGCTGAGAGAAGCCTCCTCCTGAGGTGCTTCTGGGAAGTTGGCATACGTCTTGAGCCTAAGCCAGGGAATCAGCTCGCATCTCGAGACGATTTGGGGTACACGGAGCATTCCTCGAGTTGCTGTGCTGAAGTTGGTGTTCCTCTAGACTTGGGACAGTGTTCTCGGGGCATCTCTGGAGTTGCCTGAAGGAAGTCGAGCCCACCGGTCGTGTTGAATGGGGAACGGGGAATGGCTCTGGAGTCAATGCAGGGGAATCGGGCCTCATCTCGAGTTGATTTGGGGCACATGGAGCTGCTTTGCGTTGCTGGGGTGACCTCAGGGTCCGTCTAGACTGGTGACAGTGTTCTTGGGGACTGTCTCGAGATCCATTAAGCAAGTCGAAGCTCCTGACTTGTTTGAATGGGATCACGGAGTAGCTCTGCATGCACTGCAGGGGAATGGGGCCTCATCTCGCCTCTAGGGGGAAGTCTCATAGTTTTTCTCGAGTTGCGGCGGGGACCTGGGGTATGTTCTCGACTTACGGCGGGGATGGCCCTTCAAAACACGAGTTTCTTCAGTGACGTCAGGACTCCTGTCTAGTAACGAGGGACACCTCAGGAATCTCTTCGAGGCTTGGCAGGGCCAAAGGGACGCTTCTCGAGGTGAGGCAGGGCACCCAAGGACCCTTTCCAGTAGCCACAGGGATTTTGGGATTCCTATCAGTATTCAAGAGGAGTCAGGCATCGTCACCTTTTGAAGCAATGAACTCCGCGTGCCTCTCGAGGTGTCAGCGGGATGTGAGGCATTCCGTCAAAATGAGGCAGGGACCTAGGGCTTTCTCTAAGGTCTCCACAGGGGATTCAGACATCCCTTCATGTTGTGAGATGAAAGACGAGCCTGTATTCAAGCCACTGCAAGGAAATCCGGCCTCCTTTCAAGTTAGGGCTTCTCGCTGTATATTCCCCTTGAGGCAGCAAATTCGGGGTCCCTCCCACATACCTATTGCTGAGAGAAGCCTCCTCCTGAGGTGCTTCTGGGAAGTTGGCATACGTCTTGAGCCTAAGCCAGGGAATCAGCTCGCATCTCGAGACGATTTGGGGTACACGGAGCATTCCTCGAGTTGCTGTGCTGAAGTTGGTGTTCCTCTAGACTTGGGACAGTGTTCTCGGGGCATCTCTGGAGTTGCCTGAAGGAAGTCGAGCCACCGGTCGTGTTGAATGGGGAACGGGGAATGGCTCTGGAGTCAATGCAGGGGAATCGGGCCTCATCTCGAGTTGATTTGGGGCACATGGAGCTGCTTTGCGTTGCTGGGGTGACCTCAGGGTCCGTCTAGACTGGTGACAGTGTTCTTGGGGACTGTCTCGAGATCCATTAAGCAAGTCGAAGCTCCTGACTTGTTTGAATGGGATCACGGAGTAGCTCTGCATGCACTGCAGGGGAATGGGGCCTCATCTCGCCTCTAGGGGGAAGTCTCATGGTTTTTCTCGAGTTGCGGCGGGGACCTGGGGTATGTTCTCGACTTACGGCGGGGATGGCCCTTCAAAACACGAGTTTCTTCAGTGACGTCAGGACTCCTGTCTAGTAACGAGGGACACCTCAGGAATCTCTTCGAGGCTTGGCAGGGCCAAAGGGACGCTTCTCGAGGTGAGGCAGGGCACCCAAGGACCCTTTCCAGTAGCCACAGGGATTTTGGGATTCCTATCAGTATTCAAGAGGAGTCAGGCATCGTCACCTTTTGAAGCAATGAACTCCGCGTGCCTCTCGAGGTGTCAGCGGGATGTGAGGCATTCCGTCAAAATGAGGCAGGGACCTAGGGCTTTCTCTAAGGTCTCCACAGGGGATTCAGACATCCCTTCATGTTGTGAGATGAAAGACGAGCCTGTATTCAAGCCACTGCAAGGAAATCCGGCCTCCTTTCAAGTTAGGGCTTCTCGCTGTATATTCCCCTTGAGGCAGCAAACTCGGGGTCCCTCCCACATACCTATTGCTGAGAGAAGCCTCCTCCTGAGGTGCTTCTGGGAAGTTGGCATACGTCTTGAGCCTAAGCCAGGGAATCAGCTCGCATCTCGAGACGATTTGGGGTACACGGAGCATTCCTCGAGTTGCTGTGCTGAAGTTGGTGTTCCTCTAGACTTGGGACAGTGTTCTCGGGGCATCTCTGGAGTTGCCTGAAGGAAGTCGAGCCCACCGGTCGTGTTGAATCGGGAACGGGGAATGGCTCTGGAGTCAATGCAGGGGAATCGGGCCTCATCTCGAGTTGATTTGGGGCACATGGAGCTGCTTTGCGTTGCTGGGGTGACCTCAGGGTCCGTCTAGACTGGTGACAGTGTTCTTGGGGACTGTCTCGAGATCCATTAAGCATGTCGAAGCTCCTGACTTGTTTGAATGGGATCACGGAGTAGCTCTGCATGCACTGCAGGGGAATGGGGCCTCATCTCGCCTCTAGGGGGAAGTCTCATGGTTTTTCTCGAGTTGCGGCGGGGACCTGGGGTATGTTCTCGACTTACGGCGGGGATGGCCCTTCAAAACACGAGTTTCTTCAGTGACGTCAGGACTCCTGTCTAGTAACGAGGGACACCTCAGGAATCTCTTCGAGGCTTGGCAGGGCCAAAGGGACGCTTCTCGAGGTGAGGCAGGGCACCCAAGGACCCTTTCCAGTAGCCACAGGGATTTTGGGATTCCTATCAGTATTCAAGAGGAGTCAGGCATCGTCACCTTTTGAAGCAATGAACTCCGCGTGCCTCTCGAGGTGTCAGCGGGATGTGAGGCATTCCGTCAAAATGAGGCAGGGACCTAGGGCTTTCTCTAAGGTCTCCACAGGGGATTCAGACATCCCTTCATGTTGTGAGATGAAAGACGAGCCTGTATTCAAGCCACTGCAAGGAAATCCGGCCTCCTTTCAAGTTAGGGCTTCTCGCTGTATATTCCCCTTGAGGCAGCAAACTCGGGGTCCCTCCCACATACCTATTGCTGAGAGAAGCCTCCTCCTGAGGTGCTTCTGGGAAGTTGGCATACGTCTTGAGCCTAAGCCAGGGAATCAGCTCGCATCTCGAGACGATTTGGGGTACACGGAGCATTCCTCGAGTTGCTGTGCTGAAGTTGGTGTTCCTCTAGACTTGGGACAGTGTTCTCGGGGCATCTCTGGAGTTGCCTGAAGGAAGTCGAGCCACCGGTCGTGTTGAATGGGGAACGGGGAATGGCTCTGGAGTCAATGCAGGGGAATCGGGCCTCATCTCGAGTTGATTTGGGGCACATGGAGCTGCTTTGCGTTGCTGGGGTGACCTCAGGGTCCGTCTAGACTGGTGACAGTGTTCTTGGGGACTGTCTCGAGATCCATTAAGCAAGTCGAAGCTCCTGACTTGTTTGAATGGGATCACGGAATAGCTCTGCATGCACTGCAGGGGAATGGGGCCTCATCTCGCTTCTAGGGGGAAGTCTCATGGTTTTTCTCGAGTTGCGGCGGGGACCTGCGGTATGTTCTCGACTTACGGCGGGGATGGCCCTTCAAAACACGAGTTTCTTCAGTGACGTCAGGACTCCTGTCTAGTAACGAGGGACACCTCAGGAATCTCTTCGAGGCTTGGCAGGGCCAAAGGGACGCTTCTCGAGGTGAGGCAGGGCACCCAAGGACCCTTTCCAGTAGCCACAGGGATTTTGGGATTCCTATCAGTATTCAAGAGGAGTCAGGCATCGTCACCTTTTGAAGCAATGAACTCCGCGTGCCTCTCGAGGTGTCAGCGGGATGTGAGGCATTCCTTCAAAATGAGGCAGGGACCTAGGGCTTTCTCTAAGGTCTCCACAGGGGATTCAGACATCCCTTCATGTTGTGAGATGAAAGACGAGCCTGTATTCAAGCCACTGCAAGGAAATCCGGCCTCCTTTCAAGTTAGGGCTTCTCGCTGTATATTCCCCTTGAGGCAGCAAACTCGGGGTCCCTCCCACATACCTATTGCTGAGAGAAGCCTCCTCCTGAGGTGCTTCTGGGAAGTTGGCATACGTCTTGAGCCTAAGCCAGGGAATCAGCTCGCATCTCGAGACGATTTGGGGTACACGGAGCATTCCTCGAGTTGCTGTGCTGAAGTTGGTGTTCCTCTAGACTTGGGACAGTGTTCTCGGGGCATCTCTGGAGTTGCCTGAAGGAAGTCGAGCCACCGGTCGTGTTGAATGGGGAACAGGGAATGGCTCTGGAGTCAATGCAGGGGAATCGGGCCTCATCTCGAGTTGATTTGGGGCACATGGAGCTGCTTTGCGTTGCTGGGGTGACCTCAGGGTCCGTCTAGACTGGTGACAGTGTTCTTGGGGACTGTCTCGAGATCCATTAAGCAAGTCGAAGCTCCTGACTTGTTTGAATGGGATCACGGAATAGCTCTGCATGCACTGCAGGGGAATGGGGCCTGATCTCGCCTCTAGGGGGAAGTCTCATGGTTTTTCTCGAGTTGCGGCGGGGACCTGGGGTATGTTCTCGACTTACGGCGGGGATGGCCCTTCAAAACACGAGTTTCTTCAGTGACGTCAGGACTCCTGTCTAGTAACGAGGGACACCTCAGGAATCTCTTCGAGGCTTGGCAGGGCCAAAGGGACGCTTCTCGAGGTGAGGCAGGGCACCCAAGGACCCTTTCCAGTAGCCACAGGGATTTTGGGATTCCTATCAGTATTCAAGAGGAGTCAGGCATCGTCACCTTTTGAAGCAATGAACTCCGCGTGCCTCTCGAGGTGTCAGCGGGATGTGAGGCATTCCGTCAAAATGAGGCAGGGACCTAGGGCTTTCTCTAAGGTCTCCACAGGGGATTCAGACATCCCTTCATGTTGTGAGATGAAAGACGAGCCTGTATTCAAGCCACTGCAAGGAAATCCGGCCTCCTTTCAAGTTAGGGCTTCTCGCTGTATATTCCCCTTGAGGCAGCAAACTCGGGGTCCCTCCCACATACCTATTGCTGAGAGAAGCCTCCTCCTGAGGTGCTTCTGGGAAGTTGGCATACGTCTTGAGCCTAAGCCAGGGAATCAGCTCGCATCTCGAGACGATTTGGGGTACACGGAGCATTCCTCGAGTTGCTGTGCTGAAGTTGGTGTTCCTCTAGACTTGGGACAGTGTTCTCGGGGCATCTCTGGAGTTGCCTGAAGGAAGTCGAGCCACCGGTCGTGTTGAATGGGGAACGGGGAATGGCTCTGGAGTCAATGCAGGGGAATCGGGCCTCATCTCGAGTTGATTTGGGGCACATGGAGCTGCTTTGCGTTGCTGGGGTGACCTCAGGGTCCGTCTAGACTGGTGACAGTGTTCTTGGGGACTGTCTCGAGATCCATTAAGCAAGTCGAAGCTCCTGACTTGTTTGAATGGGATCACGGAATAGCTCTGCATGCACTGCAGGGGAATGGGGCCTCATCTCGCCTCTAGGGGGAAGTCTCATGGTTTTTCTCGAGTTGCGGCGGGGCCTGGGGTATGTTCTCGACTTACGGCGGGGATGGCCCTTCAAAACACGAGTTTCTTCAGTGACGTCAGGACTCCTGTCTAGTAACGAGGGACACCTCAGGAATCTCTTCGAGGCTTGGCAGGGCCAAAGGGACGCTTCTCGAGGTGAGGCAGGGCACCCAAGGACCCTTTCCAGTAGCCACAGGGATTTTGGGATTCCTATCAGTATTCAAGAGGAGTCAGGCATCGTCACCTTTTGAAGCAATGAACTCCGCGTGCCTCTCGAGTTGTCAGCGGGATGTGAGGCATTCCGTCAAAATGAGGCAGGGACCTAGGGCTTTCTCTAAGGTCTCCACAGGGGATTCAGACATCCCTTCATGTTGTGAGATGAAAGACGAGCCTGTATTCAAGCCACTGCAAGGAAATCCGGCCTCCTTTCAAGTTAGGGCTTCTCGCTGTATATTCCCCTTGAGGCAGCAAACTCGGGGTCCCTCCCACATACCTATTGCTGAGAGAAGCCTCCTCCTGAGGTGCTTCTGGGAAGTTGGCATACGTCTTGAGCCTAAGCCAGGGAATCAGCTCGCATCTCGAGACGATTTGGGGTACACGGAGCATTCCTCGAGTTGCTGTGCTGAAGTTGGTGTTCCTCTAGACTTGGGACAGTGTTCTCGGGGCATCTCTGGAGTTGCCTGAAGGAAGTCGAGCCACCGGTCGTGTTGAATGGGGAACGGGGAATGGCTCTGGAGTCAATGCAGGGGAATCGGGCCTCATCTCGAGTTGATTTGGGGCACATGGAGCTGCTTTGCGTTGCTGGGGTGACCTCAGGGTCCGTCTAGACTGGTGACAGTGTTCTTGGGGACTGTCTCGAGATCCATTAAGCAAGTCGAAGCTCCTGAGTTGTTTGAATGGGATCACGGAATAGCTCTGCATGCACTGCAGGGGAATGCTGCCTCATCTCGCCTCTAGGGGGAAGTCTCATGGTTTTTCTCGAGTTGCGGCGGGGACCTGGGGTATGTTCTCGACTTACGGCGGGGATGGCCCTTCAAAACACGAGTTTCTTCAGTGACGTCAGGACTCCTGTCTAGTAACGAGGGACACCTCAGGAATCTCTTCGAGGCTTGGCAGGGCCAAAGGGACGCTTCTCGAGGTGAGGCAGGGCACCCAAGGACCCTTTCCAGTAGCCACAGGGATTTTGGGATTCCTATCAGTATTCAAGAGGAGTCAGGCATCGTCACCTTTTGAAGCAATGAACTCCGCGTGCCTCTCGAGGTGTCAGCGGGATGTGAGGCATTCCGTCAAAATGAGGCAGGGACCTAGGGCTTTCTCTAAGGTCTCCACAGGGGATTCAGACATCCCTTCATGTTGTGAGATGAAAGACGAGCCTGTATTCAAGCCACTGCAAGGAAATCCGGCCTCCTTTCAAGTTAGGGCTTCTCGCTGTATATTCCCCTTGAGGCAGCAAACTCGGGGTCCCTCCCACATACCTATTGCTGAGAGAAGCCTCCTCCTGAGGTGCTTCTGGGAAGTTGGCATACGTCTTGAGCCTAAGCCAGGGAATCAGCTCGCATCTCGAGACGATTTGGGGTACACGGAGCATTCCTCGAGTTGCTGTGCTGAAGTTGGTGTTCCTCTAGACTTGGGACAGTGTTCTCGGGGCATCTCTGGAGTTGCCTGAAGGAAGTCGAGCCACCGGTCGTGTTGAATGGGGAACGGGGAATGGCTCTGGAGTCAATGCAGGGGAATCGGGCCTCATCTCGAGTTGATTTGGGGCACATGGAGCTGCTTTGCGTTGCTGGGGTGACCTCAGGGTCCGTCTAGACTGGTGACAGTGTTCTTGGGGACTGTCTCGAGATCCATTAAGCAAGTCGAAGCTCCTGACTTGTTTGAATGGGATCACGGAATAGCTCTGCATGCACTGCAGGGGAATGGGGCCTCATCTCGCTTCTAGGGGGAAGTCTCATGGTTTTTCTCGAGTTGCGGCGGGGACCTGCGGTATGTTCTCGACTTACGGCGGGGATGGCCCTTCAAAACACGAGTTTCTTCAGTGACGTCAGGACTCCTGTCTAGTAACGAGGGACACCTCAGGAATCTCTTCGAGGCTTGGCAGGGCCAAAGGGACGCTTCTCGAGGTGAGGCAGGGCACCCAAGGACCCTTTCCAGTAGCCACAGGGATTTTGGGATTCCTATCAGTATTCAAGAGGAGTCAGGCATCGTCACCTTTTGAAGCAATGAACTCCGCGTGCCTCTCGAGGTGTCAGCGGGATGTGAGGCATTCCGTCAAAATGAGGCAGGGACCTAGGGCTTTCTCTAAGGTCTCCACAGGGGATTCAGACATCCCTTCATGTTGTGAGATGAAAGACGAGCCTGTATTCAAGCCACTGCAAGGAAATCCGGCCTCCTTTCAAGTTAGGGCTTCTCGCTGTATATTCCCCTTGAGGCAGCAAACTCGGGGTCCCTCCCACATACCTATTGCTGAGAGAAGCCTCCTCCTGAGGTGCTTCTGGGAAGTTGGCATACGTCTTGAGCCAAAGCCAGGGAATCAGCTCGCATCTCGAGACGATTTGGGGTACACGGAGCATTCCTCGAGTTGCTGTGCTGAAGTTGGTGTTCCTCTAGACTTGGGACAGTGTTCTCGGGGCATCTCTGGAGTTGCCTGAAGGAAGTCGAGCCACCGGTCGTGTTGAATGGGGAACGGGGAATGGCTCTGGAGTCAATGCAGGGGAATCGGGCCTCATCTCGAGTTGATTTGGGGCACATGGAGCTGCTTTGCGTTGCTGGGGTGACCTCAGGGTCCGTCTAGACTGGTGACAGTGTTCTTGGGGACTGTCTCGAGATCCATTAAGCAAGTCGAAGCTCCTGACTTGTTTGAATGGGATCACGGAGTAGCTCTGCATGCACTGCAGGGGAATGGGGCCTCATCTCGCCTCTAGGGGGAAGTCTCATGGTTTTTCTCGAGTTGCGGCGGGGACCTGGGGTATGTTCTCGACTTACGGCGGGGATGGCCCTTCAAAACACGAGTTTCTTCAGTGACGTCAGGACTCCTGTCTAGTAACGAGGGACACCTCAGGAATCTCTTCGAGGCTTGGCAGGGCCAAAGGGACGCTTCTCGAGGTGAGGCAGGGCACCCAAGGACCCTTTCCAGTAGCCACAGGGATTTTGGGATTCCTATCAGTATTCAAGAGGAGTCAGGCATCGTCACCTTTTGAAGCAATGAACTCCGCGTGCCTCTCGAGGTGTCAGCGGGATGTGAGGCATTCCGTCAAAATGAGGCAGGGACCTAGGGCTTTCTCTAAGGTCTCCACAGGGGATTCAGACATCCCTTCATGTTGTGAGATGAAAGACGAGCCTGTATTCAAGCCACTGCAAGGAAATCCGGCCTCCTTTCAAGTTAGGGCTTCTCGCTGTATATTCCCCTTGAGGCAGCAAACTCGGGGTCCCTCCCACATACCTATTGCTGAGAGAAGCCTCCTCCTGAGGTGCTTCTGGGAAGTTGGCATACGTCTTGAGCCTAAGCCAGGGAATCAGCTCGCATCTCGAGACGATTTGGGGTACATGGAGCATTCCTCGAGTTGCTGTGCTGAAGTTGGTGTTCCTCTAGACTTGGGACAGTGTTCTCGGGGCATCTCTGGAGTTGCCTGAAGGAAGTCGAGCCACCGGTCGTGTTGAATGGGGAACGGGGAATGGCTCTGGAGTCAATGCAGGGGAATCGGGCCTCATCTCGAGTTGATTTGGGGCACATGGAGCTGCTTTGCGTTGCTGGGGTGACCTCAGGGTCCGTCTAGACTGGTGACAGTGTTCTTGGGGACTGTCTCGAGATCCATTAAGCAAGTCGAAGCTCCTGACTTGTTTGAATGGGATCACGGAATAGCTCTGCATGCACTGCAGGGGAATGGGGCCTCATCTCGCCTCTAGGGGGAAGTCTCATGGTTTTTCTCGAGTTGCGGCGGGGACCTGGGGTATGTTCTCGACTTACGGCGGGGATGGCCCTTCAAAACACGAGTTTCTTCAGTGACGTCAGGACTCCTGTCTAGTAACGAGGGACACCTCAGGAATCTCTTCGAGGCTTGGCAGGGCCAAAGGGACGCTTCTCGAGGTGAGGCAGGGCACCCAAGGACCCTTTCCAGTAGCCACAGGGATTTTGGGATTCCTATCAGTATTCAAGAAGAGTCAGGCATCGTCACCTTTTGAAGCAATGAACTCCGCGTGCCTCTCGAGGTGTCAGCGGGATGTGAGGCATTCCCTCAAAATGAGGCAGGGACCTAGGGCTTTCTCTAAGGTCTCCACAGGGGATTCAGACATCCCTTCATGTTGTGAGATGAAAGACGAGCCTGTATTCAAGCCACTGCAAGGAAATCCGGCCTCCTTTCAAGTTAGGGCTTCTCGCTGTATATTCCCCTTGAGGCAGCAAACTCGGGGTCCCTCCCACATACATATTGCTGAGAGAAGCCTCCTCCTGAGGTGCTTCTGGGAAGTTGGCATACGTCTTGAGCCTAAGCCAGGGAATCAGCTCGCATCTCGAGACGATTTGGGGTACACGGAGCATTCCTCGAGTTGCTGTGCTGAAGTTGGTGTTCCTCTAGACTTGGGACAGTGTTCTCGGGGCATCTCTGGAGTTGCCTGAAGGAAGTCGAGCCACCGGTCTTGTTGAATGGGGAACGGGGAATGGCTCTGGAGTCAATGCAGGGGAATCGGGCCTCATCTCGAGTTGATTTGGGGCACATGGAGCTGCTTTGCGTTGCTGGGGTGACCTCAGGGTCCGTCTAGACTGGTGACAGTGTTCTTGGGGACTGTCTCGAGATCCATTAAGCAAGTCGAAGCTCCTGACTTGTTTGAATGGGATCACGGAATAGCTCTGCATGCACTGCAGGGGAATGGGGCCTCATCTCGCCTCTAGGGGGAAGTCTCATGGTTTTTCTCGACTTGCGGCGGGGACCTGCGGTATGTTCTCGACTTACGGCGGGGATGGCCCTTCAAAACACGAGTTTCTTCAGTGACGTCAGGACTCCTGTCTAGTAACGAGGGACACCTCAGGAATCTCTTCGAGGCTTGGCAGGGCCAAAGGGACGCTTCTCGAGGTGAGGCAGGGCACCCAAGGACCCTTTCCAGTAGCCACAGGGATTTTGGGATTCCTATCAGTATTCAAGAGGAGTCAGGCATCGTCACCTTTTGAAGCAATGAACTCCGCGTGCCTCTCGAGGTGTCAGCGGGATGTGAGGCATTCCGTCAAAATGAGGCAGGGACCTAGGGCTTTCTCTAAGGTCTCCACAGGGGATTCAGACATCCCTTCATGTTGTGAGATGAAAGACGAGCCTGTATTCAAGCCACTGCAAGGAAATCCGGCCTCCTTTCAAGTTAGGGCTTCTCGCTGTATATTCCCCTTGAGGCAGCAAACTCGGGGTCCCTCCCACATACCTATTGCTGAGAGAAGCCTCCTCCTGAGGTGCTTCTGGGAAGTTGGCATACGTCTTGAGCCTAAGCCAGGGAATCAGCTCGCATCTCGAGACGATTTGGGGTACACGGAGCATTCCTCGAGTTGCTGTGCTGAAGTTGGTGTTCCTCTAGACTTGGGACAGTGTTCTCGGGGCATCTCTGGAGTTGCCTGAAGGAAGTCGAGCCCACCGGTCGTGTTGAATGGGGAACGGGGAATGGCTCTGGAGTCAATGCAGGGGAATCGGGCCTCATCTCGAGTTGATTTGGGGCACATGGAGCTGCTTTGCGTTGCTGGGGTGACCTCAGGGTCCGTCTAGACTGGTGACAGTGTTCTTGGGGACTGTCTCGAGATCCATTAAGCAAGTCGAAGCTCCTGACTTGTTTGAATGGGATCACGGAGTAGCTCTGCATGCACTGCAGGGGAATGGGGCCTCATCTCGCCTCTAGGGGGAAGTCTCATGGTTTTTCTCGAGTTGCGGCGGGGACCTGGGGTATGTTCTCGACTTACGGCGGGGATGGCCCTTCAAAACACGAGTTTCTTCAGTGACGTCAGGACTCCTGTCTAGTAACGAGGGACACCTCAGGAATCTCTTCGAGGCTTGGCAGGGCCAAAGGGACGCTTCTCGAGGTGAGGCAGGGCACCCAAGGACCCTTTCCAGTAGCCACAGGGATTTTGGGATTCCTATCAGTATTCAAGAGGAGTCAGGCATCGTCACCTTTTGAAGCAATGAACTCCGCGTGCCTCTCGAGGTGTCAGCGGGATGTGAGGCATTCCCTCAAAATGAGGCAGGGACCTAGGGCTTTCTCTAAGGTCTCCACAGGGGATTCAGACATCCCTTCATGTTGTGAGATGAAAGACGAGCCTGTATTCAAGCCACTGCAAGGAAATCCGGCCTCCTTTCAAGTTAGGGCTTCTCGCTGTATATTCCCCTTGAGGCAGCAAACTCGGGGTCCCTCCCACATACCTATTGCTGAGAGAAGCCTCCTCCTGAGGTGCTTCTGGGAAGTTGGCATACGTCTTGAGCCTAAGCCAGGGAATCAGCTCGCATCTCGAGACGATTTGGGGTACACGGAGCATTCCTCGAGTTGCTGTGCTGAAGTTGGTGTTCCTCTAGACTTGGGACAGTGTTCTCGGGGCATCTCTGGAGTTGCCTGAAGGAAGTCGAGCCACCGGTCGTGTTGAATGGGGAACGGGGAATGGCTCTGGAGTCAATGCAGGGGAATCGGGCCTCATCTCGAGTTGATTTGGGGCACATGGAGCTGCTTTGCGTTGCTAGGGTGACCTCAGGGTCCGTCTAGACTGGTGACAGTGTTCTTGGGGACTGTCTCGAGATCCATTAAGCAAGTCGAAGCTCCTGACTTGTTTGAATGGGATCACGGAATAGCTCTGCATGCACTGCAGGGGAATGGGGCCTCATCTCGCCTCTAGGGGGAAGTCTCATGGTTTTTCTCGAGTTGCGGCGGGGACCTGGGGTATGTTCTCGACTTACGGCGGGGATGGCCCTTCAAAACACGAGTTTCTTCAGTGACGTCAGGACTCCTGTCTAGTAACGAGGGCACCTCAGGAATCTCTTCGAGGCTTGGCAGGGCCAAAGGGACGCTTCTCGAGGTGAGGCAGGGCACCCAAGGACCCTTTCCAGTAGCCACAGGGATTTTGGGATTCCTATCAGTATTCAAGAGGAGTCAGGCATCGTCACCTTTTGAAGCAATGAACTCCGCGTGCCTCTCGAGGTGTCAGCGGGATGTGAGGCATTCCGTCAAAATGAGGCAGGGACCTAGGGCTTTCTCTAAGGTCTCCACAGGGGATTCAGACATCCCTTCATGTTGTGAGATGAAAGACGAGCCTGTATTCAAGCCACTGCAAGGAAATCCGGCCTCCTTTCAAGTTAGGGCTTCTCGCTGTATATTCCCCTTGAGGCAGCAAACTCGGGGTCCCTCCCACATACCTATTGCTGAGAGAAGCCTCCTCCTGAGGTGCTTCTGGGAAGTTGGCATACGTCTTGAGCCTAAGCCAGGGAATCAGCTCGCATCTCGAGACGATTTGGGGTACACGGAGCATTCCTCGAGTTGCTGTGCTGAAGTTGGTGTTCCTCTAGACTTGGGACAGTGTTCTCGGGGCATCTCTGGAGTTGCCTGAAGGAAGTCGAGCCACCGGTCGTGTTGAATGGGGAACGGGGAATGGCTCTGGAGTCAATGCAGGGGAATCGGGCCTCATCTCGAGTTGATTTGGGGCACATGGAGCTGCTTTGCGTTGCTGGGGTGACCTCAGGGTCCGTCTAGACTGGTGACAGTGTTCTTGGGGACTGTCTCGAGATCCATTAAGCAAGTCGAAGCTCCTGACTTGTTTGAATGGGATCACGGAGTAGCTCTGCATGCACTGCAGGGGAATGGGGCCTCATCTCGCCTCTAGGGGGAAGTCTCATGGTTTTTCTCGAGTTGCGGCGGGGACCTGGGGTATGTTCTCGACTTACGGCGGGGATGGCCCTTCAAAACACGAGTTTCTTCAGTGACGTCAGGACTCCTGTCTAGTAACGAGGGACACCTCAGGAATCTCTTCGAGGCTTGGCAGGGCCAAAGGGACGCTTCTCGAGGTGAGGCAGGGCACCCAAGGACCCTTTCCAGTAGCCACAGGGATTTTGGGATTCCTATCAGTATTCAAGAGGAGTCAGGCATCGTCACCTTTTGAAGCAATGAACTCCGCGTGCCTCTCGAGGTGTCAGCGGGATGTGAGGCATTCCGTCAAAATGAGGCAGGGACCTAGGGCTTTCTCTAAGGTCTCCACAGGGGATTCAGACATCCCTTCATGTTGTGAGATGAAAGACGAGCCTGTATTCAAGCCACTGCAAGGAAATCCGGCCTCCTTTCAAGTTAGGGCTTCTCGCTGTATATTCCCCTTGAGGCAGCAAACTCGGGGTCCCTCCCACATACCTATTGCTGAGAGAAGCCTCCTCCTGAGGTGCTTCTGGGAAGTTGGCATACGTCTTGAGCCTAAGCCAGGGAATCAGCTCGCATCTCGAGACGATTTGGGGTACACGGAGCATTCCTCGAGTTGCTGTGCTGAAGTTGGTGTTCCTCTAGACTTGGGACAGTGTTCTCGGGGCATCTCTGGAGTTGCCTGAAGGAAGTCGAGCCCACCGGTCGTGTTGAATCGGGAACGGGGAATGGCTCTGGAGTCAATGCAGGGGAATCGGGCCTCATCTCGAGTTGATTTGGGGCACATGGAGCTGCTTTGCGTTGCTGGGGTGACCTCAGGGTCCGTCTAGACTGGTGACAGTGTTCTTGGGGACTGTCTCGAGATCCATTAAGCAAGTCGAAGCTCCTGACTTGTTTGAATGGGATCACGGAGTAGCTCTGCATGCACTGCAGGGGAATGGGGCCTCATCTCGCCTCTAGGGGGAAGTCTCATGGTTTTTCTCGAGTTGCGGCGGGGACCTGGGGTATGTTCTCGACTTACGGCGGGGATGGCCCTTCAAAACACGAGTTTCTTCAGTGACGTCAGGACTCCTGTCTAGTAACGAGGGACACCTCAGGAATCTCTTCGAGGCTTGGCAGGGCCAAAGGGACGCTTCTCGAGGTGAGGCAGGGCACCCAAGGACCCTTTCCAGTAGCCACAGGGATTTTGGGATTCCTATCAGTATTCAAGAGGAGTCAGGCATCGTCACCTTTTGAAGCAATGAACTCCGCGTGCCTCTCGAGGTGTCAGCGGGATGTGAGGCATTCCGTCAAAATGAGGCAGGGACCTAGGGCTTTCTCTAAGGTCTCCACAGGGGATTCAGACATCCCTTCATGTTGTGAGATGAAAGACGAGCCTGTATTCAAGCCACTGCAAGGAAATCCGGCCTCCTTTCAAGTTAGGGCTTCTCGCTGTATATTCCCCTTGAGGCAGCAAACTCGGGGTCCCTCCCACATACCTATTGCTGAGAGAAGCCTCCTCCTGAGGTGCTTCTGGGAAGTTGGCATACGTCTTGAGCCTAAGCCAGGGAATCAGCTCGCATCTCGAGACGATTTGGGGTACACGGAGCATTCCTCGAGTTGCTGTGCTGAAGTTGGTGTTCCTCTAGACTTGGGACAGTGTTCTCGGGGCATCTCTGGAGTTGCCTGAAGGAAGTCGAGCCACCGGTCGTGTTGAATGGGGAACGGGGAATGGCTCTGGAGTCAATGCAGGGGAATCGGGCCTCATCTCGAGTTGATTTGGGGCACATGGAGCTGCTTTGCGTTGCTGGGGTGACCTCAGGGTCCGTCTAGACTGGTGACAGTGTTCTTGGGGACTGTCTCGAGATCCATTAAGCAAGTCGAAGCTCCTGACTTGTTTGAATGGGATCACGGAATAGCTCTGCATGCACTGCAGGGGAATGGGGCCTCATCTCGCTTCTAGGGGGAAGTCTCATGGTTTTTCTCGAGTTGCGGCGGGGACCTGCGGTATGTTCTCGACTTACGGCGGGGATGGCCCTTCAAAACACGAGTTTCTTCAGTGACGTCAGGACTCCTGTCTAGTAACGAGGGACACCTCAGGAATCTCTTCGAGGCTTGGCAGGGCCAAAGGGACGCTTCTCGAGGTGAGGCAGGGCACCCAAGGACCCTTTCCAGTAGCCACAGGGATTTTGGGATTCCTATCAGTATTCAAGAGGAGTCAGGCATCGTCACCTTTTGAAGCAATGAACTCCGCGTGCCTCTCGAGGTGTCAGCGGGATGTGAGGCATTCCTTCAAAATGAGGCAGGGACCTAGGGCTTTCTCTAAGGTCTCCACAGGGGATTCAGACATCCCTTCATGTTGTGAGATGAAAGACGAGCCTGTATTCAAGCCACTGCAAGGAAATCCGGCCTCCTTTCAAGTTAGGGCTTCTCGCTGTATATTCCCCTTGAGGCAGCAAACTCGGGGTCCCTCCCACATACCTATTGCTGAGAGAAGCCTCCTCCTGAGGTGCTTCTGGGAAGTTGGCATACGTCTTGAGCCTAAGCCAGGGAATCAGCTCGCATCTCGAGACGATTTGGGGTACACGGAGCATTCCTCGAGTTGCTGTGCTGAAGTTGGTGTTCCTCTAGACTTGGGACAGTGTTCTCGGGGCATCTCTGGAGTTGCCTGAAGGAAGTCGAGCCACCGGTCGTGTTGAATGGGGAACAGGGAATGGCTCTGGAGTCAATGCAGGGGAATCGGGCCTCATCTCGAGTTGATTTGGGGCACATGGAGCTGCTTTGCGTTGCTGGGGTGACCTCAGGGTCCGTCTAGACTGGTGACAGTGTTCTTGGGGACTGTCTCGAGATCCATTAAGCAAGTCGAAGCTCCTGACTTGTTTGAATGGGATCACGGAATAGCTCTGCATGCACTGCAGGGGAATGGGGCCTGATCTCGCCTCTAGGGGGAAGTCTCATGGTTTTTCTCGAGTTGCGGCGGGGACCTGGGGTATGTTCTCGACTTACGGCGGGGATGGCCCTTCAAAACACGAGTTTCTTCAGTGACGTCAGGACTCCTGTCTAGTAACGAGGGACACCTCAGGAATCTCTTCGAGGCTTGGCAGGGCCAAAGGGACGCTTCTCGAGGTGAGGCAGGGCACCCAAGGACCCTTTCCAGTAGCCACAGGGATTTTGGGATTCCTATCAGTATTCAAGAGGAGTCAGGCATCGTCACCTTTTGAAGCAATGAACTCCGCGTGCCTCTCGAGGTGTCAGCGGGATGTGAGGCATTCCGTCAAAATGAGGCAGGGACCTAGGGCTTTCTCTAAGGTCTCCACAGGGGATTCAGACATCCCTTCATGTTGTGAGATGAAAGACGAGCCTGTATTCAAGCCACTGCAAGGAAATCCGGCCTCCTTTCAAGTTAGGGCTTCTCGCTGTATATTCCCCTTGAGGCAGCAAACTCGGGGTCCCTCCCACATACCTATTGCTGAGAGAAGCCTCCTCCTGAGGTGCTTCTGGGAAGTTGGCATACGTCTTGAGCCTAAGCCAGGGAATCAGCTCGCATCTCGAGACGATTTGGGGTACACGGAGCATTCCTCGAGTTGCTGTGCTGAAGTTGGTGTTCCTCTAGACTTGGGACAGTGTTCTCGGGGCATCTCTGGAGTTGCCTGAAGGAAGTCGAGCCACCGGTCGTGTTGAATGGGGAACGGGGAATGGCTCTGGAGTCAATGCAGGGGAATCGGGCCTCATCTCGAGTTGATTTGGGGCACATGGAGCTGCTTTGCGTTGCTGGGGTGACCTCAGGGTCCGTCTAGACTGGTGACAGTGTTCTTGGGGACTGTCTCGAGATCCATTAAGCAAGTCGAAGCTCCTGACTTGTTTGAATGGGATCACGGAATAGCTCTGCATGCACTGCAGGGGAATGGGGCCTCATCTCGCCTCTAGGGGGAAGTCTCATGGTTTTTCTCGAGTTGCGGCGGGGCCTGGGGTATGTTCTCGACTTACGGCGGGGATGGCCCTTCAAAACACGAGTTTCTTCAGTGACGTCAGGACTCCTGTCTAGTAACGAGGGACACCTCAGGAATCTCTTCGAGGCTTGGCAGGGCCAAAGGGACGCTTCTCGAGGTGAGGCAGGGCACCCAAGGACCCTTTCCAGTAGCCACAGGGATTTTGGGATTCCTATCAGTATTCAAGAGGAGTCAGGCATCGTCACCTTTTGAAGCAATGAACTCCGCGTGCCTCTCGAGTTGTCAGCGGGATGTGAGGCATTCCGTCAAAATGAGGCAGGGACCTAGGGCTTTCTCTAAGGTCTCCACAGGGGATTCAGACATCCCTTCATGTTGTGAGATGAAAGACGAGCCTGTATTCAAGCCACTGCAAGGAAATCCGGCCTCCTTTCAAGTTAGGGCTTCTCGCTGTATATTCCCCTTGAGGCAGCAAACTCGGGGTCCCTCCCACATACCTATTGCTGAGAGAAGCCTCCTCCTGAGGTGCTTCTGGGAAGTTGGCATACGTCTTGAGCCTAAGCCAGGGAATCAGCTCGCATCTCGAGACGATTTGGGGTACACGGAGCATTCCTCGAGTTGCTGTGCTGAAGTTGGTGTTCCTCTAGACTTGGGACAGTGTTCTCGGGGCATCTCTGGAGTTGCCTGAAGGAAGTCGAGCCACCGGTCGTGTTGAATGGGGAACGGGGAATGGCTCTGGAGTCAATGCAGGGGAATCGGGCCTCATCTCGAGTTGATTTGGGGCACATGGAGCTGCTTTGCGTTGCTGGGGTGACCTCAGGGTCCGTCTAGACTGGTGACAGTGTTCTTGGGGACTGTCTCGAGATCCATTAAGCAAGTCGAAGCTCCTGAGTTGTTTGAATGGGATCACGGAATAGCTCTGCATGCACTGCAGGGGAATGCTGCCTCATCTCGCCTCTAGGGGGAAGTCTCATGGTTTTTCTCGAGTTGCGGCGGGGACCTGGGGTATGTTCTCGACTTACGGCGGGGATGGCCCTTCAAAACACGAGTTTCTTCAGTGACGTCAGGACTCCTGTCTAGTAACGAGGGACACCTCAGGAATCTCTTCGAGGCTTGGCAGGGCCAAAGGGACGCTTCTCGAGGTGAGGCAGGGCACCCAAGGACCCTTTCCAGTAGCCACAGGGATTTTGGGATTCCTATCAGTATTCAAGAGGAGTCAGGCATCGTCACCTTTTGAAGCAATGAACTCCGCGTGCCTCTCGAGGTGTCAGCGGGATGTGAGGCATTCCGTCAAAATGAGGCAGGGACCTAGGGCTTTCTCTAAGGTCTCCACAGGGGATTCAGACATCCCTTCATGTTGTGAGATGAAAGACGAGCCTGTATTCAAGCCACTGCAAGGAAATCCGGCCTCCTTTCAAGTTAGGGCTTCTCGCTGTATATTCCCCTTGAGGCAGCAAACTCGGGGTCCCTCCCACATACCTATTGCTGAGAGAAGCCTCCTCCTGAGGTGCTTCTGGGAAGTTGGCATACGTCTTGAGCCTAAGCCAGGGAATCAGCTCGCATCTCGAGACGATTTGGGGTACACGGAGCATTCCTCGAGTTGCTGTGCTGAAGTTGGTGTTCCTCTAGACTTGGGACAGTGTTCTCGGGGCATCTCTGGAGTTGCCTGAAGGAAGTCGAGCCACCGGTCGTGTTGAATGGGGAACGGGGAATGGCTCTGGAGTCAATGCAGGGGAATCGGGCCTCATCTCGAGTTGATTTGGGGCACATGGAGCTGCTTTGCGTTGCTGGGGTGACCTCAGGGTCCGTCTAGACTGGTGACAGTGTTCTTGGGGACTGTCTCGAGATCCATTAAGCAAGTCGAAGCTCCTGACTTGTTTGAATGGGATCACGGAATAGCTCTGCATGCACTGCAGGGGAATGGGGCCTCATCTCGCTTCTAGGGGGAAGTCTCATGGTTTTTCTCGAGTTGCGGCGGGGACCTGCGGTATGTTCTCGACTTACGGCGGGGATGGCCCTTCAAAACACGAGTTTCTTCAGTGACGTCAGGACTCCTGTCTAGTAACGAGGGACACCTCAGGAATCTCTTCGAGGCTTGGCAGGGCCAAAGGGACGCTTCTCGAGGTGAGGCAGGGCACCCAAGGACCCTTTCCAGTAGCCACAGGGATTTTGGGATTCCTATCAGTATTCAAGAGGAGTCAGGCATCGTCACCTTTTGAAGCAATGAACTCCGCGTGCCTCTCGAGGTGTCAGCGGGATGTGAGGCATTCCGTCAAAATGAGGCAGGGACCTAGGGCTTTCTCTAAGGTCTCCACAGGGGATTCAGACATCCCTTCATGTTGTGAGATGAAAGACGAGCCTGTATTCAAGCCACTGCAAGGAAATCCGGCCTCCTTTCAAGTTAGGGCTTCTCGCTGTATATTCCCCTTGAGGCAGCAAACTCGGGGTCCCTCCCACATACCTATTGCTGAGAGAAGCCTCCTCCTGAGGTGCTTCTGGGAAGTTGGCATACGTCTTGAGCCAAAGCCAGGGAATCAGCTCGCATCTCGAGACGATTTGGGGTACACGGAGCATTCCTCGAGTTGCTGTGCTGAAGTTGGTGTTCCTCTAGACTTGGGACAGTGTTCTCGGGGCATCTCTGGAGTTGCCTGAAGGAAGTCGAGCCACCGGTCGTGTTGAATGGGGAACGGGGAATGGCTCTGGAGTCAATGCAGGGGAATCGGGCCTCATCTCGAGTTGATTTGGGGCACATGGAGCTGCTTTGCGTTGCTGGGGTGACCTCAGGGTCCGTCTAGACTGGTGACAGTGTTCTTGGGGACTGTCTCGAGATCCATTAAGCAAGTCGAAGCTCCTGACTTGTTTGAATGGGATCACGGAGTAGCTCTGCATGCACTGCAGGGGAATGGGGCCTCATCTCGCCTCTAGGGGGAAGTCTCATGGTTTTTCTCGAGTTGCGGCGGGGACCTGGGGTATGTTCTCGACTTACGGCGGGGATGGCCCTTCAAAACACGAGTTTCTTCAGTGACGTCAGGACTCCTGTCTAGTAACGAGGGACACCTCAGGAATCTCTTCGAGGCTTGGCAGGGCCAAAGGGACGCTTCTCGAGGTGAGGCAGGGCACCCAAGGACCCTTTCCAGTAGCCACAGGGATTTTGGGATTCCTATCAGTATTCAAGAGGAGTCAGGCATCGTCACCTTTTGAAGCAATGAACTCCGCGTGCCTCTCGAGGTGTCAGCGGGATGTGAGGCATTCCGTCAAAATGAGGCAGGGACCTAGGGCTTTCTCTAAGGTCTCCACAGGGGATTCAGACATCCCTTCATGTTGTGAGATGAAAGACGAGCCTGTATTCAAGCCACTGCAAGGAAATCCGGCCTCCTTTCAAGTTAGGGCTTCTCGCTGTATATTCCCCTTGAGGCAGCAAACTCGGGGTCCCTCCCACATACCTATTGCTGAGAGAAGCCTCCTCCTGAGGTGCTTCTGGGAAGTTGGCATACGTCTTGAGCCTAAGCCAGGGAATCAGCTCGCATCTCGAGACGATTTGGGGTACATGGAGCATTCCTCGAGTTGCTGTGCTGAAGTTGGTGTTCCTCTAGACTTGGGACAGTGTTCTCGGGGCATCTCTGGAGTTGCCTGAAGGAAGTCGAGCCACCGGTCGTGTTGAATGGGGAACGGGGAATGGCTCTGGAGTCAATGCAGGGGAATCGGGCCTCATCTCGAGTTGATTTGGGGCACATGGAGCTGCTTTGCGTTGCTGGGGTGACCTCAGGGTCCGTCTAGACTGGTGACAGTGTTCTTGGGGACTGTCTCGAGATCCATTAAGCAAGTCGAAGCTCCTGACTTGTTTGAATGGGATCACGGAATAGCTCTGCATGCACTGCAGGGGAATGGGGCCTCATCTCGCCTCTAGGGGGAAGTCTCATGGTTTTTCTCGAGTTGCGGCGGGGACCTGGGGTATGTTCTCGACTTACGGCGGGGATGGCCCTTCAAAACACGAGTTTCTTCAGTGACGTCAGGACTCCTGTCTAGTAACGAGGGACACCTCAGGAATCTCTTCGAGGCTTGGCAGGGCCAAAGGGACGCTTCTCGAGGTGAGGCAGGGCACCCAAGGACCCTTTCCAGTAGCCACAGGGATTTTGGGATTCCTATCAGTATTCAAGAAGAGTCAGGCATCGTCACCTTTTGAAGCAATGAACTCCGCGTGCCTCTCGAGGTGTCAGCGGGATGTGAGGCATTCCCTCAAAATGAGGCAGGGACCTAGGGCTTTCTCTAAGGTCTCCACAGGGGATTCAGACATCCCTTCATGTTGTGAGATGAAAGACGAGCCTGTATTCAAGCCACTGCAAGGAAATCCGGCCTCCTTTCAAGTTAGGGCTTCTCGCTGTATATTCCCCTTGAGGCAGCAAACTCGGGGTCCCTCCCACATACATATTGCTGAGAGAAGCCTCCTCCTGAGGTGCTTCTGGGAAGTTGGCATACGTCTTGAGCCTAAGCCAGGGAATCAGCTCGCATCTCGAGACGATTTGGGGTACACGGAGCATTCCTCGAGTTGCTGTGCTGAAGTTGGTGTTCCTCTAGACTTGGGACAGTGTTCTCGGGGCATCTCTGGAGTTGCCTGAAGGAAGTCGAGCCACCGGTCTTGTTGAATGGGGAACGGGGAATGGCTCTGGAGTCAATGCAGGGGAATCGGGCCTCATCTCGAGTTGATTTGGGGCACATGGAGCTGCTTTGCGTTGCTGGGGTGACCTCAGGGTCCGTCTAGACTGGTGACAGTGTTCTTGGGGACTGTCTCGAGATCCATTAAGCAAGTCGAAGCTCCTGACTTGTTTGAATGGGATCACGGAATAGCTCTGCATGCACTGCAGGGGAATGGGGCCTCATCTCGCCTCTAGGGGGAAGTCTCATGGTTTTTCTCGACTTGCGGCGGGGACCTGCGGTATGTTCTCGACTTACGGCGGGGATGGCCCTTCAAAACACGAGTTTCTTCAGTGACGTCAGGACTCCTGTCTAGTAACGAGGGACACCTCAGGAATCTCTTCGAGGCTTGGCAGGGCCAAAGGGACGCTTCTCGAGGTGAGGCAGGGCACCCAAGGACCCTTTCCAGTAGCCACAGGGATTTTGGGATTCCTATCAGTATTCAAGAGGAGTCAGGCATCGTCACCTTTTGAAGCAATGAACTCCGCGTGCCTCTCGAGGTGTCAGCGGGATGTGAGGCATTCCGTCAAAATGAGGCAGGGACCTAGGGCTTTCTCTAAGGTCTCCACAGGGGATTCAGACATCCCTTCATGTTGTGAGATGAAAGACGAGCCTGTATTCAAGCCACTGCAAGGAAATCCGGCCTCCTTTCAAGTTAGGGCTTCTCGCTGTATATTCCCCTTGAGGCAGCAAACTCGGGGTCCCTCCCACATACCTATTGCTGAGAGAAGCCTCCTCCTGAGGTGCTTCTGGGAAGTTGGCATACGTCTTGAGCCTAAGCCAGGGAATCAGCTCGCATCTCGAGACGATTTGGGGTACACGGAGCATTCCTCGAGTTGCTGTGCTGAAGTTGGTGTTCCTCTAGACTTGGGACAGTGTTCTCGGGGCATCTCTGGAGTTGCCTGAAGGAAGTCGAGCCACCGGTCGTGTTGAATGGGGAACGGGGAATGGCTCTGGAGTCAATGCAGGGGAATCGGGCCTCATCTCGAGTTGATTTGGGGCACATGGAGCTGCTTTGCGTTGCTGGGGTGACCTCAGGGTCCGTCTAGACTGGTGACAGTGTTCTTGGGGACTGTCTCGAGATCCATTAAGCAAGTCGAAGCTCCTGACTTGTTTGAATGGGATCACGGAGTAGCTCTGCATGCACTGCAGGGGAATGGGGCCTCATCTCGCCTCTAGGGGGAAGTCTCATGGTTTTTCTCGAGTTGCGGCGGGGACCTGGGGTATGTTCTCGACTTACGGCGGGGATGGCCCTTCAAAACACGAGTTTCTTCAGTGACGTCAGGACTCCTGTCTAGTAACGAGGGACACCTCAGGAATCTCTTCGAGGCTTGGCAGGGCCAAAGGGACGCTTCTCGAGGTGAGGCAGGGCACCCAAGGACCCTTTCCAGTAGCCACAGGGATTTTGGGATTCCTATCAGTATTCAAGAGGAGTCAGGCATCGTCACCTTTTGAAGCAATGAACTCCGCGTGCCTCTCGAGGTGTCAGCGGGATGTGAGGCATTCCCTCAAAATGAGGCAGGGACCTAGGGCTTTCTCTAAGGTCTCCACAGGGGATTCAGACATCCCTTCATGTTGTGAGATGAAAGACGAGCCTGTATTCAAGCCACTGCAAGGAAATCCGGCCTCCTTTCAAGTTAGGGCTTCTCGCTGTATATTCCCCTTGAGGCAGCAAACTCGGGGTCCCTCCCACATACCTATTGCTGAGAGAAGCCTCCTCCTGAGGTGCTTCTGGGAAGTTGGCATACGTCTTGAGCCTAAGCCAGGGAATCAGCTCGCATCTCGAGACGATTTGGGGTACACGGAGCATTCCTCGAGTTGCTGTGCTGAAGTTGGTGTTCCTCTAGACTTGGGACAGTGTTCTCGGGGCATCTCTGGAGTTGCCTGAAGGAAGTCGAGCCACCGGTCGTGTTGAATGGGGAACGGGGAATGGCTCTGGAGTCAATGCAGGGGAATCGGGCCTCATCTCGAGTTGATTTGGGGCACATGGAGCTGCTTTGCGTTGCTAGGGTGACCTCAGGGTCCGTCTAGACTGGTGACAGTGTTCTTGGGGACTGTCTCGAGATCCATTAAGCAAGTCGAAGCTCCTGACTTGTTTGAATGGGATCACGGAATAGCTCTGCATGCACTGCAGGGGAATGGGGCCTCATCTCGCCTCTAGGGGGAAGTCTCATGGTTTTTCTCGAGTTGCGGCGGGGACCTGGGGTATGTTCTCGACTTACGGCGGGGATGGCCCTTCAAAACACGAGTTTCTTCAGTGACGTCAGGACTCCTGTCTAGTAACGAGGGCACCTCAGGAATCTCTTCGAGGCTTGGCAGGGCCAAAGGGACGCTTCTCGAGGTGAGGCAGGGCACCCAAGGACCCTTTCCAGTAGCCACAGGGATTTTGGGATTCCTATCAGTATTCAAGAGGAGTCAGGCATCGTCACCTTTTGAAGCAATGAACTCCGCGTGCCTCTCGAGGTGTCAGCGGGATGTGAGGCATTCCGTCAAAATGAGGCAGGGACCTAGGGCTTTCTCTAAGGTCTCCACAGGGGATTCAGACATCCCTTCATGTTGTGAGATGAAAGACGAGCCTGTATTCAAGCCACTGCAAGGAAATCCGGCCTCCTTTCAAGTTAGGGCTTCTCGCTGTATATTCCCCTTGAGGCAGCAAACTCGGGGTCCCTCCCACATACCTATTGCTGAGAGAAGCCTCCTCCTGAGGTGCTTCTGGGAAGTTGGCATACGTCTTGAGCCTAAGCCAGGGAATCAGCTCGCATCTCGAGACGATTTGGGGTACACGGAGCATTCCTCGAGTTGCTGTGCTGAAGTTGGTGTTCCTCTAGACTTGGGACAGTGTTCTCGGGGCATCTCTGGAGTTGCCTGAAGGAAGTCGAGCCACCGGTCGTGTTGAATGGGGAACGGGGAATGGCTCTGGAGTCAATGCAGGGGAATCGGGCCTCATCTCGAGTTGATTTGGGGCACATGGAGCTGCTTTGCGTTGCTGGGGTGACCTCAGGGTCCGTCTAGACTGGTGACAGTGTTCTTGGGGACTGTCTCGAGATCCATTAAGCAAGTCGAAGCTCCTGACTTGTTTGAATGGGATCACGGAGTAGCTCTGCATGCACTGCAGGGGAATGGGGCCTCATCTCGCCTCTAGGGGGAAGTCTCATGGTTTTTCTCGAGTTGCGGCGGGGACCTGGGGTATGTTCTCGACTTACGGCGGGGATGGCCCTTCAAAACACGAGTTTCTTCAGTGACGTCAGGACTCCTGTCTAGTAACGAGGGACACCTCAGGAATCTCTTCGAGGCTTGGCAGGGCCAAAGGGACGCTTCTCGAGGTGAGGCAGGGCACCCAAGGACCCTTTCCAGTAGCCACAGGGATTTTGGGATTCCTATCAGTATTCAAGAGGAGTCAGGCATCGTCACCTTTTGAAGCAATGAACTCCGCGTGCCTCTCGAGGTGTCAGCGGGATGTGAGGCATTCCGTCAAAATGAGGCAGGGACCTAGGGCTTTCTCTAAGGTCTCCACAGGGGATTCAGACATCCCTTCATGTTGTGAGATGAAAGACGAGCCTGTATTCAAGCCACTGCAAGGAAATCCGGCCTCCTTTCAAGTTAGGGCTTCTCGCTGTATATTCCCCTTGAGGCAGCAAACTCGGGGTCCCTCCCACATACCTATTGCTGAGAGAAGCCTCCTCCTGAGGTGCTTCTGGGAAGTTGGCATACGTCTTGAGCCTAAGCCAGGGAATCAGCTCGCATCTCGAGACGATTTGGGGTACACGGAGCATTCCTCGAGTTGCTGTGCTGAAGTTGGTGTTCCTCTAGACTTGGGACAGTGTTCTCGGGGCATCTCTGGAGTTGCCTGAAGGAAGTCGAGCCACCGGTCGTGTTGAATGGGGAACGGGGAATGGCTCTGGAGTCAATGCAGGGGAATCGGGCCTCATCTCGAGTTGATTTGGGGCACATGGAGCTGCTTTGCGTTGCTGGGGTGACCTCAGGGTCCGTCTAGACTGGTGACAGTGTTCTTGGGGACTGTCTCGAGATCCATTAAGCAAGTCGAAGCTCCTGACTTGTTTGAATGGGATCACGGAGTAGCTCTGCATGCACTGCAGGGGAATGGGGCCTCATCTCGCCTCTAGGGGGAAGTCTCATGGTTTTTCTCGAGTTGCGGCGGGGACCTGGGGTATGTTCTCGACTTACGGCGGGGATGGCCCTTCAAAACACGAGTTTCTTCAGTGACGTCAGGACTCCTGTCTAGTAACGAGGGACACCTCAGGAATCTCTTCGAGGCTTGGCAGGGCCAAAGGGACGCTTCTCGAGGTGAGGCAGGGCACCCAAGGACCCTTTCCAGTAGCCACAGGGATTTTGGGATTCCTATCAGTATTCAAGAGGAGTCAGGCATCGTCACCTTTTGAAGCAATGAACTCCGCGTGCCTCTCGAGGTGTCAGCGGGATGTGAGGCATTCCGTCAAAATGAGGCAGGGACCTAGGGCTTTCTCTAAGGTCTCCACAGGGGATTCAGACATCCCTTCATGTTGTGAGATGAAAGACGAGCCTGTATTCAAGCCACTGCAAGGAAATCCGGCCTCCTTTCAAGTTAGGGCTTCTCGCTGTATATTCCCCTTGAGGCAGCAAACTCGGGGTCCCTCCCACATACCTATTGCTGAGAGAAGCCTCCTCCTGAGGTGCTTCTGGGAAGTTGGCATACGTCTTGAGCCTAAGCCAGGGAATCAGCTCGCATCTCGAGACGATTTGGGGTACACGGAGCATTCCTCGAGTTGCTGTGCTGAAGTTGGTGTTCCTCTAGACTTGGGACAGTGTTCTCGGGGCATCTCTGGAGTTGCCTGAAGGAAGTCGAGCCACCGGTCGTGTTGAATGGGGAACGGGGAATGGCTCTGGAGTCAATGCAGGGGAATCGGGCCTCATCTCGAGTTGATTTGGGGCACATGGAGCTGCTTTGCGTTGCTGGGGTGACCTCAGGGTCCGTCTAGACTGGTGACAGTGTTCTTGGGGACTGTCTCGAGATCCATTAAGCAAGTCGAAGCTCCTGACTTGTTTGAATGGGATCACGGAGTAGCTCTGCATGCACTGCAGGGGAATGGGGCCTCATCTCGCCTCTAGGGGGAAGTCTCATGGTTTTTCTCGAGTTGCGGCGGGGACCTGGGGTATGTTCTCGACTTACGGCGGGGATGGCCCTTCAAAACACGAGTTTCTTCAGTGACGTCAGGACTCCTGTCTAGTAACGAGGGACACCTCAGGAATCTCTTCGAGGCTTGGCAGGGCCAAAGGGACGCTTCTCGAGGTGAGGCAGGGCACCCAAGGACCCTTTCCAGTAGCCACAGGGATTTTGGGATTCCTATCAGTATTCAAGAGGAGTCAGGCATCGTCACCTTTTGAAGCAATGAACTCCGCGTGCCTCTCGAGGTGTCAGCGGGATGTGAGGCATTCCGTCAAAATGAGGCAGGGACCTAGGGCTTTCTCTAAGGTCTCCACAGGGGATTCAGACATCCCTTCATGTTGTGAGATGAAAGACGAGCCTGTATTCAAGCCACTGCAAGGAAATCCGGCCTCCTTTCAAGTTAGGGCTTCTCGCTGTATATTCCCCTTGAGGCAGCAAACTCGGGGTCCCTCCCACATACCTATTGCTGAGAGAAGCCTCCTCCTGAGGTGCTTCTGGGAAGTTGGCATACGTCTTGAGCCTAAGCCAGGGAATCAGCTCGCATCTCGAGACGATTTGGGGTACACGGAGCATTCCTCGAGTTGCTGTGCTGAAGTTGGTGTTCCTCTAGACTTGGGACAGTGTTCTCGGGGCATCTCTGGAGTTGCCTGAAGGAAGTCGAGCCACCGGTCGTGTTGAATGGGGAACGGGGAATGGCTCTGGAGTCAATGCAGGGGAATCGGGCCTCATCTCGAGTTGATTTGGGGCACATGGAGCTGCTTTGCGTTGCTGGGGTGACCTCAGGGTCCGTCTAGACTGGTGACAGTGTTCTTGGGGACTGTCTCGAGATCCATTAAGCAAGTCGAAGCTCCTGACTTGTTTGAATGGGATCACGGAATAGCTCTGCATGCACTGCAGGGGAATGGGGCCTCATCTCGCCTCTAGGGGGAAGTCTCATGGTTTTTCTCGAGTTGCGGCGGGGACCTGGGGTATGTTCTCGACTTACGGCGGGGATGGCCCTTCAAAACACGAGTTTCTTCAGTGACGTCAGGACTCCTGTCTAGTAACGAGGGACACCTCAGGAATCTCTTCGAGGCTTGGCAGGGCCAAAGGGACGCTTCTCGAGGTGAGGCAGGGCACCCAAGGACCCTTTCCAGTAGCCACAGGGATTTTGGGATTCCTATCAGTATTCAAGAAGAGTCAGGCATCGTCACCTTTTGAAGCAATGAACTCCGCGTGCCTCTCGAGGTGTCAGCGGGATGTGAGGCATTCCGTCAAAATGAGGCAGGGACCTAGGGCTTTCTCTAAGGTCTCCACAGGGGATTCAGACATCCCTTCATGTTGTGAGATGAAAGACGAGCCTGTATTCAAGCCACTGCAAGGAAATCCGGCCTCCTTTCAAGTTAGGGCTTCTCGCTGTATATTCCCCTTGAGGCAGCAAACTCGGGGTCCCTCCCACATACATATTGCTGAGAGAAGCCTCCTCCTGAGGTGCTTCTGGGAAGTTGGCATACGTCTTGAGCCTAAGCCAGGGAATCAGCTCGCATCTCGAGACGATTTGGGGTACACGGAGCATTCCTCGAGTTGCTGTGCTGAAGTTGGTGTTCCTCTAGACTTGGGACAGTGTTCTCGGGGCATCTCTGGAGTTGCCTGAAGGAAGTCGAGCCACCGGTCGTGTTGAATGGGGAACGGGGAATGGCTCTGGAGTCAATGCAGGGGAATCGGGCCTCATCTCGAGTTGATTTGGGGCACATGGAGCTGCTTTGCGTTGCTGGGGTGACCTCAGGGTCCGTCTAGACTGGTGACAGTGTTCTTGGGGACTGTCTCGAGATCCATTAAGCAAGTCGAAGCTCCTGACTTGTTTGAATGGGATCACGGAGTAGCTCTGCATGCACTGCAGGGGAATGGGGCCTCATCTCGCCTCTAGGGGGAAGTCTCATGGTTTTTCTCGAGTTGCGGCGGGGACCTGGGGTATGTTCTCGACTTACGGCGGGGATGGCCCTTCAAAACACGAGTTTCTTCAGTGACGTCAGGACTCCTGTCTAGTAACGAGGGACACCTCAGGAATCTCTTCGAGGCTTGGCAGGGCCAAAGGGACGCTTCTCGAGGTGAGGCAGGGCACCCAAGGACCCTTTCCAGTAGCCACAGGGATTTTGGGATTCCTATCAGTATTCAAGAGGAGTCAGGCATCGTCACCTTTTGAAGCAATGAACTCCGCGTGCCTCTCGAGGTGTCAGCGGGATGTGAGGCATTCCGTCAAAATGAGGCAGGGACCTAGGGCTTTCTCTAAGGTCTCCACAGGGGATTCAGACATCCCTTCATGTTGTGAGATGAAAGACGAGCCTGTATTCAAGCCACTGCAAGGAAATCCGGCCTCCTTTCAAGTTAGGGCTTCTCGCTGTATATTCCCCTTGAGGCAGCAAACTCGGGGTCCCTCCCACATACCTATTGCTGAGAGAAGCCTCCTCCTGAGGTGCTTCTGGGAAGTTGGCATACGTCTTGAGCCTAAGCCAGGGAATCAGCTCGCATCTCGAGACGATTTGGGGTACACGGAGCATTCCTCGAGTTGCTGTGCTGAAGTTGGTGTTCCTCTAGACTTGGGACAGTGTTCTCGGGGCATCTCTGGAGTTGCCTGAAGGAAGTCGAGCCACCGGTCGTGTTGAATGGGGAACGGGGAATGGCTCTGGAGTCAATGCAGGGGAATCGGGCCTCATCTCGAGTTGATTTGGGGCACATGGAGCTGCTTTGCGTTGCTGGGGTGACCTCAGGGTCCGTCTAGACTGGTGACAGTGTTCTTGGGGACTGTCTCGAGATCCATTAAGCAAGTCGAAGCTCCTGACTTGTTTGAATGGGATCACGGAATAGCTCTGCATGCACTGCAGGGGAATGGGGCCTCATCTCGCCTCTAGGGGGAAGTCTCATGGTTTTTCTCGAGTTGCGGCGGGGACCTGGGGTATGTTCTCGACTTACGGCGGGGATGGCCCTTCAAAACACGAGTTTCTTCAGTGACGTCAGGACTCCTGTCTAGTAACGAGGGCACCTCAGGAATCTCTTCGAGGCTTGGCAGGGCCAAAGGGACGCTTCTCGAGGTGAGGCAGGGCACCCAAGGACCCTTTCCAGTAGCCACAGGGATTTTGGGATTCCTATCAGTATTCAAGAGGAGTCAGGCATCGTCACCTTTTGAAGCAATGAACTCCGCGTGCCTCTCGAGGTGTCAGCGGGATGTGAGGCATTCCGTCAAAATGAGGCAGGGACCTAGGGCTTTCTCTAAGGTCTCCACAGGGGATTCAGACATCCCTTCATGTTGTGAGATGAAAGACGAGCCTGTATTCAAGCCACTGCAAGGAAATCCGGCCTCCTTTCAAGTTAGGGCTTCTCGCTGTATATTCCCCTTGAGGCAGCAAACTCGGGGTCCCTCCCACATACCTATTGCTGAGAGAAGCCTCCTCCTGAGGTGCTTCTGGGAAGTTGGCATACGTCTTGAGCCTAAGCCAGGGAATCAGCTCGCATCTCGAGACGATTTGGGGTACACGGAGCATTCCTCGAGTTGCTGTGCTGAAGTTGGTGTTCCTCTAGACTTGGGACAGTGTTCTCGGGGCATCTCTGGAGTTGCCTGAAGGAAGTCGAGCCACCGGTCGTGTTGAATGGGGAACGGGGAATGGCTCTGGAGTCAATGCAGGGGAATCGGGCCTCATCTCGAGTTGATTTGGGGCACATGGAGCTGCTTTGCGTTGCTGGGGTGACCTCAGGGTCCGTCTAGACTGGTGACAGTGTTCTTGGGGACTGTCTCGAGATCCATTAAGCAAGTCGAAGCTCCTGACTTGTTTGAATGGGATCACGGAATAGCTCTGCATGCACTGCAGGGGAATGGGGCCTCATCTCGCCTCTAGGGGGAAGTCTCATGGTTTTTCTCGAGTTGCGGCGGGGACCTGGGGGATGTTCTCGACTTACGGCGGGGATGGCCCTTCAAAACACGAGTTTCTTCAGTGACGTCAGGACTCCTGTCTAGTAACGAGGGACACCTCAGGAATCTCTTCGAGGCTTGGCAGGGCCAAAGGGACGCTTCTCGAGGTGAGGCAGGGCACCCAAGGACCCTTTCCAGTAGCCACAGGGATTTTGGGATTCCTATCAGTATTCAAGAGGAGTCAGGCATCGTCACCTTTTGAAGCAATGAACTCCGCGTGCCTCTCGAGGTGTCAGCGGGATGTGAGGCATTCCGTCAAAATGAGGCAGGGACCTAGGGCTTTCTCTAAGGTCTCCAAAGGGGATTCAGACATCCCTTCATGTTGTGAGATGAAAGACGAGCCTGCATTCAAGCCACTGCAAGGAAATCCGGCCTCCTTTCAAGTTAGGGCTTCTCGCTGTATATTCCCCTTGAGGCAGCAAACTCGGGGTTCCTCCCACATACCTATTGCTGAGAGAAGCCTCCTCCTGAGGTGCTTCTGGGAAGTTGGCATACGTCTTGAGCCTAAGCCAGGGAATCAGCTCGCATCTCGAGACGATTTGGGGTACACGGAGCATTCCTCGAGTTGCTGTGCTGAAGTTGGTGTTCCTCTAGACATGGGACAGTGTTCTCGGGGCATCTCTGGAGTTGCCTGAAGGAAGTCGAGCCACCGGTCGTGTTGAATGGGGAACGGGGAATGGCTCTGGAGTCAATGCAGGGGAATCGGGCCTCATCTCGAGTTGATTTGGGGCACATGGAG